AACCTGGACAGATCATCGTATTTGAAGTGCGTAACATACATTTTGTTACATGTATTCAAAGATATGAATGTTAGGTAGTATTTCTGGAGCCGAGGAGAGTATCTGACCGCTGTTGACACTCTAGACTAACTCTGTGAGGAGCACCGCAAACAGTAAGCCGTGGGTAATTAATCCAGGTATGATAAAAACTGAAGACAGGTCTAATCGTATTTCCTGTTAAATCAAAGAACAGAATTTCCCAAAATGTTTGTGTGACGAGGTTGTCCATGGTCAGGTTGCTGCCTCAGGTGCCTATGCATACAGAGCCGCATTACGACTGTCACTGCCCACTCACACCTAAGATCTTGCTAGCATAAGCTGGCACAATAGCAGCAACGGCGCAACTCACCACTGGCGATGTGGCTCATCAACGCTTCTTCGTTGAAGCTAGAGCTCGTATATGGCGATTCCACCCCCAAATATGCCGTCCTCTCCCACTCCTGGGGCCTGGAAGAGGTCTCGCTGGCCGAGTTTAACCAGGCTCACGATGACACCGACGTTGCAGCCACCATCAGAGCCAAGGCAGGCTATAAAAAGATTGTCGATGCCTGCAATAAAACCAAACTAGACGGTTTCAACTACATATGGATCGACACCTGCTGCATTGACAAGTCTAGCAGCGCAGAACTCACCGAGGCCATCAACTCCATGTTCGCCTGGTACCGTGACTCCGAGGTCTGCTACTCGCTGCTCAGCGATCTCGACAGCGACCTCGGCCAAGCGACAGACTCACAAATCAAAGACGCCCTTGCATCATGTAGGTGGTTTACCCGCGGCTGGTGCCTACAGGAGCTGCTTGCCCCCAGGATGATGCTCTTCTTCAACCGACACTGGGGGCAAGTTGGTGACAGAAATAACTTGACACACATCATCTCCGACATTACTGGCGTCCCGCAGTCTCTTCTGACTAGTCCGCCTCAGCAAGATCTCCAAGATTTCCCCATTGCCGAGAGAATCTCGTGGATTGCTCACCGCAAGACAACGCGCAAGGAAGATATGGCGTACAGCCTGCTCGGTCTGCTCGACATTAACATGCCCATGCTCTACGGTGAGGGCGACAAGGCGTTTATCCGACTCCAAGAAGAAGTCATTAAAAAGTACAACGATTTTACCATTTTCGCCTGGCAGGGCAAGTCGACGGTAGACGGCGACTTTATGCCTATTCTCGCGCCAAGCCCAGCCAACTTTGCTGGCTTTGCCGCTGTCAAGCAGGAAACAGAACAGCCTAGATCCGCTCTTGGCCGTGTGCGCAACCAGCTCGCTGCACAGTTTTCTCTCAGCAACAAAGGAGTCATGTTTGAGAATGTGTGGCTGTATTCGCAGAAACCAGCAAGAGGATTCCGCCACCACTACATCCTGTTTCTTGTCTATGCAGATGCCCGATTCCGTGGCGTGCGGCAGGACGGGTCATACCTCATCCTACAAAAAGTCAGCCCAGGGCTATATGTGCGACTAGAGGCTACGCCAGAGCGCATGAAAGCGTTTGCTGACATACCCATAATGGACCCCTGCATCGAACCCGTCTGTATCCTCAACAGCGTCACACCGACCATGGCGAAGGAGCTCGTCCGGTGGGAGCGCCATGCTGTCCGGCTACGCTGGCGGGCATGGGACCACAAGGGCAAAAAGTACTGGCACATTAGGTCTCTCGGGCCACGGGCCAACTGGGACGTCGAGGGCGGCGAGTTCCTCGTGCACCTAGCCACGGAGCAGTATATGTATATCGAATTTGTGCCGGGCAGCTTTGACACGAACCCGAATTCCGAGTACTTTGTGTTGGTAATCTACGTCGGCGGTACGGGAAGGAAGCGCGACACCAGCCAGATTGTCGTCAACATCGTCGACCGCATCAACTGGTCTGGCGTCAACTCGACCCCGTTCAAGTTTGCCTACAAGGAAAGCCTGGCGATGCAGGAAGGAATGTACGGGCCAGTTGGCGACAATAGACAGACTATAGAAATGGCTGGATGTAAAATTACCATGACGGTCAGCCCGGCTACGGAATCAGATGGTACGCCGTATCATGCCATCTTCCTAGACTGGGAGAGCCAAGGGCCTGTACCGAGCTTGGCCAGAGCGAGATCAGAACCGTGGGAGGCTGAATTTGCGCGGGCTGATATTGTCGGCGGCGTGGGCAGCCATATGTCGCCAATGCAGTGGACGCGACAAGGCAAGGAGATAGAATCAAGGCAGCATACTGGTGCGCAGTTGGAAGATGCGGAGATGGTGGGCGGCGTGGGAAGCCATGTATTTCCGCTACAAAGGAAGCCGCAAATCTCGGCGTTTGAACCGAAGCGGCAGCGTCATACTGGTGGACAGCCAGAAGATGTAGAAATGGTAGGAGGCGTCTCCAGCCATATGCACCCGGTGAATCAGAAACCTACCGTGGCGCCGTTTAGTTGGGCTCAATCCGACTCCCAGACAAGGTCGGTCATGGATGCCCTAGGGCTGGATCGGGGAACGAAGACGAAGAAGAAGCCGTGACAACTACCAGGCCCCTTTACGCCGAGAATGACACATGCACGGGCAGCGTCGAGTCTGTTTCAACGGACAGCCAAGAACTTGAGCTGGGTCAGGTATTTACTACGGAAATGAAGCCTCTATGTACAATCTCGATATAGACCACGTCAAGGGGATTATTTTTACAGCCTGGAGGGTGGTGTAGCTGTGTCGCTGCAGACTTCAAGTACGCGCTCCGTCATGGATAGGACCTTTTCTTCCTCGAGTCTTCGGCCAACCAGCTGGAGCGTGATTGGCATTCCGTGGACAACATCCGCATCATCTACAAGAGTAGCACGTCAGCTCACAGAATATATATAACGCCAGATAACTTGGTTCACTTACACTGAGACTGGATTTTTTCATCGTTGCTGTTCAAGGGCTTGAAATTAGCAGGCAACACATCGACGCTCTTGTCCACAGTCAATCCTGTGGGGAACGTGACGCAGGAGTAATCGAGGACATTGAACATGCCAGTATATCCAATGTGGTTGGTGCTGCTGTGCTTCTGCGTCACATACGGCATATTGGGCAACAAAAGAGCATCAACACCCGTTTCTTGCCACTTTAGGAGATGAGCGTTTTGGAAAGCAGATCGCTCAGCCTGCAATTTCCATGTATCGGCCACGCTTACCTCCTCTGACACTTCGTGGATGACCATCTCTTTGACATAGGGCTCCTCGCCGCGAGCAAGCTCGCCCCTGATATTCACGCCATTGTCGGCGCGGAAGAAACGGTTAATCAGGGCCAGCGCTGTACCCATGTCGCTGACGTCCCAGTCGACAACCTCAAAGCCATCAGCGCGCAGTTTGTTCACAGTCTCGCGCAGGGCACGGGCAACGGGTGGAGTGGGCTGTACAATGCCGTCGCTCCAGATGACGCCAATCTTAAGCTTACGGGGTGCTGTAACGTCTCGCCATGGGATGGGCACGCACTTGGCATCTCGAACCCATGGCTGTGAGTCGATCACGACGCGGCTGTACAGCTGGACGTCTTCGAGGCTGCGTGCCATGGGCCCGTTGACAGAGTTGACACCCTCTTGGCCGGCCATACCGGAGCGGCAGTCCCGGGTGGGGAAGCGGCCAAATGAAGGACGTAGGGTGAAAATGCCGGTACAAGCAGCCGGGATACGAAGAGAGCCACCTTTATAGAGTATTAGTCGCTAGTAGTTGGTGATTTAAGAAAAAAACCATGGCTGTGCTGTACGTACCAATGTCACTGCCGACGCCGAGAGGGCTGCCCTTGAATGCAATAAGTGACGCTTCACCACCAGAGCTGCCACCCGACGTTGTGCGCCTGTTTCGAGGGTTGGTAGTCCTTCCAAAGACATTGTTGATCGTCTCGGCAATCATCATGGCCGTAGGCACATTCGTCTTGACGTAAAAGACGGCACCGGCCTCTTGCAGGATCTTGGCGAGCGTCGAGTCGTCCTTGGCCGGATCTCCAATGTGTGATACAAAGCCAAGTGTGGCATCCAGGCCCTTGAGGTTAAAGTTATCCTTGAGCGAGATGGGCAGTCCATGGAGCGGGCCAATCGGCTTGCCGGTCCTTTGGTAATGTTCGTCAAGAGCCCTAGCTGTTGCAATGGCCCTGTCAAAGCAAGTCTCTGAGAGACAGTTTGTCTAACATGCCGACCCATTAGCATCTCATTCTGGGCATAGAGCGAGGGGACTTACAAGTTGGTGAGCGGCAGCGGCTCTCTTGCAGAATGCACGGGTGACCGCCTCGGAGGTATACGCACCACCCGCTAGCTTTCTAACGAGGTGTTCCGCAGTGAGATCTGTAATGGCGAGCTCTTCCTTTGTAAACCAGCCCGATGTCTCAGGCCAGTCCATGACATTGTCCAAGTCTGGTGGCGGCAGCAGGTCCTTGGGGATGCGCCACTCAAGCGGGATGGACTGCTGGAGGGTGTTGCGCTTGCTAGCGGCTTTTGCTTCCCACGTAGCCATGTTACAGAGTATAGAGAGAAATTGTACAGGACGGGTGTGTGTAAGGGGATGTATGGGGAGGACAGATGAGGAGAAGGAGGAGGAGACAAATATGTCCGGTGGCCGCGGGGAGAGGAAACGGAAATGCAGCGACAACGGACGACGCAGGCCCGGGACTAATGCCGCGCCAGGTAACCGTAGCCTGATGATGCAAGCTACTTTTGTAGGCCGGCGCAGCCTACCCGAGCCATTCTTCTCTGCAGCGTATCCACCACAATGGGCGATAGTGCGGGGGACAACGTTGGGGGCGTTTGTTTGGCTGCGTTAGTGGTGATAGTGGTGGTGGGCCAGCGGCCGACGGGCTTTGAGTCGTGCGGAGAAGGCCGACTGAGTGCTGTGCGGGCAGTTGGTGCAGCTGGCGCAGGTGGTGGCGGGTGGCACGCTCCGACAGCGGCGGGACGGAGACAAAACAGGTGTTGGCTGGATCACTGTAGTTGATAAGCGACCGTTTGGTACACGTGTGTACCTGCCGCTAAATAGTAAACTCAAGATGCATATAATATCTAAGAACGGAGTGCATTTTCAGTGTAAAATCTAGTATTGATGTTTCTTGCAATGGTCTTTTTGCTAAACAATTCTATTGTCACTGGAGGCCACTATAATCACCGCCGGCCCCCCACCAACACCTCGCTGCTCCTTCCCACTGTGCCCCCCAAAACGCCCACTAAATTTAAAGCCGTTTCGCTCCAATAAACATTGCCCGGCACCTAATTTACAGCACACTGTACAGTACGTACCGCACTGCTCCAGCACCCTTCAGGGTTTCCCCAGACTCTTGCCGGCTCCACTGAAGCTGCCAGCCGCGGAGCTGCCCCCCTCTTAAAAAAACGCCTCCTCGCAAAACGCCAGCTTCATTAACCGAAAGCGCGCCTTTCGTCTTCTCTTTTTACGGCATGTCCCTCTTGCTCGCCTATCATGACTCCGTCGTCGGCAATTTAAACCCCACGCTGCCCTTCCTTTTCGCCCGCCCGCCCGCTTCTCTCTGAACAATCACCTGCGACAACGACATCAACACACGACATGGCGGGCTCCTCCAAGATCCGCGAATACCTCCGCGGCCCGGACTACAAGCCTGGCGAGCGCACGCTGATCCGCAAGATTGACTTCTTCATTCTCACCTTCTGCTGCCTCAGCTACTTTGTAAACTACGTACGCCTGTTGCGCCCTGTCCTTGAGTATCAATCGTCCACTAACATTACCGCGATAGCTCGACAGATCCAACCTCGCCAATGCCTACGTCACCGGCATGAAGGAAGACCTGGGCTTCGTAGGCAACCAGCTCAGTGTCATCAACACCTGTTTTACCGTTGGCTATGTGCTCGGCCAGATCCCTTCCAACCTGTCCCTGCACTACGTCAAGCCGCGCATCTGGTTCCCGCTCATGATGATCCTCTGGGGCGGGCTCACTATGGTGACAGCATCAGTGCACAGCCCACACGCCATCATGGCCATCCGCTTCTTCCAGGGAATGTTTGAGGCGTCGACGTTTGTCGGTACGCACTATATCCTTGGCGCATGGTACACGGAGCGCGAGCTCGGCAAACGTAGCGGCATCTTCACCGCGTCAGGACTCGCGGGAACCATGATTGGCGGGTTCATCCAGACCGGCTTGCATAATAACTTGGACGGCAGCCTGGGCCTCTCAGGCTGGCGCTGGCTGTTCATCATTGACGGCCTCATGACGTTGCCTGTTGCCATATACGGCTTCCTGCTCTTCCCGGATACACCACATACCACGACCGCCATGTACCTCTCTGAAGACGAGCGCCGGCTTGCGCGGGAGAGAGTACCCATCGCTGAAAAGGGGTCACCAATTACACTGGCCTTTGTGAAAAAGGTCCTCACATCTTGGTACTGGTGGGGATTCGTCATCCTCTGGGTAATTGCAGGCGAGACCGAGTCGTTTGGTAGCAACTCGCTTCTGCTGCTGTACCTGGGCAGCAAGCCTGTCTCAACAGCCTTTCACTACTCCAAGGGCCAGATTAACAACTACAACACGGGAGTGGCTGCTGTTGGCATTGCCTCAACGCTCTTCTGGGCGACGCTGACCGACTTCCTCGGCGGCAAGCGATATCTGGTCGCATACTGGATCGGCCTGACGGGCATCGCAACGTCCATTATGCTTCTTGTGGCGGGCAAGTCGCCGCTCGAGGCATGGTCCAATGATACTGTGATGGCGGCCTACTACTGGGCCGGGTCCGTGTATGCGTGCCAGGCTACCTTTTTCGCTTGGTGCAACGACGCCATGCGCTACGAGGATCCCGTCTTCCGCGGCGTCGTCCTCGCCGGTATGAATCTTGGCAACAACGCCGTCAATGCGTGGTGGAGCATTATATTCTACAGCAACGACCTAGCGCCCTGGTTTACGGTAAGTCTTACTCGCCTTAGTTGGTTCAGGTTAACCGTTGCATTGGCTGACTTCTCGACTTTTCTAGCGCGGCGCATGGGCCATGATTGCATGTGCCATAGCGCTAATTATCTGGGCCGCCGTCTTGACGTTTGTTGTCAGACGTAAGAACCAACGGCGGCTAGCGCAGGAAGCGCAAGCTCTTAGTGAGTTGGCGGACATCAAGGCCGAGCGGACCATGAGCCACGTCCACGAGGCTAGTTAAACCATTTTTGATACCCTTTTTTGTACACTGTAGCGGAATAGCGAGACCTTTTTTTTTGATAATGGATGTTCTATTATATATTTATCGTAAGGGCGTACATGGCATTACATATTATATATATACAATTTGGTTTTGATTTTGAAGTCAAGTCCAATCGCGTTGTGTTGTTGGCTTAGACAGTGACGGGCTTGTTGAGCTGCAGAGTCACGGGCTTGCCGGCGAGAGTAACCCAGACGATAGGAGGCTCGTTAGCAACCTTGTCGATCTTGGTGTGGTCATCGGCGCCCGTGGCGACGGTACCGTCGGGGATGGTGACGGCAACAGGGACTGGGCACGAGTTGTCCTTGGAGCTGACGGTGACGGCAGTAATGGTCTTGCCGTCAGCAGCAAAGGTGTATCGTGCGCTAGGCTTGCAGTTGTCAAGCGTCATACGGTCCAAGAAGTAGTGCGAGAACTCATCGTGAGTCTGCGACACCATGGGCCAGGTGGTCAGGCGCATGAGCTCCTGGACAACAACCTCAACCCAAGTCTGGAGAAGCGACAGCTTGCCAGTCTGGTTACCCACAGTGATGGTAGGCTGGTCAATGCTGCGCATGTTGGCCTGATGGAACATGTAGGGGTCGGCTTGGAGGTTCAGGAGGTACTGAACGTTGGTCGAGCGGATAAGATCTTGGTACTGGGCGTAGTTGCGGGTAAGCTTGGTGATCTTGGTGTACTGGTGGAGCACGCAGCTAGAGGTAGCGCAGTCAAAATACATCTCGGTCGAGAAACGAGGCATAATCCAGAGACCAGCGTAGCCGTTGGTCTCAACAGTGCTCTGAAGAGGCCAGTATTTGCTAATGGAGTTGCGGAGAACAGGGCGGGTGTTGTCACCGACGACATACTTGATGCCGTTGTCCATCCAGGCGCGGATGGCATCGCCATTGTGCATGCCAGTAATGGCAGGGGGGATAATACCATCGGCGGTGAAGCGGATAGCCTTGTCAATACCCATCTGAGCCATCCAGGCCTGGTTGAACTGGATCTCACGGGCAGTATCGTAGTAGGTGGCGTTGTTCAATCCCTCGTGTGTAAAGGTGTGGGAGATGTGGCCAAAGGCGTTGAGGTTGTCGGGGTTGCGGAACCAGTTGGCAAAGGGGTCGAGCTTGCTGCAGGCGTCGCTCCAGCCGTACTTGACGTACTTGGGAGGCCAGATGTCGGTACCGGTACCCATAGGCTTAACGAACTCTACAGCGGTATCAATTTGGTCCGGGTACTCGACGGCATCCTGAGGGTTGCAGTACTTGTCGGCCTGTTTGTTGTCGGCAGCAGCCTCAATGTTGCCGTTACCGTTGTGGCCGAACTCGAGGCGGAAGTCGGAGCCAGGAGGCATACGTTTGTTGATATCCTTTTGCCACGAGACGATGACATCAAGATCCTTGGTATCAATCTTGAACTCCTTGTTCTTGGGCTCGAACATGGTGGTGTAGAGCTGCAGGTCATCGACCTGGGGAGTCAGGTAAAGCTTACGCTTGCCGACAAACAGACTACGAGTCATCCAGTGAATGTAAGAGTGCTGGAGGTAGCTGGAAGCAAGAGACCACTCCGAGGCGAGCGAGGTGAACCAGACCAGAGTCTCGCGGTTGTTGACCTTGTTGACAACAGCGCCGACAGTTCTGGTGTTGATGCCACCAGCAGGCTCAAACATGGCCCAGGCGGTTGTGGTGGTAGTGTTTGTAATCTTGGCCTGGTAGTGGTACAGACCGTCCATGTTGACAGGAGCATTGTCCTTAAGACCGGCGGCGGGAATAGCAGCAGTGTTGACAAGGCTCATGCCGGCGTTGACGCCGTCCTTGCAGCAGCCGTTGCCATTGCTGTTGTATGTGGTAGTACCAAAGTCGGCGCTGGGAAACTCATCCACGCGGACCATGCGAACGCGGAAAGCATCTTGGTAGGCGTAGAGCTGGTTCCACTGGTCTGGGGTGAGAGCACTGTGGTAGTTGCTGGCCTTGTCGGTGCCGTAGTCGTAGATGAGACCAGACACAGTGATGATGGCAGCATAGTTACCGTCAGTGACGGTCGAGTTGAGCTGGGGGAGGCTAACACCGGCCTTGGGGACAAGGACAGCCTCCCAGGGGATGCCGTAGCCGTCGAGACCAGGGCTGGTGCTGGCAACGTCGGCGTCAGAGCGAGCGAGGATGAGCACTTTGCTGCCAAGAGTAGTGGTGACAGCAGCAGAGACGCCAGCCAAGAGGGCGGTGGCCGTGAGCAGGCCAATTGAGCTATGCATGATGAAGATTTGAATTGTAGATGGGAACAATTCCAGAATTTCCTTCGAATAGCAGATACGAGTCCGCCATAGTTGTCAAGACGGGTCCTGTCTTGGTCTTTATAGCGAACAGCGCACCCACCGCAGGTCAGCACACGCGTATTGTTCTAAATTTCCACTAGCCGCCGTATTCAGGTTCTAGCCTGGCATGCTAAGCTTAGAAAGATGGATCTGACGGCTGCTAATCCTGGTCGCGTAGGGGTGGCCGCGCGACATGAGGTTGCATCACCGACGGAGCGCGGCCTAAGCCTTGGGCGCACGACGTCCCACTCACCGATGGTTGGCGGCAAGATAGAGAAAAAAATCCAATAGCCCCGTATTCCTGGTCATCTCAGTAGTTCTGGGCCTCGACTGACAAGTCTCCGTTCCGTGTCCCCTCTTGCTTGCAGGGTTGTGGCTTACCTTTAGCTGCCAATTGTGGGCATGGGCCATCGTCCATCGTGCGATAAAAATCAACCAACTCAGCCATGCAAAGCACAAGGGGCTTTGTTCAGCCGCCAACTACTGCGAAGCGAACACTGCAACCCCACGGCCCCACTCAGGGTCTCATCGAGGATCGGCCACAGCCTTCGCTTTCGTGTCCGTTCTGTTGTTCTCTCGCTAGCGCAACGCTGGAAAATATTGGTGAAACTGCTAAGAAAACGCCGGTTGGCCGGCCGTAACGAACTGGCAGTGTTGCTTTGGCGCGTCTCTGCCACTTGCCAACTGCGTGTGCAGTGCGCGTGCAGTGCCACCAGCTGGCAAGCTGTAAAATTTCGAGACCACCAGCTGGCACCCGCACTAATTACTTCTCTGCATAGCGTGTGGCGACATGCATATGTTAGCTAATGCACCTGCACCACAATTAACCGGAGATGAAGTAGTCACTGCACAGCACAACCGCAGCTGCAGACATGGATATGCAAATCAATACACGTGAGGCACTAAATTGGGCAAGATGGGTTTCTTTTTTTGACATATAGCAGGGGTCCTTTTGTCAAAGCCTCCTATACCATGCAGCATGCACCAGCATGGGTGTGGTACGGTAGTGCTCGAGCAACATAGACGCTATAGAGACTGAGTCGTACTAGCTGTAGGAAAGCAACGCAAGCATACCCCCAATAGGAAAAGGACGATACAATTATTCCCGCAACCTAACAAAGAGATAAAAAATGATACGCTAACCGGATACGCCGCTCCGTCTTTTACCAACCTTCCACAAGCTTAGTTCGCATAACCATGCCGCCTTCCGGCTTGGCGACTACGCTGGGGTTGACTTGAATGTTGCGTTCGTCTAGAAGCCTCTCATCTTTGAGGCGGAAGTCGAAACGCCCGATCCACGCCGCCAGGAGACAGGCCATTTCCGATTTGGAGAATGCGCCACCGATGCAGCTGTGCGGCCCGTGGATAAAGGTCATGAAGGCATAGTTGCTCGTCGCACCACCACTACCGGCGTTTACCTTGCTAGTACCACCCTGCTCGGGGGTCAACCAGCGCTCCGGACGAAACTCGGCGGCGTCTTCACCCCATAATTGAGGGTCTGTGTTGATGGCCCAGATGGGTAAGGCAAAAATTGTGTTCTTGGGGATGTACTGTCCGGCCACTGTGGTGTTCTCCATAGCAACTCGAATGGTGGCAGGCACAGGGCTGTTTGTACGGAGAGCCTCGCTGCAGACAGCATTGAGATATGGAAGGCCGTCTACGTCAGTGCTTGCAATACCAGCTCCAGTACTCGGTGCATCGGGCGATGGCAAATTCTCGCGAATCTCCTTGCGAAGGCGATCTTGCACATCTGGGTGCTTGGCGAGTAAGTACAAGGCCCACACGAGCGAAGCAGCAGTGGTTTCGTGGCCCGCAGATAAGAAGGTCATCATTTGATCCACAAGTTCGTCATCAGAGAAGAGATTACCGCGGAGGGCAACGCTAAGAATATCAACGCCACTGTCCTCCTTGTTCGCAACCTTCTGCTGTTTGTCCGCAATTAGCTCGCGGCAGACACGGCGAAGGTGCTTTGTTGCCTTGGACACTCTCCAGACACGTGGAAGTGGCAGCCAACTGAAAATGAAGCCGGGGAGAAAGGCACGCAGACCAAGCAGGACGAAATCGCTGGGATCCGGGTTCAAGCAGTAGTAGCTCTGGGCAAGCGGGCTGTTGGGGTCTCTGACGGCGCCAAAGTCGATGCCAGTGGCGGCAAGACCAATGATGTCGAGTCCACTGCGGACGGACCAGGAGGAAATCTCCATGTCAGCGTAACCATCGGCATCCATGTTTTTGCGGTGCTCCTCCGTCATGGCAGATACAACCTCGACGGACTTGCTCCAGAAGAGAGGGTACAGATCCTTGATGTGTCTGAAAGAAAAGGCAGGCAACATGTTGCGTCTCTGCTTCTTGTGCTCATCACCTTCTGTGGTCAACAAGGCCCAGCCGATGATGAAGGCAAGGAATTCACGTGCAAAGTCAGGCTTCTCAAAGGTGTAACTGTTCTTGACGAGAATATCAGCCAGAGCCTGGGGAGAACGGACAATGATGATTTCCTGATTGCCGTGCCAGTGGAGGCGGAACAAGCCAGCGTCAGGGAGCTCTTTAAACCTATATCCACCAGCGATTAGCACTCACCCTTTTCATTTTTACTGCAAGGCGGCAACGACTTTAACTTACCATTGGCGGGACATGACTCCTGGGCCATAGATTCGCAAGTCTCGACCATGGCCAAGCAGAGGGATTCTGCCACTGGGCATAGGCAGATGTCGGAGCGGCGACACGAAGAAGGGGTAGATGAGGACTGAGTAAAAGGTAAAAGCAGCGGCCTGGGCTGCAAAAATGATTCCAAAGACGCTTGTGTAAATCACCCAAGGTGGCCACTCGCCAATCGGCAGCTGTGGTGGAAATGCTGCCACCTCAGCGGGCACCTGGACCTGGAACCATTTAAACAGGAACGCGCCTAGGAAGGCGACGACAGCGAAGTTGCGCAGCGGGATCAAACGAAGACTGGCCATGATGCGCAGAGGTGTTGTGATTGATTAGCTGTGTGTCGATTGATGAGATGGCGATAAACCATTTGATGTTAAGACATAGGGCCAAGTTATATGGGAAAGGGTACGGCTGGGCGGCTGCTGCAAGGCCACGAAAGTGTGGGGTTGGGCTCGCCTCGTTTTCCGTTTCCGTTCCAATCGTGCGTTAACCTTGGTGTTCCTCGGCAATGGCGCGCGGGGATCGGACCAACCATGTCACCCACCAACCACGCGCTTGGGAATGCGTTTGTTTTTCACATGAATGGCAGTGGCGACGGCGTCAGATTGCGGGGGTGGATGTGGTATGATGGCGGTTTTAATGGGATTTTATTCTGTTTTATTTTAATTTTTAATTCGAAAATAGAACGGGAAAAAGAACGAAGAGAGAACGCGCCCACTCCCCAAGATGAGTACCACCAATTTTAGATTTACTGTGCTATTAGATATTGACATTCTAGTAGTACAATGTATTCTATGTAGAATATAGAATGGAGGTGTTTTAATATTTGTTTTACTTGTTTTATTCTCTCTGTTTTTTTTTTCCAAACTTTTTTAGTGTCCAATAAATACTGAGCGCCGCGTAGGACACACAGCACCTGTTTTTGGCTGTAGGGTGGCCGTGTCGCACCCATCGTCTACGCAACTCCTACATAGCGACTTCACAAGCTATAAGGTGATTCTGTAGGATGACAGCTGACAGTAGGAGTAGTGACATACAAAGGAGCCGTACGATATAATTCTAACGATCCATACGGAGTAGAAACGGAGCGATATTATGCCGTTTCACAATGGTGACGTTAGACATCCGTGGGTTTGAACCTTGGGTATTCCATTAATACAATGGCTTGTGATTGGGGCCGCGGCAGATATTGGAGTAGAATATTGGAATTATATGATTCTCCCCTCATTTTTATTTATTTATTTAATATTTTTTCTTTCTTCCCCTCACTTACTTAATTCTGCCTCCAATTTTTTTTTATCACATGAGCCCATCTGAACTACTGTACCAGCACCACCAACACTGTTGTTAACGTACCCCCCACCGTTACTAACCCCCGCTACTGTTCAGTACGTACACTTAAGCTTTGACGACCCACTTGCACCCAACAAGCTGCGTTCCCAGTTGTCTTCTGCCGCCCGTGTGCAACCACTGTAAGCTGTTATTTTTTTAAGCTACCTTGCAGCACCAGTACAGCGCTCCTTAGCAGTCAAGAGCCGCACCTTGTTCAGCACCAACCAACAGCGCTTTGAACCACCAAGCGTGTGCGTGCGGGGCCACGCCACTCCAAACGCCCAATGACGTCTTGCGCTGCTGCGGTTGGCACCAAAAAGAGGCCTCACGCTTGGACAGGCAAAGCTCGGCGCTTAATCTGCGACGTTGGCTGCATGGGAAACTGGTCTTTATTTTTTTTTACATCCTTAATTTCGCGCTTTCAACATCATCGAAAAGTCTTTTGCCAATTTGCAGCAAACCAACCAACACAAGCCACTACTGCCAGCAAATAGCCCACCATGGCGGGCAGAGATAACGTGAGCTCCCCCGCATGCCATGCACACAATACAATCACAGCTAACCAACATCATCTCTTAGGACCCCAAGCTCCTCTTCTCTGTAGACGGCATCCACGCCTACCAGATCCAACACGGCTCCGAACAATGCATCACCACAGGCAGCCCCCAGAAGCTCTCGCTGCTCATGGTCCCGACTTCCTCTGGCTTCGCTGACCCAGGCAGTCTCGAGGCCAACGAAGAGCAGGACTTTTACCTACATCTCCATATCCCCGAGAGATTGGACCTGCCCATGCCTGCCACAACCAAGATCTACCATCAGCCTCCTACCAGCTACTTGATCCCCCGCTGGGATCTCGGCCCAGACAGCGGCGCATTCGTGCGCATCGAGTTCCCCCCGCTCAACAGCCGCCGTGGCCTCGCCGAGGAAATCGGCACATGGGAGACCATCCTCGCCCAGTGCACATCGTTCCTCGAGCGAACGCCAGCCCCTGTCGAGAAAGCTAGACCGTCGCCTCCCAAGGTCGCCGCGGCCGGCGGCGCCAGTGCCTCTGCTTCTGCAAAGGCCAGAGAGGCAGCTGGCGAGGCGCTTCCTCCGTATAACCCCGCAAGCTATGATCCCGGCGAGGGCTATGTCCAGGGAAGCCGCAGCTCTCACGCTGGTGGCCGCATTGTCCTAGTTGATGAAGAAGACGGCAGCGTTGTTGGCGAGCTCAGCGATGCGTACCAGGTTGTTGAAGATAGCGCTGTCAAGCCCGGCTCTAAGGGTATGTAGTCCTCCTGCCCCTTGCAGTCCATATGCTAACATATTCTTGTAGATCCTGTCGAAATCTCTCTGCCATCGGAAGGCGCCGCCCAAATCTCCGTCAAGCCCGTGTCCGACTACGACGAAGAAAACATGCACCCGGCCTACCGCCGCTCTACGCTCGTCAGCTCCGCCACCCGTGCGTCTCGCCTCATCGTCACCACGTCCGACTATGTCGGCAAGATGATCCAGAGCGGCGCCGAGAGCTTCAAGCAAAACACAAAGCCCAACGAAAAGCCCATGACCTTTGACCCCAGCACGCACGACCACATCCGCCGCATCAATACCTTTACCAGCTCCGCCGCTGGCCTCTCTGCCTCGACAGTCGGCGCCATCAGCAAGATGGCGCAGAACCTTGGCGCTGGTGTCTCGCGTCGCAAGGATGGCAAGGTCCGTGGTTACGACAAGGACGGAAATGTCGTCGAGAGCTACAAGCCTGGTGTTATGAACAAGAGCCTAATGGCCTTTAACACGGTTGTCGATGGCATCGAACAGGCTGGACGCAACTTGATGGATAGCACATCCTCGGGTGTCAGCACCGTCGTCGGCCACCGATGGGGTGATGAGGCCGGCCAGGTGTCAAAGAAGATTGGCGGTGGCTTCAAGAATGTCGGCTTGGTGTACATTGATGTCACTGGTGTGTCGCGCAGGGCTGTCCTCAAGAGTGTCGCAAAGGGCATGATTGTAGGTAAAGTCAAAGGTGGCGGCGAGGTTATTGTTGGAGGTAGCGGTGATATTAAGGCTACTAGTGCTACTGGTACTGCTGCTGGTGGATCGTCGGCATCTCTTCACTCAGTGGGAGTTGACAGCAAGCCTCATGATACATATGGTGACGGGGCTAGCATTGCGGGTAGCACCAAAAAGGGCTCTTCATGAGGATGATGCAAATGCATATATACTAGTATGAAAATTGGGGGCGGATATGGACTCGCTATGATTACAGAAAGGCGCATGTTAGATCACCATTGAGATATAATGATTGTATCCACTGATTAATCCGTGTTGTAATTGTCATATCGGCGATGGTGGGAGCTTTCGGTAGTAGAACTTTTGTAAATTGTTAGAGAGGCGTCCAAGTATTTCTATTCTAATTTTACACTGTCTATATAATTTCCAGTAGGGAGCGATTCGTTTCAGGTCGTTGCAAGTCTACAACCAGGTTACTGTAATCTCGCCATGTTGGCAACCATGTCAGCTGCCACGTCTCTGCCCGGCTTTGCGCGGATCTGATCACGAATCTCTCTAGACTTGGTACGAATTGCCAGAGTTTCGGGGCTGTTGTCACTCAGCTTGAGAATCGCGTCGCTCAGACATTCAGCATTGAAGTCGGGACTTTGCTCGCGGCAGCCCCATATTCCAAGACCAGTTTGCTCCGTAAGCTGCGCAAAATTGTACAGGTCGACCCAAGACGGCAGGATAATGAGAGGCACGCCGGATTCAATGCCTTCGTGGTAGCCGCCAGCTCCGCCATGGCTCACAAAGAGTGAAATATAGCCAGTTTCTAGCAGAGCTTGGGGGTCAACCTTCAACCAAGTTGAAACTCTGACGCGGCCAGTGTCGAGCAAAGGCTGTACCGCCGCTTCCCAGTCAAAGTTGGCTGCGGTTGCTGTTTTTGGCTCAATTCTGTACTTCCAGAGAACCTGAACATCTGCCTCTTTTATAACGCGGTCGATACCCTTGATGAACTCATTAGTCATGTTCACAGTGTAAGGATACACTGAGCCGAGATTGATGAGAACCGTTGGCTTCTGTGAAATCCACTGCACTAGTTCAGGGTCAATATCGACTGCTTTGGCAGACGAAATGCTAATCGGACCGGTACAGGTGACGTTTGCAGGGATAAAGTCGATTGGGGTAGAGGCATTCGGGGTCGTTTGCGTAATCCAGGGGACGTCATCTCGATAAGTTCCGGCCATGTCGAGGGCATTGGGCACTCCATTGGCCTCGAGCCAGGCCTTTTTCTCCCTAATTCCAGGTTGCATGACCATGCCATAGATTAATCTAAACATGAGATACATATTTTCGGGAATCTTGTGCCAGGGAACGGGGAATGCGAATCCAGAACCAAGACTACGCGATGCAGAGTTAGCAATAAAATAAACTAAGTCAAGCAGCAGCACGCAACTTACGCCGGGTACTTCCATAACATCTTGCCGTGCGGCTGTTGGGCCATGAAGGTGTCAACCACCGTGTTGGGAGAGATGATAATGTGCGACCAATGTCGTGAACGTACGGCTTCCATTGCTGGATGGAAAACCATGTCCAAGACGATGGTGGCCGGGTCTACCTTCTCGATGATGCCACCGATCTGGTGGTATATCGCCAGATGGTCCTCGGCGTCCCAAGGTGACATGACGTATTCAATCAACTGTGAGAGATGGTCCAGGCCAGGAACGCCAGGCGGCGAAATCAGCCTTTCCAATCCCTCTGAGCCATCTCGAAGGCCAACTTTTTCGAGCCTTTCGCGGAGCGCGGTCGTCAATGATTGACCGTCAAGGGCATGGAAAATGACGTCCCTGGCCAGGGGCTGGCGAGCCTTGCTGAGAGCTGAGACGCGAGAAAGCTTAGATTCAACGCTAGGGTACGATATGAAGTGCACCTGAATGTCGGGATGGCGTTCAAGCAGACCCTGCACTGTCGCAATGTGGATATTGGTCAGGCCATGGTGCTCGGAGCCGATAAATAGCACAGTATTGTTGTTGGACCCGTTGACGAGAGGCGGGATGGTGGTTTGTGGCTTGCTCAGTGGCCACGCATAGAGCGCCAGCACCGCCGCTAGCGCGGCTATGAAGATCGATATACGGACAAACATTGCTGCTCAATTTGGGCGCGGATGTTCTCCGTCGCGTGTGTACTGGGGATACCGAGTTAGAGGTGAGTGCTTTTGTGATATAAAAAAAGGGCTGAGTTGCTGCGCTATATACATAGCGTAGATCAGAACGGAGCCGTTCCAGCTCGGAGATTTTCCTTGCAAGGTCGCAGCTGAGCGGCTCGAATTACGACTGCCGGGAACCAGTAAGCGTTGGCCTTGCACCCATTGGGAGTCCAGGTAGTTGAGAAATGATCCCTACAACGTACCACAGCCCTGGGATAAATTATTGTTGGATTGGAATGTTCTTGCTTTTCCCATCTGGCTAACTACTGCTGAAGGTGCTATGCACAAGCTGCATCCAGCATGATCGCGCCGCCAATGCAGTTACATGTTTGTAAGGATAGTCTCTGAGAAGCCCCGCGTTTGGCAGTAATATAAGATAGACTTCTGCGGACGGGGGATGTAGATCAAGAGTTGCAGCGCAGTAGCCACCACTGTCTCTCAATAAAGACCATGCCGATGCTGCATCTTGCCAGGTGCTAGCCAATTGGCAGCTGCCCGCCAGCCGGCAACTGGCGACCAACTGGCAAAACAAGAGCGTGTCCCACTTAGCACAGCCTGGTTTTTGCATAGACGGGTTTGGCCTACTGCACAGCACACCATGCGTTAATGCAGGTGAAATAAAAGAGAAAAAGGTTTCTAGGAAAAATACTATTGGCAGCCCTCCCAAAAATATAGCACAAATTCTTTCGCCATTGCTCCCCGCCTGCTTTTCCTTTCGTCGCGCTTAGCAGGGGTTTTGTCGCGCCTGGCTACAGCCAAACTAAGCTTGAAGCTTGAGCTTGGACGCTAAGCGTCACTGCTCACACCACCAACACCACCCACCTCTCCGCCTCTTTCTGCTTCCCGCCCCCGCTCCTCCAAGCTTTCGTCGTCATCGCCACAAGGCAGCCAAAAAAGCTCGGCCGTAGTCCCTCCGCCTCTTGCCCCACCCGAAACTCAAGGACGCCTAAACACCGCCCCCTACAATCCTCCAACCTCAATCTATCCTCAAACCTCATCCCATCCCGCCCGACGCCCCCCTCGCGGATGTGGTGATAGTCTCTCTGCTATCGCCTCCCTCAAGCTCGGGTCTCCCAGCCATGCCTACCTTATTCAGGGTCAAGGCCCTCTTTGAATACACTTCCCCTCACGAGGATGACCTCAGCTTTCCCGTCGACCAAATTATCGCCGTTACCGAACAGGATGATGATGACTGGTACGGCGGTGAGTATCTAGACGACGACGGCGTCAAGCACGAAGGCATCTTCCCCAGAAACTTTGTCGAAAAGTACGAGCCCGCCGCCCCTCCTCGACCATCCCGCGCTCGAAACAGAAAATCCGATGTCCCTCAGCAAGAACCTGAACAAGAGCCGGCTCCAGTCCCCAAGGCCGTCTCTAAGCCTCCCCCGCCTCCGGCCGCCGAACCCGAACCTGTTCCCGAACCCGAAGAAGCTGCTGAGCCAGAGCCAGAGGAGGAAGATGAAGAGGAAGAGCCAGAAGCGGAGGAGCCCGCACCCGTACCAGTAGCTACCAGAGCTGTCCCTCCTCCTCCTCAGTCAACATCGCCAAAGGTTGTCCCTACACCCACACCCGCCCCTGCTGGGGCTAAGCCGAAGGCTGCTGCCCCGCCACCTGCTCCAGAGAAGCCTACTAGCAACTCCTTCAAGGATCGAATTGCTGCTTTCAATCGACCCGATGCTGCCCCCGTGGCGCCTTTCAAACCTGGTCGATTGACCGGAACAGATAGCTTTGTCAAGAAGCCATTTGTGCCTCCTCCACCAAGCAGAGACGCCTACGTTCCCGTCGTCAAGGAAAAGCCAGCTCCTAAGATTTACCGTCGCGAGGAAGATCCGGAAATCAGAAAGCAAGAGGATGAGAACTTGGCGCAGGCAGAGAAGGCTGGTCTTGTGCCGACTGAAGCTGGTAACCAAGGTGCTGCCGAGGAAGACGACGACCAGCCCAAGCCAACCAGCTTAAAGGAGCGCATTGCTCTCTTGCAAAAGCAGCAGCAAGAACAAGCTGCTCGACATGCCGAAGCCGCGGCCAAGAAGCCCAAGAAACCACCCGTCAAGAAGCGAGCCGAAGCTCCTCCAGTCCCTGCTGTCCCCACCGCCGATGAAGAGGCAGCTGGCCAAGCTTCGGAAGGTTCACCTTTGCAACGCACAACTACTGGTAGCACCATCGGTCGCGCATCTCTAGACGAGGCATTGCCTACTAGATCCGCGCCTCCACCTCGACCAAAGGCGGCCCGAGACATCGCCGAACCCGTTCATGACGGTAACGAGGCTGACATGTCTGGCGCTGGTGACACAACCGAAGGCCAGGATGACGTGTCGGAAAGAGAAGAGCAAGAAGAAGCCCAGAAGCCCTTGGCTAGAGTAACAACCGGCTCATCCGCGATTTCACAGCGACAATCTAGACCTCCGCCTCCAGCGGCACCACCTGCTGCACCTCCCGCCGAAGCCGAACAGGAGGCTGAAGAGGACGACGAACAAGGTGCAGAGGAGGAAGAAGAGGAGGAGGAAGTAGAAGAAGACGATGTTGATCCCGAAGTGCGAAGAAAGGAAGAGCTCCGCGCTCGCATGGCCAAAATGAGTGGTGGCATGGGTATGCATGGCATGTTCGGAGCGATCCCTCCCGTAGCTCCAGTTCCGAAGAAGAAAACTCCCAAGACAGAGCGAGCCCCAGTTGTGGAAGAGCAAGACGAACCAGAACCAGTAACTAGAGCCGCCCCACCAGTTCCTACACCTATGGCAATGGCTCTTCCTGGAATGGGTGCTCCCCCACGACCGCCTACTGGCGCCGCCGAAGACGAAGACGATGAAGATGACGAGCCGGCTAGCCGAGATGCCCCCAGAGCAGTTCCACCAGTGCCCCCAGTTCCCTCTCGCAGTACAAAGGATGCCGAGGACGACGAGGTTGAAGAAGAAGAGGCGCTTACACCAGTGGTCACTGGAACTACGGGTGCTCCTCCTCCAATCCCTTCCGCCCGACCAGCTCCTCCTCCGCCAGTTCCTGGTTCTGCCATCAAGTCCACCACAGAAGGATCTCAATCCGATGACGAGCTCTCTGGTGAGGCGCTGGAGCGTCGCGTGTCTGCCGCTACTAGATCTCCTCCCCTGCCTCCTCACTCTCCTACTATGCCTATGAAGTCGCCTCCTCTATCTCCCCGTCAAGATGACGGAGCCTCTAAGAGAAACAGCCGACCTCCACCCCCAATCCCTGGGGCTGCTGCCCCTCCTCCGCCTCCTCCGGCTTCTAGCAGACCACCACCCCCTCCACCACCTGGCGCACCTGACGAGGAAGAGGAGGAAGAATATGAGGGTGACTACGATACTGATATTGCCTCGTCTGTTCCCCACAAAGATGCTCTCAAGGCTCACGCAGGAGAATCAGATGCCGACGATACGACGCTCCAATCACCCGCGATCGAACAGCCCGCAGCAATGCCACCGCCTCTACCTCCAACCTCGCCGCCCCGTGCAGCTCCTCCGCCTCGCCCTCAAGCTGCAGCTCCGCCGAGACAGGCATCAGTTGAGCTCCCTCGTGCGGCCCCGCCTCCTCCTCCTCCTGGTCCTCCTACTGTGGAGGAGCCTCCTGCTGCTGCTGCCCCCCCTGTGCCCCAGAGCCCAGCAATGTTTGCCAGTCAAACGCCCACTATTGGAGAAGAGGGATACTTCCCTGGTCCCAGTCCTTCTCTCGGCCCATCAGAGCCCCGCCGGTCATCGACAATTGTATCAGGAGCTAGAGGCGCCCCGAGACAGTCTGGTGAGGTTGCACGCTCAAACACAACTCGCCGCTCTGTAGATGCCCACCGCCCACCAGCCGACTCTGGGTTCATAGCCAATGATATTGACTTGGCTCTGCACAGCGGCTGGTGGAAGCAGTCCAACCAGCTACCTCCGGCTCTCCAGGGCCGCCGCGACATATTTTTCGAATCAGAGGAGTCCACCACAACAAACCAAGGATCCAAGACGCAGGTAACTCGCGACATCTTTGTCCTGTACCAGGACTACTCTCAAACAATCCTGAAAGTGCACTACGACCCTTATGACCCCAACGATGTCGAGGTAGACCAACATCACGAACCGCCACCACGACCTCTGCGCCAGGACGAAATGGAGGAATTCTATGACCGATTCGGCCGTCAGCTCTCCGAAGCTGCCACCTCCAAGAAGGATTCTATTGTTGCTGACGGCACACCGATGGGTCTCGTCCTAGAGCTGCTGAAGCCCTTGAACGGCGCTCTGGCCCCCATTGGTACACGTGCGTTTGGTGCGCTCGTCTACGCCAACATGGCCAACGCCTCGACTCAGCAAAACGACGTGATCCGCCCTGGCGATATCATCTCGGTGCGCAATGCCAAATTCCAAGGAAAGCACGGCGCGATGCACGCCAAGTACACAGCGGAGGTTGGCAAGCCTGACCACGTAGGCATTGTAGCTGAATGGGACGGCACGAAGAAGAAGGTCCGCGTCTGGGAACAGGGTCGCGAGAATAAAAAGGTCAAGCAGGAGAGCTTCAAGCTAGATGACTTGCGCAGCGGCGAGGTCAAGATTTGGCGCGTAGTACCGCGCAGCTGGGTTGGATGGAACAGCCAGTCCTAGTGGAGCTGGATACGGGATCAGATGCCGGTGTCGATGTCGACAGACGAGTCGCCGCGGCTGAATGTGTGGATATCGCAGTACGGCGCGGATGGAAGCAGTGTGTGCGACAAGGCTGTGTGGTCGACATGATGTTTATGGCTGGCTTTTGAGTATACTCTTGTTCCTCTTCGCATTACCCGTTGTGTTTCTCTCTTTCTCCTTTCTTGTGTTTTAGAACGACGCTGCATTGCGGAGCATTTCTTCCCTTTTTTTTACACCACGGTCTTGAGCCGCCATGGACTAGACTAATAATATTACATGACGCTTGGTATTAACGAATGTTGACCTCCTTATCCGTGATTTGTCCTGTACATGTAAACGAGTAGACTAAGGCTATATTCATCATCATTCATGTTCTATCAAAGTATCATTAAGTATATGCTTCTTGTGTGCGTGTATGTTTTACATTTCCTCATCATCATAGCCATCGCGTGGCTCTGGTTCAGGCTGTCTACCAAACCAGCTACCAAAGTCTAGCTTCATCAGTAATCGATCCACGCCACCTAATCGGACAGGTCGATACGGCTCGCCAGGGCTCAGATCGTCTTCTTCCTGACGCACGAGATGCTCGCCCTCCCATTCTGCAAGAAACTCTGCGTCATTGGACAGCGCTTCGAGCGTCTCAATGACCACGCGTGTGAGATGCTTAATGTTGCGCTCGACAGTGCGGATATTGCTGAGGATATTGGCCTCTAGGGCCTCGCGGTCCGTGGATGAGTCTACTACACCTGCGTCGGTCTCGAGGTCAGCTGCGATAAAGACTTCGTGGAGGCTGCGGACGTGGTCGACTAGGAGATTGATCTGGCCAATGAGGGAGTGTAAATGGTTGATAAAGACGGGTTGTGTGAGGAGAAGACGGTGGCATAGAGTGCGGAGGTAGAGAGTGTGACCATTAGACAGGGTTTGTTGGTCGTGCGAAGGGGTCACGGTGGTCTGTGAGGGAGCAGGTTCAGAGTCGCCCATTTCTACATCGTCGAGTTGCGCTGTGCTGTGGCGAGATGCAGGGCGGAAAGGAAGCTCTGAGGATCGCGTGCTGGGCCGCGATGATGGCTTCTTCTTGGGCTTGTCGTCGCCGCCTAGCCATGTGCGGAAGCTCTGCCAGAGCCCTTCGACGATTTCGAGCTGAAAGTATGCTTCTGTCTCGCCGAGGAAGAACATGGCTGCGCTGGCTGTCGACCAGGTACTCCGGAGAGCATCGGCGCGGTAGGACCATCGCTCGCGCAGCTCGTAAGAGTAGTCTCCGGCGCCTTTGGGTGCGGGATGATGCCGACGGAGAGAGGTGAGTTTCCAGAGCTCAGCGAGGCGGATATGCGCTCGGCGCAGCGAGACAAGATACGAGTTGATGCACGAGTAGAGGTGGAGATCGGAGAGTGAGATGACCATGTCAATGGGAGAGGGGAGCTGGATGGATAGCGTGGCAGGCTGGTTGAACAGGTCCCTGCTAAAAGGCAGCGTGGCCAGCACTGCTGCTGCTTCTTCGCTAAGACCGATACCGGTAATTGGTGGTGTTGGTTCGGATTTGATGAGACGGAGCTGGAGAAGCTGGCGAGCTACATCCATTTCACTGTCTTCATCGGACTGTTGGCGCTGCATAGAGACAAGAGATGCCCATGCGCGTGTAAGAGTGGAGGATACCTCGCCGTCGCGCACGACGCCGCTGCTCATTGGGAACTCATTGGTGCGTTGTGATCGCTTGCGCATCGTCTCGTCGGCTTGCTGAGACAAAGCCATGGCGAATTCACCTCTTCCGAGAAGAAAGAAGCCGCGGAGCAGCTGCATCATGTCGACGACCTTTTTAGCTGGTAGAATAGCTTGTAGTGTCTTTTCGGATAGTGATTTGCGGACGCTGGCTATCGTTTTGGCGAGGCTTGCTGTGCTGACTGGTGATGTGAGTTGGCTGATTTCGTGGAGGTTGCTACTAATGCTCTCTATTTCGCCAAAGGATGTTTTGATGTCGGCTCGTCCGCGGATCTGGTTGATTGATTTGCCGATGAAGAGGATGGACGAGGCTGTTGCAGAGGTAGTAAACGACGGTAGTAAACGGGGGATAATGGCATATTCCTGGAACATTGTCAGTGTATATGCTGCTCATAAGCTGGTGAGTTGACATACCTGTTCATCATTTGTGCTTTGAATGAAAAAGTCTTCTCCGCCGACCACGGGGAGCTTTCCGTACAGAATCCAGGCAGATACTTGCCGCAACCATGTCATTTCGCCAGCCGTAACAAGTGTAAGAGCTGTATCTTTCACATCCTTATAACCACTCTGCAATTCTATACGCAAACGCTCCATTATCGTCGCGCCGGCGCAGAGCACGCCACCTGGCGCCGAGTTGGATGACATGTACTGGACCACCTCCCAAAGCCAGTCCATTCGCCGCGTCCACTGCTTAAACTCTCCCATGACGGCCGTCAGTGGTACAATATTATATGCCCCGACTAGATCGGGGTTCTCTTGTAGTATACTCTCTTCGACTTCGAGAACCTTGCGCTGGAACGCAGCCAGATGTGTCGACTTGATGGCTGTGGCCACTGCCCGGCAAATGGCAGAGGGGTGTGCATTGGCGATTCTCGCGGTATGCTTGATCAGTTTTATGTGAATATCGCTTAGATGGGCTGCAGATGCTAGCAGTTGTCGCTCGGGGGGCGATATGCCGGCAAGGGCGCTTGCATCGGGGGAAAGATCGGTTCGTAGGAGGGGGGAGGGGTGTCCAGAGAGGGACAGGAGGACTTCGTGGAGCATGGTTCGGGTGTGAGATGGCTGTGGGGGTTGTCAGCGGTCTATTTGACGCGTAGAAATGCAATAAGAACGGAGTAGATGTACGGTTTGCGGGAGAATCGGGCGCGGAGCAGCTTGTGGATGTGCTGGCAGCTAAGGATGAAGAGGCCGAGCAGCTCGAAGCGGCACATGTGACGGGGGTGTGCCGCCACTGGGCTATTGTTATGAAGGCAAAGTATGTGGCAGGAGCTGCGTGGGTGGAATTTGTAGAGCTGTGCTGGGAAAAGCGGCGTGGCGATTGTTTGATGTCGTAGGCGACGCGTCTATAAAATGTACGCCGCTAAGCACTTTGGGTTGTCGATGCGGCGTGGGATGTGTGCGGGGCATGTGGTGTAGCCTTTACAGCGCCAGCTGGCGCAGTTGGTGCCGGCTGGCAATGAACAACTGTACGGTGTGCCATTTTTGAATTTCCCATTAAAAAGACCATGCGCGCTTTTTCAAGTTAATTGTACATGGCCCTTAGACGATATCGAACTTAGCGGTCAATTGCATCCCGGGAAGCCCGTCTTCGGGTCCAACCCGGACCTAGTACTGAGGCTGAACTGATGGCGGCATGCTTACAAGGCACAGCATCTGAAAGATGTCGAAGCCTCGACATGTAACATCCTCACTTCACTATTACAACATATGATCAGCCACGGAGAGCGGTGCAGAACTGGCCATGGACCATTCAACGGTCGCGAATAACAGCCACTCTCTGATATGTGGTGGAATGCCTGCGACAGAAGACAGCGAAGTCTACCAGGACCCCTACGACGCCTTCGCTGTACTTTGAATACCACGGCGCGATGGCCTCGTCGGAAGCTGCCGTCCACACCGTTCCCATATCATGCTGGATCAGAGATCGAATATATTTGCTCGGCTGGTGAATTCGTGTGACTTGCAGTGGACAATAGGCGCAAGAGACACCGACGGTCTATAAAACATGAGGCTGACCTACCGCGTAAACAACTGACTTTGGAAGCTCTGCCTTATGAAGTGATAATAATGATCTTGGACCTACTACCTACATTTAAGGACATTATGAGTCTAGGAAGCAGCTGCACATATTTTGCACACCTCATGTTTACTCGGTACCACCCTCCGTCCACGGTTGGAATCTGGGCTGATCAGCCCATCACAACGAGAATTAGCGACTTTCGGCAGCTAGAGAGAATCTCATTAACAAATTTCTTTACTGGGCTACCAACCTTCGCCAATATGGATAATATGTGTAACTTATCCAAAGATAATTGGAATTTGGCCATGTACGACACGCTGTTTCGAGAAGGCGACTCTCGGTATCTACTGGCTAGCCACCCTGTTGGCGTTGAATGGGAGAGCTCGCGTTGTTCGCCGCACGACCAAGACGTCTGCGATTTGGAAGCCATGCTCTATCAAGCACATATACCCGATTTCCAAAGACTTGCAGGCAAGACGTGGTTTTTGCGCAACGAGACCAAGCAGGTGTACCTACGGCTTCGACTGTCGCAAAACTGGGGGTGGCAGCCAATCCCGCGCGTCGCTATCCATGGCTACGGCACAAAGGTGGCCTTTTGATCTAGGCCTCATTATGCTCACGCACAGCGGATTTCCAGGTGCCCAAGGAGCAGAAGAAACTGTTGGCAAATGGAGCAATGATTGCTTCGGCATTGTGCCCAGCACAGCTGCTCATCGCAGAACCTTGTGCCAGAGCGACTGGCGAGACGTAACAGACGAGACCATCATGGAAGAGCAAGAAGCATATGATACATTAGTACGACCATGGACATATAAGGATTTGTGGACTTCGTCTAGTCTCTCTCGTGGCAATTTTGCATTTGACTTGAAGCTGTGAGAGTATGAACATCGCCAGGCGCAGTGGATGAAAAGGCTCCCGAGCTTGGGCAAATGGATGCAAAAGGTGTTCAACTTTGTCAAGGCAACAGGAGTCCCGCGGCTGTTTTATAAATTGGCGGAATTCACATGGCTGTATGTCTTGATGGTGAGCTTTTTTTCTTGGCTATACCCAATATGTGCGGAGGCACCAGCGGTTGGAGCGCAGGCGGGACGAGCCGGCCGCCAATAGTGACAATGATAATATCGACGGTGGACAGAACGAGACAAACTAAATGAATATGCCATATTTGAACATATTTTTGTCATTCATGATAATAATAATAATAATCTACAAACTTTTCCTTTCCTTTTTTATTTATAAAACTCAACGAAGGAAACCCTTGGGGCCGCCCCAGGTGCCTTTGACCATGTGGTTCTTGTAGACCCATGGGAAAAAGTCCTTCTTGAGGTGGTAGAATGCGCGGCGGGGAACAGCCTGGTCGATGCCGAGCAGCTTGCCAAATGTCTCCTTGGGGATCAAGTCGTACTTGAACTCGGCGAGCAGGACCTTGCCGTACTCGGTGGTGAGCGGGCACGAAGCGTAGCCGTCGTACGCAGCAACAGCGTCCTTGCCCTCCGAGGCGCTCAGCAGGTTGGCTACGAGCACGGGAGTCTGGGCGGTAATGGCGGCGGCAGTCTTGGAGGTGGGCAAGCTAGAGGCATCGCCCAATGACCAGACATTGGCGTACTTCTGGTGGCGGAGAGTGGCCTTGTCGACATCCACAAGTCCAGCAGCGTCAGCGAGTGGGCTCTTGGCCACAAAGGCGTAAGGGCCCATCTTGGGCACAGCGTGGAGCAGACCAAACTGCTCTGTCAACTTGGAGCCGTCTGCTTTGGCAAAGATGGCCTTGTCGCCATCAATCTCGACCAGGTCGTGCTGGAAGAGGCCCTCGACGCCGCGCTCCTCGCGCAGCTGGTTGAGCTTCTCGCTGTACTTTTTGACGCCAAACATGACGGGCAGGCCAGTGGCAAAGCTGATCTGGATATCGGAGGGCGAGCTAGGGTTGTAGAGACCAGCCTTCTTCCAGTGGTCCAGGGCAAGCCAGAGGGCCTTTTGAGGGGCACCAGCGCACTTGATCATGCCGGCGGGCTGTGTGAAGATGGCCTTGCCCTTCTTGAACTGCTCGATGAGGCGGAACGTCTTGTCGCAAGTATCATAGCCGTAGATGGTGGTGACGGCCGAGGAAGGGTCGGCAAGGGCCTCAGGCAGACCCTTGATGGCATCATACTTGATCTGGATACCAGGACTGACAATGAGGTGCTCGTAGTTCAATGTGCGACCGTCGCTCAGCTGGACAGAGTTGTTGTCGGGAGAAAAGGTCTCGACGCCGTTGTTGTAGAACTTGAGCTTGGAGTCGACCAGCTCGGGCAGCGACATCTTGAGGTCGTCCTTGTTCTTCAGGCCGCCACCAACAAGCGTCCAGCCGGGCTGGTAGTGGTGAAAGGCCGCGGGGTCAACAACAGCAATGTCATCTTGTGTGTACTTGCCAGAGCGCAGCAATTGGTGGCTGACGCTGAGACCGCCGGCTCCTCCGCCGACAACGACGACCTTGTGGCTCGACGAGGCGGACGAGACTGTGGCGAGGGTTCTGGTGGCAGAAGAGGAGAAGAGAGCAGCGGCAGGTTGGGCACGTGCCGCCGACTTTGCGACGATTCGGAGAACCATTGTGTTTGTGAGGGTGTATGTGTGTTATCGGCCGAGTTCGGAGCGCAGAAGAAAAAGGACGAAGACGAGGGTATCAAAGGGACAAGAAAAAGAGAAAATCACGGTTTAAAAATAAAAGGAGGACAAAAAGATGAGATGAAAAGAGACGCCTGAGAAAAAAACAGACCACTTTTGCATTTATAAGTTTCCCTTGCTGCACGAACCCACCAAGCCATCGAGCACGTCAACGCTAAGCAAATCTACGCCTTGCAAAGAGTGGATCATCCGCACCCGTGGCGTTGCGAAGAAGCCGGAATATCGCGCGGGCAAAGTGGGCGGGCCGTCGGTCGGTTGGTCGGGTAATTGTTTTAATAATATTTGTTTGAAATTCCAATGCTTTGAAATAAATAGTGTTTTAAGAAGTGACGGTGTTTTACGGTGTATGTATATGTATGTGTATAACTTACACAAACATATAAAGCGTGTCTATGTCTATGTCTATGTGCCAAGATGTGATAGTTTGGTATTCGGGGTTTGTACTGGAAAGAGTACACACAGTATTTAACTTCGTCCAAGTTACTACAGGGCAGCATGCGGATGCTCCTTGTAAAACTCGGCAACCCACTGGCGAAAGTGCCCGCGAGTAGCATCAAAGATGTGCTTGCCCTCTACAGTATCCGCGTTTGCGGTAATATAGTCGTTGCAGTGCCCAGCATTCTTGAAAACGTACACGGGAACCTCGGGTGTGCTCTGCAGAGCACCCCCAGGACGCCCATCCCACGAAACAGTAGCCGCTTTCCACGGGTCAAACTCGCCATTGATCCAGACAAGCCGAGTAGTGTTGACGTTGCGCCAGCCGCCGGTGCGCTTGTTCACCTCGTGGTACGTGTGGCCCTTCTTGAGGCCGTACTGGAACCCGTTGGTGTCGGGATACTGGCCCTCGCATCGAGACGCAATGTCATCCTGCCATGTCCAAAGCTTGGAGAGAAAGCCCGTAGTGTCAAGGCGGCTCCATGACTGCCACCACTCAAATCTAGAGACCCAAATGGTCAGATTACAACTTCGCAGTGTGGGTAGTGTAGTGTACTTACGGCTCGTTGCAAAGCATCCAGTCAAACGGGTTCCTATACCTAGCAATAAACTCGGTAGACGGCAGCAGCTCCTTCACACGACTATCGAGGCTTGAGCTGGTGAGGTTGTCGCCAGGCGGGTGTCCGCCATACAGCCTTTGGAAGCCATCGAGTGCTCGGTCGAGACCAACACCGTCAGAGCCGGGCATGGGCACATAATGTTCTGGTTGTTGGTTCTATATTTTTGTCAGCCATGAAATCTAAATATACAATCACTGGTTCAACGGAGCGGGGGATAGGAACACACCTCCAGGTAATCACATAGAAAAGTCAAAGCACTAGTCTTGCTAGACACCTGCTGATTCTGCTGAGCCGACAGCGGGCCCAAGACGAAACCAGTGACAAAATCCTGGTCAGAGGCGCCGTCCGCGCTAAACCGTCTCTTAAGAGCGGCCTTGTACGTCTCGGTGCCATGCAGCAGGACATCGTCGACATGCTTGACAACGCGCTGGAAATCAGCAGAGCAGTTTGGCGGCATGGCATTCTTAATCGGCACATAGTATTCCCAGAACTGCTCCCGCGTCTCAACGACCGCACTACCGGCCTCGTACGCCCAAAAGGTCCCTGGTGCAAGAGCCTGTGTCCAAGCAGCAAGGGCACCAGCATACGAGCAGCCGGCCAGTAGCCAAGGCGCCTGGTCAGGTTTCGTAGCAGTGCCGTTTGTCTTGTCAAAAGGGAAGACCACATTCTTTGCAAAGTATACAAGGTCCTGGATGGCATTATCAAGAGTCATTTGCTGCAGGGTCTCGGCGTTGAGCGTCTTGTTTCCGAAGGGCATGCTGTCGCCATAGTAGCGGTGCTCAATGGTGATGTATGCCGCGGCGTTGTCTTGCGCAAGTAGACCAGGTAGCGTGTGGTTATCCATGCCGTCTATTTGGCCATATGGCTTTGGGAATTCACCAGGGGACTCGAGCATGATGGGCGAGTGTGGGCCGCCGTAGTGATCAATGTTCCACCAGTAGCGCTGCTTGAAGGTGCCAAGAGATGGATTGGAGTGGTCAATTAGCTGGTCAAAGTGTCCAAGAGTGCCTAGGCCTTGTGTGGTATTGCCTGGGTCGGCTGCGCGGAAGGCATCACGGGCCGGGCTGCTTGGTCGGTGGTAGGCGTTGGCTGTAAAGGCCAGCGCTGCAGCAAGGAGAAGCAAACGCATGATGTAAGCGAAAAATATGTCAAGAGGCCTTGCGGAGAGAGAAATTAGAGGGGAATTGGACGAATTGTTAGTTTATATAATTAAATATGATCGTATCGCAGCCTGATTGAGCATTAGCAGCGGCGCATTACACCCGGCTTGTAGATGGGGACCAGGCTGAGAATACGAGTTCAGGCAGTGCATCTCCATTCGCTGCCGTATGAAATATTTTTTATATAGCAGTCCCCTTTTTAGCATTGTAAGAACAAGTCTCGTATTATGAATTGGTTTGAATAATTGCCATGTAGATTAAACTATTCTATCTAGTACCCGTTCATACTCTATTCCATCTACACTCTAGATGTTGCAAATACCCTGGCCACGGACCCAAGCAGCGGGAGAGTAGTTCCAGTCGGCTATAAATGGTTAGATTTTGTCTTATAGAACAAGGACCGCTTATAGATACTCACCAGGGATAGTATCGATGTGCTGAAGGTTCTGGTTAGACCAGAAGTAGTAGTCATTGGTTCGGAAGTCGGACACAGAGTTAGGAGGGCACGTGTTCTTAAATTGCGTGTAGCGATCATCGTGCATTGAGTGGTGCCATTTCGAGACGAATACACGAGCATGGTTCTGATACTTTTGACCAAGTTTGAGTTGATCGCTTTGGTTGCTGTGATGGCGTTGTTAGCATCGTCGTTGGTGGTTCTAAGCGTGCGGGCGTGGACTTACTCAAAGGTGTTTTGGATGTCGCCCCACTGCTTGGATGGGTGGTGTCCATCTTGCTCAAAAATCATTCTGTTTCTGTAAAAAGTTTGACCATTGTCATTGGAGCCCCAGACAACAATGACCCATTCGATATCGTGTCTGTGGCCGGTATCTTTGGTGAAGTAGACGTTGTAAGCGGTACGGAACTCAGTAGTGCTGCAGCGCTTGTGATCATAGTATGTGGGGAAAGACCACAGAGGAGTGTCGGCTCCAGTCCAGTTGGGCTGCGAAGGGCAGTTGTGGTTCAACTTGTGAATGTTGCAGTTATCCTGAGCATTGCCAGGATTCTGGGCGCCGTTGACCTTGGCCTCGCTGGGAAGACAAGTGCCAGTGGGCAAGTTCCACTGACTATCACCATATAATTATGGTTAGCGATATAAGTTATAGTATAGTTTGAAGTAAAAACTCACGGAGCAGCCCATAAAGCAGGCTGCAAGGGGTCACCGGTCATGAAACTGACGGGATGGTTGGTGTTGGCATCAACAACCGCTGCAAGAGCGGCAAGACCGAGGGTTTGGAAACGCATTATGGACTAAAGTAGCAAGCGTACGAAGAGTAAGGAGACAGCGTTTGAGATGCTTGATCAATTCGTCTTGGCAGAGGAGATTGGCCGGGTTTTATACTAGGATAACCAACCACCAGAATACATATCTGGATATGGGGCTGCATGCGCTCCTCTGATTGGAGGTAAATTCGTAAGAGCCTCACAGGGTCTACATTTTACTATGTGGAGTTTTGCATGGCTCATAAGCGAGATGAATTTACCTGGTTGGATAGCTGTAACTACTCTATGGGAGGTGAAAAGGGTCTTTTTTTGCGACGTCTTCACCCCTTTATCAGCCTGCAGTCACAGTAAAAGCGAATTAGCGCCGCGGAAATATTGGGCCCAGTCGCTCAACCTTCTCCATTGGGCCAGTCAGTAGGCAAGTTCCGCAACTAGTGCTCACTGGCGTCATCCAGCTGACAGGGGAACTTTGCCCAATGGTTTGCAAAACCAGCCGACCGTTAATTGTAGCTGCCTAGTGGCTTGCACTGAGATGGTAAATTTCCCCCCAATGAGATGCCAGAATTAATCCAGCCTTATCGGTCTACTCCGGCTACTTCAACATTTGTATAGGGCTGAATGCATGATCGGGAGCCGCTTCGGACCTTTTTGGAATAAGTCTCCATGCAGTAAAAGCCACAGAAAAGCTCTTCTTTGAACGAACTGGAAGAGCGTATCAAGAATATCTCCTAGGGTTTGCGAGATGGTCATCTGGGTTGCCCTCTAAGAATGGAGAACGGTTTTCGCAATGTAATTGCACGACTTGTCAAAAAAGGGAGTCGTTCATATACATCCTGCCAGTATATACACAGACTCGCTACTGATCTCTACTTCTTCGTGTTGACTTGGGGCAATTAATTAACCAGCTACAGAGATTCGCGTTCCATTGTACAAAACCTACAGTAGGGTAACCTCACTGACCCGACCTCTGCAAATTAATCCGCGGCATCTTCTCTGACGCGATAAGTGAAGCGTATTCGCATGTTGTAATGTTACTACCCAAGATTTCGTCTGAAGTGCCAAGTTAATACATAATAACACCACTGGAGGTCGGGAACCTAATACATGATTGGTAATTCTTGCCAGCTCTATAATAACTTTGTATCTAAAATACGCAACTCCACGGCCATAGTACATAAATCCATTATTATCAGCCAAAGTCGCAAGATTGACTAGTATTCTCCCACTTTAGATGTGCATAGCGGCAAAGGCACCCAGTCCAGCAACAAGAAAGGGCATACCCATAAACATCCACTTGTTGGGCTTGTCGACCGGCGCATGACCCTTCTTGCTGCTATCCTGCTTGTTGCCACTGTCTTTGTTACCGCCATTCTTGTTGCCGCCGTCCTTTGTGGAGTCACCCTTGGCGTGAATAAGGTACAGCATAGGATAGGCATCCCTAACAACGTAGTCCAAACGCTTTGTAGCAGTGACCAACTCGCTAATGGGAACCTCAGTGGTTTTGAGCATAGTCAGAATGGTTGCAGTGATAGTCTCAGTTGAACTAGGGCCTACGGCTGTAAGCGTACCCAAAGACGTGCCGCCCCACGAGTAGTCACAGGCGGTGCTGTACGAGTAGGAGCTCAGCGGGCCCATGGTAGATAGACAGCGACCCGCGGTGGCAGCCGGACGGTAACCGCTACAGAGTAGTTAGTAAGGGCTGGGGTAAAGATTGCATCCGGCATGTCTCGTACCTGGGGCAGCAGATGACCATGGTCTCGTCGGGGCCCAAGAGGAAGTCCACCTTGGCGTTCCAGAACGCCAGCGTGCTGGTTGGCTCGCCGCCGTTATCAAAATACCCAAAGCCGTCCGAGGTGAAGGCTCCGGATCCCGGGGTGCTCGCAGCTTTGGCTCCGACGGTGGTCCAGCCGGAGGGGCAGTCATACGCGGGCGAGTAGTACGGGCTGATGGGTGCAAGTCCGACTTCGTTCTTGATCAGCTCAGCGCGTTCATTGGGCAGCGGTAAACAGCCGTCTCGAGCCGAGTAGTTGCAAGAAATCTCAAATGCGTCTCCAGCCACGTTGAACTCCGGCGGAACGTCCTTCACGAGGCCGACAACCGCGGGTTGAGGCGTGGCGCAGGTCGCAGGCGCTGTGAATGTCGTCGTGAGCGGGCCGACGTTGACCCAAGTCTCGATGCCGAAGACTGATTTTGTGGGCATCTTGAACCAAAGACGTTGAGCGAAGATCCTGGCAGGGCGGTTTTGGCGCAGGTCGAAGAGCAGTGGTGGCGGTAGCGACAGGACAAGCGGTTGACTCGCTTTTATATTAGTTGGCGAGTCTCTGCAGCAGTAACTGAAGGTGGACAACAGTCATCTATTATAAATAGAAAAAAAAATAGATTATTTCCCTCACACTTCGCTACGCCGGGCCCCATTCCGCAGTTCCACGCCGCAGCCTTGCCTGAAGCGCCACGAGCTAAATTATAGGCTCCCAACCTTTGGTGCCTAGATGGATACCAATATTGGCGAAGGAGACCCTCTTATAGGCTGGTTGGACAAGTTTAATGGGGCCAACCTTCTTATATAAGTTAAAAGGTAATGAAGGCGCGCCATCTGTGGGCCACTAGAGGATCAGATAAGATTTTTCGTATTTATGCCACCCACTTGTATTTGCACCGCGTCGTGTTGCTGCATTGACGGAGCTGCATAGCTATTACAGGGTACTTGCTGCGATAGTTGGGAGAGATCAGGCAATATCTGACAAAGATTCTGGCCTAGTGAAGCATCTGGATATGGTGTCAGGGACTCTATTTGAGTCAGCAGTCAGAGACCACGACAGGACAGTGGAAGACGCAATCACAATGATTATGAACAGTACTTCGTTGCCGGATCATTGCAACAGTCAAGCTTGCAGCATCCCAAAAACTGCTCGAAGCGACATAGTTTCCACAAAGAGGATTAGAAGCTTGAATTACAGAACTCGCTTTTGTCTTGCGCTTCAACGGACTACGGGTTCAGCGAGGCCTGCACGGACAAGACCACAAAACGATGATCTCTAAACGAAACATGACTAACAACATACCTTTCACTACATGAACTTGAACTCTAATTTTCATTAATGTATTAATGTTCCATTCTACTGGTTGTCAAGCTTCTGTCGCGTGTAGGTCGGGCATGGCCTATAGGGTAGCCTGCTCGAAGCTTCCGGGTAACTGGGTCGTATGACACTTTGCATGTGTATCACCATATTATTGTGTTGAACTTCTATATGGCTCCATTGCTGTCCTTTGTGGTGATGACACTGAAAGTCGGCGCAACCCAGACACGCCGAGCGCCCCGAACGCCTGCCCCGCACGCCCCGAAACACTCTGGACCGTCGTGTTGAAAGCAGAGTACTGTATTAGTGGATTTGTCCCTGTCTCTCCGCTCTATTAATGCTAGCTCGAATATCCGCAAAACTGGTGAATTCTTTCGCGACTACCACTGCATTGGAGAGTCGCCAGAAAACGTTGTGGACATGTTCCCTCCTCATACATTGACCGGAAATGACATTTACGAGTGTATTTAATAGTAGCAATATAAATAAAGACCTATTGACTTTTGGATATGCCTCCCCAGAGAATATTCTGCATTTCCGCATATGGTGAGGATTCTGCGGTGCTGCTGGTGCTAGCATCTTGCGTCTTGGAGCTACTAGTGAGCAAAGTAAGCGCCTCGACTGCTCTGGCAACCGGTGCTGAAACCTCCGACATGTGAGTTGCCTCCATATTCCCCATGACGGTTATGAGGCTGTTGATCATTTGAAGAACTATTGTATTGCGACCAGGCACTTTCATAATAGCAAGAAGAAGGGCCGAGCTCAAGGCGCGATGGACGGCCGCCCATGATGTGCGTGCAAAAGCAGTCAGATTCTGCAGATTTAGAAATGCATCGAGCGTCTCAGTAAGTGCTTCTAGGCAGAGCGCTGCGTACTGATCCTTGCCATGGATGCCGCCTTGGTGCTTTGCTAGCGAGGGGCGTAGTAGCTCAGACAAAACATAGGAGCGGTGCATACGCCAGTTCCAATGTTCCAAGATCTGCACCACGGATACACAGGCAGTTGTCTTTTGTAGGTGAGGCTGCATTCTATTCCCGATGGAGAGAATTTCCTGTCTACGTGTATCAATCTGCGACAGGAGCTGCTGGTTCGATGCAACGCTTGCTCTGCTGTTTACAATGTCGAGAGCAATGCGGCAGAGGGTCAGCATACTTTCAGTATAGCTCAGTTCTTCATTCCTCGTCGGACCAGCTGATCCCCACTGGCTTATGGAGTTAATCGAAGACGCTCTATCATATGTAATGGACAACAAACTGTCCTGCCAAATGATACGAGACCTTGTGTACTGGTCAGCACATAGCTACACTATCTGCAAAACCAAATACACCAATACTAAGGACCTACCAGATTTGGTAGCGCAAGTCTGCATCATACTGCGACGACATTGACACGCTATTATAATGTAAACCGAGCCCCTGAGCGATACGTGTGGTCAAGCCTAGTATTCGGAATTAGCACAGTACGATATATCTTACACATGGTAGGCTAGTTCAATAGTTACCTAGTAGTGTCCAGGCCACGCCAGCATTCATATTGTTGGATATTACGTTTCCTAGAACTAGTAGATTTTGGATGTCCTCAAGGTTTGAGTTTGACAAGTAATTTATCAGACGCAAGCACTCATACGCACAGCAGACTGCAGATTGTAAGTTTCTGAGGCGAAACGTAGACAGAGAGACTATGAAAACTCACCAAAAACTTGTGATGTAAGCTGGCGCTGCTTCCTTTCCATGTTGGAGCATTGGCAGCCAGATGCCATGCAAGCGAAGAAGAGGCCAAGCCAGTGGAGGCTCTGCCCGTACAGTCTCATACCGTCCGGCGACAAGGCGTCCTGCTGCTTTGCTCGCGTTGTAAAAAATGAGGTGACTTGAGCCTCGAACTGCTCCAACCGTATTATTGCGGGGAAAAGCACATGGGCATTGTCCTTGTACTGTCTAAGGAAGCTCAAGGCTTCTGCGTCTGTGGGGATCAAGGTGCACAGCCGCTGAGCCCTTTCCGAAGTCCCACAAGATGAATCCCATATATCGATGAATGGGTATGTTAAGGTTTCATTTTCCAGTGCAAAAATAGGCAGCATTTTGCGACTAATGAGGCTCTGGATATCTCTAGACTCGTCCGAGTTGGCAAGCGCCGCCGCCATGGCAGGCACCGAGTTCGCGCCGAGAAAGACACTCTCGCCCGTCATGGGGTTCTTGGCGTGTATGGCGCTGTATGGTTCGGTCGAGCTACTCTCGTCATCACGAGGTAGAGGTGAAGGAGCATTAACTAGAGACACGGCTGGGTCACCCCGGAGAGCTAGCGAGGTCTCGAGCTGGTCTACTCGACTTACGAGGCTATGCCACTCTTCTTTAGAAGGCGGCCAGGCTCCCAGTGTCCTCGACGGGCTTGCAGGTGGCGCTGACTGGTGAGAGTTGGAGTGTCGTTCAAACAAGACGCGTCTGATCGGCGGGCGATATATGCAGAGCTCCGGATACTCATGATCAATGCATGCTTGGCACGGCGACTGGTAGCTGCAGCGGACCTTTCGATGCCGGCAGGGATTGCATGCTGTTTGACCCGTTGCAAATGCTATACGTTTACGTCTTGCGCTATCCATGTTGACTGCTTGGTGGAGATGAACTCTTGTCTAGGCCTGAGCACTATGAGTAATGTGATGATAAAATGAAAATGGGCGTCGCGCGCCTGCGCCACCCCGTTACAGTAACGATGCCACTGCACACAGTTCAGCACGGGGTACTACAATTGTCGAATTTACCCGCGAGGCTACAATATTTGCATACGAATATATACATGTATATTATACGGTAACTGTACCAAATCAGTATATGTCTCTAGGAGATCAGGAACACTAGTGTCTGCTAAATTATACCGTTTCCCAGGTAAGCCACTCATTAATATTCATTACCGAGTATCTGATCCCGCCGACGTGGCGGTACCATGCCACCACGGTGGCGTGTTAGTAACGCGATACAATGCACCGTAGTTAGCGGTATTAACTTTGCAATATATACATTTCCTACTATAAAGCGGCACGTTTAGACCATTTGCCACAATACACAATATCACAGGCCAAACCTCTCACCCACTCTTCACAATGGCCACGCTTCATCACCTATCGTATCCGTATCATATCTCCCTTGTCAACGATCCGTCTTTGCTGCATGCCCTTTACAAACCATTCTATCATGTTAGCTCGCACTATCCTGGACATCGCGGTATCTCAGCACCACGATGCGACGTAACTGAAACCGAGACAAGCTATCATTTGGATTGCGAGCTATCGGGTGTCGCAGACAAGGGTGCCATCCATGTAACTTGGCTCGCGAACAATGTCCTTGTTATCCATGGAAGTATCGTTATTGCCGGTGGTGGCACCAGCGATATTGCCTCTGCTTCTACCACAGAATCTAACGCCAACGACGAACATATGCCCGAACACCAAATGAAGCTCTTTCCCCGGCTTCTTGTGCATGAAAGATGCATTGGCCCTTTTCAGCGATCGTTCTCGTTCGCAGATAAAATCGACAAGGAGGCTATGACATTCTCATTGCAGAACGGCCTATTGCGCATAAATGTACCCAAGGCTATCTTCCAAGACACGACAAACAGAGTATTCGTGCAATCCAGCACTGGGTAGTTTACAGTCGAACTGCGAGGCCATAAAGTTAAAATTGTCATGTATCGTTTAGGTGAATATTATATTATTAGTTATGTATTTTTTGAAGCTCTAATTTTCAATCGACCTGGAAAGCGAATAGCGTAGAACCATTCGTGTTTTATTATGCTCTTCATTCGCCAAGGCATAGCCACACAGGAGTCATTCGAGTGCGGATTCTAGTATGAAGATCTAAAAGGCAAGACATCGAAACTGGGTAAGTCTCTTGTATTTCCCCTCACTTCACCATCAACTCACCGGAATATGCGCATCTTCGCTGAGTGACTCTCGCCAGGTATACAACATCCTGTTAGACTCTGGTAGTCATCCCGGCTATAAATTCAACATTAAGTCTACCATAATTTCGAGCGATAAACAGCTATACCTCTGGAAGTGACCACTATAAGTATCTCTCATGACAACCCTTAGGCCACTACGATAGTCTAGACACTGCTAAGCGCCCACATGATTACACGCATTATCTACAATGAGGCTAGATTCAAGATTGCTCTATTATCTACTTCTATCCCTTCTTAACCACAAACGTCGCCATAGTGTCGGCCGTTTGCCTTGGAAACGCATCGCCCCCAAGGTTATTAGCTCCTTTGTACAGTCATCTCGGTGAATGTCACATTGGATAAGAACTGGTCCAGCACTATAAGCTTTTGAATCTTGAAGTGCCCTGGAAAACATCTTCATGGTCGTGACTCTCATACCTAAGGCGACACCATCGCTGGAGTTTGCGTGCGGAGAGTTAAAGGCCATTACCAATTGCGCATAGTCCCAATTTTGTATGGTATTGTATGACCGTCGTGTATCTCTCTTTCAATCGTGTAGCCCTGGTTGTTCATTAATATTAGAATTATTGGTAGACGGTACCTGACCATTTGCGATATCTCCTGGCAAGTTACCTGAAAGGCGCCGTCCCCTACCATGACAACTACCTTTTTCGTCGGCTGTGCAAAGGAATATCCAACTGACGCCGGGATGGGCCAACCAATATGCCCCCATGGCATCTCTACTTCAAAGGTGGCCCCCGGTGGGAGCTGCAGCTGAATGCAGTTAAACCACGAATCACCAGTGTCGGCAAACAAGGCTGTGTTGCCTTCCAACAGCTGGTGCAAGCTGTGAACGACATGATCGCGTGTTAGCTTGGCATCATCGTCACAGAGGCAAGGTGATATGTTCTTCATGGTAGCCTCAGCAGAGCACAAGCGACGATATTCAACCAGAGATCTATCGTTTTTGGAGGCTGCACTAGACAATTCATCCAGGAATGTACCCAGGTCGACTTGGCTGAAGAAGGTCCCTCCACAGGTCACATGTTCTGAAGCAACTGCTATCTCTGGTTTAGAGCACGATGTGTCTATCCACCACGGAGCTGTAGTCGCTGCAGATGGTGCCGATACAAAGCAGTGTATCTGACCAACTTACTATGACATCGGCGTGGCAGGTACTCACTTGACCCCAAAGAATGCCGGCAAACTGTAGGTGCATCTCTGGAAATATTCCTTTCGCTGATGGTTGAACTACCACTGCCCTAATGCTTCAGCTAACTGTACAAGGCGGTAAGCCATAGTATTGCCGTTGCTGAAGCGCTTCAACTCTGGGCCGAGTACAATCGTTGTTTTCTCCTTAGTGTCGAGGAAGCTACAAACGCTGACTGCAGCTGCCAGTGTTGTCTCATTGTAGCTGGTGCCGGGGGCGGGGCAAGGTTCGCAAAAGTCAGGGCGGGTACATTTCTCGTCGGCCAAGTTGACAGCCAATTCGATATAAACTGGCCGCCGCTGCCGTAACGCCTCACGTATGGCGGTATCAATAAGACGTGGGGCTGAAGCGGCGCTGGTAATGGAGACGGCATAACAAGTTAACCTTTTAGCTATCTCCAGTTGAAATGTCGAGTCGCCATTTCCCAATGTATGGTGTAAGACATTCCGTCTCGCAGTATCATTGGTATTTGGACATCCGCTGATTAGAATAATAGGGAGCCTCTCGGCATAGCTACTAGCGACTCCGTTGAAAGCTGACAGAGCGCCGACATCGTATGTAACAACGCAAGCGGCCGCTCCGAGTCCGCGACTGTAACCTTCTGCGACGAACGAGCAATTCAGTTCATTGGTGCAGCTAATGCCCATCAAATTTGAATTTGCTGCAAGTTTGTCCAATAGTGTTAAATTATAATCCCCAGGGACCATGAAGTAGTGATAAATGCCGATTTGCACGAGTTGTGCGGCAAGATAGTCACCAACTGTGAATGAAGTCATACTTCGTAGTATGAGCGCCAAGACAAGACAGAACTTAAATGTCAGGATGAATAAATGAGCAATGCAGTTAGTGGAGTGTTGAAGGTACATGGCTCAGTGGGCGACAGACTGGTATATATTAAAACACTTCGCCTTTGCAACAGCGGTCGTGCATATGCGTGGGCACGTTAGCAATTTACCATATATGGGGCTACACCGTGTAAGCCGCACACTACAGAGTTAATGGTCACACCACTCTGGCGTGATGGTTCTGTAACTGCGACTTCACGAATTATATGTTGATATTCAAAGTATAGTGGCTCGCTCATGGCCTGATTGTGGCAGGTCCTACAGTGCAGCAAGCGACAGCGATCTACCGAGAGCTCAAGAGCAGCACCCAGTATATTTATGTACGCGATCCCTTCTCATACAGAGCGTTTTGTAACCAAAAAGCCACCTAGCAGTTTTTCATTAAAAAGACAGTCACCAGAATGGTCAATGGTTATATCCCTGCGGAGCAATGGGCTCAAGTTATTGAAGTTCTTGGTCGCCGTATGTATTCCTGCGCATAGACCCAGAAGTAAATCGAATAAGATTGGCTCAAACGCTAACTTAATGGTTGACTTATACACTTGTAGCTCCAGTATACAAGAGGATTCCAGTACCTATTCCTGCTAGAGATGAGGCCTTGGTAAATGTGCTCTACTCTGGAGTTTGCCATACCGATTTGCACGCGATGAGGGACGACTGGCCGTTGGAGCATAAGATGCCGCTAGTCGGTGGCCATGAGGGCGTCGGCGTTGTTGTAGCTCAGGGGAATCTTACAGACGCTGTGAAAATAGGCGACCGCGTCGGTATCAAGTGGCTGAATGGAACCTGTCTAAGATGCTCATTTTGCCTCAGTGGCAATGAGCCGCTGTGCGAAGAAGCGCTACTGTCAGGTTATAGCGTCGACGGCACATTCCAGCAATACTGTACAGCAAAAGCGTCACACTTAACACTACTTCCAGAAGACTGCGACCCAGCTGCAATAGCCCCTATCCTCTGCGCTGGCGTCACCGTTTATAAAGGCTTGAAGGAGTCTGGTGCCCGACCCGGCCAATATGTCGCCATTATCGGTGCCGCAGGGGGTCTAGGAAGCATGGCGATTCAATTTGCCCGAGCCATGGGCTTACAAGTGATCGCGGTTGATCGTGGAGGGGACAAGGAGGAAATTTGCAAGTCCTTGGGCGCCAAGATCTATGTGAACTATGAGACCAGCGAAGACCTCGGGAAGGACGTTCGACAAGCGATCGCAGACGGATGTGGCGCCCATGCAGCGCTAGTAATTGCTTCTGATGCCGACGTGTTTCAAAAAATCCCCCAGTATATTCGACCTCATGGAGTCGCCGTTTGCCTTGGCCTACCCGCTGCAAGCCAAATCACAATTCCAGTATTCGACGTTGTCGTAAAGATGTTGACAATTAAAGGGAGCTATGTTGGTAGCCGCGTTGATGCACAAGAGGCTGTCCAGTTCTTCCACGACGGCCTCATCAAAGTCCCCACGATAGTGGTGCCTCTCAGCAACCTTGCGGATGTTTATGACTTGATGTCTGAAGGGAAAATCGTTGGGAGATACATCATAGACCCAGCGAACTAAGTTGTATGATTACTGAATAGTTTCTTATAACTTCATATATTGATAAGAATGCCACTTTGAAGATAAATATTCTTTATACTGGAATCAGATTATAAAACGACATGATCTGATGACAAATTTTAACAAGTACATTGTTCCTTAATATATTAATATTTTCAGCATCATCTTCTTTTTTTTCATTCCGTCGACCTTGTAGCGTTGGCTATATTCCGTTTAGTTCTCGTGGAATCACCCGCAGACTGCATAGCCTGATAGTGGTGTGATAAAGCGAACGATCATGCCACGATTTTCTGCGACTGCTACCGACTATGTTACACGAATGGAAGATCACTCACTCTTGGTGTATAATATTCTGCTATTCCGTGCTCTAGTGGAACTGCGGTGTGTATTAAATAATTTGCTTATTTGATCCTTTACGAGGAAAGTATTGCCAACAATGCTATCTACTGGCGCTGTTGCCACTGGCGAGCAGTCGCTTGTTCCGGAGAACTTGTTTCATACACTTCTAACGGCGTCCAAGGATAGTATTGACAGCCAACGGTTGGACAGCCGGACCACCTTCCCCCTTGCCTCTCACGCAACTCTCGATGCAGCCAAATCCTTCGCTCTCAAAGCCCTTCCTTTGCTAGGGTATAGCCACATGGACTTTGACGCCTATGAAGAGCGAGTTTCAGACGAGGACAATGAAGAAACCGGCGCTTTCTTCCAAGATGGCATCATTGTCCATGCTCAACGATCAGGAGCGCATGACTTCCTTATCGGCATTGTCACCACACCAAACAACGAAAAGCTGCAGGCTAAAACAGATGGCTCCGGAGAACTTCAACTACCACTTGGCACCAACCACTTACACTACGTGCTACAAACGCGTATCGACTATAACACGGACCGTGCAGGCGCCTTTCAAGAGACAGTAATCGAGGGCACGTACGTTCGCAGAAGTGATGCCCTGGCGGCGAGTAAAAAGTGTCTCATTAGTGATGAGGTGGGCAAGAAAGACTTTGTACTGTACGAAGAGCAAGACAAGTCTGAAAACGGTGAAGAGTGGGCATACGGTGAGGATGTACTGGTGCATGCAGTGTCTGAATCTGGCGAGAACTTCAAAATCACCGTGGCAACGCCCTTGTTAGCACATCAGCGACACAAGAAGAATTGAAATTTCATATATTAAGCGCTTAATATGTACTTTTCAGTAGCGGAATGTATGGCGGGCTCGTGAAAGCAAGGCTGGGGGATATGCAGCTCTCACCAGTTGGTCTGTTCCGAGAGCGTAGTCGGCATAGAGCTAATAGCGTTTTCTGTAATCTAGTTTTGTCTAGTTACTGTAACTACCTACCCAAAATTTAAATGTCGCACGCTGCCAGTAGATCTTCAAAGACTCATAGTTGTGTTACACGTAGCAAACTGAGATCTAGATGTCGTTTCATCGGATATCAGACAATATTATCGCCAGAGTCGAATGTCTGCTCGGGTTGCGAGTCGAAAAGATCTTCGTAGTGCCGAACACATAGTGGGCATGAGTCACGACCTCTTGAAAACCAACTTATAATACACTCAGAGTGAAATAAATGCTTGCAAGGCAGCTGGTGTATAGTGTCGGTGTTTTGTAGCGTTTCGAGGCAGATTGCACTACACAATTCAATGAGCTGACGATCACACCCAGCATTCCGACAAGCTAGCACACGTACCAACAGTGATAAATTCCCAGTTCATCGCCAAGATTCCGTTCATGGTTTTCTTTCTGTTTCCACAGCTTGTAGTTATACTTCTTTGCTATAGCGTCAAATTGCGCTTGGTTTAGTTTCAACCCTCCATCGACTTTGTTGATGGCGACACCACCTGCAGACTCAGGATTGCTAGAATGCGGACTTCGAGGAGCTGAAGTGAAATCCCTGTACGGTATTTGTTAGCGAAACTTATTCTATTTCAAGGCACGTCTGCAGATAATCCTTAGAAAATACCTTCCCAAGAAGAAGACTACGAGCGCGACTGCGACTAAGACGGCCACAACTATGGTGCCAGCGTCGGGTGGCTTGGTTGGTGCATTTATATCTAGAGCATTTGGGTCTGTTTGGTTAGTCTCCATGTCGTGTCGCCCTACTGAAGAATAGCAGAATAGTATTATTGAATGAGTAGTGAGACTTACCATGAGTTCGATGGGCTAGCGAAGGTAACACTTGTATAAACCCAACGGGCTATCCATACCCGTAACTAGCATAGAAGCAACTAGATTAAATCGAAGACTATCCTCTATACGGCGCTGATAATAGTGCTGAGGTAGTGCCCAAAATGGCACCACCGAGCCGCCATCCCCCAGAGTGGTGTGATCCGCTGACCGTTACACCCCGTACCCTAGAGAGAGAGATTTCAGACATCCCAACTAGCTGCATTTCGCGAACTCTATAATATCTGTGTCTCTAGCATAGTACTCAGAAACTTATAGCCAGGACATCAAAATTGTAAAATTCTACGAGTCCTTGTTGCGAGAGGTAAGCTTTCTTCACCTATTAGACATCGCCAGCACTAACCACCCACCCAAGACAGAGCTATAGAAACTAGACGAAATATATTACAACGTAAATCTAATATTTACTAATAAAGCTTCATGCTAGCACAGATCTGCGACATTTCCATTTCTTCGTCTGTCTGACAGATAAGTACACGACGCTTTTGATTGTCTGCGCTAATGTCTCGAATGGTGGCGGTATTGATGTTAGCATTCGATTCGTTGCGCCTCTCGTCCACGACAAAGCCGAGACACAGCAAATTTCTAACTACAGCTGCTCGCAGTTCGGAACAATTCTCCCCGATACCACCAGCAAACACCAAGGCGTCTACTCGCCCTTGAAGTGCAACGTAATAGCTCCCGATGAAGTCGCATATGCGATGGACAAAGAGATCGAATGCAAGCTTACAATTTGGATGGCTCGATGCGACAATAGCGGCAAAGTCGGTAGTGCCAGTCAAAGAAAGCCATCCACTCCTATCATTCAGCATATGTTCAGCATTCGACCAGTGAATGGTGTCATTCGTTGATGGACTATTGTTTGAAGTGGGGCACGCGGAATGAAAGACGATACTGTCAGACATAGTCAACCTCTGAATATACTTACCATACATTATTTCGATCGCAACAACAGACACCTACCTCGGATCAATGGTTCCACTGCGAGTAGCTCCTGGGAGCCCTGACAGCGGCGTCAAGCCCATACTCGTATCCAGACTTTTGCCGTTGAGAATGGCACAGGCGCTAGCACCACTTCCCAAGTGCAGTGCAATCAAGTTCATAGATTCTTGGTCGATACGGAGAAAGCTTGCAACAGATCGCGTCAAGAATGCATAGCTAAGTCCATGGAAGCCATACTTGCGTAGACCTCTTTCGGTAGCCATTTTCTGATCAATCGCATAGGTGTAGATGTGCGCAGGGATGGGGCGATGAAACTGCGTATCGAAGCAAGCAATGTTGATGGCATGTATCAGCTGTTGTTTGCATTGCGAAACAATGGATAGCGCGCCTGAGGTGTGCAACGGCGCTAGATGACCTGCTTGGGCTAACACTTGCAATGTTTGTTCGTCAATAACTCGCGGGTTGCTCAACCTTCCGCCGTGCACAATCCGATGACATACAAAGTCTATGTCGTCTTTGGACTTTATTTCGCACAGATTCGGATCCTGAAGGAGGACTGTAAACGCGGCCGAGAAGGCATCACACGGATCTTGTACTGCCTTGATCGCATGATTGTTGTTAATAGTTTCGCCATATCGCGAGTAGAAGATGGACGTGGAGGCAGTTCTAATTCCTCGAATGCACGCAGTTAGTATTCTTTGGGGAGCCCCAGTGCCATCTTTGAGCAAGAAAGCTGAAAGTTTCAAAGAGCTTGAACCAGCATTTACCGTAAGTAGAATCTTGGTCATGACAGCAGCGTGTACGATTTAGTTGCCTAGCGCTTGCGATTACGAAAGCAGTGTGCGTTCAATATATAAAAACATACATGGGAGCACACCTTTGTGTACTATTAATGCCTGTTAAAGACTTATATATGCACTGCTATTTATGTATGCGTATATTTATGGCGTTTGCCCTCTATTCGGCCCGTACACACTACAAACAGTCGCACACGCAATCATCACGCCACCCTGCATATGCCGACATCGTCGTGCGTCGTGCATTCATACTCTGAAGACACCTGTTTCTTATGCTCTGATGCCTGATGAGTTATTTATTGGTCACTTCCCCAGGGTATAAATTGTAAAGGCTAAGTAGAAGCGGGGTTCCTTCTTCTCCTTATCCGTGCACTCCTCACTCACCAGCTGAATCGGTGACAATGTGCAACGCATTGGAATCTACCAGTGCCTTCGGACCGGCAACATCTACAATATTGACTCCACACAACCCTCTTTCGAGCCAAGACATCTCTCAGTACAATGACTACTTCCACGCCAGCTGCTATCTTGCGCTAGGAATGATCTATCTCAAGGATAACCCACTGCTTCGGGAACCTCTTCAGCCGCATCATTTAAAGCAGCGCTTGCTTGGACATTTCGGGTCAGCACCAGGGCAAATCTTTACTTACATGCATTTCAACAGAGTCATCAAAAAGTATGACCTGGACGCATACTTCGTCTCCGGGCCTGGGCATGGAGCTCCGGCCGTGTTATCACAGTCGTTCTTAGAAGGTGTTTATTCGGAGGTGTACCCGGAAAAGTCACAAGATGTAGATGGCCTTCGCGTCTTTTTCAAGAAATTTTCTTTCCCTGGTGGAATTGGTTCCCACACAACCCCTGAGACTCCTGGATCTATCCACGAAGGCGGAGAGCTTGGATACTCGATATCACATGCGTTCGGATCCGTGTTTGATAACCCGAATCTGATTGCTCTGACAGTGGTTGGTGACGGCGAGGCGGAAACTGGCCCGCTCGCAACGTCCTGGCATAGCAACAAATTCTTGAACCCGGTTACAGACGGTGCTGTGCTTCCAGTTCTTCATCTCAATGGGTACAAAATTAACAACCCTACTATACTGGCGCGCATTCCTAATGATGAATTGGAGAAGTTATTTCTAGGTTATGGATGGCAACCTTATTTTGTCCAAGGTGACGAGCTTTCAAGCATGCATCAAGCCATGGCTCGTACTATGGACCGCTGCGTGGATGAGATTCGAGCCATTCAAGCTGCAAGCCGCACAACAGACTCACCTTCACGCCCACGATGGCCGATGATTATACTCAGAAGCCCAAAAGGCTGGACTGCGCCTCGTAAGATTGGCGACGACTATTTTGCTGGTTTTTGGAGATCCCATCAAGTTCCCATCACGGACCCCGCAACCAACCCCAGTCATCTGGCTATACTGGAAAGTTGGATGAGGAGTTACGAGCCCGAAAGACTGTTTGGTAAGCAAGGCAAGCCCCTAGCATCTATCACGGCTCTTTGCCCTGAGGGAGACCGTCGCATGAGCCGCAACTCCATTACAAATGGTGGGTTGCTTTTGAAACCGCTGAAGCTGCCCGTGTTTAAAGAGTATCAAATTCAAGTGGACAGGCCTGGAGCCACAATCAATGCAAGCATGCACAACTTTGGACGATACCTCAGGGATGTAATCGGCGCCAATCCTCACAACTTTCGACTCTTTGGACCAGATGAGACAGAATCCAATAATCTGGGTGCGGTCTATGAGGTGACAAACAAAGTTTGGATGGGCCAAATCTTGGAAGAGGATAGCAACGGTGGTCATCTTGCTAGAGAAGGACGGGTTATGGAGATGCTTTCGGAGCATACCTGTGAAGGTTGGCTTGAAGGATATATACTTAGTGGGCGACACGGGCTTCTTAACTGCTACGAAGCTTTTATTCACTTGGTTGACTCTATGGTGAACCAGGTAAGTTGAATGCTGATGGGCAATTCTCAGCCGCCTCTTCTATTGGTGAAAAGCATACTGATATCTCTCTCTCGAACAGCATTGCAAGTGGCTCGAAAAGAGTCTTGAGGTTGACTGGCGCGTGAAGATTGCGTCTCTCAATATACTCCTCACAGCGGTTGTCTGGCGCCAGGACCACAATGGCTTTACACACCAAGATCCGGGATTCTTAGACCTCATTGCTAATAAGAGTCCCGATGTGGTTCGTATATATTTGCCACCAGATGGAAACTGCCTACTCTCCGGTAAAGACCCCTCACATCATCCCGCCGCGCGCGCATCATGCCATAAGGCGCAAATATATATAGGAGCTAACTGATATTACAGTCATGGATCACTGTTTACGGTCCAAAAACTACGTCAACGTGATTGTATCCGACAAGAAGGAGCATCTGCAGTATTTGGACATGAACAGTGCAATTGTGCACTGCACAAAAGGAATTGGTATATGGCCACAATTCAGTACAGACAGTGGCCAAAGACCAGATCTTGTCATGGCCTGTTGCGGGGATGTCAGTACCCAAGAGAGCCTTGCAGCAACACAATATCTGCTGGACGAGTATCCTAGACTCAAGATACGCTTCATCAACTGCGTCGATGTATTTCGGTTACTTCATCCTAGCGATCACTCGCACGGTATGACAGATAGCGAATGGGTCAATCTGTTTACGAACAATACTCCCATTATCTTCAACTTTCACGGATATCCTGCCTTAGTTCATCGACTATCATATAAACGACCTGGAAGTGAGCACTTGCATGTACACGGATACCGGGAGAAGGGAAACATTGACACACCGTTATTGTTGGCGATTCGGAACGAAACGGATAGGTTTAGTCTGGCACTACAGGCGCTAGACCTCATTCCTGGACTGGGTAGTACATGTGCACATGTTAGGCAGTCGTTCCTGCATCGGCGGATATCGGCTTGTCAAGAAGCGTTTGAAACCGGGATTGATCCCCCAGAATTGACCAATTGGAAATGGACATGGGAACAAACGATGGAAGACAATTAGACTATCCTATTCATTGATGTATTCGTACAAATGACCTAGTTACCACAAGCGAACCGTTCAGCGATTGCGCCACGCAAGAATTCTGGCTGAGGAGTCGCAGAAATAGCATTGGTGGCAGAAGGAAACGGAAGCGGCGGAATTCAAATTGAAGAATTCCGAACAATCTAGAACCATCGTCTCAAGTCTCACCATCTAGCGTAATAGATTCAGACGGAACTCGAGCCTGGTAAGACATTCCGTAATGGCGTGGTTGTGGCAACCTTCCGTAGATAGACTTTCCTCCATCAAATTGGGTTGGCTGTGGCCTAGACTCACAGCTTCACGCTGAACAGTCCCACTAGTAAAAGCCATGTAACCTCACCTCAAAAAGAGGAAACGCCAGACAAATTGGTGCATATCATCAAATCGTGGCAATGAAGCGAGCGTAATAAGCAAGCGGCCTTGGAGGACCGATGGCCCGTGGAGGTAGCGTGGGGGCGGGGGCAACTACTGACGTAAACTTGCCATTTAGATAAGATTCCTGATATACATAACTTTTAGCTTATGGATGAACATGGCAAGGCCACGGCGAGGCGAGTTGGAAGCCACAGTGCAGATAGGTGGCGTTGAATTTCTTCGCCGCGGCCTCTTGAAGCTAACCATTCGATAAATTCCTGTTCTCCGAGCATCTGATTGACTTAATACTTAAGACGGCAATTATGAATCGCAGAATTGGCTTATATTTGATGTTCCAATAGGTATGAATGATACGCAAACTAAGTCATCTCGAAAGTAGCATGTCTGCCGAGGCCTCATTGCTGATACCTGCGCCCATCGTCCACAGCAGCCACCTTTCTTCCATACCACCAATCATTAGGTGGGAGTTTATTTTCTCGTCGCGGTTGCCCATCGCCTAGTAGTCTCAGCACAATACTGGCCGCGGAAGATGCCGCAAGCCACTTCGGAAGATTAAAATAAACAAAACAGCGCATCGGCTGATGCCGATACATCTGCCGGTTTGCAAACTAGTTTGGAAACCAGCCCCGTTAACCCGCCACTTCATCTGAGAGAATCAGGGCGGAATGGAATGAGTAAACAGCTTGGCGTGGACCACGCGATGATGCATCACCACATCCCGGTACGGGGGGCGGGACTGTACGCACTCGGTGCGCTCGGGGCGTTCGGCGGCTTTCCTGTCTCCTCCACCGTTTCCAATATAGATTATTCTGGAGAAGCCCTTACACTGTAGCCATAGGTAGCACAGTACCCGGCCCCCAATCCGAGAGAAATGATGGCGACAGAGGCCGCTAGGCCTAGACCCGATTTCTCATCGCGTCAAATACTTCCAAGGCGTTGATATGCCAATGTGCACAGTTGCAATAGTATCATGTATCATTTCCCGGCAGGCTTTGCAGTCGACACCGCCGACATCTGCCGGAAATTATTCGTGAACGGTGTTTGCTCCAGCTAGTGTCAAAGAAAAAGAAAAGTACTAATATAGCAGCTAGTGAACCATGAAAGCATTGGACCCGTTTCGATAGAGGGACGATCAAGTACTGAAGCCAATATACACTACATCGCAAAGTAAATGGAGCTAGACTCGGTGAGTCTAACCTCGTTCTGCCGCACCTACCCTTACCCCAATCGCAACTCTGTGTCAAATCCTCGCTGGCCCTTTTTCGTCTGTCTTCAGTTCCACTAGCGTACGTCGTGCTAACTCATCGACAGAGTTGCATGAATACATCTATTAAGCCAACTCAGCGCTTTGACATCTCTGATCTAATCGACCCCGCTTCTGGCAACGCGACGTCATTTTTATACCCAGATCCAATGGATCAAGACATGTATCTTCTCACTCAGCTGATGGATCCCGGGTTGCTTCCCGTAGAGCCCACAGTTACGGATTCAGATTCATCGCCCCGTTGGGATTCTAGGCCCCTCGGAAATGATGATGATCCCTTTAGGTGTCTGCCTAGTTTTGGCAACAACGACGAGTTATGCTATGAAACCAGTACTAACAATCTACTTTGGCAACAAATACCAAGTCTTGATAACTATCAAGGAAGGCCGCTTGGCATGTCACTCTCCACTAATTCCGACCTTCAGCAGCCGCCACACACACACGCTCCAGCGCACAAGCCGACTACCTGGACAAAAGGCCGCTGCGATGTCTCAAAGAAACAGAAATTGGAGAGGAGGGCGTACAAGCGGCAATGGACCCCTCAGAGCCCAGCCGATAGCACTGACATTGACTCTCCTCAAGAACAAAGCGTCAAGCTTACAAGGAACCGCCACTCCGATGTGGAGAAGAACTACAGGCGTCGTTTAAATCACAAGTTCAACAACCTCGTTGCTGCACTGAACAGGGCCTTTGATCTGTGCCCGCCGGACTATCTTGCGGGTCCGGAAATAGAGACCGCTCCAAAGGGCCAGATCCTCGATAGGGCGACAAGTCAACTCCTTTGGCTGGCATCAGAGTCCCAGCGATTGAATGGCGAAGTTGGTCGGCTGAACGAGCTGCTCAATAGAATCAAATAGGAGGCTGAGAGGACCTGATGCTATAAAACTAGTTCTATTTTTTTTTGTTCTGGCGCTCTTTGTATTTCTCTCTACTCAGCAAGCTTCCCATCAAACGGAGCATTGTATAATACTAGAGTTAGTGGAATTTCCAGTGATATTATATTTGGCAAAATCTACGAGATTAAATACCATGGTCCATTTGGCCACAAAATTGCAGCATTTAATAGCACATGCGAAGAAGACGTGGCAAGGGATCGGATCAGCTGACAATCACGCCGAGATCACAACTGGCTGAGCCATCCCACGTCGGCAGCAACTAATTTGCGCCGTTGCCACAAGGTGCGGTGCCACTTATTGGTGGTGCCACTGTGGCATGCAGCCGCTATTAAGTTAGCAGTAATTAACTGTATTATAGTGCACGCTGTAAACATTATATAGTTCTCTTAGAGCACCAGCTCTGCCGCTGTAATATTTATCATATGATCAATGCATTTCCCATATATTCCATATCTGAGACACAGCATCAGAATAGACATTTGGATTCAGGATGCCGTACACGCCACCGTTGAGACAGTTGCGTTGCGAAACCGGCTTCGGCTCTAAATCTAAAGACGAAAACAAAAACAAAGTCATACAAGAAATCAGTCCCTTACAATGCCAAAAGCACTCTCGATTGTGCAACTGCGGCGTATACAGCACAGCTCGCAACCTGCCTCAAGACGACGAACAGAATGTCTTATCTCTACATCGAGCGTTGCGGACTTCACCAGGCTCAGATTCTAGCTCAGCTAGTTCGCCTACCAGTCCAAAATCAGTCCACTTTGATACAGTTTTGGATATTTGCCCATTTTTCACTTCAGAGACTCCAATTTCTGTAAGCACAAGATCATCTTCCACATGTCGTACACTGGATTCAAAGGAATCGAGTCGCGAATTTGGATGGATAGGCCCCGATGATACCGGCCCAAGCACTCCCATCGGTTGGACAGCCGTGCCCTCTTACAATAGGACCATCACAAACACTACCAATGAGCCACCTGTTATCTTTTGTGGACTGCGTGTAGCAAATGAACAGCAAAGCCTGGTCGGCTGTGCGGCAGTTGCGAATATAGCCTATCACAAATCGGTTACGTGTCTATTTACATTTGATGATTGGACAACGGTGTCAACGGTAGCAGCTACGTTTGTGAGGCATGTTGATAGTAAAGATGCGATTTTAGGACATGATTGGTTCACATTTGAGATCGATATATCTGGCATCAACGATCTTCAACTACGCACATGCTCCCTCTGCATCCGGTACATTGTTGATAACCAGGAGTTTTGGGACAACAATGGCGGGTCCAACTTTCAAGTCAATTTTACGAAGCAAGATCAAGAGAGGCGCCTACTAAACAAAGCGAACGTCCGAGACCAAGACGGATCGATCCCTTCAATGGCAACCACTCTCTGGCATTGCGATTCAGAGCTTGGACATATCAACAAGGAAGATTGCGGAATGAATTCTCCTGTCGATGAAATATTCGAGGAAGTAACTCCCATAAACAAAGAAATGGTCAATTATCAACAGAAGCAGGACATTTGGCTGGACAGTACATTACAAACTGCAAACCGCGCCTCCATGTTATGTCCGGCACACAAGGATTTTCTGGAAAAATACTGTTTTGTAGGTAAATGGCCGTCCCTATCGTTAGAAATATATTAATTTGATACAATATTGTAGTCTACCTTTACTGACACAAGATCTTACTATAGTTCAGTTCTGATTTGCGCCGAACTCCATTTACTCAAGTGCCTTTTACCGAAAACGCAGCTCAAAACTCTGGCATCTTCGCATAGTATAGTCACTGAAGTGTTATCCCAGAAACCAAACCAATCGTCATATATTCGTGAAAATATCAGTTTATTGCTATCATAGTATCAGGGCCCTGCAAGAGGCTGGTCAAAATAGACAAAGTTTCAATTTTCTGCACGACCAAGAACCCTACCATCGTCAAATACATCGCTAATAGCGGAAAGAGAGTACAATTACTACGCGTGAGACGCGTAGAAGAGACGAAATTTGTAACTGGCTAAGGCCCGTGGAGGTCTCGGGTAGCTCTCGACCATCTGTCACGTAGCTGTCTGGGTATTACGAGAAAAGTTCGCCAAACATAATGCTATTATTAACTATTCTATATGAGATAGAAGGAAGACAACAAACTTGAAGAAGAACAAATCCTTCCCCTCCTTCCACAGTTCACTTCTTTATTTATATACATGACTGTTGTGGTCCTGCTAGCTGGCGGTTTTCCTTTGCTAGCTGGCAAACACTTGTTGAAACTTCTTTATTTGCCAGCTAGCAAGCGAACACGTCGCGTAGCAACTACTTCGACATCGTGACTGTCGTGAGCGTTATGACCGACAGACCATGGAGCGATCCAGCAAGTCGTGACACCATCTAGGCAAGGGACCCATGTAAGTCATATAAAAGGCTATTCCAGATAGCTGGAATAGCCCCTTTTCGATCCTTTCTTCTTCATCTTCGGATACTCGTAGTAGTCGCTCAGCTAGTTGTCAATATACTCAGTTGAGACCTTTACAAAATTTTGCATATAATCGGTGCTGTCAGCTGGAATCCCACGAGAATACTTTTGAGCAACTGACTTTCGCCATGTTACCATCTTGAGACATATGGTATATTCATTGCCTTGTATTTCTTCTATTTAGTAGAACACTACCACAAAACGCAAACTTGGTGTCACCTATATATACAACTGTTGGTAGACTTTCCAACGACTCAATAGACCCCTGTAGTTGCTTTTGCATCATGAACTCGGACGTTTTTCCGCCTGTTGATACTCTTGGCATTGTTGATCGACAGAGATGTCAAAATAAGCTTCTGGGTCAAAATACTGTTCTAGCACACCTTTGCTGAGGGCGTCTTTCTGATTGCTGTATACCTTTGGAGAGCCATCGTCATCTATGACGAATATAAACACATTATTTGTTTCGAGTCCGCAATATGTTCGTAGGGCCTTCTCAGGTGGCTATTCTTTGTCAGTGATGATATCAATGCAGACCCATTTTGCGCTATTACCGTAAACATCTCTTCCTGTTGTAGTTCGGAAAGTTCCGAATAGTAAGAAGAGTCAGAGTCGTCTTCATTACTTGCTGGTTGGTCGCGCTTGGCCACAGGGTGTCGTCTATTCTTGTGGTGACCCAGCTTAGTACCCTGGCCTATAGTCATTGTCGATACCGGTTATTATAGTATAGTGTGGAGGTAGTAGATGGGCTGATGTAGGCTTCTTGGTTTCCATATAAAAAGCCTAAATGCGATCAATATATAGATATATATGTAGACAAAGAGAAGAGATGGAAAGATATGTGACACACTCTCAGACGCCACTATTGGTAACACCATAGTGGTGCCACCATCAATATCGCCATTACTAGGCGCCGCTACTAGACGCCACTATTGAGAATATTACCTATCGCCTACTGTACTCTGCATGTAAGGCATCTATGTCACGCCACTATCATCTGACTAGATGGACCCTTAAACTGGTATTGCTTTTGTTTACCGTTACACAACGCTATGTGTTGGATCCGGCAGTTATCTTGTATCCTATGTGATTATCTACATTATATCGATGAAAATTTTATAGTCTTTTCACTGACAAATTCGAAACTTGGATATATCTCGCATAATCCCACGAAGTCTATATCAATTGATCTTCCCATAATTCTGACAGTTTTTCACTCTTGGCTGCCGGCATCTTACTTTGAAATGGACCTTATTACTGGACGTGTCATGTCCGATATAAGCTCTTCCCCTTGGAGACGCTTTCTCCAGAACGTCGACAATTACTATCACAAAATTGGACTCCGTAACCGCGGCCAGCATCATGATCCTATCTTCTATCCAACTTTCGACATCGGAGAGCTTCCTAATAGCTATAAGCTATCCGGGGAACTACCTGGCGTACAGAAACAAGACGTCAAAATAGAGTTCACCGGTCCACGATCTATTCATATTGATGGGACAACATATGCATCCCATACTTATGACTCTAGCTCTAGTCGGAGTGATATTGGTGACCACGAGGCTGCTCAAAAGCGACAAGATGGGAGCACAGTCAATCAAGTAGAGTCATCTATCACTCAGAGCGAACCTACAACGAGCCTTGATCACCAAGGAATAGCCAAGTTCTGGTCTGCAGAAAAAGGTGTTGGACGATTTAGTCGAACTTTCTCATTTCCCACGGAGATCCAGAAAGCAGGATCTCGGGCATCGCTGAAGGACGGCATTCTGAGCATACAGGTATTGAAAGCCTTTGACAGGGATAACAAAAGATCCTTTTTGCCAATACAATAGCTATTTGACTTTATCTAGCCCGAACTCAATTTGATATTCTTGTTTGTTCCCTAAAAGAAACCCACTCCACTTACTCGATATTATCGTTTATAAAAGTCCAATAACGTGGTTCACGGGCGAGCGCCGCACTTCGCGTCATTCTTTAATTGATCAACTTCAACCCGTAGTTCCACAACCAGCAATAATGGGAAAGGCCTTAAATGAAGCTGATGTTATTTCAGCTCTACAAGCTTTAGAGCAAGATCCAAAATTATCTATTCGAGAAGCTTCTCGCATCTACAACGTCTCCGATCGTACAATCCGCTGCCGACGCAACAAAATTCCTAGTCGAGCCTATACGACTCCAAATTGCCGAAAATTGTCAGATGAAGAAGAAAATACTATAATTGAATATATTCTTCATATTGATTCTCGAGCTCAGCCTCCTCGCTTGCGTGACGTTGAAGCTATGGCGAATCGCTTATTGGAGCTACGTCACGACATTCCAGTTGGACGGAACTGGGTTGCAAGCTTCATCAAACGACACCCCGAAGTCGTCACGAGTTTATCACGTCAAATCGACTATCAAAGAGTCCAATGCGAAGATCCAGATAAATATCGAGCCTGGTTTGAGCTTGTGAAGAACACAATCACGAAACATGGTATATACGCTGCGGATATTTACAACTTTGACGAGACCGGCTTTGCAATGGGCGTGATTTCATCAGAAATAGTCGTAACAAGCTCAGAAAGGTCTCAAAAGGGGTGCAAAGCACAGCAGGGGAATAAACAATGGGCGACTTTGATTGAATGCATCAGCGCAGATGGCTACGTGATTCCACCTTTTGTGATTATTGCTGGCAAAACCCACCTCTCATCTTGGTACGAAAACAGCCTATTACCCAACAATTGGGCGATTAATGTTACTAAAAACAGTTGGACTACAAATAAGAAGAGCTTAGATTGGCTGGAACATTTCAACAAACATACATGTATTAGAAAAAAATCGAGAAACCGACTTCTAATACCCGACGGACACAAAAGCCACCAATCCTTCGATTTCCAAGCATACTGCATGCAAAACAACATTATTACATTATGCATGCCCGCTCATTCATCTCATAAGCTTCAGCCGCTAGATGTCGCCTGTTTTCGACCACTCAAACGAGCATATGGTGATGCTATTAGCGATCTTATGCGCGCGCACGTCACCCACATTACCAAGGAAGAATTCTTCCCAGCACTTTACACAGCACACAAGGCTGTCATGACCGAATCAAATATTCTTGGAGGTTTTATAGGAGCTGGGCTTGCTCCATTCAATCCAGAATATGTCATTTCATAACTGGATGTGAAGTTCTCGACACCTTTACCTCCTAGGTCATCGGGTGGGCTCGAGCTACCCTGACTTCCCAAAACACCTAGCAACCCAACCGAAGCTCTATCGCAAACAGAATATATTGAAAAAAGAAACCGAAAGCATCGAAGCAGCTCACCATCCGATTTAATTGAGAATCCCAATCAAATATCAAAGTGCACAACCAGTGCTATGCGGAAGATGGTCCTAATGTAGCACCGAATCGATGAGCTTGAAGTGGCTAATAACCGCCTCTCACGCCGGAAACGTGTTACAAAAAGACAATTACAGAGTGTATGAACACTTACAGTAGATTCTAGCAAAAACCTAGCTGCTCAAACCTCTTCTAGGGTAAAAAGAGAACGCGACGAAGTTGAAAGTACGGGTCGACAGAAGCGAGTGGAAACACGGCGCAGACGCTGTGGAAAATGCGGCGAAATAGGCCATAATTCTAGAACATGTGAAAATGAAGTGGAAACCATTTCTTCAGATAGTTTATATTAAATTTTCTATTTTTAATTATATTTGGAGTTGATGCACTATTTTTTATAGGCCAAGGTGGGGAAGGGTGCGGCGCTCGCCCGTGAACCACGTTATTCTTAATAGTTCATGATTACTTTTTTAGTATTTTTTATTATAACATAAATCTTTTTGAAGGGACAGCAATCTCGATCGCGTCCATCATCGCGTCCCACCATGATGCACTGATGCAGGAACCACTCCACACCAAATGGCTACTCTTGCGCAATTTGCGCAGCGAGGCATACAGGGAGTCCAGCCCAAACCCGCCGTTCCTGATACGGCCGCTATTCTCTCCAGTCCGTATTTCGTTCGCTTGGGGCGCAGCGTCGCCAGTGAAATGAGCGTAGCGCTGCTGGTTAAAAGTAGCCTTGCCGGGCTAACCGTTGCCGGCTAACCGGCTTGGCCTATTCCCAAACAGGAAATATACAGAACATGGTTTAGAGGCAACGGTCGCTAATCTTTTACAGACAAAACAGATGGCAGCATAGAATCTAGAAACTAGACGTAACCGAATCACTTTGTAGCTGGCCAAGACATGAATCGCCCGCTTTATCGCTGTACGGAATCAAGAGAAAGCAGTGCTGGCTGGGGATACGGATACGATACTAGACACAGCGCTGGCGTGGATAAATGTAGAGCGCCGCGTGTTTGCTATGATCACGTTCCGGGACAGTCGACATCTCGTCTCAGGTCCCTCTACCGGCTCAACGCCACTGTATAACCTGTCCGTCCAGTGCAATGTCCACCGCTGATTCGCCCCCCATTCATGCTAAAGAGTCGTCACGACCTGATCTGCGGGTGCGTCCAGCGCTCCCCAAACCAGCTACGTTTTGTACTAGTGAACTGATAGTCTGGGCTGCGCCTGTTTCGTCCTTTCGTGGGCGCATAGGACCAAAGAATCTACGGAACCGTTTCGCAAACTTGCATTCGTCATCTCATATTGACGCGCTCGTCGCTCCTTCAATCTTGGACACCTCTGTTGCTCTTTAAAAGTACGGTCGGCGCATCGCCAGTTTCTGCGCTCGCTGCTTTTACATTACATACTTGCGTGGTAGTCTCCGGCGCCGGTGTTGCTGCCGCAGCTCAGGCTTGTGAACTAACTTAGACGTTTAGTCTAGCGACGGCGTGGTTTGCCTGCGCCAAAGGACAGCGTATGCGACTCACAGGTTACTTTCTTTTTCTCATCGACTTGAACCGATTTTGTGATTCAAGACGCTGACAACCAACATGAGGGCTGCGACACAAACAGTCGTCGAGCTGCTTGCTGCTGCTGCTGCTGCAGGGACGGCACAAGCGCAGGTAGTGTCGCCCTACACAGTCTCTTCCACCGGTATAGCGCTCGCTCCCTTTACTGTCATGCTATGATCCGTCATCGTCGTCAGAGTGCTAACGTGCTGCCTAGCTGCCATCATAAAGTCGGCCAGCGGTCTCGCGTGGGACCTCCTTCAATACTACAAAGGCAACTTGACTGGTCAAACGCCCGGCATCCTACCCGGTCCGCCTCCTGCCGGCGACTACTACTGGTGGGAGGGCGGCGCCATGTGGGGGACGCTGATCGATTACTGGCACTATACAGGCGACGGGACGTACAACCAAGAAACCATGACGGCGATGCTCTTCCAGACTGGCGACGGCAACGACTACATGCCCAGCAACGTCACGCTGTCTCTGGGAAACGACGACCAAGGCTTCTGGGGTATGTCGGCCATGCTGGCGGCCGAGGTCAACTTCCCCAACCCGCCGTCGGACAAGCCGCAGTGGCTGGCTCTGGCACAGGCCGTCTTCGAGACCCAAGCAAGCCCCGACAGGCACGACACTACCTGCGGCGGTGGTCTACGGTGGCAGATTCCCGTTACCAATGCCGGCTACGACTACAAGAACTGTAAGTGCGATGCGATTCTGACAGCGCTGTGTGCCTATGAGTGCAATGGTGTGCATGTTTTTTGCTGATGCGCGCACGTAGCCATTGCCAACGGATGCCTGTTCAACCTCGGAGCCCGCCTCGCTCGCTACACGGGCAACATGACGTACGCAAAGGTGGCCACCGACACGTACAACTGGGTGGAATCGGTCGGATTCATCGCCAAGCTGTCGGACGGCTACCACATATACGACGGAGCCCACGTAGAGGACAACTGCACCGACATCAACAAGGTCGAGTACTCTTATAACAATGCCGTCTACGTCCAAGGCGCCGCTTTCATGTACAACATTGTGCGCATCCATCCATCCCCTGCCCCCCCGCCCCAAGTATAGAGGTACAGTATACTAACGTTGAGCTTTAGACAACTGGCAGCGAGCAGGCCCGCTGGAAGACGGAAATCGACGGCCTCGTACAGCGCGCCCAGGGCTTCTTCTTCAAGAACGGCGCCGCGTACGAGCCCGCGTGCGAGCCGGGCAACACCTGCACCACAGACATGCTCTCCTTCAAGGGCTACATCCATCGATGGTACGCTAACGCCGTGCAGATGGCGCCGTACCTGGCAGAGACGATCAACCCGCTGCTCGAATCGTCCGCCAAGCTGGCCACCCAGCAGTGTACGGGCGGTACCTACGCGCGCCAGTGCGGTTTCGACTGGAGCGCCGGCGCCTACGCTGCCAACCCGGGCACCGGTGCCGGCCAGGAGATGAGCGTCCTCGCTGCCGCTATATCGCTTCTTGCCACGCCAGACAACGGCGCCATCACGGCCAAGACGGGCGGCACCTCCCAAGGCGACCCCAACGCCGGCCAGAACCCCAACAGCTACAAGGCGTCGAATGTCACGACGGCGGGCAAGGTTGGCGCCGGCTTCATCACCGCTGTGCTCATCGTGCTGGGGCTTGGAATCTTTGGCTGGATGACGGTGGACGGCTAGTAGGGCGTGACTGTAGCCTACAGACACTTGATTACCCACAGTCACTCCCGGGTATGCGCAGAGCATATGTCACGTAGCTGTCCAGGTATTATGAGAAAAGTTCGCTAAACATAATGCTATTGTTGACTATTCTATATATAAGATAGAAAGAAGACAACAAACTTGAAGGAGGACAAATCCCTTTCCTCCTTCCACAGTTCACTTCTCTATTTCTATACAAGGTCGTTGTGGTCCTGCCAGCTGGCGGCTTTCCTTTGCCAGCTAGTAAGCGAACACGTCGCGTAGCAACTATTTCGACATCGTAATTGTTGTGAGTGTTGTGACCGACAGACTATAGAGCGATCCAGCAGGTCGTGACAGCATATTCCGATTTACTGACAAAGCGGCTATTTTCTAACACTTTTAACATTTAAAAATATTCTTTTAAATTTATTTGCATTGAAATCTATTGTGGGATTTATTCGCGGTCTTGAATCGTTCAATTTTGACACCTTGATAGCCAAGAAACACTGGTCATCTCGGCGTACTTGAGCCTAGCATCAGTCAAACAGTCAAAGCGAGGACAGACTCATCCTGATTCCAGCGATAATCTCTCGGCCCGTTGAATTACCACTGCAACAATGCGAGAGCTGAGGTAGGTCGTTAGCTAGAGGAGAAATACCACAGTATCATCGAGAGCGGAGCCGAGGCTACGGCTGTCAGCCATCAGCTGTCAGCCATCGATATATGGCGTAAAGAAAACAGCTAGCGTGATCAATCTTACCCCTTCCTGAGACCGATAGACTTTATGCTATGCTGCGCTCGGCGGTGTTCTCGGCAGTTCCCCAACAACCCTCTCGGCGGAATTTCATCCACAAGGATCTGTCTCCCGCGATAGGGATCCCCCGCAAAGTAAGCCACTAGAGCTGACCACCCATCTCCGCACTCTTTGTTTATCACCATGTGTCAGATGATGGTCTGGAACGCAAGAATTGCTGGGAACTTGCCGAGCTGAAGCAGCCCCATATACTGAGTTTCTGTATTGGTCTTGCGCCATAGAATTTAAAGCCATCGACATAGAAATGGTCTTGTCTGCTCTGCGCATAACGATTGGGGTTCGTCGTCATCCACCACGAGGTTGAGCAAACGTCCCAACTGCTTGGTGCGGCCCCCGTAATTTCATCTGTCTGTAACCATCTGCCTTGCCATTGCCGAACGGCTGCCGTAGCTGCGAACTGGTGCCTTGGGACGAACAATGGGGACGTCGCAATATGCCAAGATTAAGTTTGATGGTGTGATGCACAGCGTGTGGCGCTCGGACTTGTTTATCAACTCCTTCCTAATATGGAATGTGGTATTGAACCCCAGACGCACGTTCTCGAGAGTCTCGTCGTTGAAGAATGGCATTAATTAGGTAATGTGCCGTTCAAGTACCGAGTTTCCTGATATACCGAAGCAGTCCCGAAGGCAGATGATAGGTTGGTAGTCACTCTAGCTGTCGGACGAAAGCCCAATTAGGCAAGAGAAGCGTGAAAAGGATGTTTCATGCGATGCAAAGGAAGTTTCCGATGCGACACTGCAACGCCTCTACGGAGCCTTGTTTGCATTGTATACGCATGGTAGCAGCATAATTTGGCCCTAGCTATTGAGTCCCCAAGTATATATAGCTGCAATCATATCCATTCAAAACCAGATATCTCCTCAAATCAAGCACTGATCCTCCCCTTTTAATAAAATTTCTAAATTCTAAGCTATCACTACCACTATGGAGCTTACCAAGTTTCTTTCTTTCCTCGCAGCTGTGCTGCCCGTTGCCTATGGTGCTCCTACCCAGGCTGTCAACGAACTTCATCCCGATATCCTCGCTGCTATGCAGCGGGACTTTGGCTTGAATGCTGAACAGGCCACTGCTCGTGTTGCTCAGGATATCCAGGCCAGTAGCCTCATTGAGAAGCTCCGCGGCTCGGCCGGCCCCTCCTTTGCCGGCGGTTGGATCGATGGCGGCAAGGCCGTTATTGGTGTAACTGATCAGGCTATGGCTGACCAGATTACCGCCCAAGGTGGTGTTCCTGTTGTTATGAAGACTCCTCTTGCCAAGCTCGAGGCCGCCAAGACCGCCATTGACAACATCTTCCTGGGCGGCGGCGCCAAGCGCAGTGCCAATGACGCCGTTGCCGCCTTCTATGTCGATGAGGCTGCAAACAAGGTCGTTTTCGAGGCCCTTGCTTCAGGCCACGGTCAGGCTGCCGATCTTGCCAAGCAGGCTGGTCTTGATGCTTCCCAATATGCCATCAAGACTGTCTCGGAGATGCCCACAGTCAGAATCACCATTAAGGGTGGTGATGCCTATCACATCAACAACCAGTTTGTTTGCTCTGTCGGTTTCTCCGTTAACGGCGGCTTCGTCTCCGCTGGCCACTGCGGAAAGAAGGGTGCTGATGTCGAGACGACCTCCGGCGCTCATCTCGGCACCTTTGCCCAGTCTGTTTTCCCTGGTAACGCCGATATGAGCTACATCAAGACTATCGCGGGTACCAAGCTTACTGGCTATATCAACGGCTATGGCCATGCCGACTACCCCGTCCGTGGTCACCAGGAGTCTGCTGTTGGCGCAAGCGTCTGCCGATCCGGCCAGACCACCGGTGTCCACTGCGGCACCATTCAGAGAAAGAACGCCACCGTTAACTACGGTGCTGATGGCTCCGTCACGGGTCTCACTCAGACCAACGCCTGTGCCGACCATGGTGACTCGGGCGGCGGTTGGTTCTCCGGTACTCAGGCTCAGGGTGTTACGTCTGGCGGCAGTGGTAACTGCAAAGGCGGTGCGGCCACTACCTACTTCCAGCCCGTCAACGAGATTCTCTCGACCTACGGCCTGACCTTGGTTACTGCGTAAGGATTACAAGCAGTTGAATATGAGTAAATAGTTACTATAGTACATATGTTACGAATCGACGAGTATCTTATGTTTAATTGTTGCCCGTACTCTTCCTTTCTCTTGACGGCTTGAAAAACCTCCATGGCAATCTCAAAAGTGACAAAATGATATCATTAAGCAGGCCAGGTTGAAGTATACAGAAAACATCAATACTGGCCATAACGCATCCAGCGCAGAAAAAAGAAAAACGAAAAAAAATAACGTCGTGAGGAATTTTATTATATACAACGAATTTATATAACTACATAATAAATCTAAGTCGTATATTTAGCGTATATAATATCACAAGTACAGCGTCCACCTATGCTGAGTTTAGGATGATTTGCCTTGGTAAAAATTGTTAGTCGAACACCGACTCTTGCTTGTTGTAAAGAACCTAGCTGATCATTTACATATAAGTTACTAGAATTAAACTAAAGTAGAAATATAATGGTCCATCTAGTACCGCTTGTCCCCACGTACAATAACGTGCCAGTTACCAGGGTAGAACGCCCGACTAGGACCCTCACCCACTATTAATCCACAACCACCATCAAAAGAATTATCAAAAATACCAAAACAAAAACATACAACAGCCGGTGTTCGCTGGTCGTCACCGACCCAACTACTAATCTGCCGATTACAGGCTTATCTATGGGAGAGCGGACGGGATCCCGAGTTCTCCTGTATCTATGGTCGTATGTGTCCAGGAGGGTCTTATATCAAGATATATACTTTTTGAAGCTAAGAAGCGCCGTGGGTTGAGTCGCAACCGTTTGAGTAAATACTTGGAGGATAATAGCCAACTTATCTACACTGCCAGAGTGTTACAGCTTACCTTTTTTGGGAAAGACTCCCGTGGATCATCCCGTCGCTTGCTCTATCAACACTCCCCCTGTAACGAAGCAAGGTGCAGCACCACCCAGGGCGGACATTGAACCGAGCGGCTCTCCTCTTTACAGCCTCGTTGCTTGTCAAATGGCTGTCAATTGAAACAGCAGCAGCTTGGATTCCTCTGACCAGCGGAAGCCACGCTACTCAGGACAACATGCGCAATCGTCGCCATGGGCGCCGCTATTACAGCTGTCGACGCAACCGCCTGCACGAGCGACATAGCACGGCTCCTTACGGTCCAGACAACCAACGGTCCCATCACAGGCCACGCCGCAGACAACTCGCCCTGCGTACTAGAATATCTAGGCATTCCCTATGCAAAGCCGCCAACAGGTGACCGACGCTTTGCGCTGCCCGAGAGATTTGTCGGCGACAAGCCGTACAAAACAAGGCATTGGGGCTTCGACTGCCCGCTGACTGCATCGCCGCCTACCAGCTACCCCGGATTCATACCCCAGGCGCAGCGAATACTAAACTACTTTGCCTCTACCGCCGGAACCAACAGGAGCGAGGACTGCCTGACGCTGAATATCTGGCCCAAGGCCACCCAGCCATCTGCCAGCGGCGGCAAGCCCGTCATTGTCGTCTTCTACGGTGGACATAAGTTTGTTGTGCGCAAGCTAAAGCTAGAGAGTGCTCATACATGAAAGGATTTACTATTGGAAACACAAATAGCCTATTCTATAATAGTAAATACTTTGCCGATACGTAAGATACAATCCTAGTCACAGTCAACTACCGCGTCAACATCTTTGGCTTCCCCGGCTGGCTCGGCATCCCCCAGAACGCTGGCCTCCGTGATCAGCGTGCTGTTGTATAATAGGTCCACGATAACATCCACGTCTTTGGCGGCGACCTGAACAAGATTACAATCACGGGCCAGTCGTCGGGCGGCGTCGCAGTCGATTACTAGGTCTACGCCTACCGGGAGGAGCCCATCGTCCACAGTATCATTACTACCTCTGGTAACGCCTTCAGCTTCCCCCTCAACGCTGCCAGCATGGCTAAGGACAACTTCAAGCAGGTTGCCAAGATGCTCGGTTACTACATGACAAAAACCGTGCTTAAGTATGTTAAAATGGCCGACTAGCAGGCCCTCGAGGCTGCTACAGCATCCATCAAACCTGCTAAGAGCACCAGTGTCCTTCGCTCCGTGCTAGCCTTTTATCCCATCCTAGACAACAAGACTATCTTTTCAGACTATATCTCGCTTACACAAGATAGTAAGTTTACAAGAGTCTCTATTTACATGGGTAATAATAACTACGAGGCAGGCTACTACCGTATCCTGGCTTACAGGGCGGGAGCTATCCCTATGCTAGCCCAGGTCGACTCGTTTTATCTCGAGTTCTTTACCTACCTAATTGTATACCAGGCGCGTGCTCGCGAGTTGCACGGCGTTCCAGTATAGGTATGGCGGTATTTAGGCGACTGGAACAACACGAGGCTGTACCCAGGCAGTGGCGCCTACCACGGCTCTAATCTGCACATAGTCTTTGGGGCGTCCGGAGACATCAGCGGGATCGCCCCGGTTCCCGCCTAGAAGCAGCTTACCAAGGTCATGCAGGAGGCCTGGTATGCTTTTAGCAATGACCCGTGGAACGGCCTGACTGAGATTGGCTACCCACGCTACGACGAGAGCAAGGACACATTGATTGTCTTTGGCATGAACAACAGTCCGGAGCCAGCCTTGGTCAAGCCGTCCGAGTGTAACGCACCGTGCTCGACCATCACCATGGGAGCTCTTGGAACCAGTACACCTTCACCGGCACCCTAGATGGACTTGTAAAATCGTTCCTTGCAAATGACAAGAATTAGACGGGATCTCGAGTTCTCCTATACCTATGGTTGTATGTGATTGACATGGGATTATTACGTTATAGTAGGAAACAAACTAGACAATAAAAAAAGAAAATTTGATTAGCTATAAACGATGTGAAGGAAACAAGCCAATGCCTCTGACTAGTAGGCAAGATGCCTTAGCACGCAGTATACCCCCTATATAAATCGTCATTATATCTATCAACTTATAGGGTAAACAGCCCAAGACGCATAAACTCCGTCGAGAAACTAGACGGCTGCCCCCAAGGATCAGACACCGTGTCATCGCAAATCTTTTCACCTTTCGGTACAACGCCCAAGTCAAAAAACGTCGATACAGCATCACGCATGCAGCTGCTGTTGCCCCTATCTATTGTAGCATGGCCAACGTCTTCGAGAATCAACAGCCCAGATTCTGGGTGGTTTTTGCTCATCTCACGTGCGTTTTTAAGCGGTGTCACTGGATCGTATCGGGTAGATAGGAACAGCAACGGTGCAGCGGGGAGTCCTTCTTCTGGATTCGATGCGTTCTTTGAAGGCTTTGGTGATGCAAATGGGTCTTCGTACCGCCAGTTTGATACCGCCATCCAGCTTGAGCACTGTGCACGCCACTTGAAGAAGGCTGCGCCGGCAATCTTGGATATCTTGATCTGCGTATCACGCCACTGCTTCCAAAAACCAACATCTTTGTTGGTGACATCGCCGGCGCCAAGGCACCGAGCCGCCATATTGACATCAGTATAATGGGAAAAGTTGACCACATCGCATTGATCCGGTGGAAGCTCCCCCCATACGAGATTGGTAGTCAAGCTCGTGAGGTTGCCATTCATTGCATCGGAAAATAACTGAGATAGGATACCGAACGCATCCCGTCCTCTGTATAAAAAGCTGGTAATCCCCGCGTTGATCTCGTATGATCTGAGAACATAGCTGCTGCCATCGTCCCGGAGCCCAGCTAGCGGCATCTCATCAAGGCTGTCGATCCAGCCCCAGAGGCGCCTGCCAATATCATCAGCTGAGGAATCCTCCGGCGTGGCGAGATGGCATCGTCCAGGGCCAGCCTCGAAGCAATCACTCAAGAAAACGGAAAATATCTTGTCCGCATCAACTGTGTTTGTCGACCAAGCATCCACAGAGCGGTTCTCCTCGGCATCTACTACACCATCGAGAGCTAAACGGCCGATACGTTCTGGGAACATGGATGCAAAGTAGTTTCAGAGTTCTGTGCCGTAGGAAATCCCGTAGTATTGCAGTCGTGGGGTAGGGTCTGTGGTATTGTCACGGCGTACTGTAGTGTTTGATCGGATTCTGGCCAATTCATCGATAATGGACACCATATCTCGTGCAATACTCGGTGTGTTCACAAACGACAGTAGACGGCCGTTAGCTGCCTCGCATCGAAGATAGGCAATCTTGGCCTGCGCAAGCTCATACTTGAGGGCCATGTCGTTCTCAGGTGTGCCTGCAGCCGTCCACTGCACCTCGGGAACGGCTCTTGAGACGCCCGTCTTGCCCGGGAAGCAGTTGACAAGCGGTGTCGACTCACCCGATCCGCGAGTGTCAAATCCGATAATCTCATAGCGTTTCTTGCCGGGAATGTCAATCAGGTCCTGGAAGCGCGTGCCTGCGTAATTGGCAAATATGGTACCGGAGCCTCCGGGTCCTCCAGGGTTGATAAGTATGGGACCGCCAAAGGACGGATCGTCTTCAGCAACAGCCGCGGGCACTTTGAGTATTGCAATGGCAACTGTGTCGCTATTGTTGCTGTCTTTCCAGTCGAGCGGCAAGATGAGTCGAGCGCATTGCTTTCCCTCGTAACATGGATGGTATTGTAACTGTTTGCTTGGGATAATGGTATTCCAATCGAAATCGACTGCAAGACATGCTATGGCCAAAGCCGCGACAAGAATTCCGGGTTCGTAGTGCATCGTGACTCGTTGGGCGGCGAAAACACCAAGCGACGAATGATCTCCGTACGACCAAATTTGCACCGATTATAGGCATCTAATGCGGGAATATGCTAGCTTTAATAAATATATGACTTTAAGACGGGTCATGGAAACCAGGATCCAGTATTTTATTTAGGCGATGTAGCGATGGCAATGGATGCTACCCTAACTCCTATAGAGCCCGCAAAGCTGAGCCAGGTGGTAATGAGGCATTACATTGGTGTAACAAAAGCCCGCAGGATATGTCTTGGCCTATCTTGCTTTTCACGGAAGCTTACAGAGCTGCCTTGGTTTACCTAGTGGTAGAGATGTAAGAGCCCACCGAAGGCAGTATTCAGTTAACAACATCGGATTTTAGACGCCGCCACCATTGTATTCCGAACACCATCTTAATATAGTGCAGAACAAAAACCTGTGCTCGATAGAAAATAGAATAAATAGTACCTGGTATTATTTTAATTATATCTATAATGGCTAGGCCTGTGAAGGTCTCGGTTGCCTCTCGACCAGGAATCTGTGTGAGTGACACAGACCGTTTCAAACGTTCCTGAACATTAAACATCAAAATTAATAGCCAGGCATAATCGTAACTCTAATGGTATATAGTCCTCCCCCTTTGGAGGCCTAGACGTCGAAAAATGACGAAATGATTCGCAAAATATAGGACATTGAACAGTAGACAAGAACTAGACGGGATCCCGACCTCTCCTGTATCTATGATCGTATATACAAGCAACAGCGCAAATTTATACAATAGAGCATTATTATGTTCTTCTTAATAATAGTTAAATTATTAGCTAAACCTACATTTACAATATAGCTTGATTAGATGATAATGAAGAAATTATAGCAACATTAGAATCATGAAACTAAATATAATCGCGAGTGAAGGGCTCAAGACCAACTATAAATCTTCTTTCCCCCAGTTATTTAAACCATAGTACTGTCACTACTATTTATCCCCTAGTTAAATTGGCTACCACTTCTTATCCTCGAGCTCTTTATTCCTTTTTCCCTCCCGCCATTGTATTTTGAAACTCTTGGCGGAAATCCGTTAGAAACTGTTCCATCACTTTCTGCGCATTCCAGCCTTGTGCTATACTCTTTAGCGACCTTCGTCGCCCAGTCTCATCCCCATCGTCTTGATCTGGCTCAGCGGACATGGTACGTCTGGTATATGCCAATAGATCCATTGCACCTTTCGCCATCTTTCCCATGACAATTCCCGACTTTTGTCCAATCCTTTGTGCAGCTCGTGTCTTGTGGCCTCGGGTTTGGCGTGTGTTTATGCTACTTTCAATGGACTGAAGGGGCATATCCCGGTCTTGCACTGTTTCCGCTGTTGGTGCTGGTATTTCTGAAGACAGTCCCGTGTCATCATCTTGGCTAGCTGCCGTTGATTCCATAGCCAATTCGAGCTTCCCCATGTCAAACTTGCTCATACTCTCAATTAGACCATATGCCTCCTCGGACAGCCTCATTTCGCCGTCTTTTTCTGTATACCCAGGCAGCTTCACCAGAGTCTCCATGAGCCACATTGTCTTCCAGACTTCTACCCAGGCTACTCGAAACCATTCTGTGTGCCCTTTACCGCAGTGTATACAATCCTTGACAATGAGATTTGAACGGCGCAGAATGGTTTTTACGAGTTTCTCAACTCTGTACGCACCATAAAAGCGTTCTTTGCTCTCATACACAATCTGTGTGTTGATGGCATAGCAATTACCACTGTCGCCATGCCTCTTTATGGCTGTCCCCTCCGTCCAGCCAACTTTGTACATATCGTCCCGCCCGTTCATCTTGAGAATATATACCACACCTTCCTTGAGATCATGGCCTTTGAGTGGCTTGTGCATCTCCCTGAAGATGCTCGAATCATCCCGCAGCGAGTTGACGCGCTGGAGTTTGGTGGTGCCCAGTTCTGGGAATGTCTCTGTATGGGTGCTTTTAACGACATGGACATCTGAAGATTGCATCGTGATGTTGCCATTGTTTTCAACTTGAACCTTTTCTTCGTGCTCAGTGACATCGGTAATCTGAAGCGTCGCCACTCCTGCCGTGATAAGCAAGTCTACTTCCTCGACTTGCTTCCGGCTCACCGCTGTAGGCTTAGCTTCCCCAAAATCATGAGTATCAGGTGTCATGGTTATATTCCCCTGTACAATTTCTGTAACAGATACATGACAATCAACCTTTTCGCTAGAAGCGACCTTGGCAACATGATCCATAGTCCGTTCTTCGACTTCATCGTTTTCGTCAATCTGGACGTCGTCATAAGCTGGATTTTCTTCGCGAGAAAGGTCGTCCTGCGAAGACGTCTCTACGGTCTCTGATTCAGAAACCATCGTTCGCGAATCTCGCCATTCTTTGAATATGCGCGAAGCTATTTTCACATGTTTACCACAGTGTATAAGCGTAACGTATGACTGAAGTGCCTCAAAAAGAGGCTCGTCTAGAATAGTGGCATGATGCAGTGTTGCAAAACTTTGCCATTGCGTTCTTGCTTGCGCTCCCCTTTTCTCCTTAGCAGCGTATGTCCTATTTGGGCATCGAACGTTGGTTTTCGCTGTTATGGCTCGACAAGTGTCAAACTGTTTTTCATCTGGGCTTTCGAACAACCAAGGGGTTCCCATGGATTGAGAGATCTCTTCAAAGACCAGATGTCTCATTGTTTCGGGAGGCATGTATACCGATAAGTAGCTATTAAGTTGATATGCCGCCAAGTTTAAAAGGTATATAAACCAGCAAGCAGACAACGGAACTGAAATGGCGACGGCTTCTATGGGCGAGGAAGTACTAACCAAAAAACCAAAAATAGCAAAAGGGAGCGGAGCGCACTTGGAGGACAATGATATGCGGCGTCTAGCACTCAGCTTACCTTCCGTATGCATGCACGAGTGCCACCACTCATGCACGTCGTGTCGAGCTCTAGGCCAATACATTGCGTCAAAGAGCGTGCGTTTCTTAAACGGTAGCCTGGGATGCATTAAAGAGGGGAAATTCGACACCGACTTCCAACAAGACGATAACAGCATGGAGACTGGTTTAGTTACCAAAGTCCCACGTTGAATAACATCGTATCAACTGTCAAAGTACTATAAATGATCTCAAATCAGGCCCTGGGACACCATCTTCACGAGAACCGGCATGAGCGTCCACAACTTTTGCCCTGTAGGTCGACAAGATACTTGGGCGCAAGGCAAAAGAGAGACGTCACCTGCAGCACCGGATTAGGAATAGAATGGATGGGTCGGACCGTTAATCCCACGGTTCCTCCGCCGCTAATCGCCGGGCGAGATAGAATGTGGTGTGCGGCTTCATGCAGGCGCGGAGAGTACGACGCCATCATGTCTTGGACTTGTGGAGAGGTCAGCGATTAGCTTAGCCCAAGTTTATCGTAGTCATTTTGCAGATTCCATCTTTGTGATTTTGACTAGAATTGGAGTATTCAAAGCCAAATCAAATTGTCACCAAATGGAAGCATTGAAAACAGACTTGACCTTCTCTCTCATTTGTTTGCCATTATGCAGTTAAATTTCCTTTCCCCTTCCCGTAAGGCCAAAATCCAACCACGTGCGTACACGCCGCAGAGCTCGGGCGCTTGTCTCAGTCTCCTCGCTGGGACTTTTGGGTGGCTGCCGTACCCATGTTACCACTAATGCACTAAAGCATTCGGCGTCAACGTGGAAAGGTTTCATTGGAAGAAGAGTTTGAACAGGCGTAATGATTGTATTGTCAGCTAGCTCCTTTAACTTGGCTGCCTCAGACACACCTGGAGAGCAACTTGCTGATATGCTATGCCAAGTGCACGCCAAGAGTCTTCCGTGCTATAGTACAAGGCTGCGTCTGCAAAGCGGCAGGGCTTGTCCGGTGGCTCTATGGGAGTACCATTCACCGCCCTTACTCTTGCGGCTGCCCAACATAGCGGTACAAATTAGGAATGGTATGGCTTGCGAAAGAAACGATTCGTCGTTCGAATTAGCTCTACCGATAGATTGGGGGCGCCATCGTCTGTTAACCAGGAGGAAGTATACTTGCATCCCATAATCTATGCCTTTGGGGAAGACACTCCAATCGCGGGCATCTACTCAGATATCTAGGCAAGATCTCCGATATTTGTTTAGGGTATGTTGCAGTCCATGTATAGATAGCGTTTAATCAATTCACGGAGAAAAAATTATTAAGTATTTAAATTGAAAAGCTGAGGATGGAAGCAATATTTAACATGGCCCCTACCCGGGACAGCGGGCTGGAATAGTAACCAGCGTATATCTAAAGCAGTGTTCGATGAAATAAATATAAATGTATTTTAAATAAAAATGTAAATAAAAAGGATACAAGAAATATTATTTTGGATGTTTGCCGTGTCTGTAATATGATTGTTGACGAAGGGAATATTCAGTCTTGGTGTGACGAAGTTCATACATTACAGCTGCTGATGTGATGAGCTACTGGTTCAGGAGATATTGAACAGATAAGGGAATATAGAGTATTGGATTTATAAATTAACCATCTCGAAACCGCGACAGCAGGCCATAAAATCCCAATTCATTCAACGACCAGCGAGCTGGAAGTCATTGGATTCCCTACGAAGATCCAGCTACAACGTCAAGTCTCAATGAGCACGACAATAACAGACAGCCCAAATACTGACCTCAATGTCATCTTGTTTCGCAAAACAGCCAGCATGCCGTACAAAAAGGCATTCCGTACGAGCTACTGTAGGCGGAGCGTATCCTACGCGCACATGAACCGGCCTCAGCGACCTAGCACCACCTTCTCCAAGAACCGAGTAAGCTTATAGCAAGCTTGACTGCAGCTCGCCCCCAATGATGAGCTTAAATTTATCTCGGACATGAGATTTACAAGTGATACGAATATAGACAAGGCACACAGCATAAGACGTGCGCGCTGATCTTGGCGGATGGCGCTAAGACTTTGCGCCCGGGCTAAGCGCCTTGGCAACTTGCCCGAATGGGCAAATCGTACCAAGTATAGTACACCTTGATGATAATTTCCATCGGCAGCGACTCATGGTGATTTGCGAGCTGGGCAGTGCTTACAGGAACTGCGAGACTCCGCGATCGATGCCACCATCATGGCGTCTTACTTTTTTCGCCAATATGGAGGCTCAAGGTTTACAAACTAGAAAAAGAGCACCAGCACGCTGTTCTTTTTGTAAAGAATTAGGTCACAAGAGAAACAAATGCCCAAAGATTAATATAGTTTAGCTTTAAATTAATTGAACTTTTATTTATATTTATTTGCTCTAATACTACGTGAAACTCGCGATACTAACTGCTATGGGTGGGCCGCTTATTGAAGTGGTCCACTTACTGGTAAATTACGTTATATCTCCATCTGTGGTCGGCCCGATGACTTCATGGACCGTTTCTCTAGAAGATTATATGCTGCCTGCTTGTCATGAAGTAGTACCAAAATCCGACCGAATACTCTGGTGCACCTAGTAGGGCCGTACAGTTCTCTGTGCCTCAACCAATGCTGATACTCTGGCTCCTTACCTATGGGTAGGTCTAGTATATTCCCAATGATCGGTAATACTGTCGGCCCTGGTGGAAGCCGTAACTTGGCCGCATTCCGATATTGATGTCGAAAAGCTATGTATATTAGCGCCGTCGCGACCACAGATACAACCAGTATATGCGCAGATGATGACGCAAGGTAGACGTGATTTTGAACGACACAAAGCTTAAAAGAACTGTTAAATAGTTATCTAAGCCGGTTAGTTGAGTACATTTAAACAGCTTAATCAACAGCTTAGTCTTTACATAAAGATTGCCATTTTGGGCGGGTTGCTCTTAGTAGAGCCGACGGCGAATCAGCTTCGAACACATTCCCACACAACTACGTGGACAATATGCATGTAATCTAGCATGTCTTAGTATCTAGGAATTTTGTCCACTTCAATATTTGTTCTTTTGAGCAACATTAATCACCTGGAAATTTCCATATACTGATGGGATTGGGTGCAGAAAGGCTGTAGAATTAGCCGAACTCCTTGACCATAGACGCAAAATAATCTCGAGACACGGCACATGAATGGGGATCTATCGACAGTTTTCTTCACCGCCTGCAGCAGTAAGACAGGTCTGCACAGACCATCAGTGTAACTCATCCGCATCCTGAGCTGTGTAGTATACACTACTTGAATTCCCTGGCTGGGAGAGCTCAGACAAGCACTTACTTCAGTTCAACGTAACAAGCACAAACAACTTCGCGCTATGTATTCCCCAATACTTCGAGAACTACGCCTATTTATCATGTTTTCATGGAGAGATTGGTCGGTATCTGTTATTCCTGCTTCCATTCAGGCTGTCGGTGCAATAGGCGACGTACCGTTAGATGCTGCAATTCGAGGCTATTTTTTTTTAATCTTCTGGACAATTCTTTACATATATGGCTTTAATCTTTTTACACAACTTCTCAGCATTGAAGAAGATAGTATCAACAAGCCGGACCGACCATTACCTGCTAAGGTACTTACAGTCAGAGACGCCTGGAAGAGATGCATCGTTGTATGGCTTTGCTTTTTGAGCCTTCCCATTATACAACCTCAAATTTTATGGGAAACAATATTTCATGTTTTCATGACTCTATTTCTCGGTGCAACTAGAGCCGGTGGACATTGGCTGGCAAAAAGTTGTCTCGCAATTGGAACAGGGGCATTTGCATTGTTGAGTACATCCCGAAAGCTGTTAAGCCCACCTGTCGCCAAACCCGACCAGCATATGATTGCGATTTCCATATGGGCAGCTCTAATCACACAAGCTCAAGACTTTAGGGATCAAGAAGGTGACAGACGTGTAGGTCGACAAACCTTGCCTTTGGTTTTTGGAGATACAGCTGCTCGTTATCTTCAAGCCATGATACTCCTTCCTACGGCATATGTGACGGTCTGCGCTCTACATGTTGGAGCACTATCGCCGACTGTGCTTGGAATTTTACATGTGCTTATCATATATCGCACTTTGATATTTCGAACCAGCGAGGCCGATCATAAGACCTATATGGTATGTTTCGTTTTAATAGGAGAGACTTCATTGAAAAATAGCCCAGCTAACCGATGTGGCAATCACCTTGCAGATTTGCACCTATACATATTGCATCCTAATTACTTTGAGTTCACTTAACGCCTTACACTTGATTTCGGTGGATAAACCGTTCGAATTGATAGTTTGGAAATGGCTTTGCTCAATAGTCGGTGTGGTATGTAGAATATGGACGGGCTGAGCTACTGGTCTACTAGCAAACAATTCGTTTGCAGAGTCGTCTGAAAGAGTGCCTGATTGATAAAAGGAAAATGACAGCAAAAAAAAGAAATCCTATGTGATTTATATTATTAATGTTTATATTGAAAAAGATTTAAGGAGACAAAGAGGATCTAAATCGAGAAAGTTTCTATCGAACCTACACCTAGCTCGTGGATAGTAGACTGCCACAAATCACGAGAGGCACGCTGGCCTTGGGCTGTATAAAGTGCGGTCGGATAACTGTTAAGTTGTTAGTATTCAAACCCATACTCAATGATTATAACCATCCATTACTTACGGTTTAATTGTCCAGTCGCTGGTAAAACTTCCGTGGCTCTCTTTGCCTTGAACCACTACGGAGTTGATATAAGTGCTGGCTCCAACTTCGACACTTCTTGCCAACAATCGCATCGCACCGCCACCTATGAAGTCGACCACTGGATTTCCAGAACCAGAATTGAAGCTGGTTCCCCTTGTTAGGCCTGGATTGGTGCAGCTTATGAGAACATCGTCCGCTGCCACCCGTTTTGCCAGCTCTGTCATGAACATGAGGATCATCAGCTTAGTTTTTGGATAGCACGTTAGTGTGGCGAAGGCCTTTTCGTCATCGACTTGCTCAACAAGTGGTTTGTCGTAATCCACTTTGGCCATGTAGGCCGTATCTGAAGCAACGCAGCAGAGCCTCGGAGCCACTCCTGCTGGGAGCGCCGTCTTTTTTGATTTGAGAATCGGGGCTAGCAGCGCTGATAGTAGCGCTGTGCCAAAGTAGTTTACTTGCAGTCCCATCTCGTGACCGCTCTCAGCGTGACGTTGAAATTCCGTCGCGCGAAACCCAGCATTAAGCAGGACAATGTCGATGCGAGTCAGCTCAGCATCACACCGAGCCACGAAGGCCTTAATAGACGCATAGGATGCCATATCGAGCACCCAGACGTCAATTGTGCATATTATTGAAGCCTTGCTCATCTCGTCTCGAAGCTGTGCAGCTGCGGCGTCTCCTTTGGCTTTCGATCGTACGGCCATGATGAGTTTGGATACTCCCAGTTGAAGCAGCTGCCTGGAGGATTCATAACCAAGACCGACATTGGAGCCGGTGACAATGACGGTCTGCCCGGAGAGGGGTTGTCCCGTCAAAGCGTGGCGCGGAGGATGCTCGCAGAGTTGGCGATGGAGAAATCCGCGAGCACTGCACTCATAGGCGGCCTTGTGTTCCAATTTAGAGGACATGGTGAAATATTAAATAAGAAAAGTTTTAGCTGGATTATCAAGTAAGTGAGTTGTTCAATTTTGAAATCATCACCTGTTGGGAGAGCCCCTTCTTATAGGAAACAAAGGCTATGAGGCCGGTGACAACGGACTTAAACATTCACTTCCATTAATATAGACATCCAGACTCAAATTTTCGGTGATAGGAAGACTTAAAGCCTTGTCGCCAGTTTCTCCAATTCGGGCTTAGTGATTGTATAGAAAATACGCAAACGGGATCCCCGCGATCTGCGACCAAAGTAGGAAATACTAGCGCTGAGGCCGCCACTGGACGTGACACACTAGTCTAAATTTGGTCATATTCGCGCCCGACATGTACATCAGCCCCTCTGAATGATCGAGCACCTTTATTTCTTTCGTCGCGATGACGTACAGCTATCCTTGATTCTGGATCAATCATCAGTGCACCATTAAGTGATATAGCCAGGGTTACAAGGAAGAGTACATTCCTACGTCCAGAGCGCGACGCAGGAGTCAGCAAGGATCCGATAAATAATACTAGGGCTGCGTCTCCCACGCCGCACGCTCCTATGCAATGCGCTTCTCGGGGACCGGATGTCAACCCTGCAGGCGTAGCCGAAAAAAGGTTAGTAATATCTCCAAAAGCGACGCAAGTAGCAGGTAGATGTTAAATAACAATAATACTACAGTGCGATGAGACTAGACCCGTCTGCCGTCGATGCACGAGAACCGGAAGGGCTTGTACGGGATATCGACAGGCCTTTGAGATCGTCCATGACGAGAACAGCTACGCAAGTGGCAAACAAAAACGGCCCCGTGGACCTCGTCCAATCGTAAACCCTCTGACTGACTTCAGCAGAGTCGCCCTATCTCGTGACGTGTCCTCCGAAGCCGTCGCTTATTATGTTCACTGTCACCTGGAGCCGCGCGCCGAGAAACCACTCATGGTTGCGCCTCCGGCCGTGGCCTTGCTGTCGCTCTGGAACAAAAACCCAGCGCTAGAGCTTGCCGCCTCGGCGACCGCGTTGGCACTATTCTCAAATACAAAAGCCTGCTCCCCAGCGACCAAGCTTGCCTTTGAGAGCTACCAAAAGGGCCTCGTGGTGTTGCGAGAGAGTCTCGCAGCCCCAGATTCGATTGACATCGAGGCTTGTCTGCTGGCAGTGTGTTTGTTAGGAAGGTATGAGAACGCTGTCTATGTACCTCCCCGTAAGGCTGGAATCCCATTTCTCGAGAGCATGCAGACAAAGAGACATTTAATCGGCACTATGGCCTTGCTGGAGCATTGGGTCAACTGCTGCAGCGGCGCTACAGCACCAACTGACATCATCAGACATGCCAGACGAACGTTGAGAAAAGCAGCAATATTAGGTCAGATGGATTTCCCAGAGTGGCTGCAAAGAGGGGATATATTCGGTGAAGAAGGCTCTATGCGGGAACTGGATGTCATACTTTGCCGACTTATCAACGCCCGCAGCAAGCTAATAGCGTTTTCAAAGACACAACAAGCATCAGAAATACGCTGCACAGACGCGATCTCAAGCCTCCGAGGCATGGAGCACGAAATAAGGGCAATCGATCAAGCATTGATTGAATACGGGGCTCTGCATATAGAGGTGTCCTCTCACAAGCAACATACGTTGGAGTCCAACCACAACTACTCCAAGCAGCATTTCCTACTCTCATGCTTATACAGTCACGACAGCTACGCAAAAGCCGCCCTATGCGCTCAATATTACGGATACAGAATACTAGTAAATCAAGTACTCATGCACATCCTCATGCTGCAAGACACACAGTTATGTAGCATACAACCTGAGCCTCTAATTGAGTGCCAACGCACCATCGACTACCTGTCTGGAGAATTAGCATCGCTCACACCATTTTGTCTGGACATGGTCAAAATACCGAACGAGTCGAAATTATCGGTCGAACCGATAGGCATAACGTCTGATGAGGACAGGAGGCCGTTTGTCGTAGAGTTAATAGCGACGCCGCTCCTCATTGCTTCCAAGTCGCCCGGCCTCAGACAAGAGTTTACCAGTTGGTTTTCGTCAAGGTTAGAAGATACGGGGCGCTTTCTTGGCTACGGGGTTATTCAAGCAGCGGCCAATACCTCTGAAAGACTTCATTCCCGATAAAACTTACAGATAGACTATTATGGACGAACAGAGAACGCACACGGAAGTCGAGACAGCATCCAAGGCGACACGGTGAGGAATAAAACCCCTTTCTTAGTCCACCCTCCAACATTCGCTTTGTATTATGTGAATGATAATAAATGGCCAAATACAGTTGATTAATTGGATGGTAGAATATATTATTTTTATTTTTTTGAAGACAGACTGAGAATTCGGCCAGTGGTGTAGGTTAGCGTAATAGCTGCTAGTGGTGTGCATCTTGCTACTTTGCTTATCACAAGTTCGTTCACTACAAATATTTGTCAACGACGAAGCAGGGCGAAAATAGACACTCTGTAGATGGGTTTTTAAAATCTAACCCCACAAGTATGTTGTTTGTTGACCAAACTTGCGGAAGCCTAGAGCTTCGTATACGCCCTGCCCGTCCTTACTGGCCGTTAGCATCGCAATTCTATAACCCTGTCGGCGTGCGAGCATCATGGAGTGCAGTGTAAGCGCTTTCCCGATTCCTCTCCTGCGAAATTCGGGCAAGGTAACAATATAATGAACCGCTGCAACGCCCTCGGCATAGAGCATAATGCCGGTCCCGACTGCCTGGCCGTCCACTCGGCCAACGAACATACTAAACTCGCTTCGGGGTAGGTCTCTCAGCATCGCTTTGTAGGTAACAGTGTAATCGTTTAGCACCTCTATAGGCGTATTGCCACATCCCCAGGTCGTTATCCAGTCGGACAGGGCTTGCGTATCGCCATCCTCCACAGGGGTAACCTCAAAGTCTGTCCCAGCACCTGCTACGGCCAGCCTATGCATTTGAATCAACTTTTCTTCGTCCTCATCTAGATTTGCTACCATGGCCGGCTCGTCATCGTCCACAACAAAGCCGTGGCTTAATAGCGCCTGCTCAAGCGTCGGTTGCGGTGCTGGCCACACGATCCAATGGCAGGGTGATGGTGCGCTTTCTTTGCTACCGGTGAGCGCACCCCCCATTACAGCACCAACAGCGCTAGTTGGATCGTCACTAGGTGCTAATGCACCACCTGGTACGCCGTTATGCATTTGTCTGTCGCTGGCCCAGGCCACCGCTGCTTTCGTGCCAGGGATGCGAACCAGGCGAGCTTTGCCAGCCAAGCGAATCTTGGTTGTCGCCGCTTGAGAATGTGCTGTGTAAAGCTCCTGGAGCTGGCTCTCAGTGAATAAGCTCAAAACGGGATAGGCCGACATGTTTTTTTTGTTTTGCGCAAGAAGGGTATCTATCTTGGATTGGAAAACATTTTATAGTCGCAGTTACATTTCCATGGTAAAAAATATTATATAAGCCAACATCTGTTTTAAGGCAATCGTTTATTTTGCTCGTAAACAATGACTCACCGACCGAGCTCTCATATTGGCTGAGCATCAAAACCGCAAACTGTATCTACGATTGTATATGTTCTACGTCATTCGCGGATCACAACTTATATTTGTAAAATAAATACATAAGAAAATTCTTGTTATTATTTATAAAAATCTTTAATGTATTACTGGGATAATAAGCTTTAATATAATAAGTTTATTTTTAATTTACCGTTTGAAATAGAAGATAAATCTGTTAAAAGCTTCAGTCTTTTATTTTTTACTAAAAGTGTTGGTTTTATATATACTTTGAAGTATGTACTCTTTAACTGTAATTGTACTAATATTTTACATAATTATTTTAAGAAAGTAATTTAAGGATATAAGTTGTGATCGGTGAATGGCGTGGAACAAATACAGTAAAGCTAGATATATTTCAATGCCTAAGTTACACATTAGTAAAAATAATAATATATACTACGACCGCCCACACTACTCAGTAGAACAAGAGCACTCTCTAGCTAATCTACCCTATAAACAACATATATAGCGAATATCGCCCTGCCTCCCGCGAGCGCAATCTTTTGCATAAACAGGCGCAGACAACGGCCAACTGGTTGTAACTCCGACGGCCAACAGTGTTAGCTCTCGGTGTGGTAGCACTGCAGGGCTCCGCAATATGACACGTTCTCTGCAAGATGGGTGCTCCTAATTAGAACGCCCCTCCAAACATGACGCCCCCATAGACGGCCAGGCCTATATCACATGCCAACTAAGATGTCACACCAGGTCCCGAGTCTGGGGTTCCGACAATGCCATCGTAGAAGGCGATCTCAGTTCCACAGGCTGCATAGCGTCTTATTGGCGCAAAACCTCCGCACGTCCATACAAGGTGTCTTGCAAAAGTCGTACAATTAAAGCCAAGCACCTTCGTTCTCTGCAAAACCGCCACTGTTTTGTGTGGGTTGTGCCAGTGCGCTTGGTGCAAACTCACACTGGGAGAGTGGAAATGTTCGCCGGTTATTCTAGAACAACTCGGCCCAGATTCATGCAGCGTTAGCTTCACCTGCACTAATTGCCACTGTCTCGCTGCAGCCGGCCCAATTCCACGTTCCGTCGCCGTTCGGAAAAGGCAACTCATCCCTGAACCGGTAGCCCAACATTCTCGTCTATCGAAATAAAAACTCAACGTGTGCATCCGTGCGCAAAGCCATAGGCAAATTCACCCTCGCTGTACTCCACACGGAAATGATCTATGCCGCGCATCTCCGTTCGTAAGTAGCCGCACCGTTTGCCGAGCTGAACGAGGACTAGGCCCATGCGCTGAAACACAACCTTTCGCCACAGAAACATGAAGAAAGTTGCTTCTGTGCAGCGATAACGGAATTCCCTACTTCAATGTCGTACGGTAGCAGTCTAGTGAAACGAACTAGCAGCCGTTACCACGAGTCGGCTACTAGAAGACTAGTGCCTCTACTGTATCAGCGCTCGTCCCCCTCGATACAACCTTAACTATGAACCGATCGGCGGGTAGGTTGCCTATTCCACACCTGTCAAAAAAGGCGTTGAGCCTCTGCTATCGCCTCCTTAATAACGAGATCTTGGAAGATGGCTGCAGGCTGAATCGCGTAAATTAAAACATTGTTAAGCCCCTCGTAGCCGCTTTTCAAGGCGTAGTTGCATGTCCTGAAAAACAAATCGTTTCCTATTCTCCCTCTTTTGTACTTCGTTTTGCATTTTCGACTTCCGATTGATACCCATTTGCTTTTCTGTTGTTCTGGTAGCCGCTTCCGATGCGCAACCTGTAATCGCCGACGCCTCCACAGTTCCGTATACTTTTTGATTGATCCAGGCGGAATAAATTACAATCGGAATACCCTGTGCAACAATTATGAAGTTGACAAATTATCTGCCATGGCTAGTCATGATTAGGCCGTCATGGGCAGACTCACAACCCACGACCAGCGACATTGTTGCCGCTCTTGCGAGTGCACCTCCCTGTGCAGTTAGTATACCGCATCAGCTTCAATCACACAATGTTAATCTTTATAATAGGTGGCCTGTTTCACACCTGCGCTCAAAGCATCTGGCTGTGCCATGACCGATGCCGTGTGCATATGCCAGAGCGAAAAGATCAAGGCCGCCTTGGCCGCGTGCCTTACCAAACAATGCACGATGAAACAAGCCCTCGGTTCGTTTCTCTGATATTATACGCAAAATCTCCCTCTGGCTAACACACTTCCATAGCTACGTTAAACTCTACAACTACAGCATGTAAACTACCGATCCGCAGCCGCACGTCCGAATACATCCGAGTCTCCAACACCTTCGGCATCATCACCGCTGCCTTTGTGGCCCAACGATTCGTCTTTAAAATCTGGGCCAACATTGAAATCGGTTTCGACGACTGGTTCGCTCTCATCACCACTCTCATCGGTGTCCCTGTCACCGTCATCAACGCCCACGGCGTCACTGCCAATGGACTCGGCCGAGACATCTGGACACTCAGCTACGAGAACATCACCAGCTTCATCTTCTACTTTTTCCTCCTTGAGGTCCTTTACTTTGCTGCTGTCTCCACTCTGAAATTGTCGCTCCTATTTTTCTATAAACGCATCTTCCCCTCGCCAACAGTGCAAAAGTTGCTCTACGGAACCATCGTCTTCGACTGCCTCCTCGGCATAGCATTTACATTGGTCGCTATTTTTCAATGCGCGCCTATCAACTACTACTGGGACAGATGGGATGGTGAGCATACCGGACAATGTATGAATATCAACGTCATTGCGTGGTCGAATGCAGGTATTAGCATTGGCCTTGATCTTTGGGTGCTCGCTATTCCTCTGTGGCAGCTCTACGGTCTCGAACTCGACTTGAGAAAGAAAATCAGCGTTGCTTTAATGTTTTGTGTTGGTACCTTGTATGTTCTTTACCTTGAGTGGGTTTAATTTTCTGTTGCTAACGTGTGACTGCAGTGTTACCGTGGTCAGCATCTTGCGCTTAAAGTCTCTCGTCAACTTTGGTGTTGAGACACTTAACCCTACATGGGAATTTTTCGACGTAGGTATATGGTCTACTGTGGAAATTAATGTCGGTATTATTTGCGTCTGCCTTCCGACATTTCGACTTTTGCTCGTTCGCTTCTTCCCATTTTTGCGAGGTACCCTGAAGCGCACGTATGCAAGTGCCACCGGCCGGTCTGGTTCAAGAAGGCCGCGTAAGTCGTCTCATTTACCACTGGGCTCGCCTTCTGTATCTAGAGTAGATGCCAGTGTAACGCCTTCGCCAGGGCCGCCAGATGGGAAGAGCATGGGCATTATGTATCAACGATCATATGAAGTTGACGTCGAACACAGCGACGCTCACTGGGTGCATTTGCAGGACATGTACAAGGGCCAAGCAAAGAAGGATTGGGAAGCGGTTTAGGGTAATTCTTTATAGTTCCAATTGATGAGCGTCTATTTACGTCGTTTCATGCCATCGCTGCTCTACGTCGTGGATGAATTAATTGGCAATGTTATCCACTGAAATTGAAACTAACCATCACTTTCCACTACTGCATTTGTTTTCCGCTTCTTGGTAACGGGCTCTCGCTCAGCTGGCCCTATCGATGACTGATCCTTCTCTTGAATTGAAAGGCCGCTCTCGATATCTATGTGAGTTGACCTATCCTTGGACTTATTATTCTCTGTTGTTGACTGGCCTTGGGCGTTCTTCTTGGACGTCTTATCTGCGCTGCTTTGTGGCCCATATCGGTCTAAATAATCGGAAGGATTATTACTAGAACCCTCTATCTTGCTCAAATATTCACGACCTCTATAGCCAAGCCACAGCTCCGGAGCAGTGATAACGTGTGTGTGGATTTGATCGGCCAAAGTTCCGGATCTAACTTTCTCAAGGACATTGCACAAAAAGCGCTTGGCCCATAAGTCCAATCCGTGTATGCTCCGGGAGTCCAAACTTTCCTGGCAGTCGGCGCATAGGCCTAACGCGTAGTAGTAGCACCACGACTCATCAACGCTGCCGTCTGTGTCAGAACGAGTTAATAAAGGAAGGTTCTCTCTTGCGCACAACTCGCAACAAACAACACCCCGACTGATTTTCTCCTGGGCTTCACAAACCCAAGCGATGACTTCACCTGAGAAGAGAAGTTTAAGAAACATAGTCTTCATCTCTCCGAATATGCTATCGACGAGCCGCGGGTCTTGCCATGGAGAATATTCTCGATTGAATATACTCCGCCCAGTGTTATGAGGGCCTCTTGGAGAGCCTTGACGAGTGGGAAGGGGCTGATTCAAGCCTTGTAACCACTTCACAAAGCTATGATATCCATTAGAGAAGAAAACACCGTAGGGTAAGCGCAAATTCCATAGGTTACGATTTCTCTTGTCACCCCGGAGGTTCAATGTCCCATTATGTCTGGTCGTGTGGTAAACGTCACGGTCTTCAAAAGTTTCTTTAATGATCCTAGCCAGGCTGTCCGTGTTTGGTGGTTCAATAGCACCGCGAACGAGATAAACACAAAGATCGGACGGGCTTCGACCCTCAGCAGCATAATTCAGTTTTCCGTGCACTAAAATCGCTCCTGCGTCAGAAATTTGAAGATTTCCATATAATGGCGGGATCGGGTGACTGTGTTTAGAACAAGAGCCTAAATTGTTAGGATCTGTTCTACACTTGTGTTTCCAATTATCGACAGATGTATCACCCAAATATCTGTTAGGGTTGTTAGAATCGATGCTCTCTTGGCTAATGTGACCTACGACGTTCGAAACGTCAGATGTTGTTGCATCACTACCGTTCTGGATTATTTCTTGTGTCTCATATGACTTCGAGATACGAAGGAATGGGAGCTCAGGCTCTAGTTCTCCTCTTTTGTGAAACTTGTATGTGTTTTCCACTAGCTCCCAAGTAAGGGCGTCGTCAGCTTTAAACCATGGCGAAATTCCGTTAGTCCCAAAGTCAACATAGCCCGTGGTCCGTGAAATGCAAGCCAATAGGTTTTGATCGGCACGAGCGCTGCGTAGTTTAGAGATGTAATCAGTGAGACTGTTGCCTGGCTGGATATTATCTCCATCTATAACAAAACTTGGCTTTCTAGCTTTGCCACGCTTGGTTCGCAACTTCGATTCGGCAATAAGAGTTTCGAAGGCGTCCTCAGCAATAGCAATGACACAAAGCTCACGAGCTTGTTCCCAAGAAGCCGAAAGAAAATATGATACGAGATGGATGGTATAGAATTTGATGCGCCGTATGTTAAAAGCAGCCCTGGGCCGCGACAGACCAGTCCAACCTTCCTCCATAGCATTCAACTGGTCAGAGCTAAGAAGGCAAGGTGTCTGATACGAGTGGAACTGATCCAAAACTCGTCGGAGGAAGTATTCCCGAATTTTCGTACCCATAGAGAGGAGAAATGTTTGTATGTTATCTGCTGTAATGAATAGGGATAGAAATCTAGTTTCTATTGGTGCGATGTGGCGAATGATTCCAAGGCGGCTATCGAGATCTCTGAAAGCCGTCTGCATCTCATGATGGCCAGAGTGGGATGTCTCAATATCATAAGATGGTAGTAAATCTCTCGAAGAATATATATCGGTATCTGTGAAAACGGTGGCAACGTCTATGTCGCCAGGTGAGAGGCTTCTCAAGTCAGTGAGAAGGGCTGACCGGTAGACGTCTCGTGCCCAGTCAGACATATAGTCGACTATCAGGAACAGTTGGAGGGCGTCATCGCGACTTGTTATGCATCCGTTCCAAACGTGGACGACTTCCTTTTGGATTATTAGGATCAATTTTATTCCAAGTAGCGTTAATGGAAACAACATACTGTAGTGTGACGAGGGTTTCCAAGGAATAGCTGACCGGTTCTGGGCTTTCTATACGCTAGAGAGAGCCTCCAGTCTTCCCCCCTGCTCATGAAAAACCAAACTAATGAGCTCGTCGCGGATTTCGATCCCTGTGACGCGGCAGATCGAAGACTCTCTTGACAGTTCAGGTACGTGTAGATAGGGAAGGCTGTTTGTAGACTTATAGATGACCAGTCATCCGCCGCGTTACCCGCTTTTGCTTCGATGACAAGAAATGGAAAGAGCAGGGCTTCACCCTGGACAGTAGGGTGCGGCTGTTGTTGTAGACGTTCCCCGAGAAACTCGCCGCTCCCAATCTCCTTGAACATTAGATCCTCAAAGTTCCTAGTCTGTCGAAGCCCGTATACACGATCTGGTCGTTGTTCCTGAGGTAGCTGTTTCGCTAGATCTGGCGGGTGGATGACCTTGTCTTCAGCTCTGTCTATAAATAGCCTGTTGAGCCCGACTCTCTCATCCCTTTACATAGTCTAGTTAGTGTATGTCTTGCTATTTCTTGAAAGGTATACTCACTCATCATTGGGTCGTGTATTTCGAGGGCATCGACAAGGCTCACGGTTCTGTTGCCGCTTCTTAAGCTTGGCCGCAGCCCGACTGTCGCCCTCCAGCCTCGCCTCAACCTCAGATCGCCATACCCGCTTTCGACAGGTTTTGCTACAAAAGATTAGTGTTCCAGATCATCCAATTTACTTGGCGTTTTATGGGAACATTGCTCACCACGCTATCTCAGATGTTAAACGACTAAAGACCAGAGGTTCACAGGCAAATCTCCAGGTTGCCTCGTTCCTGGAGACGCAATCTTTAGTCTTCTCACTGAGTTTCCGGGCATGCTCTTTGGCTTTGGACTTCCAATCGAAGCTATCCTCGCTTTCCTCAGCAGTTGCATATGTACTATACTTGAATTGTTTAAGCTTTTCGATAGCCTCGAATATGCCACGATGGTTATCTGGCCATTCTTTCGGGGAAATAGCGTCGGTGAATATAATACCGTGTTGCTTGCGGAGCCGTTCGAAGGCCGGGCGAAATTCCGATTTGATGGGCATATTCAAGTATATACTTTCGTTAAGCTGAGGAATAGAATTTAGAGCAGTATTTGAGGCAATGAGAACGGGCAATTTATAAACATGATATAGGCGGCCTTCTGGTAGCCGGCCCTCTGGGCGCTTCATGAAACAGCTCAGCCACTTTACTACTATTACTGACCAATGGGCGTAATTACATCATTTATAGTCGTTACCAGTTATGCGAGGCAGAATATATCCCATAGTACGCCTAATACCTCGAGCCTCTCTCAAGCGGCACGTCTCACCAGCGCCGAGAGAGTCGTACTACTAATACACGTCCCTGTTGACAACAAAACAACAAATAGAAATTTGCATTAAATAAAGAAATATATTTGCATTCTTAGATATATTTTCTAGTCGTTTAAAATAGCTTTATAATCATGGAGTATGTCTAGTATTTCTATCATTTACATAATACCGACAATCCCCGATCAGTTGCGCCATCTATTTGCGTTAAATTGATTAGCTCCGACCGTTAATCTCGGCATAACGGTTCCACAATCATCACGACCAAAGACTGTGAATAGTTAAAAAGAGTACTTCATTTAAGTTAGTGGATAAGTTATTCATAGGCTTTTAACACTCAGCATACATCATAACTATCGATCAACGGATGTTTAAACTATATTTCGGCCAACCTAGATAATATAGTTAGACTGGATATAGGAGAGCAGGGGTGTGTGAAGTAGTATAAGCAGCACTAAACAGCAAACCGCAGACGCATGGCTGCTAAGTTCTTCTCCGAGCGCGCCTCGCTCGAGATTCTGTGCAGCATGTTAGAATGCGTTGCCTCCCCGAACGACGTGCTCGCCTTTGCCTTGACGTGCCGACACATGGCTGATGCATGGCACGTTGGCAACACGGGCGTCTTGACTGTCTGGCGCATCTGGCAGGAAGATATGCCAGCAGTAGAAGAGGCCCTGATTGCCGTAAGCTTCTCCTTGATCTCTCATCCTCGTCTTCTTCGCATGCAGACCGTTGCTAACCATTTTGCCTTCAAGGTCCGGGTAACAGAGCTTGTTTATGATACAGAGTGCCAAGGCGTGCCGCACCCTGAATCAATTGACCCTTCTCGGTTCACGAGCAACGCTGCTCGTCCCACGGCGCGTGAGCTCGGTCATGTCTGGCTCCTCCATAGCCTTGCCCTTGGCCTCGAAGGTACGCTGCGCAGTCCACATGGTTTTGATGACTACCATCTACCGAGCGGTGTCAACTGGGATCAGCAGCAGACACCAGGGGCTGAGCAACCAGAAAGGCTTGCTGAGTGGAGGGTTGGCTTTCACCGAGCGGCCTACCGATGCCTCATCGCTGGTGCGGTGCTCGCCTACGCCTACAGTGAACCCCTCTACCAGTGCGGCGCGCAGGAGACGGTAAACGACGAGCAGAGCATCCTGCTCTCAGGATTTCCCGCGTACAACATTGAAGCTAGTATGGAGGAGCAGGACGCCATATTTGGCCCCTTCGCTGACTGGCTATTGGAGAATATCCTTGCCAATACCGCAGAGGTAGCTGCTATAACTGATCGCTTTGATAAGAGACAAGGGCGAGCATGGTGCTGCAGGGATTTACAGAGCGACGATGAAGACGCTGGGTCGGAAGATGAACTTGATGACGGGTGCCCAGTCCAGCTTAAGGGCAGGGCTGGCATCGATTCCCATGCTCAGGCACACTACGTTGCCTGGGAAGTCATGAAGATGCTCTGGCAGCAAGAACACATCCTCCTGTCCATGTATAACAGCCGATTTCCGCACCACAAAGGCCAGGGATCATCTGAAAAGAGCTGCATTATTGCACCATTTGGCCTCTTTTGCTGCGCTCATGTGGACATTATTACGCCGCCAGCCAGATACGCGCCACAGCTCGCGCTTGATGCTCGCGATCCAAACGATTCTAAGCGGCCTATGGATATTTTCTCCGTACTGGATATCATAGGACCAAAACAAGACCACCTAAGCCAAGATGCGGTACCGGCACCGCTCGAGCTACAGTTCTTTCGATACTTCTTGCAGAAGCACCTCGGACTATCGTTTTGGGAGGACTTTTTCGATACGGAGAGTCGCTATGCCATTGAAGATGGCCAAAACTGGACCGAATTCATGAAGTGCCTACAGCTCTTCGCGCTCGATGATGTGCCAAACCGCTGGCCTTCCAAAGGTCTCTCCACCGCCGCGGGGGCCGACTTTATAGATGGCACGGAATTTTTAGTAAAGGCTAGATGATGCATTGGATGGGAATGTAAATGTGCAACTTTATACTATGCACCTTGCCGAACCCGGAGGCTAAGCTACTGATCCAGGCCAATACGATCTCAGATGTGCCGTTGACTCCCTCTGTGCGCAGTGGCATAGTTACGCAGCGTGTAAGAGCGGTATATGTAAAGCAAAACAAGTCACTTGGCATAAAACGGTTCATAAAACATCAGTTTCATAAATTTCAAGACAATTAGTACCAGTCTGATTTGCGCAACGCAAAACGTTGCTCGTCGTGGTAAAAGACAAGAAAGAAAACGCTAAAGAGTGTCGCTACGCTATCGTATAAAAATTCAATCATAACATTGGCCCCCTCTTTGTACAAGTGCCTTTGTATTAGTGCGCAAGCGCGAAATTAGTTGGATCCAGAGCTCTTGTGGTGGACGAGCTTAGAGATCCATCCGGTGAGGCCCTCCTTGGGCTTGGTCTGTCTGCATTGAGCCTTAGCGGTATGGTCGGGATAGGTGATGTCCAGGTGGGGTGTCTTACTGTTCAGGTTCCGTGGTCTCCTGGGTAGCCGCTGGATCCTCGACGGCAGCGGGAGCTTCCTCTGTCTTGGGCTCCTCAGTAGTCGTCTCAGCGGCCTCAACGGGAGCCTCCTCGGCGGGGGCAGCGACTTCTTCAGCCTTGGCCTCTTCCTCTGCGGGTGCAGCTTCCTCAGCGGGAGCTGCCTCTTCGACTGGGGCGGCTTCTTCCTCAACCTTGGCCTCCTCAGCCTCGGGAGCAGCCTCTTCAGCCTTGGTCTCTTCAACGGGAGCGGTCTCTTCAGCAGGAGCAGCTTCCTCAGCAGGAGCAGCAGCTTCCTCAACAGGGGCAGCAGCCTCCTCAACAGGGGCAGCAGCCTCCTCAGCCTTAGCCTCTTCCTGGACGGGAGCAGCTTCCTCAGCAGGAGCAGCAGCCTCCTCAGCCTTAGCCTCTTCCTGGACGGGAGCGGCCTCCTCAGCGGGAGCGGCCTCTTCGGTAGGGGCGGCTGCCTCCTCAGCCTTGGCCTCTTCAGCCTCGGGCTCCTTGGTAGCCTCTTCGACGGCGGCTTCAGCAGCCTCAGCGGCAGGTTCCTCAGCTGCGGGCTCTTCCTTCACTTCCTCAGTGGTGGCTTCCTCAGCAGCAGGTGCCTCAGCGACAGGCTCTTCAACGGGAGCCTCCTCAGCAGCAGGCTCCTCCTTTACCTCCTCAATGGGGGCGGCCTCCTCAGCAGGAGCAGCCTCTTCAGCGTGCTGAGCCTCCTCGGTGGTCTCAGCAGCGGGTTCGGCCTCAATAGCCTCTGCGGCCGGCGCAGCAGGCTCTTCGGTCGTGGCGGGCTCTTCCTCCTTGGCTTCCTCGACAGGGGCAGCCTCTTCAACGGGAGCTTCTGTGGTCTCTGCAGCAGCCTCGGGTGCCTCCGCGGCGGGGGCAGCAGCTTCCTCTTCCTTCGACTTCTCGGCGGCAGGCTCTTCAGTGGCCTTCTCTTCCGCGGGGGCTTCTACAGGAGCAGCGTCTTCAGCAGCGGGCTCCTCGGCAGAGGGCTCAGTGGTCTCCTCGGCCTTTTCTTCGGGAGCGGCAGCTTCGACAGCTTCAGCAGCGGGCTCCTCGGTAGCTTCAGCAGCAGGCTCCTCCTTGGTCTCTTCAGTGGCGGCCTCGACAGGTGCCTCTTCCTTAGCTTCTTCAACAGCGGCCTCAGGAGCAGCCTCAACGGGTGCTTCTTCAGCAGCAGGTTCTTCCTTGGCCTCTTCAGCGGCGGCCTCGACGGGCGCCTCTTCCGTAGTCTCAGCTGGGGCCTCGGGCTCGGCAGCTTCAGCGACGGGTTCTTCCTTGGCTTCCTCAGCGGCAGCTTCAACAGGTATCTCCTCCTTGGCTTCCTCAGTGGGAGCCTCAGTGGGAGCCTCAGGAGCAGCTTCAGTAGCAGCCTCAACAGGTGCCTCCTCCTCAGCCTCTTCAACTGGGGCTTTGGGTTCGGCAGCTTCAACTTCAGCAGCCTCCTCGGTAGCAGCAGCCTCCTCGGTCGCGGGAGTTTCCTCAGCAGCGGCAGCAGCAGGCTCAGCTTCTTCAGTGACCTCTACGGGAGCGGCCTCAGCTTCTGTTGTAGGTTCAGCGTCAGCAATGGCGTCGGCTTCAGCGACCTTCTCCTCCTGAGTAGCAGGCTGCTCCTCAGTCGTCTCGGTGGCGACAGCTTCGGCAGCGGGCTCTTCGGTAGCAGCAGGTTCTTCGGCGGCGGGCTCTTCAGCAGCAGCCGTAGTGTACTCAGTCTCGCCCTCCTCTATAGTTTTCGTTAGCATTTCATACGTTTGTTGGAACAGTAGAAAAGCAAGTACACACCCTGCACGTGTATCGAATCGTCGTTGGCTTCGGGGATGGTGCGGGGAGTCTCGCTCTCGCTGGCGACGGGCTGCTGGGCCTCGACGGCGGCGGGAGCGTGGGCGTGGGCAATGGCCTCCTGGGCCTGCTCGATAACCTGGTCGGAAGACATGTTTGTTTTTTTGGTGTTTGGATTGGGGTTTGGGTATATGGGGTATATATGGAAACAAAAGTACAAGTAATACAACAACAAAGGCTGGCTTATAGAGGGGGTATAAAAAAGCAAAAGATATGAAACCGGATCTGGTTTGGATTGGATTGGGTGAGGCTGAGTTGGAGAATGAAGAAGCAGAAATCAGAAATCAGAGAGGCCTGGGCTGTGTCGGGTATATATAAACACTCAGACGAGGACGGCGATGTACCGTGAATGCTGTAAGTGACGGCGTCCGAGTTGAAAGAGCGGGCGTGTGCAGCAACAAACCCCAACAACATGAATAAACCCGGGGTCTACTACTGTACGCGGGGGGCCAAATGGAGCTCGAAGCGGGCGTCAAGGTGTTTGAAGGTAACCTTGACCTAGTCGTTTATCCTGGGCGGCATGGTCGAGTGATCACTCAAGGTTTGCGTCGTGCTCGTCGTGGATTGGTCTAATGGCGGTGGCGTGCTGGAATATCAGAGCTAGTCGAGCCCACGGCAGTGAGCTGGATGGTGCATTATGCGGTGCGCGTAGCCCATCCCTGCGTATACTGTACCGCAAGCGCCGGGCCCAAATGGCGGTCTCGCGGCCCAACCTTGTCGAATTCCCCAAAAAGCGACCAGGGTGGCGATGTATGGATGACTGGTCGTCGATGGCTTCAGCCACAAGCGGTGAAGTGTGCGTGTCGGTGGGCAACGCGGGCGGCAACAAAAGCACGGCGGCCAATGGATTATATTATCGCGGTTTCATCATTGTCATGTGCAAATTGAGTGTATCATTCATTTCGCTTTACGCCCCTTTTCGCTCTTTTGCTGGTCTTTTTTTTTTTAGTAAAAGTTATGAAACATGCAAGGCTCAGGTCCTGCCTTCTGGGGGTGGGTTGTTTGGTGAATTTGCGGTCACGCCACCCCGGATTGCCACTTTGGGAAACCCATACATCTGACCCCGCTCTCTGAAGCAGCAGAGAGACCGACATCGCTAAAGCTTCACCTGCTACAAAAAAAAAATAAGGCATCATCGGGGTTATGTGATTACTGGATCTCAATGTGAATGAAAATTGATTTCTAAAATAAAGTGTGGCGGTTTCTTGACTTTTTGCTACAGTACTACCTCCTTCGACATTTTCCTCCAATTTCGAGAGCTAACACACCGACGACAAGAGCTAGACAGGATCCCGAATTTTCCTGTATCCGTGGTTGGTATATTCCAGATGGTGGCGTGTAGAGATTTGCTTTTGCGGATAAGGATATATTGGAAGGATCGCTTTAAGCTGCCTTGCGAGTTGAAACCCACGCAGAGATATCATCAAAGTTGCGACAGGTGTGAACCATATTCGACTCTACATACGCAACGCCTCTCGCTTCATTCCACTTTGTTTTGGACAAGTGTTAAATCCCCATAACACATGATGGTCAACAGCCAGACCATGACAACGCCAAGGCCAGGGCCAATCACCATCAAGTGTCAGAAATACCTTAATAAGCTCAAATTACTAAGAATGAAGAAGCCAATTGAATACCATCTTCTTAAATGGCAGTCACTCTGACTACTAATAGCACTCTGCGTATTATATAATGGAGCTCCTTCTGCGCATTCATAACGAAGTCTACTTACTCTGGCGCCTCTATTATTTTTAACAACCAAACCCGCCCCTCGCTTAAGTTTTAATACTCTTTGTCCTGATATAAAAATATTGCATAAACTTCGAAATGCATCACAATTCCCATGGTACTCAACCATCTCTACAGGCGATGAAGACGCTGAGATCAAACTTCAACCCCCTCTCACATCCGCCAAGTGGCAAGGGCGAATCCATACTAGATTTTCTATTATTATATCTCTCTGGCTCGCCTTTACCATTGGTCTAAGTGCCTTGGGCTTCGCTCTGGGCCGAGCTACAACGCCAGACTGGTGGTACACGCAGCAGCTATACCCGTGGTATAAGTCTTACCGCCTTATACTCTCCGATGTACCACAACGCCTGGCCTATAAACAGCCCCTGCCCTTGGCATTGCTTCCAAATATCATGAACAGCAGTTTCTCGGTAACTTTACTCAGCCGTCGCCATACCGTGGGCCACCTTCGCCTGAGGTTGATGAGGCGTGGGAGTCGCTATCGAGAAGAGGGCTGCAGCCAATGCGCATCCCTCGGGACGACCTATTTCGCCTGAACAAGACATTGGACGAGAGCATTATTTTATACGGTGAAGGCGGCAATCAGTACGCTGATGGGATGCTGGAGGTTTTCCACCAATTACACTGTCTTGTAAGTACACTGAATTTAGTAATATTCTATTCCCCCCCAGCTAATAGCGATGTTTCTCTTCTTTTTGTCTAGGACTCTATTCGCAAAACAATATGGGGTATTGAGCACTACCCCGAAGTATTCGCGTCACTGTCTGCTAGAAATCATGTCGGTAAGCTCACTAACCCCCAAACCCCACCCGGTTTTACTTATACTGATATACTTTGGTCGGTAGATCACTGCATCGAAATTCTTCGACAGTATATTATGTGCACTGCTGACGTCTCCGTCGTGACGTTTAAACGCGTTCTGTTCAAGAGCATCCCCGAGCCAGATTTTAGTTCAACCCATGTTTGTCGAGATTTCGAAGCAATCATGGAATTTGTAGAAAACCGGACGCCAGCATAGAGAAATACAAGTATTTATGTGTATAGTCACGCGTTACCGGATTCTGCAGAGTCAGCCACCTCACGTCTGCTCGGTATACTTCTCAATAGACTTGACCAATGCTGCTACCTGGTCCTTCCAAGGCTCGGATTCTGCCCGAAACTCATCCTTAAAGTCCAGCAGCTTCGCCTTTGCTGCCATCGTCTTCAGCTCTGCCGTGCTGGCCCAAAGGCACAATCGAGCATCGCTCTTGATCTGCGCCACTGTGTGATTCATCTTGTCCCGTATCTTCATCTCGGCGAATGCAGCAGTGATATTGATATTGTTTATAACGGCCGCAGCAATCGTTGAGTAGAGCTCGCCGCTCTTGATATACGCTCGGAAAATATTCTTCTCGTTCGACGTGTCGGCATCATCTGTGGTCACTGGTTAGTACTGGCGGCCCTATAGGTTGCCTCTTCATTAGGCAACTACCCACCAGACGCCGCTGACACCTTCCTATACACAGGAATCATTGCCGCAAGCGCAAATGAAGTCTCGTTGGTTTCGCTTACACGGCGATGTATAAGTCGAATTGATGACGCTAGCTCCTCACCAAAACCAAAGAGGCATTGCAAGTATATAACAAGCTAGGCCTTTGTTTTTTGTTTTAATTTATTTATTTGTTTGTTTGTTTGTTTGTTTGTTTTTTAAAAAAAACTTGGTTTCAAATATTGATTAGGATCTTGGTGTACGGAGGAGCCATTCCAGTTCAGTATAGAGAACTAATATGTCTGACGTCGTTCAACATATCTCCTATCTTAGGCAGATAACTTTGAACTCAGCGATTTAATTTACTACCAGTCTATCTTATCTATCATCATGTGAAGCTTTTTGGTGAGTGTTTTCCTCGTTGCCTTGTTCTGATGGCTGTGCATGATCACACACAGTACTGCCCGTCGCTATTGCCGAATGAGGATATTATATTGGTTTCAGCTGCCACGGCGATAATCATCCCACCAATGACAGGCTGTCAAGCCCTGACACCCAGTTATGCCGACGCAATTGTAACATTTGCTAGGGGTCACGTAGCTATGTTTTTGAATAGCCTAATTAATGCCTAGTAAGATCTGCCCATGGGGTAAACAATAATTCTTCCTATTGGGTGGCTTTGAAAACTCTAGCGAGATGTGGTTGCACGCTGCCAAGAAAAGACAGAGGTATATAAGATCCTCCCGCTCCGTCAAGATTGAACACTATTATCCTATTCGTCACTGAACAAATATATTAATTATCTTCTGACCTCTTTGTATTTTATTTCGCCATGCATATCGTTGCTCAACTTCAGCTCCTCGCAACCATTGGGCTAGCTACGGCACTCAACCCAAACTGCGCCCCTGGAGGCAACATTGATCTGTCCAAGTTCACGCTGCAGCTTCCCAGTGGCTCAGCTGGTCACCCAGACCAAATTTCTTCGGCCCAGCTCAAGGGCTGCAACGGTTATCAGGGACAGTACTTCTCTACCGACAAGACCGACGGCAGTGTGGTCTTCAAGGTACCAACCTTTGGTACCTGCGTGACAACACCCAACAGCAAGCACTGCCGCTCTGAGCTTCGCGAGTCTAGCCCATCGAGCTGGAGCCCCAATAGCGCAACCAACAGACTCTTTGGGGACCTCAAGGTTGTCAAGGCTAGCAGCAGCTCCATCTGCGTGGGCCAAATTCACATCGACGAATCGGTTTCTGTCAAGCCTGTTGCCGAGCTTTACTATCACGCAGATGGTTCGCTTACTTTTGGCGTAGAACAGACACGCTCAGGTGGTAATCAGAAGGTGTTTAACGTCGGCAAAGTCACGCCCGGCGCACGCTTCACCTATGAGATCCGCTACGAGAAGAATGTCTTATCTGTTAGCCTCAATGGCAAAGCCGCAACAACTTACTCTACTTTCCAGCTTAATGCTCCTCCTAGCTATTTCAAGGCTGGTAATTACGACCAGGGCTCTGACGCGACCGAGGTTCATTTTTATGGCGTGACCATCACACATTAATTGATGTCACGCAGATCCATGGTTGGACTTTCGCGTATATATAGATTTTCAAGTATATAGTCCTAATGAGCAAATTGCCAAGATATCTTCTGTGGGATATGTGTTTACAGGTGTTGTTCTTTAACTGGAAAGCTTGCTGGTGATGTACCTTGTAAGGTAGAAATACTTGCGGAGCTAAATTTACAATGAAAGCAGGCTACTGTAGGCGCTGCCAAAGTCACGCCCCGCACCCGCTAACAGCTTCGGCGCTTGTACTTTAGCCGTGTACCTGTAGCCTTATAAGTCGGCATCGTCTGATTGATAGTTTTAATTAGCTTTTATTTCGCATAGTGAGCTTGTTATATGGAGTCTTGCATTGCGTTGCAATTTTATTTATTTAAACATATAAAGTAGCTAAGAGGCTCCTTGCTTACCGCCAAAGCTGTCCTGATTGGATAGAGGGGCAACAAAAAGCTGCATTTAGCTACGGACCCCACGCAACGTTGCCACCGTGCAAACCTCCAACTTCCAACCTCTTTTCCTGCATCACCAGAGAATGTCATAGCATCCATCGACTCTTAACCCGCCAATACCACCGCAATTATGGCTGAGCAGGCGATGGAGCAGCTCAAGGGCATTCTGAAGAAGCCGCCGCCCCCCAAGACTGCTGCCCAAGACGCCCGTGAAGTCGCCATCCAGCATGCTCGCTTTCTCCAGCATCGCAAGGATCTCGAGGCTGAGATTCTCGACAGTGTTATCTTGCTGTCCGAGTTCCCCTTAGTTCGCGAGGCTCCCTACAATGCCGCCAATCCCGCTCCATCCGACTCCGCCAGCTTCAAGATGCACATTCGACTGTTTCAGCCCTCCGACTACGACGACCTCATTGTCGAGCGCAACGTCAACGAGTTGTGCGGGTACACGCTATGCGGCAAGCCCAAAAAGCACGCAGCAGCCGGTGGCAAGTGGAAGCTTACCACCGCTGGAGACATCATTAAGCGCGAAGACTACGAGAAGTGGTGTTCGCAAAAGTGCGCCCGACGAGCTATGTATGTCAAGGTGCAGCTCAACGAGACGGCGGCCTGGGAGAGAGCCGGTATCCCAGATATTCACATTGATCTTCTCGAAGAAGAGGAGACGCAGACCGAAGCAGATATTGCTGTCAAACGCCTAGCGGATCTGCGGCTCGAAGACCAGCGCAAGGAGGCTGCCGACGCTGCGGCACTGGCGACAGAGCGCGGGCAAAAGAGCGTGCTCTATGCCCACAAAACGCTCGAGATCAGGCTCAAGGAGAAGACTCCCACAGCCCCGAGTCCGGATGCGATGTCAATAGACGAAGCAAAGGGCAGTGGCGACCACATGGTCGTGGAGGGATACACTCCTAAACTGGACGATATGAAGGCAAAGAAGGAGAGCAGTAGCTCATGATTTACTTTTCCAATTGGCGTTTTAGGGGTTGATGGTTCTACGATTTCTTTTTACAGGAAGCAGACGGTTCTGCATAGTTGATACCCAGAAGAAAAAAATATAACATGGAACAGAATGATGGATATTCATTGGCGTTACTTTTTTTTCTCTTTTAAGGCGTATCATAGTCATACAGCGTTATATAAAACGCAGAAGTCACAAATGCACAAAGCATGCACATGATGAAAGCGCGTGAAACGTGGCAATCAAGCATCACAGAGCAATGTCCTCTTCTGACAAGCCATTACAGCAAAGCCAGGGCAGAAGAAATGCTCTGATCAGCGACACCTTGTGTGGGGGTGAAAGGTTCTTTCTTTGAGACCTAAACACTCACTACCGTCCGGGAGACGCCCATATTCGTAATAAACCCCAGCAAAATGCCATGCAACCAGACCTTTTTATTCCCAAAGAAACAAATAACTCGCTTAGTCCCTGCGGCGGTCGCCGCCTCTGCGGTTGCCACGCTCGGTACCCTGAGACTGGGCGACGGGGATGACGGTGGTGGGGATGGCATCGAACTGTTGAATTAAGAGTTAATTTTGTGCACGGAGCAGAACAAAAAGAGATTGTAACATACGCCAAGGTGCTTGAGGAGATCCTTTGTCTCGACGTCGATCTCGAGGAGACCGGACTCGTTGAGCGAGGGGTCGAGGGCAGAGACCTCGGGAACGTACTGATCCTTACGCTCACGCTCCTCCTCTTGAAGCTTGAAGGAGATACCGCGGACGGGACCACGCTGAATACGCTTCATCAAGTGGGTGGTGTAGCCGGCAATCTGTACCATCACTAGTCAGTATATACAGTTCGAATCGGTTGGGTGACAATAGCGTCGAGAGACACGCAGCGCTTCGAGTCGTTTCGTTTGTTGTTCGTCCAAGCGTCGCGTGTCGTCGTCGTCGTATCGTCGAAGCAGCAGTAGCAGCTACTAACCTTGTTGCGGAGGCGCTTGGAGGCAATGATGGCAATCTCATCGCAGATACGCTTGTTGGCCTCGAAGTCGAGAGTGAGACGGGGGTAGTAACGCTCAATGATGACCTTGGCGGACTTCTTGACGGTCTTAGTACGAACGCGACCCATTTTGGCGGTATTTGTGTGGTTGTTCCTGGGGGGGTTGAGGTGAGGATAGGATGCGAAGAAAGAGGCTATCACCAAATGTCGGGGCCAGACGTACTGCAAAATTGGTGCTTCGGCTGCCGGTGGGGCTATTTTTTTCGACATTAGGGCTTTTGCACCAAATTTCAATTGTGTGGTCACATGACTGCCGGGACTGGCCAAAGTAGTCCCGCGCTTTCCCGATGTGGAAGTATGCGTCTGCTTAGCGCCGAGTACGTAAGCATCCTGGCGGCCATTTTTGTTAGAGTAGGAGGAAGCGACAGTAAAGGACACAGGGAGAGCAAGTGAGTGAGTGAGTGCAATTGAATTTCAATTCTTTCTAATTTTACATGCTTGGGAGCTAGACAATGGCGCTATTGTATGGTGGTAGTAGATGTACAAAGATGATTTTTTTCAACACGCAGCCCTATGCAAAAACGTTCGGGCGCCCGCATATTAGTTTACTCCTTCTTGACAGAGCCCAGGCCGTATGCTTCCGAGCTGCTGACCTGCTTGGCACCGCTGCCTTGCTGCATCTCGTCCTCGAGCATTTCCGTGATTACTCTGTTCATGCGAGATGCCCTGTTGCCATCGTCGCCCTGGTTCGAGGCGTCCAGTAGAGGTGCAACATACTTTTCCGTAGCCTTGTCGTGGTAGATTTGCGCAGCACCCTTGCCCTCCTTGGCAACGACCTGTGCTTCAGAGCTAGACTCCTTCAATTGAAGCATAACCTTGCCGCTGGGGTCCACGGTAGCGTTGGAAACCTCAACGTATGCCTTGGCGCCACCAACTGTGTCGATGTCCAGCTGCATAACTCCAGCAAGGACAGCAGGCTTACTTGTTCTGCCGCGGCCGTGCATTCTAGCGTTAAAGGCGTTGTCGCCGGGAGGGGAGTTGGCAACGAAACCACCAACACCAAACTTGGCAGAAGCGCCGCCTTGTCTTGGGTACAAGACACGGGCGAGGACAGGCGTCTTGCGGCCCTGGGGGCCGTACACTGGGTGGTTTTCGAGGTAGGCATCGGTACGCAGGTAGCTGATACCAGCGGAAGGATGGCTGTTGGGCGGCCCTGACTTGGCAAAGGGGTTCTCTGACGCAATGTTTCTATATGTGGCCATGGACTGGAGCGACTGGACAATGCCAACGGGGCGGCCCAGGGGAGCAAGGTCGAGGAAGTTGGAGACGAGCGCATACAAGGTGGCGCGGTCGTTACGCAGCGAGCGCAAGAACTCAGTGAACTCTTGCGGGCTGATATCCTTGGGCTGGAACTTGGCGGGCGCCGGCTCGCCAGCGTCCTTCGCGTTCTTGGCTTGTCGGTCGGTGATGTCCTCGGCCAGCTTCTGTTTGAGGAGAGCGCGGAACTGCGCACGCTTCGGGCGGACCTTTTTATCGAGATACTGTGCAAACTCGCCGTCCGTCATTCTCGCCAGCCAAGGGCCCTGGAACTTCCAGCGACGCTCGCCGCCCTCGCCACGGACCGTCGAGGTATCGTTTTCCTCCTCGAAGACAGACTTGGGCCACATCTCGCTGCGCGAGCTCAGACCGCGCTCGCCGCGCTCTCGGGGCAGCACCATGGAGATGCGCATCTCCTGGAACTTTTCCAGCGAGAGGGAGTGGTCGGCCGCGGATGCGAAGTCGGTCACGTTTTCGACGGTGTCGAGCTCCTTGATTCGGATCATCGGCGTTGATGTGTTTAACGTCGTTTTGAGTGGGAACGGGCGCTTGAGGCCCCAGTCGCCCTTTTCTCGTGACGCCAGCGGCGACGTGAGGGTCTGGTGAAGAGGATGTTGCTTGGTCATGGTTGGGGATTTGTGCTCGGCAAGGTTCGTGACCTTGGGCTCCGACAGAGGCTTGGGCATGGCGAAAACCCGCGATTTTCGCAGCAGGGCTCCGCCGGGAGAGACAGCGCGAGCACCCATGATGGAATTGGGCGCGAGCGAGGCTCAATTGGGTTGTGGTTGTGGTGTGTTCGTCGACAAGATGTCGTCGTCTGGGGAGAAATTTCCAGGTGTCGAGCTTCGGGGGGGAGCGCGGCGGGCCGACATTCAACCGACAACACAGGGGCAGCAGTGGCAGGTCGCAGCGCAGTGACAGCGACGTTCAAACCGCCTGTAGCGGGCAGAGTATCCACTAAAAGTTTGTCGCGATGCCTTCGTCTGAGCCTTGTAAAAGTTTATGCAGCTGTTTTGTGTGCCGGCTAAGATTCATTTTCCTCGATAGAGGATGAAAGCAGTGCAGAAGATGGCTTCCAATGTTTTCCATTCGCCCGCTCTTTCGTTTGAGATGGTCGCGAAATGCTCCGTACGTTGAACCTTTTTTGGTGGTGGTGCACGTGAATGAATGAATGAAATAGGACTAACATTTGATGGGTTTTATAGACAACGAGAGCCAGAGCTTCCCACTTGACACTTCCTCATGGGCCGGTTCAGCTGCCCATGTTCATGCCTGTGGCTACGCAGGCGTCGCTCAAGGGCCTCACGCCAGAGCAGCTAGAGCAAACGGGATGCAAGTTGTGCTTAAACAACACGTACCATCTGGGACTGAAGCCGGGCCAAGAGACTCTTGATGCCGTTGGAGGAGCTCACAAGTTCCAGGGATGGAACCATAATCTGCTGACTGACAGTGGCGGGTATGTCAACTTGTGCTGAGAACGAACGTACGCTAATGAGCATATCTTGCAGCTTCCAAATGGTCAGTCTGTTAAAGCTAGCCACTATCACAGAAGAAGGCGTTCGATTTCTGAGTCCCCACGATGGGTCTCCTATGCTTCTTACGCCAGAACATTCTATCTCTCTCCAAAACAGCATTGGTAGCGACATCATGATGCAGCTCGACGACGTCATTGTCACAACCTCTCCCGACAAAGAGCGCATGCGAGAAGCCATGCTACGAAGTGTGAGATGGCTTGACAGATGTATTGCCGCTCACAAGAAACCCGAAACGCAAAATCTGTTTTGTATTATCCAGGGTGGCCTGGACCTCGACATGCGCCGCGAATGCTGTGAAGCCATGGTGGCCCGCGATACCCCGGGCATTGCCATCGGTGGTCTCAGCGGTGGTGAGGCTAAGGACGACTTTTGCCGTGTTGTTGGAGCTTGCACCGTCTTGCTGCCAGAATTAAAGCCCAGATACGTCATGGGTATCGGATATCCAGAGGATTTGGTTGTCTGCGTAGCGCTTGGAGCCGACATGTTTGACTGTGTGTGGCCTACAAGAACCGCCCGATTCGGTAACGCTATCACAAAGGCTGGTGTGCTGAATATTCGAAATGCAAAGTATGCGGCCGACTTTGGTCCTATTGAGACCGGCTGCGGCTGCATGTGCTGCCGTCAGACAGAGGATGGGCTGGGCATTACAAGAGCGTACATTCACCACAACGCTTCCAAAGAGACTGTTGCTGCTCACCTTCTTACTATCCACAATGTATGGTACCAGCTCAACCTGATGCGCGAAGTGAGGCAAGCGATTATCGAAGACCGATACCCGGCGTATCTAGCCGAGTTCTTTTCTCTGCGATACGACAACAAGAGCGAGTACCCATCTTGGGCGGTAAATGCCCTCAAGTCGGTTGGTGTAGACCTGATGAGTGACTAAAATATTTCTCTTGCATTTTGGTTTTGCTTTTATTCATTTGGCGAGCGTTGGGGCAATCAGCATACACTTTTCTACTACCCTGGAGGGGTTGGTCATTTTGATTTTGCAGCATATGAGGGGTTTGGAGTGGTAGATTTTGTGGTTTTATTTAAAAGAGGAAATAAATGGATACTTTTATATGTCATTTATCTGTGTTTAAAATTTTGTACAGGGATTCCACTCTGTGGTGAGCCAAGTATGTGACTTTGCTTTATAACACATGGTAGTGCTCTAGCCCATGTAAGCGGACACGAACATCTTATATGTGCCCATATTATTTGACTATTTTGTATTGGTTGTCAAAAAATATTATATCAAGTAAATGTAAACGGTCACAATATACGTCTTCTTTTCTCGGAATACTAAATCTAGCACAGGTTTATTCACTGGTTGCTTGCATGGGATATGTGGTTGGATAAGTGTAGATGGGTCGCCTGGAATGTCGCTGGACATGGATACAATTCTGGGTAATGCTGAAATTGGACTCTTTTCTTCTTTCTGATTAATTGTAGCTTGAAAGCTTCTCTTCACAGGCTAGCAAACATTTGTTTTTGGTTTTATATGTTGTTGCCTGTAGTGGCTGCAGAAGAGTGCTGCGCTATACGAAAGCCAAGTATAGACGTTACTGTGGCATCCGCAGCGCTGTATTTATAAACGACGTCACCGCTGCGTCCGTTGAATGCGCCAAACACAACAGACAGCCCATGTAAGCTTAAAAGCCTGTTTAAAAAAGACGGTAAAAAATTCCTTTGACTCCCCATATTCCAAGTTTCAAGTTCGTATTCTTTATCACGTGAGAAACACCTTTACGCGCCAGCTGGCTGCCCTTTTGTCTCTTTGTTGGGACGAGACACGCGCGCGGTATGTTGGGTGCGGGTAGTGCTGCCCTGCAAAAACACGGCTGGGCGTACCAAACAAGAGACCCCCCCCCCTTCGCTGGAGTATTGATTGGCTGTGGTTGCACTTCCTCTTTCTTCCCTTCAACACCAAACAACCACCAACGAAACCGCTAAAAGGGTGGATTTTGGGCTTTGTTTCCTTCTTACCCCTCTTCTTGATTCTTAAAAAAAGAAACAGACAAAACCGACTTGTCTCCCATTTTGTAAACACCACAACGGTCGACCCATGATCTTGCAATCGTCAACATGTCGTCAACAGCGTGGCCTCCGCCACTTCGCCAGCCAACCGCAGAAATAATTAAAGAAGAAGATACTGGTCTGACCCAGTCGCTTAGCCAGCTTTCTCTCAAAGTTCCTCCTTCTCCTCCGCAGATTGTCGAGTCCAAACCGAGAACCAGATCCAAGTCGCGACACTCATCTGCCTCCCCTCGCCGCGCTCGAAGCCCGTCCCATGGCCGCCACTCCAGAGCTTCGACCCCGCCACTGTTGCGCAAAGCGTCTATGAACTCGCTGCACTCGGCCAATGGCGGGAAAACCTCTAGACGATCTAGCTTTGCCCGCGGTGTGTCGCCTTCTGCAGCCAAGTCGCCTGTACTTGGCCAGGAGGAGCAGAAGCCCCCCATGACACCGAGCTCGGTAGCTAGCGCATACTTTGAAGCTGAGCTTGCTGCCCACCATGGGCCAGAGGCGACCCTCCCGACCGAAACTGTAGTTATTCTGCACGACTCTGTCTACGGCCACCGCTGGTCTCGACCCCGAACGTCTCGAAGCGTCTTGAGCACCATCGTGGAGCGACCCGAACGTATAAAGGCAAGCGTCCTTGGTGTCTCCATGGCCTATGTTCGGCTGGGAGACCGCCATGCCGACGGCGCATACCCAGCGAACCCCAAGAGCGATGTCTATGCGCTCCCCAGGATCCCGTTCCGTGTACAAAAGACAACTCGCCGCATTCCACTTACATCGCAGGCGGTGACCAATGTCCACGGCACAAAATGGATGGATGAGCTCAAATACATGTGTGAGACGGCTGAATCCGTGCTCGCCATGGGAGGCAAAGAGCTTCAGCGTCCTGATATTGAGCGTGACGAGCCTGCGCAAAAGTTCCATGAGGGAGACTTGTACCTCTGTGGGGAGTCCCTGGATGCCATGGAGGGAGCACTAGGAGCGGTATGCGATGCTGTCGATATCGTCATGGATCCTAATACGCCATCTACTCGAGCCTTTGTCGGCGTCCGACCTCCTGGCCATCACTGTTCTGCAGCACACCCGTCTGGCTTCTGCTGGGTTAACAATGTCCACGTAGGAATCATGCACGCCATTCTCACCCACGGCCTAACACACGCTGCCATTATCGATTTCGACTTGCACCACGGTGACGGCTCTCAGGCCATTACCTGGGAGCACAACTCGCGGGCACATTTCGCAAACAAGAGCTTGGCATCGTGGAAGAAGACGTCCATTGGCTACTTTAGTTTGCACGATATCAACTCGTACCCCTGCGAGATGGGCGACGAGGAAAAGGTCAAGAATGCTAGTTTGTGTATTGATAATGCTCACGGGCAGAGCATTTGGAACGTCCATCTGCAGCCCTGGAAGACGGAAAAGGAATTCTGGGAAATCTACGAAACAAAGTACTCGATTATTCTCGAAAAGACCCGGGCGTACTTGAAGCTCCAGGCCCAGCGCGTACGAGACGACCACCAGGTGCCAAAGGCAGTCATTTTCTTCTCGGCAGGATTTGATGCCAGCGAGTGGGAGAGCGCCGGCATGCAGCGACACCAAGTCAACGTTCCGACCGAATTCTATGCCAGACTTACACAGGACATCGTCAAGATTGCATCAGAGGAGGGTTTAGGTACCGACGGCAGAGTTATCAGTGTCTTGGAAGGCGGATATAGCGACCGAGCACTGTTCTCTGGAACCTTTAGCCATCTAAGTGGTCTTGTCGCTGACCAAACAGCAAAGGCTGCCGTACCGGATCTGGGTTCAAGTCTAGCTGTGGAAATGAGCCAGAAGCTTGGTACTGCCACAGTGGACGTTGCTCCAGTCGCAGTCAAGGACGAGATCGGCGGTGCTTCGCTTCACAAGTACGATCCTAGCTGGTGGTCAAGCGCCGAGCTAGATAAGCTGGAGGAGCTCATGGCGAACCCTGCCTCACCGCCGCGCAAGCCCAGAACTTCAGAGACACCAGCCTATTTCACGCCCACAGCAGCATCTGCCGCTCGCGTGGTCGACCCTGTCCGCATGCGAAGAAGCTTGTCTGGCCTTTCGGCGAACCGCCCCAAGATTGTGGCGCGACCCATGTCTCCAGTTGCGCCAGAGGTGCCGTGGATGGTGGCTGCGCACGAGCTTTCCAAGCTGCTCATTCCGTCGGAACGCCAGACAGACAGCTGCAGAGCAGAAGAGCTCAACGCAGAGGCATCCAAGGCTAGGCGAGAGAAGCAGGCAACTCTTCTGGGCATTACTCCCATGCCGTCCATGCCAGAAGCACCTCCAGCCAAGATGGCGCTGCGAGAACGCAAGGCACGCGCATTTGGATCGATTGACGGTGAACTAGACGGCCAGCGCAGCGCCTACTCTACCCCTCGACGAGCATCGGCCAAGACGCCCAAGCCTAAGAACGCCGACGCTGGCTGCACACCCCGACCATCCTCATCGGACGGACCTAGAACGGCTAGCAGAAGATCCAGCCGCCGCCTCAGTGCCACACCTGGGCCGTTTAGCCCTGACAGAGAACAGGAACCCGTTCCTCCTCTTCCCCAAAATGTTGACCAGCTTGCAAACAATGCTTCACGGCCTGAATCTGCAGCAGCCGGCGATCTAAAAAATATCACGGTCAAGAAGACTAGAAGTAAATCGCAGACTCGCAAGGAGACGACGGCAGCACCCAAGACACCCCGAACGAACCGCCGGGCAACAACACCCACCAGCAAGGCCAAGACAGCCGCTAGAGCGCGTGCTGGTCCTCCATCAGACGTACCTCCTGTGCCTGCCTCGGAGCCTCCCAACCCCAGCGTTGATAAGATTACGACGGGAATGAAGAAGATTAAGATTAACTTGATTACCCAGGCACAAAAGGAAGCGCGCGCCCGCAACCGACAGCAGTCAGAGGGCAAGGAGGAGCTTGGTAAGCCCAAGATTCAAGTCGACACCTCTCGCCGCGGTAGATCTAGCGCAAGTGCGGAGCCGACATCCTCGAGCACAGTAGACGCGACAGCCTCGGACCGTAGCTTCCTCTCACGCACCACTTCAGACATGTCTTCGCCGGCGTTGGACTACAGCCCAGCAGACATGTCGTCACCACTTGGTCCCAAGGGCGACAATGGGCGATTCACCAAGTCCGTGTCCCCGTCCGACTTCATCGCGTACCAGCCTGACGGCCCAGACCCTGTGATTGTGAGCCGGGAAGAGCCGCTGCAGTGGCTTGCGCCTAACACGGCAACGCCATCGGCCAACACGCCCGTAGGAACACCAATTCCCGCCAAGAAGAATGGCCTGTTTCAGTATGCAGCGGGAATCCCGTTTGCGCCGCGAGCCAACGGCAACACAGAGCGCAATGACCAGCCGGCGAGCGGCGACCTGAAGGTGAAGAGAGAGCCGACTGCGTAGGAGCAGATTCTCTGCCAAGAATGGCACAGTTACGAATAGACCTAATGAAACGATACCTTGTACCTTGCTTGCTTTTGTAGGCGGTGTGGTGCGTGGCGTGACGAGGCGTTTGATATTTGTAGTTTTTTTCTTTAGATGTTTTGACAGCGCCAGGAGGATGCAATGAGGGGAAAATGAAGAAGGAAGAATGGAGGAATTGTGTGGAGAGTAGACTTTTTTGTGTTTCTTACACCAGTAGAATATAATTACTATTTATTTTTATTTTTATTTTGTACTTGTCGTGTTGTCAACGGTTCTCTGTGTTGGCTGTATTATAAAGCGGGCATGGCGATGTCGGCGTATGCTCCGTTCCCCACGCACTCACTCACCTCATTCGCAACCACCACACACTTTGATCTCACGCCAATTGACTCTCATCTCTACAGAGTCGTATTTTCATAGACTGCCAAATATGAATTCGATACGACTGCGCCCCGCATGGTGCAGAAACCTAGCCGGAGCCCGCTGTAGCCGCCACAACACGCCTACTCACTGCATCACCTCATCACGCAATTCCTCATCCTCATCATCGGCGGCGGCAGTCTCCAAAGCAGAGGCCAACTACAAAATCATCGACCGCGCCGCCGACTTTGAAAAGAAGCAAGCCTCCCGCCCGCCCTTTGACAACTCCAACGCGCCCATCCTCGTAACAAAACAGCCCAACCCAACATGGCAGTACGGCGACGGCGTGCCTGGTCGAGACCTAACAATCCCCCATCGCCAAATCGATCCGTACGCCGCGGACCGTGCCATGGTCGACAACTACAAGCTTCTTATTAGCGCTATTGCTCCACGGCCCATTGGACTCATCAGCACGCGCGGCAAAGACGGCTCCAAGAACCTCGCGCCATTCAGTTACTTCCAAGTCGTGGATCACGACCCGCCGACTTTTATCGTGGGCTTTTCATCGCGGCCAGGCGCCGAGAAGGACACATTCCGCAATCTCCAGGAGACGGGGGAGTGTGTAATCAACACGGTCTCCGAGGACATGATTGAGGCTGTGAATGCCGTGGCGGTAGATGCGCCGCACGGGGTCTCGGAGTGGGCGATTTCAGGACTACATGAGGCGCCGGCGGCAGTGGTGCAGGCATCGAGGGTGAAAGAGTCGGTGTTTTCGGCGGAGGCGGAAGTTGTGGATGTGAAAGTGCTTGGTGAGGGTAAGAGTGGTATGAGTAAGGCGGGCGTGGTGATGTTGAAGGCGGTGAGGTTCTGGGTGCGTGAGGATGCGACGGATGAGGGTGGACGGACGGTGGATTTGGAGAAGTTGCGCCCGATTGCGCAGTTGGGCGGGATGGCGTATGGGCGGGTCAAGGAGACGTTTGAGTTGCCGAGAAGGAGGTGGGTGGATGAGGTGGTGAAGAGTGAGAGGTTGGCGAAGATGGTGAATGTCAGGGAGGAGACTAAGAAAGATTAACTGAGGACGAAGGGAGAGAGAAGAACAAAGAAAGAGAGGAAGTGTATATCATCATAATCATCATCATTGGGTACTATATTCTAGAAGCTGGCTGGTTGCCGTTTGTACTGTATATATATGCATCATCTATACTGAACAGTCCCCCCTTCCTCGTCTATGGTTGGCTGTGTTTTCGTCGTCTATGCTCTATGTCTCGCCTGTTTTGTAATAAAACAGAGCTCAGAGTGTTCTGTATTGTCTCCTTCATCATTTCGAAGCGTTGCCATTCGTTGTAATCGGGAACCGCTCACGCATCTCCGCCACAGTGACGGCCTTGTCTACCAACATCGCCCTCAATCCGTCTTTCACACCTGGATTCGGCTTTCTCTCGAGTGTCCAGAGCTCATTGACCCCCAAACTCTCCAAGTACGCCAGACCATGTGCGTAGTTTGTCGCAACCTGTCCAATGCCGTGACTATCGTCTGACATGGTAAACTTGCCCCCGAGCTTCAACCACTCCTCGGCAATCTGCCTCCCGGGATACGGCTCGGCTAGTCCCTTGCGTAGTGCTGCCGTATTGCACTCGAGCCAGGCGCCCTGCTTGGCTGCCAGTTCGAGGTTGCGCATGATTTTGGCCCAGACGCCCTTCCACTGCTTCCTCACATCGCGGTCTGGCTCTTCGCTCATCAGGCGGATCAGGTCAAAGTGCCCGACAACGCGGGGCTTCAGCGCCGCCAGCATCTCGTGCTGCAGGTCGTAGTAGTCGGCATATAGCTGCTCCTCAGAGCCGCCAGCTGCGGCAATGGCTTCGGCAAAAAAGGTTTTGTTGTAGTCAATCGGGATGCTGTGCACGTGGTGGACGGATCCGATGAAGTAGTCAACGATGGCGGGCTCTGCGAGCGCCTTGACCAGCGGGTAGTACTCGGGGCGAATAAACTCGGCCTCAAAGCCAATGAGGATGTGAATCTGCGAGGCGTATGCGCGTTGCAGGCGCTGGGCTTCTACAAGATAGGCGTCGTGGAGCGGGATTAGTGTGCGCAGTGATTCTTGCGGGTCATCCATCTACAGAAGATGTTGGTTAGTAGGCAAGATCGATGTGAGATCAAGATATGGAGTGACTACGGTACCTCTTCTGGATATAAATCTCGCTCGTGGTACCGCGGCATATGCTCTGTGAGGCCAATAGTCTTGTAGCCAATAGAGATGGCGTGGTTAATAATGTCCTCAAGCTGGTCAACCGCATGGCCCGGGCAGAATTGGCCCGAGTGCGAGTGCATAGTAAAAGCCATGATGGGCGGCAGCAGCTTCTGCTACGTGAGCAGTGCAGACGATTTTGTCGTGGTGGTGATGGTTTGATGTTGATGAGTGAGTCAAGCTTTGCTGGTGGTGCTGGTGACGTTTGAGTCAAAAAAAATGTGGATTGCCGCAATAGGAAGTCTGCGTTCCACAGCGGTGCATCTACCAAAGACGCAAAAAGAAATACAAGAGAAATATGCTTAATTTATAAAATAAAAAGAATTGGTGAAGAAAGATATTTTGCACTGCCTGGTGTACTCTAGATATATGCGTGCGGTCTGTCGGCGGGAGCCATGTGCCGCGCTCCGGTAATCTAATTGGTGGCGCGGCTAAAACAAAAACTCTATAGCAGAAACCTTGTATGTATAATTGAGACGTGCAGTAGCTACAGTGAGTAACAATTGTACATCTTGGTGTTTGATACTAATATAAAAGGTATCCATCTCTGACATATATGTGTATTTCTTAACAAGATCTACCCTTATCAGCAAATCGTATCTAGAGCCTCCCATTTGCCTAGCTATTCTATTTCAATACATCAGCATAACATAAGATGCTTCCTGCCAATTGATATGCCGGATTGCGCCATTAGAATGTTTGAGTCGGCTTGCAACCGTGTATTTTGAACGTATAAGCTCGAGGTATCCATCCTCCTCTGCATCATATAGCCAAACAGCCAAGAGTACAGCCCGCTCCCTTTAGAGCTCCGGCTGGGAAGGAGGCTCAGGAGTGAATTCAGCACACTTTGGTGGTGGAGATTGGGAGCCACCGAGATCACATGTCTGGATCGCCTCGTTCCACCAATAACCTTCTTGGCATTCAAAGTCGAAGCGTTCAAACTTTTTGTCGTCTCCATCAAAGTCGACACAGCGGATGAACTTGCGACAGTCGATAGGGTTGGGGTAATAGCCTTCGTGCTCGCATACAAAGGTGTCCTTGGGCGGGTCAGCGGCTGTTGCTGCGAGTCAGGGGGCGGCCAGAGCCATGACTAGGTAAAGAATGCTTTGGTGCATTTTGATGAGGGTATTGTGAGAAGAGATAAAATGGCAAGGACTGTAGAGCGCGGATGGCTCATGAAGTCGTGAGCGAGGGACGGCTTTTATATGTCCATGTTAAAGCTAGCCAAGCTCTCTAGAGTACCGCAGAATACGGGATCTCGAGCATTTTGGGAGCAACACTCTGTCAATCTTGTTGTCGCCGGCAGATGGGAAAACACAATTCAGATCAAACACCCTTGGCTACTACTCGGCTAACCACAACCGAAAGATATCCCGTGTCTCGGCCCGCCCCGATATACCCAGCCTCCCGTAATGGGTGGCTGACATGCACGTCGGCCACAGAAAAACCAGGGTCCAACGCCAAGGACCTTCTCGACTGGCTTTATTCAAGCTTTAGTTAGCGAAAGAAGCAGCAGCAAACTGAAAAGCTACGCAACAGACGTATTAGCACTGCTTCAGGGGACTCTAGCCGCTCGAGTCCGTCCCGAGTGACGTGGCGCAAATCCGTGTACCCTGCGTGTATGCGTGCATGTCTCATTATGTGCCGTGTTTCGTACAAAGAACCCATTGAACGGTACAAAAAAAGATCCTCTTGCAGATTCAACCGGCGGTAGCGTCGCTTTATTACCCCTCTTTGCAGCCGGCCTAGAACGACTCGATGCAATGCAATGCAGGTGCAGCAGGGAAACCTGCTTTGATAGATCGACACCAATACAATCCTCTTTGGGGCTCGCTTTACCGAGAGCCGGAGAGACAAGCGGCGGGCCATTCCCGCACTCTTACCTAGTACACGGGCCACGTCCATGTACACAGTAGGTAGTATTGAGAAGATAATTGGAAGGACCAGTGTATCATAGTGCTTAGATAGCTTACGAAGGCGGTTAGCCTATGATTTAGAATAATATGTTCTATCGAGAGCACAAACAAAATACAACAGAAAATAGACTGACTTTCTGGTAGATAGATAAGTTGGTGAAGATGGTATTTTATATTGTTTGGGGTGAAATAAGAGCATGTTGGCTTTCTGTAAGCCGTGTACCACGTTGCGCCTATATCTTTTGTCCGTTCGTTTACGTGACAATATATAAGCCGAGCGATGTTGCCGCATACAGGCATACATGTAAGTGTCTAATCAAGCCTCTCCATAGCCTCCAGTCTCTTCAGTGGCCCGTCTGGGAAGGGGGCTTAGTCGTGGTCGCGGCACATTTAGGAGCCGGCATTTGTGAACCCGCAGGAACACAATTCACGAGCTCCTGGTCAAACCAGTAACCATCCTGACAGTGGAATTCAAAGGCACTGAACACTCCCGGACCGCCATACTGAACACAGCGGTAAAATTTCGTACAGTCGGTATCGTCAATGAAAAAGCCTTCTTTCGTACATTCAAAGGCCTTGTTGGCTGCTAGGCACGGAGCGGCCAGAGCCATAAGGAGGTAAAGAATGCTTTGATGCATTGTAATAAGGATGGACGTTTAGAAAGAATAGAGTGTTTTGAGAAGAGATGTGTAGATGGAGACTTGGTTGAGACAGATAGTATATGAAGGTTACGAGCAGGACGGGATTTATATATATATTTATAACTTGGGCAGGCTCTCTGTTGCCACACTATGCATTTCGGATACAATCCGGGCATCTTGGCGAAACAAGTTGTTGATCTTGTTGCCACCGGTAGATGTGAAGCGGATATATCGTGGGTCTTTGCTCTGCGTGGCTGCATCCACATGCGCAGAATGCAGCCTAGATCAGGTACCCTTGGCTGCTAAACGAACGGAACCGATGTTCCGTGTCTCATCTCTTAATATACATGATAGCCGTATAAGCACTTTACTCGTTGTGACAAGTCGCTCGAGTCAGTCCTAAAATGACGTGGCTAATTCATATACTCTTCACATATGCGTGTCTTATTGGGCTATGTCTCACCCTGCAGTGCAGACTGCTGAACAATATAAAAATGCTTGGCTGGCAGGTTCCAAGGCACTTTATTTAAAGCCGACTTGGCGAGTGCCGAAGTAATCCGTGGCTTGTCATTCCAGCGTCTTTAGCAAGTTCCATAGATCGATTCCGCGTAGCAGCTTAAAGGAACAGTGAAGTATTTATAAAAACGGGTTGACAATTTATGTGGTATTAGTCTATTCAGCAGTATTCTAACAAAACAAATTGACAATGACAATGACAACAACAGTAATAGTACAAAAGATACAAAAAGAAAATCTACAAAAGTGACAGTCTAATCCTTGCGAAACATGCTCTTCTTATACCACGGCTTCTTCTTCTCCGTGCCGTAGCCTTCTTCTTGCACATCGTGCTTGCTCACAATTGCCAGGAAGACTTCATTCAGCGTCGTAGGGCTGACGCTGTGGTGCGCAATGCCGAGCTCCTGCTTATGCTCCTCCAGAATCATCAGCAGGTGACCAATAGCGCTTCCCTCACTGTCTGTCTTCTTGATACCCTTCTCATCGGAATCATCAGCTGCTGCAGGAACAGACGAAGCAGGGATGGAGAAGCGCATCTGTCCATGGTACGTCTCATGCTCAATCTTGGCGCCAGGGAACTTGGCCTCCAGCCAGCGGCGGACACGGTCCATCTCCTCGGGTGTCGAGTGAGGTGCGGACTGGGCTACAAGATGGACATGCAGTGTATCGCCGAAGCGTTGGCACAGGTTCTCAGTTGTACCAAGGGCCAGCATGCGACGAGCCATAATACCAGCACGTGTAGCTAGGGCATCGGCCTCTTCCATGCTGTGTGTGGTGAGGAGGATAGAGCGGCCGGGAACGAGGGTCTGCAGGGTGCGCCACATAATGCGCTTGGCAGCGGCGTCCAGACCGGATGACGGCTCATCCAGAAGAATCACAGACGGATTACCAGTAAGGGCAATGGCCAGCGACAGCTTTCTCTTATTACCTCCCGAGAGCGTGTGTGCCATGACACTTCGGTAAGCCTGGAGGCCAACAGCACGAATAACAGCCTGGACCTGGTGGTGCACGTCCTGAATGCCACGGAGACGGGCGTAGTGACAGAGATGCTCCTCGACAGTCATGGAGTCAATGGCGTCAAATTGCGGGCACACACCGAGATTGGCGCGCGCCTGGGGACGCTGCTTCGTAATGGATGCATTCTCAATAAAGACGTCGCCGCCGCGCTTGCTTGGGGCAAGGTCGCCACGAATAAGCGAAATCGTGGTCGACTTACCCGCACCATTGGGACCAAGCAGGGCAAACACTTCGCCATGGTCAACGCCAAAGGTGACGTTGTCAACAGCGGTAGACTTGTTAAAGGCCTTGGTAAGGTGAACAACGCGCAGACCCTTGGCATCCTCACCAGGGTTTTCCACGCGAGCCTTTTCAGCAGCGAGTTCCTCATCCTCGTGCTCCTCCGACGGCTGTGGCTTGCCGCTCTGGTACTTGCCATCACTGCTGTCGATCCAGACGGTAAGGCTGAACCAGAAGATTGTGAGGGCAATCAGGTACAGAATAGGGCCGCCATAGGCCGTGAGGGCGCCAGGGTTGCTCTGCAGCTCAAAGCCAGTGCAAGTGGTGGAGAAGACATTGGTGGCTACCATGAATGCGCGGATCAGCGAGCCGGTAGGGAAGAAGATGGAAATGACCCAGTTGGCAATGAGAATGTTGTTATCCGTCAGAGTGGGATCGGAGAGTGTGAGGATGAACAGATAGGAAATGATGTAGACGGCAAATCCAAGGCCAGAGATGACGGCAGACATGGCATATGTCGAGAGCGTAGTAGGGCAGATAAGCGACAGCGTGTAGCCAATGGAGATGGATGCGCTGCCCCAAAAGACGAGAATGGGGTATATGTAGCCGATATGGTAAAAGGCCGCGGCGGAAGTTCCGGCAAGAATAGCAACAACGATACCCATGGCCACCACGATAAAGGACATATCGAAAACAAGATGCGCTGCCCAGAGAGGAAGGGCGCGGGCTCCGCTAGAGTACTGAAGAGCGCGAACATTCTGGCGTCTCTCCGTGTTGGGGTACATGGCCAACAGACCAGGAAGGACAGAGCAGGCAACAGCAAAGTAGACAATGAGCTGGAGGCCAGAGCCGGTGTTGGGGGGTATACCAGCAGCAAAGGCCTTGTAGGTGGCCGTGATGGGCATGTTGGTGAGCAGCGAATCCAGCAGGCCTTGGGCGACTGTAGATGTTTCGATGGAGGAGTAGTTGTTGGCGCGGTAGGCAAATGTCGGGTCGGAGCTGCTGTCGCCAAGCCAAATACCACCTGGCATCAAGTCTCGCTTGTTGCTTTCAAGAGCGGCCGTCCAGTCATTATACGTATCGGTAAGCTTGATGGTGGTGTTTCCAAAGGTGATCTCGGAACCTGAAATCTTGGGCGGGGCTGACGATGAGGAAGAACCCTGACCAAAAACATTTCCGAGACCAGTCACGGCGCTGGTAAAGGCGGCAGAAGGACCAGCAACAAGGAAAGGGTGGCTCAAGAGTTTGTCGTACTGGTCGTTGCTGATATCGCTGCTCTGGGCCTGAGGGGCACAGCCAGCGGCAGTCACATCGTGAACAAGGAGCTGGATAATAGCAGTAGCGACAATGGGGATGAGAAACACGGCAGCGTAGGGAATCCAGTTGGTCTTGAGGATGGTGAAGCGCTTGCGCAGAAAGACGACAAACTGATGTGCCATGCTGACTGTCTTGCCTTGGAGAAGATCGAGCGACTGAGCATCATGTCCCTTGCCACCATAGGTAGAGTCTGAAGAGCGGTCGCGGGCCATGGAGTTGTCATCGTCGATTAAACCTTCGTCGCGGACTTCTTCGGCCAGGTTAAGAAAGACATCCTCAATGGTAGGTCCAGAGAGCTTGTAAGCAATGCCACGCTGTTCGAGTACGCGGATCACTTGGGCAGCAAGATCGGAAGAAGGGGCGAGGTAAGTGATGGTGTTGGATGCCATGGTGCGCTGTACGCCCTGGACTTCGGGTGCCTTGTTCAAGACATCGCGAGCATTGAGGACATGAACACGATATCCAGCACCATATGTGTCTTTGAGCAGGGCGGAGGAACCTTCGGCGCGGAGCTTACCCTTGGAGAGGACGGCAATTTGGTCAGCGAGAAGATCCGCCTCGTCGAGAAAGTGAGTAGTCATGACAATGGTGCGCTTGCCACGCTCCGAGAGGAGAATGTCCCAGATCTTGCGGCGCGAGAGCGGATCGATACCAGAGGAGACTTCATCAACGCAGCAGATGGCACTGTCGCCAGTAAGCATCATACCAAGTTGGAGTTTGCGCTTCTGACCACCAGAGAGTGTCTTGGAAATAGCCTTGGTCTTGGTCTTGAGGCCGACGGCGTCAATAAGAGCGTGGATCTCATCGTCAGAAGCGGGGTTGGACGGGGTCTTGAGCTGGTTGAAGATTTTGATGTGCTCAAAGACCGTCAGGTCATCCCAGAGGACGTTCTTCTGGGGTGCAATACCGAGACCGCCAGAGACGTCGACAAACATGTCGCCGCTGGTAAAGTTGCTAGTGCCAGCGATGGCGTCGAGCGTTGTACTCTTGCCACTGCCATTGGCACCGAGGAGAGCGAGGATCTGGCCCTTTTTGGCGCGAAGGGAAAGTCTATCGACGGCAACAACGCGAGGGCGGGGAGGAGACACAAAGGCAAAGAAGCGGCGGAGGAAGCTGGGCTCGTAGATCTTGGTCATGCTGTCGATCCGGATGGCATCGCCGCTACCGTCAACAGGCGCGGAGTTGAGACGGACACCGGTAGTGACACCATGGAGAGTGCGCTCAGCAAAGGCAGCGACAAATGGGTAGATGGACGCCTGTAGAATGAGGAAGATCCAGAACACGTAGCCAGGAAGCTGCCAGTACTCGTCGTTGGCGGCGTGGGCAAGGTTGGCACCGACGCCCTGCCGTTCGTATCGCGCAACATAGACAATAAAGTAGACAAAGTTGCTAGGGGTGAAGAGCAGAGACAGGACAATGACGGCGCCGATGGAGCCTCGGGCTGTGACCTGGGCTGCGATACCAAGAACCAACCACACGACAGCAGTAACGATACCGGCAAGCTGAGCCTTGCGGAAGAAGCAGGCACCAAGTAGCGACATGGATGTCATGGCCAGACCGCTCAGAATAAAGTGCACAATGAGGATGCCCATGTTGGTATTGCTCCAGATCAAGACACGGCAGACGACAGCAGAAATGATCCAGCCGGGGAGATATGTCAATGCAAAGGCACCATACTGGGACAAGAGACGAGCAAGCTGGCGATGCCAGCCCTTGGAAACGGGCATCATGGCGTCGATGAGCTGGGAGAGACCAGCCTCGCGCTCTGTAGCGATGAATCCAGGGAGATGGTAGCTGACACCAATCAGGGCAATGATGAAGGACACGCTGAGGTAGTTGATAAAGGAGGTCTGGTACTGGCGAAGATTCTCGGCCTCGCGCTCTGAATCAGTGATGGAAGTGATGGGCAACTCTTGAATCTTAGCAATTTTGGAGGCATCCTTGCCGAGAATGGCGGCGTTGACGGCGTTTTGGAGGGGAAGAGTGTACATGGCGTTGTCATTGTCGGTCTTGTCGACACGGAAGCTGATGCCCAGACCGTAGTCGGCACGGATGGTATAATTCCAGCCCTGCTTATCATCTGTGCTGCCTCCTGACGGGGACGAGTTGACAACGACGGCGCCAAAGCAAGTCGATGTGCCACGGAGAGAAGCCTTGCAGATGCGGCCAATTTCGTCCTCATTGGGTAGGCGGGTAGCGTTTGCACCGGCGCCATGGATAGTGTCTTCTAGCGACTTGAAGACGCGGTCGACTTCGGATGTGGCAGGGCCATTGTTGATTAGGAGAACGGTATCACGACCGCCGAGACCGTTGTGCAGCGCATCGGGCAGAGAAGTGATGGCGTGGGGGGTGCCGACGCCAAACTTGTCGTTGGGCTGGTTGAACTTTTGCCCGATGCCGAGATAGACAGAGGCGATGACGGGGAGGACGAGCGCGCTGTAGAGGGTAGAGCGGAAGTGGCGTGCAATGACAATCTTAAAGGTCTTGTTGGTAAGGGTGGTGGTTTGGCGGTAGAGGTCGTTGGAGGACGGCGCCATCTTGGCTGGTGATGCTGCTGATGCAGAGGAGGAGCCCCGCGAAGGGGAGGTTGGTGGGTTGTGCGAGAGTATCGTAGGCGGTGGATGTTTTGTGGTGTATGGTGATGTTTTGATGAGATCAATGACGATGTTGATGATCGCAGACAATAATTGTAGACGTAGTAGTAGAAGCAGCCCGAGAGGACAACCGATGATGGGATCAATCGGGCATCTTGGAGAGGGCGAGACGTCGGAGCCTTATATTCATCGGGGCGCCCTGACTGAATGACACTTCATGGATGCTGCGTGTACATGTGCTTATTTCTGTGCAGATCGTAGTGCCGATGCAAAATACAACGCCATGTCGTCACGAAACGGGCGGTTAGCATGGCCAAGCGTGACAGTTTGCGTGGTCGGCGTCCCAAAGTGGAAACACCCAGCGCTGGAGCTGAGGCTCGTCGGGCACTTGGGGCGGGGCGGGGCCCACAGCGGATAGCCATAGCCCCCTTGAACTGATGTTCTAGTGCTTCTAGGGCGCTGTCTCTTTTGCTATGGATGATGGTCAGTTTGCGATTTTTGAGAGCTACAAATAATTGTACATAATTATTTTGAATATATAGACAGATTCCACACTATCATTTCTATAGCAATGATTTTTAACAGCATCTCACCATCAATATTCATCCCAAATGCTCCCCCTGTCCCCCTTCTCCCTTCTCCCACCACTTCCGCCCAGATTACAGCGGCACCACATCCCCCGCCAAGCCCCCACCAAAAGTCATCCTCAACCAACCACAGCCATGCGTATTCCTCGCTTTTTTCTCGCGACTGCAACCTGAGGTGTCTCGGTTTCCTTACGCCATCGCTGCCAGCGCCACCAACTCGCATCAACGCAGCCTTTCCTCCAAATTACCGCCTTAGCTGCCCTCTGACTGGCTGTCGCATGGCAAATACGTGCAATGCGAGGCCCAAGGCTGATGGGGGCCGATGCCCGACATGTGGGTAGTCCGCGCAGGCAACCGCTCCGTACTCCTCGGTTTTTTCAACGCATCACAGCCACAAACCTAATGAAAGCCCCCCTTTCGCTACTCTTATTTCGTTTCGCATCACCCGCGATGATGGACAAGGCTCAGCCGGCCGGCCCCTTGGCGTAGAACGTGAGGCTGAAATAGTAGTGGTGACCAGAGGGGAGTCGTAGTGTTGTCGGTCACCAATTAAACTACAGACGCAGCTGACGCATTTTCAACACTCACACACGATAAACGCCATACACATGATTTCTTGGCATCAGTCAGCTATGTATTTCGACACACTCATTCATCTCTTGATTCACATCGTCCGCGGCCAGTGCGGTGCAGGATGCCAAGCACCGAGCTCAGGCTTCCGCCGCTATTCTAGCCCATCGTCACTAACAGATAAAAAGCCATTATTCTACCAGATGTACTCCTCTCCATTCACTTACTAATTTCTTTTGCCAGAGTTCGTGTGCTCTACGGCCAACGTCAGGTAAAGGATCCCTTCGCGTGCGAATCGCGCTCGACGAACCCTCCGCCTCCCGCAAACTTGCATCAAGCGACTCGCTCAAAAGATCAAACTCCCAGCACGTCTCGTCTGCAGTGGCAAACGGCGTACGCGCCATCGATACAAATCCATCATCGACGCGTGCCACGGCCTTGGACTCTATCGAACTAGCCTGCAGAGTCGGGTTTCTCTCCAGATTTAGCAAGTGTCCAACAATCATTCTTGCTGGGATGGCTCCCGTGCTGTCACGGCGCTGCCAGAACTCCCACTGGTTAAACATTCGGATGCTGCTCAGCGCATGCATCCTTGCATCGACAAAGTTGCCGTCAATCGCGCCAATCACTCCGTAGAGGATCGACGCCATTAGGACCATTTCCTGCGTCGAGTAGCTGCTGCCGATACTCTTGCTGCAATTGCCGCCTTCTGTCGTAATCTGTAATACCAGCTGTACAGATTTACTATACTGTGCTAGCGAAAACGTCCGCAGTTTGGAGGCCAGGTCCCTGTCGCCTGGACCACTTCGTGCAATAAGCTGAGATCGCTTGTGCATGCCGCCGATGGCAAGACTAGCATGCCACAGTGCTGGATATTCCATCAAAGATTGCAACAGAGGCTGGATATGGAACCCGGGGCAGATGCTATACACGCTCTCTGTGCAAAAGAATGCGCCAACCAACCCGTCTTGGGTTGTCAGGACCGGTTTCAGCGGTACTAGCTGTCGTAGAGGCCGCTCTTTCCAGAGAGTAGGGGGCTTGTAGCCGGGGCAGGTAAAACGAGCAGAGGTGCATTTGATACACGCTGGTTTCGTTTCATCGCATTTTATTCGTCGCTGTCTTTGCAAGTGAATGTTAGCTGTATATCTATTTATACCAACGCTTGGCGAACGCTTACCTGCACGTCACGCAGCCAGTCTTAGTCTTTGGTGTCCATCGCTTCACACGCTGGCCCGGCGCTGGTCCTGATCCCATTGGCGTTGTGAAGCATAAATCAATAGACTGTTTTCAATTCTCTATTTTATGATGTTGCAGGTTGCTCGGCCACGTTCTGCAGCCTTTAGTTAAGCGAATATCGGCGCTTATGTGGTCACATGGGGATGATGCGCAGCCTGATTTCCCCAAACAGGCGGGCGCCGAAATTCTACGTCATCCGCTAGACCAATCAAAATGGCACTGTATCAACAGGCTATGAGAGTCTCGATTCTCAGACTGCAGTTGATAATCACACTAGTTCTTTCCAGCTTCTAGTTGCGCTCGTTGAGTCGGTCGCGGTCGGCACTGGACCGTTCCGTCTCACTATGAGCGTCATCGCCAGTGAACAAGAGACTCACGAATGACAAGCTCAGCATCTTGGTGTACAATCACTCATCCCATTCAAACGCCTATATGTAATTCCAATTCCAATTCGACGCCGTAGCCCGCCCTTTCCTGTTCCAATGTTTAGACTCCTAATCTTTTTGAAATGTGCCAGAAAATCGAGACACGCTGGCTCTGTGGCCACATCGCCATCCCAACAGAGTTCCTCCCGCATCAAGCTGAAGCATGCCCGTATGCCGTAGCAAGAGGCTACTTTCGTCGCGGCTTTCTCCAGCGCTGCCGCGACGTAGACTACTCGGAAGCCCTCTTTATCGAACTAGGCTACTGCGCCATATCGAAAAACTGCCGCCGCCGGGCGTTCAACATTCGCGGCTGGATATGCCATTATTGCGATGCAAAGGTTCCACCGGATCCTAAAAGAGGCGATAAGACATCCTACTGCCCAAATGGCCATTGTGAACACGCGAAATCTCGAATGCTTTGAGTTAGGTGGCGCCGTCGCTTTTCTTAGGTGCGCGTTACCCTGGACAAGAAGCCCAGACTTTGGATACGCGTTCAAGTCGCATTAATCGGATATAAAATCGTTTGGAAATTTTATATGCAATTTAACATCACATTATATTCTTGTAGGTATATTTAATTGTATTGTTATCACTTGTGCGAAATCAATCTATCTACACATCCACCAACAACCCGTCCGTTCCTACCTACCTTCGGCGCCAAAATTATACGGTTTTCGACATGATTGAACAAATTAAAGTATATATTCGCTAATCGCATTATGGAACAGAAAATAGAAATATACAGTGAAAATATAAAAATATAAAATTTATACAGAATTCTTGCGCCGAGTTGTTCAACTACATCCCCCGCGCTTTTAGAGCGGAGTAAGCGTGCATACAGTACCACTTTGGACAACGTCACCTCCTCAATAAAACCCCTCCAAACACTCTCATAAAAATCACACGCCACTCTACAAACTATGGAACCAGACGGCCCTAACCCAGTCCAAATCCAAACATGCCCGCCTAACAAGCTCGCAGATGAAGCCCTCCCTCTCGTGCTCCTCCACGACGGCGGCGGCACTACCTTCTCCTACTTCTTCCTCGACCACCTCGACCGCGACGTCTGGGCTCTCCACAACCCCAATTTCTTCACGGGCGAGCCCTTTGTCGGCGGCATGGATGCCATGGCCCGCCACTACATCGAGCTCATCGCCAAGGCCGGCATCTCTGGCAAGATCCTCATTGGCGGTCAGTCTCATCTACCCCTCCCTCCCCGTGCCTTACTAACACACAGACGCAACAACAGGATGGTCACTTGGCGGCTACCTCTCAGTTACCATTGCCAATATCCTCGCACAAGAGCCCTCGTCGTTCTCCATTGCAGGCATGCTGCTCATTGACTCGCCGTACCACTCGCCAGACGCTCCGGAGGGTGCGGACCCCGTGATGGGCAATATCCCGGATCTCGTGCAAAAGGCATTTGATAATTGCATAGAGATGCTCAAGGACTGGCATCTCCCAGACTGGCCGGCCGCACAGCCTAGCCAAGATATCCAGCTTACTGTCTCAGGCCGCTCGTTTGCTGTGAACAAGGGTGAGATTCTGTATGCACAGCATAAAGGCGCCTGGACTACGCGGGCTGTTGAGACGTACCCCGATACACAGCCTCAGAGTTCGCCGCAGAACCCCCCGTTGGCAGCACTGATGCGCTGCGTCGATGCGGCTCCTGTACAAGCTGGCGCTGGTGCGGGCAAGGTCTGCGATGTGGACTTTGATCGCGACCAGGTGCTGCTGGGCTGGGCGGGCAAGTATCCTGATTTCATCCGCGCCGTGGCCGATCTGGAAGGACATCATTATGCGCTGTTTGAAGTCGACAAGGTGCGTGACATGAGTCTGTGATCGTACATACTTAGCTAACTGACTCGATAGGCCGACTATGTTACAAGCCGTATGAGAGAACTGCTCCAGATGCTTGAGAATGCGGCACGCAAGTAACGGAACGGAGAGTTACTTTATGATGATTATGAGTTGTAATTGGCTAACGAAAATATAATGTATATACTTGAACTCGCTACGCAACTTGCACAACAAAATCTCGTGCTGAGGAAAAAGAATACCCCAACATAATAAGCGCCAACAGCTATATATCATGGAAAGACGTGGCCCTACTGATATTCATGACGATATGCTCAGACAAAGGAAAATTATATACCCTCTTGTTTTATAACCCGAATTCTTTCTATTTCTTGTCTCACACTCTTTTTTCGTTTTTGGTTTACATCGGCACAACTTCCTTTCCGACCTCGGTCAGGCCCTTGAACAGGCCGTCAACAGTGCCTGGTAAGGTTTGGCAGTTGGTCACGACACGGAAGAAGTGGCCCTTGGGGCCGGGGGCAAAGTCGAACATGAAGCCGCGAGGCACCATCTTGGCCACCATGGCACGCGTTCTTCTTGTATTCTCAGCCTTGTCGTCGGCAATCTTGCCGCCAGGTGCGTAGTAGAAGCAAATCTGCAGGCATGGGGTAGGGTTGGGAGAGATGAGCTCAAAGTCGGGGCTCTTCTCAACAAGAGTGGCAAGACGCTCAGCCATGTCAAAGGCGTGGTCGATGCCCTGCTCGAAGCCGGCGGCTCCGTAGTAGATCCAGGCAAGGGCCATCTTCATGCTGTCGGCGCGGCGGCCGCACTGCAGCGTTAAATCAGCGAGATCCCAGACCTCCTCGTCCTCGGGGTCGTGGAAAAGGTAGCCGGCGCGCAGTGAGTTGGCGCCGTGGAAGCGTCTGAGGTCGTTGGTGAGGAGGAAGGAGCACGTCATGGGCACGTTGAGCATCTTTTGCGGGTTAATTGTCAGCGAGTCGCCAAGCTCGCTGCCAGCGAGCTTGTGGCGGTGCTTGGAGGAGAAGGCAACGGAACCGCCCCAGGAGCCATCGACATGCATCCACATGCCGAACTCGTCGCAGATGGCACGGATCTCGTGCATCGGGTCAAACATGCCGTAGACGGTGGTGCCTGCCGTGGCGTTGACATATAGAGGAGTGCGGCCCTGGGCCTTGGATTCGAGGATCAGCCTGCGGAGAGCAGAAGTATCCATGCGGCCATCGGGGCTAGTGGGAACGCCAATGACGCTGGACGATCCCATGCCAGCAGCCACAGCAGCCTTTTCTACGGAAAAGTGGCCGTGCTCACTGGTGAAGACGGTGAAGCGGTAGCCCTCGCCGCCGTTGACCTTGACGTCAGGGTATAAGGCGTTGCGGGCAATGACAAGAGATGTGAAGTTGGATGCTGAGCCGCCCTGGCAGGTGACACCACCCGCATGAGGGCCGGTGAAACCAAAGTAAGAGGCCATGGCCTTGGCGGTAACCTTTTCAATGATAGTCAGGGCGGGAGAGACGTGGTAGACATGAACATTGGTATTGAGGACGCCAAGGATAATCTCGGAAATGACACCAACGGGGTTTGTGCTCGCCGTCAGCTTGTCCATGAAGCCTTGGTCCCATGTGTTTACGCTGTATCGCAGGATATCTTGGATGGCATCGAGGAGACCCTCTTTTCCGCGGCCCTGGCCGGCAGGAAGAGAAAAGTTGTAACGCTCAAGCAACTCTTTGGGTGAATAGGCCTCAATGAGGACATTTCGAGGAGGTCCGTTGGATCCGGGCTGCTGGAGAAGTCTGCCAGCAGGCTTCACGGCGGCCTCTTGGTCCGCTTCACGGACATATGGCACGATGAGCGACTTGACGGCATCGAGAAGCCCCTCCAGCTCCTCTGCTCTGTTCAGCGTCGTGCATCCTTTTGTCTTGAACATGCCGTAGCCGTTGTGGTGACCATTGGAGCTGTCAAAAGCCGTTTCCTCGCCGTTGGCGGAGCCGTGGTCCGAGGCGGGCATTTTTGAGGGAATTAGATGTGGGTGGCGGCGTATAAGTGGCTATAAGGTGGGCGGGGCGAGGTTATCGTTGTTGTTGCTCGATATAGGATGTTTTCTTGATGTTGTTTCTATTTGCCCGTGTATTTCAAAAATAAAATTGTGGCTATATGTGGTGGCGTTTAATGGCTGAAGTAAAAGTCGATATAGCGTGCTTCCGAGCCAAACTAAGCTACGAAAAGAGAAACTCGCCGAACGATTTGCGATGGGAGCACCAAGCTAAATATCAAGTTCCGTTTGTGGCAATAGATTGGAGCGTAACGCGGGCGTCTACCATGCCCGTACTGCGTCGCCGTCTTACATCTGCGCCGTGCAAATCCGGCTCGTCTTCCTTGCTTGACGAAAGGAGTTGGACTTACGTACGGCCCGCTTACAAGCACCATCTACGCGGAGCAGAGCAGGCCAACACGTGCTGGGGATATTAGCCTCGACTTGTGAGATTTTAGCCGGAGCGGGATTGACCTAGAATAGCGTGATGCTATTCTAGGTCAGTTGTCGTTTGTGTTTGGTGTTATTGGCAAAGAGCCGGCCGGCATCTTCAGCTACTAGCGTAGGCCGTGTGCTGCAGAGCCTAGACTCTATACATATCTCTTGCCGATGCTTCTCTGGATCTTTCACTCAACACGCAGTCCTCTGTTTGCCTCTCGGAGAGAAAAAACTCTGTCTCTGCGTGTGCATTGTTTCCTCATCCCCTGGGTTGGGCTCGACTAAGCGGCCCCGCGCCCCAGATTTTCTGCCAATGAAGGAGGGACGGAGGCTTTGCGCCAGTACTTTGAATATCCAGTCTAGTGAAACATGAAAACGCCTTATATTGGTGAGACAGGGGTGGAGCTGGCCTAGTGGCTCTGTTGGTGCATACGGCATTGGTGTGCCGATTACAGTGGTAGCAAAACTCGTCAGCACGTATGGCAGCATGTTATTAGCCGGCGACTTTTAAACCGCACGAGAGCGAGAGAAGAGCCGCAAAAAACGCTAAAGGTAAAACCGGGAGGTCGAGAAGAAGAAATAGTCATGGCAATTGGTCATGAAATAAAAGACGGTCGCATCCCTGGATAGCCTGAGGACTCTGTTCCATGGGCAGCAGGACAGGGTTTGGCTGCAACGCCAGGAACCAGCTCGCTTACTTTTCCAGAAACGCCGCCGAAAGGCGTTGGCGTCTTGGCGTCCGGTAGCCGGCGATCTCGGCCCTGTCACCACATTTTGCGTAAGGCTCGGATGAAGTAGTTGCCCTGGTGGCTGTCCTTTTGATATATAATAGCTCCAATTCTTTTTAAAATCCGTAATTCAATAAGACATGACCATCTAGGCGAATTTTCATAGCCGAGGGTAGCCCATGGGGGTTCTCAAAGTGATGATGTAAGACGCGGAGGAGCACCATACACATAGAACTGCGCCCTGTTAGAACTCCGCCGCTAGGCTGTGATTATGAATTGTCGATCGAGGGAATATATTGACCACCGGTCTAATCGTCTACGGACTCATGAGGATGGTGCCACACGTGAGACCAACTGGAAATGCTCCTGAGTGGGACAGATGGGAAACTGTACGCCGCAAAGCGTGTAGGACATGCCATTCTCTGTCCTATGGGGTCTAAACATGTAATTCCGATTATCCTCTGCTGTAACATGACGCCATAGCACCATAGGAAATGGCTTCAAGCCTTCTGGGATCCGTAGGGGGACAAACGCGCTATGAGTAATGAAGGGCGGGATTCACGCCACGATTGTCGAAAGCCTGACCCAGCCGGTCGCGATAATCGCATCCATCAATCGGCTCGGATCATAGCGCAGGCATAATACGGGGCAATATTGATTCACTCTCGATAGCCCTATGCTCTATGTTGTATGAATTCCCTCAGATGACGGAGACTGTAGTTGCGTTGTCGTTATGAGGCAATCACCGACCAGTTTAGCCGAGAATCTACAACAGTCGCTGCTACGAGATTAGTTTGCCGAAAACAAAGTCCCAATGGTTTGCACTGTAAGCTCAAGAGATATCAGATTTCATCCCATGCACCTTTTTCCACAAATGAAATCGTGCAGACAAGAAGCGAGCGTTACTCGCGTGGCGAGAGCGGCCCTGAGTAGTCCCGATCTGGTAAGAACGGTGTCAGCATTCGCGGGCGTGCACAGGTGACCAGGTGACCTACGGAATTGATATCCGAGGTCGCTTTCTCAATAAAGATGTCAATGAATGAATTATTGGTGCGAGGAAGAGCATAGTTGCTGCTGGCAAATTATTGTCTAGTTGTCAGTCACGAAAACAGAACTTGGCTTCTTCCACAAACATGCAGCGTACCGGATTGTTAGACCGGCAGCCATTTGATTCATAAATAGAGAGCACTAAAGGCCTTGGCTTCGAGCTTCGCCATTCTATTTATAACGTCTCATCACGATTTGGATCTAAGACGCTGACGGCTAAGGAACGCATATCAGCAATGATGGTTAACAAGCGCTTCGTGTCGCTGTAGGGACAATTGCAACCTTAGAGCTCGCTATTTCTCAATACACACTCCCATACCAACATGATCATCGCAAGTAAATTTTCACGGTGTCATAATTACCAATCACCGCTGAACCAACGTACGACTCGGAACTCGCCAAGCGCGCCCTCCGAACAAGCCAACGACGACGACGACACAGGTGGGGTCGGTGACTCAACGTAAAACCATCTTAATTCCGACACTCTTAGACGCAGATTTGTTTCTTCCAAGTAACAATTTTGTTTTATATCTTTTGAAAAAATGACACTGAGAATACGAATGGCACAGGCCGGCGATGAGGCAGGCATTGCCCTGGTGTCAACACTGGCCTTTGCACCAGGCAAGGATGCCCTGACGACGAATCTATTCCCAGCCCGTCTGCAGCCGGAAACAGGCGACCCTGCCATGACGGCATATCCTTGGAGACTCACCCGCAAGGCCTGGTGGATCAGAGAAGGCGAAGGCATCATGATGGTCGCGGTGGATGACGCGCTGGACGGGAAGATTGTTGGCTTCTCGCTCTGGGAGAGCCCTCGGGAGCCGGGCACCAAGGGACCCAAGGAGCCATCAGTACCGTGCCCTGGATTTGACCCAGAGGAATACGCTTCTTTCAGAGATCATATGGAAACCACAATTAAAGGTTGGTTCGGCGAAGTTGGTCTCAGCAACATGTGGTGTAAGTTTGAACCTGCGGAGTAGTCGTCGCCCAACTGATGCTAATCGTGACTTATAGATCTGGACTACTTGGCGGTAGATCCCGCCCACCAGCGTAGAGGACTGGGGAAGATGCTGTTACAATGGGGTTTAGACAAGGCACAGGAAGAGAAGAGGGATGCCTTCCTGATTGCCACGCCCGCGGGAAAGCCGCTATATAGCCATATGGGCTTTGTGGCGATCCACGAGGTCGACCTCTGGGGGGTGGAACATCTTGGCATGATTAAGCGGCACCAGGAGCAATAAAGGATTGTCCCGTGAAACCGGAATAGACAGAAAGAAAAAGTCATGAGAAAACTAGAAGCTGGGTAAAAGGCATCATAAAATGTTGATGGCACTTAGAATTCTATTATCTTGGCTACGACTGGTTGGATGTAATACTCTGGAACGTCCTCGCGTTGTTTATCGTTATATGCGTGACCAATTATATCAAAGGTACACAGCTCAATCTTGTCGTTCAGTTCTTTAGTCCCTATTACTTCCCCCTCTGCCCATTTCCATTGCCGTTGTTCCTTGCAATAGAGCCATGCCCTTCCCCCACATGTGTCAGGTTCTATCCGAGTTGCCTGTACCCCGCCATGATTGTGTCGTTGCAGCTCGACATCTCTGTCTGATATAAACACATGGACTGTGTGGAAATAGTCGTAAAAATCTAGCATCTCGTTGATGTAGCCATCATCATGAGAAAGACAATTTCGTCCACAGATACCCCAGTGTTTTGGCGTCGGGTATAGACTGTACACCTCGTCTAATGCTTCCATCTGGTCAAAACCACTCACAATCATGTTCTCCGCTTCCCCGTATTCAAAGTACAATATGTCCTTGGATGGATTCATACGCCGTGCGATAATGGGGCAACCTTGCTCTTTATTTTGAAAGATTTCGTAGCCTAGCTGTGGTGCATGAAAACAGGCGGCCGTCTGAGCTTCCTGGTTCACCTTGAGTAGTGGCACGTCGACGGGCACCGCATCCAGCTTCTCGTAAAAGTATCGTAAGAATAAATTGCTTTCGGTAAGGCCATATAACGGATCTCCTGGCTGCGCATACCATGGAGTGAGATGCTCTACGCAGTGGAAAAAGACTGCGGACGAATCGTCAGTGGCGTGAGGTATGGCATGGCGCCATATTCGATCTCGAAGCTCTGGGGGAAGCTTCGGGAATAGGGTGAATACCTTCTTCTCGTTAGCATGAAGATGCATTTTCTCCTTTGTTAGATTGATGGTTTGAAAGATCTGAAAGGATAGTTTACGCTGAGCTGTCTTAATGGTGTGATGTCCAAATCCGCGCTAGTGTCGTGGCGGCGTCTGAGCGTCAAACTCATGGTCATACAGTGCAGGAGGCCGCTAGGTTCATATTATCGTAGTGAATATCGGGTCGCGGCAATCTGTGACGATCACAGTTTTAAGTAACCGCCAATACCAGTGAAAAATCTGGAGAAAATCTGTATTGACTACGTATTACTAGTGTATGAGATGGAACTAGTGTATGAGATGGAACTAGTGTATGAGATGGAACTAGTGTATGAGATGGAACTAGTGTATGAGATGGACTGACCTATCCAACTCACCGCATTCTGCTCACTACACGCCGGTACGCTATTCATATAAATATTAGGAGAAAATCCTCAACTTACCAAGCTTATTACTACAATACTTGATTCTCATTCACTCCAAATTCGCCAACGGCTCTCTTGTTTGTACACTACGACTCTTTTACTGAAGCTTCTTCTTGCTTCTCTTGCACTTATCACTCAAGCATTTGCCGCACGCGTCTCAGTCAACGTCAAGGTTCAACGAACCAGCGATGTTGGGCACAGAGAGAACAAAAGCATAGGCATTTCCGATGCTGCTGGCCATGCTCTGGTATCGAACATCAAAGCCATCGGAGGTGGTCATTTCGGCGTCAAGATCAACGCCAGGTCGGGCATCATAGTCCTTGAAACACCAGAAGCATATCCTCAAGGACAAGCCAGCGAGATGGTGCAGCAGACCATATCTGAGATTAAGAGGATGGCTAAGCAAATTGATGCTCAACTAGCCGCGGACGCCGCTGCTCCTGCTACACGGCCTAGTACCCCCCAAAGCAGAGCTCCCCCAAAGCCGGTTCTTCTAAAACAGGATCGCCTTCTCACCAACAGAAGGCCCGTCGCTGGGAGGCTTAATGGTACACCGATACCACGAATCACAGAGGTCAGCTAACCACATCAAGCTTACTTGCATGTAATGGGGGTGGACAGATGGGTTGGAAAACGAGATACTCAGTATGGAGGATATGCTATTAGTCTCTGGAAAAAGAGCTCAAGAGGATATTGAATTAGGGAGTTAGTTGAATGGTATTAGATAATTTTCTCTTTGCAACTTGGTCTACGTTATATTTGATGCGCTTCGCTCGTTCACAATGCCTGCACTTCAGCGGCTGGCCCGATGGAGGTATTCTGAGATCAAGATAGAACTTAAATGGACAGACACTCGATCTGGTGTTGTTGGATATTGAGACCCTTCTCGGACTCCCTCTGGTCTGAGAGTGGCGTCACTATTTCCAAGTTGGATCGAATTTGGGGGGCAACGCCCATGTAATGGCACCATGGCGCATCCAGATAGGGAACCGGCCCGCCCTTGGTTTAATCCTACCAGGACCTTCGGAGCATCTATGCCGCCACTTAAAGTTTTTGTTTGCTTCGCCTGCACATGCACTTGGGAGCTGAAAGATTGGGTAACACGAGCTGTGGTGTGTGCACAAAATGTTGGACGAGGCTTGCGCAACAGCCTGGTTTTTGAAACGGCCCATCCAAGGATACCAAAAAGGTTACTGTTGAAAACGGTCAAGGTTTTGCGGGCATTGTGTTGCGATATGCGTCATCTATCAAGCAGGCGGGTTTCTAACTTTGCAGCGATGCGCTGGATCTGCACTGCACCTACGACTAGCGGCTTAGTACAAAGGACGGGCGGCCAAGGTTTAACTATGTGCAGTGATGAATCATAGCGATCGGAGCACCAAGTTTCTGTTGGCGAGGAAATCAAACACTGTCAAACTATGCTTCCGAAAAAAACGAGAGGCTAGCAAACTGTAGTGCACATGGCTATTATGTGAGACTTTGGCGGGAGGAATGGTCGAGACAAGTTCATAGAGCGGCCTCCCTTGGCCACTTTAGCAAAGCACGTCGCACCGTGGACAGCTGCTGCAAGCTGCAGGTCGCAGGACCCTAGAATTCCGAGTGACTGGCCCAAGAGGCGTTTCTTTTTCCAGCTGGGATGGTGATTGCCGAAGAGGCGCAGCACGGCTATGAGGAGCCGTAGACAAATCAATAGCCTGCAGGGCGCCTGCAAGCACTGTGCAGTGGACAGCTGAACATGGGGGAGGCCCTGTCCGATGCAAAGTGCACCTGCAACCGAGACTGGTCCAGCGCTCTGGTGAGGAGGGACCACCGACGGATACGCTACAGTAACCAAGTCTTATTGAGCCGTCGAGGTGGTGGCGGCGGCGGCGCGCGCATGCATGTGCCTACCAGGGGACGTGGTTGGGCGTGGCAAGGGCCTTGGCTGGCTGGACCACGAGTCTATTTTTTCCCTAAGCGGTGTTTGACGGGATGCTCTACGTAATTCACTGACAGTACTTACTGGCACCAAGCCGTAGCAGTGCTTGCTGCCGCTGAGATGGGCCTGGTTCTAGAGGCAAGGCGAGACAAAGGGTTGACGAGATCCGACAACTAGCGGCACGAGGAGTGATGGAGTGGTGGAGGAGGGGAGGCATTTGGATAGCGCGTTGTGGTTTTGTCTCTGAGAATTTGCAAAGATATCGATGGGCGACGCTGTGCCGCTTTGTGGTTGCATACCTCGCTTGAAAAAAAAATACAAAAGCTATTTAGTAGGGGGAGTGTGCAGAGGAAGACAAGAGGTACAGTACGGTACGCGACGTGAAGGTTGAAATGCGGGGAGGGCAGAGCGCGTAAGGTTTTGGTTTGGGTTGGCGAGCATCCGAGATAGTGTTTGCGGTTTCCTCTTTTCTACAGCAACGAGTACCGCTTTCTTTTTTTCTCTGTTTATTATCTTCAATCCAGATATCTATTTTCTTTTATTTTTTCTTCACTGAAAAAAAAACACAGAGAGAGAACCCGTGGAGTCTGGTGCAATTTCTCTTAGCCGGTTGGATGGACACCTGCAATTTCACACGAGCCCCACGCCGTGGGCAGAGCAGAGCTCCTGTGGAGCCCGCGGTGGACCGCTGTGGCCCCTATCGACCGCTAGCACGGGGCCACTTTCAGCTGTTCTGGCCGCTGTGGCTCCCCTTTGTGGCAGCGTCCGATCACGCTAGGCTTGTTTGGGCGCACAAGAGACATTGACTTATTACCCGTAGCCACTGTTTTGTCTTTTTTGGGCGTTGCGTTAGCAGGTGTGGTGTGCCGTACGGCGGACTATAGCAGATCGGCGCTCTTGATAGCATCATTGCTGTTGCCAGCCCCCCCTGTACAGCGCATCCTGCCCGCTGCAGCTACTTTGTACAGGGCTTCGGCTTCCCACCGCACAGCGAAATAGTGGTGTGTTTCTCGATTCGCCTAAGCTTTTTTTTTTTTCCTTTTTCTGATTTTCACTGCCGATGCCTTGTGTTCACTCCCCCCGTCTCCACTGCACCCTCTTCTCAGTCTCTTTTGCTCTGAGCTTTAAACATCTCGCGTCTCCTCCCTCCCCCCGTCGCAAAGAGTTCCTCTTTTCGATTCTCTGTTTTCTGTCTTTGGTTACGCCGGCAGCAGGTTACGACAAAACTCCATCGCCAAGGATCTTCGACATCCTCTTCAAGCTTCGGCGCTTGACCACCTCACGACAACACCCTTCAAGGGAAAACAACAACAGCAACAACCGCAATCATGGGCTTCATTGATTGGATCAAGGATAACCTCGCGCCCCAAGGGGAGCAGGGCGAGGCTATCAATGCCCAACCACCTTCGCTCTCGGGCATGTTGTCCGTCTTGATTCCCACTGCCTTGATGGCTGTCGCCTTCTTTGCCATCTTCATTGTTGGTCGACGAATTGAGAAACGCTTCCACGCGCCTAGATCCTATCTGGGCTCCATCCACGAACAGTAAGGCGCTGCCACACGTCCTGTAAATTACACAGCAAGCTAACTTACACATCACAGCCAACGCACTCCCGCTCTTCCCACTGGCTACTTCAACTGGTTCGGCGCCTTCTGGAGAATGCCTGATTCCTACATTCTCCAGCACCAGAGTCTCGATGCCTACCTCTTCGTCCGCTACCTCAAGGTCGCCTTCTACATGTCGCTTGGCAGTCTCATCATTACCTGGCCCATTCTCTTCCCTGTTAACGCTACTGGCGGTAAGGGTCTCAGCCAGCTGGATATTCTCTCCTACAGCAATGTCGACATTGACACCAAGCCAAACTACCTCTACGCGCACGTTTTCGTGGGCTGGGCTGTGTACGGTCTTGTCATGTACATGATCTGCCGTGAAATGATCTTCTACATCAACCTCCGCCAGACCTTCCTCCTCTCGCCCTTCTACAGCAACCGTCTGTCCTCGCGCGTCGTTCTCTTCACCAACGTCCCCAAGGACTACCTCAACGAGGAGAAGATCCACGCCATGTACCCTGGTCTCATTCGCAACATTTGGATTGCGGGTGACAGTGAGAGCGTCGACAAGCTCGTCGAGGAGCGTGACAAGGTTGCCATGAAGCTCGAAGGTGCCCAGGTCAAACTCATTAAGCTCGCCAACAAGGAGCGCATCAAGGCCGCCAAGAAGTCTGGTGCTACCGCCAATGCTGAGAACGCTGAGAACACTGAAGCTGCTGCCGCTGCCGATACCGAGTCTGGAAACGCCTCTGCCCGCTGGGTTCCCCAGAAGAAGCGCCCCTCGCACCGTCTTGGATTCCTCGGTCTCGTTGGTAAGAAGGTCGACACAATCGAATGGGGCCGCGAAGAGCTTGAGAAGAGCATCCCTGCTGCCGAGACTGCCCAGACCGAATTCATTGCCGGCAAGTACAACAAGATCGGTGCCATCTTTGTTGAGTTCAACACCCCCGCCGACGCCGAGAACGCTTTCCAGACCGTTTCCCACCACCAGGCCCTCCAGATGGCCCCCAAGGTTATCGGTGTTCGCCCCGAGGAAGTCGTTTGGGGAAACCTCAACCTCCCCTGGTGGCAAAAGATTGTGCGCCGCTACCTCGTCATTGGCTTCATCGCTGCTCTCATCATCTTCTGGGCCATTCCAGTCGGTATTGTTGGTATCATTGCCCAGGTCAAGGTCATTGAGGGACTCCCCGGCCTGCACTGGATTGGAGACATCCCTCCTGTCCTTCTCGGTGTCATTTCCAACTTGGTTCCTGTCGTGGCTCTCTCCATTCTCATGTCGCTCGTGCCCGTCATCATGCGCCTGTGCGGTAGACTCAGTGGCCTCACCACCTTGTCCCAGATTGAGTTGTTCACCCAGAATGCCTACTTTGTCTTCCAGATTGTTCAGGTCTTTTTGATCCGAACCCTGACCGACGCTGCATCATCTGCCCTTCCCCAGATTGTCATTCATCCCGACTCGGTGTTCAGCATCTTGTCCACCGCTCTGCCAACCACTGCCAACTTCTACATCTCCTACTTCATCCTTCAGGGTCTTGGTCTTGCCTCTGGCGTCCTCACCCAGGTTGTCGGCATGTTTGTTTTCCGCATCCTCTACAAGTTCCTCACCGGCACGCCTCGCTCCATGTACACCAAGTGGACTACTCTCTCAGCCATTCTCTGGGGCAGCCTGCTTCCTGTCTACAGCTCCATCATTGTCATCAGCATCACCTACTCGGTCATTGCTCCTCTGATGCTGTTCTGGTCCACCATTGGCCTGGGTCTCATCTACCTCGCCTACCGCTACAACCTGCTCTACGTCTCCGACACTGCTGTCGATACCCGTGGTCTTATCTACCCCCGTGCGCTTAAACAGCTCTTCACCGGTATCTACCTTGGTGAGATTTGCATGGTTGGTCTGTTTGCCGTTTCCAAGGCCACCGGCCCCGCTGTGCTCATGGCTCTTTTCCTCGTCTTCACCATTCTCTTCCAAATCACCATCACCTCCATCTTCAACCCTCTGCTCTACGGCATCTCCCGCAGCTTGTCTGCTGAGGAGATTGCCTACCGCGAGGGAACTGCTGGCGCCCAGGCCATTGACGAGAAGCACGTTGGTGCCACCAACGGAACCAACGGAACTAACGGACACGAAGTCACCGAGGCCGGTGCCTCCAACGGCCACGATACTAACGGCCATGAGACTAACGGCAAGGCTGTTGCTGCTGCCGGTGGTGCTTCTGACAAGATCAAGTTCACCGACCGTGTCGCCCGCTACTTCAAGCCATGGCAGTACGCCGACTACCACCACCTCCGCCAGCTGGTGCCCGACGATGCCGGTGTCGAGTTCAACTACAACGAGCAGAACATTGCCCAGGCTTACTGGCCTCCTTCCGTCACCAAGCCCACTCCCACTCTGTGGCTCCCCGAGGACAAGGCCGGTGTCTCCAAGGAGGAGATTGCCAACACCAGCCGTGTCATCAACATCACCGACGATGGCGCTACTCTTAACGAGAAGAACAAGATTGAGTGGGATGAGGACGGCTCTCGCCCTCCCATCTACACCGAGAAGGTCATGTTCTAATTGTTTTTGTTTTCCTTTCTCTACTTTTACGGTCTAATACTTGATACCCTGCGCTATGAGGCGAAGTTGCGAGGAGAAGAAGGCAGACGGCCTACTACTCCTGCAACGACGATGAGTTTTTTGAATGTGCGCTTTTGCATTTTGGATACCTGGGGTGTTTTTCAAGTAATGTTATTTTAAATACTCTATAATACGAACAATAAACAAGAATTCTTTCGCAAACAACAATGCCGCTATTATTGGTGCAACAGCAGCACAGCAACAGCATGTGCCACAACTTGCAGTGAAACTAGAGAAAGCTAATGGATTTCTAGGCATCAGAATTCCGGGCTTGATCATATGACGTAGGTGCATTGAATCCTAATGACGGCATGCGGAGATGATCTCCATAGAAGAGCGGGCGGGGAGGCTGTGCACGCAGCCTTATTTTGCGCCGAACAGCACAAACGTGGGCACGGAACACACCAAGAGGGTTCCAGAATGCTGCAATGCCCACTTCACCTGCGAATTATGGGACGACCCTGGCTGGGACCTTGGTTAGAGTTAGTGCCGTAACAGCGAGTCCGGGCGTAAACCTCACAGTGAGGCTGAAGGCGCCACGAGACCAACAAACTCCATGCAGATAGCCTGCTGTATTTGTTCAGATTGCGGGCTGCTGTTAAAAAGGGCGGGGAAAGCCCTTCCATCCTGTTTCCAAGAGATCTTTCTTGGCCAGATCTCTCTCCTGCAACAAACCAAGAACGCCTTTTGCACACACAATTACAGCCACAGCGACAGCAGCTATGTCGGATAATGACAAGCTCCCCGTCGCAAAGGGAGTAGAAGAGGCTCCTCCATCATATGCTAGTAGCAGCGCGGCTGCCCCTCCAAACTATGCAAACGAAAACCAAGCAACCGCGCCTGCGAACAATGACAAGAGCGCACCATCACAACCGCCTGCGAATGGTAGCGCAGCGCCGCAGCTTGTTCAGCGCCAGCCTCGGCAACAAGAAGAGCGAGTCGAGGACGAATTGTCGGCGGCGTTTTTCCGCCTAAAAATTCCCGATGTCACAGGCACTGTTCATCCGGACGAGCATATGTGCATTGCACACTTGAAGCTCCTGCACGCTATTGATGCGCTCAAGCAGGATGTTGGGTATACAGATGGCCTCTTTGGGCTTTGGGACGCCAGCGCTCTCAAGGGCGTGGATCTGTCGCTAGAGAAGCCTAACCAGGCGGCACAGGCCAAGAACGAGGAAGCCAGAATGACACTCAGCAGGATCCGCGAGAAGCGCTGGGCATTGTACGTTGCGCGCGCCGTCGATCGATACGAGGCGTGGTGGAACTCGATGCCGATTGTCATGTTGACGGAAGAGGCCATGAAGGAAGAAGGAAGCTATAGCTATGAAAGCTTTGGTGTTGGTCCTTTACCGAGCTGGAAAATCGAAGACTTGCCGCCTCTCGATGTGTTGATGGTCTGGCACACACATTGCCTCAACCCCCGCGATTACTTGGAAGACTGCATCCGCCATGGTCTTGAAGCAGTATGGCACCATGGATTCCCGTGGAACCTGGTCAACAATGCCATTGACCGAGACTTCAACTATAGTGTGGTAGCGCGGGTCAAGGATGCCTGGGTTCTGAATACAGGCCGACAATGGCTAAATGAAAACGACAGTTCGGAAAAGGCTGTTCCGTGCCCTTTCTGTAAGAAGGAGGTTATGATGCCGTGGACAACATGTGACAAAACCCAAGAATCCAAGGCGTAAGTAACGCGTACATACATGAATGGTGGATAACACACTAACTCTTTCACAGTGAGCTTGAACTCATCGGCGAAGGCTATGGCGACAGCGGCTTTTCTAGACCGTGTGTGCACTGCTTTCGAGAAATCACACACAAGAGCCTTCGACTCGGCAAGTTCATCACAGACGCCGAGGCCTGCCTCAACAATAAGGTATGCATGCCAGGCTCCGTGTTGAACGAGTTCGGCATGCCGCAGCGTATCAATCTCGGCAGACGAACGACACCCGGACAAAATACGCATACATTTCCAAACCGCCTAGTTGAGCGTGATCTCGCCTCCAAAATCTACCTGATGCGACAAGAAGAAGACGGGTCTCTAGACAAGGTCCGCAAGACCATCTCTGATATCTGCAGTAGCCAGGCACGCCTCAAGCACATTGACGAAATCCCCACGTCATTTACTGGCAGGTATCGAACACAGCGCAAGGCACTTATTGCCGTGCGCAAGATGATGACGCGGTACTGGGAGAACTCGGGCATGCATGCTCTCGATCTGTCCAGCGCCGTCATGCGCCAGGGCATCTTTATCGAGAAGATGGTCAAGATTGACTGGCTGCACAGCCCTAATGGACGCGACACCATGGCCCATCTCTTGAAAAAGTACGACCGGTTCCTGAAGCTCATGAAGAGACATCCCAACAATGTGCTGGTACCTACGCTGGATGTCGATCTTGCATGGCACACGCACCAACTGAATTCACAGCAGTACTACATTGAGACGACGAAGCTGTTTAAGCGATTCTTGGACCACGATGACAAGATTGAGGAGAATAAGCTGAACAAGGCGTTTGCTTTTACTACGCAGGTTTATGAAGAAGTTTTTCAGGAAGAGTACAGCACATGCACGTGCTGGTACTGCGAGAGTAGGTCTCAGACTGCCTTTACTAAGATATAAGCATGCTAACAAATATCCCAGCTGTCCGGTCGTCCAACATGAGCCGTGTGGACCGCATGTTCAACGGACCGATGAAGAAGGCCTCCGACAACTTCCATAACTCGGCACGCGCAAAGACGTGCGATCCAGAACGATCAGCGCACATCTCTTCGCACAACTCGGTGCGTGTGATGCCCACAGGCAAAGAGGCCAGCGTGTTTGCTGCCCTCCGCGCACGAGAGGAAGAAAAGATGGAGAAGGAGTATAAAAAGGCTGCGAAGCGCGCAGCCCGCAAGGGCCGAGAGCTGCCTCCACGCGACGAGTACTACTCGCACTGGGGCTACAACTACTACAGTAAGAGTCGCTGAAATACCATTCTTTTGTGGTACGCTAACATTTTTTGTGAAATAGTGTACGGCCCATTCATGTATCCCATGTACTTTGGTCCGGGGCTCTATGCCGCAGGCGATCCCTGCGACGTGAATGTCGGTGGTAATTGTGCAAATGGCACATGTGGTGGTTTTGGTATCGGAAGCTGTGGAGGAAACAGCGGCATGGGCGGCGAGTCGTCCACGGCAGTAAGTCTATTTAGACCAACGACGACAATCATGGTCATGCTAACAGATTGTGTGTAGGCGTGTGCGATGGGCGCGTGCGGCTATACGGGTGGTGACATTGGCTATGCTGGCAACTTTGTAGGCGACACGTCTTATTCCTCTTCGAATGGCATCTGCTTTGGAAGTTCCGGTGGAGGTGATTCGGGCGGCGGCGGTGGTGGATGTGGTGGTGGAGGAGGATGTGGTGGAGGCGGATGCGGAGGAGGAGGAGGCGGCTGTGGTGGTGGTGGCAGTTAGGCGCTTAGCATGCCTTTTTTTGGTCTCTCTCTTTTTCTTTTACATGTGTAACATATTATACCAGAATGATAGCTTGTCTTTTTCTAATTCACTCGCAAGAGTCATTAAAGAAGTGGTTGTTGTGCGTAAACGGGCCCATGATGTAGTAGGCGTTATGGGTTGACTAGATATTTATACAATATATTATCATTTATCAGTCAACAAGTTATAAACTCGATATCTTCTTAGTATATATTTAGACATCTTGAACGTCTTACACACCCCGAAAAACTTGTTATATAAAATGACGTGAGAGAAGCAGAACAAAATATATTCATCTACAAACTGCAGTATACCAGTGATCAAGGACGCCCAACTTGAGGTGGCTCCCGATATTCAGTATCCCACATGCCATCTTTTCGAAAGAGATTGTACCACATAACCATGAGAAACGCATAATTGATTCTCATCCAATACTTATCAGCAGCTGGGTCAAGATTGGCGGTCGACTGAGTCAAAAAGACCAAATTAACAAATCCACCGTCCCGTGCATCGTCTGGTGGTTGGCGTCCGTTAATGACAGATTCCAATGTCACTTGATCAACATGCAAGCAATATCTATATCGCTGAGATCAAAGCGCAGGAACTCTTCCCTGTTTAATCTCTGCCGCCGTCTCTGCCCATTGACGAAAATGGTACCGAACAGTTGCAGGCGTAGCGCCGTCAAAAAGCTCTTGCTTTTCTATGACTGTTACGTCAAGACTAGCCTTCACGTCCATTCCTCCATGGAACTCGAGCGTTTCATCAATGTAGAAGTTGAGCCGGTCCATAAAGGCCTTCCATTGCTCGTCGCTGGCATAGGTGCACCGGTAGATGAGCCAGCCCCAAAGGCGGTGGCCGTCTTCGTGAAGATGACGCTCGAGGTTGTCGGCATCGTTCAAGTCGGTTGATCTTGTCGGAGTCCTCGGCGAAGGGTTCTGGAGCCACTGTGCCTTGGTTCGCACGAATTCAGCTAAGCCGGGCATGTTTAAATACAATTGGAGATTTAGCGCGGGCGTACTCCATCCACAAACCTTCGGCCGTAAAGCCATAAAGGCTCCCGCAACGGCTGCATTACAAGGCAGACGTGAGCTCCGGACTCACTCTCGATAGTGAAAGAATCTAATAGTTTCCGAATGAAATTATGCCCCTCATGGCTTTTTGTTTGTCGAGAAATTTTCTCGAAAATAGACTGTTCGTTTTCTGAAGTCTTGCAATCTGTGGTGCATATTTTAATTGCGACATATCGCTCGCTAGACCAGCGCTATCTACAAACAAAAATATGAAACTTAATCACATAATTTATACAAAGATGGACAGTACTAACCTGTGAAGATCCCTAGCTAGCCGGACGGTTGAGCTAGAACCATACCCAAGCTTAGTAGCGAGTTGATATCTCTGCTTCAACACTTGGCCAAGCCGAGCAGGATAAAAGCGACTGGTGTCATAATACGGCGTCTTTTCTTCCTCGACGGGGTTGAGTGCATTTAATCGAATAACCTTTGCAAGTGACGGCGGCCATGCAGCATGGCGCAAGAACGCTGGCCGCAACGCCTTGCAGCTATAACCAAGCATTGTATTGTATTACATGAGAATTAAAGCACAAGATAATTCATCCGCAAACCACAACGTTACCTTTTTCAGTCAGGTCCCCTAAAATGATATCGTGGGATGCCTGCTCCGGCGTTAGCGCCGCGCACGCCGGCCCCGCACGGCGCTGTCGCCGTAGCAACCCGCCACCAACAACAAACCATCGCACAACCACACCACCAAAACCGCCCCTCTTACCCTTAGCTCAGCGCATCTATTGGCTGTGTGTGTGTTGCATGCAGTGTCAGATGCCCCAATCAACAGGCTAAAACACCGTCTGCGCACACTGCATTTGCATCTGACCACACCCTGGTTGGTTGCCTTACCACCCCCCCGCCCCGGAACAATAGCGCCAGAAGAGACAAAGAGACAATTAAACGATTCTGGACCCGGTTTTGGCTGTGCCGTTGGCCTGGTTGCTAGCCTGTCTTGTGTCTGCCCGGGCAAACGGTCATCCGCCTCTCTGCGAGTGCTGCTGCTTCCTTCTTTCCCCTCATCTTGCTCATGCAAAGCTGTCCTTTTTTGTTTCTTTTTGACACTTTTGAGTGAAACGTTTGCAAAGTCGAGTTTGCAGTTTATCTTTCGTACGACGTAGGGGTCTTCTCTAGTACATATTTGTCCCTGACCGTCGGCACGTTTTTAAACTCTACGATACACACGCGCACGCTTTGGTCTTTTGACACGATTATGATTTGAACGGTTGAGTGGAAATACAATTTTACACCTGTCACCATCGAACACACATACAACATAGCACGACGAAACTTATGGCGACGAATTCGCCAACAACAGCGGCGCCGGGCATCGGCTGGGCGCGGCGAGCCGTCGTCGGCGTGCTGAGTCTGCAGTTTGCCGGGCTCGTTAACGCAGCGGCTCCCAAGTTCCCTTATGTCCCCTCGCAAATATTTATGCCGTCGTGTGTGGATGCCACGGCGTGCCACGGCATCGAGGTCGCCTATCTGTTCAACCAAAACGACAACGGAGCCGTCGAGTTCCTCTCCCTTAACTACTCGGCCAAGATCCAGCAGGACGAGGGCTACACATCGCTGACGACAAAGCTGCCCTTCCTAGACGGGAAAAAGTCTTCTACAGCGTTTAGCGCAGCTCGAGCTGGCGATGGCACGCTGCTGGTCTATGCTGGCGACTGCAACGACAACACAAACACCGAGATGTGGCGATATATACCGGGAAAAGAAGCTGGTGATGGCAACAAGCCCGGCGAGTGGATAAAAACAACCATCGGCGCCAAAAATGAAGGCAGCTCGACAAAGTCGGGTAGCCCTTACTTCCTTGGTGGCGCGTTTGCTTTCTCTGCAGCCCTGGCACCTAAGATGGACCAGCCGACGATGTATACTTATGGTGGGATGTGCCTGTCACCACAAAGCGATATCGATGGCTGGCAGAGCGCTGGCTCGTACACAACCGCCATGATGAGCATTGCCCCCGAACGAGGCGATATCCAGACACCTTATGATGTGGGTGTTGCGTCTAGCGCAGGCCCTAGGTCTCCCTTTGCGGGATTCTCCATGACACAGTTGCCCCCATCCATGACAAACATCTCCGGAACTGTGACGCAGCAGGCAAGCTTTGTCTTCCTGGGTGGTCACACCCAGCAGGCGTTTCTTAACATTAGCAACGCCGCTGTCTGGAACTTGCCCCAGCAGACTTGGACATATATCGATATTCGCCAGCCTATGAGCAACGGCGGTAAACAGGAGGATGTTCTCGGTGGAGCACTGAGAGTCAACAAGAGAAAGTCTGTACCCGAAGTTACGAGCCGATCTGGCCATACTGCCGTAGTGAGCGCGGACGGCGAGTCTTTGGTGGTCTTGGGCGGCTGGGTGGGAGATGTAGCTACTCCAGCTACACCCCAATTGGCCGTTCTCAAAATGAGCCAGACCTATAAAGCTTGGGAATGGACAGTCCCAGACTCTCAACCAAAGGCTGCCGGACTCTACGGCCACGGAGCGACATTACTGCCTGGCAATGTGATGATGGTGTATGGCGGTTGGGACATTGGTGCTTCATCCAACTCCAAGCGCGCAACATCTCGCCCTGCCCAGTTCTTGAACCTGACTTCCATGGAATGGGCGACATCTTACAAAACGCCAACTGGCTTCCAGCCACCGCACTCGCAGAACCCAGGCGGTAGTGGCAATGACAACGGCGGTGATGCCCCCAAGGCAGGACAGGACTCTGCTGAGCGGGCCAAGAAACTTGGTCTCGGTCTTGGATTGGGTCTTGGACTCGGCATTCTCGCTATTATCGGTGCCATTGCTGCATTCTGCTGCATCCGCAACAAACGACGCAGAGACCAGCGCGCTCGTGACTCTGCTTGCCAGGCCATGATGCGCGATTCGGCTCACTACTTCAACGACAATGACGAAATGGCCGAACGAAGCGGATACTCTCCTTGGGGCACTTGGATTGGCGGCAATAACAACGATGCCCGTAACCAAGCCCAGCAGGACCGAAGCCTTGGTTACGAATCTCTTATGAGTGGTGCACGAGGCACAGAGTATGGTGGTGCTGGTGCTTTTGCTGCTGGCACAGCTGCTGGTGTTTCTCGTAAGCCTGTCATGCAGCAGCAGCAGCGTCCCGGAACTGGATACGGAGCATACTACCAAAATGCCGATACTCGCGGTATGAATGCCTTTGTTTCTGTCCCTGGCCAAATTCACCCCATCTTTGAGGACGACGAGGAAGACCGCCCACGAAGCCAGATGCTTCCCATGACGCCTACCTCTGAGGTTCACTCTGATCCCTTTGCCACCCCTGTTCACGGTTCTCCCACGCCACACGCCGCTCGAAAACACGACCCTGCCGTCCAGGAATGGGTCTCTGATGTGGATGTTGCCGGCTCGCTCTTGACGCAGTACAACTCTCGCCCTGGACGCACATCACCCACAAAGTCCAACCATACCCGCGATGCCTCCTTGCGCGATGACGAATCGAGGAGCGGATCCAATTTGTCCGAGTCCGCTCGCAGCGCTGCTGATTCTCTCTGGAAGCCTACACCTCACGGAGGGCCCTATGAAGGAGGAGCCAAGAAGGGACCCGGCAGCTCGTCTTCGGCTAGTTACTTGACGGCGCGCACTGGGTTCGGCGGGCTTCAGGCAGAAGCGCCTGGCCTGCTTGGTCGCAACTCTCCTTCTGGTGGAGTCAATCATGAAGAGGATGATACGCCCGGATCACCATCCAAGTCGAAGCCCAGAAGAGGCTGGCTGGGCTCATTCCGCCGCGTCTTCTCCAACTCTGGTCCTAACCCATTAGTTGCAGCTGCGAGAGAAGAGTCATCCAGAAGATTGTCTTCGGATCAGGTAAGCGCCGACTACGAGCCTCACCCATCCGGTGTCGCTGGTGAAGTGCTACGACGAAAGCAGGGCCGCACCGACTGGGAGTTTGGCGAGCACAGCAAGGAACCCGAGAATGAGTGGGACATTGAAAGGGCTATCGAGCAGCGCTTGGTGCAGGTCATGTTTACTGTGCCCAAGGAGCGTCTCCGCGTCGTTAATGGTGAAACGGAGAACGACGACGATGAGCCCGAGGAGGAGGAAGTCACTCTGCCAATCATCTCGCCCCCAGATACCCCCGAGCGCCGCCTTTCGACCAACAGCCATCTCCAGCTTCCCGAGGTCCTTGCCCCTAGCCCGCTGTCATTGACACCCCGCATTCCGAGCATGGAGATCCATGCGCCGCTGGGCGACTTTTCAGCTCCCTCGCCATCCTATGATGTTTTCACTGGAGAGAGGAGCCTCACACCGAGACGACAGCTTATGCATGCTAGCATGCCAGCACCAAGTGGAGATATTGACAGAGATGAGCTGCTGCGATTGAGCAGGACAGGTGACCTAGCGGAGCCGAGAATATCGCACGAGACTGACAGTACAGGGCGACGATCATCTCCTGCTTTGTTCACAGCAGAGGCTGTTACCTTTGAACGACCTAAGACCAGAGTGCTGCAGATGGCAGACAGCTTTGAGAGATTTGCGGACGCGAGAGAGCAGTTGTAGGCTCCCGGTGGGAGCTGTTTTTTCTTTTATTTCTTCTTGTTGAAAGTTTCTTATGGCGGTTAGCATACGGTGTCTTTGGTTTTGTTTGCTTTTGGACGTGTCAGGATTTTGTTCTTGTCTTTTTTTGTTTTCTTGTTTGCTTTTTCATTGATAGCCGTTTGTTTGGTGAGCGGCTTCTTCCACAGTACATATTGATGAAGTTGATGCAGCCTACATGGACACGGGGTATATGCCTTTCATGAGCGGGAGCCCGGGATGATATTTGGGACATGGATATGAGCCTCTGTATGTATGTATGTACGCATGAAATGTCGACTACGGTAGCCTATATAGCTGTGTTTAGTCCTGGTCGTATATGTCTAGTTTTCTTTGCAAAATTCCACTTCCACCTTTTTTCTGTGCATGTAAATAATCGTAAATTCATTCGCTAATTACTCAAGAAACATCTCGTTGCGTTGGAGAATGCCATCGATGAGGCGTTTGCCGGGAAAGTCGAGAATGACGATGCCGGCGCGGCTGCCATACTTTTCATCATCCTCAAACTTCTCCAGCCACTGGCCAGTCATGTCGTTCATGCCCTGGACTGTGCGGTTTCGTGGTCCAGCAGCGGCCTCGATGGGCAGGACACCAACGGATGCAGAGACGTGGGCGAGGTAGAGAGCCGTGTTGTTGTCTGTTGGGAAATCAACCGACGACTTTTGCAGAGCCGCCTCGATAGCCTGCCACTTGAGATAGAGATGCGCAATGTCCTTGACAATGTAGTCGTCTTCAAGGATCATCTGCTTGCCCTCCCATGCCAGTCCGTACTGGTTGGGATCGCCAGATGCCGCGGGGAAGTTTTGAAGTATCCAAATCTTGGAGCGCAGACTGCCGAGTGTGGGTAGAGGAGCTGTCTCGTTGAAGGCGTAAATGTGCTTCTTGGAGCCGGCTGACGTCGTTGGTGACGCATCATGGTAGAAGTTGAAGGCCTCTTCAAAGTTGCGGGTGTTGTTAGTGCCAAGAGCACCACCTTCCTGCTTTAGGCGCATGACAATAGCCTCGGACGGATTACGGTCCAAGAACTCAAACATATCCAGCAAGACTTCCTCGTAGCTGTGACCAGTGTATCCGTCACCGTGGTAGATCTGGAGCTCATTGTCGCGCAGCCTGGCGCGTATATCAAAGTAGCGCATACCAGACTCGAGCTGCACCGTCAAGTTCCAGTTCTGGCATTGGAGAATCTCGCTGCCAATGTTGTAGGTCATGGTGTCATGGGTGCCCGGGACGCTCAGCGACGAGAAGTTGAGCGCGTCGGGCAGCTCCTTCATCCACGTCGGATAGTGCGCATTGTGAGCATCGAAGCTGAAAGCGCTATGAAAGCCATGATAGCACTTTGCAAGAACGGCGCACGGCGCAGTGGCAGCTAATAGCGCGTAAAACAGCATCATGAAGCTGGCGGCGGTAGTAATGGTAAAGAGGACAAAGGTGAGGAGGGATGGCGAGTGCGAAGATGAACGCATATGCTTCATCCGCATGCTAAATGAAAAGCCGTCATTAGCAGCATCAGATAAGAGCTAATTGGGATGCAATTGCGGTCCAGGCCTTGTCTCTGCTTTGGGCTAAGCGAAGTTGGGGCTGCCCGCAGGTCTGTCAGTGCACGTGGGTGATGCTGCTACAGAGGAGTGGCCAGCTGTTGAACCCTTTGCCAGGTGGCGGCAGCTGCCAAGCAGATGACCTGCACGCTATCTGCAATTGGCAAATTTTAGTGAACCTTGCCAATTTCATATAATTTAATTTCTATTTGAAATTTTCATCATGAATTATTATTGGCATCTACACTGTGGCACTTCATTGGAAAGGCGTTTTTATTGTCTCGCGTTTGGAAAGCTACACTATGATACGCTCTATATTTCATTATACGACAAAATATGTACAACTAACAGTTCCAAGAGTTCTTCCGCTTAAGATCAAATGCAATCGACGCTTCTCTCCGTTTCACTCTGCCCATGAATACCCAGAAATCAGTTGACTTTTGCCGAGCGGTTGTGATAGCGGCACTCAATGCCTCACGTCCACTGCGACACAGCATCACCATCGCGGCAAAGCCAACAGACATTATGACCTGGACTGGAGCTGTGGCCCAGAAGCCCGGCCTATACGAAGAGTCCCAATCCACCAAGTACATCAGGAAGAGCCGCCACACTAGATTTCCCAGGGCACCCAAATAGGCACCAATCTCACAAGCCTTGCGAAACGTGTACTCCGTCTCCGAGATGCCTGATTCACTCGTATAATAGCCGTTGCTTCGAAGTATGTAAAAGACGTATGCCACCCCACCAATTCGTGTAAAGGCAAGTGGGATATCGTTTTCGACTGCTGCCAGAATAGCAATCAAATAGAAAAAGACAAAGGTCGCAATGGATGGGACGAATATGGTATACCTCTCTGGCTTCTGTGCCACTGTTCCCAGTTCAACATCTGGCTGGTCTCCTGCTGCTTGTCCCGTGGCAACAAAATCGACAAGTAACGATATCTCCTCTCTTGTCAGCTTGACAAACACTCCCATGAGCTGCATAGCCTTTCGCCATGGGCCGCCAACGAGGTACAACCACTCCTGCAAACCAGAACGAAGGAAAAGCATGTAGCCCGTGATGGCCATGCTAACGGTAATACAGGTAATGGTAAATCTGTGTTCGCCGCCAGTGCCGTGAGTAAGCGCGATCAGTTGCATGGAAAGTAGCCAAGCTACATAGGGGATATGTCCATTGATGCATCCGTCAAAGAACGCTCGGCGGGCTCGGCACTGATGTGCTGGTAGACTGTCACCGCTGATCACGTAGCCGTTGGTTGTGGCGACAGCTTTGACGTATAAGAGCGTTGCCAGGCTGAGAAATGGAAAGATCATGGGCTGAACAATATCATAGCGAAACAGGCCCAGTACGATGCAAAATTGTATCGTCCGCTGAATCGGCAAAATGAGCACGCGCTCCTCCGGGCCTACTGTCGCCGCCGATGCTGTTGTTGCGTCAGGCGGTTGATAAGGCACATCACAGCCCTTCGTCGGACCCTTTTCATCCATAGTTTTTATTACACACGACGATGATGGAAGCAAAGTCGCGGTGTCGCTGTTTATGCCAGAGAGAGCTCATCTTGGTGGCGACCCAGCAAACCCTTTTTACGAGGCTGTGAAAAAATACGGCCAAGTATTAGCCGACAACGTGACGACGACACCTTTTACCGCGTACAAGCATCCCTCTACATATGTGGACATTGATATTGTTCTGAATGTCCATCATTTACAATCGAAATGGGTTTTTAGAGATGGTCCGTCTTTTTTGGGCATCACTTTGCTGCTTGCGCCGCCAGTTAGCCCTGCAATGTCATCATCGCATACTCACAAAGCAGGTCGCTGAGGCACTAACAAGGCATAGTTCACGTCCCATTCGGACCATTGCCTGCGCCGCGCCAAGCGATCGATCATGCCAATGCCGCGACTGCATAACCAACGCCAATTTCAACCCGCAGTAGTCTTTTATGCGAACGGGACTTGCCATCGTCATCTGCCTTCAAGCGTGGCCCATCTCTTTCACCACGGCTTTCTATTTCTCCGTTGGAATAGCTTGCTCCATGCCACTAGCTTCAAACGCAAAGTGGTGCCGAGTCAGTGACACCAAGAACGCACATGGCGACCCAACGTGCGCGCCAGGGGGAAACAATGGCAATGGATTTGGCCGTCAGCAGCCCCCACGATCGGCAGTCCTAACGAAACCCAGTGGCCACCAAGGTTTCGAGAGAAGCATACTGAGCATGGACAGAATGGACATCGCGGGACAGTAGCCAGAAACTAAGTTTTGGGCTGAAGCTCACGCGGACGCAGGCTGGATCCGTTATATTGGGAGAAACGTTGCCGTTGTCGATATTAAATGTCACGCTCCTTTCGGTGCGTGGGGGAATCCAGGCGAATGGTTCATCTATCCTGCATGTAGGCGCCACCTCCAGAGTTCGCAAGCATCATCAGCAACGCGCAGGCTCGACAGAAGCAATAGTTCCCACAGATACGTCCTCCAGCTGTATTCGGCAGCAGAGCCATGATCTGTTCTATAGCTTGGGGTAAGTAATACTGCTATATCCCCTAGCTCGTCGGCCCTCTATGTAACGTTGTCAGCTGGTGAATAGCGCAGCATCTTTGGCGGCGCATCCCAGCAAAAGAAATCCCACCTATGACGAGCTCAGAAGCACCCCGCGCTCGCGAACCCGTTCAGGCACACAGCTCGCCGATTCGCAGAGCGCCTGTTTCATGGTCCACAATGGTGCCGGCGCCAGGCACTGAATATGGGGAATCTTGGGAGCCGGCTTGCCCAATCTAGAAGCTCGTGGCTTTCCATTGGCGATGGGGCACTTCGCTGACGGCCGCATTAGCTCCCCCGCCAGTGACGATAATTTTCCCGTAGGCTCAATGGGAATGAGAGAGAAAGGCGGAGGACGAGATTGCGTTATATGCGTGATGAGAATATAAATACAAGCCGTGCTCGTCGTCCGCTTGGATCTTGTCTGTTGTTAGCCCAAGCCTTACAACACCAGATACACTCCTTCTTTGTATATACAATCCCCCCACGTTTTATACCCCTGCACATAATGTTTGTCAAGAACACCCTCGCCGTCCTGGGCCTTGCTGCCTCTGTCGCCCAGGCTCTTCCCTCTGCTCCTCTCGTTGACCGCGCCTCTGGCGGCAAGCTCACCATCTACTGGGGTGCCGAGGACGATAACACCTCTCTGCAGACTGTCTGCGACGACAGCTCGTATGACATTGTCAACCTTGCCTTCCTCGCCTACTTCCACGGCGCTGGCGGCTACCCCCGCATCGAGATGAGCGGTCTTGACGGCCCCTCTGCTGCCCAGAAGAAGGCTGGCGCTACTGGCCTCAAGGATGGCTCCAAGCTCGTCTCCGCCATCAAGTCTTGCCAGAAGAACGGCAAGAAGGTCATCCTCTCCATGGGTGGTGCCAACGACTACGCCGACGTCAAGCTCAAGGACGACGCCGACGGCCAGAAGATTGCCGACCAGGTCTGGAACCTGTTCCTCGGTGGTACTGAGAACAAGGACCTCCGTCCCTTTGGTGATGTCAAGCTCGATGGTGTCGATCTCGGTATGTTTGACTAGAAGACAAAAAAGGAGTGTACGTACTAACACACTGCCGCAGACAACGAGTCTGGCGTTTCCACTGGCTACGTCGCCATGACCAAGCGCTTCCGCTCCAACTTTGGCAAAGACACCAGCAAGACATACTACCTGTCTGCTGCTCCCCAGTGCCCCTCGCCCGATGCCTCGGAGCCCGATGCCGTCCTCAAACTGCTCGACTACGTCTGGGTTCAGTTCTACAACAACGGCGACTGCAACATCAACCAGAAGGACTTCAAGAGCTCTGTCAAGACCTGGAGCAAGAACATTGGCAACGCCAAGCTCTTCATTGGTGGTCTTGCCAGCGGTGCTGACGGCGACTCTGGCTACGTCGGCCCTGATGACTTCAAGAAGGCTCTCAAGGACGTGAAGAGCTTGAACCTGCCCAACTACGGCGGTGCCATGCTCTGGGAAGCTCAGCTTGCCATCAAGAACGACAACTTCCAGAAGAAGATCCGCAGCTCTGTTTAAGGATTCATGAAATTCGGATGGGATATCGGCGCTTTTGCGACGGGATGTATTTTATAAGGGCCAATAGTGCCCGCTTTCTGTTATACATATATACATGACAAATTGTACATATAAACTGGAAATGCTCACTCAAGTTTGGTACTATCACCATGTGAATGCGATCGGCGTCTAACTACCAAACGACGGCCAAGAATCATATCAAACGGCCTGAAAGCATGGCAACTTCTGGAGAAGTATATTAGTAGAATGACGTAGAGGTCTGTATTCATCGACTTGACGCAGCCACGCAGCCTGACATTTCACGTGATGGTGCCTAGCGCTCACAGTTCAACACACTCATCTTCAAATGAAATCTTCTTCAATTTACATTTACGAGTTACAAATCAGCTGCAAGAGCCGTAAATAATATCAGCATCATGGACGGGGAAGAAGTGATCGACCTCAGTCCGTGGGTAAAGACTACGACAACAGAAGATGATGCACAGCCGTCGAAGATTATGCTATCGCTGATGGCACCGTTAGGGACACATAGCATAGTGGAAAGATGTCGAAACCCGGACTCGCGCTGCGTTTTAATAGACGATTCGGTTGTCTGGCCCGACATTATTCACGAAAAGCTGCGGACGGCATGGCTTATGAAGGCATGGCGAGCACACGCAAGCAGTCTCTCGCCCGCGCCACGCATTGTGTTCGATCTTCGCCTTCCACTGCACGATGTAGGAGACACAAATGAGAAACAGTCCAAGATGGTGTGGAATAGGTATGCATGGGAAGACGAGAGATCGTTCTTACTGGACTGGGAGCAAGTTAGTAGGGCGATTATGGTTATTGCAACGGGTATGAAGATGCGGCGACAAGATGAAATTGCATTTGAGATTGCGTATGGCAGCGGCAAGAATTCTTGGAAGCAGCTCCAGAAACTCCTCTCTGGATTCGGTCATGTTAGTGTCACCAAGCTTGTTAAGGACGGCGAGGTGGAGAGAACGAGGCCGGTGGCGGTACGAAGTGAATCGTCCGCGTCTGGGATGCCATCTGTACAGGCGGTTCGTCTGACGAAATATATGGTGCCACTGTCAGAAACTCACTCTACAACATAAGAAATTCGACATTGACGGCTACTGGTCTGATAGAGCAACCAATGATTCTATGAGAAGCGAGGCGTAATAAATGGCTAGGCAATGCGATACAATTTGACAGTATACAATGGCTTCGGATCCGTGTACTTGGCGGCGTGAATAATACAATGATGCCATGGATCGTCCGTATACTCCTTCTCATCAGGTTTGGTGGCGGAGCTGCCGTAAGTGGCGCTGGCTGTGCAGCCTCGCATCTCGCCAAGGCGACCAGAGATGGTTATTTTTGGCAAGGCTGATAATTTGGTGCCCATACATGCCAGCATCTGTATTGAATCACCTTATCTCAGTATCCCCAGATACTTTTTGCAGTAAACTAGTAGCTAAGTTATTGCTTTGTACACTTGCTCAGCTGAATGGACTTTTTGTCTCCAGCAACGCTCAATAACATCAGCAAAAGGCAAACCCGATGTGTCAGGAAACCGCCCATTCTCAAAATTGCTTTCCACAATGTCCTCCTCTAAGTCATGAAAGGGTGCATATCCTGTCAAAATAAAATACAAGACTGAGCCTAGAGAAAACAGGTCCTCCTCAACTGTAGGCGGTTTGTCTGGTTTCCAAGTAGGATCTGCGGCTCTATAGCGAACGCTTGGGCAGACGGTAGCGCTCGAACCATTCACTGATGAGCCACTAAAGTCTGCTATTTTCAGGTTGAAATCCGCGTCTAGAAGTAAGTTGTGTGGGCCGACATCACAATGTAAAACACCAGAAGCGCGCAAGAGTTGTAGGCCTTCTGCTGCTTGGCGTGCCCACCGGAGTTGCTCTTGTTGTGAGATTTGTTTATAATGGTTGCCAATATATTGCTTAAGTGTATCATTTGGCATAAACTCCATCACTAGAGCATGTTGCGTAGCATCCCAACTTCGAATATCTATCAATCATGGATGTTTGCCGAGCAATTGGTGTATCGTCGCCTCCGTGATAAGATCGCGTTTGCAATCTCCTCTAGCTGGATCTTCGAATGGTGTTTTAACAATATCGCTATTCGGTAGTCATTCCACAAGTGAGGTTGCGCCAACAGCGACGAAATCGCCTCTGCCATCGATGATATCCATGGTAGAAACGACTATATAAGCGCAGAATGAGTGGATTCTTCGGTCGTACGGTTTACCTAGTGGCATGTCTCTGCCGTCGTATCCGAGTGTTACTGTTAATTCTGCCTATTTTCCTATGATTCGAGTTTATCGTCCTATGGAAATCGTGTCGACCACCGCCAGGCATGCATGTACTTTGTTCAGCAGGCTGGTTCGTTTGGTGGAAGGTAGTTTGGCGGGGCGGCTAACGGCTAGCGCCCATGACATTTCCCTGTTTCGTGGCGTTCTAATTTAGTGGCAGTAGTAAGAAATCGTAGCCATTTGTACCTAGCATATGCGGAGAGCAGCCATTCGCTACTTACTCTGTACACTACACTAACTTGGGGCCAACAAACGAAACAAGACTAAAAAAAAAGTTGGGCACCGCCCGTGGCGAAGCAAAAAGAAAGACGTGAGCAGCCCGCCGGTGATTGGCTGCGTGGCCACCTGGCTCCAGCCGCTCCAAGTAATTTGCCGCGACTCCACCACAGCACAGGGGGGGGGACGATGTAATCTACCAAGTTACAGCGGGCTTTGCTCCCTTTACAGTGGCCTACAGCGCCTGAAAGAAGGCAAAGACGAACCATGCCCTGTTTTTCTATTGGCATGCTCTGCACCCCCATCGTTTCCCCTTTTGTACTGGGGACGGTTACAAGGGACATAGTTTAGAGTTTTTGTAATTCAGTCGTTAGTGGCAGTTCGTGTCTGAGTTGACGCAATTACCGGGAAATAACGCCGTAGCGGGCAGCAGCAGCAGCAGCAGCGGAAAAAAGACGCATACTGCAGATGTTTATATCCGAGGAGCGAGGCTGTAAACAGCTGCTGATGACGGTGATGATGCGGCTGCGGGTATTACCTACAGTAGGTAGGCTTGCAGGCACTGCCCACTAAAATAGCGCCAAGCCAAACCCGCGTACAGCGCCCGGAACCTCTCGTAGCTTAGCGCTATTACGACGCCTTGGTGGCTGTTTGGTAGTGCTTCTGCTGTGCTGCGCCTTGGCTGTGCCCGTCAGCTGCCTGCCAGCCGTCCCTGAACCTGAGCCGTTACATCACATCACACATCACCAGCCCTCTTCTTTTTTTTTCTTCTTTCTTCTCATTCTATTCTTTTTTGGTGTTTTGTTACTTAATTTGCCCGTCTTACTTTATCGACATATTGTGCTGGCTACTACTTCAGCCCGACACACAAAATATTCCCATTGTATCATCAGCACCACAAACAAGTGGCAGATTCTTCCGAAACGTCATTCGAGACATCATAGCACCACCCGCCCGCCCCCAAAAACATCCGACTGAGCAGCGAACAGCGGGCAAACATCTGTCCAGGGAATCATAGCGCAGCAAGCAAGCTCCAACTGTTCATTTCCTGGCTTCGCTTTTCCCTTAATCAACATCTACAATCAACTTGTCCCGCCAGCCACGCCGCGAGCCAAGACGATTTGCCCAGCCGCTAAGGCGCAGCAACACACCACGACAAACAGAGCTCGACATTGCCAGCTTAGCCGCCGCTCAGCAAACACCACAATAGCAGACACTGTCAACAGACGCTATTGTATAATTTGTATCCCGCCGGCGCAAGACGCAGACCTAGTCCTTCGTCCTCTACACAAATCAACGCATACCGCCTGCCAACACACCGTAACAGTGCAGTAATACACACGTTGACTATGATGAATCTAACGTGCAACTCCACGCTGGAGCATCTGCGCATATCGCCCGGCTCCGAGATTGCCCTCGTCGGCAACCTAACCTTCCACGACCTCGCGCGCATCATCGGCGCCGCCTGCACGCTCATCTCGGTCGTGCTCAGCCTCTTCCTCATCTTCATGCACGCCACGCACTACACCAAGCCGCAGGAGCAAAAGTTCATCATCCGCATCCTCTTCATGGTCCCCATCTACGCCATCTCGTCGTTCCTCCAGATCCAATGGTACTGGCACGCCATCTACTTCCAGGTCATCTCCGACTGCTACGAAGCCTTTGCCATTGCGTCCTTCTTCGGCCTCTTCTGCCACTACGTCGCGCCGGACCTGCACACCCAAAAGGACTTCTTCCGCGAAATGCGCCCCATCTCGCCCTGGGTCATGCCCGTCAACTGGTTCGCCAAGTGCTGCGGCGGCGAGCGCGGGCCCTGGCGCACGCCCAAGAGCGGTCTGACCTGGTTCAACATCAACTGGATCGGCATCTACCAATACTGCTTCATCCGCGTCGCCATGACCATCACGGCCGTCATCACGCAGTACTTTAAGCGCTACTGCGAGAGCTCCAACTCGCCCGTGTTTGCGCACGTCTGGATCTCCGTCATCAATGCCCTCGCCGTCACCATTGCCATGTACTGCCTGATCCAGTTCTACGTGCAGCTCAAAACGCCCCTCAAGGAGAACCACCTGCTCATCAAGATCATCGCCATCAAGCTCGTCATCTTCTTCTCCTTTTGGCAGACGCTCGCCATCTCCCTCGGCACCTCCACGCTCAACATTGTCCACGCTAACGAGACCATTGCCTACCCGGACCTCAAGGTCGGCATCCCCGCGCTGCTGCTGTGCATTGAAATGGCCATCTTTTCCTTGCTGCACATCTGGGCTTTCCCATACAAGCCCTACAAGCCCGAGTCCCCGCGCACCTTCTACCCAAGCCCCGACATTGCCAACGGCTCCCCGACTGTCGAAAACGTCCGCCTGCCCAATGCCGGCGGCTTCCTCGGCTTCGCGGCCCTCTTTGACGCCATGAACATCTGGGACTTTGTCAAGGCCTTTGGCCGCGGCATGCGCTGGCTCGTCTGCGGCGTCCGCAAGCGCAAGCAGGACATCTCCTACCAGCACGCCCACGAGATGCAGCGCCCCAAGCCCGACAATGACAGCTCCTACGAGGCCATGCGTCCCAGCCAGGCCTCAGCATACAACAACAATGCTGCCGCACACCAGTCGTCGCCGTACAACAACCAGTACGGCGTCTCCTCGACGCCCACGCCGCCGCCGCACCCTAGCACCGTAGGCATGGCCGTCTCGGGCGACGAGCGCGTCGGCCTCATGGCCAACGCACAGCCCAACCCCGAGATGCGCCAGCACCACCACCAGCCTTCCTACAGCGCACAATCATATCAACAGCAGCAGCAACAACAAAGACCATATGACCCGTACCACCCACAAGAAGAGCATGGTGTAATTGGCCAGGCCGTGCCATATCGCTAGTCTCTCTGTTCGTCTTTGTTGCGCTTCATCATCTTTCTGTTTCATGATTCACACATACCACCGTCACATTTTACAAACTCTCCAAGATACCAAGACACACACTACAGCCATGTATCTGTATCTGTCTGTCCAACGTACACCAAAGCCACCACGAAATAATGGGAAAAGGGCCCACGTCATACATGCCGATAATGTACATAGACCAGAACCAAACTACGTTAATTTTTTACACAGCAGGATAATATACACAATGCCTTGCCGCACTACATAAAACCATACAGTATAAAAAACTAGACCAAAGTGTAACCCCAATGTGTGCCTCGAATAGACGCAAGCCACACAGCTCGCATCGGACCCTGGCGCAGCTGAACGACGACAGCGACCACGTCAGACCCCAGCGTCGCAGATTAGACGCCCAAAAATGCCGACTTGGACGATATGCGCATTCAGCTACGACGGCTTTCATGCCGCCATGACCTCGAAAGGGGAAAAAAAAGACGCCCTCTTTGTAACATTGGACAAACAACCCCAAGACAATTCCCCTGTGTCGCTGTGGCCCCAGACAGAAACCTGGCACAGACCCCCCAGACGCGGCCGATCCGTGGTTGGACTTGGTCACTAGTTTCACGTGCGTCCCCGACTGGACAGTACATTAGAATGACGTATTGAACGAGGTTGACGACGAGAAGAAGAAAAAATTGGCAGAAAATTACATGTGTAGTTTTTTCAGCAAGTGAACTGGCCGCAACGTCCTATTCAAAGGGTGCGTCCGCCTCAAAACTGTCTAATGTACTGGATATTTCCTCCCCTGCCCGGCCCTTCTAAGGCGGTTCTCATCTACAGACGGTTTGCTGCTGCGAATTCCTCCTCCCCCTCCTTCTGCTGCTATAACACAAGAAAAGATGCGACTATACCTGCCAGGTCCTAGACCACCTCATGTAACCAAATGTGCAGCCAACTAAACAAATATACCAGGGCGAGAGTTGATGCTCGATCCCCCCACAAAGCACGGTCCTCTCAAAGGAGCCTCCTCTTCCTCGTACAAGAGACGAAGCAGGACTCCTCTGATACCATGCGACGCATACTTTGCTTCACGCGTCCGCCCTTTTCTTTTTCTCGTTTTTAGGCGATACAAAATAAAAGAGGCGGTAGCCAAGCAAAGTTCCCTCTCCAATGTGCAATATGTATGTAAAGGTGAGAACCAATAGTTCAAATCGTGTGCGTCGTAATATTTGGATCCTCTAGTGTTTAAAAGTGATGACGGAAAAATAATAAAAAATGTCCAAAAAAAAAAAGCTATGTGTATCCGGTCCCGGGTTACGACGAGACCCCAACAGGGGCACCGCCGGTTTCAGGATCGGGGTTGGTGGCACGCAGAACCTTGGGGGCCTGTATTCTGCGCGAGTAGTCGTGGTCGTCGTGGAGCGTGTTGACACTCTCTGCGCTGCCGCTACGGGCGTACAGACCCTGGTTGAAAGGGTCCATGCGAGGATCAATCTGCAGCATGCTGCTTCGGTTGCCAGCAGAACCAGGAGAAGACGGCGAGCCGCGGCCACGGGAGCCCGAAGCACTACCGGCGGCTGCGTCAGCTTCTTTTTGCTGCTTGCGCTTTCTCAAAAACATGAAGAGAATGATGCCGGCAATGACGAGGATGGCACCAATGATGCCGACGACAATGCCGACAATAGCACCGGTACCTAGGCCACCGCTGTTACCGTCAGAGCCACCAGACGAGTGATCCGAGGTGCTGGATGGGTAGTACGTGATAATGACGGTGGAAACTTGGCCGTTGGTATCCGTAGTAGCGACTTGGGACGTTTTTGGGCTAGAGGACTGCTGGAATAGTTAGCAAAGTGGTTCGAAGGAAATGACAATAGTCCGCTCAGCCGACTCTTGATTCGGCAAGCGGGCAGCACGAGAGTTGGGTCATACAGATGAGCTACTGCTGGGGGACGAAGCAGTTGAGGAAGAAGGAGATGGTCGGCGGGATGAAGAAGGAGAGGATGTCTGTTACAAGTCTCAGCTACATTTGCCATCACAAAACAAGGTGATATTGGCCTGAGACTCGGCCGCGAGCGCAGAATACGAAGATTCGCGTTGCTCAGATGATGCGGCGCCAGCAGCTACAACTTTCTCACAGACCACATGGAACGTCTCCAGGATATGAGGGGGGAAGAATAGGGAGTCTTAGAAGAACTTACCGAGGAAGGGGATGGTGTGATGCTTGGGCTCTGAGCAGGGCCCTTGAGTTGTATCCAGGAATAGGCGTTTGATCCGCCGCAAAGCTCGTCTGGGAAGCCAGGGCAGCCCTGGCTGCAGCTGGACCTGGAGATCTTGTCGCTCTGCTTGGGTGCGTCGTTTGTGCACCAGCAGTTTCGGTAATTTGTGACGGCGTAAGCGAAGCCCTTGGGGCCACAGTTATCACTACAGAGGCCGTTGGTTTGGAACTGTTCATCGTCTAGAGGCCATGATTAGCAACGGAGAGGAAGAGGCGCGAGATGACATGAGGCAAAAACCTACTGGGAGTGGAACTAGGACTGGTCTTTGCGCAGAAGGTAAAATCGACCGCGTTCACAAAGGCCACAAAGACGAAGAGGGAGATGAGGGCGGCAAAGCCCGTCCTTCTTTGATGGCGAGCCATGATGCCTAGGGCTGTGGGTGTGAAGAAGAAAGAGACGACGGGTATTGAGAAGCGGCGTCTCTAAGCGTTGGTGCTAGTTTGAACGCAGCTAGAATCGGGTTGCCAAGCGCCACGGGTGACAGGTGATCGGAATGTGGCCGAAAAGGGTGACTTTGTGGTGACAGCACTGGCCGTGATTCGAGGATGGCTATGTCTAGGTGGCGTGGTAACAGTGAGCGTCTTTGAGCGACGTATCGTGAAAATTGGCAAAATCCGAAGCACCCAGTTTCGACGTTGATGAACGAAGAGAGTTGGAGATGGAGATTACCGAGTGCAAAGCGACGGGGTATCGAGAAACTGGGCAAGCAGAGGCTGTGACCAGGTATTGCGTCGTTTGGCAGCTGGAATGCAGCGGTTTCGGTAACTGTGAAAAAGGGTGGTGGGAATGCGGGTTTCTTGTTGCAAGCAATGAAGTAGACAAGCCCAGGATTCGATTTACACGAGTAAAAATAGACGATTGTTCAAGGAAGCAGGCAGGCGGACAGTCGACTGGGGATAAAAATACAAGAGTCCAGGAGTCGGTTGTCGAGAGCGCTGGGGTTGGTTTGACAGATTGCCTTGTCGTCTGAAGGGGAGTTGAACAGGACGCAAGACGAACAAATCAAGTCGAAAAAAGAACGAAGACAAAAAAAGGTAAACGAAGGAACAGAAAACAAGATGGCGAGGGTGTGTGTGGGAAGAAAAAAAAGAAGATGATGCTTCTTTTCTTGGTGGTGAGGCAAGGCCAGGAACTAGAAGAGGAGAGGAGGAAAAGAAAGAAAAACGAATGGTGGTCGGGATGAGAGACAGGCGGGCCAGTGGGCAAAAGGAAAAAAATCAGGCCACGGCGCGACCGGGACAGCTGGGCAAGCAACCAAAGGCCGCTAGCGAAAGAACAGGACAGCCACTGGAGCACGCCCACAGTGAGCAAGGCAGGGGGACGGGGGGGCAGCAAGCAATCGGCAGTAGCAGCACCCACACGCGCCGGACGCACCAGGGGATGAATGGATGTGGGTGGATGGGCGGCGGGCTCCACTGTAGCGATTGAATGGCAGTGGGCGAGTCCACTGGAAATCAGGAATTAAAAGCGGGGAGGCTAGCAGGAAAGGCAGGCGATCTGCTACATTTGCATTGCGCAGAAAGATTCCAGCGCGGTCTTTTGCTGTCCCAGTGCGAGGGATGGTCGGAATTGAAGTATCATGAAGCTTAATTTATGTACGGGCGGAGAGAAGCTTGGAAAACCCCAACTTGTTTTTTTTTTTGGTGGGAGTGGGATTACGAGAATGGGCGGAGTTTCTGATGCACACATGGCCTCGAATACGAAGACACCAAGCAACGCCGCCCGCAGGTGCAGCAAAAACACAGTTGTTGTAGCAGTAAACTGGCCATAAAACACTCAGCGTAACGCCCCCATCCCCCCGTACAGCCAGCACTGCACAGTATGGGACCAACTGCTCACGCACCATGGCCCACGCACCGTAGAGGGCCATGCAGCGTATCGACACGGGTTGAAACATGCACGCGTTGTAGATCGCTGCCAGCAGCAAGCAGACGATGCAAGAGAAAATAAAAATAGGGGGAGGAGTGGAATACGGACTCGACGACTCACCTGACTTTTGGCTGTTACACCAAGATACGAAGTGAAGAATATGGATTTGTGTATAAAAGTTACGAGCATTGCTGTTCTTTTTCTTTCCCGTTGTTCGTACAGTGCACACACAGCAATTACAGTAACAGCGTCACCTAATTTGCAAGACGGTGCTAATTGTTAGGCCACTGGGTACTCGAGCAAGGCCGGCGCTAACAACGAGGTTACAATTTTACCACGGCAGCCAACCATTGCATTCAACCACCAAAAAAAAAGCCAGCGGAGAGCGGCACATTGGGCACCACTGCGGTCACTTCGCAAGTAACCTTTTAGGCAATCGTCACGATATCACTTGCTACCAATTCTAGCGTTCAGACGAAAAGGAAAAGCAACAGTGCCAAGCGAGCGATATCAGAAAAAGACAGCGCCTTAGTCATGTCCGGCGTGTCTCCTAGCCAGAAATCAGGCCATATATGGATAAGACGCAGGGCTGGGCTCCGTCTCTCTCTAGTGGTGACAAAAGAAGAAAATAATAATTTAGAAAGCTGTAGAATGACGTGAACGAGCCGCATCCGGTCATTTGAAGTAATTTAAAAATATAAAATATAAAAAAGCAAGGTGAAGAGAAAAAGACGAGACAAGCTACAGACACCCGGCGCCAAACAACCAGAGACAACGACGACAGTGGCTTCCCGCCCCCTGTTTCACTTGCCTGCTGACACCGACAGCGGTTCCAACGTGCTACAAGTTCAGTGGAGGAGCCCGCTAAACCTAAACGAAAGCAGGCGCCAGGCACAAGCAGCAACAAGCGCCGGAGTGAGCATGGGGCAGCCGTCCGTGCGGGGCGTACAGTACAGTACAGCTGGGTCCAGTACAGTGTTACGACACACAGTACTGTAAGTCCGGCGATAGGATATAGGGATGGCATATATTCCGTACTGTACACAACGCCACGACCTGGTATATCTACTGCTCCTACTTTAAAAACCTAGATTTCTACACAAGGATTTAAATAAAAGGGCCTGCATGAGACACACAGCTGCAGCAACCACCACGCATACAGTACAGCACAGCACAACTCCGGACAAGGGGCAATGGATTGCAGGGGGCGGAGGCACAGTCGATAGCGTCCTGTCCATGCCGCTAGCCTACCACGACGCCATCCTTTTTGTACTACCGCGGCACAATGGCGATCCGTTTAATTAAGCAGCTGCTGGTATGCCCCGCACCGTGCATCTTCTTCGGTGTACCATACCCGTACTGTATGTACATACTTGCATTTGCTCCCTGTTGATATGGAATGATATTTGTAATTTACAGTAGATAAAGATAATAGAAAACAACAGGGGGAGAAAGATATAAACCAATTATACACAAACAAGCAACGGTTTCTTCTTTTTCAACCCCCTCCAAACCGTTACGTCCAGCGTGCCCTCCGCTGCCACGCTGTACCTGTATTGTACCCTTCCGTCGTCACTGCTACAGTACCTATCTGTACTAGACAGATACCCGTCACAAGCTTTGCTGCGTCGGCGGCTAGTTGGCCAACGTGGTTGATAAATTCACTTGTTAAGGCAGGGTCGCCTAGCAATTCTAATCGTGGAAAATCTAGAAAAACAAAAGGCATGAATCCGTGCTACAGGCCACCCGTCGGCGCGGGGCTGCATGCATAGCACCTATGCCTTGCTGGATAGCCGCTTCGTCGACGTCGGCGGCGTCGTTTCATGCGCATAACTCCAGAGGCATTATCGAGGAAATAGCCCGATGCTGTTATAGACCACTCTGAAATAGAAATGGAAGACATGCAAACAAGGAAACAAACAAAGACGTTAAAGGGGCGACGTCGGCTGTCTGGCATGTGCCAATTACCCTATAACCATATTTTGTGCCAGCACTCTGCCCAAAATTTCACGTGTAAGCTGTACATGGTGCTCCAATATGATACAATAGCAGTGGTAGGGTGGTATGTGTGTATAGTTTAGAATATCGAGTGGCACCAATGAGAGTTGACAGACAACATGTTCCTCCTGCAATGCTCTTACACGCGCATCCATTCATGCCAGTCAAGATGCGTATAAACAACCATAGACGGCCAAACCGCTTTTCTCCTTGAATAAAAAAATGGCGTTACATATAAAAACAAGAATAATAAGCCCATGCTGATAATGCCTAAACAAAGTGTATTGTACTTGTTATTTTTGCAAAGGTACGTCCTGCGCTCCTTATCCGTACTGCTGCATTCCTTCGTTGATGCGCACAAACAATGCCAGCAATGCCAGACAACAATATAATCCCCCATTCCACCATGTTCATCCGCAAAAAAAAAAAATAAGAAAACAAGGAGACGTGGACAAGACTACCGTAGTACAACTTACAGAGACAATTCTTCCTCGTCGTGTCAATCTTGTCAGTCCGGGCTTATATCGGCTTTAACTTATCGGTATCACTTCTACTCATGCATCACCGAGACGTCCACTGCGAAAATGGAATTTTCCTCCCAATATATTATTATTAACTCTATCATCACTCGGTGTTGGTTTGAATCACACAGTTCATCTTGGTGAGACTGGTTGTGTAATTTGTGTAGACTACAGACTACATACAACTACTATATTTAGAAAACAAGTATCTCTAAGATGAATAGACGGCAACGTCCGTAGCGTAAGAAAAAGAATCTTTCCCCAGGTTCTATCCTATATTATCCTATATTAGATTCGATTATCTAGCCCATCTTCTTCAAATAGGTTTGATTCGCTTCGTGCTTGCGCAGTTTTTGAGCCTGGGCCTGTGTGCTCCTCATGATTCCGTATTTGCTATTAACCCAACCGACGAAGCCGACCCCTACTTTGACTCGGCCAACTCCACATTCACTGCCAGCTTCCGTGGCGGCAAGGCTGTGTCTGTCAAGGACTATCCGTTCATTATTGCTGGTCTCCGCGAAGGCGGTCCTCGCCCCAAGGGCCAAGCCTGCACTGGCTCTGTCATTGCACCACGGAAAATCCTCATTGCAGCTCATTGCACAGAGCCGTCCGGCCACAAAACCTTTGTCTATGGCCATGATGACTTGAACAAGGGTGAATTGAAAAAGATCGAAGTGGTCAGCTACAAAATGCACCCCAAGTACAGGGTTGGCGAGTTTCTAAAAGGATGGGATGTCGGCATCGTTACGACAGCAGAAGATATTCCTGTCCCAGGCGGCCAGTATGCCAAGTTTGCAACGTCCGCCGATAAGGGTATTGCAAAGCCAGGCAAGAAGGCTTTCGCTCTGGGCGATGGTCGAAAGACCCCCGACGATAACTCAAACGGCGAGTTGCATCGCGGCGAGCTTCCCATCGAGGCCCCTGCGATTAGACTGGGCAGGGGCTCAAATTGCTTCCCGAGTCCATGGTATGCAGCGGTACTTCTAATGGTCAACCTTGCCAAATTTTACCGGGGGATTCGGGTGGTCCTCTTATTGTTGACGGAGTCATCGTTGGCGTTGGGTCAGAGTACATTCGACTGGTACAGCATCTATGGTAGATTAGATGGTGAGGCGGGAGATTGGATAGCAGAAGAGGTGAGGAAGGACAAATAATATCCCAATAGTTGCTGCGTACGCTGCACATACTGTTACGTATCAGGCTGTGATATTCATCAAGCTTTCTGCTCTACCCGTTTTAATGCATCCTTGTGCGGCCGGCAGGCGTATTTCTTACTAATTACTCTAAGACGTACGAGTAGATGTTAATTGAAGATTGAGAAGGAGGCATTCTCAATAGGACATGGCCAATGTTGAACAAGTCACAGACACAATGTAGTAAAAGTAGAAAATCTTTTCAATAGAAGCCATCTCCCAACGCCATTCGCAGCTTACCAAAGGACAGCCGAATCAATATCAAACTAACAAGAAGCACTCTCTGAAATACATCCATCGTTCGTCCCCTATTCTCTATGCAAATGCCATGGTGAAAACAAAACAAAAATAGGAAAAAAGCGTTGTAAAAACACAGAGATCACGTCTTCTAGACATGTCTAATACAAAAAGGTACATTTGCGTCTCTTTTACCTCCTCGGTCTCTTCTCGCGATCACTCGCAAGATGTCCCGTCCCTTCCTCTGAGCGGCGCTTGCGTCCACGATCCTCACGTCGGTCGTCCGATCGTCCGCCGCCGCCTCGTCCACCACGGTTACCGCCCCAATCATCGCCGCGGCCACCGCTTCCTCTATCGCGACCACCGGGGCCCTGAGGCACATTGTTCGGTCCAGACGGCCCGCGACGGCCTCCATCAGGTGGTGGTCCCCCGTCAGGCCCGTTGCCCATGGACCGGCGGTCTCGGTACTCGCCACCATGGCCCTGGCGTCCACCTTGACGGTTATCGCGTCTGCCGTGGCCTTGGTTGTTATCGTCGCCACCAGCAGGTCCGCGCGGTGCGTCGGGCCACTTGTCGCGCTCTTGGCCGGCTCCTCCTGCTAGAACCTGCATGTCTGAGTTGCCCATGCTTTGGCGGCCAGAAGAAGGCTGTCGTTGGTTCGAGTTACCGCGGATTGGTTCTTGGTTAGGGCCGCCGTGGCCGTGCTGCAGCATGTTGTTGATGCCGGCAAGCTGTCTTCTGCCGCCGCCACCGCGGTGTCGCTCGTTGGAGCCGGATGGGCCGGTGGGAACACCGCCTTCATGTCTGTCGTCGTGGCCGGAGCGATCCTGGTGCATGCTGGGACCAGATGGAGGAGGCATGTCGCTGCTGCGAGGCCTGTCCATGTTAGGAGCTGGCGATCCTGCGTTTTGGCCACCATGCTCGTATCCGTTACGACGTCCACCACCACCGCGTGCAGATGATGGGCCAGTTGGCGGCTGCATGTCTGGCGTGTTGCTGTTTGCTGGGCCTGTTGGCGTGTTCTGAGCGCTTCTAGGGGCTCCACGTCCACGCGGTCTGGGCCCAGAAGGCGTCTCAGGACCACCGCCAGCAGCATTGAGGCGGCCGTAGTTGGGATCTTGGAACGAGTTTCCTTGGCGGTGGTCGCTGTCGGGGCCGCGGCCTCCAAAGAAGCCGTCATCTCGGTCTCGGCCACCGGCTGTGGATCCGTCTCTGCCGCTTCTACCGGGCGTGCGATGGTCTGAACCGTGGCGTCGGCCGTGACGGTCGTCGGCAGGGCCAGTTGGTGCTGCATTGGGTGCTTGGTTGGCATTGGGGTGCTCGTCATGCCCATCGCGTCCACCTCGTCGAGGAGATTGGCCGCGAGGGCCACGGTTGCGGTTGTCTCCGCGGTTGTTCCTACCAGACTGCTTCTCGTCACGCTCAAGCAATGCTGCACGGTCAGGATTGACGTTCTGCATCAGATCGCCCTCCTGTCGTCGAGGACCACGCGCAGGACGGTCACCTTCGTCTTGAGCAAACAGGGCAGCGCGCTCAGGGTTCATCTTGGGCTCGGCACCGTCGGCGGAAGCAGAGCCAGTAGGAGTGGCATTATCACCACCTCGGTCGCCTCCACGATCGCGACCACCCTTGTCACGACCACGGCGATCTTGGTCTCCCCCCCTAGGACGAGGCGGAAGATCGCCAGCCTGGTCTCGTCGGTCTCCATGGTCTCTGCCGCGGTCGTTGCGGTCTCCGTCTTGACCCTGTCGAGATTGGTCTCTACCTTCTCTCGATTCTCGGCCATCGCGTCTGTCGTGGCCGCGCTGGTTGGCAGCATACCTTTCCGGCGTGTAGTGCGGAGGGATCTTAACATCCGGTCGGGAAGGAAGGCTGTGCGAAGGACGATCAGGGAGCTTAGCCGCATCAGATCGGGGTCCTGTCGGCTTGGGCGTAGACGATCGCGACTGGTTGGAGTTTGGTGTCTCGCCACGCGGCCCGTCTCTATTGAGTCGTGTGGGACGAGCAGGAAGGGCATCCTTGCCGGCTCCAGTCTGCTGTTTGCCATCTTGAACCTCGCCATCCTCCTCTTCTCCTGTCTTGGATCCTCGCCTAGTTACGTTAGTGTTTTGTTGGCATAGGTTAAAGCCTAGATGTGTGCACATACTTCTTGTTCTTTGGCATAAAGTCGGGTGCTGTGGGACGCAACTTTGTTCCGTTTGTATCGCTTTCGGGTTTGTTGGCCTTGTTGTACAAGTTAGACTGGGCCTTTGGTAAGATCTCCACAGGTCTACTTACAGAATTCTCACGGAAAGCTTGCACCATGACCCATTTCGCCTTTCTTCGCTGAAGCTCAGACATGGCGCCTTGAGCAGCGACGGCCAAGTCGACACGATCACCAATCTCAGCCTCGGGAGATGCCTTCTTTGCATTCTCTTGCTGGGTAATCTTTTGCAGCTGGTTGGTGAACTGCGTAGCCATAAAGTCGATGGCGGGGAAGTAATCAACAACTGTCTTGAGAACGGTGATGGCGTTTCGAATATGCATCCATTCGGAGCCTGTCAAGCATGACTTGAGCGCCATGTTAAGATTCTTATGCCAAGCAAACAGGTGGTCTCTAAACTGGTCGTGTTCGATAAAGGTTGCTGGCTTTCCATTCTCGTCGACAGTAAGAGCAAAACCAAGGCGAGGTTGATCTGCGCTACCGAGAGCTTCCTTTTCGTACACACCAGTTCGGGTTGCCGTTTTGGATGCCTTGGAGTCTTTATCACCGGGCACGGGTGCGTTGCGGTGCCATCTCGAGAGGTCTTCGAGCACTAGCTTAAGGAATCGACCAAGGTATTCAGCTTCACGCACAGTGCTCGTGAAGATGAGGGATCGAAGTCGGTTGGCGTTGAATAGGCGGTTGTAAAGGGACATGAGCTTGAAGCCGGGGGCATTCCAGTCATGCAGGCACTTGATGAAGCGGAACGTAAACTCGACGTCTGCCGGCGAAAGCATTATTCTAGGAATGATACACTGTTCAAGGAGAATATCCGAAAGAGCATCAGCCTTGAGTTCAGTGTTGGGGAACGACGTCTGGAACTGTCTCGTCAAGTAAACCTTCCATTTGGCCTTGCGGAGGAAGTGTTCCTTCTTCTCCTCCAAAAGACCGACTTGAAGGTTCATGAGGTCCTTGCGCTTCTCGGTTCGCTCCTCTTGTGCGCGACGGCTCATGTCGGAGCGGTCTTTGCGCAGAGCCATGTCTTCACCCTTTAACCTTTCAGATTCCTGCTTATACACGTGTTCGGGACAGTAGATGTCGCTGAGCTGCAAGGCCCAAAAGGTGGCATAGAATTCAGGCGAAATCTTTTCCCAGACCTCGGGGCCGATGGTCTCTTGAACAGCGTCAATAATGGGCTGCAGAGTGGATTGGATGGAAGGATGCTCGCCCGACTTTTCAGCATCTTCAGTTCCTTCCTTTGGCTTTTCGGCTTCTTGGTCATCTCCCTCAGGCTTCTCAGACATGGAGACATCGCCTTCCGTGTCCGCCTCCTTGGGTGGCTCAACAGAAGCAGCCTTCCAGGGAAGCATGCGCTGACCAAGGCTGGGTCTACCAATCAAGAACGCCAAGCTGACGTCAATGCCATAGGAAGTAAGGAGTTCTGGGATAGACGGCACGGCCTTGTCGAATGCGGCAGTGTCGAGGTTGGTCCAGATAAAGTCCAGGAATTTGATAAGCGTCTGATGCGAGTCATCAATCATGGAAGAGAGATACTTGATATGCGCCTCGTCTTCTGGCACTTTGAAAATCGCGGACTGTCGGTATTGTGTAAGGTTGATAAGCAGGCGAACAGCAAGATGAGAATCGATGAGTGCAGTGATGAGGCGTTGTGAGCTCTTAACATTGTCGTATCGCTTGTCACCGCCACGAATGAGCGTATGTTTGCGCAGGCAATCTCCTCCAGCCATAGACAGTACCTGATAATCAGTAAAGTCGACAGAGTCTACAATACCACCCATGGTGGAAATGAGCTCCTTGAGAATGATTAGATCCGTAGCATTGCCTTGAAGAAGCTGGTCGTTGACGTAGTAGAGAACGGGAGTCGCGTCCAGTAGTGTGTAACGACGGAAGACCTGGCCAGTAAACTTGGACAAAGCCTGGAGCCATTTACTTGTTGTGAGGGCGTGCTCTGCTTGTGTGCGACTTCTTGACTTGCCGAGCGAGTTCATGAGCGACCAAACCAAAACATCGTAGGAGAGATCGGTAAAGTATTTTGCACATTCGACAAAAGCGCTGATGAGGTTGGGGTATGATTCCAGTTGTTCAAAGGCAACTCTGAAAACAATACCTGGCGAAGAGTAGCTAGTCTTGGCGAGCTGCTTGGCCATCTCACTTAGGTTGGTCAACGAAACTCGCTTCATCGTGCCTCTAGTAGCGGCGGTGGCTTTGGCAAAGGCTGATCGCATTGCGGGAAGTCTCGAGGTCTGGCCTTCAAACCACTCCGCGTACAGGGAGTATCGTGTAGTGGTGGGATAGTGCTCCAAAAGAGTCCAGATGGCATTGACTACAGCAGCATTGGCGTTGGTATGGCTGAGAGCGGGAAGGAGAAGACGGCGCAACAAGTCGAGCCATCGCTTCAAGTTTTCGGGTGAAGTGTCGTCTCTTAAGCTCTGAGCACCGATGGAAGCCAGCTTGGAGAGCAGAGCCTCATCCTTGCCGATGCTGACGCCAGAGAGGTTGAGAAATGTGTCGCAGAGGGTGAAGATGTCATCGACTGTTTGACAGACGGGGACATTATCAGACCACTCGTCCCAGTAGAAGCGGTAGTTTTGGTTCTCGTTGGTGTCAGCCTTGTCAGGGAAAGGCCAGCGCCAGAACTTCTTGGCTGGCAGCTGTCCGAGGCGAACGTTGCCTTTGGGCACACCAGACTGGTCCAGTTCGGGAATGGGCTTGGAGGGGCATTCCATGGAAGTGGCGGCCTTTGGTCTGCTATCGTTGTAGACCTTTTCGACCGAGATGTTTAGGATGCGATGTATACGAGACAGAACCTCGGGAAAGGCCTCGGGGATCCAGGGAAAGCGACCCAGGATGAAGAGAGACTCAGGGATCGCACCAATCGTTAGGAGTTGTGTCAGAAGAAGCACCTTTTGCTCTACGGGTTCTGGCAACTTGGCCTTGGCCTCGGCTTCCGCAGCTGCAGCTGCCGCCTGGGTTGCTTCAGCTTCAACTTTCTTTACTGGCGCTTCCTTGCGAGGTGCACCAGCAGCGGCTGGGTTCTCGTCTTCGCCCTGGGGCAAAACACCAGCCATGAGAAGGGCATTCATGGCACCGCCGCGAGAGGCTCTCTCTTCTTGTTCGAGCACCTTCATCTGCTCTTCTCGGACTCGCTCCATGCCGTCGTCAGCCGGTGAGAGGTGGGGGTATAGGTCGGTTAACGAGATGAAGCCAATCTTGATGAGCAAAGCAGCGAGGTATAAGAGGTTGGCGGGCAAAACATCTTCTTCAGTTCGCATGTCGGAATTGTAAAATCGTAATTTGAAGCCGAGGAGCTGTGCGGCAACTCGGTTGCCTGGGGGTGGCAGCGTATTTGTTTCTTGCACCCATGCCTTATCAAAGTCTGCGTGACCATCGCCGCCGTTGCCGTTTGTGAGGGCAAGCTGCTTGACAGAATCCGAAACCTGACGGCCGCCGAGCTCAAAGAAGGCGTCTAGTTGAATTTCGCGAGCTCGTTGCCAAAAGGCAATGTCTCGCTCAAGACGCTGCTGAGCTACTGCAGCTTCGTCCTCTTCAGAAGCAGACCAATCCTTGTACGATGGGGAGGCCCAGACGGGAAGGCCGCCAATGTAGACGTTTGTGTTGAGCTTTCGGTTCGTGCGCGGCCACCAAGAGCTGATTCTGAGGAACTTGACAAAGAACTTGTATTGCTTGATAAGCACAGCAGCAGCCACATCAAGCGTGACATCGAGCACACGGCCAACATCCAGATCAAATGTTCCAATCAGCGCCTTGATGCGCTCAAAAGTCTGCTCCGCCATTTCAGGCGGCGGCGGAGGGACGTTGCTTGTGGTAAAGAGCTCAGTAATAAGTTTCGAGTATCCTTCAGATTCTTCGCGCAGAAGGTTGTAGTTGGCCTGTCGATAGAGCAGATTGGTCGCTAGTCGAACACCGAATCGTGTAAACGTTTCGCGGATGAGTCCTAGCTTCTGAAGTGTCGGGGGGTCGAGGAGCTCGCGCATAAGCGTGGGGGACATGTCTGTAGCTATGAGAAACTCGCGGAGGGTAGGGCGGTACATGTCAGCGTCGCTCTCCATGGTAATGGCAAGAGAGTCGAGGAAGAGAGATTGGAAAGGAGTGGCGGTAGACGGGCTGTCGGAGCCTTCTTGGTTGAAGATTTCTTTGATGCAGACGCCTGCATCGGCCGGCGGCACTTTGCTATCGACGACGGCATAGAAGAATTCCTGAAATAAGTTGGACAGTTGAGCAAGATCGCCACCGTTGGCAGATTGTAAGGCCAGCTGCACGAGTTCATCTTTGCCAGTGGCAGCCCAGCTGCTTATTCTGTCGTCCGTGATGTTTTCGTATGGGAAATTGGAGTTTCGCGGCGTTGACGGCTCAGTTTGTATCGGAGCAGCTCGGACAGGAGCCGCCGGAGGCTGTGTTCGAACTGGCGGGATGGGCTGCGTATCCGGTTTTGTTGGCACCAAGGCCGGCGAGGGCTTCGTGGCAGGAGGCGACATGGCACCTTGTTGCTGCTGCTGCTGCTGACTGAAGGAGTTCTTTCGCGGCGTGGAGGGCTGGCTATGGGACTGGGACGAGTCTCGGCGCTGGTTGCGATGTCGTCCGCGGCCAGCTCTGCCGCCGTCGTCTCGCTGATTGTTATTCACGTGGGCGTCGGCAGGGCGGTGCGGTGCAGGCCGACCAGCATCTCCGGATTGGCGATCGGACCTCTTGCGCTTAGGAGGCATCGAAGCGGTTGTGGATGCGTTTTATGTTTCGGCGGTGGTGGTGCTGCTAGGTCTGGTCATTGGCGGCAGCGTTGGAATGCGCGGGTCGGTAGGGGGAGGAATGCTTTGCACCTATGAGGTTGTAAGAGCACAGCCAGCTAATGCTGTGTATAGAAGGGGAGTTGTCGTACAGGTGCGGTGGCAAAGAAGACAAGCTGAGATGGGATTGGACAGTGAAGCAGTGAACAATGCTGAAAATCGAGAGCAAACGCAGAATAGCGGGCGCAAGCACCAATGCGGGTATCGAGAATGAATGACAGGCAAGGGCACTCAATTGGCGTCAAGCACGGAAGATGTCACGGGGACGCGAAGACTGTGCTGGCGGGTGCAGGCGGCGCAAGAAGCTATCGCGAAGTCGCGAGTTGGAGTAGCTTGCTTGATGCTAACGAAGGCCAGCAAAACTGTGGAGGCAGCGTCGCGATAGGCAAAAAGCCTAGGCTAGGCTCTCGCTCCCCAATGGGTGGTCGCACGGGGCCACGTGACTTCGTTGCGGCCTGGGTTATGTCAGCAGTGTGCTGCCTCCGCCTAAACCTGTGGTACGGGGTGCTGCGTTGCTCACTGTAGGCTGGGCCGTAGAGGTGCTGGAGTAGGCGTAATTCTCCACTGTAGCGCAGCCTACCCACCTCAGTCTGCTATTACAGCGCCCACCACCCGCCTGTAAAATTCCACCACCGGCTCCTCGCTCCTCTGTTCTGTTCCAGCGACCGCCCCCCCCCCCCGGGTCAACGGCACAGCGGCTCTCCAGCGTGCAGCAGCAGTGGACACGCAGAGCCTCTCCACACGCAAACCCGGCATTGCCAATTGCGCCATCGCCGGCACCTGGTGGCATCTTTTCTCCATGCCTTCTGCGTAATATGCGTAATATGCAGCATCAGTGGTGACTACATCGCGGCCATCAAGTGAACGCTTTACGGCTCTTTCCTTCTTTGTCTATTTTCTATTGCTCTCTTCTTTTTTAATTTAAATTAGCTGCCCCGGGAATCGATTCCCTCTCCCGGCGCATCTACCACCCCGCCACAATCTATCCATATACACCATCCCACCATCCTCCGGTTATCGGTCGTTCACTCAACATCACCATCAATTCAGCATGACGCAAGAAACAACCAACGGCTCAGGCCAAAAGGTTCAATATGGTAAGAAGACCAAAATAATATGGCTGTTTAATGCCCTACAGGCTCTCGAACCACGGTGCTATGACCCCGCTGCTAACGCACTCACTCACCTCATACAGAACGAACCACGTCACAGCCAGAGAATCCCTTTGCGGCACTGATTCCCGACCAGCAAATGGCCATTATTCCTGAATTCACGCTAGAATCCGGCTCTACTCTCTACAATGTGCCCGTTGCGTACACTACGCGCGGAAAGCTCTCACCCAATGGTGACAATGCCATGGTCATCTGCCACGCGCTCACTGGCAGCGCAGATGTTAGCGATTGGTGGGGACCTTTGCTTGGTGGCCCAGGTAGAGTCTTTGATACGTCGAGATTCTTCATCGTGTGCATGAACAGCTTGGGCAGCCCATATGGCACCGCTAGTCCCGTCACAGCCAAGGACAACGACCCCTCCAAGGGCCGCTACGGACCCGAGTTCCCGCTCACAACCATTCGCGATGATGTCAAGTAAGTATTTTGATTTTTATCATGCATTTTAGGTCCATAGAACTAACACAGTTAGTCTTCACAAGCTTCTGCTCGACGAGCTGGGTGTCAAGCAGATTGCTGCCGTCATTGGTGGCTCTCTCGGTGGCATGTTTGTTCTCGAATGGGCCTATTTCGGCAAAGACTACGTCCGATGCATCGTCCCCATTGCTACTTCGAGTCGACACAGTGCATGGGGCATCAGCTGGGGCGAGGCTCAGCGCCAGAGCATCTACGCCGATCCCAAGTACGACGATGGCTACTACAGCTTTGACGATCCTCCCGCTGCTGGTCTCGGTGCCGCACGCATGTCTGCGCTCTTGACGTACCGCAGTCGCAACTCCTTTGAGGCTCGCTTCGGCCGCAACATCCCCGATGCCTCCAAGATTCAGACCATCCGCGAAAAGCCCAAGCCTTCTTCACGAGATGAAGCCCACTTCCATATTCACAACGACGGCCACAATGTGTCGAGATCGTCGTTTTCGCGCTCCAACAGCAATGGCAGCATCGGCAAGCCTACTAACAGTGGCAACGAAACACCCATCACATCGGCAGAAGACGCACCTGATCCTCAATTCAAGGGCCCCAAGGCTAGCCTTACTGGCGGCGACGAGTTCCCCAAGTCGACCTACTTCTCTGCCCAGTCTTACCTTCGCTACCAAGGCAACAAGTTTGTAAAGCGATTCGACGGAAACTGCTATATTGCCATGACACGCAAGCTGGATACACACGATGTGTCGCGAAACAGAGCGGCTTCTGTCGCCGAGGCACTTGCGCTGATTGAGCAGCCGACGCTCGTTCTCGGCATCGAGAGCGACGGACTCTTCACGTTTGCCGAGCAGGAGGAGATTGCACAGCACATCAAAGATGCTCGTCTGGAGCGTATTGAAAGCCCCGAGGGCCACGACGCTTTCCTGCTACAGTTTGAGCAGGTCAACAACTACATCCTCAAGTTCCTCAAGGAGATCCTGCCGGATATTATGGACAAGGAAGGCGAGGCGCCAGAAGAAACCGGTGTCGGCCAAATTACCAAGACGAGCACATTTGGCGAAGCAGAAGTAGAAGACATTACCGCATGGTAAGGTAAGCGATGTGCCGGTGCGCAAAGGGTAGGGCCAGCGCGGCTATCTGCCCGCGGTCGCTTAACAAAAAATAGACTTTAAATGATACCGGAACACGGCATCCCTTGATTAATAAAACGAGATAAGACGAAAAGAAATTATATACCCTCGTCATCCCATCAATGCCAAACATGAGGCGCGCAACCCGGGTGGCTCCCAAGGAGACAAACGGCTAAAAAGGGAATACCGCGGGGATGTAAGCAGCCACACACCACTCTAAATGCAACGATACACCACAACCAGGCGCCACTAGTGTACTGTAATACTCGCCAAATACTGGGTACAATGGCCGGCCCGTGCCCGCAGGTTTCTCCCTCCTCAGCTCATCAGCCCTGCCTGGATTTACTGCACCTCGCGTTGGCGGCCCTCCCTTGGCACGCTCGCTGCACCGTCAAGGTCGGGTATCCCACTTGGGTAAATTGTATAGGCCGAGAAAAGCCCCGTCGTCAGCACTATCCCAGAAACACCAAAGCAGGCGGCCTTGTTATTGGTGCGGCCCCGGGTTTCCGTAAACGGGTCTTTAGTTCGGACATGGGTTGTTACGGCCAACCGACCATTGGATGACCAGGAGCGCAGAACCAAGGCAACGTGGGGGATTGTCGTCGTGTATATAGAACGTCCATGGCCCAGCTGTATAAGCCGCATCTTTTTAGTATCAGCAAAAAAAGACATCTCGTCCATTCTCATCACAATGTACGCCAAACTTGCAGCTATTGCCGCCCTCGGCGCCACGGCCTCTGCCTACGACATCCCCGACAACCTGCGCCAAATCTACAACAACCACAAGGTACGTTTACTATAGTATCTTTTGCGTTATTGGCAGGCCAACTTGTGTTTTCTAACATGTCCATCAGAGTGGCGGCTGCAGCAGCTCTCTTGCTGGACCCTTTGCCGGTGGTGCCAGCTACTGCGCTGACATCCCCAATGCCATCTTCCTCAAGGGCAACGGACAGTATGACAACATGGACACTGACTGCGACGGCCTCGACAACACCGCTGGCGACTGCGGCGACGACCAGACGGGCCAGAGCCAGACTGCTTTCCAGGGTCTTGCCCAGTCTTACGGCATCGAGGATCTCAATGCCAACATCCACACCTACGTTGTCTTTGGTAACGAGGGCGGCAACCCCAGCTTCAACCCCCAGAACCACGGCATCAAGCCCTTGAGTGTCATGGCTGTTGTCTGCAACAACCAGGTCGTAAGTGCAGCACAGACTGACTAGCTACTCTACAACGTGAAAGCTTACTTGATGTGTCTCTTAGTACTATGGTGTCTGGGGTGATACCAACGGCGGCACCACCACCGGCGAGGCTGCCATCTCCCTCGGCCAGATCTGCTTCCCCAACGAGGGCATCCGTGGCAACAACGGCCACGGCCCCAACGACGTCCTCTACATTGCCTTTACTGGTGATGAGGCCGTGCCTGGCAAGAACGGCGCCAACTGGAAAGCTGGTGACAAGTGGACCTTTGAGGAGAGTATCCGCGGCCTTGGTGAGCGTCTTGTCTCCCAGCTTCCCGGCGGCGGCGGCGGCTCTCAGCCTCCTCCTACTGGCGGCAACTGCTCGTGGGCAGGACACTGCGAAGGTAAGCAATTCTACAGCATGTTTGGCATTGTTCTTTAGGCTGACATGTACGGTTCCAGGTGCCACTTGCGGCAGCGACAACGACTGCTCCGACGACCTTACCTGCTCTGGTGGTCGTTGCTCCAAGGGTGGTAACTCTTCTCCCCCTCCTCCTCCTCCTTGCTCTTGGCAGGGACACTGCCTCGGTACGTTGCTTGATATCGTTTCTCACTTATACCAAGATATCGTTCTGACTATCAATTGATACAGGCGACCGCTGCAGCAACGAAAACGACTGCGCCGACAACTTTGTCTGCAAGAGCGGCAAGTGTGCCAACCCTTAAACGGCAAACAGCTATCTCCAAAGGTAGCCATGCTATCCAACACGACTCGTATATATACAGGTTGGGCAGGTCTTGTGTAGATCCCGCCCCCGGCACATAAATGACGTTTCTAGATCTAGGCTAAATAGTGTAAATTGATACTCATACCATAGAGCGTTGATCATGCGGCTAACATGGAAAAAACCCATACGATGGTCATTTAAATCGTATCGTCAGCCTAATCACTCGATCGATTTGTCTTTGCTTGTCTACATTCATAGTTGCATCACAGTCTCAGTGCAGTACACGCGTAGTTTCCAATGTTTTTATTTCATTATTTTCAATCTAGAAAAAGAAAAAAGAACAAAGTTCCCAAATCACTCGCCGTCATAGGATAATACATAGTCGTGTCATGGCTGGACAAAGGAAAAAAAAGCGAACTAGACAAAAAATAATACTAGAAAGGAGGCGGAACGCGCGCACTCATTTGACATCTGGCGTTCTGTATAAAGGGAGAGAGAGACGTGGTCTCTACGCCAAGCAAGAGGCTTTTCCAGCCCATCTATTGCGCCTTTTCCGGGAAAAAAATAATAGGGTTTTTGTACAGAGGAGGAGAAGAGCGCGCCAGTGTAGCTAGCTAGCTGGCTGGCTGGGGCTTAGAAGCACGAGCAGCCGCCGCAGGTGGTAGGGTCCGAGGACGAGAAGCTGCCAGCAAAGGAGCAGCCGCCGTGAATGTTGGGAGCGTGGCAGTAGTCCGAGACGCGAGGAGGACAGTCAAATTGGCGGCTGGTGTCGATGGCGAGGGCTGGGAGAGCAGACACGCTGGCGGCGCTGAAGAGAGCGGCAAGGACAAAGAACTGCAGAGCAAGCATGTTAGTCTTTTTTTGCTGGTACGCGTTTGTAGTAAACAACGTACCTTCATTGTGAATATGGAGAGGTGATGTTGATGTCGTGGTGTATAAGACGAGACGAGTGTATATGGTGATATTGTATAAGTGACGGCTGTGTCGCGTAGCAGAAGTGAGTGATGGGAGTGAAACGATCGGCAAGGGAACGACAGGGCGAGAGGGTCAGAGGCTTAAGTATGTATCAGAGCGCCAAGCAGGACAAACCAAGGAGGGCAAAAAAGGAAAAGTCTAATGTCTCAGTATCCTGCGCTCTTTGGGGCGTGCCGTAAGAAGCCAGCTGGGTGTGGTGGACACTGCACCGTCTGTTCCGTTCCCTCGGCTTTTTCTCTTGAGCCCACTCACACAAACACAACGCAACAGCTAGCTAGGTTAGTACTTGGTAGCTTTGGACCCAGGTCTCTCGTTGCTTGCTCATTCGGGCCACACACGCGTGTGTGTGGGCTACTTTCTCGCTCGCCCGAGAGCTTACTTGCGCCTAGTGCTAGTGGGAAAAAGCTGGCAGGGGAAAAAGGGAACAAGAATTCCAGCCCGCCTGCACAGCAGGGACGCCGCGAGATTACCATTGTTTTGGATCATGAGGGTGCCGTTGAGACATGGCGTTCCCTGCGCATCTGCCCTCTTTCACGCGCCGCAGCAAAAAGAAAACAGCTGCTTGCGTTGCTTTTTGGCACGATTCTCTCACATAGAATACAACAAAAAAAACGCAACAATAGTAATCAAGCCGTGGTGGGCTTTAGACTTTTGCCCACGCTCGCGATCTGAGCAATCACAGCGTCTGCTTGCGCTGCCCTACAAAGCCCCGACCTAGATCGGGAGACAACATCTCCCAGCTGGGCGGATTGGCTAAACCCGGCACACTGGGTTTCGGGGCAAACTCAAATCATCTTGGTCCGCGGGGGCCCGGGTGCTGTCCGCCAGTTTAGACTTTTTGCTTGACAGCATCGCCACTTGTTGATTAGACGAGACGGTGGAAAACGGCTCAAAGAAAAAAAGTCAATTAGGAAGAAAGCGGGAGGGATATCATGGGATTTCTCATTGCTTTTTGGTTAGCGGGCTGCAAGTTTAATGAACAACGTGGGTATCTTGCATGATGTTAGAAAAAGCAAAAAAAAAAAGAACGCTCGCTGGCTGCACGCAAGAAAAAAAAGGAACCGTCTTTTCCGTCCGAAGGATTAAACATGCGTCTAACCGTCCAAAAACCAAATGTCTTTCAAGCGCGTCATGGATTTAACGTCCAGCACACCTACTTACTTACATGCACACTGAGTTGACTTACACGCGGCCGAGGCACGATGCGCAGACGCACGCACGATCTGCTTGCGGACCGTGCGCAGGATGGATGGCTCCGAAAGGAAGTGAGTGAGTGTCCCTAGCTAAAAGGAAGGAAGCAAACGCATCATCGCCAGCTGAATGCCTGCTTTGTGCCTGGGCCCAGACCACAGCACATGTCTCACCAGCAAAGACATCACACACCCCGACCCAGCCACGGCCAGGCAAACAAAAGAAATTTGCAAGACAAATACCCCCGTTCCAGCAATGAGCTGCTATTAATAGCGTGTTGTCTTGCCCGCTGCGTGCAACCGACCCAACGCGACCATACGATGTACACATCTCAACCGCCAGATTGTAATTATCACGCGCAGGCATCGTAGACATGGCGTTCATCGAGAACGGCCCAGCCTGATGGTGAATGGATTCGAGAAAATCGCCGACCCCCGCAATCGTTGACTCCCGGGAAATTCACATTACCCGTCGAAGAAAACCGAGAGCTATCTCAGGATCTGCACTTTGTCATTCTACGCAGTCCAGCTTACGATGTCAACACAATCACTAGAGAAGAATCGAAAACGTGCTAGAGCATCATGTACTTTGAATATATATGTCTCTCGCTGATGGAAGTCAAGCACGTGTTTGCAATGTCACCCCTCTCGGCTAAGATATACCGACGCTGGCTATTATACTAATAGACAAAGAGAGGGACGAAAAAAAAAATAACATAAAAAAAGAGTGTACATCATTCTGTTCCAGCGCCAAGGTCATTGCGGCGCGGACACGCTATCTGGTATTCGCATCTGCTGGATATAGGTTGTTTCGTTATATGCCGTGAAAAACGCCAAGGAGCTCCCAATGAAAAAAAGTGCAAAATCGCTAGCAAAACCTCACGCTCTCTCTCTTGGTACCTTTTTCCTAGGAAAAAGGATTCACCACCCCTGGTGCAGTCCAAGGTCTGGAAGGATAGCGGCTGACTGGGTGAGAGATGACTGTCTAATCCTCATCCTCCCAGACACCGCCATCGGCGTCCATGCCCGCATCTCCGCTTTCATCAATCTCAATGGTTGTTCCCAGAGCTTCCTTGCCCTGGCGAATCATGTCTTGGAGCCGCTTATTGAAAGCTGACATGCGCATGTCCGCGTCGCGGTCCTCCAGCTGCCGCCGCGACGCCAAGTGTCTTGCCTCGGCGTCTAGGCGCGGGCTAGCGTGCGTATCCAGGTCCTCGCCTCCTCCTCGACTGGACGCGGTCGACGCCGTGCTGTGGTTGCGACGGTGAGACGACGGCGTGTTGTTCGCAGAGCCTCGTCGCTTGTGCCCGCTGCCTCGAGGGCGCTGCGAGGGCGACGCATTACTCGCGGTGCTGGCCATGTGTACCGCCGACGACGACGGCGTCAGGTATGCCGCGCTGCTTAGGCCCTTTTTCGGCGACGGGGACCGCGGCGACGCAAACGATGCAGAGGAAGCTGGTCGAGCTCCTCCTGCTGATACCTCCTCATCAGGCTCCGGAAACGCAGCATATCGGTAGTTAAAGTTTGACGAGATGGGGGAGCGGCCCGACGGCGTGGATGCAGGACTGTGTATACGGCGTCCTGTGGTCACAGACGCAGACTGATTACGGTTTCGCGGTGTTGACCGATACGAGCTAGACCTGCGAGACGGGCCTGTCAGTCTCGCCTCCGATGCCGAGCTATCCACTGCCGAGCGATCCACAACCACCCAGTTCCTGCCCAGCTCGTCCAGCTGCTCTGTCTGGCGGCGCTTGGTTGCCACGGGGGTCGACGACCGGCTGTCCTCCATGGGCGGCACCGTACAAAAGGCAGGGCTAGCATGGACAATGGGCTCATGTTGCGAGGCCGGAAAGTGGCCTGGTATGCGCTGCTCATAGTCGTCATAGTTGTGCGGGTGGAAGCTGAAGCCGAAGCCGTCTGCCATGGGAGTAGGGCCGATAGCATTCTGAGCCACGGAGCCGTCCTCATTCATGGCAAATCCTGCGCCGCCTCCCGCATAGAATCCTTTAAATGCGCCAGCCTTGCAAAACTCCCATACCTTGCCCACTACGCCGCCGAGGGCCGTGACCGCTGTGACTCCCCATCCGCGCGACGGGGAGTCTGGCTCCTGGGGCAGCTGGAAGAGCTGTGTTGGCTCGTTGCCCGTGGACCGCGGTTGACTCTCGCTATCGTCTCGGGGCCGCTTCTCTCCTAGCGCGGTTCGGTAATTTGACTCGGAGTATATACTGTCGTCCAACAGCCCGCTGTTGGCGGCAGAGGTGGTATCAAGATTGCCCGCAATGTTGTAAGACCGTCTCGGCGTACGGGGCTTGGCCAGCGTATGTCCGCCAAACAGACTTGGCCGGATCACTGTGTCTCCGGCATCATCGTGGACGCCGCCGCGAACTCGCTTGCGCTTGGGGCTGTGGGAGTCGGCGTGTGGTGAGACAGACGGGTGGAATAACGGCGACTGCGCTATAGCGGCCCCGGCGGTGTTACTGTTGCTGGAGTCGGGGTAAAAAGCCCCCGGCATGTTAAAGGTTGAATGGTACGTCATCTAAAGCCAAGACGGCGCATGTTAGCCGATGGTGGTGGTTTGGAATGCTGGCGGTGTTGCTGAAGAATGCTGGTGGCGCGCAGACAAAGGCTAAGAAAGAGGGCCAACTCACGACAGCGACGAGAAATGTCTTGTGCAAGAATACGTATTCGGTAAATTAAGGCGCGATACAGGACCCGGGAATGGGAGTGAACAAAGAAACAAGTCGGGAATTGTAGAATGGCGGCGATTTGGATTTGTCTTTGAGCTACCACATGCTGGCGGACGTGATGCCACAGCAATAGCAGAAGCTAACGTTGGTGTGTATGGATTCGATTCGCCCGGTTCTTAGTCTTGTCGATCTATTGTGCGTCGTATTTCCGTAGCCAAGCGTGCTCTTCTGCTTCTTGGTCTTCGAATTTTTTTCCTGTGCTTCACCGACGATAATTCTGTTGGGAGACGCAAGGTGAGGTGCGGCCTTGTCTGGGGGCCGCTTTGTTTTGTTCGGCCGCCTGGCAGCTCGTGACCCACTGCAGACGACAGCGCCTAATGCTTGACGAGTACTGTTGTCTATTGTTGTGTGTACTGTACATGTACTTGGAGAAGTATATCAGCTGACGTTGTCCAGCTTCACTACAAACCAACAGATCTGCAGCAGTAAAAATCAGGGCTTATAGTGCCCATGAATCTCTACTTTTGAAATTCCCCATACAAAAACTATTAAAAAAAAAGACTGCTGCCCCCCTGATGCTCCGATAAAGAGCCTGCTGGCGCCGTAGGGTAACTCCCTGTAACCAGCCCAGGCCAGGGCCCGCTACAGCACTGTCAGTTCAGTGGGGCGCTCACTGTTCGTTGGATGCTCACTGCAGTTCAGGCTTCACCGCCACCCACTACACGCACTGCTTGTATGCAACAGCCAGCTTAGCGGTGGAGCAACAGCGAACCGTTGCCACGGCCACCGTTACATCCAAAGTAAACAAGAAACCGATATCTACGCACAGCGCTATGTTCATCATGCATATAGTTTATGTAGCCTTGCATCGTGATCCGATTGGTTCTTTGATGAACGGTAGGGGTCTTATAGTCGGCAGTCCTTTTTTTCATCTTGTCAATTGTGCCATTAAAATAGGATATGCTAGGAACGCCCTACACCATGCGAGACACCAGCATAACTCTGTGCCCATCCACTCGCCACGCCATGCTCGCCACCACTGCCATTTATCTGCATGTCTCACAAGTACAAAAGAAAAAAAGAATCTAACATCTGGTCCCCATTGTTCCATCATTAAAAGGATATCTTGTGCCCCGCGGCCATCTGTCTTTTCGTCTATCCCGCGGCTCGTCGTAATAACAAAGGAAAACGCCATCTTGTCGTCACTGATTGCTCAGTCGCGCTTGTAGTATTCGTCTCTCTGCGCAATCTCAGTCTCGTTAAGGCCGCCATCAACGCCGTTTTGGCCGTGCACGGTGGTCTGGCCAGCCCAAAACTCCTCACGCTCCTTGACCAAGGCTGCGGCCCATTCCTTCATCTCGGGAAGTGTGACCTTGTTGGAAACCCAGGCAAACTCGCCCAGGTCGATGGCTCGTTGCGATCGGCGCTCGTATTCATTCATTTGGAGTAGTAGCTCAATCTTGTCGACGTCGTGGATAAAGTGGCTGTCGAGTGTCTGCGAGTCCTCGTACTCTTGCCAAATTTCCATAATGTGTTCGCCCGTCACACCGTTGTGAACGCCGCCGAGAAGCGTCTTGGTCAAGTATTCCATGGTTGTAGTTTCGCGTCGGCTCTTTTCGGGCTTGGGGACACCGTCGACGGGGGTAATGTCGCCGACGAGAAGCTCGGCCATGTCGTGGATGAGACACATCTTCATGCACTTGGCCATGTCCAGCTTGGGGGCCAGGGTAGGCGGCGCAAACATGGAGATGAGCGACATGCGGTACATGTGATCGGCAATGGATTCGCCGCTGCAGATTAGGAGTAGTTAGCTATTGTGTTTGTTCTGTCGCGCAGTTGTTGAAGTGTCGTTAAACGTACCGGTTGATTCCGAAGCGTCTCCAGCCCTCGCGCTTGGTCGTCTTGAGGCGTTCGAGGATGTGGAAAAAGGCGATGGGAGTTCCTTCAAATGATTTGCCCTTGTCGACATGTTCCATGGCCTTTTCAACGGTCCATGGCTCCGAGACCTTGATGTTGGGGGTGTAGCCGAGATCTGTTGCAAGTTCGTTGTTAGCCGCCGCCTACGTGAAGACCAGTCGACTATATCTTACCGTCCATGTTTGCGGTGTTGGTTACAGTCTTGTCAGGAATAGAGCCCATGACTTAGATGCAAATATGAGCGAAGATGAGGCAAAAGTTGGGTGAAGTGGCCAAGTCTGCCGGCCCAAAAAGATGTCCAAGGTGGGATGTTTTCTTTGGCGGGGCAGAGGCTGAGTGCAGAAAGATGGCCGTGTTCGGTGACGCCGGGTGAGACACTGTGATGGAACAGCGAAAGAAGAACGTCTGGTGAATTGTCCAATAAAATAAAAGTAAAATTAAAAGATCAAGATAGAAGTGTAGAATTTATGGTAATAATTTTTCAACAATAAAATGCCGGGGGTAAAGAAAAGGAAAGAAGTAGAATAAGGCACGGGCAGGATACAAAATACAAATAATTAGGCTCCGGGTTGCACCAGCCAAACACAAACCGGCCACTGCCGGCTGTGGACAGCACCACGCCTCAACCGTTCGCTAAGAAAAATTGGCTGCAACGCGACTGGTCCGTTTGCTTGGGTGGCCAATCAACGTCACCGTCATTTATCTGATGCATGCACGTCATATCATTCTTTGAGCAAACAAATTTCTATCCAATATAAACAAGGAAAAGTCAATTAAAAGCCGAGAAAATATACATTTGCCACCTGAAATAGCAGAAAAAACCAGTGCGCCTTGAAATGCAACAAACAGGACCAATGGCTAGCATACTGCAAACACCATCACACTCCAAATTCACCTCCGTCTTACATACGCTCATCCCCGTTTGACCTGCAATTAACCTCTGCTTGAAGAAGCATGTGCCCTTATCAGATGTCTGTTTTGGGGTAGCGTAGCGTCAATCCGGGGCACGGGGTACGCTGTAGGCAAATCCGCCCGTCCTCCGCATATCTCGCCATTCTCGTCCTTTACAGTAACCCGCCTTCGAATGTAGGCGGTGCCGTTCTTCACCTCTCCAATTGCATCTGACCCGATGATGGCAGACCGATGACTACCAACCACCAGAACAGAACCAAACATCATCACCTCTCTGATTGCCTCACGCATAAAGACACAATCCTCATGTGTCACCATGCTAGTAGAGTCGTCAACCACCATGATTGGAGAATCTCGTAGAAGCTGCTTGATCAGAGTCTGCGCCAGGGAGAACCTGTGCAGTTGTTCTGATGAAAATCGAACCTTGTACATGTCGGATTCAAGACCACCTGCTGCTTCAACAATGTCCCAAAGCCTCAGTCTGGTAAGAATCCTTTCCATGATTTCCGAGTTCTCTTTTACGTCCCCCTCTTCTGGTATGTATGTGGTTTTAGGCTCATGGAAGTATTCGTCCGGATTCAGGTTTTGTCTGATGGTACCAGGGAGAATGGTCGGCGTTTGTGGCATCACCACTAGCTTTGCTCTAATTTCTTCTGATGGGATAGTTCGAACTTCGATCCCATCGATTGTAATGGATCCTGTGTAGTGCAACATGTTCAACATAGCGAGCACCATGGCCGTTTTTCCGCTATTCACGTTAGATCTAGATAAATTTCACTCGTAGTCAATGCTTGCATACCTCCGTGGTTGTCCCCAAATACCCATCTCTGTGTCATCATGCAAGCTGAGAGTGATGTTCTCCAATACTGGGGCCTCTTGTCGACTAAGAAAGAATTAACTTTGTTCTTCTGTAAACAAACACTGGATACCTACTTGTACCAGATTGAAACATTCTCAAACTCAATAATGCCTGTTGAGGGCCAGTTGGCGGGGGTAGCAGGGCCATTTCCTGGGGGGTCATCGGGTGAATCTTCAGGTTGGCAGGCTACCTTTCCGCCACCAGGCAAGTCAGTCGCAAGTGCTTGCACTCCAGTGGCCCGATTGTCATTTTCGTGGGTTGCTGGCGCAATCGCATTGTCCCCCAATTTTTCATCGAGATGGAGGTTCTCGCCTGGCAATACTTCAACATTACCTTGTGGTTCGAGCCCCATCAGTATAATCTGCCTCATTTCTTCTAGTGTTGTCATGCCTTCATCCATGATAAACCAGAATTTCAAGGCATGCCGGAGCTCAGCTTCAGCGTAGATACCGGCGAATAAAGCAATTCCCATTGCCGATGGTGATGCGTCTCCGAAAAGAGCACCAGCCCAAAGTATGCCGAAACATACTGTTAAAAGCCCGCCAACCATGATTGCCAGGTTTTGTTCGAGAGCTGCCTTATAGTAGAAGACTTTTTGCTGTCGGTCGACTGCCAACAAGACGTTGTTCAAGTAAACATCCTGCCACTGGTAAGTGCAGAAACAGCTAGCACCAGTCTCGGCCTCAGTAAAAGTAGACTGAAGGGATGCCTTTGACGATAACTGCATGTTGTTCAGCTGCCTTGATATTGGCAAGTATGCACCTTTCAAGTAATACACTGCAATGCCGATTATGGGGCATGTGTAGATACTGGACGGGTTCGCGTGAACAACCAGGATTAGAGCTATTGCAACCATTGATGAACCTACTTATCGTTAGCAACGGTTCACGCGGATTATTTGCAGCTATTTGAGATGTACCATAAGCAGTTTGCAATATACCACGTGGTAGGCTCGAAGTTATCACGCGCATTCCCTCGGTCAGTCTAAGCACATGTCAGTTGGGTTTCTGAAAATGAGTGATCTACAAACTTACAAACGCTTGGTTTGCCATTGCTGTTTAGGGCCTAATAGTACCATAGGCCGCCTTAAACTGTTAATACAAGGGGACGTAAGCGGTAGAAATAGGAATCTTACATAGCAACAGCATTCAAAAGCTCTCGGTGTAGCCCCAGGGAAGCAGGTATAGCAATCTTACTATACCAGACACTATGATTGGTTAGCAGAGTCCAAATGGTTGATAAAATTTGAGGTTAAACAGACAAAATAGCAAGACCAAGCAACTGGCCACAGCACAATGCACACGCTAGTAGTACCTTCGGCCCTAGCAACATCTCCCAAGAAATGTATATTACTATAGTGCAATGTTAGCATCACAACTTGCACTGCCCGGTACATCGTCACATACGAGCGAAAAACTCTAACGGAGGCACAAGTATCAGACAAGCGCCAAACAGGAATAACCAGCCCATGTTTGTATAACGGAAATAGAATGTGAGCGGCGCTTTCGTAATTGATGGATGCACATCGCCCTCCTGAAATGGACGGGTCGTAGCGCCATTAAAGGCTGGTTTCTGGTGTGCCTGTGCTGTATCTTGCTCGACAACTTCTGAAATTTCCATCGACCGACGGCGCTTCTCTTCAGCTTCCCGGAGAATTTCTCGTTTCCCAATACGGGACATAGTGCCATTACCGTTGATAGTCAGAAATTGGTGTGCAATGTTACAGAAAGGTGCTAGGTGAAGCAGTTAGTACGAACGCTGTTGCCGTTTTCTGTTAATAAAGAAAAAAATAGACAACATACCAGGGTCGCGGGCGGTAATGACAACTGTCACGTTACGCGACATCTTTCCATTATGGCCAAAAAGATGGTTGAGGATTGATTCGGTTGCAAACCTATCAAGAGCAGCAAATGCATCATCAAGAATGATCAAGGAAGGTTGCTGGTAAACAGCGCGAGCAAGGGCCTGTATTTTAACCATATTAGCAGCTATACGGCAGGAAACGGGTTGTACTTACAATCTTTTGACATTGTGCTTCATTTAGCTCAAAGTCACCTTGTCCAATGACAAAATCATCGCCACCAGGGCAACTTTCAATGTCCTGTCGCAAATCACAGATGACCTTTACCTCTTCGTACAATACCGCATTAAATGCAGCGGGTCCAGTGATGTTGTTCTTGATAGATTCTTGGCGTAACCAACTCTCCTGCCCACAGAAAGCAGTGGGTTGATGTCGAACACCAAGATATCCACTAGACACGTGGCTACGCTTCACTAGACTCTTTGCAAATGCTGTCTTGCCAGAACCAATTCCACCAGTTATTACCGCAATGGTGCCGTCGTTTAGAGACAATGTCAAGCTTCGAAGAACTGCTGGGCTCTCTCGCTTTGGTGCAATAAAGGCATCTTCCAGCTCTATAGCAGTGATCGGAGCTCTCCTCGCAGGAACTTCCTCATTAGCTGCGTCGCCAGCACCTTTGTTAAGAAAGGTTGATATTCTGTTAATACAATCAAGGGTATGTTTCCATGTGCCGAAGACATGGAGAAGAATAATTGTCGATTCTCCATTGATGTATAGCAGACTGGCACATTTTGCGAGGGACATTGTGTAATTTACCGCAGACACCGGTTGAAGGAGCAGACAAAGCATTGCCATGAGACAAGAGCAAGTCGCGGCTGAGTTGTTAATATAGAATAATAACAGGGCTTCGGTATAGCTTACTAATAGGTTGTTTGTAGGCACGTAGTCTGTACATTTGCTCGTATGCAGCAAGTTCAGCCTCACGTCGCTCACTGACAATCTTGTGAAAAATTGGCTCGCGCTCTGTCATTTTGATTTCTTTCATCATGCCAAAGAGCTTATTCACCAATTCTTCTCTGTCTTGTCTCGCAGTATCCAAATTGTTGCCATCGGGAACATACTTGGACAGAATCTTTGTCAAACAAATCCGAGCTATGAGGTCAATGTTAGTCTAAACGCTGTACCAATATTAGAACTATTAAATCTGACCTGTTGAAATGGCTATAGCAGCCAAAGTCACCACGCCAAAATGAGGCCAAAGAAGAGCGAGTGTTATGAAAACTTCAACACCGAGAAACACGAGACTCAGAAAGCGCCGTATAAGCTTCATCGCCTCTGGAACATCTGCGGTGTAGATAGAAATGTTGGATCTTTCCATCTCGTCTTCTTCTGGCGTAAATATAAGTTTCTTAAAGATACTACTTGTAAGAGCTCCTTGCAAGATTGTAGTAGTATGGGCTTCGTAGTGCGCCATGCATCCTCTCAAAAGCTGCGAAAATATGTAAGAGTGAATTGCATCTAAATAAGCATAGAACATACCGTCATGCATAAGAACAGTGCAATGATTGATAACAGCAGATAGAGAGCTTGCGAATTGTCTTGAGTAAGCCCAGATTGGCTGAGACGCTCTTGTTGGTGTTTAATAATTTTATCAATCAAGTATGGGGCGCATAGCTTGACGAAGGTAAGCAGGGCTCGTGATATCGTTTGTCTCAAGACCGAATGCCAGTTAAGGACTAGAAAGGTTTTGGCCAGCCCGTTTGGTGATTGACGATCTAGTCCGATTAGCATAAGGAGCAATAAGAGGAAACAGCATCTTCGTATAGCTTACACTTGGACCAAATATGCTCAAAGCGCGGCATAATTTGATTGGTGAGAAGCTCTGGTGCTAATCCGTCAAAATCAGAGGCGTTGAGATCCGTCTGGTAACCGTTTCTGACCGTGGGAAGGAGCCACAGTGCCAGGATTCGACCGAAAAACCCGTATGCCGACCCTCTTCCAGCATGGTTCCTAACTTCTTCTGTCACCATATACCATTTGGGTGTTTCATGCAACACAAAAAGGCAAAGATGGGCACATATACATCCAACGTTATTGAAGGTGAAGGCTAGACCGTCACTGGTGACAGTTTGATGCGCAAGTGAACAAGCTAGGTAGAAACTCAAGGCAGTTGAAGGGCGGAGATAGTATGTGTGGGTGGCATATACTACCCAAAGAAGGTAGAACTGCTCGAAATCAGCGACAACTAGTTGCTTCAGAACAGCCCAACTATCGAGGGTCGGGTCGAGCGCTGCCGGGTTGCGATTGAGGTTGAACGCCAAGAACACTACGATAGCCTGTTTCAATTTAATACACTGAAAACCCAAATATAGATTACAAACATACTATCTTAGCATAGAGTAAAACGTCGTAACCGGCCTTGAGTACGGTCGTTCGCTTCTGGATGTCAATGAAGACGGTGGCTGCAAGCCCGAATAGCACCAACTGCAAGGCCTCGGGCGTCGTTGAATACCGAACAACATTATCATAATATATATCTAGTTCTGCTATCTTCGTTCTGATATTATCAATACTTGCGTCAAGCGCTAGCTGAAATTCTAGTGAAAGCATTTTGTCGATGGCGACCGTTCGATGTCGGTTGGGCGTTCTCTGGCGCAACCAACATGGGAGGTGGCTTTCTTTATGACCGGCGCCTGGGGTGGAGTGGGGTTGGTTGCTCGCGCAAAGTGGCGTGTTTCAGAGTCCGGACGATGGCAGCGACACAGGCAGGCTCTAGCCTGACTTTGTTAAAAGAAATACAAACATTGACCTTTGAGTGAACTCTATTTGCGATGTATGAATGTATTTTAGCTGCTTAAATAAGATGCTTAAATAGTCAACATACTTGCCTGAAGATCACCTCTTGCTTCTTGTAGGCCATGCGATATTAATACAGAATATCGTCAATACGATTACCCTCTTGCCTGCCCATGTTATAAATATCAAGCTACTCTCTACGCTAGTTGGGGTTACCGAATCCATCTGCTTGCTCTTCTCCACGCTTGTTGGGGTTACCGAAGCCATCTGTTTGTTGCTCGCCGCGCTTATTGGGGTTACCAAAGCCATCGGCTTGTTCTTCTCCGCGCTTGTTTGAGTTGCCAAAACCATCCGTCTTCTGCTCTCCACGCTTGTTGGGGTTACCGAAGCCATCTGTTTGTTGCTCGCCTCGCTTGACAATATTACCAAGACCATCTGTCTGTTGCTCTCCACGCTTGTTAATGCCGCCAAGGCCATCAGCGTTCAGCACGGCTCGGGGGACTGTGATCCTAGTTAGCCAGGCTATCCAGACTCAAAAACGGTCGCAAACTAACCAGCCGCAGCCTGCACGACGCCGGCAAATACCGCGACAAACGCAAATAGAGTTTGGAAGTGCATCCTGGCGTGTGTGTGTCTGTAACCCAAGCGCCAAAGTCTAAATGTGTGGGCGGCAGCGTGGGTGGTTTTGTAGCGGTGGGTGGAAGCAAGACGCCCCCGTTGCTGACTTGGCTGGCCGAAAAGGGTCCCCATTTGGGCAGCATTAGACCGAACCCGCCTTGATCGTCATGATGTTCATGCAACCCACCACACACCCACTAAGCCGCCACATGACTTGCCTCGGGCCCGACCGAACGACCCCCTGCGCTGAAGAACGCGGCCATGACAACCACCACTCCAGGAAACGATGTTGTATTTCCTTGTTCCTATCAAATTATTGGTCGAAGAATATGTGACTTGATAGCGGTGAAGAACTGTGATGAATCTATCAGAAAAGTTCGAAAAATAAACACCTCGTTCCTTTAGCGGCATGACTCGCAGCGCCTTTATCCATGTCCACAGCGCTACTTGGCGCTCGACGTCTATTTCGCAATTTCAAAAGTGACCAACCAATAGACAAAGAATCAGCTTTCTAGAAGCGTTCAGTAAGGATTTACCACGCCGTGTCTCAGTCGACTGGTTGGTGTACATACGTGGCACTGGTTGGCCACCACCAAACTTGATTTCCGCAGCCACGATACTATCACGTAACGCGTACTGCGGCGCAAAAGATCAACACATTGGTAGTCAACGAACCAGTTCGCAGCTATTAAACAGCACACACGGCAGTCGTATCTGCCAAAATAACGATCTCTATAAATGTCACCGGAAGTATACGCTCTGCGGCTTGATCTTATCCAAGAAAAGCGGCTCGCGCAAGACATGCAGGGTAGACCATTCCGAACTATCACCTTCGGCGAGATTAAATCGCATGCAAATGTCCACGAAAATTATTATTTACGCTTTTATTAAACAAAGAAAAATTCAAAGCTAGTTCCAAATGACAAAAAACGCTAGTTACCCCCAAATTCGCCGAGTATCATTCTTCCATTACAATATTTGACGGGTGAGACAATATGCTCGGAGCAGGCGACCTTGTTCGACTTAGTGAGAAGGGTGACGCCGCTCGTCGATGTGGTAATTGACCCCCACTGTTCTCCGGACCGAGACCATAAGACGGGAAAGCCTCATGATAATTCATGGGCGTTGGCGGGCTTGTGGCTTGCCTCGGCGGGTGGCTGTCGCCAGATCCTTCGATATGGACAGGCGGTGGACAACGATAATTCGGCGTCGGTGTAAACCCAGGAGCTATTCTCTTTACAGCGGGGGTACTTCTTCTGGAAATAAAACTATTACACGGAGACGAAGTACGGCTTGTATCAAAGTCGGACGACAGTGGCGGTCTATTAGTCGGTAAGTACATATCAGCGGGTCGACTTTGAGCCCGCTGCGTCTCATGTGTGCGGATGTCCTGGGCACTCAAGGACCTATTTGCAGGGGAATACGGCTCGTACACTTTTGGTTGTCGTATGCGCTCCATGCTTCTTGTCCGTGCAATAGCCTCAGACGGTAAATCTGTGAGCTCATCCTTGGTGTAGCTGGATAGGCGGCTATATGGCCGTTCGGGAATTGGCGCCTCCCTCGCTGGGTATACCCGTTTTCCATGCCTGTCTGTTTGAAAATCAAACGGCGATGCAGGGGTTGACGGAGTCGGAGGCGGGTAGAAGCTCGGAAATCGAGACACGCTGGGAGCCAAGCCCGGCTCGTCGCTGTTGCTGACGGTAATGTCTCCGTACTCCAAGTCGTGAACACTCTCAACCGCCTTTCCTGCGCTCTTGTCAGATTTTGATTTTCGAAAGTCTCGTCTGTCGAGAGAAATGCGCCGAAGGTATCGAGACAGCTGCTGAATTCGTTGCAGGCCGACTTGGTAGACGTGCTTGATGACGATGACCAGAATAATCAGCGTCGTGACACCACCGATGACAAAGGCACAGATGATGAATGTGTCTCGGTCATCATGGAACATATTGAAGACGCTGGTGCCGTTTTGCTGATTGTCTGTAACCAACGTGCCGTTCATCTTGATTTTGAATCGACAGCAAATCAAACCATAAATATCGGTATGGATCGAAATAGCCGCGACTGCTCTTTCAAAAAATAGACGCTGCAATGTCCATGTATAAATAGTGTCTTTAGACTTTCCCAGACAAACTTTTGCTCGGGTTTAAAAAATGAATATTCGTCTATATCTAATAAAAGTTAAAAGGCTTTGCCATGTCTAATTCCAGTATAATGCCGCGACCCTCTTAAAAAAACAGACAGAAACTCTCTACTGATACTCGGCCCAGAGCTCCTTCCTGTACCCTTCTGTCAAGCGCTCGTCGGTTCCAAACTCCTGCTGCCAGCCCGTGAAGCCCTGGTCCAGCACAAACACCTGCTGCTCATCCGGCGTCTCGCTGTCCGCCGCAGCCGCCTTTTCACGAATATATCGAAGCGCCGCACTCGGCCCGCGCTGTTGACTGAGAGCGCAATGGAATATGACGGTCTTCTTGTCGGCTAAGCGGCGCAGCAGCGAGGGCATGATGGCGTCGAGTTGCCGGCTAGGAGCGTGGATGCAGCCCTTGATGTGGCCACCGATGTAGTCTGCGCAGGCGAGCGATTCGCTGTTAGTGCCATGCAAGTAGCAAATAGAAGAGAATAAGCTCGCGACAACTCACCGTCATCTCGTACGTCGACAATGGCAAACGTGGGGTCTGCCGCCTCTTTCTCGGCGAGGATCTTGTCGGAGAGCTCCTTGGCCGTTAGCCGCGGTAGCATCGAGATGTTGGACATTTTTCGCAGTAACTTCAGACCCAGCAGCGACAGCATCAAGAAAGAAGAGGAAGGCCCAGTGTGTTGGTGATGAAGAACGCAGGGCGGCGCTCAAGGTTTAATCGTAGCATGCGAGAGGTCATCGCGGCGGGGCCACCGCCCCGGATTGGTGGGGTTCAGGCTACGTTTCGCTAGGTTGGCAGCTAAGGCGGCAAATTGTTTACGATATTGAGAGAAAGACTAGTCTAGGCCCTTTGGAATAGAAAGCGTGGGCGTTGGACTCGTTGGGTGTGTTGCACGGTGGAGAGGAGGAGAGCACGAATTTAGCCATGCAGGCAATGCAGGTGGACGGGACACACAGTTTGGTTAAGAGAGACAATTGGATATCACATTCGCTATTTCTAAACATGCCCCCTTCCTTTCCTTCCCAAGGAAACCCAATGTAAATAAATACAGAATACAGTTGCTGATGCAAATGCTATGCAAACGCCGATAATTACGCCCTAGACACCCCTTTTTGTTCTTCTTCACGCCTCTCAAGTCATTCGTTATTCCCATGTACAAAGACAACAGACACGGTTATGCCTTGCCGACCCAGCCGGCATTAATGAAGAAATCGAAAATCCTCGCGCCCTTTTGTGTGTCCAATCTGCAAATATCCTTGGCCTGCTTCTTTTTTAGCAGGCCATTGGTCTTGAGGGCTTCCTTGAGAATCTGCTCCTTGATCATTAGGTAGGGCTTTGGTTGGAGTCGCACAACCTCGCAGAGTCGTGCTTCTTCAGGCGTCAACAGGTGCAAGTCAGGCGCCGTGTCTGGTGATAGCTGGAGAGGTTGAACGCCTGAGATGGGCTGGGCTGTGTACTTAAGTTTTGCCGGCCCATGCCCGTTGACCCCATTTACTCCGTTGGGCTGGTCATTTGCCAGCGCATTCTTGTAGCTCTCGCCGTTTGTCTGTGCCGTTGTCGATCGAATGGGTAGGTCTGGCGCAAGCAACAATGCAGCACCACTGGGTGGTTCGGCTGGTATGACGCCTTTGCTTCGCTGGGCGGCGGCCAGTCGCTCGCGATCCATGGAGCCCATGGGAATGGACTTTTGTAGGCGCTGCGACTTTTCTGCCTCGTACTTTTCGCCATTCTTCAAGTCTCCGATGCGCAAGCTGCGCCACTCTTGAAGCTGTGCAATGGCTTGGCGCAGATTGAGCTCGTCCAAGAGTCCTTGGCAAAAGTCTTCGAAATCTTGGTGGTTCATCATTCGCGCAAAGGGCTTCGTCTTGGTGAGTAAGTCCTTTTCCTCCTTGGTTCGCTTCTTTTCAAGCTTTGTGTTTTCTCTGTAGTCGAGCAAATCATGCTCAAAGATGGCCTTCTTCCGGTCGATACGCTGCGTCAACCGGCAGTTGTAAATCTCCATGACGGTCAGCTTGAGCTCCATCTCAGGCTCAATTTCTCCTGTGCGAGGATTGATGCCCTCTCCGGGGTCGAACTGCATCAATGCAACAGCCTCTTCTGCTTCGTTGGCATATTCGGTCTCGAACTCCAAGCGACCCGGCATGTAGCCCTGGATTTCGTGACAGCTGGGCACACTTGCCGTCGGCTTGGACTTGGCTTGTGGAACTGGAACATTTTTCGAAGCTTCTCGGCGTTCTTCAATACGACGCTTCTTGCGCGATTGAAATTCTTCACGCGGTGTTTCGCTTGCTAGTTCGTAGTCATGAGGGTTGCATCGTTTCGGGAGAGGGAAGTTGGGAGAGTCGACATATGTTTCGAGATAGTGATCGCGGACTTCGTCCTTGTCTCTGAAGCCTCCAATATGGTCGGCAATATCGGCCCAAGAGCCCAGGCCGTACGTCTCAGCGCCTTCCAACAACAAAAGTTCCTCGTCAGCTCCCCAGTCTTTTTCGAAGATTGGGAAGGAATTCTGTTCAATGACGCGGAAAGGATGGGTAGCGGGCTCGTGTGCATTACGTGCTTCACCCTTGGCGAAGCAAGAGACACAAAGATCAAAGTCGGTACATGCTGGGTCGGCGCAATGGATGCGGACCTGTAGCCGTTAGCGTGATTCTGGAAGAGTCAATTAGCTATACTCTGCTTACTGTTGATGTAATATCGGAGGAGCAGACGTCGCAGACGTATTTAACACCACCCTCTACTCCTCTTTTGCCGATTTTCTTGCGTATCACACCCATCTTGGCGATGCAGATGCGGACGCAGACAGGGCGGGATGTAGGATACTCCCCGCGGAGCAGTCAGACCGTGCCGAGCACGTGGCAATCGCAGTGCAGTTATCGAGCTTCAAGGCGCATGAAATCGGTAAGTAGGCAGTTGGAAGCTGTGATGCGACGCGCTTTTTGATGACTGCCGGCGTTGGCGTTGCGTGAATTGATGATTTCAAGCCTCGATGCAGCCTGTATTGGAGGCGATGTTGTCGCGATACGTTGATGTGACTTGCGCCCGGGGCCAATCAAAGCGCCGCGCCAGCTCTGGGGAAGGGAGATCCATGACGTAGTCACATGACCACACACGTGGTTGGCGAACCAGCCAGTGTATGAATATGCCATATCGATGCTTCTTGCTTGAATAGGGTTCTTGTTTTCTACCAGACTTTAATTTTTATCAAATAGGTATCTTTCGATAATTCTAATTACTCCGAAATAATCGGAAGAAATACTGATTCTTATTTCGGTATCGGTACATTCGATGTTCGTTCTCTTATACAGGCATCAACAGGAAGCTGTCAATGATAGAGCATTACACTATTAAAATACCTTCCATGAGGAATAAGTTACTTGAAAAATAACTATGAGATATTTCCCAAATTTTTCAACAATTTCCTTGCGGCTGCTGCATTTCCCCGAATAATCCTCCTGGCTGGCGCGCCACGCTGCGTGGGGTCTGCATTTTGTTGGCTCCTCAGCGCCAACCGGCCCGTTTACCAGTGACGTCTACTTGACTTTTTAAAAGCAGGATTCTTGCTCACAATTCCCTCTTCTTCACTATCGTGACAAGAAATTTGAACTTGAAGAGAGTCGCTACCTCCAAATTTTATAACCAGCAAAGAAGATAGATTTACCCACCCAACACCAACTTGCTCTCTTCTCTCTTACTGCAAACTTGGCTACCCCGCCCCCGCTGTCAAGATGCCCGACAAGATCCTCGATGACATTTCACACCGCAGATACAATCCCCTGACGGATAGCTGGCTGCTGGTGTCTCCTCACAGAACGAAGCGCCCTTGGCAGTAAGTCAAAACTTGAAATGCTTTAAATAAGAGGTTGGTGCTAACTTGTCAATGAAGAGGTCAACAGGAGGCTGCGGCTGCCAATGTACTCCCTGACTATGATCCCAAGGTATATCACTCGAAAGATTCATGTAAACTAAATGATGCTAATTGAACTAGTGTTATCTCTGCCCGGGAAACACACGCGCGGCTGGCGACACAAATCCCAAATACGAAAAGACCTTCTCATTCGTCAACGACTACAGTGCAGTAAAAGAGGAGCAGCCTGCATATGAAGAGAGCGCTTCTGATGGTACGCTAATACAAACCAGCTTTTCTAAGTCCCATGCTAACTAGATATGATCAGATCTAGAATCGCTTTTGCTCCGCGCAAAAGGCGTCACCGGCGTCTGCTATGTCATCACCTTCTCCCCCAAACACAACGTCACCTTTGCCGACATGTCTGCCCAAGACACTCTGCCCACAGTCGAGCACTGGACTCAAATTTATGCCAACCACCTGGCCAAATCGAATCCGCTAAAGGCGCTTTCTGACAATCTGAAGCTCTCCATCACCAAAGACGACGCCCCGTTCCCCAAGGACGAATACCGCTACATGCAAATCTTTGAAAACAAAGGTGCGGCCATGGGCTGCTCAAACCCTCATCCCCATTGCCAAGTTTGGACGACATCTATCATGCCCGAAGAACCCGCCAAAGAGCTCGCTAGCATGACCAAGTACTTTAACAAGCACGGCCGCCACTTATTAGCGGATTACGTCAAGCTCGAGCTCCAAAAAGAAGAGCGTATTGTCTGGCAAAGCGAGCACTTTCTGGTCGTCTGCCCCTGGTGGGCTGTCTGGCCATTTGAAGTGCTTGTCCTCCCTCAGCGCCACGTCCGCGCTCTGGTCGACTTTACCGACGAAGAGCGCCTTGGCTTTGCAGAGGCCATTCAGGAGGTCACTCGCCGCTACGATAACCTCTTTGAATGCAACTTCCCGTACAGCTCTGGCATCCACCAGGCACCGCTGAGCGGTACGCAAGAGGAGATTGATAACTCGTACCTGCACATGCACTTTTACCCGCCGTTGCTGCGCTCTGCCACGGTCCGAAAGTTCCTTGTTGGCTTTGAGCTGATGGCTGAGCCTCAGAGAGACATCACCCCTGAACAGGCCGCAGCGAGACTGCGTGACTGTGGCGGCGAGCTCTACCGCAACAATCTTTAAGCGTAGCTGTACTTTGATATCCCCGAAAACAATATGTAGTAGAAGCATGGCGAGAGGTCTGGCGAGTTGAAATTAGATTTGAATTTACATGATATTACATAAACTATAAGCAAAGGCCACGCATTTCCGCGCACCGCTCTATTCAAACTGGACGTAGTGCTCGCGAACCATGGGCATCCAGATAAGAGCCATGGTGGCCAGAGTGAATGGGAAGAGCTGGGGAACGCCGAAGCTCATGCTCTTGAAAACAAAGAGCTCGCTGGCAAAGTGGCCAAGCGCGACAACGTAGGTCCAAATGGCCATGTTGTAGACGGGGCCGAAGTGGAGGTTGTAGGCGGCGTAGCAGCGGATAATGCTGGTGATGATGGTCCATGTGCCAAAGAGGCGGCCGGCAAGGGGGGTCATTTGGTCGACGGCCTTGGGGTCCTTCTGGTTGGCGGCGGGAATCAGCTTATCGGTGCGGTCTTCCGGGTTGTGATCGGCCGAGGCGGGAGCGATACGGGGGTTAGGCAGGAAGCGGCCATTGTAGACTCGTCGCGAGAAGTGGAGGGTCGTGTAGGTCTGGATAGAGTTGCCGATGGAGATGACGGAGAGCTGTGGTTTCTGTTAGCGCGAGGATGCCTATGCATGCAATGGGTTGATTGGGGCGCACGATGAGCATGTAGTAAGGCAGAATGCCCTCGGATTGGGGGAGGAAAGGCTTGAGGAAGTCCATTTTGGGCGGTTGTGGTGGATTGGGGAGGTTTAGGAGCCGGTGGGATGTTTCGGAAGGGAAAAGGAAGCTTGTTGCGGAATGGAGCTGCGGATTTGTGGAGAGACGGTACGGTAGTACAAGCCGTGATGCGCCGCGAAGTGAATACAAGACCATGTTATGAAAAAAGAAATGAGAATACTATTTAAAATGCAAAATTTGCTACAGTACATTACAGCGTGTTATTCATTAAGTCGTTATTCATTTGCCGGAACCTCATCGCCATACCAGTTGTAGTCGCCTGGCGCATCCCGCCAACGCGGATATCGGGTGACCAATGGGAAGTCCTGCGTTCGCCCATCCGTCATTGGCGTAAATCTCTTGTCAGTCTCCCATTTTTGCTGACATTTTTCAAGAAATCTGTCTCGGTCCAAGCGCTCTTTATCCCACATGACGTATCCCATGTCGCGGGGGTGCATCATCTCGAACAAGGCGCACATTCGCGAATGACGCTGAAATGTGTGTAGTGCAAACCACGACTCGAATGGTCCGCTGTCGAGATCACATGGGGAATTGGATCGGCACATCTCATCCATTTCCTCGGCGCTATATTCAAACAGTGGCTGTATTTGAGAAGTGCCAACGTCAAGAGACGAAAGCACGTCCAAACCAAACTGCGAATGGATCTTGAGAATTCTTTTCACTAGAGCCCGCGGCGATTTAGCTCTGGTCAGTGGATACATGTAGTCTGGACCAGCGTCTTTCTGTAAAAGCGACATGTTAATATCATTGTGGTGTGAGTGTGTGTTTGTGGATTTGACCTACCAATTCGCCTGCAATGAAGCCCCAATTCGGCGAATCAGCCAACAGCTTCTTCGCCTCTTGCGTATTTGTCAATCGTGGAACGACCATAGAAACTAAATATGATATAAGCATCAACAAAGGACCTTGAATCCAGAGGGCACACTCACATTGACCGATGTCTTTGTACAATATTTGGCGGGCAATGACAAGCTGTTCATTAACCCATGGAGATTCGCAGTCAAAGAAAAGAGACAGCTTTTCCGCGGTATCGTCGTTTTCACGCGCAAAACGAAAAACGTTACAGTAAACTTGGAGTCGATAGAACGCCCGATACACACGGCTCGTTTCAGACGGTGTCAACGGGTGTTTCTTGTAATAGTTGTAACCATCGACTGAGTCGACATTTGCGACAGTGGTTTCGATAAATTCAGCAAACAGCCATTCTATGACAGAGTGTAGGCGAATGAGCTCTCCATATGCTGCCATCGGTAGCGAACTTAGAGAACTGGTAACAAAGTCTCTGCGGTTGTCGAGAAATGGCTTTAAAGCGTGCCAAGGGTGGACGTAAGGAAACCATTGGCGTCTCTTTCGCCCTGTTGTGAGAGCAGCGATGCTCCAAGGAAGAACATCGGACGAAATCTTGTTTGTCCAAATAGTTGCTTTTATTAACGGGAATCGGACACAGGTCTGGTGCAGCGCTTTGCATGTAAGCATGACGTCTTTTAGTGTAGCGACATTGTCCAGTTGTTCGAGGATCAGAGCCTGGATCTCGGTAGGCATATCCAGCAGGCTGGGTGACGCTGAGCCGCACGCCATATTGTACAAGATGTGATTTCTACTAAAATGAAAATATATTCAAGAATCGCTGATAATGTTGGTCAAGGATGAGATGACGTGAGTGACAGCAGGCGGGGTTGGGGCTGGACAAGCGCCGGAAGCGTACTTGGTGTCGAGGATAAAATGCTTAATAATGATGCAACGCCAATAACCGGTGTAGATGTTATTCTAAAACACGGATTCATTATTGTAAATAACTGTAAATGTATTCAACGGTCAACTCCACAACTGCATGCACAGAAACGGGTTATTCCCATGGCCCTGTTCAACAGATGCTGACATTAACATTGCTGATGCTCTGCCGGCATGGAGCCCCAACGTGATCGGGATAGTCGGGACGGGAGCGCGAGGTTAGTTTTTTTTTATTGGGGCGGCCCTGTCTTTAGCCTGGCTCCAGCGATTAGCTGCCCCTGACAGCCACTAGAAAATGCAGGGCGAAAAAGAAGTTCAGGAGGGCGTCTTCCCCCCACTACGGCTACACTGTAGGCAGGGCCAACGCTTTTTCATGGGCTCCGCTAAAGCTCAACCTGCCCCCCGACTGTCTGCATCTGATACTCGGCAACTAGCAGCAATCGGCACACAAGCATCATCACCCTGTTTGGTTCGCCTGCCAAGATGAACGCTATTACAAACCACTTTAGCAATGGCCCGGTCATCCCCCAATCTGTCCAATTGGCTCTTGCTGGTGTTGGATCTCTCTTCCTCGCCACCAAGCTCTGGAGCTACCTCCAGCTTGTTCTGAGCGCGTTTTTGCTTCCCGGTACTAACGTGAGTTGGCCCAATGGCGTGATGTATGTTGGATAGTCTGAATACTAACTCGCCATGTAGTTGCGCAAGTACGGAAAGCCTGGTACTTGGGCTGTTGTCACTGGCGCGTCCGATGGCCTCGGCAAGGAGTTTGCAGAGCAGCTCGCCTCCAAGGGCTTCAACCTGATCCTCGTGTCCCGCACTCTGGCCAAGCTCGAAACCATCGCCAACGCCATCGAAGAGAAATATGCCGCCAAGTCGATCAAGGTCAAGATTCTCGCCATGGACTTTGCCGAAGACGACGATGAAGACTACGACGCCCTCGCCAAGCTCATCAAGGGCCTCGATGTCGGCATCCTCATCAACAACGTCGGCCAGAGCCACAGCATCCCCGTCTCCTTCCTTGATACCACGAACGAAGAGCTACAAAACATTGTCACTATCAACTGCCTCGGCACGCTCAAGGTTACCAAGGTTGTTGCCCCCATCTTGAAGCAGCGCAAGAAGGGTCTCATCCTGACCATGGGCTCCTTTGGCGGCTGGACTCCTACTCCCTTCCTCGCCACGTACTCTGGTAGCAAGGCCTTCCTGCAGCAGTGGAGCAACGCTTTGTCTTCTGAGCTTGCCGACGACAATGTCGATGTCTACCTTGTTCTTAGCCATCTGGTCACCACCGCCATGAGCAAGGTCCGCCGCCCCAGCCTCCTCGTTCCCAACGCCCGCGCTTTCGTCAAATCTGCTCTCGGCAAGATTGGCCTCGGCGGCTACCAGACTGCTCCCAACACCTACACTCCCTGGTGGAGCCACTCCGTCATGCTCTGGCTCATTGAGAACGTGCCTGGCGTCAACAGCCCTGTTACCATCTGGTACAACAAGAAGATGCACGTCGATATCCGCCGCCGAGCTCTCCGCAAGGCTGAGCGCGAAGCCAAGAAGCAGTAAAGAATTCGGATCCTTTTGTCAACAGATTGGTCTCCTGTCAAGCTGCTAGCTAGTTTCGAGGCTTGTTACGACGAAGATGTGGTTATGCTATAGTACAGCTACACCGCCTTCGTTGATGATGCAAACAAACTCTAATGTATTAACATAGTAGTATGAATTTTAATTATCAAAATTGATCTTTTTTATTGACGCTTTAAAACTGTATTTTTTGTGCAATTGTCGCGTCTTATACTTTGTCGTCTTTGGTGTACCGCCTTGTGCCTGAGTGATGACTGTCCCGATTAGGCTTAGCGCAAACACCTCTGGCAAGGTCACGAAAAATCCCAAGCTCCAACCACCACGCGAGAAACCTCTTGGTAACTTCTGCCTTTTCTCCTGCCACGACCACGACGCCTGTCTTCGGCACAACGCGACATCGCCACATTTGCCAGATCGACAGTATCAACACTGGCAATTCACTCCGAGCTCGAATAAAGGTCGGATTGGGTTTCGCAGCTGGCTAGAACACCGAGCCGCGCCGTTCTGCGCGTCTAGCTTCAACCCAGCGGATTTCATGGGCCAGGCTGCGTGTTGATTCCAGCTTGCCAGTCCTCACCTAGCTTTCTGCATCTTGCTCTTGGACAATTGATCCTCGCACACCATGTCGTTCCCTCAGACTACGCCTGCGCGGCCCGTGCCTGGCGCGTTTCTCAACACTCCGGCCGTCGCCTCGAGATTCCAGAACACCCAGGATCCCGTTCGCCGACAACTTTTCCCTGTATCAGAAGGCAGCGGACAGACCAGCAACTCCAACCTAGCTGCTAGATCTCTTAGCTCGCCGTCGCTTGCTCTTCAGAGCGCTGGCACCGGCGCCGCTCAGGGAGAATCTGCGCTGGTTGGCACGAATCCCCTGGTCGCTCCCTTGCCGCGCATCGAGAATGCTCCGCCGATTGTCAAGGCCGCAAAGGCTATTAATGCTTTCTTGCAGAGCGATGAGCACTTCCCCGATCTCGATTCCTATTGCCGACGTAAGATGATGTCGTAGTTGCCTAGCCGCGTGAAATCTGCTAACATGAAATCTAGAGGGCGCTTCGTCCGACTACGAGCTGCCCGGAAGCGAGACTGCTTGGGCACCGTTCCATAAGACGCAAATGTACCCGATCCCGAACCAAGTTTTCGATCACTACAACGCCGGCGAGCTTCAGACTCTGATGGGCCTCTTTGCTGAGATCAACCACGCTTGGGTTGTCATTGACAACTCTCTCTTCCTGTGGGATTACACACACCCCGACCCCGAGCTGATTGGCTTCGAAGACCAGCCGCATACGATCCACGCTGTTGCTTTGGTACCGCCCAAGCCCGGAATCTTTGTCAAGACCATTACACATATCCTCGCTGTCGCGACGTCATCCGAGATGATTTTGCTTGGTGTCTCTGCGACGCCAACTGCAGCTGGCACCAAGTCTGTCTCGTTATATCAGACCAAGATGTCGCTGCCTCTGCGTGGCAGCGATGTTCGCGTCATCACAGGTTCCGCGGACGGACGTATCTTCTTTGGTGGAACGAGCGATATCGACATCAACGAACTCTATTATCAATCCGAGGAGAAGTGGTTCTCGAACCGATGCGGCAAGATCAACCATACCAACCCTGGCTGGTCGACAGTTGTGTCTATACAATCTGGTCTTTGGGGCGCTAAAGACCCGGAACATCTCGTGGATATTGTTATTGACGATTCGAGAAAGCTAGTCTACACCTTGTCGAGCAAGTCCACCATCCGCACATATCACATGGAGGCTCCGGACCGATTGACCAAGGTCATTGAAAAGGAAAAAGTTCACTGCCTTCGCGACATTACTCACATGGTCACCCAGACCAAGCTTCTTACAGACCGCATTAAGATTGTTTCCATTAGCCCGATTTCGAAACAGGAAGCTTCTAAACTACATCTCATGGCTCTTACAGATACGGGTTGCCGCCTTTTCTTCAGTGCCACCAGCGCTTCTTCCTTCCTATATGGCTCGCAGTCTAATGTCGCCCCTCAAAGCATGCAGGTCCAGTTTATCAAATTCCCACCAAACCCCAACTCTCGACGCCCTGGCCAATTTGGCGGCATGGGCATGCAGAATGAAATCACTGTGGACTTGGACTCTACCATTCTCGTGCCGAGCCGACAGGGTGCCCGATTCTCTCCTGGATACTTTTTGGATTTCGTTAGCAAGGAGGGCGATGCCAACTCGGACGCCCTTTTCGTCTCTGGCCCAGAAACTGGCCGCATTAAGCACACATCTCCCACTGCTCCTCTTCGCTACTACGAGCAGGCAACATGGATCGATATCGGAAGCAGAGCCGAAGCCGTCGGATTGATCACCAAGCCATTTGCTGCTTCTTCACAACCTGTCGGATTCGGTAACGAGCTGGCAGTTCAGTTTGATGAGCCTCCGTCAGAATTCGCCGTCTTGACCAACACTGGTATTCATGTTATCCGCCGTCGTCGTCTTGTAGACAACTTTGCTGCTGCCATTCGCGATGCTCCTGGTGACGAAGCTCTGGATGTCGTCTGCAGGCGTCTCATCCAACTCTACGGCCGTGTTGAAACGGTTTCTACTGCTCTCGCTGTTGCCTGTGGTCACGGCGGTGACGCTCGCCCTGGAGCTGCCAGAGCAATTGACCAGAACACTGAGGACCGCGCCCGTGGTCTCTTTGTCGATTTTGGTGGTCAGCCAACCATTGCTGAGACGGATGGCCAGCCCCTCACAACCGAGTCTGTCAAGCTTTCATCGCGTCATGATGCTCTGGCTCTCTACCTTGCCCGTCTTATCCGCAAGGTTTGGCGAGTTCCTGTCATCAAGTCGGGTGTATCTCCTACTGGTGGTGTCACTGTTGAATCCGCTGTTCCCTTGGCCAAACTAGCCAACACCCAAGAAAACCTCGAGCGATTGCGAAAGTTTATCGAGGCCAACCGTGGCCTTATCCAAGGCATGAGCGGACCTGCTGACCTTCAGCTCGTTGCCACCCGTCAAGAAGAGGTTGCCCTTCAGGCTGAGCACCAGGCGCTCCATGCTCTGCAAAAACTTATGGAAAGCATCTCTGAGGGTATCTCATTTGTCCTCATGCTTTTCGATGAGCGAGTAGCGGACATTTTCACAAGACTCGACGAGACAGCTCGCCAGCAGCTCAAGGAACTCACATACGAAAAGCTGTTTTCGCAGGCAGACGGCAAGGAGCTGGCCAAGCTGCTTGTCAAGGCCATTGTCAACCGAAACATTGAGAGCGGCTCGAATGTCGAAACTGTTGCTGACGCCCTCCGCAGACGTTGCGGCAGCTTCTGCAGTCCTGACGATGTCGTTGTCTTTAAGGCTCAGGAGCAGCTTAAGCGCGCTTCTGAACAACCACTCAACACAAACCACTCGCTAACATTACTCCTCGAGAGCTTGAAGCTGTTTGAGAAGGTGGCTAGCAGCCTGACATTTAACAACCTGCAGAGCATTGTGTCACAATACGTTAACCTACGCTACTACGCCGGTGCCATCCGACTATGCTTGGTTGTCGCCAGGGAGAAGGATCGCGGCAACAGCGCGCTGCTGTGGATTAACGATGGCAAGCCGGCCAACGACCCGCGCGCCACCAAGTTTGACGAGCGCAAGAAGTGCTACGACATGATTCACGAAGTACTGCGCAATCTTGACGAAGCTTCGAGCAAGGAGCCCGAGATGGTGGACGGCAAGATGACCGTCATGGCTGTGAAGAGAATGGAGGCTTACGACGTGGTTAACGGCTCTGACGATGAAGTATTCCACTTTGATCTCTACGAGTGGTACATCCAACAGGGCTGGACAGACCGAATTCTGGCCATTGAGTCGCCGCACGTCATCACCTTCTTGCAGCGCTTGGCTGGCACCAACGTGGAGCACGCCGATCTGCTCTGCCGCTTCTACACCAACCGCAGCCGCTTCTTCGACGCTGCCGAGGTCCAGGCACAGCTTGCCAACTCGGACTTTGGCATTGGTATCAAGGACCGCATCCGCATGCTCAGCTTGGCTAAAGCCAACGCCAACGTTACTACGGTTGGTGTAAGCCGCCAGCAGCAGCAGATGCTCAACCACGAGGTCACAGATCTCCTCGAGATTGCGAATATCCAGGACGACCTGTTGGAGCGCCTCAAGCTCGACGACCGTATCGACCGCGAGCGCAAGCAGGAGATTGAACAGGCTCTCGACGGCAAGATACTGTCTCTGTCAGAACTCTTCAACGACTATGCCGACCAAGCGGGCTACTACGACCTATGCCTGCTCATCTACCACACTGCCAACTACCGCAACCCAACCACGATTGCTGGTACATGGAGCAACCTCATCCAACAGACACACGACGAGATTGTATCGAGGCTGGAGAACCCCGAGCCCGGCGAGCCCACACCCCCACTGCCCTACGAGGCGGTTTCAAGCAAGATCCAAAACATTGCGCACCACACATCGCTCGACAGCTTCGTCTTCCCCATCGAGACGCTGCTGCCTGAGCTGTGCCGCTACGCTGTGGCATACCAGCAAGACACGACAATTGGAGCTGACCCATCGTGGCCTGTCCAGCTGTTCCTTGCGCTGGGTGTGTCGCATGATATGATTGTGCGCGTGCTTGAGAACATCTTTGACACGCAAGACTACGGCTTCAGCGGCATGGTGCGCAACCGCATCATCGAGATCATCGTCTACGTCGTCAACGACTGGGTAGGCGAGGTTCGACGCCGCGGAGGCGCTCTTAAGGGCAGCTCCATCACAGCCAGCGTCGGTGAGCTTCTCGGCCAGTGCGAGGCGGCGCTGCCTCCTCCCGGCCACGGCAGCAACCACGGCGGAGCGGATCTGGCCGAGGTGCGCCGCGTGTTGAAGACGCTGCGCCGCGAGGTGGGCGGTCTTGTCGAGCGCGCGCCAACCGGCAGCATGCGATTCATGTAAAGGAAAAGAAGGAGAAGGCAGAGTATGTATGTGTGATGGAAAGGAGGGTTATTTTTGGACGTGGTCTTTGTGTTCAACAGCTTTTATTTCCCGGGGATAACTTGTATTGTCGTTTCTTTCGTTCTTGTTTGTCTCTTTTAGAAAAGGAATGATGCTAGCACATAATGCATTGTGATTTGCGCTTACGTCTTGTATCTTGACAGTCTTGGTTGATTTGCATGTAATTACATACAATTCCTGTATTGCCCCTGAACGCCACGCAGCCAGGCTTTGCTTGATCGCTTTGCGTATGCGATGTACATCCGGCGTTATAAATCTGTTATTCGCACTTAAACGAACCTTGCATACAGCCTCGCGCCAGCCTCAGCCACGCAACCTCGGACATTGCCCATAAGAGTCTAGAAGCGCCGCGAAGCTTGATGATGCTCTGCTTATGAATCCACTAACAGCAGCTCACATGGCCATTCGGTCTTTACCGGAAATAGAAGTGATTTTTTTTATTAACTTGCTCATTGTCTTGTGTTGCGGTGACGTGGAAGCGCGCGACTCACAGCGGGGCGCGGAGACTTGTCGGAAACATCGTCATCTGACTTATAAAGGGATCGATCCGATCGCCAACGACCACCAACATCCTCTGCTCTTTCATTCCATATAAAAACTCTACTTCAACCTCAATTTCACTTACTTTTTAGTCGTCACAATACTCTCTTCACTTGCCTATCAATTCGCTAGAACAATCATGACTGCCAACCCTTCTGGATCGAAGCTGGCGAGCGTCCTGCCCAACGCCTTTACCAAGGACATGGACCCCGAAATGGAGAAGTGGTTCGTCAAGACGTCCCAGGGACTCATTGGCGATCTCACGTCGCCACTAGTTGCTCAGATGGGCCTTAACGGAGCCGTCACGGAACCCATTCAATTCTTTGACAATGCTTGCGGGGCGGGTGTTCTCACACAGGAAGTACACCGCGCACTGAAACCGGAAGTGTTGAGCAAGAGCACATTTACGTGCGCCGACTTTTCGGATAAGATGGTGGCTACGACGCTGAGACGTGCGGCCAACGAGGGCTGGGGCCACATGGAAGGAAAAGTAGCGGATGGTGCTGATACTGGATTCCCTGATGCATCGTTCAGCCATATTGGTATTTCACTTGGCCTACATATTATCCCAGACCCTGATAGGGCCGTTAAAGGTACAGTATCGCTCTACAACTTTGTATAAGAGTCCTGCTAATATGGGATTATAGATGCGCTCCGCATGCTCAAGCCCGGCGGTGTCTTTGGCGCGACGACTTTCACCAAGCGCAACGGCGAGGTTTGGTTTGTTCCCGATGTCAAGAGTGCATTCAAGGCGCTGCCGTTTGACGCCCCGATACCTGATTTGTTCCCTATGCAGATTCACTCGTCTGGTACATGGACAGACGCTGCATGGGTTGAGGCGCATCTGAAGGAGCTCGGTGTGCGGGATGTCCAGGTCCACGTCAAGACGCAGAAGCACAAGATTGAGAGCGCGGAAGACTATGTCAATATTTTCAAGATGATGTTTCCCATGACCATGAAGGCGTACTGGTCTGAAGAGACGCTGGCGGCGCATCCGCCGGCTGAGGTGGTTCCCCTGGTGCAGAAGCATCTAGAGGAGCTGCATGGCGGGCGAGGCTGGGAGATTGAGTCTGAGGTTATTTACATGACGGGAAAGGGGCCGCAGTAGGGCGATGGAGGAGTAACTTATAGGAGCGTCTGGTTAGCTCTACTGTAAATTAGCAATTGAGATTCCAAATCAAGTATGGTGCTTGTGCTTAGTGGTGTTTGTTAGCGGAGGAGTTTAGAGCCCGCTTCCCCAGCGCATCGCTTTTTAGCGGCTGCAACCCCCCCGTATTTTTATTTTTCAGGGGTAAGCATAACAACGTGGCTGCCGGCGCCTGCTGAAGAAAAACCAAGGCACATCGCCGCTGGCTCCCCCACCACACGTGATTGTCTAGCCTGCAACCTGTTCGTTTGCCCAGTGGCTGCTTCTCCAACATCGCCAACGTCGCCTCCTTTAGGCTACCGCCTTTTTCTGTCTCTTCTGTGCTTGTTGTTCGTTTTTGTTACTACAGGCGCTTGATTCTCGTCCAATTCGTCCCGCTCTACACCAATACATACCAACAATCTACATTCATACACCACATACTCGACACCATGAAGTTGGCCTTTGCGGCGCTGGCCTTTGTCGGCCTCGTTGCAGCCGGCACACCAGAGGAGGAACATGCGGCTCTTCCTTCATACAAATACGGCGCCCCGATTCACATCCAGTGCATGAACCGCAGCATGTAAGTCTTTCCTCCGTCTGCTCGATACACCTTGTACAAGGACGCATCTAACCCTTTGTCTACAGAGAAACCGGCGAGCACATCGAACAAGACAACCACGAGATGCAATGGATCGACTTTCCCGTGTGCCAGGAGACAGGCAAGCCGCTGCGCTTCCACTACGGCGTCGAGGGCGAAGTCAACTGCACCATCCCCCTCGTCACCGATCCCTTCTACCATCTCCTCGAGTTCTATATTCACAGCGATGCGCCGCTCTCGTGCCGCATCCCCGCGCGCCCGCGAGGCCATACGACCGTTATTAACGAGCAGCCGCCGCCCCAAGAGTACATCCCGCTCATCTTTGCGCTCTCGGGCAAGCTCGAGCTTAGCCACATGCACATTAGCACGCATCTCAACGTCCTGCTGCACTCGCTGCCAAAGCACCACCTGCACCACCACGACAGCGGTGCCCTCGATTCGGCCATTTCCTACAGCACGAGTCCGCTGGGCCACTTCAAGGATAGCAAGTCGGTTAAACTCAAGATTGGCGACCCGCTGCCGCTGTCCCTCTCGGTGCGCTGGTTCCCGACTCCTGCGCTGCCCAAAACGGAGGGCAAGGTCGAGTGGGCTGGTCTCGGTGGCCACATATACGCAAGTACCTTTTTCTACAGCATTGTATCGTTTGTCGCTGGTGGCCTTGTCATGGGTATGTACACCATGGGCGTCGTGCTGCCGAGGCGTCTTAAGGGCCGCTCGCTGGGCGGTGCTACGCCATTGGGTTACGGCCTCAATAACGGCGTAGGCAACGGCTGGGGCTACTCCAAGAGAATGGACTAGAAAAAAAAGTCTGTACGGGGAGAAGAGGTGGCGGTGGTCGTGCTGTCTACAGTTCCGATTTTATGACTTGTTTGTTGCCATGTATTATACCAAAGCGTTCGTTGTTTGGAAATAAGATTAAAATAAAGTCTTTTAATTTCTCCCACCAAGATAAAACTCCTTCCTGTACCGTGCCGGTTTTGTCTGTATGCGCCAACTTACTGCGCCTTCTTCTCTTTGAGCTGGGCATCCATGGCCGCAAAGCGTGCAAGCAGCCTCTGGTGCATGTCGACAACCATGGCAGCCGCTGCGTCTGTTAGTTAGTCATCAAGTGCAGGTGACTAGAGTGTAAGAGTAAAACTCACGAATCAGGGCAAATGGTAGATATGTGCCGTAGACAAGAGACGCCTTCTTGGACGCGTCCAGGATAGAAGCAGGCGTCTGGGCAATGTGTGCGCAGCAAGCAACAGAGCCCATGCAGGTAATAGACCCAAAGATGAGGAAGATGAGCTCGACAGCTGGCGTAGTGGGCTTTCCAGACATGAGGCTGTAGACAATGTACACGCCCATGGGCAGCTGCACGAGGCCCTCGATCCAGATGAAGGATTCAAACCACGGCTCGTGGCCCAGGGCGAACAAGGGGTCACCGGTGGTGGCGACGTACTTGTTGCGGATGGTGACGAGGAAGTGCAGAGGCGCGGTGGGTGCTTTCCAGAGACTCTCGGGGTAAAAGTAGCGCAGGTCAAGGACTGCAGAGAAAGCGGTTTAGTAATGGACGATGAAAACAAGGGAGAGCAGCAACATACCGAGCATGCCCAATGTCATGGTGAGCACAATGCCAAAGTAGAGCCAATCTATGGCGCGTTTTTGAGTGGCCATTGCTGCGGATGAGTGGATTTTGAAGTGCTTGGAAATTGTTTATGGGGTGGTGATGTTTGGTGGTGGTGTTGATGGGTGGAAAAAGGAGCGTCCCTGTTTACAGTGGGTGCACGGTGTGATGCGGGGGAGCTTGCAGCGGGCGGCGTGCTGTGTAAGTGGGCAGTGTGTGCCAACCTTAGCGGAGAGATGCTGATTTTCCAGACGAACAAAGATAAAAACAACGTTTGTTTGTATAGACGAAAACATTGCTACTTTATAGGCTGTTGGAGATAATCACACATACTCTACAAGATTATAGCGCAGAACGGATATTAACAAATAAATATGTATTTAAGAGTGTATTTTCGCTGCATTTCCGGCGTTCGAGAAATCAGATACCTTTCGCTAAGGAACGTGCTGAGTAGAAGTGTGAATACCAGTACTACAAAAGAGAGGATAAATATACAAAATATACTAGCATTAAGGAATAAACTATATATTTAGCATTACTCCAATTGACTTATAAAATGTCTAAAAAAGAAGGCGCAGGGTGTAACATCGCTAGTCTTGTCGAGCGCTGAGCTTTACTTGCAGCGGACGTCCACGAAAGTCAATGGAAAAGTACTCGCTCCATACAAAATCGGTGATGCTGCAGTAATTAGTGATATTTAGATACAGTGGGGTATACAGTTGGCAGTGTTTGTTGGGATACGTACTCCGTCTCATGCGGCGTCAGGTGGTACTTGCGAAACTCCGTGGCTATGGTAATGTACATTTCCAGATTGGCAAAGCTATACTGCCATTAGCTTAGAAGGCGTAATGATTACCGATATTACGTACCGCTCAGCTGGGCCCATGCGTCGTCCCTTGCCAAAGACGAAAGTGTTGTCCTGTGCCAGCGCCTTTACCTCCGCCTCATTTAGGTCCAGCCATCACTGGGGATCAAATTTGTCCGGGTTGGGAAACTTGGCCTCGTTCATGTGAACATAATACGTGGAACATGCAACAACCGTCTAGTATCGCCACAATTAGCTACATCGTCTGCAAGTAGGCTATTGACGTACCTTGGACGGGATGGTGTAGCCGTCTACAACGGCACCACTTGGGCCAACCATTCGAGGAGGCCCAATTACCACGCCATACGTCAGGCGCTGGCTTTCCATAAGCACAGCGTGCTGTTCCATACATTAGCTTTGAATGACCCTTACAGTGTGTATGTTGTGTCAAACTCACCAGCAAAGGAAGCTTGCGAAGCGTCATATAGTCTGATGGCGCAGCGTCAATATCGGGCCACACGCTCTTGAGCTCACAATACAGGCGATACTGCAAGTCGTCATCTGAAGCAGTGTGAAAGGACCCGAGCGGCATAATGTTTCCGAGATCAACTATGCCTCCCCACATGGTGATTTCTGCCTCGGAAGCCACAAGTTCAATAGACATGGGCGCTCCCGCATACGACTTGCAGTCCAAGTGGGCTCGAATAAGCCTCTGGGTCATGCAATCCGGGTTCTTGACGTCTGCCAAGTCATGCTCATGCACGGTGAGCTCTATTATCATCTACAAAATTGTTAGTTGTCGTTCACCAAGCTCATGGCCCTTCCAAAAGTGAACTGACCTGCCCCCCCTCGCGGAGGCTCTCAAAGGAATACGGAAACCGTTTCAAAACCCAATCCGGGAGGTAACCGAGGTATCCGGTAATGTGAAAGTTTCTCGTAAGCCAGAGGGTCCAATTGACGGCTGCAGTGGATGCAACAGACAGAGGATCGTCAAAGTTGTCATCAACAAGAGACTTGAGGTGTTTGAGAACACTGCTGAACATGAACTCATTGATAATCATCATGTACAAGGAGCCGAGCGAGGTCTCGTCTCTCTGGACTACCTCACCAGATGGATATCTGCCATTGACTTGCGCAGAAGCCAGCTGGCAGACATAATGACATGGATGATTCGTGCTGCAGCCATTGCACGTGGTCTTGATATTGACCGCATCGAAATCTCGCCTACCTCCGGTACAGCCGCACTAACAGAGCTAGTCAAAGAAGCACTTCGAAGTGCACAGCTGTTTGGCTCGTTTCATTGCCCAACGCTGCCCGAGCTACAGAACACTCTACGTTGTAATGGTCAAGAGGCCGCAAAATGGGATTGGTTTCTCAACAATCTCGATCCAAAAGCCCAACCCACGACAGCTTGCCGCGGAGGCTTGCCGGAGCCATTTTACCGGGTGAGGCAAGGGGGAGTTCCCGCTGCACTGACGATCTGCAGTTCATGCTGTCAAAATCTGTACTTCGCTGCGGTGAGGCCAAGAGAACATCTTGATGCGCTAGGGCTAGTTGTCTCTACGGGCCGGGGCGGCTGAATACATGATGTAAAACAGCTGCGACTGAACCGTGTTCACCGTGCACAACCGACAAGAGCGAATGTGCTTAAATCAGGGAAATAGACTACATGTATGACTCATCAGTATAGTAACACTGGCATTGTAATCTATACAATGAGTGATCGAGACTGGCGCCACTTCTGTGCCACCACCTTTGGCGATCATTGCTCACCGACCATCAGCCATAGAGCTTTACGTCGTCGTAACCGAGTCGTAGATTTGTGGCATCTGTGTAAACAAAAGTTCCTGCCAGAATTGTTGATCCGCCGCAGCAAGGTTGTCAAGCCCCAGCGAGCTGAAAGCCTCGCTACCAACAGGAAACGAACTATGCTGTGCCGTATAGTCCGTCGTAGTCTCGCCACAGGGCTCAGCCATGGCCACATTTGCGCACCCGTTTTCCTCATCAACGCGGTTATTGAACCATGCCTGCACATATTTGAGTTTCGTCCCGTGAGCCTCAAAGAGGCTGCGTTCTTCATCCACCATGGGAACCCGAAAATTCGCTTGTCGTGCCCATTTGCCTGCTTCTTCGTACTTGCGCGCCAATGTTCCAATCGTATACACATAGTCGAAATTGAGGCGCGCAAGACTTGGTTGCCAGTCGGCTGCGTCTAGAAACAATACACGCGACGAAGAAATGACAGCAAAGGCAATCGGGCAGCATTCATGGTATGGCCGTATAACAAGATTGGTCAGAGGACCCTCAAAGTAGACGCGGAAGAGCTCTTTAGCACAGGCGAGGAATTTCCAGATTTTTCCTGCACGCATGAATGGGTCGACACGAGTGGATTCGAATGGCGCTGGTGCTGGTGGTTGCATCATGATTGCCGGCTCGTATAATCGCATAAGACAGACTTGGTATTGGTTCTGAATCTGGGCTGCGCAAGTTTTTAGTACGCTCTAAGTTTCAGTTTCAGCAGAAGCTAACGTACTGTTGGAGCGAATGGATGCCGGAAAGGACGCCAGAAGACTAGCGAGTTTACGCTCAGTATTGTCGATAATCATCTCGTGTTGCATTGAGTACGGCTGTGATGCTGCCTCAGCCCAGTGGCCGGGAAGAACAGAGTACGACGCCTCGGCTACAGACATCATTCTAGCCAGAGCAACACTCAACAGGTCAAGCTCGTCAAACTGCTCTTCAACGAGGGTATTGCAGAACGATTCGAGATGGGGATTCCAGCGAAGAAATGGCCCGCGGGAAAGCAGACTGGAAATTCTGTAGGAATCTTAGCTCAAATCGATAGTCTTCATAGCAAGATGTCATCTCTTACATGGCTGAAATATGATAGCAGCCGAGAACGGCGCGTTTGTCTTCCTCGGTCTGTATTTCTTTGTATCGGAATGGTATGTCTTTTTTCAATTTGGTCCATGCTGTGCCCATCAGCGATTGCATATTTGCGTACGATCGGACTGCCGGCTTGTCAAGTCTTAGGGTATTGATTATACTTATAGCGGCGGCAAGAAGATCATCTCCGTCAATATCGACATAATTTTGTACAATGGACCTGTGAAACCCACTTAGCAATTGTTTCTCAGAGGAGTCTACCAACCCACCATGATACATATACCAGGATTGCCTGGATAAGTGCTGTGGTCTTTTGCTGCTCAACAAAGACTTGGGTTGCAAAGTACTCGCGGAACCAGACGCGCAACTTTGCCGCTACAGGTCCCTCAACAGGAACCACAGATACCATAATAGCCCAGAACAGGGCCGGCTTTCCACGGTACAACCCATACGCCGTTATATCTGATGATATCAGAACAAATGGGTATTTGGGCATGTACTGATTTCGGTAGCGATCCAGATAGGTTCCGGCCAGCAACACGGTGACCTTGAAGTCTGGCATCAGCTCTAGAACGGTGCTGGGCTCCGGCTCTTGAATATCTCCATGGTGAGGTAGCGCTGTTAGTCGCTCGCGAGCAGCCACTGAGCCTCTAGTATAGCCACTCTGACTTTCTGGTGTAATGACGGCTGGATTCGGAGGTGTTTGCTTTTGCTGGGCGGCAATCATGTTGACCAGGCCGTCCAGCTTTGCCTCAAGCTGGGCCACTTGACTGTTAAACTGTAGTCAGTAGAGTGCTTAGAGGATATGAAGTTGATGCTTACGTCGATTTGCCACGCCTTCGTCGTTTTGTCTGTTCAGGGACATCGCATGGTGCTTTCATACGTGTGCATCTAGAGGCAGCATGTTAGTCTGGGGTGCAACGATGATGGGATGGTACGGAAGATATGAGAATGAGTGGCATACCTGATGCAGCTTCTAGATTTAGAGGAATCTGTATTCTCCGGCCACCGGCATTTCATTTTCAGCCGGGCGCAGGTGGAACAAGCCCGGAGCTTGACATCGGCATTGTTGGACGCCATCGTGATGTGTCACTGGCGCGGTTGCTGGTGTTTGCGTCGCTACACCACGTCTGTTCAATTTCAATCAACAATAATAAGAAATTCTTGGATAGTTTAGCAAAGTAAGGAACAAGAGAATACAAAAGATAATAGGAGTAGGAAAAGATGATTCGAAATCGAGGCTCTGATGACGATGCCCTTGGGGTAAATGCGGGCGCCGGAGCCTTATTTGCCGGCCGATCCGGAAAAGAGGGCGGTTGAGCCAATCAACGGGATGGCTCTACATGCATAACATACGGACCGGGAGTTAATTAGCGACCGTATCCGAACGATCCAAGATATAGTGCCGGCAGATGTGCATACAATTGATCGATATCTTCTTTATTGCGGGTTAATCCACAATACGGTGGATTATTGTAAACTCCAGGATAATAAATGCGATATATCCCACTAGCATGGCTGCGCCAATCCAGCGCACATATTTGACGCCAAACCATATCGTCGTTGTAAATGCAGCTGTGGAAACCCAAAGTACGGCGAGTTCTGTAAGCGTGACGTTGCCGCCATCTAAATGGCCATTTGACTGGATCATGATAATACCGCAGCATATGGACAATAGGAATATATTGCTACCAGCGCAACTGGCCACCATGATTCCAAAATGGCCCCGATATCCGCTCATGCTGGCAATGAACTTTTCTGGCAGCGTTGTTGCAATAGCAAGAATCACGACACTGAACAAAACATCCGAAATGCCAAGCTGGTCGATTATGTTGATTGTTGCTTGCGAAAGCACATAGCCTGCAAGGGAAATGGCTAGAAATCCAAATATAAGACGCGTCGCATGGTATCCAAGAGATCGTTCGCGGTCCCGTCTAATAGAACTGTTTCCAGAAAGCAACTCGGTGTCACTTCCTGCCACACTGTCATCATCCTCAGGGTCAGAGTCCTCGCTGTCAGCACCTTCTTGAGCTTGTATAACTGCTTTGGCAACGTCCAGTGCCACAACGAGGAAATAGATGCTAAACGAGATGGTGAGGATGAGACCGCACGCTCTCCATGTAAGTGGTGCCGGAAAGTAGATAATTGGGGCTACTAGTGTTGTCAAAATCAATAGAATAAGAGAATACAAACGCTCGCTTCTTTCGAACTCTACCTCGTCGGCATTGAAGCAGAGCAAGCCTAAAGAAAAGGCTCCGAGGATGTTTGAGATGGATGCGCCGACAACATTGCCAAGGGCAATCGATGACCGGCCTTGAGCCAATGAGGCGATGACAACCGCAAGCTATCCGGAGATTAATCACTAATATTCCGTGTTTGAGATATAGATAGTGTTTACCTCTTCCCATTCTGCCCCAGCTGTGAGAAGGCCAACGAGCACCTCGGAAACTCCAATACGGCTGGCGACAGCAGCAGAATGGTCGATGATTTTATCGGCGCCAAACTCGAGCAGAAACAGCGTCGAGATGAACACTCCCATGTTGAAGACTAATACAGAAGACTGTGCCATGATTCGAGACGATGAACGTTGTTGGTGTTTGGGAAGAGGGGGTTTGTGAAAGTTGAGAGTGTAAGGCTGGCGGGCAGTATTAGTACCCTACAGGATTCTACAAGTTCGTTTTTCCGGGCCAGTACAGGTACAATTGACCGAAGAACTAGATTTAAACATTTATTACAAAATGAATTGATGTAAATTCATATTTTGAGATAATTTATACTTTGAAGTCTTTTTTATACCTTGACCTGGTCAATTGGCATCTCTCCATACTCTCAAACCCAACATTGTCAACACACCACCCCCAACGCCACAGCCACCTCAAATGTCTAAATAAATCCACAAAACTTTATTTTAAAATGGAATCATCTTGAAATCTCTATAATCCTCCGACCAGCGTTCCTCATCCTCACATCTCCCATCGGGTTGCCCATCGGAGCAGGCACAACCGCCGCGCCGACGCTACAAGCACCGCCTAACCGGGCCGTTTCAGCGCTCTAACCCGTTTCCGCTGGCTGGCCACAGCGCTATTGGCCCAAATACGCACGGCAAGGCCCGCCTAAAACGCTCGCCGCGACCGCTAAAGGATCCAAGCGTCTCTCCCCTTCTTCATGCTTACTCTTCTACGTATTAGTGCCAATCGAATTGAATCCATGCACGCAATTTCTATTAGAACGAGTTACAGCGGACCGACGGAAAAACTAGCGCCATCGCTTCCCCTGGCCCCATCGCTTCAGGCACTAAAATCGCGCGCTCTGATTCGTCGAATAACGATGACCATCGGCCACCCGGTTTCGCCGACGGCATTTAATGCCCATGATACTGGCACATGTAAGATGAGATGAGATGGTGAAAGTTTTTGTCGCTTGGATTTGATTCCATGCTACTCTCTATATAAATATCTGGGGGATCTGCCGTTGCTGTTGCTTCATCTCAGACCCATCAAGATATCACTTCCACCTTCAACTTCAAGATGCGCTCCTCTACTCTTCTTATTGCCGCTGCTACTGCGGTGTCTGCTTCGCCGCTTGCTGCTCGCCAGTCTTGCGATGTTGCCAACGACTTTTCCAACCCTGGCTGCGCAGATATCGCTGTCATCTTTGCCCGCGGCACCTTTGATTCTGGGTTTGTTCTCTAGTAGCCCTACGATGTATATCTTCCGTCACTAACATCCTGATAGAAACATTGGCCCTTGGGTCGGATGCCCCTTCCAAGACTCTCTCAAAGCCAAGTTTGGCAACTCTGCCAAGGTTGCGTTCCAGGGCGTTAGCGCCTCTGACTACTCTGCGGATCTGAGCGGCTACATTGACGACGGCGGCTCTGCTGCTTGCTCCAGCAGCCTTGCTCGCTCTGTTGAAGACTACGCCAAGCGCTGCCCCAAGGCCAAGTTTGTCATCTCAGGATGGAGCCAAGGTGCTCTTTGCGCCCACAAGAGCTTCAACTCGCTGACGAGCTCTGCTACTCGCTCCCGCATCTTTGCCTTGACCACCTTTGGCGACCCCATCTCTGTCTGGCAGGACGACATGTTCTTCCCTGCTGTCCCGTCCAACACCAAGCTCCTGTCTTACTGCAAGACATCTACCCCCGATCCTCTCTGCACCAACCCCCTTGAGGACCTGCCCCATGACCCCAAGCAGTTTGTCCAGCGTCTCGAGGCCATCTGGAAGGACTTTAGCACTGCCGATCTCAACGATGCTCAGAAGCAGGCTGTCAAGGATCTGATTAGCGAGCTGCCCAAACAGGCCAGCAAGAAGATTGGCAAGCTTGGAAAGGACATCCTTGCTGGCCACATTCGTCGCTGGATGCTTACACCTCAGCACTTTTTGTATGGTGTTGGCCAGAGCCCCATGACCCAGCAGGCTGCTGGTGACATTGTTGCTGCTTACCAGTCTGTCAAGGCTTAAACAAGATCAAAAAATTCACTGTAATTTAGGACTGTATGATTTATGAGCGGAATTGTTACGATGATTGTAAATTGTTTTAGAAATTAAATTTACGATTTCTTTTGAGAGTATCCAGGAAAAAAAAGGTGTGACTGTAGAAGAGAAATAACACTAGACTGCATTAAAATACACATAAAACTTTGGGTATGTTTTGTACTGTTGAAACCCATCGCTGTCCATAAAACTCCTCTGCATAAATAGAATTCATCAAAGTGCAAACTCAAACAGTGTCAACACTGGATGCGTCAAAAGAGCGGCGCTGGCGGATATACTTGGGCCAGGTATTTGTCAAGACGAGGTACTTAATGCTCAGCTCAGCATCGTCAAAGACATGTTCATTAAATTCAAAGGGGATCTCGCCCGTGTAGTTGAGAATCTCTGAGGCCAAACGAGGAGTCTCGTTGGCGAAGGGCGTGGCAGGATCAGAGGCAACAGTCGCCGCACAGACAGCCTGAGCAGCCTCTTCAAAGGTATGCTTGAGCTTGGCAAAGTCTCCTGAAGCAAGATTGAGCTGGAATTCGGCGTTTGTGGCGCTGATAAAGTCCAAGTAGATGTGAAGAGCACCCTCAAAGCACTCGCGGGTAATGGCAATGATGGGTGTGTTCTTCTCCTCCTCGCCAATCTCCTTCTTGGCAACAGCAAAGTGAGCAGCTCGCCAGTCACGAACACGCAGCAAAAAGGCAACATTCTCACCAGAGAAATCCTTGAGTGCAGAAAACTCCTGGAGAGGCTCAGGGTTCTTGTCAAGTGTGTGCTCCAGCGCATCCATTGTCAAGATACTGCCTCCCGAGCTAGTACCAATAGATGTGGCACGGCTATTGCGGGAGTTCCATGTAGTTCCTGAGATGTCCGAGTTGAGAGACTTGACGCCCTTGGTAGCACCGAGACGCTGGCGAGATTCCCAGCGGGCAATGGACTCGAGAGTCTCGCTGGTGAGGTTGCGCTGCTTCACAACCTCGTAGATGGGGACAAAGATGGTGAAGATTTCCAAGAACATGATGGAAACGGCAATCCAGCTGGGAGGGATAAAGTAGTTGTTGACAGGAGCCATGGCCGGCACATACAGGGCAATGAGCCACATGGGTGCAGCGGGAAGACCGGCAATGCAGCAGGCAATGGTCTGGAATCGCCAGCCCTGGGTGTCAGCGATCTTGCGGGAACGGAAGAGAATGATGGGAGCGACAATCCAGGCCCAGCCGAGCTGCCAGAAGCAAGTTGGCCACCATTCCCAGCCGCGGCCCTGCTGAACTGCAATCTCCATTGGCGTTCCGGTGACTTCGGTGCCGGGGATGCCATAGTCGCTGTGGAACTTGCGCGAGATGAGGTAGATGAAGATGGTCATGAAAGCCTGGAAGGCCATGCCGACACTAACAACAATGAGCGTCTTGTTAGAGTAGTCGAGCTGGATCCACCACATCTTGATGGATTCACGCAGAGACAGACGGCCAGGGCGGCGGGTATAGATACGGTACGGCTCTGTGCTCTGCTTGGAGAACTTCTTCTGGGCGTTGGCCACGTAGAGGAAGCGGCTGTTGCTTGCATGGAACAAGGCCACGCCAAAGGGCAGCCAGAGGCCCATGATCCAGTACTCAGTAACCTCTGGCATGACTGGGCCGTAGACGTAACCAGTCGTCACACAGAACCAGTAGACATGCATAAGCAGCACAGCACCAATGGACAATGGCAGACCGCGGATGCGGAGAATGGGCATGTTGCGGCGGATCCATAGGAAGGCGATGCCGCCAAGCAGGATCAGAGTCCATGCGATGCCAAAGGTGAGCCAGAAGATGCCGAGGCCATTGAGGCGGACCTGTGGCTTGGTATCAACGGTCTTGCCGAGTTCAGAGCCCATGATGACTGTCAGGGTTGGGAAGAAGATTGGAGATGGAGCGGTGACAGGATGGGATGCCAAGGTCAGAGACGCGAGAATGGGCCATGACTTTATAATAAAGACAAGACGAAAGCGAGAGCCGAACAGAAAAGGGAAAGCACTGCGACTCGCAACGTGAGACCGCGTGGTTGTCGTTGATTAAACCTCCTCACCTTTTCGGGTAGAACGTGGCGTCCACGCAAAAGCAAATGAGACCCAACTCGTCGACCAAAACGGCCCATCATCATTCCAAGCAAACCGACTACTTCGGCTCATGTACCAACGACGATAACCTGCCCCTTGGGCTCAGTACCATAGTGGTGACCAACTCCATACGCGACGGGTAAAACGGGCTGCAGCGCCGAGTCTATAAGTTGCTTTTTTCTGCTGCACCAGCGCAGCGCGGCACGAGAAATTTTAACAAGCCACATGGGAATGACAAGGGCAGCCGTTGCGCTAAGACGTTGTTTCGGATTGGACACACCGTGGGCAAGGGTCGTGTTTGCTTTTTGTTGTAAGTGACTGTGCTGTGGCCCGCCGCCTCCTCCCTGTGATAGTACTGGTCGGCAGTCGCTGAACGGGTGATGGGAAGAAAAAAAAGATGAAGTATACAAAACAAAAACAAAAAAAAACGTGACGAGAGCCGTACCGCACGTACGTGATATCTCAGACGACGTCGGTCGATTCAGAAGATCATGTCTGCCTTACATCTGTTAGATTAGATGCCACCCTCTCTATGAGGGTTATCACATACGCAGATCAAACCATAGAGAGAGGAAAACGCCTCTGGTTTCCCAATCCTAAGGTGCTGGTTCATCGACCAACGAACTACACGTGGACTCTTACCTACCTGCTTGCTTCACTTGTGTAAGAAATCATCTCCTGATTGCAAAATGAAGCGATCGACACAAACACAAAGGGAAATAATCACCCACATCTCCAAAAGAAAGCACAGACGAAGCCAAAAAAAGTAAACATCACAGCTCAACCAGCGTTGAATCGCAGTGGCGCCGCGTCCTCTTGGCCTGTTTGCTTTTTCCACAACTGGGGCAAATGCGCCTGCGATCGCCATGATATTTCCGTTTGTAGAAGTAACCGTATCTTAGCTCGGCGTGCGCTGTTCAGCGATGGTGCCAGCAGAGAGAAAGACAGAAAAAAAGAAATGACGGCGAGAAAAGATTGTAATGGAGGTTGAGGAAAGACTCGATGGTACAACAGCGCAAAAACATCGAAGCTACTTGCATCATCTTCATGTAAGTCGGTGAATGGAGAGACCAGGGTCAGCAAGATGGTGGCTGCTGCGTATCCTTGCATATGTGGACATTTTTCTTTCCCAGCGTAATTTCCTCATACTGTGCTTGCGATATGTCTCATCCAGGGCACCACCACCACCAAACAACAACAGCAGCAGCATCTGCTCATGCAGAGCGGAAACTGCATATTGGTGCTGCCACAACGTGGTGTTTGCAGCAGCCACTTACGACGAGGCATTGGCTCTGCATCTCCTTTCTTTTCTTTTGAGGAGGGGCTCACGTTGTCTCGTGGCCAGTAACGTAAAGCGCCAGATCGGCATACTCGTGCGTGTATGTTGATCACGGCAGATTGCGAAGCGAGACAATAGCCACGCGAGAAGCTGAAGCTCAGAATCCAAAAAAAAAAAAACGTTGCACTTTTGTCGCTGGTGTTATCGCCAGATTCTAATCAGGCACACGTGGGATTGGCAAGTGAAACCCGTTGGAAATCAATTATGCTGCTGTAGTACATGTAATTACACAAAAACGCCGTTATCTTTTTTAACAACCCTCTCCATTTGCACTTACTTGCGGCCCTTAGTCTTCTTGCGCGGCGCCGCGTCATCGTCGTCTCCGCGGCGCTTCTTGCGGCCCTCCTCGAGCAGCTGCTTCATACCGCCAGTAGCCTTGAACTTCGGATTCGACGGGTCAATGGCGTACTCGTGGCTGTCAAACACGGCCTGGAAACGCTTATCGTCAACGTCCATCTTGAAGTCGTCCTGCAGGAGACCCGAGGCGCGCTCCAGCTTCTCCTTGTTCTTCTTGCTCTTGGCCGCTTTGCCCTTCTTGCCGCGGAGCTTTTCCGCGCGCATAATCTCCGCCATGTCAAAGTGATCCAGATGCTCGGCTGTCTCGCCGTCGTTGCTGTTCTCGGCCATGACCTTGGCAAGCTTGGCGCGCTCCTTCTTAGACGCTTCTTCGGCTTCGAGACGGGCCTCGCGCTTCTTGAGACGTTCCTGCTTTCGGATCGCAGATTTGGAGGCTCCAGCAGAAGGATCCTCTGTGGTGAAGAAGGGGTCGTTAAAGCCGAGATCCTCATCTCCGGCGCCAAATGTCGCAGTCATGCCGCCCTCTTCGTCTTCTTCGTCTTCTTCGTCTTCGTCGTCGTTATCCTCGGCACCGGCACGCTTTGCGCGCGACTGCTCTCGCTTTCTCTCCTTGCGTTCGCGCTCCTTACGCTTGTACTTTTCAATCGTAGTCTCCTCTTCGTCGTCATCCTTGCCCTTCTTGTTATCGGACAGAGCGGGAGTGAATGTAATCTCCATGCCACCGACAGGTCCGTCTTTGCTTGCTCGAGCGGTCGTCTCTTCTGTAAGGCCAAGGGCCTCGCGCATTTTCTTGCGAGCAAGCTCCTTCTTAGACAGTTTGGGAGCAGCCGCATCGACCTCGGCATCGCCCTCCTCCTCATCTTCGTCGTCGCCAATGGCGGCATCACTGTCCTCGCTGTCGCTAGCAAGGTAGGCACGCAAATCATTTTCGTTAATGTCTGCACGGCTGCCAGTAAAGGCACGCTTAATCGACTCTTTACGTGTGTTTTCTTCGGGGTGCATATCCCAAGTCAGCTTGACCTTGGAGCTCTGCATGGCGGTTGTGACGAATTCGATGGGCTTGTACGTCTCAGGCACCTTGGTGCACACGTCGCGGGGCTCGTCGTCAAAGGTAACATCGTCGGGGACAAATCGCAGATCGATAAAGTTGGATGAAGATTGGTACTCGGTACCATCGGTGGCCTCGTAAATCTTTTGCGCTGCAGACTCGCTAGAGCACTCCATGACAGCATAGTAGTAGCGAAGACGGCTCAGTTGGTAAGAGCGCAGTGCGTCGCTATCGAAATCCTGGTCGTCACCCTCTTGAATCAGCTCATCGCGAATCTTATCGTCGTCGTCCTCATCCTCGTCGTCAGAGGATTCTTCCTTGGCAGCACTCTTGAACAGCGCTTTAGGCGGGCCCTCTACTTCTTCCTGCTGCATTCGCTCCTTGCCGAATTCACTGGGATAAACTGACACTCTCTCAACCTTGCCGGGATCCTCGCCCAAGAAACTGCTAAACAAGGCAAACAGATCTGTAGAGTTGACATGGTCCCAGTCCAGGTTGACGACGGCAATTCGCTTTGTGACCTCACCCTCTTCAACCTCAGCATGCTCATCCTGGAGTCTCTGCATATCTCCTTCGGTGTCGAGCTCAACGACTTCCTCATCTTCAGAATCCGAGTCCGAGTCGTCGTCTGAGGAGCTGAAGCCACCACCACGCGCAGGATCGTATTTGACTGTCTTTTCATCGGCAGCACGGAGTGCCTTTTCGACGACATCGTCATCTTCAACCTCAATCTCGACTTGTTCTTCATCATCCTCATCCTCTCCCCTTTCCTCTTCCTCGTCGTCTTCGGCTTCGTATAGGCGCTGGAGGGCCTTCTTCTTGGTATCGGATTTCAATTTACGACCGTAGCGATCGACTCGGGCAGTATCTGTGAATTCCTTGTCGTTGAGCATACCAGCAAAACGCTTATCGAGCTTCGTCTTGGTGTTCTTCTTGGACGGCAGACGGAATCGAGGGTCCGTCTGGAAGCTAGCGAATCGGGCATCGCTGATGCGCTCGGCGGGAGGGCCGGCGCGTTTCTTATCGGGCTTAGGCATTGTATTCAAATTGCGACTCTGCAGAAATCAAGAGGCACAAAATGGGTAGTTCAATGCGTGATAGTTGTATGCCAGGATTTGGTGCCGCTAAAAATTGGAGTGCCAAAATCTGCCACTGAAAAAAATTGGCGGTGACAATTTTCTGCCGTTTTTGGTGGCGGGGCGCCTATTTTGGCAGGCGGGGAATTCGCAGCCTGCTACCAAGATCACTTACACGGACCCGACCGTCAATTAATCAATGCGCCAGTAATTTTATCTCTGAATTTTGTCAAATTAAACGCCTGGATATATCCTCTGAGTATGCTTTTATATGTACAATCATGCCATTTAGGCATCCAACAGGCCAGCAGCGAGTGCTTCCAAATCCTCAAGCGTCTCGGGCTCATCCTCCACCTCAAAGACCTTGCTCTTCTTCTTGCTCTTCTTCTTCTTAATTTGTTCCTCTGCAGCTTCTTCGAACCACTTCTTGGCCTTCTTCTTGGGCGGCTCATCCTCGCCATCGCTGTTGTCGGAGCGGCCATCCTCCGCCAGTGGTAGTGATCTGAGGAGAGCCAGTGGATCTTCGTCATCTTCATAGCCACCCGCCAATTGAGGTCCGTCGTCAGGATCAATGCCTTGTCTCTCCATAGCATCACGCTCCTTGCGCTTCTGCTTCTTATCTCTCTTCTTCTGCTTCTGAAGGGCCTTGTCCTCCACATCGGCCTCACGGACACGAGCGGATTCGCTTTCAACAAACTTCTGGCGCTGCTCATCAGCAGGACCTTGCTCGTTGAAGTCGTCAGCATCTTGCATTTCGTACACAGCGTGCGAGTCGCCTTCGTCGTCAAAGACAAGCTTGGTAGGCGCACCCATGAACTTGAGCATCTTCTTCTTCGACGACAGCGCCTTTTCGCGGCGCTTCGAGTCGATAACATATGGCTCATCACCACCGAGACCCATGATGACCTTGGGCGCGTTGGGGTCGGCCTTGCGAAGCTCCTCGTCCACGTCCTCATCATTCAGGCGTCTCTTGACTGACAAGAAATCGTCATCGCTGTCATCGTCGCCATCCTTGCCGTCCACCACCAACTTGGAGTAATGCGAAGACAAAACGTCCTGGTTAGTGCGCTCAAACATCTTGTCGTATTTCGTGCGCACTTCATTCTTCTTGCGCCCCTTCTTGGGGCCGTCCAGGTCCACATCTGATTCAGAGTCACTGGACATGCCCTGTCTCGACGCATTCTTGACCTTCTTGATATCCTCGCCCTTTTGGAACTTGATTTGTGGTGTTCCCGGCAAACCAAGACTAGAAGCATACGCATCCAGATCCAACTTCTTCAGGTCAAAGATTCCCTTTTCTCTCTGTAAATGGATCGATCGTGTGTAACTGATAAACGCTTTCTGGCCGAGGTATTTCAAATCGGGATTTTGGAAACACATGTTCTGCAGATCGTTCTTGATGCTCTTCTTCTTCTTCTCCTTGATGTGAATTTTCTGGATGGGAATTTTGCGTTGCTCGAGCTTCTTGGCCATCCCAGGCTCTTCGCTAGGCTCGAGGAACAGGACGGCGCGACCGTTGCTTTCGAATCTAGCTGTTCTGCCTACACGGTGGATATATGTGTCGATGTCCTCGGGGCAATCCACCTGGATAACCCAGTCGACAGCCGGGAAATCGATACCTCTGGCAACCACGTCGGTAGCAAACAGACACGAGTGCTTGGCGGCGGTGAATCGGTTCGTAATTTCGAGTCGAGCAAGCTGCTTCTGTCGACCATGGAGATGCAGCAGCGGAATGCCGGGCTGTAAATGTCTGAAACTCTCGTACACGAAGCGCACCTGCTTTCCCGAGCTCAAGAAGACAATAATCTTGCTCTTGAGCGCCGACTTGATGAATCCGTAAAGAGTGTCGAGTTTCTCCGGAAGCGAGGTGACAACGTAATGCTGCTGGAGATTTGTAGGCGTAGCTGAATCAGCCGACTCATGAACAGAGACGTACTCGGGGTCCTTGAGGCTCAGTCGACCCAGGTCCGAAACCTTTTTGCTCTGCGTCGCACTGAACATGAATGTCTGTCTCTCCTTGGGCAAATGCTCCACCAGCGCATCCACAGCCTTTTGGAAGCCCATGTCCATGATACGATCGGCCTCGTCCAGGACAAGCATCTGCAAGTTATTGGCGTCGAAGCCGGCTGTCTGATCCAAGTGCTGGAGCATGCGACCTGGCGTACAGACGAGAATGTTCATGCGCGACAGACGATCCGCTTCCTCCTTCAAGCTCTTACCACCAATAACGAGACCCGCTGAGAACTGGTGGTATCGGCCGATTTTGCGGAGCACCTCAAAGATCTGGACAGCCAGTTCGCGGGTGGGCGAGATGATGAGCGCACCGAGACCGTCGTACTCGGTCCATTGCGCGCGATGCAGCTTCTCCAGCACCGGGACCAAAAAGGCCAGTGTTTTACCGCTACCAGTCTTTGCCGCGCCGAGGATATCGCTGCCCTTGAGGGCCAGAGGAATCGCTTGTCCTTGGATTTCGGTCAAGGTCTGGAAGTGTGAAGCTTGGAGGCCCTTGGCGGTCGCTTTCGATAGGGGAAGGTCGGCAAAGTTCTTGATTGTTCCGGATTTGGGATCCTGTAGAATCATGTTAGCAACAATGGTAATGGTGTCGCACAGTCTCCGGCTGCAAACCACATACTAGCTCTTTGATGGCCTCTTCCAAGCTGGCGAGGTCGTCATGGTCTCGCTTCCTCTTCTGCAGCCTCAGGTCCGTCTTGCCAGATTTCACAACCTTGGGCGATCGGCCGCTATTCGATTTCGGAGTTGCGACCATGATTCACGAACCCAGCGGATGATGGTCGTGTGGCGATTGGTCCGTTGTGTGGTGGTTTGTCAAAATCGGCGTCAACCTCGCTTTTTTTTTCTGCCGCCCCCAAGAAACTTTTTTTCCGCCTGGCGGGCAGCCCCACCATTGCCACAAGCAGCGGCAGCATTCACCGAGCTGGGGGCCGTGTAAGTGAAGCACAACACATGAAAAAGGAAAAAGGAAAAATGTTTAAAAAGATCAACGAAGGCATGAGGCTCTTCAGTAGTATAATTGGCAGAATACGATAAAAATATTCCCGAAAATCAATGCTGAGCATCATCATGCTATCCTCCGTTCCCTTTTGGACCCAGCCGGTCATCCCCAAAACGCCGAAAACCAAAGTGCTTCTAGTAACAAAAAACAATGCAAACCAAAAGCTCGCTCATAAACAGCATCAAATCTATAACGCTACAATACATGCTCTCTCCCTCTCTCAAATCCCCGAAGACGCCTGGCCAAAGAGCCGCACTCTGTAGAAGCAGGTGTGGTCTTTGGCGCCGTAGTTGCTGATGGCGCGAATGATAACGTGGTCTGTCTCGACGCCGAGCTCGGCCAGCTCGTCGCTTAGCCGGTGGACTTGGACACCGCCTTCGGGCTGATGCTCCTCGTAGACAAACTGGCCGATCTTGACGAAGCGGTCCGGGAACTCGGCTGGCGCAAAGTTCCAGTCGGCAGTGTTGTCTGGGAAGCGTGCTGCGGAGAAGTCGCGGACACGATCACGGATATCAGCGTCAATGTCAGCGTAAACCTCAATCTCTCGTGGTCGGGCCGCAGCATCTACAGTAGCCTCTGCAACAATGTGCTCAACCACGATGTGCTGTGGTGTAATCCGATGGCCCATTTGTACGGCGAGAACTGCACCATGAGGGTTGCCACGACGATTGGTAGACCGTGTTGCGCACCAGCGCTCGCCTTCTTCCTGCCAAGCTTGAAGGGCTATGGTAGGATTGGGATGGCGATAGACCGCATAGCCCTTGTTAACTTGCTCCTTGGTGGGTGGCTTATCGGAAACGTAGACCGGCGACGTGTGTTGACCGTCAATGGAGGCACCAGCACCAGGAGAAAAGTAGTTGACCTGATGCTTCAGGACCTTGTCCCAGTGATTGTGAATCTTGTTCTTTGCAATGGAATCCAAGTTGATGCCAGCCATTGCCTTTTGGATCATGCCATGGACCATGGTCGTAATATCTCCTCGCTTGACGATTTCTGGCAGTTCCTGTTGGACAAGCTTCGCCGCACGCTTGACAACCTCGTCAATCTTGGGCAGCATCTCTGTGAGCTCAGCTCGGAGCTGTGTTCGCTGGCTCGCAAGTTCTTGGCCCAGGTGGCGCAGGAACTCGTCTTTGGAAACCACATTTTGCGCATCCTGCGCGATGCTCTCCTTGACAATCTGCTTGAGCCTCTTGTCAAATTCCTTTTGCGATCCCGCAGCTTGGATTTGGTCCAGCGCGGAACCAAGCAACTTGGCAATCTTGTCGTCGTTGGCCTTCATCCAAGTCTCTAATTGTACAGGGAGATTGCTATTGATGCGGTTTTCCACAGTCTTCACGCTCTCATCCATGACATCAATAATGGCCTTATCTTTGGCGACATTGGCGGCGATGGCCTTGATCTGCTGCTCTGAGCGAATCTCAAAATTGTTGCCCTTTTTGTTGAGAGTGAAGAAGGTGTCGTCAGCCCGGAGTAGTTCGCGAAGCGCGTGCCAGAATTCTTCGGATATAACAAGCTTGCCATTCTTCACATCCACATGGATCACCTTTGGCAAGATTGCTCCCAGCTTCTTTAGAGAAGCGTCATGTACCTTGGCGGCTTGCTTGAGCGTCTCCGTATCCTGTTCATATCTATGCATGTAGTCCAGAATATTGGAGGTATCAGCCCCGTCAAGATTCCAGCGATCAGGCAGACCGTTGTATGTCTTCCATCCTGGCCACGGGATTGTCGGTACAAGAGAGCCGACTCGGTGGACAAGCCGTGATGCATCCTTTAGTCCTCGCTCCGGTATCGAAAGCCAGCTGTGCTCCTCATGGGGACCTTGGAACAACGCTTGGATGATACCGCTGATGGTCAACGCCGTCACAAGCAGAGCCGCGCCGTATAGGGCCTTGGCGAGAAGACATTTAAGCTGCTCCTGCAGTTTCGGTGGGAATAGCATGATTGCAATATCCTGTAACGTTTCGAAGAAAGTATTCAACGCCCATACCAGAGCCTTAAAATATGTATAGGGGTTGAGGAGCTGCCACCATTTGAAGTCATCTTCATTAGTTTCGGCTTGCTCCCCTTCTTCAGCGACGTTGCCATGCGTGTTGGTCAACGATTGCAGCCATGCAAACGAAAAAAAATCCAAGAACGTTGATGATGACACTTCATCATCTGCCTCCTCATCGGAGGCAGCTTCGGAGGAGCTCTCCTGGCTGCGCCTCTCGTTTTCGCTCTCCGATCTTTCAATATCTTCTTGCAGCTCATCATCTTGGGTGCTATAATCCGACTGACGCTGTTGCACGGAACTACGATGCTGGGCAGGGTTCCCGACGTCGGTCTTTGTTATGCGCTCGCTAGTATCAGGTGTGAGAGAAAACCAGCTCGACTTTGACCGTGGGAGGCGGCCGTTCCCACTCCTTAAAATGAGAGGACCTCTAGCGGCTGAAATTTGAGCCATCGGTCCAGAAAATGTATTGTCACCAGGGTCATACCTCCTTCGTGGACGTGGGTTTGGATTTGATATAGTGGTCGTAAGCGCCTCTTCTTCTTCGCCGGATGATTCCGAGTCATCATCATATGTTGCCCTGTCATGCGTAGGGTCCTCATACGCGGACTCACCGCTTCTCCTGGTGTTTTGGGCAGGCCCTGCTCTGTTTGGTCGGTTGTTATTGGGGGTTGGGCGAGCTGACTCTGGACGGGCGCCTGCCATGGAAGCAATGGTGGCATCGTCAAATACGTCGCTCTCCATGTCAAAACTGCGGGCGTCATCGTCATCATGGGTAGAACTTTCTTGTCCTGAAGGGTGCAAGCGAGGTACGTTTCCTATCCTGCTTGTTGTAGTTGTTGTGCGTTCTGCAGCTTCGGTTTCTGCCTTTCTTCTTGCTGCTTCTTGGACCGCAGGTGCACGACCTGCCATTGGGAATACTCTGTTAAGTTCTTCTTCTTCCCTCTCCAGTTGCTCGCGCTGCCGTTGACGCGCATTTCTGACGGCGGCCGCTAGATCAATCTGCCCCCCCTCTGCTCCGTAGGCAGGTGGTCTTGGTGGCGGTTCTACAGCGGCGCCGTAGCTATATGCTCTGCGGGCGCTGGGTGCTGCGCGCAAGACTGGCAAATCGGGCTGCGCAGCTCTCTGTTGTCCATCTTCGTTTTGATTGGCTATTATCTGTGATCCTCGTGACGTCCGGCCTTGTTGGCGTTGCTGACGCTGCTGGGCTTGCTCGGCGCGCTGTGCAGCCATAGCATCTTCCTGGAAGCGGAGGAGGGCGCCGCCTTTGCGGTTACTTGTTCTTGGTGCCATCTCGAATTGGTATGAATCGTGTGAGGTGAGGTGAGGTGAGGTGAGGGAGGCGATGTGGGAGGGTAAGCTGTAGTAGTCTTTTTAGAGCTCCAGCGGTGTTACAAAAGATTTTGCGAAAACCTGAAGAAGGAAACCAAGTTTGTTCGAGAAGCGTCAGTACTTATGAAGCATCTGTCACTATGTCGTTCTGCGGGCGGACAAGATGATACCGGCGCAAGCAACGAAGGCCAGGAGACCTGGATCTGCAGGCGACGGCGACCTCAAAGCGGAAACGGTGCCCGTATCTGTTGGGATTTCTCTTTGTACTATTGTTGATCACGTTGAGAATGCTGCTCGACTGACTCTTTCGAGCGGGCAAACATTGTCGTGGCTCAAAGAGCAGCCAATGGTGAGAGGCCTAGGTGAAGCTGTCCAAAGGTGGTGATGGTGTTGAGGACCCGCTGGACTCGACGTGTTTGCCTTGGGGTGCGCGCTGTTCTTTTGGTGGGAAGCTGGAATGGGAAATGCCGAGTTGGTTGCTGACAAAAATAGCGTTTCCGGGCGGTGGGATTGCTTTGCGCCGAGTGCAATTTTGTTGGCTTTGTTCCAAAGAGAAGCTTCTATTCAGCCAAAGGTGTTGTTGTCCAGCGAAACGCGCCTCGGTGGCGGCGGGCGCTGGCAGTTCGCGCCCGGCCGCTGAAGTGGGCGCGCACACGCTACGGTGTGGCTAGAAACGGTGGCACGTGACTGGAATGGACAGGCTCGCTCACTTACACCTCACATTTGGACGTGGACTTGCGAATGCACCAATCGGGTTTCATAAAGCAAATAAAATAAAAAGCGCCGTGTTCAAATTTAAGAGTCAACTGAACGAGTGTCCGTTCTTCCTCATTTGACAAAACAACGGATAGTACAGGTGGCTATGTCGTCTATTCCTGATGCGATCTAACGATATTTTACGTGGGTTACCACTAGCTACACTTTATGGAGGAAGCTATATATACCACGACATTGTATATTCCTTCTTAGCATTGTATACACTACAATTCACGGTGCATTCGCTGTACCATCTGTCAAAAGCTGTTGGCGGTGTACTAAGAACCACATAACTGCACTGTGAAGGCCACTCAAGCCGATCAATCGTCAACTCCTAGTTGACATTAGCGTCCTGGCCTATGAGTAGTTACGTTACATGCACATCCCAACCATCATAAGAAACCTCGCCTTGCTTTTTTGGTCCGTGATACGAGGCTGAGAAGGCGCAGCAGTTGTGTTGTGCGGGGTTGTGACCGCTTAGCTTAAATACAAGCCTATCGCGACAAACAGTCCGTGAAGTTTCCATTTTCCCCTTTGGATTGAAATATATTTTTAATACATTTCTGATGACTGTTACGACTCCTCAGCACGTGGGGGATACTGTGCCTATTTCTGGCGGATTGCAGATCCTGACAAAGCGCACAGTACCTCTTCCACTAGAGGTCGTGCAGCCTGATCCGACTTGGCCCGCCCAGTTCGCGGGAATAAAAGCTGAGGTTGAAGTAGCACTAGGTTCGGAACTACTAGACATAGTCCATGTCGGTTCCACCAGTGTCCCTGATCTGCCCGCTAAGCCTGTCATTGACATCGACGTCACTGTGGCCAACATTGAGGAAGAGTCTACCTACGCGCCAGCCTTCGAGGCAGCTGGTTTCCAATTTATACTTCGCGACCCGAGCTGGAACCAGCACCGCTTGTTCTACAGTTATGACCCACCAGCCAACTTGCATGTCTTTGGGCCCGATAGCAAGGAGCTGATTCGTCATGCAGCATTCCGCGACTGGCTGTTGACACATCCTGAGGATAGGGAGACATATGCAAAAATCAAAATAGAGGCCTCCAAGGCAGCTATTGCAAACGGGGAAGATGTGAATCAATATAATGACAGAAAATCTCCTGGTTTACAAGAGATTTTGGTTCGTGCTCTGGCTGCCGTAGGTCACACGCTGGAGTCAACCTATGGCCGACAGCGAAAGTGATGAGCCAAGGCACGCTTTGAGATGATATATAAACTAGGGGCCTTAGTTAAATCGTACCGCAACATTTCTAGCCTAGGTTTAGATATTTCAACGTATTTAATTTGTTTCTATCCAAGTCTTGTCCCCCTATATACTATAAAGGACTCGGGCGTCTAGTCTCGCTTTAATCCTATTTTGCCGCTTTTGCGTAATCCCAACCCCCCAATGGCAGCACTCACAACCATAAAAGCAAACATGGTCCAGAAGCTCGCACGATAACCCTCAAGGAGAGCTTCTGAAGGCCGTACCTGCAATTTGCCTCTGGTTACAGCTGTCGATATCACTTGCATGATAGCCAGTCCCAAAGAGGTTCCGAATTGTGATGCCGTATTGAAAACAGCCCCAGCGATGGACTGCTTGTCTTCTGGAAACGCTGCCGTCACAATAATTAGACCAACGGTGAGTAGTACATCAACGGAAAATGGCATCAAAATTTGCGCGAAAAATGCGCTTGTCCAGTAGGGCCACTCGACTTGTATAAGTGCCATGAGTAGTGGGGAGCCTGATGATACGAGAGAGGTGATGACGACGAGCCAAACCACAGGTACCCTGTGTACAGCCATTCCCGTCGTGAAATTCAGGATAACTCCTACTAACACGCTTGGTAGGATACGGATTGCGGCCTGAATTGCTGTCAAGTGTTGAATCTCTTGGAAACTAAATATGGGTGAGCGGCGACGCACGTGGGTGTCGGTATCATGTTTCACTTACAACAAGCTGGCGAAAAGCTCAAGAGAGTTGAGCACTGCAAACGAAAGTGACGTAGCAGCGCAAATACTCGTGAAAGAGGCATTGCGCCAGAGACTATTTGGAATTAAAGCTGGTTTGTTGTGGGCAGTCTGGCGACGCATCCATAATATGAAAAACGGAAGCGCCGCGCCGCCAATACAAACAATAGCAATGCTTGCTGGCTCCTTGGCACGATATACATCTGTGCTGATGATTCTGTAATTTCATTAGCAGGGTACTCTAAAACAAAACAATGGAGGTACTTACGCCAAGAAATAGGATACTAGAGCCATGAACGCTGACGCCAACAGTGCCCCTACCCAGTCTACCCTACTCGACAGATCGCGGCGCAAGGTCTTCCACGACTCGAACTTTGCTGGATTGGGTAATGACCAAAATCCCACTGTAGAGGCCGTCAGTGTTATAGCTCCGTATAAATACCAACCGAATCGCCATCCAGCAGTATCGACCAAGATGCCGCCCACAACGAGCCCAAACGAGAAACCCAGTACTTGGCTCATACCAAGGCATGCAAACGACAAGTTGCGACCCTTACCGGGCGTATAGACACTGGAAACAAGCGCAACCGAGCTCGATAAATGCATGGCTAGTGCAACACCGCTAAGAGCTCTAAAAATGACAAGGTCCTGACCATGCCTGGCTAGACCACAGGCGACCATGAGAAATCCATTGAAAATACATCCGGTAAGATTCATTGTCTTTGGTCCGATTACGTCACCGATAGCTCCGGCAAGCAAGAGTGTAGATGCTGTAGCCAATCCAGGGACAGATGAAGGCCAGAATGCAAGCGAGGGCGGTAGAGCAAGATCAGAGGTCATCTGGGGTAGGCCGACAACCGTGAGCCCCTTGGTAGCATTCCATGCAAAGTTGATACAAGCTAGCTGAAATGTCACAGTAGCTTTGCGCAAAAGTGATACTGATTCAGTCCCGTCATTTTCAGCGCCATTATTTTGACAAGTTGTGTTTTCTGGAGGTATTGGTGATCTCCGAGCAACTCGGCCGAGGTTCTTGAGCTCAGTCTCCACGACGGCGGCGGTCATACTGTGTAGGTACAAGATGCCGCTTATGATGTCGCAGATAAATTATATGATAGAAATGGATCCCCTACGCGAAAAAGGAAAGTAGAAAGCACGATTGAGAATAAGTTGATGGTGAGGGGTAAATTTGTGTTTGGAAATGAAAAAGGAAAGCGCCGAGCTTGATGACGACAGACACACCGACAGCCTTGTCGACCCTCCACAATCCCCACGATACGTCAGTTGGAGAAGTGGAGAGACTTTATTTATTTGCCAAGTTTTTACAGTGGGCATAACATGTAACCAATTTGTAACGAGGCACAATGTCTATGATGATTTTACTATTAAATATTTACAATTGTTGTACAGATGAGGTGCTCTCCTAGGCAGCCACCTTGCCGTCAAGATTCGTGACAATTAAAAAGAGAATCTTGCGGAATCCCTTCTCCTCCTTATCATCCTTGAGACGCTCCTTTTCCGCACGACCCAGCTTAGAATCATGCTCCTTCTCTAGCTTCTCGCGCTTCTTTTCGACCTTTCGCATATCTTCATCTCTCTTCTTATCGCTTCTACGATTCTGTGCTCGCTCCTCCTCCTTCTCAAGCTCCTGCATCTTTTCTTCATATTTCTTATTGGCCTTTTCCACATCCTTATTCCAGCCCTTTTGCGCCTTGGCGCGATCCTTCATCATCTTCTTCTCGCCCTGCTTGCGGTTTCTCTCGCTGACTGCAGCGTGCATTCTGCTCAGAGGATTCGAGCCCTGCGCCAGCTCAGGCAGGTTTTCAATGTCGAGATGCTCAATATATCCTTCCAAAGCGCGAATGCGTCGCTCTTGAGCGGACATGGTACCGCATTCTTCATCGTCGTCGAATGGGCGCATCAGCGGGGCCTTTTTGTCGACTTTGCCGTCTGGTGTTAGGATGGGCATTTTGGTGATGGAAGCGACGGCGTTTAATTGGGCGACTTGCACTTTGAGGCCGCGGGGACCGAAAAGCTCCTTGTTCATGTCTCGCAGACATAGCTCTGTCGCACCCTTGGAAACGACACCGGTGGTGATCTTGGCAGCGACTTCTACGGAAGTGCCGACAATCTGGGCGGTATGGCTGGGTACCATGCCCACAATGTTGCCGACTAGGCCGAGAATCTGCAGTGGAGGTGATGCCACTGCTACGCGGTTGAGCTTGTCGATAAATCCCAGAAACTCTTCGCGGGTGATCCCGAGCCCTGAGAGAGCTGGCGCATAGGCGCGGAGGAAGGGAGAGCCAAGTGCGGCATCGGTGGCGGGGATAACGATGGCTTTTCTTAATTGACCGGGCGATACAACAGATGAAGGGGGTGTTTGAAAGCTAGACTGGCTGGGCGATGCGAATCCTGCTGCTGTGTATGAACTTTGTGGTGAGTGCTGTGCTTGTGTGTTGCGAGAGACTGCTCGTGATGATGATGGTGATGGGCCATCGTATGGTGGCGGCGCACCGTAGGCTGCGTACTGGGCGGCAGGTGATGGAGGTTTCTCAGACTTGGTGTAAGAAGTATACGGGTTTGTAGGTGCGAGGTATTGCTGCTGCGGCTGTTGTTGCGGAGCGTATTCATATAATTGATGTGATGGCTGGGGTGAAGGTGTTTGTTGTGTCTGATAGTATTGGGCCTGTTGTTGGAGGTGTTGGAGGTGTTGGTGGTGGTGATACTCGCGCTGCTGGTGGTCAACAGGCTGCTGGTGGTCAACAGGCTGCTGGTAGTAGTTCGGAGTTGGGTACGGCGGCTGTGGGTAAGGGGCAGCTTCGTGGTTTCGCGATCTCGGCCGCATCTCCATCTGTGCTGTCCATGGCTGAGGCGGCGCATTCTGGTAGGGCTGCTGGTGATGGTGCTGCGCGGGCTCTGGCATATCGTATTGGGTCGGGCCGTAGTGGCGGGAGCTAGGAGCAGCGTAGTCCATACTTTGTGTTAATTGCACTGTTATTAGATACGTGGTCAAGCGAAGTAAAGTAAGAGAAGGGAAAAAATAAAAGGAAATTGGTGATGCTGCTGCTTCTAGAATAAAACGAAAAAGTGTCAAGATCATAACAGGCTGCCGATACACTCGACTATATAAGTTATTTTCCCATTTCCCCCTCGTCCCGCGTCAAGCTCATGCAAAATATCAGCTCTACTTTTTTTTAAGCCTATTTGGGAAAAATACACTACAGAAACGCTACGGGTCGGCATATCGTGCCGGACTTCCGCATTAGGAACGCCAATGCGAGAAGCTTCGGGCCTCTCATTGGTGCAAAATGGCACTCAGCGTTGAACCTCGCGCTAACCCCACCGAAGCAGCTGTCTGTAAAGGAGCCGCAGCAGGAAAAGCAAATCGAAGGGCGGCCCCAATGCTATCTATTTTCAGGGATTTACAGGGCTGGCTCAGGCTGACAAGTTCAGTCACTGGCTACTGTTGTGACCCGGCGGCGTTCCCGACTGTAACTGAAGCCCTACCCTCCCTATACCCCCTGTACTCACCGACCCCAATCGTATGAATGACGCAGGGGACTACGACGACAAGGCAGTGCATGCATGAGTAGGTTAGTTAGGCTGATGTTGGCTTATTCTAGATGTGCCGCCATCTGCTGTAAGCACTCACTGCCGAAGATGGTTCCTCTGCTTCTCAATTCGCTGCAATGGCCCGTATTCGCCCCAGCCTTACAGAACGCTAGAAGCAATCTCTCAGTGGATCTTTTGCCTGCTGCAGCTCGTGTTCTCCAGGCGGTCCACCCCGCTGTCGGTCGACCGTCTTTCTCTTTCCCCAGCGCCTGACTGCCCTACCATCGCCCGCTGACGCCCGTCTTTTTGTCCCCCACCGCTGCACGCATACGCAATTGGCAACGCAAAAAGAGCTGCGCTCGACTCATCTTGCCTCGTCTGCCGCTAGCGCGGCTTCTAGCGTTGCATCAATTCTCTTTTCTAGAAGCTAGTGCTCTTTTCTCCTTCTCTCGTTTGCATATGGAAAGAGAGACGTGCCCCGTGCATTGGTATCTGTCCGCGGGCTCATCGGCACGCTTCTTTCAAAAGTCAACACAGCGCCACACCCTCTCACCGTCACACTCCTTCACTCAAATCGGTATCAAATAATCGCCGACAAGACTTTTCTATACTGAAACACACCATATTCTGTCGCCATGGCGACTCAAGAGGCAGTCTTTCTAACCGAGTTCTCCGCTACCGGGGCCAAGCCTGGAGCCATCCGTGGTCACCGCAGCAAGGGTTGCATTACCTGCCGGCGGCGCAAGGTCAAATGCGGTATGCATGAATGGGTCATGGAATAAAACACTGGCGAAACTAAATGATGCTATAGACGAACGACGCCCTACATGCTTGCGATGCGAAAAGGGCTTTCACAAGTGCCAGGGCTACGATAAGCCCTTGGTCTTTGTAGCTCAAGAATTTTCTACGCCCAGCTCTACATCCTCGACATCTCCTCCCAGTGTCCCACGCTCGAATAAACGACAAACAACGCCATCCTCACAGTCAAGCAAATCTAGCCCAAGGACGGCACTCTCTGACGAAGAATGGGCCATCATGCTCCCGATAAAGAAGAAAATGTCCCCGGCTAGACGGGTCTGCCAAACAGTGCCGCTGAATGCGTTCAAGGATGAGATTGTTATATGCCATTTATTGGAAAAGTTTAGCATCGGCCTAGGGCCATCCATGGCAGGAGTCACGGATGCGCCGACAATGGCGAGCGTGTTAACGAGCCACAACGCAAACTCCAATGCATATATTTCTGGCCTGGGCTTGGCCGAAGCATTTTTCGGTCACGTACAAAAAGTGGATGGCATGACAGAGCATGCCTCAGAGCTTTACGGACAGGCGTTGCGCAATTTACGAGACGACTTGCAACTGACTGATCAAAAAGTCGCCCGGTCTCGAGCGTACATGAACCTCTGGAGCTGTGTATTTCTAGGACTCTACGAAATCGTTGCTGCGTCGGGTCAATCAAGTTGGATGCAGCACAGCAAGGGCATGGGAATTCTTGTAAGTCGTCCCGATATCGACGTTTCCCTAGCACAATGCTAACACTTTTACAGACCGAACTGCTTGGCCCGAGCAACTTCCAAAGTCCCGTAGCAAACACGATTCTGGATATGAATCGAAGCTTCATTGTATGTCTAGCCTGCTTGGCGCATTATGATCTGTACTAACATATTATAGGCTACAAGTTATATCGTTGAGCGAAAACACTGTTTTCTCGGCCGGCCCGAGTGGCAAACCGTACCGTGGGAACGCTGGACACGACCACGGACGATAATATCACGAACGACAGATATACTATGCGACGTGCCTGGACTAATGGAGGACGCTGACGCCATTATCCAAGCCGAGGAGCAAGGGCTGAATACCGAGGCAGACAAACTCTTGTTACAGGACAACTTGCTCCAGCGCATCCAGCGGCTGGCCGATCTCGTATGGCAATGGGATCTGTCGAACCCTCTTGCATGCTGGGAGGCACCTATTGATTCATCCACGTCTTTCTCGTTAGACGAATCTGGCCAGCCTCTGTTTGACACCGTCTATCACTTTGACGATGTGGAGCGGGCCATTGACGTCCTCAACCTCAACGTTGTACGCCTGCTGCTGTACGGCGCGTGCGACAAGGCAGGCCTACTGGACAGCTATGTTTCCACCATTGTGGGATCACAGTACGACGGGCCACACGCAAACCCGCTGCTACTACCTGGACAAGGAGACAGAATCTCGCATTCGCTGGAAATATGCCTCTGCGTAGACTTTCTCCTATCCAACCCCAGGCAGAGCCGTGGCGCATTGGTGCTGCTGTTTCCGCTGCGTGTGGCTTGGACGTATCTAGGACCGCTACCGGCGGTATCGCGGTGGGTAGGAAAGGTGCTCATGCAGCTGTCTACTTCGCAGGGCTTGCGGATTGGCGAGCATGTATTGGATATTGATTCCAGGTAATATTAATAGCTGAGGTGCGTCACGGCGGGGGGCTGGTCTACTGAAGTGTGTATATAACCAGACTGCCATCTCATGCCATATGATTTGTACATATACATACCCTCCTTTGCAACAGAGAATTTGTGAAATATTATAGACATTTATGATGAATTGTTATAACTTTTTTTCAATTTTTGGCGTCCCCCACGTGGCGTACCTGAAAGCTAAAATGGCGTAGGTGCTGAGTGACGGTGGGTGGCTGCGCTGGCTGGATGGCTGGCTCTCCACCGCCACGTCGGGTTTTTAGGCGGACAAATAGGTTTGCCCCTCCTTTTTTTGCAGTTTGCTGGCTGTGACGCTACTACAACTGGCAGCGATTCGCAGATCGTCACGACGCCCTTGAAGCAATTTCCTCTGTCTCCCAAGTATTTTTCTCCTCTGCCCCTCCCACCGCCTCTTTTTTGCGTCCTTTTTTTTCTTCTCTTTTCCAAACAACTTCACATCAATCCCGCCCAAAATGCCTGTTGGTACTGTTCTCATCACCGGGTACGTGCTGCTACCCCTCCATCCAACCCCTCCTTGACCGTTAACCTAGCTAACCATGACACTAGAGGAACCGGCTACATTGGCTCCTTCACCACCCTCGCCCTTCTCGACGGCGGCTACGACGTCGTGATTGTCGACAATCTCTACAACTCGTTTGAGAATGTCGTCGACCGCATCGAGAAGCTGTCTGGCCGCCGCCCAGCCTTCTACAACGTCGACATTTGCGACGAAAAGGCCCTCGATGTCGTCTTTGACAAGCACCCCGAGATTGACAGCGTCATTCACTTTGCCGCCCTCAAGGTTTGTGTCCTTCTACTAGCGAAATAATTCATGTGTGCTAATTCAGTGTCTAGGCTGTTGGCGAGTCTGCCGAGATTCCCCTAGAGTACTACCGCGTCAACGTCGGCGGCAGCATCTCGCTCCTGCGTTCCATGACCAGCCACAACGTCAGCAACATTGTCTTCTCCTCGTCTGCTACCGTCTACGGCGACGCCACCCGCTTCCCCAACATGATCCCCATCCCCGAGAACTGCCCCATCGGCCCTACCAACACCTACGGCCGCACAAAGTCCTCCATTGAGGACGTCATTACCGACCACGTCAACGCCCAGCGCAACAACCTCCAAAAGGCCGGCAAACCCTTTGAGCAGTGGAACGGTGCTCTGCTCCGCTACTTCAACCCTTGCGGTGCTCACCCTAGCGGTATTATGGGCGAGGACCCCCAGGGTGTTCCTTACAACTTGCTGCCTCTGCTTGCTCAGGTTGCCACTGGCAAGCGTGAGAAGCTTCTTGTTTTCGGCGACGGTGAGTGTCTTTTGTTTTCTCGCTGTTGTCCAATTGCTAATTGATCCTCTTTAGACTACACTTCCCGCGACGGCACTGCCATCCGTGACTACATTCACGTCCTCGATCTCGCCAAGGGCCACTTGGCTGCCCTCAACTACCTCCGCGAGAAGAAGCCCGGTGTCAAGGCGTGGAACCTTGGCTCTGGCCGCGGCAGCACCGTCTTCGAGATTGTCAAGGCTTTCTCGTCTGCTGTCGGCCGCGACCTCGCCTACGAAGTCGTTGCCCGCCGCCAGGGTGATGTGCTCGATCTGACTGCCAACCCTACCCTCGCCAACCAGGAGCTCAACTGGAAGACGGAGCTCACCATGGAGAAGGCCTGTGAGGACCTCTGGCGCTGGGCCAACAATAACCCCCAGGGTTACCGCCAGGAACCCCCTGCTGAGCTCATGAACGCTGTCGTCACCCCCAAGGTCTAAGCGCCGAATGTGGTGTGCAGCTTTTATGTCAACCAAAATTTGAAGGAATGGATATTGAGGATACATTGAGAGCTGCAAGCAACGCTCCAAGCATAATTGATAGATACAGCACACATGATAGAACGATAAGTTAGGCATTGAGCATCCAAAAATGAAGCGATAATTAATATTTTATTTATTTTTCATGCATTACATCATTTTACAACTTGAGCACCAGCTTGCCGGTGGTCTTGCGGCTCTCAATGTCGGTATGAGCACGACCAGCATCAGCGAGGGGATACACATCGTGGATGCTAACAACGATGCCCTTGTTCTTAATCATGTCGAAGAGTTCAGTCGTGTACTGCTCAAGCTCCTCGCGCTCAACAAGGTAGTTGTTGACGACGGGGCGCATGAGACGGACGTTCTTGGGGGCCAGACGGAGCAGCGCGACGCCCTCGACAGCACCAGACTAGACGCACCAGTTAGCACCAACCTCTTTTTAATAGTAGTAGCGTATGTACTTACAGCATTGCCGAACGAAATCAAGTTACCCTTGCGAGCAATCATCTCCAAGTCCAAATCAAACGTCGACTTGCCAATACCATCAAAGATGGCATCCACACCATGCCCATTCGTAATCTTCTTCACCTCGGCCGCCACATCATCCGTCGACTTGACAGTGTAATCCGCACCAAGCTTCTTCGCAAGCGCCAGCTTCTCATCCGTACTCGCCGACGCAATCACCTTGGCGCCAATCGCATGCAGCATCTGCACAAGCAGCGAGCCGCAGCCTCCCGCAGCCGCATGCACAAACGCCCACTGGCCAGGCTGAACATTGGCAGCCTCGCGGATAAACGTCCACGCCGTAAGGCCCTGGAGATAGCCGGCGGCAGCCACCTCGGTCGAGACGCCATCGGGGATCGAGATCACATTGCTGGCATTCACGGCCGTGTACTCGGCATACGCGTTGCCCTCCATGTAGACGGCCTTGGAGCCGACGGGGAACTTGGCGGCCGCGGCGCCCGTGGCGGCAATGACTTCGCCGGCGGCTTCGCGGCCCAGACGGAGCGGGAACTGCGGTGCCTTGTACAGGCCGCTGCGGAAGTATGTGTCGATGAAGTTGACGCCGGCGAATTCGTTGCGGATGAGGACCTGGTTGTCGGCGAGGGTGGGCACGGGGACGTCCTTGTGCTCGAGGACTTCGATGCCGCCGTTCTGGGCGATCTCGATGGCCTTCATGGTAGCGGGGAGGGGAGCCATGTTATTAGCGAATTGGCGACGATTAGTGGTGTTGTTGGTGATGATTGGGTAAGAAGTGAAGGTTGGACGGGGGAGGGGAGCAGTGACGACGATGCGGGGTGATGTAGTGCGGGGAATGAGACGGTGCAGGAGAGCAGTGTGTCGAAGCGCCATGTAGTTTTTGGGGGCGATTAAGAGTGTGCGGGAGGGGAGGTGGGCGGTATTTATTCTTGGATAAAATTTAGGGGGGAGTTTCTTTACGCCGGAAGATTATGATAGGAATTGTGCTACAAAGGTGCAATTGGGTTGATTTATAATGCGTGCATATACCTGTTCCTGGGTAGGTGGGGGTGGAGGGGCATTTCATATTGCCGCGCCCTTGGCTCCGATGCTTTTGACATTGTCTTTTTGCATCCGATTAACTCGATTAGGAAATCACAGCTACTGTTTGTTACAAGATGCTTATTATGAGGTGAATGGTGTTATTTAAATCTGACGTCTTTATTAACAGTGGAGAGGCACACAAACCTCATTCTCTCGTGAGAAGAGACAAACGAACAATAACCGCCTCATCCTCAACTTTCATCAGCGTCATCTTCAACATGCAGCCCTAGCCTTCTACGAACATCTCGAACTTGGTCCCATGTCGTCAAAACGTCAGTACCGTCTAAAAATTCGGCATATCGAAAGTCGCCGCACAAAGGATAATAGCAAGCGGCATCCTCCCCGTCGTCCGTGGCAAAGATTTCCAGATTGTCCATAAATGAGTCCAAGTACGCGTAGACTTCACCTCCATCTTCATGCCGGAAAAAGTCGGTCTTAAAGTCCGACTGCAAATGCCGCCGTAGAAAGAAATGGAACAATTTGAACAGCAAAGGAGCAACATAGACGATCTCATCGTCAAGCTCATAATAGATGTCAAAGTTGACCAAACTCTTCCACAGACCATCACCAATCATATCACCTTTACCCCCTGGAGAGTATGCATCGACATGTATCCTCGGCACAGGCACCGAGTCTTGACCTGCCGTGTGCATGGATAAAGCCATTCTGGCAGCACCAAACCAGCCAAATGGTGCGAGTAGACTATAAGTGCCGGTCTCAGCCTGATCATCTGGGCGTGTATCCCAACACCACCCCATATCTAGCATTTTACGGCAGACCCAAAACGTACGCACGAGCTCGAGAGCGACAAGATGGGCGTCTGCGTGCGTGTATTCGTCCCCGCTCAGTTTGACAGGGCAAGGGGATGGTAGGTCCCAATCCTCATAATATTCTGGCTCCCAATTTTGTTGATTTCTTGCTTGGCATCCTTTACCGTAGCCAATTCCCAGTGTAAAACTCCGCTCCATATCCTCCCGTAGGGCGCCTTGAGATAGAATATTGTCCAGCAGCCAGTCGCCAAGGGTCCCAAACAGCTCATGGTTGTCCTTTGCGCTAGTCTTGTCCTTATAAGCTGGATATTGTTCAAGGAAATCCAACTGGCGGTGCGATAAGCGCTCTGCGCTTAAAATCGCCTGTATTTCTGCGTCTGAGCTTCTTAATGCCTCCATAACAGGCTCCATGTAGATACCCGCTAGGCTAGATGAGACGATGAAGCTGCGGTAAATAGCTCTATGTATAGCTGGCTGACGATCTGTCAAGTCCTTGCGCATGCTGTCGTCGAAGTAGTAATCATTGTTGTCCCTCGTCAAGCGAGCTGCGATGGCCAAAGCGAGCTCATGGGCGTCATACAATGCTACCAGCTCTGTTCCATTGGGAGAGCGATGCTCACTCTCCAACTGCGTTAATTGGATATCCTTGGGAGGTGAGCAAGAGGCATCCTCTGCGTCGGCAACGACTTGGCCGGCGCGTATCTGAGCCTGTTAGCACATCTGTGACGCGAGTTTTGGCAAGCGACCACACTTACAGCAACTAGTGCCAACTCTGCCGCAGGCAGTTCGTCTTGTATGAGGTTCCATGCACACCGGAGCCCGGCACCGCCATCTTCCCATGCACCTCTCATATGCTTGCATGTCAGTGCAAAGGCGAGGACGTCAGCCTTGGTGGTGCTATAAGATAGAATTTCAACCAGAAGCTCGGCCGGTGCAGACGCTGACATAAAGTCCGCCATTGACAAGTAGAAAGCAATACGCAATGTATTAATTTGAAGCCGGCTTGATTGGGAGATGAACGGGGTTGGAGGACATGGAAATGTGCGCAGGCCCTCAGCCGTGAAGTTCGGCTGCCTGTTGACATTGCGGGTCTACCTATTTTGACCGATTGCTTTGTGGTGGCGTTTAAATTAACGCCGCTCACATTGTAGCCTGATAGATGCTGTTCGTGGGGTTCGCGTCATGTTGAGCGACCACGCGGATCTCAATGCAGGGTACTTTAGTGGACAATGGTGTTAGGACGGTTCAATGAACAAGATTGGCGAATTAAAAAGAAGAGAAAATAATAGTAAAATGTTCTCAAGTAAACCTCTACTAGTACAATTCTTAGACTTTTATTGGGAAATTGAGGCAAGCTGCGATTAATCAGAACTGGTTGTCATCCGCATGACGCCTCGCGTGTACCGTCTGGGACGCCTACCTAAGCGTACAGAAATACTTGACTTTTATATACTGTTAAATTGTGTAAATATTTTATTGTTAATGTTGAAGCACAATTAATCTTTGAACGTGTTAACACAGAAACTCGCAAATTGCTTTGACGACATCATCTGGCCTCTCCTCTGGCACATAATGCCCAGATTCCACCGCATAACCCTCCACCTTGATGGAAGCATCGCTAACAGCCTGCCACTCCTTGACGGCATCAAACATGGCCTCAATAACACCCTTCTTTCCCCAAATAACACGCAATGGACACTTTATCAGTCTACCATTCTTCAAGTCCTCGCGAGACTCTTCCATATCCACCGTTGCTGCCGCCCTATAGTCATTACACATGGCATGTACCGTTGGCTCGTCTCGAAGCGCAGCAGAGTAAATCTGGAAGCACTCTTCCGTAAAGATGGTGAGCGAGTCTCCCTGACGGGCACCAAAGTACAACTCTGAGAATTTCTGCCCGGCGCCAAGAATAGCAAGCTCGGGCATGGGCGCCGCCTGGATGAGGAAGAACCAGTGAAAGTACGCCTTTGCAAAGTCCAAGTTGGTCGCTTCGTACATGGCCAATGTCGGGCAAATATCCAACAGAATGGCGGCCTTGACTCGGGTAGGGTGGTCAACACACAACTTGTGAGCGACGCGAGCACCACGGTCATGCGCGCAGACGTAGAATTGCTCGTCTTTGTAGCCGAGCTTGTCCATGAGTACCACCATGTCCCGAGCCATGGCACTCTTGGCGTATGCCTCGACGCCGTCTGGCTTGGAGGAGCTGCCGTATCCGCGAATATCAGGGATAATCACATTGTACTTGTCGACAAGCTGTGGCGCAACGGTGTGCCACATGTGGTATGTCTGCGGGAAGCCATGGAGCAGCAGCAGCGGCGGCAGAGACGATTCAGCGCTTTGGACGCCGGCGATGGTGACGCTCGGCGACTCTTGTGTGACTACAGAAAATGGGATGAAGCCTTCCAACATGACGAATTGCGGCTGCTATTATCTCTGATGAGGTTGCTGATGATGTTGCAGCGGCTAAGAAGGTGGGGTTGTGCGTTGTAGTGTAGAAGAAGCCGAGGATGCCGCCACTACGCCGAGCATCATGATTTCCTGTTTTGGCTGCCGTGTATACACCATATGAATTTTGGTGTGTCTGACAGCTGAGAATAGGCGCTGTGGCTGCCTGCTTCGCTTGCGCTTGGATGGCATGCAATCAGGCTCTGTCACTGCGCCACTATGCACGTTGCCCTCTGGACTCGGTATTTATTTCATCTCCTTCGCGTGCTAACTCCGATCTTGTCACGGCAAATCATAGGATCGTGTACAAAATGGAGCACTCGGAAAAGAAGTCGATAAGTGACTATACTACAGATGACGACGAAAGCGCGTGTCTCAAGAAAGAGGCTGCCGGCGAGGGCGCTGAGTCGTCGGGCGGTGCTGCAGATGTATTCTCAATGCTGTGGAAACAGACGGGACTGTCGTCTATTTCTGATACGATTCGCACAAAGAGATCGTCATATCACGCTCAGCAACGCTCTGCCGCTGTCGACCGCCAGATTCTGCAGGACCTGCTCGACAGCAAACTCAAGGCGACTGTATTTCACTACGGCAAGCCTGACCTCTTATTTCAGCATTGGCTAAAGTCGAAGAATGATGCCGAATGTCAAAAGTACCAAGCAAAGGATTTATATACGGCGCTATGCAATCGGCTTCATCGACACGTTCAAGCCATCATTGAGACGGCTGAATACTGTGCCACACACTATAACACAATGTGTGGTTCGAAACCGTCCCCGGAAAGACACAAAGATGAGATTGCACAATTGCAGCAAGTTTTGGAAATTCTTCAAGATCATGACAGGGTCTCAGAGGTAGAAGATACCGTGGAAAAGCTGTTTGAAAAAGAGACAGACTGGTGTCTTCAGGCGCAGCAAATTCTCGGATGGGACGTTACCAAGGATGCCACATATCGACCGTATGTTTTCGTATAACTGTCGATGAGACCAGCTGCTAACCTTTTGACGCGCAGAGTACGGCGTCTAAAAGACATCATCCAGCAAGACTATGCTTTATCACCGCACGACCGTGTATTTATTCATTACGAGAAGATGCATACCGGCCCATCCTGCACAGACTGTTCCTGCAGATCTTTCACACTTGATGCTCTAGAGTGGACAGCCGAATTCTTCAACACGCGATATCTCTTTTCATGTGGCTCATCTCGTCAAAAAAGGCAACTCGGCCACTCATGCGACCTCTTGATAACGATCCGTGATATCGCAGAGTATGATGGTTCCTGTGTTGAAGGTAGTAATCCCTATATCACGGAATGGATTTTAACACTGGACGCTGAGTTGTCGTCCAAGTCGATAGCAGATGCTACAAAGTTGGTGGTGCTAGGCGGGTTGCGTAGATTTAGACAAAGGCTTCCCGACTCGCCTCTGTCAAGGATCTTCCCCGAATATAAGGATGGAGCTGTGGACGAAGGTGTTGAATTTGTACGCAACAAGTTATTGGACGCGGCAAACGGAAGGAAATTCGAATTGTATATCGGAGAGCTAGGTGATCCAGAGTTGCTTGAGCTGATAGAGCGACGTATTAAAGAGTCTGCAACGCGGCGCAGACAGCAAATGCTGGATACGATAGGATACTCGGAAACATAAATTGTACATATATTATTGATATACTATTCAGATGAATTCTCTTTTTAAACCAAAAAAATACAGCAAAAAATGCCAAGGTAATGTCATCACCGCTAGTGGTATTGCTATCGCCCGCCCCGCGCTGAACGCTACGTCTCCGTGACTGCGGCTCCCTTTCCTCTACTTACATCTTACATATCCTCCATTGGCCACACAACAGGCTCTCTTCAAAGACCACGAGGAGAAAAAGATGAATGCATCGTCGTTTACGCTAACAACGCTGTTCGCAGCGCTCAGCGTATCGGCGACATGCCCCAACACATTTGCCCAGCGCTGCATGGCCTTTGAGCCCGAGAAGCTCGTCCCCTACGCGACAAGGACCGTTCTCGAGTTTGTCAAGAGCGGCGAGACGCTGCAATTCCCAGACAATGTCAAGTCATGCGGGCGCCCGCAACAGAAAGTCACCGCCGACCTGTGCCGCGTTGCGCTGCACATTCCCACGTCGAACCGCTCCGAGATCACCTTTGAGCTCTGGCTGCCCGAGAAGTGGGAGGGCAATCGCTTCATAGCGACAGGCAATGGCGGCATCGACGGCTGCGTCAAGTATGAGGACATTGCCTACGCGTCTCGTCACGGTTTCGCGGCCGTGGGCACAAATAATGGCCACAATGGATCAACTGGCGAGCTCTTCTACCATAACCCGGACGTACTCGAGGACTATGCCCATCGATCGTGAGTACCCCAGCGCTAGGTGCCTGCTTCAGACTAACTAACGAAAATAGCCTGCACACGGGGACTACCGTTGGAAAACTCCTTACTGAGCAATTTTACGCAAAGAAACCAGATTACTCGTATTACATTGGCTGCTCGCTCGGCGGTCGCATGGGCGTGCACGCTGCCGAAATGTTCCCCGAAGACTTTGACGGCATTGTGGCTGGTGCGCCTGCTGTCGATTTCAACCATCTACAGGGCCAGCGTGCCATGTTTTATCCGATTACCGGTAAAAAGGGCTCCAAGGACTTTATCACGGCGGACCAATGGGGAAATCTGATCCATAGTGAAGTCATGCAGCAATGCGACGAGCTGGACGGTGTCAAGGATGGCATTATTGAAGTCGTTGACCGATGTGTTTTTGACCCAGAGCCTCTGCGGTGCTCAGAGGGTCAACAGAGCACGGAATGCCTGAATGATGCGCAGATTAAACGGCTCGAGAAGATTTACGCTCCGTACACGTATCCCAACGGCACGCTAATCTATGCGCGTATGAACCCGGGCAACGAAAAGTTTGCGACGCAGAAACTACTCGCGGGCGAGCCTTTTCCGTACTCGCAGGACTGGTTCCGTTATGTTGTACTCAATGATCCGTCGTGGGATGCTCTGACGTATAATATCGATGACGTGACCAAGGCTGAGGAGCTCAACCCGTTCAATATCCGTACGTATCCCCAGACACTGCCAGAGTTCAAAGCTCGCGGGGGCAAGATGATTTCATACCATGGCGGCCAGGACAATCAAATCACTTCACTTAACACAGAGCGCTTTATTACGCGCATGATGGACGCTGATAAACATCTGGCGGATTATTACCGCTTCTTCCGTATTGCTGGGATGAACCACTGCAACTCAGGCCCTGGCGCATGGGTGTTTGGTCAAGGTGGCAATCTTGCTGGTGAAGGCATTGCGTTTGATGCTGAAACGAATGTACTTGCTGCTATTGTTGCGTGGGTGGAAAAGAAGAAAGCTCCCGAAACAATTACTGGCACAAAGTTTGTCAACGATACTATATCTCTAGGGGTCGACTTTCAGCGAAGCCACTGCCCGTATCCAACGGTACAGACTTTCCAAGGAGGCGACTACAAGAAGACCACTAGTTGGAAGTGTGTTTAGAATAATGGGTCACAGAAGGAATAGAAGACAAAATTGTGTATACAAAAAATCTCATTATGGATATCACATCTATAGAAAACAAAAGAAAGGCATCCGTGCCGTACCGATACTAAGCATCAAAACCCTAAACTCCGATAGTACAATCCCAATGCAAAAGAAAGGATGAAAGAGAGAAACAAAAAATGTTTACTCGGACCTGGGGGGCCACTTGACGCGCTTCTCAGCACGGATGTACAAGTTGTTGGGGCGGATTAGCTGGAAGTAAGGATCGTACTCGACGGCCTCGGTGTCGGCAGCAACAGTAAACTTGTAGCGCCAGACAAGCTTGGGAAGGAAGACCTTGATCTCAGCCAGGGCAAAGTTGAAGCCGACACACATGCGAGGGCCCTGGGCAAAGGGAGTGTAGGAGCCCTGGGGTCTGTTCTTGACGGCGTCGGTGTCCCATCGGTCGGGGTCGAAGCGGCCGGGGTTCTCCCAGATCTTCTCGTTGTTGTGGATGTGGTGGAGGGCAGGGATGACAATGGAGTCCTTGGGCAGTCTGTAGCCACCGGGCAAGATCATGTCGACCTTGGCGGTACGGCCGGGCTGGTACGAGGGGTTGTGCTTGCGCTGGGTCTCCTTGATGAACTTGTCCAGGAAGGTCAGCTTGGCGACAAGGTCGGCGTTCATGACGGTGTCGTCACTGAAGTCGTTGTCGACGAGCTCCTGCAACAGGCGCTCCTGATTGCCAGGGTAGGTGACCAAGCTGTAGATGAGCCAGGACAGGAGGGAAGAGGTGGTGGTGAAGCCGGCGCCAGTGGCGACGACGAGGGCGGGGGCAAACTGGTGGGGAGGGAGCTTCATGCCCTTGGTGTCCTTGGCGCGGAGGAAGTAGTCGACGACGTTCTCGGCCTCGAGAGCAGCATCCTGAAGCTCGAGGTCGTCCTGGCCCTTGGAGGCGCGGGCAATAGACTCCATCAGCATGGCCTCGACTCTGGCCTTGGTGAAGCGGAGAGTCTTCGGGTCGCCAAAGGGCATGTTGACCCACCACGAGGGCATAGTAGAGATACGCTTGTTGAGTTCGAGGTTCTGGGCAATGCGGAGGACCATTTCGTGGAGGGGGGCGTCGACGCTCTCAAAGTGGCCAAAGTCCATGCCGAGGACAAGTTTGCCGACAGCCTGGGAGCCAAGCTTGAGCATGTACTGGTAGACGTTCCAGGCCTCGCCCTGCTCGTCGAGCTCGTCAAAGACCTTGAAGGCCTGCTCGAGAGACTTTTGCATAGAGGGCATGTAGTGGCGGACGGCCTTGGGGCCGAGGGCGGGAGGCAAGAACTTGTGGGCAAGGCGCCACTCCTCGGTGTCGGTGTCACCAAGGAAAACACCGGCCTCGAGACTCTTGATGGGGAAGAGGGGGTGGCCGGGGATAATCTTCTTGGAGAAGAACTCGCTCTCGGCAAAGACAATGTTGGCGAGGGTGGGGTCGTTGGTCTGGTAGACGGTGCTGCCCATGGTGTTGGTGACAATCAGAGGGCCGTACTTTTCAAACAGACGCTGGTGGTTGCCGAGATGGTCGGGGAAGATTTCGAGGTAGTTGCCAAAGTAGGGAATACCGCTGGGACCGGGAACCTCACGGACAGCCTTGCCATTGATGGAGATGCAGATGGGCTCGGTCTTGGATGCAATATCTTGGACGGAGGTGAGTCTGTGGCTGTCGTAGATGAATCCAATGCCTGCGGGGAACTTGTTAGCGGGAGCTTGCGAAAGATAAAGACCAGTAAGAAAACGTACCCTTGGCGTCGACAATGGCGTAGTGGGCTGCAATGATGTGACGCAGCGTCTCAAAATCGGTCTTGTCCTCGAATTCGATTTCCCTAGCGGTCGAGACATTCTCGCCGAGGAGGTAGAACTGTTGCGCAACCATGATGGTGCAATGTGACGTAATGTAGAAAGGGTGGGAGACGGGATGATAGAAGAAGAAGATGCCAGGAGCTGACAGGTAAAAAAAAAAAGATGTTCAAAAAGAAACAATGAATAGCAAATAGGCGGAGGGGTAGGTTTGGAAGTAGGTGGGTGGGTGGGAAGTAGTAAATATACGGCCGGCTGGTTGGCAGCTGGCGCAGGTGTAAGCTCTACGACTTGTTGGCGGCGATGGGATGTTACAGAGGGAATCTACCGGAACTTAGCGCGGCAGGCATACCAAAGCAGGGAAAGGCGAGTAGGGAAGTCTAGAAAAAAGCGAGGGGCTCCAGTTTATCGTGTTCCGTAATCTTTTCTTCGTAAGGAAAATCAATTAATAAAAAAAAAAGGAGGGTGGTCAAAAAGTCCTGCGGCGCGCGACGGCAGGGAAAATGGCCGCTCCGGAGATCGGGCTGTCACCACTACGGCCAGCGCTAGTCGCAAAAAAAAAAAATAATTAAAAAAAAAATAATGAGGCCGAGATTGAGGAGCAGCAAGAGGAAAAAAAAAGAGGAGCACGAATGGCATTCCAGAAAACAGGCATGTTGCACTTTAGCCTAGGGCTTATGTATGCCGGCGATGTCATTGGAGGATATTTCGCCGGGGGGACATGGGGCGGCGGGTAGCATCCGGTCCCAGCGAAGGGGTTACCGAAAAAAAAAAAAATTAGTGCAGCAGTACGTAGTTACTGTAGCGTATGGTACAGTACTTGGGGCAGACGCTAAAACACCGGCAAGCCAGAAAGCAAGACGATCCTTTGGGATGGGACGCGATAAGACCAGACGTGGCGGTTCCCGAGCCTGGTGATGTAACTCGCCATAGACGGTTGGCGGCGAGAATACCGATTGAGCTTCGGGAACAGGACCCCGAGCGGAGGGGGGTGATGGCAAGAAAGTCAATTGCTCGTCTATCGCGCGTGGCATGCAATAATGTCAGGTAGAGTTTGAGTCTACGAGATTGAGTTTACTCCAGCTATGCGTTCAATGTCCACCAGCCATCTCATCAGACTATAATAGTACATTTTTTTTTGGTTGAAGTGAAGAACAAAGAAATCCCCAGAAAGTAAGCTGACAGGATCCGATGTGCACATCGACCGTAACGTGTCTTCTTTGGTCAACATCAACAGCTCCCCATCTATACCTGTAATAGCTTCTTCTCGATAGGATGGATGCAAGACAGACCACAAGCCCACAATTCCCATCGTCATCGACCACCGGGCGCTCCGATTCCTAGTGGCGCGCGCCACTGAAAAAAGCCCCTCTGTAATAGATGCTAGCGGGTGATTGCTTAGCGGCATTTCATAGCAGCACCGCCAACGCCACAGGCGGAAATTAGAAAGGCCGGAGAAAATAGCTGGCCGGGCAAAGGCCGCTTGCGCGGGGCCGGGTGTGGCGGCTGAGACAGGACAGGCCCGGCGTTTTGGACGGAGGCGCCACTTTACGGGGGCCGGCATTGATTTGCGATGACGACCCTATTTTTTTATTTTTTTTTAACCATGTCCTTTTTTTAATACGCTTGCGCTGGCTGGCTACCGTCTCATTTTCGATGTATTTTCGTATCGCCTACCGCATCTTTCCGTAGCTCATTAGCTTGGGATCGGAGAAGACAGCTCGCGGCACCTGGCACACCTGGCACACTTTTTTTTTCTCCTTGCTTACATTTGCGCCGTACACCCTTGGCCAGCCTAGCTTAGCGACTTGATCCGTATTAAACAAAATCCCAGCGACATCCAACCCCCATCACGGAAAGCCCCTCCCTCTTACTCTGGTCATTGCCTCTTTGTCTTTTGTGGACAAGACTTTTTTTTCTCCTACCTTTCTTTACACTCCTCTCGCACACACACACATACAATGGAATACGACGCCAGACAAGTCGCCGAGCACAAGTCCGGTGAGGACGCTTGGTTCATCATCCACGGCCAGGTCTACGACGTGACAAAGTACTTGGCCGACCACCCCGGCGGTGCTGATGTCCTCATCGAGGCTGCTGGCACCGACGCCTCGGAGGCCTTTGATAACGCTGGCCACTCGGAAGACGCCTTTGAGGTCATGGACACGTACAAGGTCGGCAAGCTCAAGGGCGCGCAAAAGGCCAAGCCCAAGCCCAAGCCCATGGCTCTCGTGAAGCCTCCTGCTGCTGCTGCTGCCGCGCAGAACAAGGGCACCACGCTTAGCCAGACGGGCGCCAAGCTCATCAACCTCTCGCTCTTTGCTGCTGCCGTCGGCGCCACCTACTACGCTGCGCGCCACCACGGCCCCGCGATCCCCAAGTGGATGCTGCACCTTGTCAACAACGAGACGCCCGGCAAGCACGGCCACGGCTTCACCAAGGGCCTGCTTGTTGGCGGCTCCGTGTTTGCTGTCGTCGACTACGTGCTTGCCCAGCACTTTTTCAAGCTCCTCTGGGGCAACAGCCGCTCCTTCACGACGTACCCTGCGCACATGAAGATCCCCAAGATTGTCCAGGAAGACACCCTCTTGCAGCGCGGCCTCCTCGACCCCGTCACCTACTCCCACCTGCCACTGCAGGCCAAGACCATGATTACACCCAACGTCTACCGCTTTACGTTTACGCTGCCCGACAAGACCACCATCCTCGGCCTGCCCATTGGCCAGCACGTTGCCATCAAGGCCGACATTGACGGCGAGAGCGTCGCCCGCTCGTACACCCCCGTGTCCAACAACGTTGATCTTGGCATCATCGAGCTCGTCATCAAAGTGTACCCTGACGGCAAGCTCACCAGCAAGTACCTGGCCAACCTCCAGGTCGGCGACGAGGTGCTCTTCCGTGGACCCAAGGGTGCCATGCGCTACCACCGCGACCTCTGCGACAAGATTGGCATGGTTGCTGGCGGTACCGGCATTACGCCCATGTACCAGCTCATCCGCGCCATCTGCGAAGACGACCGCGACTTGACCGAGGTCAGCCTCATCTACGCCAACCGCTCCGAGGAGGACATTCTGCTGCGCAAGGAGCTCGACGCCTTTGCCCGCCGCTACCCCAAGAACTTCAAGGTCTACTACATGCTCGACCAGCCCCCTGCCGACTGGGCCTACGGAAAGGGTTATGTCACCAAGGACCTCATGGAGGAGAGACTGCCTGCTCCTAGCGCGCAGACCAAGATGATGCTCTGCGGTCCTCCTGGCATGGTCAACGCCGCCAAGAAGTCGCTGGTGTCGCTTGGCTTTGAGCAGCCCGGCGCCGCCTCCAAGATGACGGACCAAATCTTCCTCTTCTAATTTTTCTTTTTTGTTTGTAATTGGACCGGCGTTTCTTTGTTTGGGAGGGGGAGGAACATGACAACACTAGGGATTTTTTGTTGTACAAGTTTGATTTCGATAGAGCATATACCATTAGAGTGTACGAATGAAAATTGCCATAATATTTTTTTACTACTCACGTTTCTGTCTGCCAATTGAGTCTGTCTATAGATCTGAGAATGTGAATACCTTGTTCACAATTACAAGTATACATGATTCCATCTGTAGCCGTGGAGAGCTAGCCCATTGCTGCGACTTCGGAGCTTCATGCGGCAAGTTCTGCTCGGCATCTGCCGAGGCGAGACCAATGATTCCATGGCGACTTCTACGGCCAAATCTACGAGCCATTGGAAATCCGGAACGCCTGGTAGGGCATCCATCTCGCTTGGAGAACCCCGAACCAGGGTCGTGCGTCCATGCATGCATATGTCCACCCCACAAGGTAAGGCAGAGCGCGAGGAACCCTGAGGGGCGTTTTGGGGAGGCTACGTTAGTAGTAGGGTTGCAGTAGCAGCGGCGGCAAGCCGAACATTAGCCCTCCTATGGTAAAACTCCTAAGACGGACCGTAATACCCTACCCATCCGGTGACACGCACTGGCAGATGCACCGGGCAACGTGGGCAGACCCTTGGCGGTAAGATGCGCCGCACTGGATGCTGGATTCAAAGCTAGTGCATCACCGTCAGTATCGCCGTGCCGATCCACAGCCACCAACTAATTTTTTTCCGTCATTTATCCGTATTAGTGGCACTTACGTATTGTATTCCGTTTCAGCCCTTTTTGAGTCCTTCCGGGTTGTTTCGTATCAGCAATCGTGTTGTTAGCCCCTCTACGGGTATACTTGGCCTCGCGTTAGCGCTGGACAGCTTACACCACTCCACTGTAAATTCTGGTGGGCGTGCCGGCTGTCGGCCAAATGACCGGAACAGATCGTCCACGTAACGTAACTTAGCAAAGTAAGCTAATTATTGTGTCTGGGAACGAAGGATAGCAAAGTGCTGACAATTGTGGAATATGTAAAATTTTCCAGTACAATTAAATTCCTTGGATTTCATAGCAAAGCAATACTGGAGCGAGACTATTGGCAGTGTTGACGTCAGTGATGGAAGCAAACGCTGTCATAATCCCCGATGGGCTTGTGGAAATTCCGGCCGATCTGGCGGAGCCCCGAAGTCTAGCGAGCACCTTGGAGGGAGGGCAGTTATACTGGGCAAGGGACTGTATGCAAAACAAAGCAGAGCCGCACCATGCGGTAAAAGCTCGGGCGCGAGAGAAAAAATAAAAATGGGATCGGAATCTAGACGAAAATGGATCGGTAGAGGCAAAAAAATAAAATAAGCAGGATTGCATTTGCAATCAGGGGATGGCGTGTAAGCAGGATTGGCAGAGACAAAAGAAAAAATCCGATCGGGGCAGACTGCCGAGCCACCACCGAGCTGTGCAGTCTTACATGCTACACTACGCAGTAACTTGCAAGTAAATAAGCCGGGCTTCCAGAAGGCTGGAAAGAAAAGCTACCCCAACAACTGCAAAAAATAGGGGGACAAAGAACAATGCAATACGATCGAATGTAACAGTGAGATACGCCAATCCAAAAAAAAAAAAAATTAAAGACAAGACTCTTGGTTGTAGAGCTGGTTTCGTAGCAACCAGCCTCACCCGCTTACCACCGCGCCACAAGCGCCGGAATCCAAGCTTCCTCCAATCCCCGGCCATCGTTTCGCATCGTCCGAAACGGGAAACAAAGAAGAAAGCCCGCCCTGTAGTGGATCACTATTAAAAAAAAAGAGGGCAATTAGTGCCTAGTTTGGACTGGTCTGGCGATGCGACACCACAAAAAAAAGCCCACTGTAACTTAACTCCAGTGAGGATGCTTGATCCCCGGGGCGGCGACACCGGGGCTTCACGGCGGGGTTTGGCAACGCCGTGTCCCTGCATACACGGCGCCGTGCACTCCCGCAACGCTGTGTCTTTGGTTGGTCACCGACTAACTGGGCACAGCTACGCTACCTTGTTAGAGCTAGCTTTTTTTATTAACGCATTATTATTTTTTCAATTTCCTCCGGTATTCGCCCTTCTAGAAATCAAATGTTGCCGCATTATCCGATTTTCGATTTACGCCCCAATTCGTCGCCGCCGTAGCATTCTTTGCCCATCCCCCTCCTCCTCCTCCTCCTCTCGCCGCGACTTTGCCCGGCATTTCGCCCCAAGACTCCGTACACTAGAAGGAGTCTTCTTATAAGCCAAAGCTTCCCATCACCAGCCTTTTCTGTTCCCCCCTCCCATCCATCCATCCACTCCTCTTTCTCTTCTCATCTTCTTCCCACTTACACATACAACATCACAATGGCCTTTGCTCTTCCTAGCACTGACGGCCGCGTCGTCACCGTCCTCGGCGGCGGTGTCCTCGGCCGTCGCATTGCCTGCGCCTGGGCCGCCTCCGGCTTCGAGGTTGTCATCCGCGACCCCTCTGCCGAGCAGCGCTCTGCCGCCGTCCACTACTGCGAGGTGTCCATGGACCAGTACTCGGACCACAAGGAGCGCGCCAAGGTCTCTGCCACCGAGGACCTTGCCGAGTCGGTCAGCAAGGCCTGGCTCGTCATCGAGGCCGTCCCTGAGAAGCTCAACCTCAAGATCTCGACCTTTGCCGATCTCGAGAAGCTCGCGCCCGCCGACGCCATCCTCTGCTCCAACTCCTCCTCCTACAAGTCCCGCGAGATGATTGATGGCCTGAAGGAGACTACCAAGCAGCGCATCTGCAACATGCACTACTACATGCCGCCTGACAACCGCATTGTCGAGCTCATGACCTGCGGTAGCTCCGACCCTTCCATCTTCCCCTTCCTTGTCGAGAAGCTCCGCGCCGTCGGCATGCACCCCTTTGTCGCCCGCAAGGAGTCCACTGGTCTCATCTTCAACCGTCTCTGGGCTGCCATCAAGCGTGAGGTTCTCAACATTCTTGCCGAGGGCGTCTCGGTCCCCGAGGAGATTGATGCCATCTGGGCCGAGGCCTGGGGCAACAACAAGTTTGGCCCTGCTGGCATGATGGACGGTGTTGGTCTTGACACTGTTTCCTTCATTGAGCAGCACTACATTGCGGAGCGCGGCCTCCCCAGCCAGCCCGTCGACTTCCTCAAGTCGTACATTGAGGAGGGCCGCCTTGGTGTCAAGTCCGGCAAGGGCGGTCTCTACCCTCCCGAGTTCTACGCCAAGATGGCTGCCCAGGGCACCAGCGAGCACACCCCCCTCCTCTACTTCCTCGACATTGGTCTGTCCGTCGAGAACCCTCTCGATGCCTTCCACGCCGGCCGTGTCCTCATTGGTTCTGCCGACGGCCGTCCCCTCAAGGAGCTTGTTATTGACCAGCTCACCCCCGACGGCATCGACATCTCCATCCCTGCCGGTAAGATCTTCTGGACCAGCATGGGCATCCCCAACAAGAACGACGGCTCCGTCTACTCTGCCAACCTGGACGGCAGCGACGTCACTGCCATTGTCCCCAAGGGCGCCGTCCACACCCCCAAGCAGCTCAACCTCGACCAGACCAACAAGAAGGTCTACTTCTCGGACCGCGAGGGCCTGCGCGTCATGCGCGCCAACTACGACGGCTCCGAGCTCGAGACCCTCGTCGAGACGGGCGACTGGGAGAACCAGGAGCACGCCGACGACCAGACCAGATGGTGCGTCGGTATCACTGTCGATGCGACCGCCGGCAAGTTCTACTGGACCCAAAAGGGCCCCTCCAAGGGCAACAAGGGCCGCATCTTCCGCGCCAACATTGCCTTCCAGAACGGCGAGACGGCCAAGAACCGCTCCGACATCGAGACCATCTTCCAGAACCTGCCCGAGCCTATTGACCTTGAGCTCGACACCGAGGCCGGCAACCTCTACTGGACCGACCGTGGCGAGCTGCCCATTGGTAACAGCGTCAACCGTGCCAAGATTGCCGACATCAAGCCCATCACCGATGCTGCCTTTACCAGCTGGCCTAGCCGCGACTACAACATCATCTCCCGCAACATGCACGAGGCCATTGGTATCAAGCTCGACACCAAGAACCGCCACATCTACACCACCGACCTCGGTGGCGCGGTTTACCAGACCGACATGGACGGCGGTGACCGCAAGAGATTCTACGAGAACTCGGGTGCATTTGCTGGCATCACTCTTGCCCACGTCTAAGCTCTTTTCCGGTTTCTTTTTGGTTTTAATTTTTTCTTTTTTCGGTGTTAATGATGCATGATTATTACGTTTTTTAGAGATATCATAAACTAGTTTTCGTCTATGAATAAAATTTACAATTACAATTCATTTTGGTGTATTCACTTACAGCTTAGGCTCTTGATACGCGTGTATTCGTCATCAGATGTCGTAGGGCGTATGAATTCGACTCCACATTCACGACGCAAGCCAGGTTGCCGCTTCAGCTGAATGGAGTCATACGAACAAGGTTGCGGAAAGCGTCCCGTCTGTAGCTTTTGAATTAAAGCGGCCGAGATTGAGTTTCTGTAATTCCTTCCAGCTCACCAAACAACAGTTTATGCCAAAAATGTCGTTCACCATACGCCCGGCATCCGACTTCACGACGGAGCAACTCTCTGCCTTGGCCACATCTTGTTTCAAAACATATGTCGCAGGCCCCAGGAGCCTAACAGCCGATGAATTCGACGTTTTTGTTACCGCCAGCTACGTATCTCTGCCGCACAGCCTCGTCTATTGCGTAGACAATGACCCCAGCCAGCCCGTTGCGCTGGCCATGGTCGGTCAGCGAGCCGACAAGCCGGGCCAAGTGCGCCTTGCCATGATGGGCGTAGCGGAAGGGCATACGGGGAAAGGCATTGGCAAACAGCTGGTACAGGCTCTTATTGCGCAAGAGAGAGAACGAGGAACAAAACGCATCGAGCTGGAATGCATCACGATCAATGAGCCCGCCTTAAAGCTCTATCTCAACCAGGGCTTCCAAAAGTACAGGCAGCTCTCGGGATGGGAGAGGGATCCTATTCCCGAAGGCGAGTTCCAGCAAAATCCAGATCTGAAGCAAGTCGAGGTTGAAATGGTCCGCGAGATTGCAAAGAAACACATGGCTCCTGATTTGGCCTGGCAGGCCTGGAACGCCTGGTCAGAGACCAAAACACACGATGCATACCAGCTTGGAAACACTTATGCCATCATCACCAAGCCAGACGATAAGAACAGCGACAAAGTCAGTCTGACCTCGCTGTTTGTCATGCCAGAGTATCGCCGTCAGGGCCAGGGCGAGCGAATGGCCAAGGCACTCCTTGCGCTGTGTGTCGGGAAGAAAGTAATGGTGGGAGCTCTATTCCCGAGAGAGTATGGCGAGGAAATGGCAGCAAAGTTGGGTTTTAGAGATACGGAGATTCAACAATTTCACTTGGAGATGAATCTGTGATGAAGAATCGGGACATTATATCTTGTAGATAAACGGTTTCAATATACACCCATATAAGATTCTAACTAATATCCATAGGTATTACAGAACGCACAGGATGTATATAACCGTACAATTGAACTCATCTGCGTTCATGTATTGCTAACAAGCGCTATCACCCGGTTTTCGAAACAGGTTTCATCGGTATCTCAGTCGGCATTTGTGTAGGTAACGGCTCATTGAAATGCCCTCCGTCTAGTTCGGCAACAATAGCGTCAGATGGCTTCCGCTTCAAGGGGTCGTCGGGCAGCTGGGGCGTAGGTGCCTGTGTTCCGTGCAGTTCGCTGCGTATTCCTTCATTTGGCGGCAGTTCAGCTTTGTCAAACGCAAGAGACCCTGACTTGGACGAGGAACTGGTCACTCGAGTTCGCTTTCTGCACCTGGAGAAAACAAATACGCCGAGGACACCGAAAATAACGGCCAATACTACTCCAATAGCTATACCCGCTTTTGCTCCCGCGCTAAGAGAAAAAGGTGGAGAGTCGCTCGAGTTTGGCTTCATCGTGGCTACTGACGTTTCAGTCGGCTGTATGTATACCACTTGGGGTACGAATACACGCTGGGTGGTTTGGCCAGCAGTTAGTGATGTTAAACTAGTTGAAGGGCCACTGCTGAAGTCTATAGAATCGCGGCAGTATCGAGCGTCAAAGCCACATGGGGGACCTGCTATAAACAGGCACTTTGCTGATCGTGCATATTTGCAAAATAACCCGGAAACAGCTTGTTCGTATAGCACGTGGGAGGCTGTCGTTAGCATCCTTGACTGCCCCGCGCAGTGTAACATTGGTCCATATTATTAGGAAGACCCAGAAGATAAGAAGAGATCCCCTGTCGATAGAACAATTATAGAAGATCTTGTCGATATTGTTGTGAAAGGTTAACTATTTAACTGTCATGCTGATATACCACCACACTTAGTAGAACGGTTACGAAAAGGGTCAAAAGCTGTGACGAAAAGAAAAGAGGCACCTGCAATCTATATCACGAATGTTCTTCCTGGAGGATTGCCATCTCCTACGAAGCGGGCTAAAATTCCAGGCAAATTGGAATGTGTGGTTCGTAATCATCGGGACCGTCTTGTTTCACAGACGAGGGATGCAGAATGGATCCGGGAAATTGATGCCATGGCAGAGTTCACGCGCAATCAACGCTTCAATCTCAACAACTTCACCAAAAAGCACATTCAATTCCTCGTTTCGAATAAGTTTCCGCTCGGCCTTGCAACACAATGAGTGATGGATATGGATAATTGGCGGAAGGAGTTGGAAGAGCAGCAGCAGCAGTTAGAAGATATCTTATAACCTCTAGCTAACATTCGCCCAATTTTTACAAGCCTACAGTTGCTGTTGTGACTATTGTGACATTGGACGTATGTCACTTTACCAGATGAGTGAAGGAACAGTTAAGTCACTGGAAGTGGATAACATAGGAAAAGGAAGTGAATACAGGATGTATTCGCTGTATTTAACTAGAGCAGTTCCGACCATGGAACTAGAAGAGAACAACGAACTTTTACCACAACCTCTCACCTTTCGATAACACGTGTTATTAAGCCTTGAACCAACAGTTGCATAATTCGCTTATATCCAGCTTCAACACAATGTGTATGTATAGAGGGGATAAAAGTGACCATCATGCGTAGAAATATTTGCACACATTTCGATTAAAAAGCATAATAACGTTACACATACTCCGTAAGGATATGCAACAACACGGATTATTTGAGGGCTGTCACTACTGTAAGTTGAATATATTTTGCGACAGAATAGGGTTAACTTTCCCATTTAGATAGAGTGTCGACTGAAGACAAGTAGTCTGGATGACTAGCACCTAGTTTAGCTTGTCGTAGACGGATACACTGACTCATCAACACCTTCCCTTCTTCTAGGCGTCCAGAATTCCAGTATGTCCATGCTAAGTTATTCATGCTAGTCAGCGTGTTCGGATGGTCCGCTCCAAGCTTCTGCTTTCGAGCTTCCATTACTTGCACCTCAAGCGTCTCTGCCTCTTCCCACCGCCCTTGTTTGCTATATGTCGATGCCAGATTCGCGATGCTGGTCAGCGTGGAAGGATGGTCCGGTCCAAGCTTCTGCTTTAGAGCCTCTACTACTTGCACCTCAAGCGTCTCTGCCTCTTCCCATCGCCCTTGCTTGTTATATGTCGATGCCAGATTCGCCATGCTGGTCAGCGTGTCTGGATGGTCCGCTCCAAGCTTCTGCTTTCGAGCCTCCATCACTTGCACCTGAAGCTTCTCTGCCTCTTCCCATCGTCCTTGCTTGCTATATGTCGACGCTACCAAGGCTTTTGACGAAGTCACTTTCTCATCGTCTTTATCAAATATTTTCTTCCTTGCTTTCATAGCCCAGGTAGAAAGCTTCTCGCCTTCTACTGCATACCCCTTTTCAAGGGCATACCTGGCTGCTCTATGCAAGATTGTCGCCCACTCTTCCATAGCCTCCTTCCCGTCCGGGCGCTGTGTTGACACTTGCTGTGCATGTGGGAAAAGCAGCTGACATTTCGCCCAATTCTCAAAGTTTCCGTCTGGAATCTCTGCGGCAAGGTTTTGAAGAAACTGATAATTCCACTGTTCATAGATATTGTGTGCCTTGAGCCACGCAAATGTGGCGAGCTGCACTAGTCTATGCATTTCAAATGTGGTCCCGTCCTTATTGGCTACAATAAAGGAAAAATTCCGTAGTGCTATGATGTCGCTTTCAAACTCATCATTGTCACTACAGTGGGAGTTTTCATATGTCCAGTCACTATCGCCATTACTTCCAATACTCTTGCCATCGTCGGTATTATCGTCGCTTGTATCCCTAATAGTCAACCCACTCACCGCGCGACGTAGATTATGTGCATCATCTATGGTAACACGGCCGTATTTGCCTCGCATCAAAACTTCTGGAATGCCCTGGCGATCACAGAAGCTGATAAGCGACAGTAGGTCCGCTGCGGACGGCCTGACGTCGCGAATGTAGTCAAATGATATTTGCCATGTGATGAAAATGGAGTTCTGAGCCTTTTTGTCTCGGCGAAGCCCTTCCACTTTATAACTAAGAAGCTTAGCTTTTCTATTATCGCTTTTGCGAAACTCATTAATATACTCCCGAACAGAGGATCGTGGACGCTTCTGGGAAATGTAAGCCGTTGCCTGAACAATAGCCAGTGGCATATATTCGAGCGCTGTAGCAAGCTCTATAACGCAAGCATCGTCATCGTCTTGGCCAAGCTTATTCCGGAATAATTGTATTGCGTCTTTCTTATTCATTGGGTTGATTGTGATGATATCATCGCGATCAACTAGCTCCATTGCAGCGGCTTCACTTCGCGAAGTGACAAGAACGGACCCATGTTGGCTGTATGGGATATATGATAACAGGTGCCTGGTAGATGTACCCTTTGCTGTGGGTACCGTTGCTTCTGGGGTTGATAAAGTCAAGAAACAGGCGTCGTCTACGTTGTCGAGAATAACAACCCAAGGCCCTTTTCTTTCGTCTTGAAGCCAGTCGTACACCAGTTGAAATATATTCGCTTTTGGATCTTGCCGCCCAGGAAGCTTTATGCATGTTGCAATATCTCGTAAACCTTCTTCGAACCGTGCTTTATTGCTTGCATGGATCCAAAAGACCCACGTATCAGATGATCGCTCTCGGACGCGATAGGCATATTCGATGGCGATCTGCGATTTTCTTCCAACGTTAGATATTTTCAAGATACAACACGGCGTTTGGAACTTACCCAACACCGCCTAGACCACAGAGCGCAGTCCAAGAACCTGGCATGCCACATCTGTGTTCGACTTGGTCAAGCACGTCTCGCTTCACGAAGTCTATATCACGACGAAATGGCATATTCGTCGAAGGATTTGGCGGCGTTTCTAGTTTCTCTATTCATTTGTCAATATAAGCAATTAAATTAACGCATCGTTGGAGCTTACCTTCGGCGAGATAGTGGTTGTGGATTGGGCCTACATGGCAATTTCACAAGTCAGTAGAGTCGTATAGTAGGTAGAGATATGAATCCTTCAGCTATTATATGAAGCTATGGGTTGGGCGTTGTAGGCTTGGGTGGCATACCGACATGATTGGTGCCAATGTACTGAATACCGGGACCATTATTCTGATTTCCTGTACTATTGTTGTTATATTGGCTCCCAACTCCAGTATTGACGTTCTGGGCACCGCTACCGTAGTGTGTATACGTCGCTGCGTCTTCAAATCCGTCAGGTAGGGATGGCTTCATCTCACCTACTTCCTCAATCGCTTTTGTCAAGTTTTCCAGTCCTCTTCGAGATGTAACCTTCGGGAATATGGTCGTAAGAAGCTGTAGGCTATCAAGAATTTCTTTCATTAGGGTCTCCACGCGACCACCCTTGCCGATGGTTCGAGCAGCTTTGATATACCGGCCGGCCCTCGAGTCACCGTTGGCCGGGACAACCTTTTCAAACAATACCTTTAATTTTGTAGCTTTCTCTTCACAGTCTCTTAAGACGGGTATGAAAGTTGATGTGAGATCGTCGTTTGCTTCCTCTTCAACATATCGCTCTGCATCATCGAGAAGCTTTGCAATCAGAGGCAATTTTGCTGCTACCGTTTTGAAGTTAGATGGTAGACCAGCTTCGTCTTTAATAGCACTGCTGAGCTGGATCGTAGCATCGATGATGGAAATCACAGCAGAAATAATACCAAGAACTTCTGCACCGGACATTATCGGGGTTCCACAGCCGAAGCACTAATACCTAGTTAGGAGGAATATCACAACCATCTATATCACTTACGTATACGTATAACTATTTACTAGTAACTAGTCTCTAGATAGAGTAAGTAGGAGTTTAATATTTCTTGTAATGAGCCTTAAGAGGGATATCTTGAATACCCCGCACGCCAGCTGGTCGCTATACTGAGCTGCCTGCCGAAGCACATGTGATCAGTCGAACATGCAGCCGACTTTTACGCAATCGTCATGCACTATGAATCGCCCTGTGGATGTTTTAGAAGCCATCATTTCTTGGAATACTTTAATTTGATGCCCGAATGTCGGAAGTGACCTTCTGCACTCTCCTTCTTCTGCCAAATGTGCCTGACTGTAACAGGCTAGGCCCGTGGAGGTCTCGGGTAGCCCTCGACCATCTGTCACGTAGCTGTCTAGGTAGTACGAGAAAAGTTCGCTAAACGTGATGCTATTGTTGACTGTTCTATATATGAGATAGAAAAAAGACAACAAACTTGAAGGAGGACAAATCCCTTTCCTCCTTCCACAGTTCATTTCTCTATTTATATACAAGGTTGTTGTGGTTCTGCCAGCTGGCGGCTTTCCTTTGCCAGCTGGCAAACACTTGTTGTTGAAACTTCTCTATTGGCCGGCTAGCCAGCGAACACGTTGCGTAGCAACTATTTCGACATTATAACTGTCGTAAGTATTGTGACCGATAGACCATAGAGCGATCCAGCAGGTAGTGACACATGATATTCTACAAAGATTGACAGAAAAGCTAGTTTTATAATATATATTAAAGCATACTTGAAATATTGACTAAAAACGAGTTTACCTGTAACTTTTGCTTACCTACTGTAGGTTAGCTACCTGGACTCTCCCGCGCGCGCTTTGCTCACGTTGCAAACATGACTCGATATGGTCTACTCGAAAGCTTAATATTACACTTAAAAAGAAATATGAAAAATAGCCTTATCATGCAATTTGCTTTCACCAGGTTGTGCCCTTCATGCATATCGCTCAAATCTCAATCAAACGGCCACTGTCAAATAGGCGCTTTGCAGTCTGCTGCATAGTTTGAAAACGCTTATAGGCGCAGCTCTCACTCTCGAGATGATTAATCACAGTGGCTAGCGTCTTAAAGTCCTTTGCGCAGCCGCGGTTGGTACAATGGTAAAGTGCCTGCTGGTGGATTGGCGATTGTAAGTGCTGGTTCAAAGACACCAAAGTCCGAAAGGAGCGATTGCAAAAGTAGCACTCATATTCCTTGGTGTGGGGGTTCAAGGTTCGCCCTGTGGCTTCAAATGTTGAATTAGCGGGCCCTGTAAGAAGCTTTTTCGAAATCAGGCCGTTGGGATCCCGGCTTCGAACCGCCTGGTAAAGTTTCCCCCGATCAAGGGACGCCGTTGGGCAAGCCCCCCGTTCAATATGATGAACGAGCCCTGTAGCCGTGTTGCAGACTTTGGAGCAAAACGGACAGCTTATTGAGCTGGTATTGTGAATCTTGCTCCGGAGATGCTGTCAACGGTAGGAGAGTGTTATTTAGTAGGTTTCATGCGCCCGTACCTGCTTGATGCAATTGTCACTGTTGAAAGTCCGATCACAATCGCTACAGTAGCGATGGAGACCAATTTCGTGGCCTTTCAAGTCTTGTTCATTCTCAATTATCTCGAAGCACGTATCACACTCAAAATCTTCTTTTGTTGACTCCGAAGATCTTCCCCAGTGACCACAGGCATCCATGTGCTGTTCAACAACCTGCTGGCTTTGAAAATAACGATCGCAGGTATCGCATTCAAAGTCGGGCTCCGGATGTCCTGTAGCATCGAGATGTTGCTGCCTCGACTGCCAGCCCGCTGGGAATGTACGCCAGCAAGTTCCGCAAGTACTTGCCATTGTGGTTTGGGAATATTTTTTACAGGAATTTCATGCAAAGGATGAAACACTTTGGGCGATTTTATAGACATGGCAAGTGTTTGATTTTTTTTTTTTTTTTTTTTTTTTTGGCTGGCAGCTGGCATCGCTATCGGCACATTATAGACAGCGTCGCCAGCTGTCACAGTTGTCATAGTTGTTGGCACTGCGCTGCTCTGTAGATGGCCGTACAGTACATGGCAGACTGAGTTTCACTAGTTCTTACTGTGCTTCATCTTTTCTGTCGTCAGCCTGCGTATGGCGATTCATAATCACATCGTCAAAGCCACCACCGCGGCGTCGCCACATTATAGCGGCTCGCCGGTTTACTTCCCGTTTGAGCGCCCTCGTGCTTGTGGCCGCGCCATCGCGTTATCGTTGTTATTGGGGGATTGCCCGTTGTGATCCCCCCTGGCATTTCCACTGAACGCTCCACTGTACCGCACACCAGGTCCGCCACTAGGACCGGGGGGCGACAGGGCAGTGTCGGGCTGCGCAACGAGGCGCGCCACGCACCACTTTGTTTCAAGGCTGCAAACGATGGGAACGGAAAAAACTATTGAATAGCCTGGTTCACGCTAACCAGCACAGGTCAACGTCTGTCCTTTGACAACTCATTCTTTGCATCTTTGTTGCTTTGATTGTGACGCCACTCGACGCTTTTCTCGGAGACCCCTATTTGCATTTGTTTTGGGGGTGTTTGAAACTCTTCGTTTGCATTTATATTACTCCTCCACAGGTGCTCATCACAGTCTTATTTTTTTCCAACCGTCAAATATAACTTGCATGGCAGCTGAGGTCGCATCTTGGCCGTTTGTTCAGCTTTCTTCTAGTGGCGCTTCTTCACCCTGTCTCACCTCCGACCATCCCCACGCCACCCCGTTTCCCAGCTTGCGGCCGCCCCTCCGTTCTCTTCTGCTGTGTTGCTTTCCGCTCTTCGTTACAAATCCGCATAATTACCTGCTACTGCGTCCGACATCACCGCCAGCCTCAGACTCTCTGCTTGCATGTCGTTTCCCCGACCTCTGCTCTGCTCTCGTGACTCCATAGCCTTCCGATGAGCCAGCCAAGGCCGACTTCACAATGTCGCTGATGACGTCCCACGATCGCCAGCTCAGGATTCTGCAGCTGGCGCAGGAATGGGACATTGCACTTCCTCCGCTGCTTGGACCGCTGACTCGTCCAGAAAACCCGCCATCTTTTCAAACTCCCGACGACGACAACTCGGCCGACATGCTGATCCAATACCGTGTCCTCGACATGGCTCAAGCCAAACCAAAGAGCCCACTCTCCAGGGCATTTTCATCCAGTGGTCTCAAGCGGGGAAAGCACTGGGAGCCCAGAGATATTGTAGATACTCTTGCTGGTGTGATTGCAACAGGTGGCTCTGCAGGTGTCGCCGAAGCACTGCTCAACAAGCTCGCCGCCTCAGGTGTAGAGCTCCAAGTGGCAGCGAAGCAAAAGTCGGGACTCTTGAACCGAAAGAAGAGCGTCGATTCCTTTGTTGACCGCACTGCACTACTCCGAATGGCAGTCGACGGCAACCAGCTTGAAATGACGGAGCTGCTTCTGCCATTAGCCGATCCAGTCGCCTTGGACACTTGCCTGCCACTTGCCATCCGGCTCGGAAACCCGCGCCTCGTCGAACAACTTCTTAGATACGGTGCTAGCGTTGGTGAGCATGGCGAAGGAACCGACGTATTTCGCCAAGCCTGCGTCCACGATGCCTTGGCGCCTATTGTTGGTCTAATTTTAAGGTCGGACGGACGCCCGCCGACTCAGCTAGTATCAGAAGCCATGGTCGATGCGGCCCGGGCTGGCTCTGTTGAAAACGTTGTACAACTAAGCAAGGCAACTGCAGATGGAGACTACAACCAAGCCGAAGCGCTGCGATGTGCTGTTGCAATTGGTAGACGTGATATTGTGCTAGCAATCGTCATGGGCTTACGCCCACCTCAGCCATCTAGTATCAATGATGCATTTCTAATGCTTGCCGAACACCCGACACTGGACAAGAGCTCAAAGCTGGAAATATCAGAAATCTTGCTTTGTGCTGGAGCCAATGGTAGCATCGTTGCTCACGTTTTGGAACAGTCTTGCAGTAACGACTTCATCGACATGGCACGACTCCTAGCTACCCATGGTGCGTCTATTGAGTATAACAATGGTGCTGCTCTAAAGCAAGCCATCTCATCCAACCGCATGGATTATGTCATGGCAATCTTCAACGAATCATCCTCCCTTAACTCGACATTGGCATCGGAGTGCACGAGCTTAGTCCCCAAGCAAGTTACCTTTGAAGTCCGCAACGAATTACTTACCCTGCTTTTGAAGAAAGGCGCTAGTGGGCGTCCGTTGGACCAATGCTTGATTGATGCAGCAGAAACAGGTGATCTCACAGCGGTTGATCTGCTGCTACAACCCTATTTTGCCCTCCCTCCCGGGCAGCAAGCCATCAACAGGCAATCCCTCCGCCACCAGGTGGCCTCGCCAAATTATCGCTCCGGAGAAGCACTGCGTACAGCCGTATTGAGGGCAGATATTCTCCTCGCGGAGAAGATTCTTGCCGCCCGACCGACTTCAGACACCCTTACCGCCGTTTTCCCTCTCACCCGAAATCTCTACCAGTCTGATCGCTCGCAAATGATTGAACTCTTTCTTCGAGGATCTTTGTCCGGCGAATGTCTACACGTTGCTTTGCAGGATTCTCTAGATTCACCTGCGTCCCAACGAGACGATGATCTGATCAAGCTGCTGTTGGACCATGGTGCCGATATCAACTATAATTCTGGCGAAGCCTTGGTCCCCATTATAAAACAGATGGATCTCAAGTTTCTAAATGGCATCATCGCAAAAGTCTCACCACAAACCGCAGCTATCCACATTCAACATGCCGTCAAAGTACCAGACCATAAAGCTCGTTTTGAAATCTTGACTATGTTGCTCCGAATGGGAGCTGCTATCGGCATCAAAGAAATCAATGGCGCTATTATAGATACGATTTTGGAGAAGCCGGTCGATCTTGCAATCTTGCAGCTGTTGCTCGACAAGGGCAATGCCGACATCAATAACATGGACGGTGCTATTGTTAAGAAGGCAATGGAAAACAACGACCCGCAGGTTCTTGAAACAGTTTTGACGTATGGCAAGCCTAACGAAATTACTATTAGCCGCGCTCTGCAAGACCTAGCTGGTATGTTCTCGAACGAAACGAAGAAACGGAAAATCAGCGCCTTGCTTGCCAAGTCGTCCCGAATTGACGACTTGAATCGCATTTTGCTTCACGAGGCGCAATCACTCATCCAGCATCGAGACAAATCACCCAGCATGGCTACGTTTGAACACCTCCTTGAGGCAGGCGCTGACCCGAATTCCTACAAAGCTGCTACTCTATGCCACGCTGTCATCGGCACCAACGATGCAATCTTGGATTTGATTTTCAAATGCCGCTACCCACCTACTGTAGTATCCTTAGGGTTTGCTCTCCCACATGCGCTTCGTGTTACAAATGCTGACGCTCGTCTCAACCTTACCACGCGTTTGGTGGAGTCCGGAGCCGACGCCCTCGAAGTCAATAGAGCCTTGACATACGGCATTGGCGCTTACCCCAAGTCGACGATGCTTTTGGCCATATTAGCGAAGAGCGCAGATATGTCCGATGGAGAAGCATTGCCCATGGCTGTTACGAAGCAGCTACCGGAGCTAGTAGATGTGATTCTGCACAGCTTCAAACACACCCAAGATGTTCGTCATGTGGCGATGGGCCAAGCGATAGAAATCAAGAACCGATCAATACGCACAATTATATGCGAGCTGCTACTTGAAGTCGGAGTCTCCACAGATATTGCTTCTGGCGCACTATTAGTCGCGGCCAGAGATGGAGATCTTGCATTGGGAAAGCTTCTCATGGCTCACGGCGCCTCGATATCTGGAAATAGTGGCCAGGCTATCATTGAAGGAAGTCGTGGTGGATCGGTCGAAGTTCTGGATGTTCTACTCAAATCTGGAGCCGAACCGACGAAGCTGACTCTGGAAAAGGCATTCCAAGCGGCAACAGAAGTTAGGGATCTTAGCAAACGGGCTGTCATTTTTGAGCTGTTACTGTCAAAGGGCGTATCCGGCCAAATAGTTGATTCACAGCTCGAATCAGCTGCCCGTTATGGCGAATCTGGACAGGCGCTTTTGAAAGTTCTACTTGCTTCTGGTGCCGATCCAAACTACAGTGACGGAGAGGCCGTGCTAGCTGCCACGCGGAGCGCCAATGTCATTTGTCTTGAGCTCCTGCTAGGTATTTGGAGCGACAACTTGAATCAGGTAAGCTCCTTGCGGATAACTACCAACTACAGTACTAACCTCCAACAGATTCCGGTGTCGAACCCAGTTCTGAGTAGCGCTCTAAATGCCTCTCTGCAGTTGAACCGAAGTATCCGATTTCGTATTGTGCAAAGTCTCATAACGGCTGGCCTCCCAGCCGATGAGACCGTGCACAAAGTATTAAACCACGTTGTCAAAGAAGAAGATCCGGAAGAACGACTGGTCAAATTGTTGATTGATCATGGTGCCTCACCCACTGCCAACGACTGCCAAAGTCTTATTGACGCATCTAACAATGTTGCTGCTAAGTGCTTGCCGCTATTATTTACGCGCGAGATGCCCAAGGTTGATATCAACCGAGCCTACTCTAGCTCTTTTACTGCAGAACGTTACAAGAAGTGGTTTACTGACGACGGACTGCGGACTGCCAAGCTGCTGCTAGACAAAGGTGCCAAGGGCACAAAAGGTGAAGCGTTGAGCTCATCGCTGGTGCTTGTTTTGAAAAACTCTACAGAGGCCACCAACAACTTGTCTGACCGCTTCGTGTCACTCTTGGTTTCGTATGGTCCAGATGTCAATTTTAACCACGGGGAGCCTCTCCAGGTTGCAGCTTCAAAAGCGAATGTCGGCTGGGCAAAGGCGTTGCTGACTTGCAAACCAAACTCAGAGACACTCTCTCTTGCATTTCAGTGTATCTTTGATACTGCGTTATCTGAAGAAGATGTCTTACAGCTCTTCAAGCTCTTTGCCGACTATCGACAAGATGGCTCCGAGATTGACGTTATGACAAAGCAGCAAGGGGAGCAGCCCATTTTGGTACGCGCCATGTCCCAGTACCCACGCTCCACAACTGTTGTTTCAACACTGCTGGATGCTGGATATTACCACGATCAACGCGTCAAATGCAAATTGCATGAGGATGCTGACGAGGAAGAGGTTGTGACGCTACTTGTGTGGGCGATTGCACAGCCTCAGAAGAAAGTCAGTACCGCTGTTATCGAAACGCTCACTGAGCGCGGTGCGAATGTCAATACACCTTCGTCAATTACATCCACAACACCACTGATGTTGGCAATTCAGTGCCGAAGACCGGACGTTGTCAATACACTCCTTCTAGAAGGGGCGGACGTTGATGTTGTGGACCAACAAGGCCGTACACCGCTCGCCATGACGACGCTGATGGGCGGCGATGTTGCCGTCAAAATGATGTCAAGCATTTTGGCAGCTGACCCTTCTTCTGATGACGGCTCCCTTCATAATTCAGCCCAGCAACTCAACATGGCGGCTGTTAAAGTCCTAATCAAGGCCGGCCATCACCCAGACTTCCCTAGCGCCATTCATAATGGCAGAAGTGCTCTCAGCGAAGTCTGTCTGCATGGAACTAACAATGACCTTGCGCCCGCTGAGCTTGAACGTCAAATGCAAAAGATTATGTCATTCTTGCTGGAATCCAACTCGGATCCCGCCATCAAGTACAACGGCAAGTCGGCGCTGCTCCTCTGCTTCGACGCTACGAATCCAATTGTGGCAACGAGAGCCCTTTTGAAGAGTGGCTTTTGGAAGCACATCGACAAGTCCTTCAACTATTATACTGACGAATCCCATACATACTCACCAACGATGTATTTGAAGAAGCTTGTAAAGCCGTCAGACACCATTGAGGATCTGATAGGCATTCTGCGAGCGAACCGCGCTACAGACGTCTTCTATGCCAACAACGGTGCTCAACCAGAGGATGCCGCTGGACTCCCCGAAGATATTGCTGTGCTGGAGCGAGCTCGTCTGGCCCGCCTAGCACGCCTTGCAGAAGAATCCCAAGAGCACGCGACATTACTCGCCCGCCGCCGCGAAGCCGCCAGCGTTGAGCAACAAATATCGGATCAGCGAGCACAACTTGAAGAAACCCGGCGCCGCCGACAACAAAGCGAGGAGCTGCAGGCGATGAAGACAAAGGCAAACCTTGAAGAGGATATCGCGGCGGCCACAATGCAGCGTCGCATGGCTGAGCAGCACATGTTGACCGAGGCGCATATGAACCGATCACGGGCACTCGCTACTGCCGAGCAGCAAGCGCAGGAGATCAAGCAGCGCAAGGCGCTGGAGTGGGAAGGGCTGATGAACAAGGAGCGCATCGACAACACCCGCCAGATGAGTGCCATCCGCATTAGCGAGCGTGAGGCAGTCGATCGCATCGACAGTGTTGCCGAACAGAGACTGGGCAAGCGTCTAGACTCACAACGAAAACTGGTGGAGAGCCAGGAGCGGCTTGCTGGCCGAATCGCTGCTGGTACAGGCACATCCAATGCCGATGCTCGCAGGCAGATTGGGTTTGTAACGGAACTTAATTGAGAACACGACATACCATAGACGGCGTTATTTCCTTTTTTTCTTTTTTGTTTAGCGAGGGCCGGCTTACATGCAATGCTTTGGCACCAGCCTTTTATATGTATTTGTACACTCTTTCATCCTTACACAGCGTTCTCTTTTACATATTTTCATATAAAAATCGTATTTCATTAATTCTTTTCTATCCTGTAATTCAGTTTTGAAAGCGTTACGTTTCCATGTATAGCTTAATTCTGCCAGTTGACCTTGATAGAGTCAGCGCCAGTTTCCACGACACAGTAGCCCTCGGTACCGGCTGCCTCGCCGCTCGCAGCCTTTTCGTACGCAGCATCTGAACGATCACATATCGTAGCAAGGTCATCTTCACTGAGAATACTATCACTACCGGATGTTTCGTAGACCTGGCCATCCTTGAGCAGCAGATTGCGCAGAGCTTCCTTGTCTAGGTCATCCTGGACACCGCCCTCCATCTTCTGCCCCATAGACTTGAACCCGCCTTTTCGAATGACGAGCTTCTCGAGACGACGCTTCGCATCGGCCGACATGAGCAGTGTCTCTTCCACGGTCCCGCGCGTTGCTAGACGGTAGACGATAACAGGCCTAGTCTGGCCGATGCGGTGGCAGCGGTCCTGGGCCTGCAGATCTTGCTGCGGGTTAAAGTCCGAGTCGAATAGGATCACAGTATCGGCGGATGCGAGATTGATGCCCTGGCCGCCGGCGCGCGTGGACAGCAGGAAGATCTTGTAGTTGGGATCGTTGTTGAAGTCGCGGATCTGGTCGCGGCGGCTTTGCTGCGACACGCCGCCGTCGATACGGCATACGTCCCAGCCACGAAGCTCGCGGCAGTAGTCCTCGAGAATGTCGAGCTGCATCTTGAACTGGGAGAAGATGAGGACTTTGTGGCCGTCCGCGAAGAGGCGAGGAAGTAGACGGTCGAGCATGAGCATCTTGCCTGATGCAGTGACGATTGTTTCGTCGACGGGGATGTCGGTTGACGAGGCCCATGGGCTGTAGAAGTTGTGTGGTGAGTTGCAGACGAGGCGCTGCTGGGCGACGGGATTGCCTAGCTTTTTGGCGGCAATTTGTTTCTCTGGATGTACGTAATTAGTCAAGGCAGGTGGCAAGTGTTGGGTTGGGATGTTACGTACTAGCAAGTTCGAGGGTTTCTGTACGCTCAAGCTCTTCAGCAGAGAGCGGGACAGAAGGTTCGGTGTCGGTGTCGGCAGAGTCTTCTAGTTCTTGGGCGAGCTTAGATTCAAATGCGTCGTCGGAAAGCTCGTCTTCTTCACCAGAGTCTGCTTCTGCATAAGTGCGGCTCTTGCGACGGCGGCCGCGTGTAGATGCTGGCGTGGACTGTCTGCTGGATCGCGAGCTCTTGGCTTCTGGCTCAATCAGCTGCGGTGGACTCTTTCGCTTCGCGCTCGAGTTGCGCGGCGTGTTTATGGGATCGGTTTCTTTGAGTGGCGTTCGAGGTGCTCGTTTACCCATCATCATGGCGAATGCATTTAGTGTAGGTGCTGCAGACACGTTTGAGGTGCGGCTACTACGGGGGCTTTCTCTGACAGGTAGAGTGATTGTTTTGGTGTCCTTTGCCTTCTTGGCTGCTCCTCGCTTTGTAGATCTGGTGCTGGACGCCCTGGATAGGATAGCGCTTTGAATCTGCTCGGCTGCTTTGTCTTCCAAGTAAGCGCGGGTATCTGTGTCTTTGTCGCTCAAGACGTTGTATAAGTCGGTCTGTTCCTTGGTCATCGGCGCAAACAGAACGTATTCTCGCTTTTTGGGGAGATATGCAGCCACATCTTGTTTAATTCTCCGCAAGAGTAGTGGCTGCAAAATGAGATGCATCTTTTTGACCAATTCTTGCTTCATCTTATCAGCAATGAACTCTTCGGTACCTTGCTCGTCCTCGAGGTCTGAAAAGTCAAACCACGACTCAAAGCTCTCCCAATCTGTAAAGATGTCTGGCAATAAAAAGTGTAGCAAAGACCAAAGCTCTTTCAAGTTGTTCTGAAGCGGTGTTCCCGTTATGAGCAATCGCGTTGCGGAGGTGAATTGGCGGAGCTGTTGGAAGAGCTTGGCCTCGGCATTCTTCATGCGATGGCCTTCGTCGATGATGATGAACTCCCAGTTAATTCGGGACAAGTGGTGTTGGTCACGAAGTACCATTTCATAAGATGTGCAGACAACAGGGAACTTGTCAGTTGGGCGCCCTCCTTTCAGATTCTTCATCAGGTGCTTGTTGAATATCTCTTCTCTCTGAACCGCGTTGCCGTGGTACATGATGACGGGAATCGAGGGCGTCCAATGGTTGAATTCGTCCAGCCAGTTCGATAATGTGCTAAGAGGAGCAACAATAAGATGCGGGCCAAGATAGTTTTCCTGTTCGCGGAGGAGCGCTAGCAGCGAGATTGTCTGAACTGTTTTTCCCAGACCCATCTCATCAGCCAGGATTCCGCTCATGCCTTGCGAGCAGATTTCATACATCCATGTAAGACCTTCGAGCTGGTAGTCGCGCATAGTGCCGCCAACCAAGCACTTTGGCTGCTTGGCCATCTGTAGGTTGTGTTCACCAAGAGTCTTGCCATCCAAGCCAGAGCCCACTCGGCCCAGTACTTGGGTCTTCTTCGTAAGGATATCGCTAAAGGCAGCACTCTTCATGAGCAGCTCGTCCAATTCGCGGGCCTTTGCTTCTCGCTCAGCCTTTGTCTCGGCCTTCTTCTTCTTCTTTCGCTTGTTGGCAATGGCTTTCCGTCGGCGCTCTTCGGCAAGGTTATTAGCGACACGTGCCTCTTCTTCCTCTTTGACGAGATCATCCTCATTCAAATCTTCCACTTTTACAGCGGATGGCTGAACTGATGGTGAGTCTATTGTGCCATTGGCTTCTTCGGTTTTTGATTTAGTGGCAGCCATGGTAGCGTGTGATAATTAACGTGTGAGTGGGATTAGCCGCAGAATGAACCCTGCAATTGCATTGAATTCAGTAAGGTTGAGGAATCATCCGTATGCAATGTCGTATAAGCAGGTCTAGAAAATGAATCACACACATCAATTGTATGAAAATATTCTATCCAAAGACGCTTTGCACGAATGAACCAATTTGGTGGTGCCAACAGGCGCGTGAATCCGAGGGTGAATGGCGACGCGACAAACGGTAGCGCGAAGTCACGTTACCCAGTTAAAACCGTTTGCCCACTGCGCTGCACCAGCACAGCCAAGGCAGCTACCCCGCCCCCGCCAAAAAACTGAGTACAATCCGCTAGAATTTTCCACCACGGTGTTTTTGACTCACGCCGTTCACCTTTACACAAAAACTTGTCGACATCTTCGTCTCCGTCACCCACGAGACGATCACCACCCGACAAGCTGTTTGCCCTTCGAGCATTCCGACCTATTCCACGCACCCCCGCCCTCCTACTTCAATTGCAATCTACAATGGCGGCTCTCAGCGCCCAGACCTTCACCCCTAAGGAGGAGACCGAGATCCAGCAATGGCTCACAACCTCTGAGCGTCTTGCTGCCGCTGACGGTGACAAGGCCTCGATCCTCGATACCCTCAACACTCACCTCTCCAGCCGCACCACTCTCCTCGGAGCCAAGCCCAGCAAGGCCGACATCGCCATCTACGAGACCCTCGCCCCCGTCGTCGCCAAGTGGTCGCCTGATGAGCGCACTGGCGAGCAGGGACGCCCTCACATTGTCCGCCACCTCGATTTTGTCCAGAACTCTCCCATCTTCGGCCTCGAGGTTGCTGAGAAGATCGTCGTCGACCAGGATGATGTCCGCTACGTCAAGCCTCCCGTGGACGCCAAGGCCGAGAAGGAGAAGTTGAAGAAGGAGAAGGCTGCTGCCGCCGCTGCTGCTGCCGCTGGTGGCGCTGGTGTTGCTGCTGCCGGTACCACTACCACTCTTGTCGACCGCACCAAGGAGGCTGTCAAGGACCTTGCTGCTGAGGCCAAGGCCGCCATCACTGGCGAGGAGAAGCCCAAGAAGGAGAAGAAGGAGAAGAAGGAGAAGCCTGCCAAGCAGCCCAAGCCCCAGCCTGTTGCTGCCGCTCCTACTCCTGCTCTTATCGACCTCCGTGTCGGCCACATTCTCAAGGCCGTCAACCACCCCGATGCCGACTCGCTCTACGTTTCCACTATTGCTGTTGGTGACCAGCCCAACGACGACACTACCGAATACGAGGGCCAGGTCTGCCGCACCGTCTGCTCTGGCCTCAACGGTCTCATTCCCCTCGAGGAGATGCAGGGCCGCAAGGTCATTGTTGTCTGCAACCTCAAGCCCGTCAAGATGCGCGGCATCAAGTCCTGCGCCATGGTCCTCGCTGCTTCTCCCCGTATCAAGGAGGGTGAGGTTGACGACCACAAGGGCCCTGTCGAGCTCGTCAGCCCTCCTGCCTCTGCCAAGGCCGGTGAGCGCGTCTACTTTGAGGGCTGGAAGGGTGAGCCCGAGGGTGTTTTGAACCCCAAGAAGAAGATCTGGGAGATGTTCCAGCCTGGATTCACCACTACTGATGACCTTCAGGTTGCTTTTGATGCTAGCGTTGTTGAGGCGCTCGGCAAGACTGACTTGGGCAAGCTCGTTGTTGAGAGCGGCGGTGTCTGCACCGTCCCCTCTCTGAAGGGCGCCACCGTCAGGTAAATAAGTCTTATAATTATCAAAAAGCATACATAGTAAAATTGATGACCTACTTTTACATATTCTTTGTTCCCTTTTCTGTTACTGGACACGTAGATGGAAGATTATGGCTAGACGATGGGTGTCGATTAAGAAGTTTTGTGACAGCTTAGCCTACAATGACAATCACGAATAATGTTTGAACTTGAGATTATACTTCAAAATACATTGTATGATTCTATACAAATCCAATGGGATGAGAGTAGTCCGAGGGATATGCTACATGTACAGTACAAAAATGCGCAAATGAAAAGAACGCCGTCTGAATGCTCGCGCAGAGCTGATAAAGTGAAAATGCCAAAACGCCGGCCAAATGAACCGATGTAAAATGATCGCTTCCGGATGATGTTTTTTGTTCTTTGCGCCAAGATGCCTCCAAAATAATAAATAATAATAATAATAATAAAACAGGTGCCAGCGTCCAATATATTCGTACAGATATGCAGTGAGGAGGCGTTTATGAGAAGAAGTATTTGCTGCCACGGAGTCTCGTGACGTCAAAGTCGCCCTTCTCAGGGATATTGGGGATGGTCAGGGGAAGCCAAACAGGTAGAGCTGCCTTTGCAGTCTTGCTGGTCGACTTGGCCTTTGTCTTCTTTTGTGCGCCGGTGATGTGAGCTTGGAACGAGTTATCAACATCGTCGACGTCGACAGAATCCTTGGATTCTTCTTCAAGGAGGTCGCTACCTTCTTGAGCAGCCTTCATTTCTTGCTCGTCCTCAAGTAAATCTTGCTCGGTGATCTTGCCCAAGCCCATGTCAGCAGCATCGTGGGCGATTGTCACGTCAACCTCAGAAGCCTTCATGTCTTCGTAGACAGAAGCTGGGGTGATGATTTGCTTCGCTGCTTCCAGGTCCCAAGGGTTGCCGGACAGACGCAGCTGGTTGCGCTTGTGCTCAAGGAGCAACTCCTCCTGAGGAGAAAGCTTGCTCTTCTTACGCAGTTCCTTGATCTTCTTGGCAACAGCAGAGTCAGGGTCAATGTGAGCGAGATAGATGGAACCTTGGTGGCGTGTCTGGAATTCCTTGGACAGACGTCCGACGACATCTTCCTCGTGAATGTTGATGAAAGAGTCTCTAATGACACCGTTCATGACATCAACATCGCTAGCATGGGTCCAGAAGGAATCGTGGACAGCTGCGAACGAGAGGCCGAGCTCGTCACACTTCAGCGCAGACAACAACATGTGGCTGGCATCAAGTGAGTGGATGAAGTTGGGTGGGAATCCTTGAAGTTGCTTTCGTCGGTTGACAGGGTCGGTTTGGTCACTGACGGGATAGACAACGGCCTGGAGGCAAGTGCGGATCTCCTTGGTGTTTTGCTTGCGGTAGGGTTGCGCAACGGGCATTCGAAGCGGTGTCGTCCAGACCACTGTGGAGCGGAATTGCTGAGAAAGCTCCTCAAAGCCAGTCTTGGCTTTGCTAGTGGCCTTTTTGCCTCTACCTCTACGACTTCCATCCTCCGACATGCTCTCACCATAGGCATCAGCAATCTGCTGAAGCTGAGACACAGTCAATGCTCGGCAAACGCGACCACCAACTTCACCAAGCCAATGCTGAATGTCATGAGCACCACGGAACATGGTGGCAAGGGCAGTGAAGATGTGGCGTGCAATGTAAGAAGATAGTCGCAGGTTAGGGATGCCGCACTCGTTGCCAAGGTTGGGGTAGAGGGCATCAATTTGCTTGCAAACCTGCTTCTTAGCACCGGCAAAAGTCACACCGTACACGTTGGTCATGACAGTCTGCTTGACAACCTTTCGTGTAATCTTGCCGTTGAGCGCGAGACCGAATGGATCCTGTGCCTCGGCATCCTTCACGATAGCTGCCTTGACTAGATCGGCTACGGCAGAGTAGACGTCAGCAGGGCGCTCTCCAGGCTCTAAGTTTACCTGCTTGGCACCCCAGGTGTCACCACCAAGAGCAGCATAGTGCTGGAGACCGTTGCAGGTACCGTCCTGGTGGACTGGAAGATGCGAAATGTATTTCGTCGGGTCTTCAAGTTCCATAGCCGCGGCAAGTTCGAAACAGGCAGAAAGGCATTGCCAAGGGTCCTCAGCCTTCATCCACCAGCGGCTACCTCCAAGTGGGTTCGCCGCAGACTCCTTGATGTTTTCCATGTTGTCGTTGGAGAAAGCTTCGCGCTCGTCAAAGCTAGACTTGTCGAGTCCGAAAACGTTGGCGAGATGAATCTTGACCCATCGGAGGCCACGAGCACCAAGTTCACGACCTTCAGCAAATTTGAGAATGGCGCGAGCGTGGTCAGCTCCCATGTGGTTCAGGTAGGCAGGAATGGGATAGGCTCGGCCACGGTAGTCGACATTGTGCGGGAAGTAGAAGGTTTGGTTGCGGAATGCTCTAGCAACCTCAAGCTGCAAGTTGATATAGCATCGCTGAGAGTGCAAGGCCGAGCGCTCATTCTCTATGGCCTTTACCTTGCTCAGCCACTTTCGTCGGATGGATGGGTTTTCGGAGGAGTTGGGTTCTTGTGGAACTTCAAGATCAGGATGGAGAGGAGGGAAGTTGGTAATTTCTTCTCCCGTGTTCCATGCCTGCACCATGACGTCAAAAGTTTTCTCGTTGATCTTCCAGGCCGTCTTGCCAAGGACATCGAGGCCCTTGAACACTTTATCCATGCTGCCAGATGCAACAGCTTCTTTGGTATAGAGTCGCTGTTCGACATCACCAGGCTTGAAACGAACGACATTGGCCTTACTAGCAAGGAAGCCTCCCTTGTCAAGGCCTCTCCAAGGCTTAGGTGGAACAACCATGGGGAGATGTTTGGCAAGGAAATCGCCCATGGGCTCCTTCTTCAGCTTTGATACGAGGACTTCATTAAGGTAAAGGACACCGACCTTTTTACCCTTTCTGGGTTGTTGAAGGTGGGTGAATGCGGGCTGTGATTGTGTAATGCTTTCTCCAGTTACGGGGTCGAATTTTATAGCGTCAACCTTGGCAGTCTCGATAAATGACTTGACCAGGATGGATCCAAGGTGTGCTTTGATTTGTAGCGACCATGGCTTCTGCATGTTTTCTTGCAGACGTTCGCTGGCCTCGGTGGCCTGTAGCAGTTGTACGGGAGCTTCGGTGTTTGATGGATCGGTCTCGGTGGTAGCATCGTAGCGCAGGTAACGCTTTCTGCGGCTCGTCTTGCTCTTTTCCTTGCGCTGCATTTCGATATCTTCTTGTGCAAGGCGTGCAACTTCAGTGATAAGTTTGCTAACAACAAGGCCCTTGTCGAGTCCGCTCAAAGATCCGTGGTTGAGAACAGCGAGTATAGTAATGGCGGCAAGTCGAGATGGATCGGCTTCGGAGATGATCGGGCCGTACAGGCAGCGCTCCAAATCAGCTTCTGATTTGACGGCCTTGTTTTCCGATTTTTCAATCAGAGCGAATTCTTCCTTGAGTCGAACAACCATGCCGTTGAGCCATGAGCCCATGTGTGAAGATGCTAAGCTGCTTGGCGATGTGGAGCTGAATGCGGTGCTGACGCCCAGTCTTTGCAGGCCCTTTGACATTTCGCGCCACTTGAAAATAGCTGCATCGATGGAATCGCGTTCAAGATGCTGCTGAATGGCTTCTCGATCGGCGAGGGGAAGAGAAGCGATGTCTAAGTTCTCATAGCTGCCAAGAAGCTCCAAGCCCATCATCAACGAGGATAGACCGTGGCCATTTTGAGGGGTAGATACAAGCTTAGGATACGCTTCGTCTGATAATTTGCTCGTTTGTGTTTGCTCCGATGCCATGTCTTCAGAGAGAACGGCTGGTTCTACCTCCAGTTCGTCAATGTAGTCCTGGGCGTCGGCAGAGAAGTTGTATGTTGGGCAGATTTCGGTAATAACTGCGAGGTCTTGGTCGCTGAGAATATCATCCATTCCAAGAACTACAAGTCCGGCCTCACCTGGCGCCATTCCCATATATCTTGTGACGAGTCTTGTCAAGCGGGCACCTCGCTCGGATAATAGTGAGGCCTTGAGCATACATGCGATGGTCTCGGCAGTATGCGGCAGGTTTTTGTTTCGAACTTGGAGCTCATACCACTTGTGTAGTTGCTCTGCGCGGGCTCGATCGGGATTCGTTCGCATATACTGTAATGAGGCTTGCAAATATCTGTTGTGTAACAAAATTCGCTCCTCAGGTGACAACATGCCGACTTGGTTGATACGTTTCAACACAAGGCTGGCTCTGTCTAATTTTCCAACTCTAATGCAAGCATCAAAGACAGGAAGCATATCTTCAGTGTCTCCCGGAACGCCGTGGACATTTGTTTTGGTCAATGGCTTCGCCGCGGTAGGTTCAGGGATGACCAAGGGCGCCGTCGGATCGAAGGAGAGGAAGTCGGGAGTTGCGAATTGCCCAGCGAAGGGGCTCATCGATTGTTGCGAATAATTGGTATAGATATCATGTTCAAGCGGAAAGTCACCGACAGCAGTGGCCAAGTTGCGCTCAGAAAGCACATTGCGCATGGTTTCTGTCGTTGGTCGTCGCCAAGGGGTGGCCGGTCGTGTGACAACATGACGGTGGCCAACAGCCAATGTTAAGCTGCAGCACGACCATGTTCTGGTCATTGGTCTTCTTAACGATGAAGAAGTTATGCTTTGCGCATAAATGCCCCGGTGGGCGTGCCTCGAAAGCATTTTTGTGAGGGTTATGTTGATGTTGCGACAGTCATGGAAGGGGGAGTCTCCGGATGCGAACGAAGTGTCGAGTAATTGCGGTACTTGTCGGGAAGGAGAGGAAGAAAGATGTGATTATACACTATATAGCCGTCGAGTGCGCCGCTGAAAAGAGAAAATAGTACAATTAAAGGATGGTATTAAAGGAGGGAAGAAAAGAATTGCTGCTCGGCGCAGGCGATGAGGGTGTCAATTAAAGTGGAGGAAACGAAGGGGCACAAAGCTCGAAGTTTTTTCGAAGCTGGGGGCCCCCTAACGCTGGCGTTCCAATTGGTGTCACGTGACGACAAATTGGTAGCATCATATCCACTTTATTTCATGAATGAAGCTCTCACCCACGCGACAAGACGTCGACATATAATTTTATAGCAAACAGTATAAATTTGCCATTCGTGGCAATCGGCTGTTGGCTATGCTTCTTCGAAAAGCTGCTACGGGCCTCGGCTGCCGAAGCTGTCGCAATGTTGTGCTGCGAGCTACAACTGTTCGCACCCAGCTGTGCACCCCTACTACGCCAAGTAGCGCAACTCCTATGCGCTGGCAGCGTTCCATTGCGACAACATCTCGACTATACTCAACCGACAATAAAAGCCAAACGCCTATAAAAGATGAATTGGTTGATGTAGAAGATGCCGAAGAGTCGGAACTTGCATCCAATGTTCCCTGGTTCCTAGAGGAAGAAGCACCGCAGAGGGCGCCGAGCCAACATACACAGAAGCTCCCTGACGTACCAGAAGATGCCCCCAAAATGATTGGCCCGATGATCAAGTACATCTTTGAAGACATGGGTCTTGACGATATTTCCATGTTCGACCTCCGTGAGCTAGACCCTGCTGCTGCGCTTGGGCCGAACCTCATTATGCTCTTCGGAACGGCCAGAAGTGAAACCCATCTTCACGTCAGTGCCGGACGATTTGTCCGTTGGCTGCGCAAGAACCATAGCATTGCTGCAAAGGCAGATGGTCTGATTGGCCCCGGTGAATTGAAAACAAAGTTGCGCCGTCTACGCAAGAAGGCTAAGCTGATGGGAACCAACACAGCAGTCATCCCGAGAGGTGATAATGGCATTTCCACAGGCTGGATTTGTGTCAACTTTGGCATCAACGAGTCGCAATCGAATGCATCTGTTAGCTTCGACGAGAGCGGGATGATTTCAGGTTTCGGGTCGGAGGAAGACGGAGTGACTGTTGTTGTGCAGTGCATGACAGAGGCTAGACGTGATGAGTTGAACCTCGAAACGCTATGGGAGAGCACTTTGAGACGAAGCGTCGTACAGCAGATGAAGTTCCTCGGCGAGGACTCTAGCAATACGCAAGAAATCGACAGAATCATGAAGGAGAGAATCCAGCTGCCTACCACTGGTTCCAAACAGCAATGGCAGGCTCTCGAGCGAGCTTCACAAGAACAGCGACGTTTCTATTCAACGAGTGCACGTCGGCTAGAACCATCCAAGCAGCGCAAACCCAGCCAGAGCGCACCACCAGAGCCAACTCCGCGTGTCCCGCTAGACGAGGTCCGACAACAATTGCAGCTGCTCCAACAGAGCGGTACCCAGATTGACCGCTCCAAGCTGCATTCTCTGATCCAAGCCATCTTTTCAGCAACATCAGAGGAACCCAACTCGTCTCTGACTCGACTGTCCGCCATGGACCAACTTCTTCAGAGCGCTGAAGAGCAGGATACCAGCACATGGCACCCCGAGACAATCGTCACCATGATCGAAGCGATGACACTCTCGCCAGCATACGACTCGCACATACAACAAGCTCGTAAGAATATCGAATATCTCATTGCTCAAATGAAGCTCCGACCAGACAATCTCCAGCAACTCCGCCTTATGCACATATATGCCTCTCGCAAAGAATGGGAACGATTCTGGTACGTCTTCAGAATCCCGCCACGCCTACAGCAGCCACGCACAAAGGAACACTACGAGCTCGCGTTTCGCGCCATGGCACTGACCAAAGACGCTACGCTTTGCACAGAGGCCCTTCGCTGGGTATATCCCGAGATGCTCAAGGAGCAGATTGAGCTGGAGATTACGGGTGCTTTGTACATGTCGCTAAAAGCCTGTATCCTTACAGCAGACCCTATGGCTGAGCAGCTCCTAGCCCAACCGCCCTCAAAGGAAGGCATGAGCATTATCCAACAGCGACAGCTTGAGCGCCGTGAGTTTGTGTGCGTGCTTAGAGAAGTTGAGGACCTGCACCGCCATCATATTGCCATGACTGCGCGTGGCGAGCGCGACGGCCGCTTGAACAGGTTCCTCGATTCCGAAAGCAGCGCGAGGGCATAATTTGCGAGGCAATATCAGAATGTAACATTATTTGTATAAAACAGGATGAATCATATCATGTATCATTATATTAGAAACAAGTGTACTATAGAAAATTCTACCATATTTACTCTCTATATGCATGAATGTTTATAACTTTTCCTTAACGGCTTTCAGAGCCTCTCGTAGCGCAGGTGCTACCTGTTTCCGGCTGGCCTTGAGATTCTTTTGATTCCAGGCCAAGCTTACGCCAGGCCTATCCAAGCTTCCAGTGTCTAATTGAACGAGCTGTAAGTGGTCGGTGAACATGTCGCCAAACTTTGCGAGAGCTGCCTGGCCATTAGGTGTCACTCCCCACACTAGCAAATTACGTTGAAAGACGCCATTGGGAGAAGACGTAGTCATGATAGAGGCTACATCGAGGCTACGCTTCTCGGCCCACTCTCCAAGGTGCTTGTAGAGTGTATCTGCCGAGCCTGCTTTTTCGACGAGATAGTCCATGCCTTGGACGGCACAGCTGATGCCGAGCTGTATATCTCCCTCACGCCATTCTTTGTAATCTTTACGAAGGATTTCGGGGATCGTAAGGCTTGAGATGTCGTGTTTGACAGTGTCTATTTCCTTGTAGTATGTGGCTGAATCGAAGTCTTTGTCGGCTATGACATCTTCGAGCAGCTTAGCAATAATAGGGTCCTTCTCGCTCATCTTTTCTTTGGATCTGAGATTATCGGAATCAATAAGGATAGGTGCCAATGCGATTTTGGCAAGCTTTACGTTTTCATCCTTGGACGCCGCATCCTTTCTCATCTCATCCCATGCGCTGCGGTAGTGGTCGATGATGAGCGTTGCACAGCTACCTGCATGTTCAATAACGCGAGGCTCTGCCTCTTTACGGACTGCCTTTTCGTCGATATGGTGGTCAATGCAGCCAAGCACGCGATTCTGATACTTTGCAAGGGAACCAGTCAGCGCATTGTGGTCGACAAGTAGCCAGTCAGCCTGATCATCGGAGGCTATTTGCGGCAGATCCGACAATGTTAAAAGATCATTATAGTCTAGTCCAGTGTGGCGTAGAACAGGGTACAGCTCTGTGCGTAGCTTCAGGTCTTCCCGAGCGAGATTGCAAAGCGGGATGTGAAGCGGCTGTTTGGGTATGTTGGAGCGTAGGTAGGCGAAGAGCAGAGCTGAGCACAACGAGTCCAGATCTAGGCAAGTATTAGCAATGTAATGTTTACGCGGATACACAGACGTATGAGTAACAACTTACCAGCGGATTCGTTTCCGATAACTAGTGTTAGCGGCCGTGTTTTGGCTGAAGCCGGCGCGGTGAGGGCTGCTCTCGCTGCCGTCAGGAAACCCTTGATAGTTGATTGGCTGCCCATGACAAATAGAAGCTGCAGGTGGTGCCACTGTATGTATTTTCGATTTAATAGATGACCAGTGATGACCTTGGAGCTGCTTTTACACGTATAAAGCCTTCAGCCGCAGAGATTGGATGACGTTGCAGGCAGCAAACAGTGCTGCTGCAAGGTCCCCAGCAGACGATGCCCCACCAACAGAGGCAGCTTCAGGCTCTAAGGCTTTTTCAGCGGTTCGCATCGCAGCGTGGGGCGAACTTGCACTACGCTACCGGTAGTGGTATATTCGTCCTGGTAATAGCGCGCAGCACCGCCATCACTGTTTCAGCGCCACAACCTGTGTCTGCCTGTGGTGCTGCTTTCTGGTGAACTGTAGCCGCGCCCTGTTTGCGCCCTGTAGAACGCCATCGCCAACAGTCGCCCGCGTGGGGGGCGGCGGTCAACCGCGCAAAAGAGTCCAGTCCGCCCTTTGAACGCCGGCAGTGAACTGACCGCGCCTCCACTGTTTCTCGGTCCGCGACGACCACCAAAACCCAACTCCGGGTTAGATTCCCGCTATCGGCTCAGCTCCAACGCTACTTCTCCACCAAAACTCTCGCGTTGCCCGCCCCAAAAGACCGGGGTTTCCTCTCTCTCTTGCCATGCACGTCTTTCGTAGATTTATTGCTGTCCTCTCTGGTCTTGTCGTCCTTATCCTCCTCTACCGCATGCACACTGCTCCCGCCGTGCCTCTGACGCGAACGCCACCAGCCAAACAAGAACCAGGAACCATGGCTCCCATCCGCCTTGCCATCATCGAGGCTGACACGCCGCAGCCCAAGGCCAACGAGAAGTTTGGCGGATATCGCGGACTGTATACCGAAATGCTGCGCAAGGCTGCCGAGATACTCGAACCGCCTCAGCCACTAGAGGAGGTGCTCAAGATCACGGGTCACCATGTTGTTGACGATAAGGACCCGTATCCCAACTTGGATAACATCGATGCCATTCTCATCTCGGGATCCAAACACACTGCGTACCATGACGATGCGTGGATTCTGAATCTGGTGGAATTCACCAAGAAGGCGCTGGCCACTAAGCGCGTCAAGGTTATTGGCGTCTGCTTTGGCCATCAGCTCTTGGCTAGAGTATTGGGCGCACCCGTCGTCAAGAATAAGAAGGGATGGGAGGTGTCTGTTATGCCAATTCACTGCACAGATAAGGGCAAAGAAATCTTTGGTAGAGATATACTGGTAAGTCCAACTCTTGTCAACGGAACGACTAATAGGGGAAGAATAAAGGCTAATTGACCATGTTGTGTCATGTAGAACATTGAGCAAATGTATTCCGACATTGTATACGAAGTCCCTGAAGGCTCGACAGTACTGGCGAGCAACGACATGTGCCCTATCCAGGCGCTGTATTCCGAGGGAAGCTACATCAGCATTCAGGGCCACCCCGAATTCACAGGCGAGATCATGGACGAGATCTTGACCAACCGCCGTGGCGTTTTGTTTACCGATGAGATGTCTGACGACGGAATGCGCCGCGCGCACCTTGAACAGGACGGTGCGATTATTGCCAAGGGTTTTATTCGCTTCCTCCGCCAGGGCTAATGCGCCTCAGAGCCATTGTATATAAGTTAGTGGACAGCAAGCAAGTGAAAAAGCGTGTAAATAGATCTAGATGGCCAAATAGACGCAAGATTGGTTTTGGTTTACAACACACTTCTACAAGCGGACTCCACAAGCCCGCTTCACTATTTTCAGCGTGCACCCCTGGTCGCCTTCTTCTTTTGTCAAGTTGACTGTCTGTTTCTTTTTCAGTTGCATAATCACAGGTCTAAGCCTCGTGGTTTGCCAGCCCCCATGCTCCTCGACTGGGGGCTCGCAGCTCGCATCACATCACAGACAAGGCCGCGATATCAACGTCACGTCACCTTGCAAGCATTGCCCATGCACACTCCCAGCAAAATATACAATTCTCACAGTGTCCCATGCCTCTTTTCTTTACAAAACCAGAGACCGTCGGCCCGATCCGGCCCCACTATCCACGCCGGCGCTGGCCCAGCTTGGGAAAGCCTTGCTGCATGCTGCTGTCGATGGGCGCTGGCTGCTGCTGCTGCGGCGCTCGGTCCCCCTCCCTCTGCCCGTCGGCCAACAAGCACAAATGCGGTGTCGTGTCTTGAGCAGCTGCATGGTTACCAGTAAGCAAGCGTAATAGCATGCGAGCTACGGAAAAATAATAATTTAGCCTCACAGTGAACAAAAAGACAGGCCGCTGAACCTAGTGTCACAAATGATAAGAGAGGCAGAGCGCCAATGTCTGAATCAACATCACCATCACCACACATCTAGCACCACGACATGTTTCTCCCCAAAACAATGCACCGTGGCCCATCTCTGCATAAATAATAGCGGGTTATTTTGCTCTCCTTCGCCACAGCCAACACCAAGATGCAATCTCCACGGCCGCTCCTCATTGGCCGGTGTTTTTAGAATCACCCCAAAAGTGCCCGGGGCGCTGCGCCAAAAAGCCCGTGCGCAGCCCGCTCACAGCCTCGACCTGGGTGTCTTCTTCAAGGCTGCTCTACAGTCTGCAGCAGTACCTACTGTACCTAGCAAGCAGGCTCTGGTGACCGGGTCGGAGCGTTGGCGCACGGAACGAAGCTCGCAATGGGCTTGGACTGGGGTCCGAGTTTAGCTAAAGAGGCTGGCATGCGCTGCCAAATCGAGAAGAGCCTTCTTCTCCTCTTGGATCTTGCTTCCTCATTCAGCATACATACTACTTCGATTGTTTTTTCAATTCTCATCTTCTTTTTCGCGTGTAGCATCTGCGGCCGTTAGGTCAGCCTCAATTCATCACCATGGCATCAACAACACCTTCACCAAAGGAAAAATTCGGCATCAAGTGCCTCGAAGGCTCAAAGTTCTACGTCGTAGACTTCGATAAGCCCAACCATTTCCTGGGGTGCTGCCGAACCGACCCTCGCAAACGAGACGATGGCCAGTGTCCAGATGACGACCTGGACCAAATGTCCTTTGACCCAAAGGCACCTGCTGCCGACGACATCCCCGCCCAAAAGTGCTCTTCGAGAAGTGATGACAAGGAAGTCAAGTGGTTTACTTGTTCGGAGAAGGGTCATTTCATGGGCTGCTGTGCAGAGGATGCCTGCTCGTCCGGTTTGTGTCCTGCACGTTCGTTGCGGCAAGCTGTTCTTAGCGATGACATGAAGAACGCTTCTGCTTTTATTGTCCCCAAGGCCGATACCTTGGCAGTCGCGCCTACTACAACCGCCGCTGCATCACAGCCGACAGTAACAATGGCCGGTGTGAAAGACGGACCAAGTGAAAGCTCTGGAGGCCTTCCACGCGCTGCTGTAGCTGGTATTGGCCTCGGCACTGCTGGCCTAGTCCTTATCATTGCAGTCCTCATTTACTGGCTTGTTCGAAAGCGCAGGGCTGCCAAGGCTCGCAAGGCACTCGCTCGCACTCTGCTTGATGGCGATGCTCCTCGCAAGCTGCACTCAGAGAAGAGCAACGGTGTCCCCTCGTTCCATGCGCCTCTTACACTCCCCAAGGACATCCAATCCAGCCTCCAGATGCCGGGCGACTCGCCATACGACTCTCGTGCCCGAAGAGGCACCGCCTATCACAGCCAGACCCAGAGCTTTGCCGAGTCCGAAGACACCTTTGTTGGCAGCCCTGCTCCTCAGTACTCCTCGCCGCAAGTGCCCAGATATAGTATGGAAAAGGCTCCTCTTTCTGTTGCGCCAGTCCCTCCATTTATGCAGAATCCTGCAGCACAGAACCAGCCACCTACAACACCTACGTCACTCATCCCCGGCATGGTCTTGCCCAACGGTCCCTTGCCGCCAAGCACCATGCAGCAGAGCATCGCACAGCAGAACATCCCCCAGCAGCAGCACCAGCAGAACCCAGTTCCTGTATTTAGACAGCCAGCATCGTATCCGCTTCCTATGATGCAGCAAGCCCCGGTTCAGCAGCAGCAGCAGTCTGCAAATCTCGAAAACGTACCACGTCCGCCTCACCACCTTCACCCGCAGAACCGCATGCATCCCCAAGGATACGCCCGCCTTCCTCCCAATGGACAGGGTCCTCCCCAGGCATGCGGCAATCCCAACCAACAGCAGAGATTCTGCAACGCCCGTCCACAGCAGCAAAAGCCACTATCGCCTGAACTCCCCATCGTCCGCCGCCACAGCAGCTTGGCTTTCAACCCCAAGGCACTGCGCTTCTCACCTAGTGGAAGACTCAAGGCCGCGGTGAGCGAGAGACTGGAAAAGCACCGCGAGGCCGACAGACAGAAAGAGTACGAGAAACTGCAGGCCAGCGAGCAGCAAAATGGTCCACCTACGCCGGGCCCATCGACGGCTTATTACAGCGACTTGCGCAGCCCTCGCAACATGCCCATGGAAGGCATCATTGAGGACTCTGAATCCATCATGACATATAACAGTCGAGAACCTACGCACTGGGAGGCCGTGGAGAGACGATGATTTTTGTATATTACGCATGGCATGTAATTTTCTTTGTGTTTTGTTTTACTACACGGAAAGTGTATCGGCGTTGTTGGAATACCACAGAAGCAATACAGTACAGTACATTAGCATTTCTTCACATCCATGTCCTATTTCAAACCAAATTTAAACCGCTCTAGCACAATCTCTTGGCATTCTCTTACATGTTTTGCCACGCGCTTGACGCATTGACGTCCAGTTTCATTAGTGGCGTTCTGCGCTTAGGCTCTAGTGTGAGAGCGACAGGGTAGTGGGCACGGTCAGTGCGCAGTGGGTGTGGTGAACAGACTAGCGGGATTTTAGGGTCATTGAAAAAAAGGCTACAAACGGTGATGTATGTATTTGCTTGCTTGCAATGTAGTGAAGCAGCTTGGATGAGTTATTTTAGTCTTGTTGCGCTTTTGGGGCGTCGGTGGCTGTTTGAGTTTCGATGGCGATAATATCCGGCCGAGGTCAGTGAATTAGCCGGTGATGAGGACAGTGAGCACGCGTACCATGTTCGATCTGAGGCTGTTGAATCATTTTATCCAAGAGTGCTAATGGAAGAATGAAGAGCAGAAGAATTTACATTTCGATGAGATTTTGTAGTATTTGGGGGGAATATGGCGAATGCACTCTGCGTGTAGAATGGTGTCTGGTGTCGTACCCTACGTTGGGACTGTTTGCTTTATTTAGCTCTACGCTGATACTCAACGGTTAGTTTATAGAGCTCGACTGTGTCGAGCGTATGAAACAAGTATAAATATGCATAATTTGAATGTTTCATGGTGTAAGGTTTGGTCAATAATGTTCTTGTTTTTGGTGTAGATGCCAAGCTTCCTTTCGGAGGTAAGAAATACGGCGATTCTAGCACAATGGCTGAGAATTGGTAACGCAAAAAAATAAAGAGTAGATGAGAATTGAATTCATTGTTTTTAATGAGACCAATGGCTCCTCTCCGATCGCATATCGTGGGCATCGGTTGTACATGGACCAGGGAACCGTTGAGTGCAAGGATTGCGTCAATAAGCCATGGAAGAGGTCAATTCAATCTTTTAATGTTGATTTACACGGTGCTGTATAGTCATTTCAGATAATTTTACAGATTAAAAAGGAGTTTAGTTCTTGGATTGACATGATCAAGAGTAGATGGGAAACGCAGAGACCTGACAGCCGCGCTACAGTGTAGCCTGGCATCGGCACGTTACGGATACTGTACGGCCTCGTGGCGGGGTAAAAGCAAGGAAGAAGCGTTGCGTCATACACCAACAAACCAAAAAAAGCAGAAAAGGTACGCGGCGCCACGCAGCAGTAGAAAAGCAGAAAAGGCACCGAAAAAGGAAACGGATGAAAATATGGATAAATGACCGACTCAAGCTCCAGACTCTAGGCGGGCCGTTGCGTAATGGGAACCAACATTTACTGCAAAGCATGGCTATGCAGATAGATGCACAGCACTGCCTTGCTTCTACTCTGCAGAGGCCTGATGAGTAAAGAAGGCGGTATAGAGCAAGAGAGAGAGGAAGATCCCCGCTTCCTTGGATTCTCGAAGTGGCCGCCCTCGCGAAGATCGCAGATTGGAATTTCCTTGGCAGCATGAGAGATCGTGATGAATTGGCTCTCCGCCGTTGCGCGCGTGCTTCTCTGAGCTGGCTGTAAGTGCCCAGCATATCGTTTAGGCGTGTAAGGATACGCTTGTCGGTAACCTTGGCCGGGTAAAGCAAACAGTGGTGTTTGTTCCTTATAGCCGCCTATAGAGTCTCACATTTCCCAGCGCCAAGTGGAACAAACACCCGCCGAGGCCTACAGGAGACCTTTGCACACTTCATCCGGCCGGGAAGGCTCTCATTCAGCTGGCTTGACTTTCTCCTGTCAGTGGCTCTTTGACTTGGAGGTTGTAGGTAGCACAGCACCCAGCCACAATTGATGCTCAAGCCTCATTCTTCCATATCCTGTTTATCCAGCCAGCGATGGCATGCATATTTCCTGCTTTTTGCCAGCTAGTCTAGCGCTGCAGGCTTGTGGCGTCACTACCAAGGTCGACCAAGTGGCGCAGGCTTCTGGCTGCCCATCGAAACAACACCAGAGGGAGCCCGGACGAGATGCCGATCATGACGACGACACGGCTGGTCGGCCTGGCCATAAAAGGCAACCGGTCGTCCGCCTCCAAATGGGCAGATATCTCCTACTATAGAATCATTACACAGTCACTCACTCTCACAAGGACTTCGCTCGCTCAACACTAATACCCTTTTTCTTCTACTACAAAACCAACCACCATCAATCAACATGAAGTTCAACACCGCAGTCGTCGGCCTTGCCCTTGCCAATGGCGCCTTTGCCATCAACTCCTCGCTTGTTAGCAACCTCGCTTCTCAGCTCAGCTCAGCTCTGCAGGAGACTACCTCTGCTGCCCCTACGGCCACTGTCACCGTCACCACTGGCGCAGCCGACTCTTCCTCTGCTGCCATGGGTTCCGACACCATGTCTGCCGCTGCCAGCAGCACTGGTGCAGCTTGCAGCCTGCCCGCCGGTAGCGATACCACCATGGCCACTGTAATGAGCTCGTCTGCCACTGGCGGCTCTGGCAACACGACCACTAACACTGGCGCAACTGGTTCTCAGACTGGCGGCTCTGCTTCGCAAACCGGCGGTGCCTCTGGAACTCAGAGCGGAAGCGGAGGTGCTGCTACCAGCGCCCCTGCCACCGCCGCTGCCGCTGCCAACGGCGTCTACCTCGCTCCTATTGTCGGCATTGCAGCTGCTGTCGCTTTGCTGTAAGAGAGTCAATGGGAGATGAAATACCAGGGGAGACGGGATGGACAGTCCCAGTTTACGATTATACACGAAAGCCTTGAATATTTTGTATACATGCGGGAAATACCAGCAGCATATAATTCGAAAGGAAATAATATACCATTAGTCTTTTATATATCTGAATACACTAGCGTTGAACATGTTCCAAACACGAGCTCGCACCATTTTTCGTTTCTACTACATTTAAAAGACATTGCCAACGGTCTGCTTAAGGCTCTTGAGGTCAATGTTTTTCCAGAGAAGAACGCAGAGCAAGCAGAGAGGGAGGAAAGCAGAGCCGATAATAACCATGAGGCGCATCACATAGCCGTAGGCATCGATAATGGCATCTCGGACGGGGTCACCAATCGGCCAGCTCGTCTGGATTGTGATGTCGCCGTAAATCTCGTCAAGACGAGGAAGCACTTCGGCAGGCAACCTCTGTCGGAGCTGGTCGGGCAGCATATTGGACCACATGGCGCCAGCAATGGCTTGGGAGATGGCAGCGCCAACGGAGCTGAAGAGATTGAAGAGGGCAATGGCGACAGCCACCTCTTGATGAGAGACGCTGGCCATGATGGCAATCTGTGCCGTCAACGACCAGATACCGCTGGATACACCGTTGAACAGCTGGCACATGACGAGGTAACCAGCATTGGTGCCGGGGTGGCGGAAGATGATGAGAAGAGCGGTACCAAGAATGGCAAAGGGGAAAGCGCCAATGGAAACCCACTTGTATGAGTTGGTGTATCGAACAATGCTGATTGAAAAGTTAGCACACGTTGTGAAGAAAGGGGAAAAAAGACATACAGCCCAACGAATGGACCGACAAAGGCACTCATGACGGAAAATGAGTTGAGGACGTAACTAGCGTTGGACATGCTGAGGTCGTTGACAACAATGAGGTAGGAGTAGTAGTAGGTGTCCCAGACGCTGTGATACGTTAGCAACTAGGCAAATAGAGTGTAGAGTTGAATACGTACAAGATGGAGAGGAACATGATGCCGGAAAGAAGACAAGACAGCAGAATGGTGCGGTTCTTGAGGTAGCGCCACGGCATGTAGCGTACAGGCGCAAAGTACTTTTCCCAAATGGCGAATCCAGCGAGGCAAACGAGACCAAGAATAATCATGGCAATGATGTAGCCCGTCTTCCAGCCGTTGGGGGCATACTGCTGGATGCTGAAGGGGAGGAGGAACAGCGAGAAGCCGAAGATGGTCAAAAGCATACCAACAACTGTATTACGTGTTAGCACTCCTCCGCACATGGAGAGGGCATGGGGCAAGAGACTTACCATCGAACTCGACACAGTAGTGGTAGATGGCGCCAAAGATTGATGTGGCGCCAGTAGGCTCACGGGGAGGATACTTGCCGAGCCTGATGGCCTTGCGCTTGCTGAGGATGAAGATGATCAGAACGGGGACAGCAAAGAAGATCTCGATGATGAGGAACGCGCCAAAAGCCCAGCGGAAGTTTGCATGGTCGTAAAAGAGCGTGGCAATCTGAGGACCGCCCAAGTTGGAGGCGATGACAGTGGTGCCCTGGATGCCGAGCATAATGAGACGGTTTTTCACAGTGGTCATGTCGGCAGTCATGATGGTGACAATGTAGAGAATACCCGTGTGGCCGGTCCAGTAAATGGTGTTACCGGCCGTGTACATCTCGACGCTATTGCAGGCGGCCTTGAGGATCATGGCGAGGGTGACAAAGATGATCATGACGGCGAAACCTTCGGCGCGGCCCCAGATATCAATGACCTTGGCAATGGCGAGGTTACATACACCGCTGACAATCGAGGCGAGGACGTTGGTGACGCTGAGGAGCGAGTGCTGGCCAAAGTCGGAGGTGATGTAGGGGCTGAGCGTGCCCTGGACGGCCTGGAGCATGTTGTCTGTAAAGACGACCATGTATAGTCTTTACACAGTTAGTCAATCATCCTTGTCGTCATCTTTCACTGTTAAAAGGAGATTCTTGTTCTTCACATACAGGATAAACATGGCAATCATGGTTTTCTCGTCCCAGACGGTAGTCAGGGCCTCGGCGCGACGAACACCATCCTGCATATGCGTAGAGGAATTATCGGAATCGAGGCTGTCGTTCTTAATCTCCTCGGGGGCATTGTCGTCCATACTTCCAGCAGTAGCAACAGGAGCGTCTTTCTCGGCAATGAGAGCGGCGCGATTCGCGCGATCAATCGTGGCGTCGGCAACGTGCGACATTATGTGTGTGTAGTATGCTTGCTCCGTGGGGTATATCAAAGAAAAAGCAGAACGAGTACAGGGGCTAGCTAGCTTGGCTCGCTGACGAAAACAGAAGAAAGAGAAGAAAACGTGGGACATGCAGGCACGTTTATGTACCGACTGTCGTATCCGATCCGGCGGACGGGAAAGGGAAACAAAGAAAGCTTCTAATCAATCAGTAGTGGATCCCACTTAGAAACGAGGCTCTAAAGGAGGGCCCCGATTAAAAAAAAACAACGCACCCGCTTCGCAAAATGAAAGCCGCAAGGACGGGCAAGCAGCCGTTTGGTTGGAAGAATGGCGAGGGTAAATTGGGGCACGTTTACTCCGCTTTTTGCTTTTGCTGCGGTGGGCTGAAGACGATCCGTTGCAGAATAAGACGCAGTAGAGTGGGAATCAGGCTGGTGACTGACAGAACGAGGGTTTGGTGTGGTGTGATGATCCTGGCCCTAGAGATTGATTAGACAAGGAATAGTGCTAGCAGCACGCCACAGCCCCGATGTCTGTCCCTGAAGTGTGTTTTCCCTCGCTAAACATGGAATTTTGAATTAAAAAATAAAACATGAATGCTGCTAACACATATTCTATTTTTTTTTTTACGTCGTTTGTTTTTGCTTTTGTAATTCCTGTGCAATTCTTTATCAGATCCGAGTTTTTTTTATCTTGATCATCTGATAAAAAAAACACATACACAGCACGCACCGCCCAGTGGGCCTTCACCCTCTCAAGCCTCTTTACTCCGCTTCTGCAGCCAATAAACTCTCCGTCTACCGGCAGAAAAAGCGGCCCAGGATGGTGGATTTTGCCGTTTAATGAGCTCTGCTTGGCTTTGTGCGGTGCCGGCCAAGGCCGAAGATGTCGTCGGAACGCGTCGGAGCAATTCCTACGACAGCGGGATCAAGATGGCGCTGGCCAGGAATGGCATTGATGGCTTCATTCTACGGGCTGGGCACGCTTGGCGACGAGACATGCAAATTCATGCCTTTAAGCTGTATGACTTGGATCACAAGCTTCCTTTATGAATCTACACTAGATGCTGTCTCGTTGCTTGCTTTGTTTACCTACATACATACATCTCCGGAGCCTGATTGCCTCTTCTGGCCCCCCTTCGACTGCCGAGAATGCGCCAATAAAACCTGTCAAGATCAACAAGAAAAAAGCCACCATTCAATAGTCTAGACCCTGCCTCGGCCCTCAGCAGTTAGGCTAGTAACACCCCAGCTGGTCGGTCGAGAGCCTCACTTGCAAAAATGCATCTCCCATCTGATAAGAACACAACAAGTCAGTAAGGCGAGCAAGCCACAGTCACGGAAGATTGACCGCTGGCATAAATTTTACACGCCAGAAACAAGAAAAAGGGGATCATGTGGGCTCGCCTGGTGGGGAGGCAAGGCCGCCATGCAGCGGGACAATAGCCGCGCAAGACGCACCGTTTTCACCCGCCGCTAGGCCATTGGGTAAGTCGGCTTTACAAGGTCAGCCAGGTAGGGCCGTTGGGTATGATTTTCGCTAAAGACATCCTGGGTTCGTCGGGTGAACTGCTGCTGCGGTTTACAGCGATGCCCTTGCATCTGTCACGCGACAGTGGAGTGTGGCCGTCTTGCCGGACCCAACAAACAGTAACAGAAGTGGAACACTGCCAAGAGGAAATAGGAGACAATGTATTGATTAATGTGAAATTTGAAAGCATTTTTTGCTGTATTTTTTGTGGTGCTCCTGCTAGATCCGTTGTTCTGTTGACATGTCGCCTCGCAGTCAGAGTAGGTGGCGGGAGCTGGCCATATTGTAGGTAGACAGCTCTGACTGAGTTTCCGCCGATGTGCTGAATTGTGTAAAGGGCATAGGACTCTGTTTTATTGCATTTTTAAATCGTGTTTATGCCTCTACAATGGCTACCTATAACCAATGCAGTGTCTTGCCAATGCCTGAGATGGACGAAAGGAAATAACGTCCACCAAACGGCCCCCTCGATGGAAGATTTATAATAATGAATGGACTAGAAATTCATTGTCAAGGCTACTTATCATGTCCTGTCGAAAAAGTAGAGACAAGGGCAAAGGAGAGATGTGTAGGCGCCAGAGCATACCTATATATACGGATACAATCACCCAACTACCTCCACGCCACACAATAACTCATAAATGTAATCAAATGACGAAACGCGGCTTTTAACAACTGTCCACAGTCTTGGGCCTATTATTCCCGAATTACTCATTACATCACCGGCTTCGGGTGCCGTCATCGGAGGGCCTGCACAGCATTCCCCCTCAATCCCCCTCATCGCCTCAAACAGCTGTCAAACAAAGGCCTCGTCCTGATTGGCAGACAAATTCCCCATCCTCTCCATCTCTCGTCTCTATGCATTTGCCCCGGGAATTGCGTGCTTGCTTCTCCGCACTGTGCCTGTTGGACTAGGCTAGCGGGTTGCCAAAATCGGAAACCAGATGGCGTGATCCACCACTGAGATAGCATCAACTAACAGCCAAAGCGTAGCAAAACGGATACTTTTGGGGGCGCAGACAAAAGCCAGACGGTAGAAGAGACGGCGGGGAGTCATTGGAAGGGATTCCATTCCAACATGAAATTTATAAGCCGATCTTCATGGCCAGCATTTTTATAGCATGGCTGCGCACTGTGCGGTTCGTGTAAGAGACGACGCTGCCGAACAAGCCATCACAATGAGATGGATGTGAATAACCAATTAAAGAGTGTATTTACAATGCATGAAGCGAGTACAGCATGACTCGAAAACGGATTTCGATCTGTAAATCTGGCTGGTGTACAAGATGAAGGGAATTGTTTGCATGCCGTTTTACGCCGCTTAATATAAGATGCAACAGGTGCAGTCTGCATGTGAAGCAATCTATTTATAACGATGATTTCAAATGCAAATTGGTTTCCATGTATCAATATAAATATGCACAAACAGTTTATCATTTTTATTTACGTATTATAGCCGTCTTGCAGCATATACTTGCATGTTGTGAACTGTTACAGGCTGCGGCAGTAGGCCAACCGCCAAGACATCCCCCTTTGGCTGAATAAATTCAATATATTGTCCATTTTTTTTATTTTCACTGCTTTCATCTGTATCTTCAATTTTTTGCTATATTAAATTTTAGTTCAAACTGTTGTTGACTGGCTATTCAGCTTTTTGAAACCGTTGTAGGCAAAAAAACCACACAGTGCGTCGCTTACATGATGCTACGGCTGGCGCCAATGGTGCAATATACTCTACACCAACATGCACAGATGGCGTGATTCCTAATGAACAGGTAGTTCGTGCAACGCGAGCATAGCGGAGTACATTTCAATATGTCATTTTACCCCTCGTTTCATTCCCGGCCGCCGATATCGTTACCTATAAGAAGTCGAAATCTTCCCGGTTCCCATCTTCCCTCCCAAACTACACACATACACATAACAAAACTTTCACAATGGCACCCTCCGTCACAGAGACCGTCACCGAGCCCGTCACCCAGAACCTCTACCGTCTGCATCTGGGGCAGTACAAGGAAATCGAGTCTGTTCACGTAGACCGTGAAGCCGAAGAGGGCAAGACTGGCCTCGTTGCCGCCAAGGTATGTGACATCAAACCACCTATACTCTCACATATCTGCTTACGCGCATCCCTAGTATCCTCACTATCTGCCCACATGGGACGGCAGCGTCATCGACCCTCCCCTCACGCCCTTTGAGCACTACGAGCACGGCAAGGACGCCGACACCTCGTTCCCCAACCTCTTCCCCGAGGGCACCTCCGTCACCGACCTCACCCCGTCCATTGGCTCCGAGGTCCACGGCATCCAGCTCTCCTCGCTCAACGACGCCGGCAAGGACGAGCTCGCCCGCTACGTCGCCCAGCGCAAGGTCGTCGCCTTCCGCAAACAGGACTTTGCCGACCTCTCCATCCCCGACGCCCTCAAGTACGGCGAGTACTTTGGCCGCCACCACATCCACCCAACCTCCGGAGCCCCCGAGGGGTACCCCCAGATTCACCTTGTGCACCGCGCCGAGGGAGACACTTCCCACAAGGACTTCTTCGAGGCCCGCACTAGCTCTGTCGCCTGGCACTCGGACATCTCGTACGAGAAGCAGCCCCCCGGCACCACCTTTCTCTATATCCTCGATAAGCCTGAGACCGGCGGCGACACACTCTTCGTCGACTCCGTCACTGCGTATAAGCGCCTGAGCCCGCTCTTCCAGGAGCGTCTGCACGGCCTCAAGGCCACGCATTCGGGTATCGAGCAGGTCAATGCTGCTGCGGCCCGCGAGGGCATCAAGCGCCGTGAGCCTGTTGTCAACGTCCACCCTATTATCCGCACACATCCTGCCACTGGCGAAAAGGCAATCTATGTCAACCCTCAGTGTAAGTTTTTCTTTTCTTTTTGTTTGGTTAAGGTGTTTGTTGCTAACCCCCATCGTCACCAGTCACACGCGACATTGTCGGCTTAAAGAAGGAAGAGTCCGACGCCCTTCTCAAGTTCCTCTACGACCACTTGGCCTACGGCGCCGACTTCCAGGCCAGAGTCAAGTGGGAAGAAGGCACCGTTGTCGTCTGGGATAACAGAGTCACTCAGCACAGCGCCCTTGTAGACTGGGAGACTGGTCAGCGCCGCCACTTGGCCCGACTTACACCCCAAGCAGAGGTTCCCTACGAGACGCCCTATGTAGCGCCTCAGTAAATTTGTTGTTTTAGTATTATCATAGTTTACGCCGCCACGCCATAATTTTAATGAAATTTATCTGCATATTTATTGTACGTCACCTAACCACGTCATCTGTACACCCTGTCCAATTCGACCTGTTGTCATGTAAGTCCAAGCTACCCATGTTTTTTTTCTTCGGCGACTTCTACAATCGGTGTTAGTTGATCATCTAAAGACAATGCGTCTGCCTAGCGTGATTGAGAAATTGTGTCCTCTTCCTTCTCCCCTTCTATTGCAACCCACCCCACATGCATGCGTGACGCAAGCCTCGTCTAGCTATTATACAGCTGTTGGACTTATAATAATTCAGTAAACCCTCTCCTTCGCACAGCTATATACCAGAACCATAGTACAATATACTTACATAGTATCATGGCCGACTACGAGCTCCGCACTGCTACAGTGGCCGATGCCGCCTCCCTCGCCAACAACAACATGCGCGCCTTCTGGGGCGAGCCCGGCTGGCGAATCATGTACATGCAAGAAGACGGTACTCTCGTTATAAGCCTAGAAGACCTCATTGAGAGGACCAAAATCAGGACCCCGTACAACTTGATCAAAGATCCCGTGCTGGCGCGCCATCAAGTCATTATCCATGTGCCCACAGGCGAAGTGGTAGGCTATGCGCGCTGGCAAGTCCCTGTAACGCACTTGGACATGTGGGCGGACGCCAAGGTGCCCGAGATACCGGAAGACGAGAAGAACGCGTACCAGGAGACATTTAAGCGCACGCCACTGCCTCTGGCGAAACGCAGTGACGATCCCGTGCCGGATCACCACTACGCGGGGTGGAAGGAGAAGTACGGCCCGTTTGTCCCATACATGAGTAAGTCATTTCGTTTGCAGCATCTCGAAAGAAGATATAATGTAGAAGCTGACACAGATACTTAGAGCTTGAGTATCTTGCCACACGGCCAGATCATCAACGACAAGGTCTAGCTGGAAAGCTCGTCGAGGCAGGTCTAGAGGAAGCAGCGAGAGTAAATATCCCCGTCTCGATATACTCTAGCACAAAACGCGCCCTGCCTCTATACCAGAAGCTAGGGTGTATCTTATACGACGAAAAGACGGTAGACTTGCGCCCGTTTGGAGTAGATGGCTCTTACGACACGGCGTATCTTGTTAAAGATGCCCCAGAGCCACTACAATAGCACAGTAGCAAGGCATAGATAAAAGAGAGTGCATAGAATAATTAGATAATATGTTTTGATTGATGCATGTTGCTGCCTCTTCCTCTACTCCGCTCAATTTCATAATGGTATACCCGCTGGTGCCAATGACCAAAAACAAAAGGAAACCTAATAGTACAAAACCCGCTTATATCCACGCGCTTAATTATCCAAACCTAGCTTCTCCAATAGCTTGACAGACTGTTCATCCGTCCCTCTGCTGTGCTCCAGCTGCGCCCGCAGCACGCACATGTGCACAGGATTCGTCTTATACTCTGACGCAAACCCGTGCTTCAGCAGCATTTCCAGCACCGGAAAGTTATGCCTCTTGCTGTTGATCAGTGCTGTCGAGTAGTCCTCGATTCGCTCGTTGATCATCTCCGTCGAGCACCGCACCAGCGCAAACGCCAGCAGTTCCAGCGGGCCGCCGCCTTCCACCATTGTCTCAATCAAGCTTGGGTGTTCGCCCCCGAGCTTGCTGTGGACAGGAAGGCCGCGCTTTATCAAGATCGACGTCAGGTCTACTTGAAGTTCCGGAAGAATCAGGTCGACCAGCGGCCCGGACAGGTTGCCCGTCAGATACTTTTCCGTGAGAATAGGATCTGATGCCTCAATTATAAGAAGCAGTCGGCGGCTATCCAGCATCCAGTCCACCGTGTGTTTGTCAGCAAGCTGTATCATGGGAACAAACGCCGGTAGCCCGCTGGCTGCCTCATACACTGAGAGCGCCTTTGACTTGAGAAGGCAGTTCAGCGCAACGTCGACCGACTCCAAATAACAAACACTAATCTCCCAGTACTTTCTGTCGTAGCGGCCGATAATCTGGGTAGCGTCTCGGCAAAAACGTTGCCAAAACGTCCTCCCGTTTCTATCTCTCTGCTCCAACGTGTCTGACGTCAGCAGCTTATCATATGCCCTTGCATCCAGAATGGATAAGCACGCCGGGTGCTCAGTTGGCAATAACGTCGTTCTCTCAGATGGGTCTGACGGCTGTGTCTGCTTCAACAGAGGCATGCCCAAAATCACGTCGGCCGCCGTCAAGTCATCTCGGCAAGCCGCCGGCTGTCCTGAGCATAGCCTCTGCAACACTCCCACCAACTCTGCACTAGCTGCCGTGTTCAAGTAGCCCATTGCGCCACCAAACTTCTCTGTGCCACGGAAGCTGACGCCCTTCTTATTCAGGCTCTCAACAATGTAGGCATCTCCCCAGCTGACAGCGAGCTGAGAAATGTGCCAGCCATTCGTCTCCTCCGAAAATGGTGCACCAATCTCCAGGAGGAGATGTATAACTTTGATCTGTTTGAAATATTCCGTTTCCGAGGATGTCCGAAATAATAAGCGATCTTGTAACGTGAGAATATAGCGAAACGCCGAGTCAAGCGGCGTGCAACCACGGCTGTTTTTCATGGCCAAATGCTTCGCCATGGCCGTGTCGGCAGTCAGAAGCATAGTGATCCATTCAAACTCGCCAGTTGCAGTGGCATAGTGCCAGATGGTGTTTCCGTCAACGTCTGTTGCGCCAATGTCCACTCGCGGTCCAGCCGCAAGCAGAGTGGCAAGTATTCGGTTGCTCTCTGCCGACATTAATGCAGTACGGCCTCTATTGTCCCGCTTATTGGGGTCTGCACCAGCAGCTAGAAGAACCAGCGCGATTAAAATGTTGTCGTTTGCCGCCGCCATATGAATCAGGTTCCCGCCCGACACGCTGTGATCAAAGGCCACAGCATTCGGGTCAAACCGAGGATCCATCGTCAGCCGCTTCAACGGTGATAAATCATCATCCAGGATGCATGTGTGGATAGTGGATAAAAATTCTTCGTCAGTAAGGCCAGGGATCTTGGACGATATCAGCGTCATGGCATTCTCGTCAAGGAACTCGTGCAGGCGCTGCATGGCCCGTGTTTGTGATTCTGAATTCCAGCTCTCCAAGAAACAGTCCATGGCGCAGCTAATGCGTTCCGCAATCTTGGTCTTTTGATCCGGGACATCCGCAATCTCAATATCCGTAAGCAACTGCATAAACGGCGCAATATCCAACTGCCGGTATCGCGTCATGACTTTGGAAAACACATCGATATCGTCCACGATTAGCGACGCGCAGAACGCTAAGCAAATAAGTTGATGATTGGCCGCCCGGTTCACCCGTCTGCCAATCTTGTCCAGCGATGCGCCAGTATCATTGATAAGCGCGTCGCCTGCGCCGTCAAACAGATGCTGTACTGTCGCTTGCATGCCAGACCGTGAAAGGTATGGCAATTCAAACTTCTCTAACCACCCACTAGGCTGCAGACAAAGGGGCAGAACAGCCGTTCCGGCCAGTGCGCAGAACAACGGGCTTCCCAGAAACCCGCACTGATAGGTATCGTTGGAGAGCCACGAGACAACTTCGCCCATAGACAGCGATGCTGCGACGTGAATAGGGGCCACTGTTCCATTACAGAGACCGTCCGTTAGATCCAGCAGGGCGTCGTGGGATGCGGCGTTCTCGCCATAGAGATGGGGGCATGTCTGCTTTGCGTATTCGAGGTACCACTGCACAAAGTTCCAGCTGCTGGGTGTCTTGAAGAGTTCTCGGACTAGCGGTTTGATTTCAGGCCAGTAGAGGTCGGAATGAGCGTATACAGGCCACGTCTTAGCGGCAAATGAATATTCGGGGTACTTTAAGCGATGCTCGTGGTCTCGCCTCCTTTCGATATAGAATTCTTCCGGCTCGCGGTTGAAGTCCTGGTGAAGCAGAAGATGGAGCCATGATTTCACCTCATCCACTGAAGCATAATAATCATCCTCGTCGGCCGGGTTCCCTTCCATGGCCGTGGTTGCGTTGATGTCAAAGGAAGTCCCGAAATGACGACGGGTGGTTTCATTATTTTGACAGGTGAGCCTTGCCACATACAGTGCAGATCTGGTATATCTTCGCACTCCGCACAGTACCAGTATCAACAACCCTCAGATAACAATATGAAGATGAGTTACACGTAAAAAAAAATGGCATTGCTATATATTTATGCTTCGTTCTAAAACCCAGACGCCTGATATACACTTATAAAAATTAACAGCCAACACATGCTGTTTAACCCCATGTACCGCCACCACCACCACGGCCACCTCTCTTCTGGGCGCTCAGTCTCCAATCGTCCTCGCTGGCTGCAAACTTGTTGTGCAGCGGCTGGATTCTCTCTGCCTGTCTGCGCTTGCTTAATCTATCGGTCGGTGCCACCTTGAAAAAGGTGGGCGCCGCCTCAACCAACCATTTTGGTTCAATGGCTGTCACGGAATGCATGTACTCTTTCGTTGTCAGCACAAGAGTGTCGTACAAGACCCATTCTGCCTGTTTGCCAAAAAGTGCCGAGGACGGGTGCATATATACCGGTGTGCCTTCGGTAAGTGTCTTGTAGCCTTCTTGGGGATCCTTTCGGGCAGCGTTGCGGAAGAAACCAGAGCAGAGCGCTCGGCGGATCTTCTGTGTGTCGCGACCGCAGGAAATGATGGGATGCTTGTGTCGGTCCATGATTTTAAGGATCTGGTCTCTTGTCTCCTTTGCGCGGCGCATCGATCGTGCCTGGATAAAGTTTTCAAAGCACCAGGGGTTCGAGTAGCCATTGTTCTTCCAAGAGTTAAAAACGTTGAGCAGCGTGAGATGATCGCCATGAGGGTCATGGAACTTGGACTTCTTTTGGTCGGCTTGCTGCTGTTTCTCCTTCGGTCTGTAAAAGACTTCCAGCTGGTGCATTGAAATAATGCTTACAACCTCGTCGGAGCACTTCAGATCCACGGCGGAAATCAGAGCTTTGGACAAGCTTGGGTCCATCGGGAAATCAGCCATGCGCCTACCCAATCTAGTCAATAAGCCTTCGTCATCCAAGGCACTTAGAGCATAGAGCTCCTCCAACGCTGTAAGCATAGTATTTACAGGTGGAGGGTCCATAAAGTCAAAGTGCAATAAATCGTTAATACCCATCGCCTTGAGCATGAGAATCGTGGGGCTTAGATTCTGGCGCTGAATCTCGGGAATTGTTGTCGGCAACATTTCAGACTGGTAAGCAGCTTCCGTGTAGAGGCGGAAGCATTTTCCGGGTCCAGTACGTCCGGCACGACCAGCTCTTTGATTTGCTTGGGCTTGCGAAACCGGCGTGACCATTAGCGAATCCATACCAAGCTTCGGGTCATAGGCTGACTGCTTGACAAAGCCGGGATCAATGACGTAGAAGATTTCATCAATCGTAATAGATGTCTCTGCGATGTTGGTGGCAATGACAACCTTTCGGCTGCCAGCCGGTGCAGGTTCGAAAATTCGGGCTTGCATCTCGGGTGGAAGCGATGCATAAATCGGGAGAATAAGCAAGTCTGGTACATTGGGGCCCAGTGCCTTCATTCGCTCGTAGAGGACCTCACACGCTGTATCAATTTCGTCTTTACCAGTCAAGAACAAAAGGATATCTCCCTTGGGCTCAGTCAAATGGATTTGCATGACCGTAACCAAGGACGTGTCCAGATAGTCGGATTCGGGTTCGCGAGAGTACAAGATCTCAACAGGGAATGTACGGCCGGGAATAGTGAAGATAGGGCATTCGTTGAAGTAGGAAGAGAATTTGTCCGCATCGAGCGTAGCTGATGTGACTATAACCTTGAACTCTGGTCGTCGCGCCATAGCCTTTTTGAGGAGGGCGAAAAGCACATCAGTCGCGATAGTACGTTCGTGTGCTTCGTCAAGCATAATAACAGAGTAACGGCTCATATCTGGGTCCATGAGCACTTCACGAAGCAACATACCATCCGTCATGTACTTGATCTTCGTGAGCGGACCGGAACAATCGTCAAAACGGACATTGTATCCGACTTCCTCTCCCAGTTTACAGCCAACTTCTTCGGAGACACGCTTAGCAACAGACATGGCAGCAACACGACGCGGTTGTGTACAGCCAACAACTCCGTCATTGGCGAATCCTGCCTCAGCGAAATATTGCGTAAGCTGTGTCGTCTTTCCGGATCCTGTTTCACCAACGACAATCAAGACCTGGTTCTCATGAACGGCCTTGATGAGTTGCTCTCTGAAAACGAAAACGGGAAGAGATTCACGCTGTTCCTTCATACTGAGATTGACTCTCTTGACCACTGGCGGTGCTTTGGCAGCAATGGCCTGCTTCCACTCGGGCTCTCCCTGAGCTTGCGTGGCTGATCTGGCATTGCGCATATCACTGGCAAACTGGCGTTTGTCGGGATCTGCCATGGGATCTTGCCATTGAGATGAAAGATCGCCCGCAGCTTTGTCCTTTGCTTTTGCGTCGGCCTCTTGCTGTTTCAATTCTCGTCGTTCCTTGGCCAGATTTGTTCCAGACATGGCTGCTCTGTTCATCGAACCATCAGGAGCCTTGACAACTCGAATAGGCGAGAGCTCCAATGACTGCTTCGTTTGGCCGGCAAGGAAAGGAGGTTCTTCTTCGCGGATTTCAATATCAACATCTTCTTCCAACTCCATCTCGCCATCTCCGCGGAGAGTGGCGTTGTAGTCTTCTTCAAGATCGGGATAGTCGGATGCCTTTGCAACACCTGAAGCAATAAGCTGTCTAATCTCCCACCTTTCTGGCGATGTCATTCGTTTCTTCTGTCGTCTTGGTCCACCAATGTCATCTCGTGGCATTCCAGAGGGTTCATTATGGAAGCCATTACGGCCATTACCTCCCAACGCTTCCATGTTGGCTCCAGAAGTCATGCGTGCTTGTGGTTCCAAATCCTGGCCGCTAATCTGATCTACATCCTTCATAGAAAGTCCAATTCTGGTACCTTCAATAGATGTGACCTTGACCCAGACCTTTTGGCCACGCTCGAGCACATCTGACGGGTGATTGATTCGCTGGCCAGCACTGATGCGGGACACATGAACCAATCCGTCAACTTTGCCGCGCACATTATGGAGGTTGACGAAAACACCAAAATCTTTTATGCCAGTAACGTGACCCTGATAAACCTTGTTTAATATCGGTGCATCGTCCATCTCTGCCTCTGGCGCACGTCGCAGGCGATCGTCGTCGTAGTCATCGTGTCGTCGTTGTCGGTCTCGGCCGCTCTTCCTGCTACCGTTAAATCCATCGCGCCAGTCTTCATCGCCACGATCTTGTGACCTAGATCTAGAGCGATATCGTTCTCGTCGTCGAGGTTCGCGTGATCTTGATCTCTTTCGGCGTCGCGATTCGCGGGGGCTTCTGCTTCGACGGTTTGTTGATCTTGACTGGACGGCTTTGCTTTCTAGGCCAGCAAGAAGCGCTAATGTGTCATCGATGGCATCCTTCGATGTCGTTTCGACTTTGGAGTCGGCCATGGACAGGCCGCTGAAGACCTTTTCCTTCTCAGCAAACGTGCGATGGTGCTCCTCTTCCGGCACAGCCTGTTTTCCTTTGAACTTTGGATGCATGGACAAAACCAGCCGGTCCAGGCTGTCGACTAGACTGGCCGGAAAGTCGGCACCGAGGCCGTCTACTGTTTTGCGAAAGTCATCGGACGTTGTGCTTTCGAGACGCTTCGCGATGAGAAACTCTGCAAGGGTTTTGTCGCCGACGCCAACGTGGTTTTGCAGCTCCGACGAGACCTTGGATACGAGCGACAACAGCTCGAGATTCAAAAGATCATCCATAGCGGTAGCCGTGTATGCCAGCGCTTGGCAGAGCAACAGCAGGGTTGTTGATTATCGGGCGAGAGTGATGCGTGATGCCAGAGCGTCGCCAAATTTCTGGGGCAGCGTTTTGGACGACACAATCGATAGCAGCGAGCGTCAAATTGGGTTTAGCGCCGATATGGCTGGCATGACAGTATACCCTGCACATCGTCTTGACTTTGAGAAAAATCACTTGAAGCCCATAATTCGTGGATGGAAATTATTTTTATTGGTAAAATTAAGCTTTCGAATCACTCTTTCAGTCATTTTAATACTTGGTATACTATCTATAACAAAAGGAGTAGCGTATTTCTCTTTGGTAATTACTGATGTCAACTCCAGTTCTCAGACTAGCAACATTAAACTTGTATGAACACCGTGTAAATTCATAATAATACCAAAAGTCACACCCCATAGAATACGGTATTATAACCTATCCCCTGATATTTACCAACACTAGGGCTTCACTTTGCGAGAGATGAGTTGTTTCTTTTTGCAATGAAACTGGCTCCAGTAGCTTCCAAGATTTCGCAAACTACTGGTCCTTGGTTTACTTGATAGCACCCTTCATGTGAACAAGTTACAAAGTAGCGCATCCATTATAGTGCCATTTGAATCTAATGAATCTACTATATAATACGAAATAAAAGTAGAAAACAAAACGCCAAAACATTGCACATCATATATCTTTCCCAATTAACAATGCAGTCGGCAGTGGTTCATGCTCAGCTGCCCGCCACGCAGAGTGGGTAACAACGGCGCAGCTGGCCAATCACCCCGCACGCTTCCGCGGCGAATTACGCAAGCCCGCCAAAAAAACAGGGCAAATGCCGCTGTAAGGGCGCCTGTGAGGAAAAAAACCCGTGACTGGTTTGCGTCGTCACTCGTGTGGCACGCTCTCTGCATCTTCAACCTTCTGTTATAAACACCACTGCATTGTTGACAACGACTTGGCAGCTTTCTGTCTAGATTCCATCTCCTCTAGTCGTTTTTTCACAGCTTCTTTCATTTCCAAGCGATAGCCAGCCCGCTCCGACACAGCTCCGACCATGTGCTCTGCTGACATCTTCCTCGGCGTTCTCGCCATGCTCTTCCCTCCTCTGCCTGGTATGCTTCGAATATATCTACCGTCAGCTCTCGCTTTACAAGCTAACCAGTAAAAATAGTCTGGGTCAAGTGCGGTATCTGCAGCGCCGACTCTCTCATCAACATCTTGCTCTGCCTTCTCGGCTTCATCCCCGGCCTCCTCCACGCTTGGTACATCATCGCCAAGAACCCCGAACCTGCCTATGAATACGAAACCGTATCCCAAGACAACGAGAACGGCAGACGTGGCGGCCGTGTTACATACGTCTACGTCCAGCAGCCTTGTAACCATGAGGAGCAGCCCCGAGGCGGCGCCAACGGTGGCATGAACTACGGCACTACCAACAGCGAGCAGCAGCCTGGCCAGAGCAGCAGCGCTGTTCCTCCATCCTACTCCGAAGTCGTGTCCCAGGGCCTGACACCCGAGCAGCGTGCCCCCGGTGACAACAAGGTTCAGCGTCCTTGAACAACTTGTCTGGCCAAGCGCCAACCTCACGTGCTATGATTCCTGCTGCTTAGTTGATAGTGCAGCAGCGCTAATGGATTTCTACTTGCTGGCATCATTGCTAAGTAGATCTTCTGATGCCAGAAGTGTAAAAAAGACTCCTTATTTCTCACGTTTATTGGATGGTTGTAATCGGAATGTGATTTTCTTGCTCGGTGGCGTTCCACTCTCATTTATTTCATAATTGGTAGTTAGTGCAAATGCATTTGTTCATAACTCAGATGAACCGTGTAAAATATCATCCTAACCTAAAAGAGATGATGTTACTCATCGCTGTCAGCAGCGGCTATGGTGGCTTCAGAGTCCTCGGTCTGCTTGATAGGACGGGGCAAGTTGACCAGTTTGACAAGATGCTGCGGTAGGAAAACGTAAAACGTAGGGTACAGCTCTAACACACTTTTGATAAAGTAGATCCCGCTACTCAATAGACATAGGCGAACGCGGAGCTTCATCCCTTCTTTGAGGAATTGCAATAAATCGTCATCGCAGACAATTGCTAGCAAATCCTCGGTCAGCGGCCCTTGGGATGGATCATACCAACCATCCTCAATGACGACGGTCTTTGCAAAGATAGTGCCAAGAGCAGCAGCTTGACGAGTGGGAGTTTGAGTTCCTCGTACAAACCGTGCAGCGGTTTGTACCTGTTCAAAAGAAGCTCTCTCGATCCGCACAATCTCAATACTCCGATATACTCGCTCGACGACTCGAAGATCCTCACTAACAGCAGTAGCTAGAAAGGCATTCACGCCGCTGAGGATGAGCGAACTGTAGAAAGTAGTCTTAGGGTCAAAGGCTATAGGTCGCTCAAATGTGAGGAACGAGACGTCGTTTTCGTCCCGCTGATCAAACAGCTCGGCAGCCGCAAGGTTAAACATGCCAGGCAGAGATTCGAGGAAGCGTGAGACCATTGGCCATTCCATTCTCGCTGCTGAACACGCCAACAGCGCGTTTTTGATGTCATCTTCATATTCAGGGCATGCCATTTCTCGAATGACATAGCGAAGGAAGTTTTCTACAACACCAATAGCTAGATCGCGCTGGCTTAGATCGTCTCCTGCCAGACGAGGCAAACTAACTGCAAGGAACGTGCTCGCAACGCCTGTGAAGTCCACTTTCCAGTAATCTTGGCCGTTATAAAATCGATCGTTAACGGAGCCGTCGATGTAGTTGGTTTTCAGTAACGCGTCCTCGCTGGTGGAGAAGCTTGCGCTCGATACATCGACGCCACCGAGAAACATGTACTCCTTGAAGTACTTCATATGGTCGCCATGGAGGCGCCTTTTTGTTCCGAATCGTTGTATGCAAGCCTGGATTCGTCTGTATCCTGTTAGAATATGTTTGGATATCGAGATGAATGGTGCCTACCCTGAGAATGGTATATGCCTAGGAGTAGAGTCAGCTATATGTACGCGGATGGAAAGCAGGTCAACGAACTTGGCATAGATTTCTTCAGCATTTTCTTGGAACTCTTGTGGAGTAAGAGGCGCATCGGCAAAGTATTCTTCTAATTGTTAGAATCTCATGCACATAGTATATTTGACTCGGATTTTCACCTTCGAATCCCGTCGGTTTTGGTTTCTTGATTTTACGGGCCTTCTTTTTCTTTGGAGAAATCAATCTGTCAGAAGGTAGGTTCTGAACAGTCATCTTCGACTAAAGAGTTGTTTGGGAAATTCAACAAAGCAGTAGTTGCGTCAGTGAGAGATGGAAATGCAGGGAACTATTCACCAGGTGTTCAACTGCTGGCACTCATACATGTACTGCGGTCACGCAAACGGGAACACAAACAAACGAAACAGAAGTCACAGATCGAACAAAAGAAACAAACTACTCGGTTTAAAATACATTGGTTACGCACTTTACACAAATTCAACTAGTTCTACTAGATACAGCATACTGTCTGTTGGAACTGTTAACTCTCACGCCTAAATTTGACTTATAATCTAATAGAAATCTCAACCTATACAAAAGTAGGCCGACGCTGATTCATTAATACCGTGTATGCGTCATTCCGTACACTAGCCGTATCAGCCATTTGACAACGCTGTTAGCTTAACAGGGCGTTTGCTTATACGGCCGTGGTCGGGTAGCCGTGGTGGCCGCTGAATGGGCCGACACGACCCAAAGTGTAAAAAAGGCGAGCCAGTCACATAGTAAATATATAGAAAAAGGCTTTCGTAGCCGGAAATCACGCCCCCAATAAGGCAGATTTTGAGCACCGTGGCTGAGTAAAGACGCCGTAGAACGCCCCGCGAATCGTCTGCATGACAGCTTTCAGCGGTGACGCATGCTGAGCCACGCTTCTACCCCGCCAAAAAGCCGCCGTGAGAGAGACATTGCGGTGAGCATTTCGAGATTACAGGGGGTGAATAGCCGCATATGGCGCTGAGTTTTAGTGGATCGCAGCAGGCTTTTTTGGTGGCGACTTGGGGCCCTGAGTGGCTAAGTTTCTTCGCTGCAACACCGCTGGGGACTTTTTTTTGGGCGACTGCGAAAGTGGTCGCGCTCCAACCCTTGTGACTCGCTTTTCTACCCAATCGTGAATTCCTGACTCCCTTTCATCCCGTCGCAACACACCGTCAAAGCTCACCAGCCTGAAAACGTCCGCCACAATTTCCACGCAGCCTAACCCGGGTATTCTCAAGGTCGGGTCTGAGGCCTCATAATTCCCTTGCCTGGTCCTATGTGGCCAGGAGACACAGACCGCTGCGCTTATCCCCAGTCGCGTTGGACGGCCGCCAGCGCCTACGACTTGCGCCACAACAGCACGCATCATCAAAACGCAAACATATCCCTTCCCTGAAGACGGTCTACATTCTTACTCTACACATACACACAATCCTCACTATAATGAACGGCCGACATCGACGCGCAGAGGTGCCACGAGACCTCCCTCGCGGAGAAGAGTTGCAAGACTACAAGCAAGCAGTAGCTGGACAGTAAGCAGACCGCCAGAACAGAACTCACAGTAGACATGCGTGAAGCTAACAGTGCAACCTCTATAGCGAAGGAACCTTGAGCGACCCGAGTGGCTATTATTTTATTAAGCCCTGCACAAAAGCCGAATACTCGTTCTACGAATCGGCGCGATGCCACCCCGACTTCTTCAACATTATGCCCGAGTTTCACGGCGATGTAAAGCTCACATTACCAGACCAGCTGCCTGCTGGTATCTCAGGCGCAATATCCGCTGATGGCGAGCTTAAAACCGACGCAAAAGAGATTGAAAAGACGATTGCACAACAAGTCTCCGCGGTCTTGGAGCAAACAACGCAAGCACCGATAGAAGAATGGGTACCGGGAAAGAATAGAAAAATCAAGGCCGACACAAATCTGGCACTGAAAAATCAGGCTTTTGGCTTCAAAAAGCCAAACATCCTCGACGCAAAACTAGGCAAACAGCTGTGTGGTGATTACGCCCCGCCAGCCAAGATTGCCAAGATGCAGGCTACATCAGACCGAACAACACATAGAACACATGGGTTTCGCATTGCTGGTATGAGGGTATACCACGGCGGAGATGACGAGAGCGAATGGGACGAAGATGGCTACCAGGTATACGGCAAGGCGTTTGGAGAAGAAACCATTGGCTCACACAACATTGTTGATGGCCTACGCAGCTTCATCTTCAACGAAAAGGCCGGCATCGACGAAGAGCTCGGTAAGGCCGTCTGCGCAGCATTTATCAGAGAACTTGAGGAAATAGAGCACGTTCTGGAAACGCACGAAATCCGCATGTTCTCCTCGTCGCTGCTGTTTGTCTTTGAAGGCGACGGCGATGCTCTGTTGGATGCCATTGAACAGAACAACGAGATGGTTGAGCAACATGAGTTCCGAGAGAAGCGAAGCCGTACTCCGCTGCGCATGGATAGCGGGATCGCCATGGACGATGACGAATCTGACGGCGACGAGTTTGACGACGAGGGCCTGCCTCCAATCTTTAACCTGAAGCTTATTGACTTTGCGCACGCCACCTGGACACCGGGTGAGAAATGCGACGAGAACATTCTGATGGGTGTTCGGTCCTTGAAAAAGTTATTTACAGAAATGGCCGAATAAGAAGACGGCACAGAACAATTTTCATGATTAATGATCAAGTTAGAACCGGGCGAAGGATGCCCGCTGTAACATATACCCTTTGCTTCTTGGAGTCTTTTGTTTGGGCCAACATGGAGCCTATATAGACATCGAATGGAGTTTTTTTTTCATCTGCTGTAAACGTTCGTATATTTAGCCGATACAATCGTCCTTGCCCTCCGTTACAAAGTTCAATACCGTAAAATATTCAATTTTCTTGCACACAAATTCCTATTATTCTATCTGCCTGTTCACGGTGACAACGCTACTTGCTCCAGTCACGAGTCTGTTCTGGGTGCGGCCCCACCATTGGTAGCTGGAAGATCTGGAGCTTTCTTCTTGCACAACCTACCTGGTCGCGACACTCGCCCAGGCCCGTTCAACGTTGCGAGCATGTCGATTCCAGGCCTAGGAAATATTCAGGTGGCAGTAAGGAACCTTCATTTATTGAATTTAGCTCTAAACACAACATGCTAACCAGTAATTAGGCCCAAGAAACCCTCACAAGAACGGTGGCGCTGCGACCTGCTGCGGAATGGCGCTTCGAAGTGTCGGTCGGCTCATCCATTGCCCTTCGAGTTCTGTCTGGAACAGCTGAGAAGGACGGCGTGGAACTTGCTCTGCGAACACCATATACATTTTCGGGCATCAAGTCCAAGATCTTAACATGGCATGGCTGCGAGCTGCAAATCGATGGCCCTTGCGAGCAAGAGCACGTTGCCGATTTCCGCGAACCGACAGCGAACCCGGCGACATCATATATAAACCTACATGCAAAGCTTGACGATATGCGACAGGCGGCGCGACGAGAGCGCAGGGAGGGCCCGCGCATCTTGATTGCTGGCCCATCACACGTTGGCAAGACGACTCTTGCTAGAACGCTGACGAGCTACTGCACAAGGGCTGGCGGACAACCGATTGTTGTTAATGCTGATCCGTCAGAAGGCATGCTTTCTTTTGCTGGCACATTGAGTGCTGGAGTGTTTGCTACGATTATGGACCCAGAGGCCCCCGACGGCTGGGGCACCACTCCCACCAGCGGACCGAGCAGTGTACCGGTGAAGCTGCCGCTGGTGTACTATTTTGGAAAGCAGCAGCCAGATGAAGATCCGGACTTTTACAGAGAATTAAGCAGTAAGCTTGCATCAGCTGTTAGTGGTAGGCTGAGCGAGGATGAAGAGGTCAAGTCGTCAGGTGTAATCTTGGACACGGCAGGCCTTGTGGAGGATGATAAAACACACACAGAGCTACTGGCACATGTGGTTGATGAGTTTTCAGGTAAAGTCTTGCTCGGGCCCATGCTACTGAGACGCACGCTAACAAGTACTAGTCAATATCGTCGTCGTGCTTGGCTCCCCGCGGATGCACGCCGCGCTTACAGGGCGGTTCATGAACGAAAAGACAAGCTTGGGTGAACCGATACAGGTCATCTCACTAGACAAGTCAGACGGAGCTGGTGAACGCAGCGAAGCCTTGATGCAGCGAGCGCGAGAGGCTACGATTAAGGAATACTTCTTTGGTGATGGCAAGCGAACGCTCAGCCCGCAGATTCAGCAAGTTGAGACCGGCAGCCTTGTCATTTACAGTGTACCGGGTCTCTCGTCGTCGCCGACACAAATGGGCGACGAGGTCACGCTGGTTCGAGAGCAGGGCGGTGCATCGTCCCCCATGGAGCACTGGGCACTCGCCGTTATGCATGCATCCCTGAAGGACCCGCCAGATGTAATTCGCGCAGCAAGCGTAATGGGATTCGTATACGTGTCAGATGTCGACGAGGACAAGGGCAAGGTCAAAGTGCTCGCGCCAGTCAGCGGACGTCTCGGTGACAGGCCACTGGTCTGGGGCATGTGGCCAGAGCCTTTTATTAATCTGCTCGGGTAGTTTTTGGAAAACGATAGCACCAAGATTAAGAAATAAAACATGACCGTTATGGCTAAATGGAATGCTGTTGGGGAATAATCACCTATCGCCGATGAGATGTTAGTGTCTGGCTGCAATGTCCGCGGCGATAACACATAAGGGCCCAGCAAATGGCGTCATGAACGAGCCGCCATCTCGAACCACGACGGCCAAGTTGCTTTTTACCGTATCGTGCGGTATGTTGTGTCACTTCTTCCAGCTTGAAATAAAAAAAACAGAAGCTTGCAATGTATCTCACTCAGACTCATAGTTTTTCGTCTAAGTCGCATAATAACAATGTTCTGCTTAATGTTCACGTGTAAAATAATACCGTATTGTACCTGTATGGATCCGGCCGAATATGCTCGGCCGTTAGGTGCGCCTGTTCAAGATCCTGGCGCCGCAATCGTGAATTTTTCTCGCCTGTCTCGCTTCGTCTATTTAGCCCGCTTTGCTGACCCAATTATAAAAAGTTGAAAAGCAAACATGAGATACCAGAGGAACGTGTCCCGGCGTTTGCGTATTTCCGTGAATAGCAGCTGCTGGCCGTGTTTGTGATATGGCGGCCACCATCAAGCGCGCTTCCGAAGCTTCCTATCTGGAGCGATGATTAAGCTCAAACGACGAGTTTAATCTACTTGACGCCTTGGCATGTCACTCGGCGAGCCGGATCTGTCACTCCTGCTCGGGTTAACGCGCCTGGTGGTTGTTCTTTTCGGCTGTGGCCCTACCAAGCAGAGGGAGCACCAGGATTGAATTCAATCCAAGATCTCTCCGGGTCCATAAAAGCGTACTGCATGCTCTGTGATTAGCCCACTTACTTAGGGGTTCCCGGGTGCCCAATCGCCGTTGCGTCATTGGTGTGCATGCTGCTAAATCTCCCTTTTTGGCCCCTGTGGAGTCTGCACGGCCAAGGCCTGACTCACGCCGCCAGACACAAACACGGCACATTTTTGCCCACGAAGACGCTGCCACGCTTTCTTATTTCCGCTTAGCGTGTGCACGGCTCCCAGCAGATCCTCGCAAGTGCGTCATCTCGTCGGATTTGAAATCAAACGCGAAAAAGAGGGCCGCCAAAGAGAAAAAATAAAAAATAACTGACCAAACCACTGTGGGAACGCTCGATCATGGACCAATCGCACGCCGCTCAGAAGCCATTCAGATCGTGCACGGTGGACTTTGTGCCTGTAATTTAGCCCACTTTGGTCCTTTTTCCTAATCCTTCTTGGATTCTTCCTTTGTTGGATTCTTAAATCCGGCTCTTTCTTTTTATTCACTCTTGTTCCCGGCGCCTTGCCGTCTTTCTTTTCACATTCACTCGTTCAATTGCTTTTATATCGAATACGCCTAAGGGTCGTCTGTCGCGTACCTCGAAACATAACAGACACAGCACACGCTAGCTAGCTACCAACTAACCAACCATTACGGAACAAAGCCCTCAGACCTTCACAATGTCCGGCTCTGAGCCGCCAAAGGATTCTCGCTTCGCCGAGGAAGTCGAGAATCACCCCAAGACACAGCTACCACCAGACTCTTCAGCCGGCAATTCAGTTGACGGCTACTGGGGCGACGACGACGCGGGTGCCCATCCCGTCCGGCGCCAATCGGCAGCTGCTGAATTCCAAGAGCTTCAAAAAGAGCTGTCTAGACGAAGCGCTTCGGAAGCTGCCAACCAAGCACCTAAGAAATCAGGTTGGTTTGGCAACAACAAGAAAAGCAGCGACGCTGAAGCTGCCGTTCCCGATGACGATGTCGACAGCGCTGCCACAGCCCAAGGTGGCCCTCAGGAAGAGTTCCAGCTCGATGAGTTTATGCGCCAAGGTCACTTGGGAAAGCGACACGCGCATACTGGTGAAGCCACCAAAAAGGTCGGTGTTGTTTTCAAGAACCTCACTGTCAAAGGTGCTGGTGGCACCACCATGACTGTCAAGACATTGCCCGAAGCCATCATTGGAACCTTTGGCCCCGACCTGTACCGTATCGTGACCGGCTTTGTCCCAGCTCTTAAGATTGGCAACTCGCAGCCCCCAGTGCGCAACCTGCTTAACGACTTTACTGGTGTCGTGCGTCCAGGCGAGATGATGCTCGTCTTGGGCCGTCCTGGCAGCGGCTGCAGCACGTTCCTTAAGACCATTGCCAACAACAGAGGAGGATACTATGCCGTAGAAGGTGATGTCTCGTATGGAGGCATCTCTGCCGCTGAAATGGACAAGAAGTTCCGTGGTGAAGTCGTCTACAACCCCGAGATGGACCGCCATCTGCCCAGCCTGACTGTCGCCCAAACCCTTGAGTTCTCTCTTCTGAACAAGACCAAGAAGCACGACCGCGGCAACATCAACCTCATTGTCGACGCCTTCCTCGAAATGTTCGCCATGTCTCATACAAAAAATACGCTCGTTGGCGACGAATTCACCCGCGGTGTATCTGGTGGTGAGAGAAAACGTGTCGGCATTGCCGAGACGTTGGCCACCAAGTCGACAGTCACCTGCTGGGATAATTCTACCCGTGGCCTGGACGCCTCGACTGCCGTCAACTATGCCAAATCTTTGCGCATCATGACCGACGTCTCCGACCGAACTACCTTGACAACGTTATACCAGGCCGGTGAGGGCATCTACGACCTCATGGACAAGGTTCTTGTTATCGACCAGGGCTTCATGCTCTACCAGGGGCCTGCTAAGGAGGCACGACAGTACTTTGTTGATCTCGGATTCTATGCTCCCCCACGCCAGACAACAGCCGACTTCCTTACATCCCTCTGCGACGTCAATGCCCGCCAAATTCGCGAGGGCTTCGAGAACCGCTGCCCCAAGACTGCAGAAGAGATTGCTGCCGTTTTCCGCGACAGCCAGGCTTACAAGAACGTATTAAAGGATGTTGCCGACTACGAGGCCCATGTTGATGCCACCTCCAAGGCCGACGCCAAGATGTTCCAAGAATCTGTGCGAGGCGAGAAGTCACGCACTGTTACCGATCAGTCCAACTATACTGTCAGCTTCTGGAAGCAAGTCTTGGCCTGCACTCGTCGAGAGTTCTGGCTCATCTGGGGAGACAAGACATCTCTCTACACAAAATTCTTCATCATCGTCTCCATTGCCCTCATTGTCGGCTCCCTCTTCTACAACATGCCCAGTGACACATCTGGAGCATTCCTCCGCGGCGGTGTGGCCTTCTTTTCTATTCTGTTCTTGGGATGGCTCCAGCTTGCTGAGCTGGCCAAGGCAGTTGCTGGCAGAGATGTCATCAACAGGCATAAAGAATACGCGTTTTACAGACCTAGTGCCGTCGGCCTGGGTCGAGTATTAGCCGATTTCCCCGTCTTATTTGTCGAAGTCATCATATTTGGTATCATTACTTACTTTATGACCGGCCTTGACTTGTACGCGGACAAGTTCTTTATTTACTTGTTGCTCATTTACATCATGACAATCTGCTTGACTGGTATGTACCGCATGTTTGCGTCTGTCTCTTCCAACATGGACGATGCGATTCGCTTTGCCGGTCTCGCTTTCAACTTACTCATTATGTACACCGGTTATACCCTCTCGAAGCCAACCTTGATTAACACCAAGATCTGGTTTGGATGGCTCTACTACGTCAGCCCTGTTGGTTACGCCTTTGAAGCCGTCTTGTCCAATGAAATGTACAACCGCGTCATGCAGTGCAACCCGGCCCAGCTTGTTCCCCGTCAAATCCCAGGCGGCCGCCCTATCAACCCCGAAAACCAAGGCTGTGCTATTCCCGGTGCTGCTTTGTCTGCCCACAATGTCACTGGCCAGGATTATCTTGCCGCTGCTTTCGACTACTCTCGAAGCAACCTCTGGCGCAACTTTGGCGTTGTGATTGCATTCAGTGTCCTCTATATTCTCGTCACAGTCATAGCTACTGAGCTCCTCTCTTTTGGCGGATCTGGTCCCGGCATGCTCGTCTTCAAGAAGTCCAAGGCCGGTAAGGAGGCAGCTAAAGCCCCGCCTGCTGCTGATGAGGAATCTGGGCAACAGTTGACTACCAAGACAACCCTTCAGCGCACTACCACAACTCCGGATGAGATTCTTCAAGACTTTCCTCGTAGCGAGAAGGTCTTCACCTGGGAAGACCTTAGTTACACTGTTCCTACCGCAGATGGCCCCAAGAAGCTGCTCAACAACATCACTGGTTACGCTAAGCCTGGTGTTCTTGTTGCACTGATGGGTGCCAGTGGTGCTGGTAAGACTACTCTTCTCAACACACTGTCTCAGCGCCAGACAGTCGGCGTTGTCCAAGGTACCATGCTTGTCGATGGCAAGCAGCTGCAGCCCGACTTCCAGCGCCGCACTGGCTTTGTTGAGCAGATGGATCTCCACGAGCAGTCTGCTACTGTCCGCGAAGCCCTTGAATTCTCGGCTCTTCTTCGCCAGTCTAAGGATGTCTCTCGTGAGGAGAAGATCGACCACGTTAACAAGATTATTGACCTTCTGGAAATGTATAAGATTGAAGACGCTATTATTGCATCTCTCGATGTAGAGCAAAAGAAGCGTCTTACAATTGGTGTCGAGCTCGCTGCTAAGCCCTCCCTGCTTCTCTTCCTTGACGAGCCCACGTCTGGTCTGGACTCCCAAGCTGCCTTCTCCATTGTCCGATTCCTCCGCAAGCTCTGCGCCGCTGGACAGGCCATTATCTGCACCATCCACCAGCCGTCGTCCGAGCTCATTGAGCAGTTCGACAAGATCCTCGCCCTAAACCCTGGTGGCAATGTCTTCTACTTTGGTCCCGTCGGTGAAAACGGCAAGGCAGTCGTTGACTACTTTGGCTCTCAGGGCACCCACTGTCCCGAAGGCAAGAACGTTGCCGAATTCCTCATCGAACAAGGCGCTCGCCGTGAATCCCGCGAGTTCTGGAATGACGCATGGTTGAAATCCGATGAACACAAGCAACTTGTCCAGGAAGTCCAAGATATTAAGCGTGAGCGTGCTGAGGTCACCAGCGAAGACGAAGCTCTCGTCGATGAATTTGCTGCACCGCTCAGCGCCCAGATTTCTCTCCTCACCAAGCGCATGTTCATCACGCAGTGGAGACAGCCGTCTTATATTTACGGCAAGCTCTTTACCGCCGTCGTCATTGGTATCTTCAACGGATTCACCTTCTACAAGCTCGGCAACACCATTGAAGATATGCAGAGCCGCATGTTCACATGTTTCCTGATCCTCCTGATCCCCCCTACTGTTCTCAATGCCGTTCTCCCCAAGTTCTTCATGGACCGTTCCCTCTGGGAGGCCCGCGAATACCCCAGCCGTATCTATGGCTGGGTAGCCTTCTGCACAGCCTCCATCATTGCTGAGATCCCCGGCTCGCTTATTGCTGGCCTTATCTACTGGCTCCTTTGGTACTGGCCCACGGGTCTGCCCGGCGATTCTTCTACCTCCGGCTACGTCTTCCTCATGACTTGCTTGTTCTTTTTGTTCCAGAGCAGCTGGGGCCAGTGGATCTGCGCTTTTGCGCCGAGCTTCACTGTCATTGGCAACGTCCTTCCTTTCTTCCTCGTCATGTTTTCTCTTTTCAACGGTGTTGTTGTCCCCCATGACCAACTCAATGTCTTTTGGCGATACTGGGTATGTATCATGCGCCCAGATATTACTAATTCTGCCTGATTTGCTAATTTATGATTAAGCTTTACTATGCCAACCCCAGCACGTACTGGATTGGCGGCGTTCTCGCATCGACATTGAACGGTCAGCCTGTCGAGTGCGCCGATCATGAAGCCGCCCACTTCAAGGTTCCATCTGGCGAAACCTGCCATAGCTTCGCCCAAGACTTTGTCGACTATGTTGGCCGCGGCATGCTGATGAACCCCGATGGCACCGATGTCTGTGCCTACTGCCCTTACAAAAACGGCAACGAGTACTTGGCTACGCTAAGCATTGAGCCAAGCCAAAAATGGAGAGACTTTGGTATCTTCCTTGTGTTTTGCTTCTCTAATTGGGCGTAAGTTTTAACATGCGACTGAGTCCTCGGCTAAATTGTGCCATTGCTAACAAGCTTCTAGACTGGTGTACTTCTTTATTTACACTGTTCGAGTCAAAAAGATGACATTTGGCCTCGGATGGGTTTTTAGCTTTCTCTAGACTTTTTCAACATGATTGCATAAGTAGTGTACAGTGTATATATTTAGCATGGCGGATGAATGATACGCTACGATTAGACCACCAGTTACTTTTTACAAGGTTTCCACCCTGGTGGCACCACAGACTTACACCCTTCTTTAGGCCCATCTAGATCTTAAAGGCACCCACCATTTCCTTCAAATCTGTTAGCCACAGTAGTATTTCAAGCCGTGAGACGCTACAGCGGCAACGGGATGGCTCGCTGCCCTTGCCATTTTAGAGCCTGCACCGCCAAGAAGACAGTGAGGGCTGTCGAAGCTTATCGAATAATAGGCTTGCATCTACAGCTGCCTTGGTACACAACTAATCTGGCTAGCCACAGTGGATGTAAGGAGGCTGTGTAGCCTCCAGGATCCATTGTGGCACAGGACTAAAGCGCTCGGCGCATGATACGCCCCTCGTCGACATGCATAACGCAAGATTCTGTGGGTGCTTCAGCGTGGCGGGCTCACGTACGGCGGTAACTTCGTTTACACGAATAAATGTCGCCGTGGTGCAAAATGCTACTGTCTGTATGAGACATCATAGGCTTAACCCTGGTGCCGAATTCCGACTGAACCATTTCATGGAAGCGTGACGCCAAGACTGAACCGTTGGAAGCGACTGATTATCGTTGGCGAGAATAAGTACTAAACTGCGAAATCAATTTAGCTTTGCGAGCAACAGGATGCGAGTTCTCTCAAAGGGAGGCTAACAAAAGACGAACACTGTGCCACGTGCCCACAACAATGCCTGTCGAAGCCTGGTAGACTGCCAATTGCTGCTCTCATTGGTGCGACGGACCGTTCAGTTTGCCCCAAGACGCAAGTGGCGCTGTTACCCCGCGCTGGGTTTTAGGCTCAAGCAGTAAATTACGGGGATCGAGTCACGATGCATATGTTGGGAATGTGCTGTAACTAGCTGGCAGTGGGGGTGCCCTCTGTGAGATGATGGTTAGCATTATCTTCGGAAGCGATGGCTACCCTGGTAGCCTAACTAAGTGGAATTATTTTGGATTGATTTTCGAAACTAGAGTCAAAATTTATCATTGTTGCTTAAAATGCAATTTTGAAAGCCGGCCAAGACAACTGTTTTCCGTTTCGTAACATTTATTGGGCTCCGTCCAGATTAAGTGTGGCCACAGCGTTTTGCAGTGGAGCCGTAGGGAGCCAAACTGCAGATCCTCGCCTTAGAAAACGCTGACGAACCAGTACTTGATTACATGTCACTGCTAAAGCGGCCGGTCGATACCGATCTGATAGATTCGATGCGCAGCAAAATTCAAGCGGTTTGGGGGTTGATGTGTGCCAACGAGACGATGATGCAAGTGATGACGACAGGAGAAGAACGCAGAATTTAAAAAGGACACGGGCTGCCCTTTCCTGACAGCTGTGACAGCTGTGCCGGCTGCCGACTTGCAACACCGTCAACGGCCATTGCATGCGACTCGGCTCTGTGTCCTTGGCGCCATGCAACCCCCTCGTCACTACATCCAGAAGTGAATCCACTAGGACGCCTCTGCGGCTCAGAACACGTATTCGGCGTCTTTCGTTAGCAAGCGTGGTAGCCATTGGTAGCCGAGTGGATTCATACTATAACTAGGCGTCGCATTTGTCTCTCCTAGATGCTTCCCTCTTTTCCTTCTTCTTCTCCCCATCTGCTCATCAGGCATCTTGCCTCTTGTATGCAAGTCTTTAGCACTCTCCTTTCTCAAGTACGGCTCTCTTAATTCACCCTTAGCAAACACTCTCTTTACTTTCTTGTTACTATACCGTTCATTAATATTAACTTGCATCTCTCTTGCTTAGCTTGAAAAGAGTCGCCCTCAGCTTTCATTTACACCGAAGCATCCGGAGCCGGTCTGGGGTAAACATCCATTGTTTCCCTTGTGATTACTCGAATAAACGCATTCTTTTACAACTCTAGACCTTTGTCGACCTGCTTGTTAGCACTAAAACTACACCTTTCGATGGGAGAAGCTGCACCTGTAATCGTTACGAATGGTGCAAACAACACCAGCAACTCATGCTCCGCCGAAACATCGCCACCTCCAGCCCAGGAAGACAAGCCTCCTATAGCACGGTCTAATGAGCTTTCCGTTTCCAACACCCATGATTTGCCGGCTCTAGAAAAGCAGGCAACATATCATATCCTCTCCTCGCACGACGTTGCTGAACAACTAAAGTCTGACATTTGCAATGGATTGACTTCTCAGGACGCCGCCGCAAGGCTTTCTCAACACGGCCCCAACTCCATCAAGGGAGCCAAGGGTCTCTCTCTATGGGAGATCTTTCTGCAACAGGTCGCCAACGCCTTGACTGTCGTACTCATTGCGGTGACTGCCCTTTCATTTGCCATTCATGACTACGTCGAGGGTGGTGTCGTTCTGGCAGTCATCATTCTCAACATCGCCGTGGGGTAAATACATGTGCATTTTTCCCAGACACAAAGCATACCATGTACTAACAGGATACTAGTCTCATCCAGGATTACCGTGCCGAGCAGACCATCCAGTCTCTATATGCCCTGTCCACCCCAAAGTGCAAAGTAATCCGAGATGGCCAAAGCGACACTGTAAAGGCCGAAACACTGGTAGTTGGTGATCTTGTGTCCCTTGCCACAGGTGATATCGTACCGGCCGACCTACGTCTCGTGCAAGGTATCAACCTGTCCACTGATGAAGCCCATCTCACCGGTGAATCTGTCGCAATCAATAAGCAGCCAGATGCTGTGTTTAACAACGCAGACATGCCTGTTGGTGACCGCCTCAACCTTGTCTTCTCTGGTAGTTCTGTTACACGCGGTCGTGCTACTGGTATCGTCATCTCCACTGGTATGAACACCGAGGTCGGCCAGATTGCTGAGCTTCTCAGGCAAAAGAAAAAGGTACGCCCTGAGGGTAGCTTTCTCAGCCGCTGCCTGTATGACCTGCAACAATTCTTCCGCAGCATTCTTGGACTGGAGGGCACGCCTCTACAGGTCACCCTAAGCAAATTTGCCCTTCTCCTCTTCGCATTTGCCATTCTACTCGCAGTCATTGTCTTTTCCGTCAGTATGTGGAGGATCAATGATGATGTCCTTCTTTATGGAATCTGCGTTGGTGTGGCAGTCATCCCAGAATCGCTTTTGGCAGTTCTTACTGTCACAATGGCAGTGGCAACAAAGGCCATGGTTAAGGGCAATGTCATTGTTCGACAAATGCCTTCTCTGGAGGCTGTTGGTGGCGTCACCAACATCTGTTCAGACAAGACTGGAACTCTCACTCAAGGTCGCATGATTACTCGAAAGGTCTGGCTACGTAATGGCAACACTGGCATCACCGAGGGCACTTCGGATCCATTCGACCCCAATAGTGGCAAGGTGACGTGGTCCGCTCCCCTCTCTGGTAGCTCCTTTAGTGCATTTCTGAACGTGTTGAATCTGTGCAACAATGCCAACGTTACCGATGGTAGAAAAGAACCAGACACGGATACAAGCAGCGTGACAACAGCCGCAGAGAATGGCGGCGAGTGGCGCGCGATTGGTGAGCCTACCGAAATTGCACTCAAGGTATTTGCCATGAAGTACGGAATTACAAAGGCCAACACTCATCAGCTCATCGCTGAGCACCCTTTTGATTCTTCTTGCAAGCTCATGAGTGTTGTCTACGGCAATGATCTTGACCAATCTCGTCATGTCTACGCAAAGGGTGCCATTGAGGTTATGCTTGGGAAGCTCAGTGAATCTCATGAGCTCAAGGTGGAGATTCATATGAAGGCAGAAGAGCTCGCATCTCAAGGCCTTCGCGTTCTCTGCATTGCAGATAGAACGCTTGGAGAAGCTGAAGACGCTCATGACCGTGCCACTACCGAAACCGGTTTCCGCTTCCTCGGTCTGGCTGGCCTCTATGATCCTCCTCGCCCAGAAACTGCCGGCGCTGTCAAGCAATGCCACGGGGCTGGTATTGCTGTACACATGGTAACTGGAGATCATATCAAGACTGCAACAGCTATAGCATACGAGGTTGGCATCTTGTCGCCTGACGTTCCACTGGGACCAACCATGGTGATGTCCGCATCCAATTTTGGCAACATGACTGACGAGCAAATCGATTCCATGGATTCCCTACCTCTGGTTATTGCTAGATGCAGTCCTTTGACTAAAGTGAGGTTTATCCAAGCCCTTCACCGACGCAAAGCGTTTTGCATCATGACCGGTGATGGTGTGAACGATTCCCCTGCTCTCAAGCAAGCTGATGTCGGAATTGCCATGGGTGACCGTGGAAGCGATGTCGCCAAGGAGGCGTCCGACATGGTTCTGACCGACGACAACTTTGCATCTATTGTTACTGGTATTAAGGAAGGAAGACGCTTGGCCGACAATATCCAAAAGGTATGCAACAACCGTAGTATCAGCTCGTGGACATTGTCTAACCGTACTTAGTTCTTGCTGCATCTTCTGACATCCAACCTTGCACAAGTGGTCCTTCTTCTTATAGGGTTATGCTTCAAGGATACTAAAGGTGTCGCTGTGTTCCCACTGTCGCCGCTTGAAATTCTCTGGGCAAACTTGGTGACTTCTTCTCCTCTGGCACTTGGACTTGGCCTTGAGGAGGCTCAGGCGGATTTACTTTACCGGCCACCCCGCAGTCTACGCACTGGTGTCTTCACCAAAGACCTCGTCAGAGATCAGCTCGTATACGGAACCCTCATGGGAAGCTTGTGCTTGATTTCGTTCATGACAATTGCCTATGCAGCAACTGGACGAGGATTTTACAGACTCCCACACGGCTGTAACGAAGGCGTTCATGAGGTATGCTCAACCGTCTTTCGGGCCCGTGCTGCCACATTTGCTACACTAAGCTTCCTGTTGCTGGTAACGGCATGGGAGGTGAAGCACTTCCATCGCAGCTTGTTTGCCATGGACGACCGCAACACAGGTCCCTTTTCTGTTTTCAAGACCATCTTTCACAATCGTTTTCTGTTTTGGTCTGTCATTGGTGGCTTCTTGGCCACCTTTCCGGTCATTTACATCCCCTACCTCAACACAATCGTTTTTAAGCACCGCGGCCTGACATGGGAATGGGGTATTGTTTTTAGTTGTGTCGTTGTGTACATTGCACTAATTGAGGCTTGGAAAGCTACTAAGCGCCGATTCAAGCTTGGAGTCGAATCGTATTCGTCGCCAACTTTTAGTGCTTAGTGGCCTTCAGGTAGGAAATCTAATGGGTAATCGTAAGGATGCATGTGTGAGCTGGTTTGTTCGAACCAAGCTTTTTGTCCCAAGGATAGCTATTGTCGGTTTGGCTGTTTAGATTGTCTTTCAAGTCGACCGCAAGTAAAAACTATATAGCATTTCTTAATCAGTACAACTTATTTTTCCCCAACGGCAATGCAATGACATGCTGGCGCAGGCACGTGGAGAGAAACTTGCTCGAGGTGGTCCAGGCACGCGGTGTCACCGCCGCCATGGGCCCCAAAAGTTAATTTAGGGCTAATGCGGCTAGATGGCGGCTTACATGCTCGTGCTTTTGCCCTGTCATTGGCTTCCCCGTCCTGGATTGGCATTGTTTTCTCTTTTCCTTGGGCACCTGGCGATGGTGCCATCAAGGTCACACGGCAGCGTCTGTCCATCAAGGTCCCCAGGCTAGAGCAGCATCAACACCACCAACTGCCATGCTTGACCCCCCCAAAAGCCCTGAATTTATACCAGATGTCATCCATTATAGCGTATTTCTTGCTTGCTTTGCCGCCCCGTCTGGAGTTTCCATCTGACACACCGCAGGGGGGCGGTGGGAACGGCACGGGACGAGACGACCTAGCGGCGTGGGGGATCTTTCTTCTCGATACTTATATCTTTGCGCGCCCTCTTTTTTTCTGGAGCTAGTGGTGGTGGTTTTGCCATCCATCCTGCTCGTCCTCTATGGTGTAGATTTCGTTTTTTTCTTTTTTTTTTTTTTTTTCTGGTTCGCCAATCGCCTGTAACACCATCAGCAACACTTGTCACTCTCGTCAACCTCGACAGACAACCGGTCAATCCGGACAGCGACCACGAAGAAAGTCACATGCGAAGCACACAGCCAGCACTACAACACCAATGAGTCCAATCACCAAAGCACCAATCTGGATGACGCTTCAACACGACGGCCATCAACACCCGGCGAGTCGCAGCCAATGACGAGCCTGCCAAAAACCGCCGTCAGCATTGGTATTCGCGTCGAATCATCAGGTATGTTGGTCTATTTCATTTCAGTTACATGCGCAGAAAGCGTATAGAAAGGACTCTTGTGTACAACTTGAGTCCCTCCGTGGCTTGCGTCTGGTCATTCACATCATGCTACGCCATTCGCTTCTACACACTCTGCCCATTCACCCGTCTCTCTCTTCCCCTTGCCTTTCCCTTCTGCCCTTTTTTTGAGGCCCTTTTCTCATTCGTCCGCAATCCTTCCCCTCTTCTGCCTGCCTGGCCCAACCAGCTCACTGGGCCCGTGCAGGACTTTGCCGTCCCCTTCGGCCCGGCGACTTGTGTTCCAGCCAAGCAATCCAGACATTTCCACGGGATTATCCTTGGTTTCTCTGGTGCAGGGTCTCGACGCAATACCTTGACGCCTATTTCCAGGATCCTATCTCACCAGCGTGAGGGGTTTTTGCGTTTGAGTCCAGCCGCTTGCACATCCTCGCCCGCTGAAGCCGCGTTCTAGCCCGCCATCATTTTTTTTCTGTCACATTTTGCCGCTATCCTCCTGCCTATTTCTGCCCAACCATCCTGGGCAAAAGATATTCTCATCACTACCCAAAGACATCCACAAAGTGGCCGGGGCGGGAATGGATCAGCTGGTCCATGCTGCTGCCGCACTTGCGCATTATGGTCCGTTTTGCTTGACCGAGTCCGTCTGTCCCAATTCCCTTTTTGTTGAGACGGAGTTCACCGCGTCCAGGGCATGCAGCTTTGCATCGCTAGTCCATACGGATCGCGAGCCGCTACTGGAGCTGGCAGTCTTCCCGCTGCCTCGGCTGCAGATACGGCAGTCTTGATCCAGTAGGAAGCTGTTCCCATTCTCCCCGTCACCCCCAGGCCCGGTTATAGACTTTCAGCCAGCTTGCTGTCTGTCTATCAAAGGGCATGGATGTCAAATGGTTTGGTCATCTGTCAAAGCATTGTACATTCGCGGCGTCTTGTCCGCTTCTGTACCAGCCCCCCTGCCTGTCGTTTGTGATTTTTTTTCACAGCTGCTGCAGCCTGGTACAATGAACCTTGCTACGGATTTCTATTACGTCGGCTTTGGGTATTTGCTGTCGTACCTGCTTGCCTACTTGGCGTGGGTTGCGGCTGGGATGCTGCGACGTTTTAGCCGATGAGCCGACTCGGGCCTAGCTTGCCGCAGTGTCAAAGCTATGCTGTTATTCCCATATCACTGACCTGGTACAAGTGTACATACGCCACAGGACATCAGGCACATCATCCTCTCTTCTCATGACGTCGCTGCCTGTCCTGCTCCATCACCGTCGCCCATCGCAGTGGGATGTCTGGTCGAAGTTGGCATGAGCCTGCAGAAATCAGACCCCCCGTCGCCGCCGACAGCCCACCAGCGCCACGCAACGTAGTAAACGTTGACTGTGGAGCATGTTCTGTCGCTAGCTTCGGATCTACCCTCGCATGAGGTCCCAGCTTGGGCGTCAGCCGGACCCGCGCCTGCATCACATGGTGGGCACGCTCTTTGCCACTATCACATTTGATCACTGCAAATATTGTTGCAGACGCTGGGTATCTTTTTTCCCGGCCGGGGCACAAGATCGACTGCCCCGAGCATGCAAATCCTGGGCTAGCTGTTGCTCGTGCCGCTGGTATTGCTGCTTGGGGCTGGTCTAGCTTCGTTGATATTGCTGCTTTGGGGATACTGAAACAGAGCCGCTTATTCTTTTTACCCAAAAACCTAGTCAAAGCATTTATTCGTACTAGGCTGGGGTGGCATCGGACGAAAGCGGGGGTTCGCAGTGCTCCTTTGGCCTAATGCACCGACCTTGCGGGACATCTGCAACATCACAGGTACCTGGCACCACCATGTGCTGGATGTACTACGGGTTTGTATCTTGGTGGTTCCATGCCGCCCCCCTCTTCAATTTTCTTGTGCACCACCCCTCACCAAATGCAATTTAGCAAACTGCAGCAGCGTGCGGGGACTTGGCCGACACATTGCCTTGTGTCGTTCGCTGATGCTGGGAGCCCGGCCCGCCCCCCAGACGCCCAAAGTGAGGCGTTTCCTGCGTGACGCCATGGTTGGCCGACGCTGGCCATTTGGGAATGGGCTGTCTGTTATCAAACAGCCGCTGTAGGCGGTCCCTTGTATTCTGGAACCGTGGTCCGTGGCATTCCGGCATTGTGGTGCACGCACGGCTGCCTTGCCTTGCCTTGCTCTGCCGCCACTCGTAGAGATGTAGATGTAGTCCCGCGGGTATAAATACCCCTCTATGCTGCCCGATTTCTTTGTAGATTTCCTCTCCTCATCATCCAACCAACAACTCCAACTCTTTTATATACCAATTTTTCAAGACTTTCGTCTCCAACCCCCCCAAACTTTCAAAATGTCTCCCTGGTAAGCTCCTCCAAGCCTACCACCAGCAAGCTCCTCCAAGCTTCGCATCTGGATGGGCCCACCATCTTCCATCTAGCCATCGTATATATACTGACTGTCGTCTTTCTCTCCAATAGCACCTGCTCTTCTTGCAACTGCGGCAGCTCTTGCTCCGGATCCTGCAACTGCAACAGCTGCAGCGTACGTACTCTTCCTGCGATAAAAGACCTTCATATCCACTAACACTGGGACTACAGCACTAAGATGCCTGCATCTACAAAGGCATAGCTTGCGGCTGGATGGCTTGCGACTTGCTCGGGGCTGGGCCAGTTCGGTTCGGCCCGCGACACTTTAACTAGAACAGTTGCTAGCAATAAATCTACGAGTTGTGTCTCAAAAAACAGGCAGTCTGAATATCTCGCATGTGACTCGTGACAAAAAATTGAATGCAACGCTTTGGGGGGCTTCCTGCATAGTGTGCGGCATTCGCACATTGTACTTGCGAGCCGCCGCAGCAATGGCACGGCACAGCGCTGGCTGCTCAGCATGGGTACAGTAATTTATACTGTATTTGTATGCATGATCCCCTTCCCGTTCCAGTGTCGTCACCTTAATTTAGGGATCGATCCAGCCAGGGTATCACTTGGGACCACGTTTTTTTTATTTCCGTAAATTAAATCATAGCTTCATATATCGTACAATTTGCACTATCTCTTCTCCGCCGAATCTACCATGTCCTAATTCGGTACCGTTTTGGCCTCCGTCTGCTATTGCTGCTACCGCCACAGGGTATCTCCAGGGGTCCAGCCACCACCACCACCCAGCCCTAGCTCCAGGGCGCTCCGTGTGCCGGACGGTCCACTACAGCTCACTACTAAGACACGATACAGATAGCCTACAACGTCATTGTCACGCACACACGCACGCCCTTGCTTCATAAACTGCCCCTAGACCTTGTCTTTGTCCGCGAAATCGCAACCGCGTCTTTTCCAATTACTCAATTGCTCCGTCTACACAAACATTGACTCTAGGAAAAATGCTTCGACGGCCGTCAAAAGGCAACCTGGCCGCAGCAGCAGCAGCCGACCAACCTCCCACGCCTGCAACACCAATCCCTTTCTCACGGCCAAACTCGTCCTCCTCCATCCCTGCTACGCTCCTCGACCAATCCCTTCCTCTACCGAAACTCATCGTCTTCGACCTCGACTACACACTCTGGCCCTTTTGGGTAGACACGCACGTCACGCCACCGCTCAAGCCTAATGCGCACCACTCGGCAGCCACAGACCGCTACGGCGAAGACTTTAGCTTCTATCGCGACGTCCCCTCGATATTACAGCTGCTCCCGCGGCTCCAGATCAAAATGGCCGTTGCGTCACGTACCAGCGCACCCAGTCTAGCCCGTGAGCTGCTCAAGCTGCTGCATCTGCCGGCGGAGCGGGATGGCGATAAGCCGCGCAAGGCGATTGATGCGTTTGAGGGCGGCATGGAGATCTACCCGGGCAGCAAGATTAAACATATGGAGCTTATACATAAGCGGACGGGCGTGCCTTACGAAGATATCCTCTTCTTTGACGACGAGAGCAGGAATCGAGAGACGGAGAAGCTGGGCGTCACAATGCAGCTTATTAACTCGGGAGTCTCGTGGGACGAGATAGCAAAGGGTGTGGATTCGTGGCGCAAGCGAAGAGGGTTTATTACGAAGAAGAATAAAAAGGAGATGGACGGGTGAAGATGAAATGTATAATGTAAAATGCTTTTTGTAGTAGAATGTATCCTAAAAGCTTGGCCTACAACAATGCTGCCGTTTTTGTATGCATCTAGAGAGAAATTTGATAAAGATCCAGAACGACGAGAAGGAAAGAAAGTCTAAAAAATACTATGCAAAAGCCGTTAAAAAGGATAGACCAAAAAAGGAAAGCATGTGGTATAAGTGGTGTAGTGTGTGTGTATTCGTCGGAGCGAGTCGTTTCTGGAAGTGAAAAAAAAAAAAAAGTTGGCTCTTTAGGCGACGACAGCGGCTGCGGTCGGCGTGGTAGTCTCGGTCGTTGTGTCGTTAATCTTGAGCTTCTCTACGGTGAGGTCATCGCCAGTCTGTGTAGCTTCGTCCTGCTCATCCGCTGTCTGCGTAGCTTCCGAGGTCATGGGCGTCTGTTCGCCAGTCTCGACGGCAGCATCGGCTGTTCCATTAGTAGTCGTAGTTGTAGTAACAGCTTCGGCGGGCGTCTCGGCGGCAGGCTGGTGCCAGGTTCTAGGCACAGTGCAGACCTTAACATGCTGGGGCTGGCCATCCGTGGATCCCATAGAGTAGCAGGCAATCTTGTCCTCGCCATCGACATCCTCCCAGAGCAAAGGCCCCGTAGGGAACGACGTGTAGCCATTATCCCACTCAACAACACCGTCCCAGCTGGGATCGTTGACAGGCAACTGGCCCCAAGTAAAGTCGAGCTCGCCGCCATACTTTTTCGGGATGTTCTTGGGGTCGATGAAGCTTTCGAGGACGGGCTTGACCTCGTGGGAGCCTAGAATAAAAATCTTGGAGACGGTGATGGGGTCGAACCAGCGCTTGATCCAGCCCCAGACGGTGCTGAAGAACATGGGCGCGCCAATGATGAAGATGCGGTCCAGCGTCTCGGGGTAGTGAGCCGTAGCGAGCTGCGAAGCGGCTTGCATGTGGCCCTTGAGGTTCCAGAACTGCTTGAGGCCGACGCCGGAGACATCGACAATGTTGGTGCTCATGGTGACGGGCACGTCGGCCGACTCGCGGTCTGTGAGCTGTGTGCAGAACGGGTGTGCAAAGTTGGTCAGGTTTTCGTAGAGCGCAAACAGCTTCAGCAGGCTGATGGAGGTGTGGCCGTCTGTCTTGAGGCCCTTGAGCTTGGCATTGTGCGGCGACTTTTCGTAGGCTGAGATGGTTTTCGAGTCGAGGTGGCGGATCTCAAAGACGTACAGGGGGATTCCGCGGCGGTCGCGGCGGCCCGTCCACTGGGGATACTGCAAAGAAGAGTTAGAAAGGGTTACAGAAACTTGTAGTCCGCGAGATCCGGCGCAATGTATGCGTGCTTACCACTCTGCGGCTCTCCTCGTATGCGTCTCTGTCAATGGTGCGGTACAGCTCGTCGAGGCTGTTGGCGGCGCGCCAGTCTTCGGATTCCTTGAATTGCACATAGGCATCCTCTACAATCCATCGTCTAGCGCGAAGGTATCGTCTGTGTGTGGGTTGGTTAGCTGGTTGAGACAATAACGCCCGAGGTGAAGTGTGGCCTCTCTTACAGCAGCGTCTGGTCATTGTGTGATGGGGGAGGCCCGCGCTTCCAAATGCCGCGCTCCTCGAGAACATTCTTGAAGTTTGTCAATGCCTCTTCTTGCTGGGGACTCAGGTAGCCGAGATGTCCGTGAGGGTAGTTGAAGACGCTGGCGGTGGACGCTGTCGACCGGACCTTGGTGGCGGGTGTGCCTTCGACAGAGAGTCTGGACGACATTTCGCAGCGGAGCAGGATTTGGTGTTGTCGAGTCGAGGGTCCTGAGGGAATTGGGAGCCGATAGCAATACTCCAATAAATAGAATTCGTATTCAAGTATAAATAGCTGTAAGAGTAAAAGGAAACAAAAAGAAAGAAAGCCTGAAAAAAAAAAAGGTGGCCGTTCGGCGGGGGTCAGTCACACAGCGCCGGGACTTGCGGAGTTGGCGCTACCCAGATGCGGCTGGCTGCACGCCATCAGCCGCTAGAACAATTAGCCCGTCTTTCGTCTGAGCTCTTTCACCCCTGGCCGCTTACAGAGTATTACAAACAACAAAATTTGGACAGCAATCGAAAAGAAGAGAATTATGAATTTCGCTATGAACGCGGGTCATGATTGCAGATATCGACACATGCACGAGGGCTTCCCCGCACAACTTCACCACCTCCTCTCCCCCGCTCGTGATTTCTCGGCTCGCAACAAACAGATCGACTCTCAAGGTTCCTGCTGCTGCTGCTTTTCAACACCATTACAACCTCCGGGACTACTACCACCAGACTTGGACTTCCACGTCGGACTCCGCCAGCGCAGCCCTTGTCTAGTCGACTCCTGTATACTCTTCTTCTTTCTCCTCTCTTCGGCTCGCTGCCGCTTCACATCATGTGTCTTGTTCACATCATCGACGCCCATATCTTTGCCGGGCGCAAGCAGGTCGTGACGCCACACACTTCTCACATGCAGTATGACGCACATAAACCACAGTGGCACCAGCAACACAGTGATAACTGCGCCGGCGATCTTGATACCGCGGCTGTCCACAGCTTCGCCAATATGAATCGTCGCAATAGCTAATCCGGCGTTGGGGAAGACAAATGCCCACCACTGCAGAGCAAAGTGCATCCTGCGAGCATCGCGAATCACCGATAGCGTCGAGAGAGCCGAAAACCACACTGCAATCAACCACAGAAAGAGAGCAACTGGCACCGACATGCCGAACCACAAATCGCCCACAGGGAACGATGTGATGCCGAGAAAACCAGGTGGTATATTCTCCTTGGCTTGTCGACCAAGAGACAGGATGCCTGCGCAAGTATACGCTGCTGGACCAACAGAGATGTACATCCCAGGCCGCATCGATGGCGGCGGCATCTTGCTGCTAATCAACCTGGTCAAGTACACGGAATAAATAAACAGAGCGAGGATCCAGCCCAGCCCTTGACCAGCAATGCCTGCTATAAGCATCTGAACTGAACTGGTCTGCCCTTGCGTCTGAACCAAAGTAGACGCCATGACTCCCGTCACAAGAAATGGATATGCTGGTAGAATCCACGCTGGCACTGCATCCGACAGAGACATTATTTCCGCATGGAAAATGACTTGATACTGGAACACGGCGACAACTAGGGCACATCCATAGTAGATCCAGAAGACAACGCGCAGCGTATGGATCAGCCACTCGCCGCAGTGCGGGACGCCGTACGCCTGCATACCATTGATCAGGAGCGCTATCGACACCCAGTATGAGCCAAAGAAGAAGCTCTCGCTGGGGTGGTGTAGACTCGTAACAAATGCTCGAGGTTTTCGAATGAACCGGCCAGCGATGAGCAGTGTAAAGATGCAAAATGTGACCAGGTCAATGACGTAAAAGATGGTGCCAATGGCTGTGAGTCCGTTGAATGTATATGGTTGCTGCGCTAGGACCGATGCCATGGCGCCTGTTGACATGTTGACTGGGAACCACCCCCAGGTTATCCGTAAGCTGCGTTGAGCAAATGGGATCCTGCGCCGCTGGGCCTCATCTCGGGCCCAGAAGCTTTGAGTACGCGGCCGACGCATGTTTTCGTCATCATCATCACCGGTATCGCTGCCAGAGTTGGTCTGCTGCTGGACAGTTTCAATTTCATCTTCGGGGTAGGTGTCCTTTGCCAATTTCTCAGCATCTCCATTGAACCCGCCTGACATAGCTGAAGGAAGCCGTGTAATTGGAGACGGGATATCTGATCTTTGCTCTGTGCTGTTTTCAATCATCATAAAGTGCTCCTAGAGCAGAATCATTCCAGGCGGGGATATACAGCCTATGTAAGTAAAAGCAAAGCATACGCTTATGAGGTCTAGAGTATGGCAATTCGTCTCAGAAACTCTCCGTATCAAAGAATTGAAATTGGATTTTGTTCGCCTTCGCCGCATTTGTGCGTTAGATGCTGAGAAAAGCCCCTCGCAAAGTAAACGCAAGTGAACATGTTTTCTGGAGTTGGGCGTAGGAATGACGTCTGCCGTGGCACTAGCCTCGAAGCCTCTACTGCCATCCCACACTACGGTGCAGCCGGGTCTTATGCACTGCTGCCCCAAAACTTGAGAATCAATAATGATACTTTTACTGATATCCTAGAATAAAGGATAGCCTTCCTGAATGGTGTAGTGCTAGTCGGAATCGTTTCTGTCGATCTCCTGCCACGGCTCAGTACAGCATAAATGAGCGATCGTCAAACCCTCAAACGGCTGTATTCGGCTTCATTTTGTCGCTAGCGGAAATAAACGAGAAATGAGCGCCATGCCGCCCGGCATATCCTTGTTTTGGACAGGAGTCAGCTGGACTATTGATGCAGATGCACCACACAGTGTGGGTGGTAGCCCATGTAGTGGCAGGCTGCCAAAATAAAATTTAGAGTGCGAGGAAATTGCTGTGTGATATCAATATAGAGTATTATTAGAGCGAGGGTCTTCAACAAAAGATGTCTTCGTGGCTCAGTTGGTTAGAGCGTTGGTCTCATATTACATGACTCAATCCTAGATTGGGACATCCAAAGGTCGTGAGTTCGAACCTCACCGAGGACACTTCCTTTTTGCCTTTTGCGGGTCTACCTTTTTGGTACCAAAACACAATGGCTCGCTTCCTCATAGATTGATTTTTTATTTTTTTTTTTAAGAATGTTTCATAATCTAAACTTTTAGGCCCTTAGAGTATTATTCTAGCCGTGGAAAAGCTTGACAGCGCATCTGTAAGAGTACTCATTCCTGACGTCCCCGTCGTTTCTCTTCACGGGCAATCTTTTGAAAGAAAGGGTTTTGCTTCCTTTTCCTCTTGTCTGCTGGCTTTCCAGAGATACGTGTTCCAACAGCTGCCTCAGTTTGCTCACTAGTAGAAATTTTGCTATGAGCCATCACCTCTTTGAGAAGTTGTCCCCTTTCCTCCGCGGAGCTGAAAGCCAAATTGGGCATGGACGACAGGCCAGCCAATCGAGTACTAACTTTGAACGAATAACCCTGATCCACAAGGAATGCTTGTCTTCTTGCCGAGTATACCATCTCTTGTGTGTTTTTAGATACAAGAGAGTAGAAAAACGCATTAAATCCTTCTTCATTTCGTCGCTTGGCTCGAAGGATACGCCCAAGTCTTTGGGCTTCCTGTCGCCGCGATCCGTAGTGAGAAGAAATTTGTATGAGACAAGTCGCCTCGGGCAGATCCAAAGATGTATCTCCCACCTTGGATAAGAACAAGGTGTTCACCAAGGGATTCTTCTGGAAATTCTCTAGAACCCTCAGTCGCTCCTCTTGTCCGGTTTCGCCGCAGATGAAAGCCTTGTTGAGCTTCAAGGCATATTGTCTCAGAGAATATAAATCGTCAGAAAAGACAATAATCTTGTCTCCCCTTGCTTCATGTTTCTCAATCAAATATTGGCACGCTTGAAACTTCTCCGGATTTATGGTGCTGAGTGTTCGCTTCGTATGCGATGGTGCTTGTTGGTATTGTTCTAAAAAGTCGGATGGCATCGCGCACCATACTTCTGCACACTGGACTTTGGCGATATGTCCTTGCTGAGAAAGTTCGTTCCAGTTTGCTTCGAAGAGCTTTGGTCCAATCAAGAAGTTGAGATGGGATATTTTGTCGTCTTCGCGCACGAGCGTGGCTGTAAGACCTAATTTTGAATGCGACTTGATGGACGACGTTACTCTTCGAAACATGTTGGCTGGAACAACATGGACTTCGTCTAATATCATGAGACCCCATTCGCGGTCTTTTAGAAAATCCATCATTTGTTGTGAGTCATGCGACCGTCCCTGACCATTCGCCATCATGGCATACGTAGAGACAATTATCCCAGTGTCGCCGGCAAACGTTGACTTGCTGTCCGCAGTGAAGAGCGTGATGTCTTCTGGCTTGATATTCGACCACTTTAGAAACTCTTGCCGCCATTGGACTGCGGAAACTGAGCTCGTGCATAGAACAATAGTACCCTTTTTAATGGTACAAGCTGCGGTGATGCCGACCAAAGTCTTGCCTGCGCCACATGGCAGTACGATAATTCCACTCCTGGCTCTACCGTTGCCAAACATCTTACCAAGTCCAGTTTCTTGGTAAGGGCGAATGAGAGTCTGTGGCCGTAGATCAATATCTAGATCAGGATTTGCAGAATCCCGTCGAAAGTCATATTCTTCCAGCAGGGGAAACCCGAAGTCTAAGCAGCGTTTTTGTAGGGCTTCGACAGCTTCATCCGGTATCTCATATGCATATGCTGCTCTATGTTCTCCGTCGTCATCGTCATCATTGCCAGTAAGTAAGTCAAATAGAGCGACCCTGGTAGATGTAGCTTGTTCAGTTCCTTGGCTCAGGGCTGGTAGACCCCCCGACGCAACTTGTACATTGTCGTCGGTAGAGTTACTTAGAGTTGAATTTACGTTGAGAAAAGGGGACCCAATTCCAAGCTTGACGATAATTTCATCGTTGAAGAGTTCGTCGAGTAAGACACGGTCCACGCTCTCCATATAATATCGATTTGCTTTCAAGACAAGTTTCACCTTGCCACAATTTTCCGTGCATGATCTAATAAACGATCGGATGGTATCCGGAATATCCACTTTTAGAAATTGATCAAGATATTGAATAATATCATCAGTATCCAGCCCAACAGACACAGCAGCATACAGGCTGTTGGCTGTCAAGCAGTATTCGTGGATAAAGGCAGGCCGAGACGATGGTTCTGCAATGGTAATCAGAAACTCGGTCGCTTGTTTGGCATATGGATGAAATTGTTCGAGAATTATTGTCCTCTTTATCGGATCAATCCACAACGGACGGTTCTGATGATTCTCCTTCAACTTGAGATGGCTAAAGTCTCGCGAGCCGAAGTAGTTCTGAGCACTATCTGGTAGAGTTTCTATTTTAGTGTCTGAAGGGCCTTGATCTACCATGTTTTCAGTGTCGACAGTCTCAGTGTCTAGTGCGTTCTCCACGTCTATCAGTATTTTCAATCTATCATGATGAGGAAAGGATGTCCTTTTTATAATGTGTAGTTTAAAGTTTTCATGAATGCATGTGTGACTCTTGAAGCTTTTAAGCGTGGCTATGCATGTAGCTCTGATCACGTGATCGTCATCGCACGACTGTGTTGACTTTATCAAGACAACTAATGTTTCACGGTTTTGTTTCTTTGTTTGTCTATTTGCTATTGTGTTTGTTCGTTTGGTCGGTTATGTATTTGTTTAGATATCTATTTATATACCCGTTTGTGTATTTATTTGTACATTTGTTTGTATAACTTATATATAACGTGGTTCACGGGTGAGTGGGCCACACGGGTGAGTGGGCCACCCAAAAACACATACAAATTAATACAATTTTAATTCCACCAACAATTCCAATTTAAATATATAAATACTATAGAAATTATAAGTAATAAAGAAAAATAAACTTTCTTAATCAATTTTAATCTCAAAAAATATAGCTAATTTAGAATATAGTTAGTTATTAAAAGTACAGATTTTTGGACCCACTTTTCCTATCTAGCTATATTCTAGTTATTTAAAGTCTCTAAGATTTAAAATTACCTAAGAAGTCTATTTAGTCTTTATTATATAGTATTTTATTAGTATTAATATATTTAAATTGGAATTGTTGGTGGAATTAAAATTGTATTAATTTATATGTGTTTTTGGGTGGCCCACTCACCCGTGTGGCCCACTCACCCGTGAACCACGTTATATATATATATGCTTGTTCGTGTAACTATTTGTATATTTCTTTACACCTTCGTTCTTGTATTTATTTATCTATTTACTTTATATATTTATTCGATGGCTGGCCTTTGTTTTTCTGTACAGGCTATCAGCTCATACATGTCGTGATATCGCCCTGTGCGAGGTGCTGACAGCCATGGGTACGTACACGGACGTTATTATACAGTATAGATCCTTTAGTTTTATAGCTAATCAGATGCAGAGATCTCTGGATTGAAGTACTAGACTAGCATTCACGCATAACGCTTTACGGGCTACGCATGACGTCTCCAGCAAGGACATCGATCGACAACTCAGCCGTATATAACATAGGGAGAATTGAGAGACAGGACCCAATAGATTTCGAACCTTGTCAGTTTCTTCAAATAACTGCCCATTCATCATGCAAATCAAACTCTTATCTGGGTTTGGTGGCTGCTAGCTGAGTCTCAAGATAGTGTCACGTGTCAAACTTACGAGCTACACCTAGGCATCAGCAATACAGAACTTAGTTAATTTTGTAATAAAATTAGACGATTTATGGTTATCCCTACAAAGTATAATGTTCAATGTCAGTTTTGTAAACCGTAGATGTCTGCTCCAGCATGTATGGTCTTTGTTAGATGTGCTCTCTCGGCACCTGTAGCCGTTACAGATTGACACTGCGTCGCAACCACAGTGGCGCGCAGCAACCCTGATTGGCTAGCGTTGTCCAGGCTTTGTTCTTCAGGGGGCCTCAGGGCGCTATAACGGCGCTCGACCGCTATATCAGGCCCACCCGAGACCCAGCCCCGCCAATAGAGCTGCCAGCCGCTCCCGCAAAAATATACTCCAGGCCGTAAATTTTCGTGTTTTGCTCTCCTTCTATCCCCTTCTTTCCCCGTGCCCACACCTCCCAAGTCCTCCACGTCGTCATCGCCACGCAACCCGCTCCGCCTCGTGCTCCTCACTTCTTTCAACAATTGTCGTCGGAACACCTGGCATCTTTTAGCCCGCTCTAATTCCTACTTCGCTCGACTCTTGTGGTTGCTGCTGCTAGCTGTTGCCTAGGCCTCCAAAAGCTCCCGGCTGCCCCTGTCCTCTCTACGGCTACAAGAAAGCTGCGTCCAGAGCTCTCCTCACCACAACAACTCAGCGACCTCATTCGCAATAATGCCTGCTCCTCCTGATGCCAGCAAGCCTCTCCAGGAGCGCCTCCTGGAACTTGCCAAGACCTTGCAGTGTAAGTTGTAGATGTGTGCGCGCACTGCGCAACAGCCGCAGACCGCCTCGCTAACCTCTGACTGTAGTTGCTTGGTTCGCCGGGTACGTACAGTTCTAAAATCTCGATCGATCGTCTGATATTCTCTGACGAACCCGTTCCAGCTCTACAGCTTGGAGAATATAACATATGTGAAGCAAACACGTACTAACAATAGCGTCATCAGCCACCTTACCCTCATCCTCACCACGCTCCGATACAGCTTGTCCTGGATCCGCATGAACTACTATGGCACCATGGCTCAGTTCTGCTACCACACCACCTTCTTCGCCGCCGCCCTGACATACGGAATTGTCGTTTACAAGACCCAAAAGGCTCGCGCCAAGACCGGTGCTCAGCCCGCGTCCATTCTGTCTACGCTCTCTGACGAGAACGTCCAGTACCTGTGTAAGTTTGCGCATCGCGAATACCCCCGAGCGTTTATAAACGGTTAATTCTAACTGGTACGATTATAGTCATGGCTATTGTCTGGCTCACCTTCCCTCAGTACCCTATCGCCCTCCTCCCGTACTGCGTCTACTCCGTCTTCCACGTCGCCACTTACACCCGCGCCAACCTGATTCCCGTCATCACGCCTCCTCCTCCCGCCGCCGATGCCTCATCTCCTCGCCCCAAGGTCAACAGCCCTCTTGCCGACCGAATTGGCGCCTTCGTTAAGGAGTACTACGACTCGTCCATGTCCATTGTCGCCGGCCTCGAGATCCTCATCTGGGTCCGTGTTGTCCTCTCCGCCATCCTCTTCCAGCGCCGATCTTGGATTCTGCTCGTCTTCTACACTGCCTTCCTCCGCGCTCGCTACTCTCAGAGCTCCCACGTTCAGGCCGCCTTCGGTCAGCTTAACGCCCGTGTCGAGTCTCTCGTTGGAGCTCAGGGTACCCCTCCCGTTGCCCGCCAGATCTGGGATGGCGTTCGCAGCACCGCTAAGAGCTTCTACGAGGCCACTGATATCAACCGATATGTCGGTGGTGCCCCTGCCGCCAAGAAGTCCTCATAAACAGCTTATACGGAAGTTGAGGCTGAACACGACGCAACTGTGATGACAACAATTTTTTGCTGTCGTTACACATTGCCTCTACATCCTTGACAAGACTACGAAATGAGGTACTTGGACCTTTGGAAATGACTATGTGAAATGCTATCGGTTTTGTTTTCGATTCTTTTGAAGTCGCTGCATCGCAAGCAACCTGCAGGTACTAGAAGCTAGACTCGCTGGTCTACTGCAGCTTTGCGACAGCGATACGGCTTATGGAGTAATGGCACCATGAAAATTAAGAAGAAAAGAGTAGACTGGATGGGAACCTCGGTGGTTATGCACCGCGCTTGAAGGATTAGCTCTCTTGTATTCAAACGAGTGTTGGGGGCTAAGTTGATTGTAATGTTTCCTCTACCTGTACTGAATTACGAAATTAAAAATTTTCAACTATTTCTCTCAATAATCTTGGTAAAAACAAAATACACTTTAGTTCAGATTGATGCATTTTCGACGCTGCCGTATAAGTTGGCGTGCGCAGCGCTATGCGACTTGCCATTGTTGGCAGGCGGTGGTCGTCATGACGTCTGCCATGGTGCCGATCTGGGCGGCGGCCTCAACGCCAGCACGCTTCTGCCAAGGTCACCCACCATCTCACCATTTACAGGGACAAAACACACCATCTCTTGATCTGGCAAGCTGTATCCTCTACATAACACTAGCGATTTCATCGGAGAAATTTCACCGGCCAACAACCACGTGAGTTGTGCCAAACATAACGCTTTCACAACAAGCCTCAGCCTTTGATCAGTATCAGGCTGCCTCGCCAAAAGACACCGTTGCAGAACGCAACATTGATAGACTAAACTTGAGCATCCTGAAATCCAACCACAGACATGGCATCGCTGCTGAGGCAGCTTGTGGCAGGGCCAAGGAAAGGAAGTTCTGAAGCTGGTCTTGACCTCTGCTATGTCACAGACTATATCATTGTAACGTATGATACACCCTCCCGGTAGTTGCAAATATGTGCCTAACATGACATAGATCTGGCCCATCTCACACATATCCCAAAAGAGCGTACAGAAATCCGTTGGACCAGCTCGTTGCCTTCTTGGACTCCAAGCATGACAAAGACTGGGCGATCTGGGAGTTTCGCGGTGAAGGCACTGGGTACCCAGATGAGCTTGTGTACAATCGCATCCGTCACTACCCATGGCCAGACCATCACCCTCCACCATTCCGCTTAGTGCCCCTCATCATGGCAAGCATGCAGAACTGGCTGCACGGTGGCAGCTTGGATGGCACCGAGCCAGCTACATCTACCGAAAAGGACCCAAAGAGGGTAGCCGTGGTACACTGCAAGGCTGGAAAGGGTCGAAGTGGTAGTATGACTTGCAGCTACTTGATATCACAGGAAGGCTGGAAAGCAGAGGATGCCATGGAAAGATTCACTGAGCGACGCATGCGGCCTATGTTTGGAGCTGGCGTAAGCATTCCGTCACAAGTGCGATGGATCAGTTATGTTGATCGCTGGACCAAGCATGGCAAAGTATACCGCGATAGGCCCATTGAGATTCTTGAGATACACACCTGGGGCTTACGGGACGGAGTCAAAGTCGAGATCGAAGGCTTCGTAGAAGACGGCAAGCGGATAGAGGTCATACATACCTTTAAACGAGACGAGCGCGTTGTAGTCGAGGGAGATGCACCTGGAAGTGGCGGTATATCTGAGATGGTCTGGGACATGGCTGGATACGCTACCGGCGGAAGAGCCGACAACTCTGCAGCAGCAAAAACAGATCCTAAAGCTGTCATTGAAAAGGAACAGGACCGGTCGACGACCCCTTCTCCACCGAACTTGATCTCCAGCGAAACACCGCGTGTCGATAGTGGTCTTTCGCAAAAGTCGTCATCATCACAGCACGACCAACCGGGCGGAAGAGCCGTCATTTTCCGCCCTACCAATCCCATAAAGCTCGATAACAGCGACGTTAACATCTCCGTGGAGCGGCGCAATCGCACACACAAAAGCATTGGCCTTACGATGGTATCTGCCGTAGCTCACGTCTGGTTCAATGTGTTCTTTGAAGGCAACGGACCTGAGCAAGGTGGCCATGCCAATGACAGCGGCGTGTTTACAATTGACTGGGAAGCCCTCGATGGTATCAAGGGGTCTGCTAGGAAAGGAGCCCGGGCCCTTGATCGCCTCTCGGTTGTATGGCGCGTAGCTGACTCTGGCCAAACTGCCGACGAAGCTGGCAGCGACATCGTGACTGCCCCTGCGGCAGGACAGCCTATTCCTCAGGTCGATGCGGCTGATTGGCATGGTGTCGCCAATGGCGGAGAGCCATTGTCTTCAAAGGACTTGGGGCTCAGAATCCAGCAAGAGCACAGCGTGGATGTCAGCAGAGCAAACAGTTATCATAGCAGCACCAAAGCGGAGGAGAAGGAAGAGAATGGCGACACAGATGGAGAATTCATAGGCGAGGTCAAGTCAAGTGGTCCAAGTGGTGAGGATTTAGTCCTGGATAAGGAAACGTGATGTAGCCATAGAACGCATATATAATACAGACTTTTATTAATGTTATTCATTACCGACAGATGCCATTAGTGAAACCGTCCCCGGCCGCGATGATGTCGATCTCCGCGATAGCCACCATATGGGCCGCCTCCTCGGCGGTCTCCTCTATCTCTATATCCTCCCCGGTATCCGCCCCTGCCACCCTGATGATGGTGATCTCTCCCTCTAGGCTCTGATGGCGGCGGTACAGGCTCCTCCACTTCAATCTCATACTCTTCGTACTCCTCCTTGTGGAAGTCCGCAATAGTATCCTGTTCTGCGCGCGCTGCCTCCGGGTCGAATATGAAGCGCATCGTGCTATCCTGCATTCGCGCCACGCGCTTCGTTGACGACTCTGCGGGGAAAGACGCTGCTGTGGGCGATGTATCCGACGCTGGTGTCGCAGGGTGTGCACTGCCGCTGCCGTTTGTTTCACACGGCGGGCAGGTGTATAGATGTCTCGACTCAAAGCTCTTGTCTAGGTCATTGTTAAGATGGATCTTGACGTCAATAAACTTGTTAAGGTCGAAGAGAGCGCCAATCTTGGTCGACTTGTGGTGCTGCACGTAGAGATCGAGAATGTCCAGCATCGTCTCCATGATGCTGCTGCGGTGGTACTGCTTCCGCGCGGCGGCAAACTCGTTGACCTTATCAAGATGCTCGCCTGTGAAGCGCGCCGTCAGCTCAACAATGGCCATGGTCATGGCGAATGTGGTGCGCTTGATGGGCACAAAGGTCTTGTACATGTCGAGGCTCATGGCGTATGCGATGTCGAAGAACTTCTTGGCGTCCTCGCCGCGACCGAGGATGCTGCGTACAACTTTGACCAGGAGCTTCTGGGGGTATCTTGTGCGGAAGTCGAAGCCGATCGTCTCGAGGATGAGGCGTTCCAGGCCAATGACGACTTTGCCGGGCTGTTCGAAGATCTTGTCGTCGGTGGCGACGGCTTTATCGGGGTTTTTGACGATGTATGCTGCCGCGAGAATGTCGCGGGACTTTTTGATGGTGTCTTCTACTTTGCAGGCTACGAAGAGCGAGGCTAAAGCTGCGTCTTGGTAGTTGTACTCGGCGTCGCGAAAGTTGAGGCGGAACTTGTGATAGTATGTGCAGGCAGTGTCGAAGGTTCGAACGGGTCTAAACAGAGGATGTTAGTGACTTTGGGGGAGTTGCTTGATAATTTTGACATACAGTTTGAGGTGTTCGCGGACGTTTTCAATCAGCTGGACGCCTTGTAGGCGGTAGTTGTCCTCGCGAGCTGGGTCGTAGCCATTCTTGATGAACATGCGCCGTATCCTCGTCTCGGACGTGTACTGGTTGGAGCTGGATATAACGCCGGGATGGGGCCCGATCTTGGGCTTTGTATCAGTCGGAGCTGGGACGGGAGCTGCAGGCGCTGCCGCTGTGTCTGTGTTGACGGTCGACATTGTTGCTGTGCTTTGTTGTGGTGAGAGGTGGGAGGAGGGTCGTGTGGCGTGGCCAGCGCCGGAGTGCAGGGTTAGAGAGCCTTTGTTTAGCAAATTCTAGCGACTATTACTGTGTAAGTGTAAATATGCTGGTTCTTAAGTGAATTGGCGTCGCGGTGAGGAGTCGTGGCCGGAAGGCTCGTGGGGATGTTGTTGCAGACCAAAAGCTCTGGAGAAGGCTCCAAACCGGGTAGTGGTGAAAGTTGGAGTCGCTACCCGAGACCCACCATCAAGATCGCCATGGCGAGCTCAGACGGATGCTGGGATGAATGAAAGGTGCATGTATATGGAATTTAAATTGTGCTTGTAATGAAATATTTTAATATCTTTCCTACTCTTTCCCATTTGTTGCACTGGGAATGTGCTGCTGCAACTGTCCGCCTAGTTGTAGCGTCTGGCGGCGGAGATCTGTAGCGGGCTGGTTACTTAAGCGCTGTATCGTCACTCCTCCGGGACGCCGCGTCATGCTCTTCCACCTCAAACAACAACAAAGCACAACCATCGACACACCGCAAAGATGAAGCTCCAACTAATTTTGGGCGCTGCTGCAGTTGCTCTTGCAGCTTCGCACGACGACAACGATGACACTCCTCTTCCCGTCATCCTGTGGCACGGTCTCGGAGACGATGCGACTGGCGAAGGCGTCCTTCAAGTTGGCGAGCTTGCTGACGAAATCAACCCCGGCACCTTCTTCTATCCGATCAACCTATCCAAAGATGGTGCGAGTTCCGACCGCTCAGAGACCTTCTTTGGCAACGTGTCAGATCAAGTCAGCCGAGTCTGCGAGACGCTAGCCGCCCATCCTATTCTCTCTACTGCACCCGCTGTCGACGCCATCGGCTTCTCCCAAGGCGGACAATTTCTTCGCGGCTACATCGAGCGATGCAATAAACCCCCTGTTCGCAGCTTGGTAACATTTGGTAGCCAGCACAACGGCATTACCGAGTTCAAGGACTGCGCCCCCTCCGACTTTCTCTGCAAGGGCGCCATGGCTGTGCTGCGGTACAATGTTTGGGGAAGTTATGCGCAGAGCAGTATTGTTCCAGCACAGTACTACCGCCCTACCGAGGACTACAACTCATATCTCGAGTCCTCAAGCTTCCTGGCTGATATTAACAACGAGCGCAAGGACAAGAATGCCCAGTACAAGAAGAACCTTGCTGGTCTGACAAAGTTTGTCATGTACCAGTTTGCCAACGACACTGTAGTGATTCCCAAGGAGTCGTCGTGGTTTGATGAGATTGTGGATGGAGAGAGAGTGGTTCTGCGCAAGCGCAATATTTACAGAGAAGACTGGATCGGCCTCCGCGAGCTTGATCAAAAGGGCGCTCTGGTGTTCAAGTCGATTGTGGGCGAGCACATGCGTATTGGCGAGGAGACGCTGCGAGATGCTATCAAGAGCTACTTTGGCCCTATGAACCGTCAGTTTGACGCTCAAGAGCCCGCTGTTTCCGAGGACGATATAGTCGACGAGCTGTAAATCAAGATTGTACATTTATGGGACATGCATGATATATGAATATTGGATAACGGATAGTTTGCAAATGTAACACTTTTTCTAGTCGTGAATATCTATCTAACACTCGTGACAAAGCATGCCCAAAACGCCGTAAAACGCCAATGTGCCAGAAAATCATCTTATGGCATGTACAGGTGGTATGAAACCTATTGAAATGCAACTTTCTTTCCTTCCCATTCACAATTACGCATCCATAGACTTGCGAGATTTGGCCTTGGCGCTTCGCAGCTTGCTCTTACGCTCAGCAATCTGCTGGTCGAGCTTGTCGTCGTTACCGGCAGGCTTGGCCTTGTTATCAGCGGCAGCAGCCTTCTTGGCCTTCTTGGGAGCAGGAGACTCAGCAGCAGGCTCCTCCTTATCGCCAGTAGACTTGCGCTTCTTGCCAATGTTGGCCTTTGTGGTAGGGCCGTCCTCGTTGGCAATGACGTCCTTGTCGTCGACCCAGAGCTCGTCGGTCATCCAGATGGGCAGGGCCACGGTCTGGGGACCCTTGATGTGAATGCTCTTGACGCCACGCCACTTCTGGGGCACCCACTTCTCGACGAGGGCGTTGGAGACAGCCTCGACGTTCTCAGCGATCTGGTCGGCGGTCCAGTTGGCGAAACCAATGCGAATGGCAATGTTGGCGGTGGGCGAAAGGCTGACGAGGGCGGAGCCAATGGCCTTGGTGATCTCCTTGGCAATCTTCTCGGGGCTGGCGGCGTTGACCTCGCCCTCGGTCTTGGTGCGCTTGCGCTTGCCGTCGACCTTGGGCGCCTTGGTCTGGAAGATGACGGGGATGGGGCGCTTCTGGGTAGTCTTGTAGAAGGTCTTGCCGAGGATCTTGGGCAGTCTGTTGATGATGCGGTCGTCGGCAAGGAAGACGTCGTGCTCGGCGTACAGCTTGCGCTGGGCCTCGTACTGGGAGAACTTGGCCTTGAGCTTGGTCACGTCAATGACACGGCCAATCTTGCTGCGCAGGTCGGCGGGGAACTCTTCGGCATCGACAATGTTCTTGTAGGCGCGCTGGGGGTCGGCGGTGATGAGGCAGATGGACAGCTGCTCGGTTTCGGCGCTGAGCAGAGGGTGAGGCAGAGCAATCTTGCCGGGCTGCAGGCGTGCCTTGTCGGTGATGTGGCGCTTGGTGGTGACGTTTAGCCAAACAGGCGTCTCGGCGGCATCGTCGTCGTCGCCGAGGAGGTTCTTCTTGCCGCTTTCCTCGGTTTGCTCAGCGGCGGCCTTCTTGATGTGGGAGAGGAGGGCCTTGGAAGCCTTGATGGTCTGTTTGATGAGGTGTTAGCGAATCTGTAAGATGGCTACAGCGCAAGACTGGTAGTTGAAGGGAAGACAATATGTCTCTATTTACCTGATCAGGGTTGATTACAACCAGCTCGGCGCTGCCAACGACAGCAACAGCCTTGGAGGGAGACATGGCTGGTGGTTCTTTGTTTTTCTTGGGTGGTACAAAAATAAGATGATCGCTATTAATTGGATTGAGGCGAAACAAATGACAAAACAAATCTATTGTGTACCGCTGCGGGGGAATTCGATTATCCGCGATATGCTGCTGGGCCTCACTGGAAAAAGTGAAGAGAAAAAAAATGCTAAAATTCTTTTCTGGAGCCCGCCTTATGCAAGTGTCGGGGCCCGGCCATTGGCTCCGGCCGACCGCCGATTGCGCCCCACATTAAAGTTGGACTGCCGCAACGGCGTCTGGAACAAGACGATGCAAAAGACGAGGTGGAAAAATTGTAATAAATCAAAATATAATTAATAGCAAATTTGAGATGGCCATACTGTGCAAAGCTCGGAATTTCTATTTTTGTCATTTTGCGGCCAATGGGGTGATCTCTGCCACGTTGGCTGCTCCTTGCAGTAGCTCAGCGCTTAACACGCGACACCTGAACCAACGACATCTTGAAACTGCCAACTGTGAAAATTGACCAAGAGATGGAGAAATAGACTGACTCTCACTATTTTTATCAGAGCTGAATCGCTCCGACTATTGTTCCAGAGAACGCCTTTATCGATTCTTGCAGATGGCAAGGTTTGCAGCTGGTCCCGCTACAGGGCACGTCGGGAACGCGCTCCAGTACATACTGATACCCAGCCACAACCAAGAAGCCTGCAGGATGCCGGCGCGAAGACGTCGAATTTTTGCAATTGGGTGGCCCATTGGACAAGACCTTGGCTGTGTGAATCACATTGAACATGTTTCATGAATTCTATTTTCTCTACTCTGCATTGACTTGGGCAGCAGCAGTTACCGCCAGCAGCACAAACGATGAAGCGTTGCGTGCCGTATGACCTACCTCGGCTGGCAGCGTGTAAAGTGGTGATTCGATCTTCTTTTCTGTGGATGGAAGGATAGTAATGACTGACTTAAAGTGGTGTCTCATTGTACTATATGCCCACTCGTTCGGGGCCAATCGAAGCTGTCAATACAATGGCTTGGAAAGGACGCCTGCTGCTGGTGTAGCATGCCAGACGACGTCACAGGGACACGCTGCCCTCTTAAAAGCCATTAAACGCAAATGCCAGTGGTTCTTGTGTGTCGGGCGATTTTTAAATGAGCGGAGTCTATAAATGTACTAGTTTCCAGACAATTTTTTTTTTAGCAGTAGCCATAGTGTCGGTAATGCGGTCAAGGGCAGACATGGCTCCCATGTGAGTGGTGTGTGTAAGAAGATACGCGCCGTGGTGGAGACGTGTTTCTGCAGCGAATGGGCCACAAGAGAGGAGGAGGCTGGTTTTTGCACTGGCTGCTACGTGCGGCTCTTCTTTTTGCTGTTAGTACGAGTAGTGGGTGTAGTAAGTGGTGAATAAAAGATTGGTGATGATGAATTGGTGTAGCAGAAAATAAAAAATTACTGGTTAAAAAAAAAAAGCAAATTCATAGCTGCGTGCGAGCATAGATTCATATAAGGAAAGCACAGCTGAATCCAAGCAATAATCCAGCGGAGAGCACCTGCAACCAGTAAGGGGGTGCGCTGTAACACCGCTATAACTCCAGCGCTGCAACCACTATAACCAGCCGCGTCACCCACTGTAAACCCGCCCACTTACAGGGCCCTTGCGCAACGCAACGCCAACACGACACGCGCCCCCAGCACCGCGTCACAGAAGAACACGGCTCCCCTCTTTTAAATACCCGCCAGCCCAGGCCAGGCGGCCGCTTCTTCCACTTCCACGCTGCCACCCACACAAAATCACACCTACTTTTTGACAGTATCTGCCTTCTCCTCGGCTCGTGGCCTGTTTTCGAGACCTTCAGCTTCAACCTCCTGGATTTCCTGCTTCGTTTTGCAACTTGCATCACCGTCCTTGTTCTCGACGCCAGACTTCATTTATACGCTTCTAACCGCCATTTCGACGCGTGCTCCGCCGCACCAAAGAGCACCCTCGCTTACACGCCTTTTATATCCACGCGACTGGACGCGAATCTCGCACATCTTGCACCAAAAACACCAGCGAATGGTTGCCACACAACCGCATTTATAGTATATCATATTTTATTATGGACTCTGGTTCTGCAAAGCCCTCGCCGGCTCGCCTCTCAGAGCCCCAGCTGCCAGCTCCTAAGCCAAACAACCTCATGGCGGGATCTAAGCGATCTGCCGCCTCGCTGCTGCCCGCATTCGAGCCTCTTTCTTCGTCTCCGGGTCTTCCTAGACCTACTAAACGCCAAAATGTCGGTTCTGGTAGCGCTCATTTAAAATATCCTACACCTGTGCCCACATCGAGCACTGGTATCTTGTCCAGCTCGCCCCTTCGAGCCCGCATGATGCGTCCATCGTCTGAACGCTCACCTCTATCTGCCGTGCCTTCTATTGAGCTTTCGGAAAATGGTGAAATTTTGACCATGGGCCGCTCCTCCAACTCTTCTCACTTCCAATTATCCGCCAACAGACTGATTTCAAGAGTCCACGTCCAGGCTCGCTATATTGCAGCAGCCAGCCCGCTGGAGCCCAACAAGATTGAGATTATCTGCAACGGCTGGAACGGCTTAAAGCTGCACTGCCAGGGCCGCACTTGGGAACTCTTCAAGGGTGATAGCTTCACCAGCGAGACCGAAGGCACCGAAGTCATGGTTGACGTGCAAGACGCCCGAGTTATGCTTCAGTGGCCTCGCCGTGACGGTTCTGCGGATGCTGCCGCCCTTTCGGACTCGACATGGGATGACTCGCCACCTCGTTCGCAAACTCGTGCTGGTAACTTGCTTGCTTCGTCGCCTCTTCGCCGCCCTGCTAGAATTGAGTCTCCCGAAAGCCCTACGCCCGGCCACTTGGCCAGCTCCCAGCGCCTGCAGGCACTTTTGCCCACATCTGCCGATGGAGACAGCGGCATTGAAATCTACGAGGATGAGCCTGAAGATGACAGCCTTGCCGGCGATGACGGAGTTGTCAACCCTGCTATTAGTATGCAGACTGATGCTACCGCCAGCTTCGCCAGCAGCTTGAGCGAGCTTGACGAGAATGACCCCGATGAGGAGAATGACCCCATCATTCACTCTTTCGGTCCCTTTGGTGCCGATATCACTGCTCGCATGGCCTCCATTATCACAAAGTCGCCCCGTGCTGGCAAACTCGACCGCCGCCCTCAGCCTATTACTCTGGATGTTCTGCCCGAAGACGACTCCGCGCCTCCTTCGCCCTCTACCGAGACAAAGTCCGCCAAGGCAAACGTTGCCAAGTCTGAGCTTGAGCAGAGCACTTCCAAGGAGACCACACCTACGCCATTCGTCGAATATCAGGTCGCCACCGAAGTCACCAACCATGTTATTAACCAGCTTGCCTTTTCTCGCCTCTCTTCGACCCCTCTTTCGACCATTATGCAAAACTTGCCTGCTGAGCAGAAGAAGGATCTTCCTCGTGAGGCTCTCCGCCGCGCTATTGAAGCCACCGACTGCGTTGGCATCATTAAGCGTCAGGGCAAGGACGCCGCCGGAAAGGCCCTCGAGAGCGAATACTACTACGTCCCGGATAACGACGACGACGAGCAACGCAAAGCCGCTGTTGTCGGCTTGAGAAAGCCCAGCTTGCGAGCCTGCCGCAAACAGCACAAGCAGTACTACTGGAAGCGCCCCAAGACTCCTTGAGCAACCTCCAAGTATTTGTTTCTCTCGTATCCACGACGTGTATATATAATTCGAGCCACAACCCGGCAAGCAACTTCTATTGGCGATTCGCAAAGGGAATGGCGTTCTTTGCATAATCAACGGCGTATCTAGTGTATTTTTGTTTCTTTATTACCCTTTCTTCGATTATTCTTGTTTTTTATTTTCTTCTTTTCAAGACAAAGGCGAACGGAGTCGCAAGGCTTGCTTTTTTATATGGTCTGAACAAGACTGTATAGATGGATAAAAACGTTTTGGTCAGGATTTGTTTATTTTTCTTTTTGAAGCCCTTGTCATTTTTTTTGGCTTATTTGCTATCTGGTTTCTTTCAGGGGGAAGAGTATTTTTGTTAGGGCGAGAGCCGTGATGCCTATGTTGTTTATTCTCCGTGTTGGAATCGGAGTAATGGAGTATATACCATGCAGAGAGCTTTGAGCGTTTGAATGCAACGAGATCTATCTTTTCACACAAAATGTCTATTTTCTACAGTGCCGTGTTGATCTAAAGTGAAATGAACGTAGTACGTCAGTTAGTTTGTGACGTGCGTGCCTTCCCCTCACTTGCATTAGGCGTATACTGTGCATATGCCGGTCTCCCGTGGCGAATTACATCTTGTCACTCCTACAAGAACAAGACTCACACCGTCTATTGTCAGTCTGATTATAAAGAAAAGCAAACCATGGACACCAAGTATACTGCACAGAATGGCCATCACAAAGCCGGGCAAGCAGAACAAGCAAACATGCCGTTCGCGAACGGCGCTACCAGCGAGACGTGGAAACCGTCCGTGGATCGACGCCAGAGCTTCAGCAAAGAGGATCATAAACGGGCGATGCATTTGACTACAATCGATGCCGTTCAGACTGGGCCGGGGTTTACTGAACACAAGTAGATCGCCCCAGCGTGGAGACGAAGAAGTCTCACACGAGTGAGAGAAGGGAAAAGCCGGAGAGAGAGACAGAGAGAGAGGTTCACGGAACATGAAGCTATCAAATTGACACGGAACTCGAGGGATTCAAAGTTTTCAAATGAGATTGTTTACTGTTTATGCTGTATACAATGTGTATGACTGAACTAGGCAAATGAATGAGAGAAAACATGTATATGACCGCCGCCAAAACGCCTGTGCTTGGGAAATGTGCTATAAAAACCAATGTCGCCTCCAAAATCGTAATGTAAAATGCAAATAAAACAAACCATCAAATGACCACCTAAAAGGTGCCTGTAGAAAAGTATTCGCTAAAGACACTCAGGACGTACGCGCCACCAGCGAGGCCGGCAGTACCTAGGAGAATGCGCTTGCCGCGAGACGGGCGCTTCTTTTGAGGCTTCAAGTACTCTGAGGCCTCACGGACCTTCTTGAAGACGAGAACATCGGGACCACCAGACACAATCTCGTATCCCTGCTGCTGCAGGAGCGCAAAGTGAGGGAAGAACTTGGACGGATGTGCGAGCTGTAAAATGGCTTCGGCGGGGTTGGATGCCCGCGTGTTGTCTTGAGCACTAGATGACACCTCGGCGATAGAGACAGACCTGGTGCTAGAGTCGTATGCCATCATTTTGAACAAGGCGAATCCTGCCTCCTCGGCTGCAAGGCGGCCTTGGTGATGGCGAGCAGTCAAGGGCCATGCTGCCTTATCGCCACGCTCTTGTTCGTAGCTTGTTTCCAAGCCTTGAGGCGATTTTGAATAAGGATCATTCTCAACTGCCATCTTCTGGGCAGGCGTCATGGGTGTATTCCCGGATAATCTGTTGATGACTTCCCGTAGGCGACCGCTCTCTGGGGGAAAGCTCTCATCCATGGAGCTGGCATCGGGCTCGCCTGGCTTCTCAGCAGCAGCAATGGAATGAAACTCTAGGGCAAGGGAGGGGCGGCTAACGACTGGGAGACGAGATACATCGCCTTTGGATCTAGAAATCATGTCGAATTCCTTTAATCCGGCAGCAACGGCATCTGCAACAGCATCCGCAGCAGCAACCTCAGTGACAGTAGCTTCGTTCATCATCTCAGGTGTATAACGACCAAGTTCCTCAGAAACCTTTGTAGCATTTTCCGAACGGGTATCCTGTTCAAGAACGGAGTCAATCTCGCTAGATCGGTACTTGTGTAGGTCATTGTAGCTCTGCGAGCCTTCATCCGATTGAACCTGAGCTGGCATGGTAGGCTCTTCAAATACCTGAGCGCGATACTGCGCCAGGTCTTTATATTGCTTGACAACCTCTTCAGGATGTACTCTTTCGACAGTAGGATCAGAGTTGTCGTACCCTTGGTACTGCTTCAGGTCGTTGTAGTCTTTGGATAATTCTTCAGCTGTTTGTGTTGGTAGACCATCGGGTTCATTCCATTTCACAGGCCCATAAGACCCGAGGTCCTTGTAGTCTTTTGAATTGTCCTCCGCCACAACCTCAACTTTAGCAGACAGTGGTTTGCCCTTGACAGTTGTGTCAAGTTGAGCCTCTTCGTGGGCTTTGAGCACAGAGTCCTTGGCGGTAAACCCAACCTGGTAGTCCTTGAGATCATCATAATCTTTTGACTGTTCCTCAGCTGTGATTTGCTGTAGACCATTGGGTTCATTCCATGTAACAGATGTGTAGTTCTCAGTAACCTCTTTGCTTGGTTCATCTACAGCGTTCGTGCTGCTGTCATACGAGCCTACCATAGCATCAGAGGGGGACACCTTGGTGTCAGCAAATTCACTTGATTTGTACATGGCCAAATCGTCATATTGTTCGGGGCGCTTCTCGGACGTGAGGGCCTGCGCATCGAACGATTCACTCCATTCCAAGGGGCGGTATTTGGCCAAATCGTTGTGAGTATTTGAGCTTTGGCCGACAGCGATCTGTTGCGAAATGACGGGATCATCAAAGTTGGCTGAGGCATATTGACTAAGCTCTCCAACTTTGATTTGACTGACATCATATTTCGATAGCTTCTGCTTGGGGCTACCTCCGCGCGAGGCTTTCGACTTCTTCCAGGCCGAGGCGTTTAATTCGGTCTTGCCGTTAAAAGACTTATTCGCGTCAATGTCCTTGACGAAGTGTGCAGGGCTCTGCCACTTCTTAAAGAGGTACTTTGCATTTGTAGTCTTCGAGGCGCCGTAAGGTGGAGGAGATCGTGAGGTGTAGAGACTGTCGATGGGTGGAGGTTGGTTTGATGACAGATTCTCAGCCAAAGACTCGGCTACGAAGAGCGTTAGAAGGGAATCTCGAGTTATCAATACGAAATCATCTTACCTTGGCGTAGAGGATTTGTAGCAGCTCGCTGAGAGCCAGTTTCACAAGAAATTTGACGTTGGATAGACTCTGTGTAGCGGAATGCATAATTTGAAGAGGCTGCAGCCACTCGTTTCGTGACGAGAAGTCTCGCGTGCGGCGAGGCTCTAGCCGAGGTAGGAATCATGGTGGGATCGATCTGGTGTTATTGTGATGCAAAGAAAAAAAAAGGCCTGAAATAACAATATGTCTATGTTGGTATATCGTGGAATCGAACAGGTATGTAAACGGAAGTAGTCTCGAGAAATGGAGCGTATATCAGAGAGGTCGGAGGTGTGATCGCGATGGTTGCATGGAGAGTATCGAGATCTGGAGAGTGTGGATTTGATTTGTTCACCCAAGATGGTGACAAAGGTGCGAAGGCTATAACGAATTTGAGGAGATGAATGCCATATCCAGCGAGTCTGCCGTAGGGGACCTGTGATGGATGAACAAAAAGGAATGTGAAGATGGAGAGATGAGGCAAAGAGGGAATACAAGAGACAGATAACATGGACGAGGGGGGGTGGAGCCGGGACAGTTTGACAGCCTAAGTCGTTGACTCTCGATAAGGGCCGATCACAGGCCTGAAGCCCCACTGAAGCCACCGCTGCAGAGGCTTGCGGGGTAGGTGCAGGGAGGCTCCGACGGTGCACAGTGTTATCAGTGCGCGACTTGCGGGAGCCTTGCGCAAAAAAAATACAGTGCGGCGAGCGCCGGGTGCACAGGCCCATGCGCAAGACGCTGAGTGTTCCGTCCGCAACCGATGCTGAGCGCTAAAAGGGGACGGCCAGTGGCCCAAGGCCCCACTGGAAACGCTACCATGCGCCTTAAATGCACTGTGCCATGACAAAGTTACGGAGGCTGAAATTGGGTTAGTGTGCGTGGAGGACGGGACGGGAGCATGCAAACTACGTCATGGTTTATTGACATGACAAGGGTTAACGAGGGATAAACCGTTTCGTTGGCCAGGTTGAGGGCCAGTTTGTTTCACGCGACGGAAATCTTGCTTTGCTGCGGTGTTTTTTTCGCTTTTCTTAATTCCGCGGAAAGCGACAAGTAGCAAATATTTTATTACACTAACCTCGGCTGGCTCTGTTTTGTAGGGGTCCTATTTGCCGTGAGTGTTCGCATGTAAGCTTACCCTCGCTAAGGTTAACAACCAGCTTTAAGAGACGGCGCTAAACAAACACTGTGCGAGTTGGTTCCTCTTAGCGGTATGCACTAGTGGTGTCAGGTGTTCGCGACACTGCATGTATAGTGGTCTGGGCAAAATTGGGAAACTGATATCACTCTACGCGTGATATGTCTCCGTTGTTCCGGTTGGATGGTAACTTACTAAGTACCCGTAAATCAAAAGGTCCTTTTTTGCTAAGCCAGAGGACGGGATATGATGTTTAGATGTGCCTTGGTCACGTTGTCCGCGTTCGTCGACTTACACTGTATTTTAAACAGCAGGCATAAGACAAGCACAGAATCCAAGAAAAGATCACAGCCTGGCAATGAAAAAGTTACAAAATTGATAGTATAAATTTGCCCCCTAGACTATCGTGTTCTATTTAGATAGAAATATACGACTTACAATGGCGTAGATTAGAGCAAGGTTGATCACTGAGGTCCACCCTATAGATGGCAGGGGGCGAAAAATACCGCTAATAATGGGCTAATGTAAAGAAGAAAGAAATTATCCAGAGGTATTAAATATGGATACACCTCTGTTCTTTATATATAAAACATTTCAAAAGATTTATTAGGAGCTACTCCCTATTGCTGTTCGTAATCTATAGCCGCCTCCCGGCGTGATGACTCCTCTCCGGACCCCTAGGCTCCGCCACAGGGCTTAGAGAGCCACCGTAGCCTTTGTGTGGTGCCCCGCGCCGTCGCGGGGCAAATTTGCAAATTACGGCGCGTAGTTCTCGGCGCTTCGTCATAAATCTTTTGTGCCAGCCGCCGCCTCACACATCGCCATCACCTGCTTCTTTCTTTGCTCCCCGACACAAAATGAAGCGAGGAAAACAAGCCGGATCATCTGGCTTTGGTGGATTTGGCGGCCATGGCTCCCAGAGCTCGCTGTCTTATCTTGCAGAGCCGCCGTCGTTCAACTCGATTTCCAACCCCAACATCGTCGTCTCTCTCAAAAATGTCCTGAAGAAGGACAGCACGACGAAGACAAAAGCTCTCGAAGACGTTCTTGCTTACGTACAAGCCCACCCATTCGAACAAAATGGTGGTGTAGAGGAGGGTATCCTTGATGTCTGGGTACGCTGAAATTAACGGTCTGGTTGAAGAAGTGACGGTACACTAACTGCAAGGAATAGGAACATTTATATCCCAGAGCATCGATAGATAACGCTCGTAGAGTTCGCGAACTCTCACATATACTGCAATTCGAACTCATGAAATCGGCGCGAAAGCGCATGGAGCGACGCATTCCCAATCTTGTTGGCGCCTGGCTAGCCGGACTTTTTGACCGAGACAGAGTGGTTGCTAGAGCTGCAAATGATGGATTGTCGTCGTTCCTAACAACTCCTGAAAAGACTAACGGATTCTGGAAGAAGTGCCAATCGCAAATTTTAACCTTTGCCTCGGAAGCGATACAAGAGACAGCCGATACACTGAGCGACGATCGATCGACGACAAAAGAGGATGCCGATGCTAAATACTTCCGGGTGATTAACGCGAGTCTGTCATTAGTTCTAAACCTGTTGCACAGAATAGATGATAATGAATTGGGAAAGGCAGAAGCAGAGTATGAACAGTTCTTCTCCTCCCCCGCCATTTGGAAGTCCATCACACTTATGGATGCTGCGGTGCGGAGGACAACGAGCCAGCTGCTTCTACTATGCCTAAAGAAAAACCTAAGCTATGCTGATACGGCCGATTGTCGCAACGCCTTCATTACGGGAGGCTTGAAGACTTCACAAACTGGGTCTGCCGTCGAATACTTGACCGCTCTTGTCGTCTTGACAAGCACCAAGCCTGACATCTGGAATCCCGCAGCGAAAAGCAAAAAGTCGCCACTCGAACGCCTCGAAGCTTTCATCACAAAAGGTTCCCAAGGCAGTAGATCGGGCTATTGGGAAGCCTTGGCGAAACTCTTGTCTGTCATTCCCAAAGATGCGTATGTTGCCAGTACAAGCACAAATATGCCAGACGCTATTCGACAAGGCCTTCAAAATCGAGAAGAACCCTATACAAATAATGCGCCTGCATGGAAATGCTATACAGAATCTATTTCTCGCGAGCTTTCCCGACTGGATGCAGACCAAGCTCCTAGCTTTGCAACATCACAGATTTTCCCTCTATTTGAGCACTACATCTTTCCTGTTGCTGGCAAAAATACATCTGGAGCTGGTGTGATCTCTGTCGCAGGCCTCAAAGATTTGTATGTATCATACAGCAGCCACAGCACTACCGCCAGTGCTTCCTCAAAGCAAGAGTGGGAACGGCTAGGTGAGATGATGTGTGCCAAACTGTCAGCGTCTCTTCCTGGTGTTTCGCGTGAATATCAGAGCTCCCAGGAATTGGTGGGAGAAGAGGGCAAACGATGGCTCCAATTGGACAGTGAGATACACAAGGCGATTAGTGTAGAGTCACAGGAGATCCAAGATTTCCTCTCGCCTCAGTCCTCCAAAATTGTCGCGCATTCAATGGTTCTCCTGGAGAGTCGCAACATGAAGCCCTTTGGAGCTGCCAGAATCCTCGCAAGCGCGCTCCAATTGACACCTCACATATTCCACGACGAGCTTGGCACTAGAATATGCGGCTTTCTCGAAGAGGCAGCAAACGAACATATCGATCGAGTAGTTGAGTCCCCATCGGCGTCCACGCTGCAGGCTTGTGTCAATGCAATTGGAACGATAGACCCGATAAAGTCACGATTTGATACTATATGGGATCTTTGGGTGAAGGCGTCCCTTTCTCTGCCTCCCAGCAATGAGCGAGCCAAGATGTTAGGGTTACTCGTGGCGCATGATACTGTGAGCGAACGTGTGCGACAGTCCACGACTCTGCAAGCCGAGATTATTAGCCAAGGAAGGGCACTTGCGACAGGCCAGTCTGATAGCTGGGGATTATTCACTCCTGCAATTAGTCACAATGGCCTAGACAAGTCCTCAGCAACAACGTTGACCACCGAAGTCACCCAGCTCATCGAGGAGAAGCCGTCTGAAAGAGCGCTTGAAGTTCTAGAACTCATTATTAGAAGTATGCCCGAGCTGCTCTCTGAAAACGAGGATCTTCACACGACTTTGGTGACGCAGCTACTCGCGTTGTCCGATCTGAATGAAAGATCTCCATTGTCAGCCAAGGCCGCCATGATTCGATCTATGATGGAAAACCATAACGACGGACAGCTACCACTTGTCGGCATAATTCACGGCAATCTTGACCACGCGAATCCTCAGTCTCTCACTATTGACACACTGATCAAACAGGCCAAAAGCGCAACGGAAAATGGAACGCCCCTCGAAGAACTCTTCCCAAGTACAAACGTTTGGATGCAAGAAATCACCGCGTTCACATCACTCCCCATCAACCCATCATTGACAATCACAAATAGCCTCCAGGGCGCCGCAACTCTCGGTCAGGCACAAGACTCACATTCCCTCGGTTCTATACCCCGAGTTGAGCGAGACAGGAAGGGCCGCTCGATTCCCGTACGCATGGCTCTCTATTCCACCGCTCTGTGCAGTGGTGATGTAGAGATCTTCCAGCTTCCAACCGAATTCCTGGTTGAACTGTTGTACCTCAAGTGTATCACTATTCAGCTCGCCACAGATCAACTGACCGCGCTCGATAACCACGGTTTATGGACCGATATGCAAAGTCCAGCGACATGTGATGAAGCCGAAGGCCTTGTTACCACGCTACGGTCACAAATTCGGCAATATGCAGTAGCGTCCGAATGGTGGCAAAGCACCAACAATAATCCTGACAGCGTTGTTATGAGAAAGCTGGTGCAGCTGCTCATCACCGAATCCAGTTCGCTGGCCCCGCAGTCAGTCTACAGCTCTCGAGCTCTGAGCGAGATCTTGCAAGCCGTCTCAGAGTGCCCCGGTGCTCCAGCTCTCATTGAGGAGAACTTTATTCAGCCTGTTATGTTGAAGGTTACCCCAGAGTCGACATTGGTTGCTGCAGCTTTCTTGACTGGTCTAGGTGAATCATTGCAGTCGTCGAAACAGATTAACAACTTCTGTAATCGTCTGATTAGTGATGTAGCGGGCGCCACTGTCGACGGTAGAAAGACGTCCATGATTCTGGTTTTGTGCAGTCTTCTTAGCCATATCTATGAGGTGGGCGAGTTGCCTGTTGCTAATAACCGTATCGTCTTTGCTGTTCGACAAATCACATCCTGGATGGAGGAACCCGAGGAGATTGATGGTCAACTTGCAGCGGATATATGCCGCGCTCTATTGACTCTCTTGCCTTGTATGAAGGATGTTTACGGCTCGTACTGGGAGAAGACGGTTGACTTTTGTCTATTCCTGTGGAATGGAGTACAAGAGCACTACCCAGCCGAAGCCTTGCCTTTGATTCATTCGTCCCTCAAGCTGTCAAAAATGTTGGAGAGTATGACTGAAGCGAATGATGATGCTCTGGATGCTGTTAAGACGCTGCAAACAGCGAAACCAAAGGCTTTGATGGAACTTCTTAAGCTCCCTCGTGCAATCGATTCTCAACCTGCAGAAATTGTGGACGCAATGCTTTGCCGAGAGGTAGAGAAGATTCCGGACAGAAGCATCACTGAACTCGATGAAATCTTCCCTCTGGTAGCGTCCGAATCTAAGGAGATTCAAACGGCAGCTTTCAATTTGCTTCACCGCGCCATTCCTCTTCAACAACAACAGCTTTCCGTTGATGCGCTGTTGGATAAAACAGGTACGCCCTTTGCCCGTATGAAAATTATCTATCTTGCTAACTGTGCCTAGATGCACGTCTCCCAGATGAGCTGCTTTCATTGCTTTTGGACGCACCAAACTTCGAGGATCTTTCAGACGAGGCATTGTCTCGCTTCCCTGCCTCAGTGCGATGTTACTTGCTGTCTTGGAAGCTTGTTTTTGATGCTTTCTCGACATCGTCTTTTAAATTGCGTAACGATTTCATGGAGAATCTCAAAGCTGACGGCTGCATCAACCCGCTTCTGGACTTTTTGTTTGATGTTTTGGGCCACTCTGCAGCCCATCCCTTGAATTTGGATAAAGAGGGCCTGGGATCTGAGCAGATCTACGAATATAACGTGAAACTTGCCAGAGCCGAGTCTGATGAGAAGGATATGCAATGGCTACTGATTCACCTGTACTATCTGGTACTAAAGTACACACCGGGTCTATTCAAAACGTGGTACATTGACTGCCGTTCCAAGCAAACCCGCATCGCCGTTGAAAGCTGGACCACAAAGTACTACTCGCCGTTGATCATCACCGACACCCTCGAGGAGATTCAAACATGGGCAGATTCCCAAGAGCCACCTGCGATGGATGAGCAAGAGCTTCAAATCAAGGTATCCAGCGCCGCTCGGGAGGTCACTGCTGGCTACGAAGTCGACGAAGCGCAAGCATCGATCGTTATAAAGATCCCGTCAAGCTACCCCATTGAGAATGTGGTTGTCAACAGCTTACATCGTGTAGCTGTATCCGAGAAGAAATGGCAGAGCTGGATCATGACAACTCAGGGTGTTATTACCTTCTCAAATGGTAACATTATCGATGGTCTGCAAGTGTTCAAGCGCAACATTGTTGGTGCTCTCAAGGGCCAGAGCGAGTGTGCTATTTGCTACAGTATCATCTCTACAGACAAGAGAATGCCTGATAAGCGTTGCTCTACCTGCAAGAACCTGTTCCACCGAACTTGCTTGTACAAGTGGTTCCAAACCAGCAGTCAGAACACTTGTCCACTCTGCCGAAACCCAATTGACTATTTGGGTGCCGACACAGCCAAGAGACGCCAGTAGCGTGTTTATATTTAGGAGGAGAGGTATATACATATATATTTAAAAGTAGATCGTCTATAGACTTTGCTTATGAGTGCGCAATCATTTAGGGGAGAAGGGGGCGTGGTTGAGCGTCTATGCATGGTTAGGAGTTTGTTTCAAAAATGAAAAGTGTTTTATATTTTACTTACATCTGCTGCCGTAGCTCTTCCACCATATGTTACCGTTTTCGTTATGATGTCTCGAAACTCGGGATCAATTGTCGGCAGAATCTCAGTCCAAGTCCGGCTGGGGAACACATTCCACATCTCAAACGGCGATACCCGGAAATTCTTTGCCTCTGGCCATATCTCGGGCGTTGGTGTGCCCAAGGTCTTGAATATGCTGAGAATTAGGCCTAGCTGGTTGCCATCTTCGTGCGCTGGGCGTGATTCGAACGGCGGCTTGGGAGGATTTGTGACAGCCTCAGCTAACATTACGCCCAACGACCACATATCTACTGCTGTTGAGTAAGATTTATCCACAAAGAGCGTTTCTGGAGATCGATATGGCCCTGTACCAATGTCGAGAATCTTGTTGTCGGGGGCCTCAGAGGATTTTGAAAACTCAGGGTGCCAGGCTGTACCAAAGTCAGATAGGAGAGCTGGTCCATCAGCTGACTTGAGGAGGATGGCAGATGGTTTGATGTCGCGATGTATTATACCAATTGAATGGATATACGATAGCCCGTTGAGAATGTCTGTGAATATTGTAGTTGTACGGGCTTTTGTGGGTGTTCCAGTTTCTAGCAGTGTCGCAAGCGTGAGAGGCATAAAGGGGAAGACGAGAACAAGGCGCTGTTCTTCATCACGAAAAGTATTGATGAGTTGAATGATGGTTTTATGGCTGAGAGAATTGAGGACTTTGATTTCGCGCTGAGGATTATGCGGTTCCATGTTGTTTGGTGAAGTGATGACTTTGAGAGCAAAGTTTTCGCTTGTGCGATAAACCTCTGACGTAACACCATCTGATATAAATCTGCAATTGGCGTGTCCTCTAATTGTTACTCCAGGGTCTTCATTCTCTGTTTGTTCCGAGTGAAGACTTGGAGGAACTGTATCTTGTGGTTTGCATGCTGCATTGTAAGCCTCCTGGGATGCTGTTAGTTGTCATGCTCATAGGGCAGTAGTAGGACACACGTACTCGAGAGATAGAGTCTGCATATGCGGCCGCTTCAATCGACATGGCCTCACTCATAGAGTTATTAGAGAGAGATTCTTGCCTGTCTTTTTGTTAATTCCCAATAGAAATAGTGTGTTTGGGCCTATGCTTACAAGGCCTGGATAGTAGCATAGCGATCTACGGCAGACAACTCTGTCCGCCAATCTATCGGTTCGCTCATTGTAGATAGGTCTGAGTTTAAATATTTCGTCCTAGCACAAACCACCCTTTAATTCAAATTGTGAAGAATAGTGTCTAGGTTGCCATCTGGTAGGCAGGTTGCCAGCCGTTGTAAGTTGCGTTACCATTCCATGGCCATCACGTGATCCCAGCCTGCGTTCCTCTGCTACGACGTGCCCCGGCCGACGACGGCGCTAGAGCCCGGGTGCCCGTCCGCTAATTTTGGCGGGAAGCTCGCTGCAGCTCAGCTAACCTCCAGCCTCTTTCAATGGTGGGAGCTTGTTGTCATCTTCATCACCACCGCCAGCCAGCTTCTCCTCATCGCTGCCAATCGTGTTGCGCGCAGCAAGACGCGGCCTCTCGCATCCCTATCGTTTTCGAATTCGTCATTTCCAGTATTCTTTCTAATTATTGCTACACCCGCCCTCTGCTCGGCGCATCGCTGTCGCTTCCCCAGTTTTGTCGCCCACCATGGATGACCTCACCAGGGCCGAATACCCGGCTATTTTGGTACGCAGTAATCCTGCCGAATGAATTGTCTTAGACTCTGGCAACCCAATTACTTTGCTAACGCCGCTATTTCTCCCAATTATAGACCCATCTGCAGCCGCAGCAAGCTGTTCAAGTACTCAACGACCGAGTCAAGCGCATCAACAGAACCAACCTCGAAATCGCGGAATGGCTACAAGTGAGTCCTAATATTCTCGCAGCGCAGGCATGTTACTTTTATGGACCCAATCTAATCTTTATTTGCTACGTTTTTAGGAGCGTCGTCGCGTCGAAGAGCAATATATTACCGGCCTTCGCAAGCTCTCCCAACACAAAGTCCCAGCCAACCATGAGGAACTCGGGTGTGTACCTACCTACAGGATGTCAACGGTTGAAATCACCATACTTACGAATTGTCTTGCAGAGTTTTCCAAACGCCATGGGCCAGAATTCTCGGTGCCATTGACCGCATCGCCCAATCGCATCGCCGCCTTGCCGACGCAATCGAACGCGATGTCGAGCTCCCCCTTCGAGGCATCGGCCAGAGCAACGACATGCAAAACATATACACCATATCCAACAATCTCGGCAATGTAGCCAAGGAGCTCACCGATGCCCAAAGCAAGGCCGACAAGTTGACCAAGAAGGGCGAAAAGGCAAACTCGGCCAAGATGGATGCGGCCTCGACGAAGCTTGAATCGGCCCAACAACAGTGGGATTCGCAGGCACCTTTTGTTTACGAATCTCTTCAAGCTCTTGACGAATCCCGTGTCAACCAAGTCCGCGACGTTTTGACACAATACCAGACTCACGAGTCCGATCATGCCGAACAGCTCCAAAAGGTCGCCGCCGAGACATTGGCCATCATACTTGACATCCGCACCGAGACCGAGATTGAAGAATTCGCAAAATCCATCACTGCCGACAAACCTCCCGTTGCGCTCACGCGAACCTCTACCAGACGATCGTCAGTTGCTGGCCATCAGCCTACTAGTGCCCCGCCACCACCCGTGCCTTCAACCACAACCGGGCTAAGCGCCATGTCTACTGATGAGCCCAACACACCATCTAAGAAGTCGGTTGCGCCTGTCGAGCCTGAAAACAGCTTTGCTGAGGACTCGCCAGCTACAACTGAAGGCAAATCTGGATTCGGGCTGCGTCGTCTAGGCACTATTTTTGGTGGTCGACGTCGTCAGAGCGTTCACGGCGGCTTCGGTCAGCTTTCCCCCCCTAAGAATGGACCTCAATTCGGACGCCTGGGAAGCAGCGGCAAAGGTGTATCGCCTAGAGCATCTGTGGGTAACTTACAGGATAGCGGAAGGCTAGCATCCCTCGCCGAAGATCCCGATTCACCGCCACCAGTTCGCCCGAAGACGTCAAACGACAAGCCCTCCCAGTCTAATGGATTGGACGCCGATGCTCCCACTATCCCAGAAATTGCGGCTTTGTCAACAACCAAGTCTAATGGCCTGGATAGCCTGAGCGGCGTGGCGCCGCCCCCCGGCCCTCCTCCAACCCAAAAGGACGCTGATGGATTTGTTGTGCGAGGCGCCATGAACGATCCAATCTCCGAGGCACAACGCGAGGCAGCCGGCGAGGATACAGAGCAGCCTTTCAAGGTCAATATCAAGGACCAACCAGTAGCTGAAGAAGATCCGGAAGAGAAGCAAGCCGCACTGTCCAGCGTTGCCAACACGCTCAAGATGGGCCCAGCAACACAGCGATCTGGCACCGTTCGCGGACGCCGAGATGTTCGAAACACTATCTACAAGCCCGCCCCTATTGCAGACAGCAAATTCGGATCTACCCTGACCTCCATCCCGGCTTCAGACTCGTTCAACTCGTCAGTTGGCAACGCTCCTCCTAGTGCCACTGGCTTCACCTCGGAGCACAGCGTCGTCGGTGTATCTGACAACCAATCTATTCGCTCTGGAACGTCACTGGGCGGCTTCGCGCATGCCCAGCACCCCGACATGACCAGCCCCGGCTTGAACTCATCCATTATTGAAACCATCTCCGCCAACTTTGACGATGGTGTCATCAAGAATGCCGTTGTCAATGGCGAAATCGCATTCGTCTACAACGGCACCGACTCGAAGAGTAAGTTATAAGCAATATCTACACATCATATATACACTGCTAACCTGCCTTTCAGCACACGAGACCATCAAGATCAACAACTTCAACCGCCTCGAGAAGATTGGACCTAACCGCATCTTTGTGCAAAACTCGTCCCCAGACCAAAACAACCAGTTCGCTCTCGACCTCTCTCACATTGACAAGACGGCCACTGCATTCTCATACCGCATCTTCGCTGAAGAGAGCGACCCGCCATCGCTCGCCCCGTACGCGCCCCTCGTCCTCAAACCAGCCTGGAAGCCCCAGGGCGACAAGCTCGGCCTCCTGTTGCAGTACCAGCTTAACCCTGGCTGCAAGATTACCGAGCCCGTATCCCTCCACAACGTCGTCATCATCGCCACATACGAGGGCAAGGCCAGCAGCGTGCAGACCAAGCCTAGCGGTACCCACCTCAAGGATAAGCACCTTGTGTACTGGCGCCTAGGCGACCTCACACTCACCAGTGAAGTGCAGAAGATTGTCTGCCGCATTGTTGGTCCCGACGGAACGGCACCCACGCCGGGCCGTATCGAGGCTCGCTGGGAGTACTCTGCGGCTGGTGAGCAGACCACGTCTCTCAGCGGCATTTCTGTGTCAAGGCTCGATGCTAAGGGCAAGGGCAAGGAGGTCGAGAGCGATCCCTTTTCGGATGCCGATTCTCCCTCACAGAGCTGGACACCAGTCACTTTGACGACGAAGTTTGTCAGCGGCAAATACGAAGGTAGATAGATAGATGGGGTTGCCAAGTACAAATTCCGGGTGTGTCGGTGTTCGTTTTTTTAAACCCTTCTTTATCTTTAATTTAGTCGGTAGCGAGTGTTCAATTTTAGATCAACAACCCCCTTTTTTACATATGATCACTATCACGCCTCATCTGGTCTTTGTCAATGTTGCGTGCACCGCGAACCAATGGGAACTCTATTCGTTAAGATATAATACACTTTTTTTTAACAACAAAAACGCCATTTACATCAAAAGACCCCTCGTAATATGCCCATCTGCCCCTTGTAAAAAAAAGAAAATGATGCAAGGTATTCCCAACTCTCTCGTTGTTTAACGCCTGGCTGGGATTTATGACTTTGATTTGCTGTATTCCTCGTAGAATTCTAGTGTCAAGGCGGCCAGGAAGCCAGGGATGCAGCCCTTCTCGCGAACCCAAAAGCCAATCTGATCGCTGATGCGCTGGGCAAATGCACTCTTTGGTCCACCGCCAACCTTCATGGTGCCGCGCTCGCCATCGAATACAATGGAGTTCTCGTGCTCGTCCGTTTGTGAAGGGAAGAAAGTGCTCTCAACGCGCATCTTGCCGTTGGGGATAAAGGTGACTGTCCATCCGAGTGTGGAGAAGATGGCTTCTTTGAACTCTTGTGACTTTGAGCCCCAGACTTCCTTGAGGCGGCGTGCAGACTTTTGTGCAGACGCGGTCTCGGCCTTGGCGGCAGCAATCTCCCGTTCCATGGCGCTGAGGACAGACGTTGGGATGACGGGGATGGCAGGACTGGAGTGTTTTGAGCGAAGAGTAGCGAGAAGCTCCTTGTTTTCTTTCTGGAGAGCATCAAGAGTAGACTGTTTGATAGCTTCGTGGTCCGATGTGGGATTGGAGCGGAGAGAGAGAATGCGTGTTTGGCCGCTGACCTTGGCAATGGCGAGCTGATCGTTGCTAGCAGCCAATTCTTTTTCTTGCATGGCAATCTTGGTCTGCAAAGCAGCCATCTCTTCTTGCAGTTTGCGGTTCTTGCGTGAGAGCTGGCCAAGCTGCTCGTGGCTGTCGTAGTCATCGGGCTGGGCTCTCTTACTGCCAGCTAATGGCTGTGGTGTAGACGGCATTTGCAGGGGATGTTCCGCAGAGGAGAGTTGCTTGTGTAGAGACTGGATCTCCGTCTTATATTCGTCAATGATTACCTCAAGCTCGTGTCTCTTGTTGGCAGTGTTCTCGTCGAATTGGTCTGGCTGCATGGTCTGGTCTTCAGTCTCTGCAGCCTGGACCTGTGCGCGCAGATACTCGACTTCCTTGAGCGCCAGCTGTCGCTGTCTGTCGAGTCGCTGTTGGGCCTTGTCGGCTGAGTTGGCGCTGGCGTTGTTCTTGGCTTGTTCGACATGATCTTGCAGTTGTGCCTTTTCGTCCTCCATGGACTGAATGGTATTTTGGAGAGCGGTGATCTCGCCACGCAGTGAGCCCATCTGGTCCAATTGGGAGGCAGTGGTTAGGCGCTCTTGTGCAAAGGCGCGAGCAAGGTCTTCGGGAGACTCAAACTCTGCATCACCATCTGATGATAGCCCTTGGAGATAGGTAGACCATGAGCGGCGCTCGTCTTCGAGTCTCTGACGCTGCAATCTGGACTCTGCTAGCTCGGTTTCTAGGGATTCGGCAGCTTCGAGGCGGCGCTGGAGTGTACGCTTCTCCTCTTCGACGATTTCGGTTGCCTTGTTGATTGATCGTAGATGTTTGAGTTCGGATAGCTGGTCGCGGTTTGTCGCCTCCAGCGCACGGATATGTTGAACCTGCTCAGTAAGTTCATTCTTAATGGCTTGCATAGTCTCTGCATCGCCACTTTGTGCCTTGAAGCGCAACACGTCAGCTTCAAGTGCAGCAATCTGGTCATCCCGTTCTGCGACCTGGGATTGCGTTTGCTGAAGCAGGTGCTCGCGATCCTGTGATTCTTGGCCATGCTCTTGTGTCATCTTTTGTAGCGCAGCAATTTGCATTTGGAAGTCTGAAATCTTCTTGTCGCTCATCCGCGAGGCCTCGTCCTTTGCATTGGACAGATCCTGCAGCTGCTCCTCCACCAAACGTGCCTCATCTTGGGCCTCGCGAACTTTACGCTCCAAGGCCTTCTTTTCCTGCTCAGCAGTCTCTTTCAGCTGATCAACTTCGGCGAGTAACGATTCAAGTTGACCAGTTACTTTTTCCTGCGCATCCTGTGCCAGTTCGCGCTGTTGTGATTCCTCTTGTTCTCGTCTCTTGGCCTGCTCAAGCTTGTTGCTCTGCTGCGAAAGGGCAATCTCCTTCTCCTGCTCGGCCGTTTGCATGCGATATTGAAGCGTGCCAATCTCGGCCTTGAGCGCTTCTATTTCTTTTCTGTATTTTTCGTATTCATCGGCATCGGGAGGGGCCAAGTTTTCTTTGGAGCTCTCGCGCGAGCTTGGTCTCGGGGATTCGGTTCCATGGCTCTGTCGCGACGCTGGTCGCTGCGAAGCAGTCTCGCCGCCTGTGAATAGATTGTACGTAGGCTGTGTAGCTCTAAATGATCCGACCTAAGAACGTAGCAGTTTAGTTGGGCGTCGGTATGCAAACACAACAATGGAAGGACATACACGCGATTGGGGCCTAGGAAGGGCCGTAGAAGTGCTGGTGCGTAGTCTACTAGACGCTGTAGCAATGCGGCTAGCAGGCCTATCTCCGTCTTGCGCTGCTTGTCGTCGCATTGTGGTACATTGACGCGAAGCCAGGCGCGTGTCTATATGCTCGGCGGTGGTGTTGTTTACTGTGGACGGACTTATCGTGATAGCCTGCGGCTGTGTCCCAAAACAGTAGAGCTCTCTATGGAGCAAAGCAATGACCCACGCTTGTCAGAGTACAGCCCATCCAGCGGCAAAAAAAAAATAGTAGCAGGCGGTGGCTTTCTCGTGTCCGCTTGGCTTGGCCTGGTTAAGCTTTAGCAAGTGACTGGCGAGATGAGGCGCCCCACCACAGTCATGCCAGAGCAAGTGTTAGGCTTCGACACGAGAATTGAGCAGAATCACGTGAGGTGGCGTCTGGTAGCCTCTGTCACTTCTCCCCCAGCCCAGCCGCTAGCAGTAGGCGCGCTGTGACCACTGAGTAATTCGCGGGCACCCCCCTAAACCCACTGTAATTTGGGGGAGACAGGGGGTGTGGCCCGTTGGATAGGAGGCTCGTGTGCGCTGCGCTGCCCCTCCTTGGCTGGTTTGTGTCCCGCGCCGGAGCTCCACAGTGCTGTAATAGCTCTGTTGTTGCTGCAAAGGATGCCAGATCAGGCTGTCGTGTTCCCCTGACCAGGATTTCCACAGGCGGCCACATCGTCGTATTGGGGGCGTGTGCCACAACCTCTTTGGTCCTCCTATCTTCTCTCGTCTCGACACTTTTTCTTTTCTTTTCCCCCTTCTTCATCACGCTCGCTCGCCATCACAAAGCCTTGGAGAAAAGGAAACTTGTTGTTTTTTCTTTTTTTCTTATCTTCTCTTCTAATCTTCAATTCCTGTCACTCATTCCACTCTTTCTCAACTTCCTTTTTTAATCTACATTGAAACCCCCCCTCTTCAACGCTAATCCTCTTGAAGATCATCTACCAAAATGGCCTCTGAATCTGCTATTGCGGCCATCGCCGCCCAGCTCGACCGTGTTATGGGAGCTCTTGACAAGCAGGTATGTTCTTGACCCTATAATTCTTCTTCGTACTATCAATGCAATTCGGCAACTCGCGACTGTTTGCTGTAGTAGAAAACAAGCTAATGATCTTGTCCAGAACACCGAGCTCTCGGAGCTGCGCCAAGAGTGCACCACCCTCCGCACTTCCAACGCCAACATGGAGCGCATGCTTCACGATGGTCTCTCTGTAGGTCCTTTGCGACTGTCGACTACCAATGCTTCTGCTAACAATGCCCCTCTACAGGGACGCCACGGCTCGCTTGGTGAGAACCTCCTCACCAGCCCGACCAACGACAACTCCCCCTTCATTCGTCCCACGGTCCTGCCTCGCATCAACTCGGCATCTCAGTTCACCCCCATGAACGCCCCTGGTCCCCAATTGACCTTGAACACCTCGACCAAGTACGAGATCCCCGGCTTCTACGTCGTCATCCCCGCCGGTGGTGCTGGTACTCGTCTCTGGCCTCTGTCGCGCAAGAACCACCCCAAGTTCCTCTTGGATGTCAACTTGTCTGGTCGCAGTTTGCTCCAGTCCACCTGGAACCGTCTTGTTCCTCTTACCGGTCCCTCTCGCATGACCGTCGTCGCTGGCCCTGCCCACTCCGACGCCATCCAGATCCAGCTCCCCCAGCTCGAGGGCACCAACCTCTTCACTGAGCCTGGTCCCAAGGACTCCATGGCTGCCATTGGTTTGGCCGCCGCTATCCTCGCCCAGCGCGACCCCGAAGCCGTCATCGGTTCTTTCGCTGCTGATCACATGATCTCTGGTGAGGACGCTTTCCTGCGTGCCGTCACTGAAGCCGTTCACGTCGCCAAGACTGGCAAGCTTGTTACTATTGGTATCGCTCCCTCTCACCCCGCCACCGGCTTTGGTTACGTCAAGCTTGGTGAGGAATTGGATGTCCCTGGCGCAAACAGCGCTCGCCTCGTCGACGCCTTCAAGGAGAAGCCCGACGCCCGCACTGCCGCTTCATACATTGCTTCCGGTAACTACCGCTGGAACGCCGGTATGTTCGTCACCAAGGCCACCACCCTTATGGACCTCGTCAAGGAGCACCGCCCTGATATCCACGCTGGCCTCTCCAAGATTGCTGCTGTCTGGGATGACGAGAGCGCTCGTGGCGCCGTCCTCGAGGAGGTCTGGCCCCAGCTGGAGACCATTGCCATCGATAACGCTATTGCTGAGCCTGCTGCTGCTGATGGCAAGGTTGCTGTCATTCCCGCCACTTTCGGTTGGGACGATGTCGGTGACTTCTCCTCTCTGTCCGAAATGTTGCCCGCCGATTCCAACTACCCCCGTATTCTCGGAGAGAGCGAGCTTGGTAAGTTACCCCTGTCCTCCCGTTTTACTGTTATGGTATACTAATAGTCTGAAATAGTCGTTACCGAGCAAGCCTTTGGTGGTATTATCGTTCCTGGCTCGGGCCGTCTCGTTGCCTGTCTTGGTGTGGACGATTTGGTCATTGTTGATCTTCCCGATGCTCTCATGGTCACAACCCGTGCCCGTTCGCAGGAAGTCAAGTCCCTCGTCAAGAAGTGCAAGATGGCCGGTTTCGGTAACTTGGTGTAAAACATATGATGACGTGCATTTGCAGAATGGAATGATGTTAGGAGGGAGGAAAATAACTTTTTTGTACAAGACACTGTGGTACCCTGGAGAGTGATGGGCCACGCCATAATTCTACTCTTTTTTTTAAAATCAAGATGCCAACGACAATTTGACGTGACATCTTTTGTTAGCCATACAAACAAAATGGTAAAGTAAATACATATTCAATTCAAACTTTTTATAACAATACTTTGTCAGCCCACAATCACTGAAACCGCACTCTCTCGAAACACTATATACCAACATAGATTTCAGTAACAAACTTCAAACTATATCTGATTTCATAACCATACAAACAAACTGGTAAAGTAAATACATATATTCGATTCAAACTTTGGATAACAATACTTTGTCAGCCAACAATCTCTGAAACTGCACAGTCTCGAAACACTCCACACACAGATTTCCATAATAACTTCAAAGTATAGCTTATCTGATTTCATAACCAAAGTTGTAATTAGCAGTTAAGCAGCTCCGAATAGTAGTCGTGCCAACCCTTGAAATACACCAGTTTCGATTATGATGTCTCGTTCCACTGGTGTTGCTGTCGCAGAAAAAGCAACCGAAACTCCAAAAGAAGGTCTTGCCCCTCAACAATGTAAGAATTACAGTCAAGACATAAAGGGCTGCCGGGATTCGCTTCCAGAGCAGCCGGGGTCATAGTGACTGTAATCGTTTGACGAGGAACCACCATTTCGAGTTCTGACGTGCCTTCCACCCACTTTTGCACTATAATTTGTCCTTGATCACGGTTGACCTGGATTAACAGAAGAATTTTGACATCATGTACAGAGGCCGCGAACCACCATATTATGGCAGTTCTTAGGATAGACAGAGCTGGAGAGGCCCCAGCTTCAATCACTAACGTGGGCCAAGCTTCCGCTCCACCACCACGTTGTGGGAATGGCCCGCCTCCGCTGTCTGTTTCTCTTGATCCTCCTCCGGAAGGGATTGAGGTTATAGTAGTTGCCCCAATATCTACCCAGGCATTCCCCAGATTCATCGCGATGATAGAGATTAGAGATTAAGACATGGCCGTAGATTCGCACATGCGTTGTTACGTGTTGACGTGTCGGGATGGTTATAATAAGGACGTGTTGGTCTGGTAGATGGAAGAGACGGAACTTTCGGCGACGGTGCTCGCGATGTTATCTCAAGCGTTCAACATCTGTCGAATGGATACCATTGAGATTTATTTGTTAATATAACTTTGAGACTTATTCAAAAAAAAAAAAGTAAAATTGCTGCTTACCTTTAACATAGAGAGCATCGAAGTTCAGATTAAACGCCTTGTCAATATTGTCAAGTACAGAGTCTAACGTCGAAAACACAACAGAACAAGGGAAGCTCGTCGATAAACTAAGCAAGTCTGTAGCTGATGAAAAGCTGGAATCTAATGGGCTATGCATTTCTCGTTGGTGTAGTTCTTCAACTCTGTAGCCTACTAACCGAGCGTCACCTTACAATCTCAAGCACATCTCTGTAATATTTTGTCGTGTGTTCTATTCTTTACATTATATATACAATACAAACTATATACATAGCTCCAAACAAATTTTGTCTTGTTCAAAGTAAGGTTTGTGCGTGTGTGTGTGTGTATGGCACGGGGAATCATTTATTTTACAGGCAAATCATGAGTGCACCAACAATACTGGCAGCCATAACAGCAGCAGAAGTACGCAAGGACTGTGCGCTGCTGTTCTTGTCATCTTTGGAGTCGGACGGTACATCTGAGTCTAAAGATTTGGGAGCTAGATGTGCTATTAGCATAGAGTTCAAGCAACAATATAAAGAGTTTGATTTGGAGTTGGTGACTCACTTGCTGGGCCTTGGATCTGGGGGTATTGGCCATTGGCCGGGATCTCGATGACATTTGACTTTTTCGAATCAAATCTAGCTTGGGCCAGAGAAATCGTGTGATCATCATTATCAAAGACAGAATAGATGTTTCGTAGAAAGGGGTCACCGAGAATAGCAAATGACTCGGGTGCTCCCTGTTTGAAGCCGAAGAAGCACACACGATGCCAGTTCTTGGCCGGTGCACCGAGCAATTGGAGCAATGAGGGCATTTCAGAGTCGGAGAAAACGTCAAGGACAGTGTCCCGAAATGGAACGAAGATGGTCTTGCCTTCAAAGATAAACTCAAAGACTGCCTTCTCGGACGTGGCTAGTCCACAGTCAACCATGGCATCGCCAGTCTGAGTTACGATGGCGTTGGCGTGCTTGAGGATGGGACCAACGACTGCAGCAGGCAGCAAAAGAACGGGGGACCCTGTATCCAGAACTGCGGGAATCGGTGATGCGAGAGTTGGGATGCCATCGATACCGTTGACGGACATCTGCTTGAGATTTACGCCATAGCGGACAATTGCGTGGGTACCTCGCTCAGTGGGAACCATGGGCAGCTTGACCAGCGAATCGTAATACTTCTCCGTGTCGATTCCACCAAGGAGGAGGTTTCCAGACTTTGTCGCCATTTGGTTCAAAAAGATGCTAAAAGCGCGTCTGCTGATAACACCCTGAAGTACCATGGTGTCTATTACGCCGTTATATGTTGCGCCGAGTCGCCTATCCAAGGTGTTAGGTGGAGCTTGAGGTCCTAGACCAAGGATAGGAAGCTGAATATTCGCTTGTGTTGCAGCACCGACTATTTGTTTGCGAATGGTAGCGCCGGCAATTGTTACTGTGTCCTTGACGTAAGTACCGTTGACGCCAATGTCACCGACATTGTAGCGTAGCCTGAAATCAGTAGATCCTTGAAGCTCTTCGCTCTGAACAGCCTGGGCTGTCTTGGACGATTGGATGTTGTCTTTTAGCGTTAATTAGTTAGCTATACTGGTTACTAAGTGAAAATAGGGCGATAAAGACTTACAGAGCGCGCCACACTTTAAACGTGGTCCGCATGACTGACTATTTGAGGCATGGAACCAGAGGTCATTGCTGCCAGTGTCGAGGACGGTGGAAATGCGCTGTGGAGGAGTGCCAACTTCCACATCTACCATGTATCTTGTCGATAACGGCGACAGTTTTGCTTGGAAAGGAGTGCCGCGGATTTGCAGATCGCGAGGATGGCGGGTGTGCAGATCAGGTCCGGCCGCCTCGTCAATATGTCTCGAGACAACGATGGACACAGTGCCGGCCGAGACGGCACCAGCGACTGCAATAATAGAGACAAGGAATTTCATTGTTACCACTGCTGCTTTTGCTGCAGTTTGTATTGGATGTTGGATGTGATGTAGCGACAACTATCGCCAGGCTGCCGCTAGTAATTGTATTTAAGGAGCGGCCACCAACAGCAGCACCAAGGCTGCACAGACTTATTCTAGTTTTCTTAATTTAGAACTGGGCCGGCCTTGTAGCCTCGCGTGACAAAACTCGAGATAACAGCCTTGATTGGGCCTAGGCGATGCGCTAATAGAGTCAAAGCCTCCCGCGCACGGACATGTTGAAGATGGTGGTGGTGGGCTTGGACGAGAGTTGGACGCTCGGTGTTATGGCGGGGTGTTTCTTATTATGGATTCAAGAGATTGTATGGTTAGCTTGCTGGATCGAGCCACACGGGCGGCTGTTTCGGATATCGAAAGGGACATGGTGGGATGAAGCTGTTGTAGATATGGCTAAGACGCAAGATTGTCAGACTGACGGGCTGCTGTTTTCTTGTTAAACCTTGAGTTTGTTTCCATTTACATTATCGATATAATTATCTATTCAGCATTTCTCACTGCATTTCAATTAATTGGCACATGGGAAGAAAGTCGATGGAGATTGATGCTCAGAGAAGCTTTGATAGCGGGAGAAAAGTCGATGGTGGTTTGGGGCAGTGGTAGGAGCGTAACACACGGTGCTGGCAGGAGAACTATGGAAGAAGTAGCCATCAAAATAGAAAGGCTTTCTGCTGCACAATTGAGTATTTTTGACTCGTTTTTTGTATTATATTTATTTTCTTTTTTCTTTTTAATTAATTTTTACATAACTTATACAGTCTAATTGTTCCTGTTGGCCGCTATTGTCGTCGCTAGTGTCTCACCATTATTTGGTGGCGCCCGTCACTATGAATTGTTTGTCTGCCCGAAAACGGCCAGTTCAACCAGATGTCACCACCACAACAAATCATCACTTCAACATCATCATCATCAAATTAATTACAAATCGCCAACGCAAGAGAAAGAAATGGCTCTATCAAATAAAGCGTCACGGCGAAAAGTCATCGAACCGCATCTAAAATCAATAGGCAACCTCCGACCAATCTTCACCTCACTCAACGGCGATCACTCATGGCTCATGTCCTTCCCGCGCCCAGCAAGCGAGGTCAAAGAGCATGGGAAAGCCTTTTTCCATATTGTGTACGAGCCGTGGCTGGAAGGCGGCGCTAACTTCCTACCAAGCTTCCTGATTAACATCACAATGGTACAAAACCCTGCTATCAAAGACGCGGCAGCGGTGGAAGCCCTGGTGCAAGAAATCGAGGAACTTGCCGCTCAACGTCTAGGCATCGACCATACCGCCGCATCTCAAAATAACAAAGACGGATATACGGGAGGAATCGATCTCATTTTGCTTTGCTTCGACTTCCGCGACCACGTACACGAGGCAACATTACGAAAGTTTGATCCGAGGATTCCGGTGCTAGCATCAACGAATGCAGAGCGGGCTGTAACGTCGTGGAACCATTTCAAAAATATCGAAATACTCAGTGACCTGCCCTTTCATTCCAGAGCATGGCAACTATCCGAAAAAGAGGCACCACGCTATATGCCCACGTGGCTAACGACAAGGCGACTGTTATCAGACAGGCCGCTAAATTGTATGCTGGTAATTGTATGGACGCGGCTTGCGAATGTATCGAATCTCGAAAAGCATGAGGCCATCCTGATTGCAGCCCATGGCGTACAAATGGACAATGTGTTTATCCAGGCCTTTTTAAAGTCGGAGCCCGAGACGATCAAGCTTGCCATGCTGCACAATCTCAAGGACAGCTTTGCTGCTGGGGCACAAAACACGTTTGGAGCAAAGTCGGGCTTAGCCCTGTACCGAGCACTAGACGATTGCGATTACTGGATAGCGACACACGACGGCCAACTGAGTTATACTGGTATCATTCTGCGGCTACTGTTTACTGCTGACAAGCCCAGGACGTTGGAGTGGGCGTTGACCGAAGAGGAGGCTGAGAGGATTGCCGATGATAAACCAAAAGTGTTGAGACGAGATCCTACCATTACACGTGTCGACAATGGAGGGTCGCTTGTACTTGTTTGAGACATGTGTACACTAAAAAGCGAGCGCTTGACGGGCTCGTGTGATGTGCCGAGGCGGTACTGCGATTGGGGTACGCCGTTGTATTATTATTACTCTGTAACAACTAGAGCGCCATGAGGCCAAACTGTACATACCATTCAACAACTAATACACGCTATTACTTGTCTCCATATTCTTCTTATTTTTATCTTTATTTTTTTTTCAACGGCTTGCATCGCCGATCCGCCATTGCATGTCATTTCCACGCCAGTGGATCGCAAGCTTGGAGCTAAAAGTGCGGGGTATAGCCGACTTGGGTTTTCTATGATGCCACCACTTTTCCATCTCCTCCACGCAAGACTGCGACGCTTGGAATTAAACGGCAGTGCGATACCAATCGAGCAACAAGCCTATTTCCATAATTTACACCTTCTATTGTTGCGATAATTGCGCCGGGCCGGCAAAACCACTCCACAGCCGACATCACCGACCGACATAGCCGCGTACCCACCACGCACACACAAACCCTAAAGCCTGTTTCATGCCAGGGCCTTAACTCGCCGTCTTGGTGATATTGCCGCATATTGCCTTTATCTGATCCGATCTGACAAACGAACTTCCCCCCTGATCTACCGGCTATGCACGAGCGTAAGAGAGCTCGCCAGGCTTGCACTCAGTGCAATTCGCGCCGAGTCAAGTGCAATGTGACCGAGGCCGTCCCGTGCGACAATTGCGTTGCCGCTGGCTGTAAGTGCGAGCTTCGGGAGTCGAGACGCGGCAAACATCCTCGAACAAAGACGGCGCAGAAGCCTGGGAAGTCGACAACCGAACCGTCGAGTGTTGCGCGCAAGGACAGCATATCAGCGCAGTCTGTCAAAACGGCGCAGTACTCCCCCGAAGAAACATCCCCAATCGCTAGTATCCCGCCGGCGGTGTTGGCTGCTACTACGCCAGCCGCGCAATCTGTACGAGCTGCTTCGATAATTCAGGATGACGAGCTCGGCCAGGCTTCGCTGGCGCTGGCGTCGCTGTGCAGAGGCACGCCGCAAGATGCCGATGTCTTCCTCGGCGAATCGAATTCCGTCCGATACGTCGGGTCCGACGGCACGACGACCAATGCCGCCCAGTTCCATGCTATACCTACGGAGGAGACGCAGTCTATGATGCGATGGGAGACAGAGCGTCGAGAAGCCATCATCAACGATCTGAAATCACGACCCGACGGCCCCTTTTCGTTTCCCCCGAGACGCGTAGTCATCTCCCTCCTCAAAGCGTACTTTCGATGGTTTCATACATGTCAAGCAGTGGTCGACGAGACAGATGTCTGGCAGCAGTTTGAGACGGGAAATATGTCGCCGCTGCTGCTGCAGTCGATGTTGTTCGTGGCTGCTGTACACTGCGAAGACGCAGTTTTGACAGAAGGCAACCTGGGCAACAGGCACGAGGCCAAGTTCAAATTTTATATGCGCGCACGAGACCTATATGACGCCGATATCGAAAACAATAATCTCATTGTAATACAGAGTCTGTTCCTCATTAGCTTCTGGAGAGGTCATGTCCCGCAGGAAAAGGACGTGCGCCACTGGCTAGGAGCAGCCATCAGCCTTGCGCAGCGACGTGGTGTGCATCGCTCAAAGCAGCTTTCCAATCCTGGCTCAGCACCTACTGCTGCTGCTGATCGGATAAGCAAGTTGCGCAAACGCCTCTGGTGGTCCATCTATGTTCGTGAACGACAGGCATCTGCTGCGCTAGGCTTGCCCAACCGAATCCGCGACGAGGACTGCGACGTAGAGCCTCTAGAAGAAGCCGATTTCCAGTATACTTTCCATGCTGGCATGCCACTTCACGAAGCCCGCGACTACGTTGCGTATGCTACTGGTATGACCCAGCTCGCGCGGTTCCTCGGCGAGGTCGTCCACCGCATCTATCTTCCCAACAAAAGCTTCACACCCGCAGACCGTCTACAAATGCGCGATGAGTTGCTAGCTTGGAAACAGCAGCTGCCGCCGTCTATGCAAGTCGGCGATGACCTGGGCAGCCAAGCCGGCGGACTACACGCCAACATGCTGCACCTCGCCTACAACAACGTCTTCATCCTTCTCTACCGCAGCTGCTACGTCAACGGCTCCGGCGGCACAGATGGCCAAGTTGCCCTGCAAGCTGCAGCACGCAACTCACGCATCATTGAAGATATCCTGCCGCGCGGCATCCTTCGACACGCCCAGATCCACGTCATCACCAACCTGTTCAATACGCTATGCATGCACACCATCGAGCTGCGCCGTGGGCTCGGCACAGCAAAAGCCATTGCTGAGCATCGCGCAAAAGTATGTCTCATGGGTTTACAAGAGCTACAGCAAACATGGGAAGTACGCAACTGGGTTCTACAGCTATTCTTCCGATACCTCGACCAGCCGACTGCCGCGCGCTTGCAATCCGATGTGGACGACAATAGCAGCCATACTCGCTCGCCGGCTGGAAACTTGGCCTTTGACTTTGGCGACTTTACGCGCACCGATGTGCCCAAGATGAACATGACGATTGCGCCGGACGTGGATACTATTTGGGCGTGGCCTAATGAAGAGACGGATCGGTTCCTGTTCTCACAGATTTATAATGGATTTTCTTATGGCGAGGGAAGCTGGGGAAGCCCCATGGAGCGGTTTAATGCTTAATATTTGTTTCGTATATACGGGGCGTTTGGACGGCGTTCTTCTTTTGTACTATACGGCGTACATATTATCCAGCCCTTCGCAAGGGCTATCAATGAGCGAATACATGATTTACATTTCTTGAATTAAAATTCAACAAAACTATTAGTCTTCGGTTTATTTAGGCGCGTTTAAGCCCATGTTCATGTATACAGCCTTGGTTTCCGTGTAGTTCTCCAAGACGGCCTCGCCGCACTCTCGGCCCAGGCCGCTCTGCTTGTAGCCGCCGAATGGAATGCTCCAGTGGACAAAGTTGTACATGTTGACCCAGGCGGTGCCTGCTTTGAGGGCATTGGTGACGCGGATCGCACGCTGGTTATCGTTGGTATGGATGCCAGCAGCCAGACCATAGGAGGTGTCGTTGGCAAGGGCAATGACTTCCTCCTCAGTCTTGAACTTGGTGATTGTAACGACGGGACCAAAGATTTCTTCCTTGACAATCTGTTATTTCGTCACGGTTAGTCCAATACATACTTGTTGTTTCGGTTGTGTTATAAACGTACCTTCATCTCGGGAGTCACGTTGGTAAAGATGGTAGGCTGGATGTAATAGCCCCCGCCGTTGGCAGCAGCATCAGCGGCGCCTCCAAGATGCACCGTAGCACCCTCCTGCTTGCCAGACTCGATGTAGCCGAGGATCTTCTTGTACTGCATCTTGCTGTTCTGAGGTCCCTGGTCAACGCTAGGGTCAAAGTTGTCGCCAACCTTGAGGCCCGACATGCGCGCCGTGTATCCCTCGACAAACTGATCATAGACATCTTCGTGGGCATAGATGCGAGTACCAGCATGGCAGGTCTGGCCAAAGTTCATGTTGATACCCCAGGCGGACCAGTCGACGGCCTTGGCAATATCGGCATCGGGGAAGATGATGTTCTGCAGCTAGCTGTTAAGATTGATTAAAATATTTCTAGGAATGTTGGAAAACTCACGGGTCCTTTGCCGCCGAGCTCAAGTGTCACTTTCTTCAAGTTGGACTCAGCAGACGCCTTGAGAATGTTGCGGCCGGTGGCGGTCGATCCAGTAAAGGCAACCTTGTCGACATCCATGTGATGAGCGAGGGCATTTCCCGCATGCTTTCCGTAGCCATTGATTAGGTTGATTGTGCCTGCAGGGAAGCCAGCTTCCTTGATCAGCTCGCACATCTTGAGTGCAGACAATGGCGTTGCCTCAGCGGCCTTGATGACGACAGTGTTGCCAGTGGCAAAGGCAGGGCTGATTTTCCAAGTAAACATGAGAAGAGGAAAGCTGTTATCATGTTAGAGTGCTGTAGTGCAAGGCAATTAAATTTGTAACGTACTTCCAGGGAATAATTTGGCCACAGACACCAATGGGCTCACGGCGTGTATAGGCAAAAGTGCCGGGAATGTTAAACGATGTCAAGCCTTGGATCTTGTCTGCCCATCCAGCATAGTATCTTAATGTTCCAACAGAGGCAGGAAAATCGAGGTTCTCAGCCTGGCGTCTTGTCTTGCCAGTGTCTAGCATTTCCAGATGAATCAGGTCCTCGCTGTCCCGCTCCATCAAGTCAGCCAGCTTGTTGAGTATCTTGCCTCTGGAGGCGGGGTTCATTGAGCTCCATTCGCTGTCTTCAAACGTCTTACGAGCAACAGAGACAGCTTCATTAACGTCTTCCTCTCGTCCTTCTTCGATATCGAGAATCAGTTTGCCGTTGGTGGGGTTCTCGACGGCGAACGTGTTTCCGCCAATGGACTTGCGGAACTCGTTGTTTATAAAGAGACCTGTGGGCACAGATACATCGCGGCCGTTGATATGAAGCGTTTTGGATGGAGCAGAGCTTGCCCATCGAATCTGATGGCGCTGGCGAAGCAGCAGAGCTGTGGTGCGAATGGGCGCAGAGGAGCATGCGCTCCGTGAGAGGATGGCTGCCGTCCTAACGGAGGACATCTTTTATGATTATTCGGGCAGCTATGTATACAATCGCACGCAATTGGGTTCAAACAACTACCTTTTGTATATAAAGCCACTAAAGTGGCGATGCAAGCACGAGCGACGCGGTTATGTGGTGGTGTTTCTTGTTAGCGCCGGTTATACGACGTCATCGGTTATCTGGGAGCTTGCCCACGATGGGAATGCAACCACTCCAGCTACTTGACGTCATAAGTATAAAAAAGTGCAGTAATTAAAGATTTCAACTATGATTGGGTAGAAATTAGAGTCCATGACTTTATTTTTTGACTCTATGTTCATATTGTATGTACGTATGTCCAAACACAATAAAACTACCTCCTTGAGTAGGGCTCCATGTGTGGATTGTGCGTGTATCTAAAGGGCTATTGGGATAAATACATCTTTTGTAACGAATAGGATGTTTTTTTAATAAATACATGCAGATCATGAACCCTAAAAGGTACAATACTCGCTACTTGTGTAGCGCTGCGTTATGAGACACTACAGTTATAAGCTGCTGTGCGTATACGAACCATTAAGCTGATGTCGTGCCTCACCGGATAAATATGGCCATCGCACTCATTTTATTCAAGTGTAGCGTGTATTTATGGATAATACCCGTCAATTAATATCCGCACGTACCTTACACCTTTCGGTGAGCAGATCCACGCCTTGGCGGTGCTACAAGCAGCGGGCAATGTGCGACGTAGAATATCAATTATACGAGACGGAGTGTACAATATTGATCTGGTACCTTTATAAGATTGATGGCCTATAGAATTGATAGAGTATATAATGCTGATGTACGGCTTCAAGTGCTGTGGTCAAACAGTCACCTTCATCATACTCTCAACATGGCTGCCATCGTCATTTTCCAGTTTATTTTTCTAACTAGCTGTTTAGCATCTGCCATCATTCCCCACGCTAACACTGTGAAGGCCATTGAATCGCGCCAAATCTCCAAAGACGGGCGATGTGGTATCGATTTTGGAACCGTCTGTCAACCAGACGAATGCTGTTCCAGCACAGGGTACGTCCTATCATCATGAAATACTACATATTCTCAATATTCAATCCTAATTCACTTGTATCAGATGGTGTGGTAACGGATACTTGTACTGCTCTGGCCCAGCGTGCCAGCTTGACTTTGGCCCAGCATGTGATGCTAATGTACGGCCAGATGGCCCCAACACGGAGGATATTGCTCGACCCAAACTTGGGAATGTACCCTATGGCTCCGCCATCTATCACTGTGAGGAATATGGAGACATTGCATTGAGTTATGACGATGGTCCGTATGACTACACCGAAGAACTTCTCAACATTCTTGCTGTAAGTGGGCGCGCCTACAGAAGTGTACTTGTACTAAACAGGTAATCATTCTTAGAAATACAAGGCAAAGGCAACGTTCTTCATCACAGGAAGAAACCTTGGCAAGGGTGCCATCAATGACGCCCAGTATCCATGGCGAAAACTCATCCAGCGGATGGTCAGAGATGGACACCAAATAGCCAGCCATACTTGGACTCACCAGCGCTTGACGACACTCAGTTACGAAAAGTTTAGAAACCAAATCATATTCAACGAAATTGCTCTAGCGGATATACTGGGGTTTTTTCCCACATATCTACGCCCTCCATACTCGGCCAGCAACGCGACTGTCGACGCTTGGCTCGGCGAGCTGGGCTATCACGTCACCTACTTCAATCTCGACACTGAGGGTTACCTCCACGACAGTCCCACTGCCATACAGGAATCCAAGCATATCTGGGACGAAGCGGTAGAGGGGCAAAACCCAAAGGATACCAAGTGGCTCGGCATTGAGCATGATCCCAACTACCAGTCTGTCCACAATCTGACGGAGTACATGCTCCAGTCCCTTTTCCGCAACGGCTTTCGTTCAGTCACTGTTGGAGAGTGTCTAGGGGATGCTGCTGTGAACTGGTATCGAAAGGTTTAACAAGACATGTATATATCAGATCATCAGTTCCTCATATGTGATGAATGGATTCTCCTCTGATTTGTGAGTGACGTAGTCATCCGCTTTTTGATACAGATTCTCCTCACTCGCCGGCGCCTCCGATTCGTAGTAATTAAGTTGTCTACCATAACGTCTTCTGTTGAAACTATACCATGCTTGGCTATTGGCAGAGCATAACTCCCATTGACGTCTTTTATTGGCAACACTCTGTCCGACAGTAGCCCGTAGCACGTCAAGTATACCTGCCAAGCCACCCTCACTAAGGTGGGTTTGACGAAGGATGCAGATATCAGCGTCGCCATGGAGCCGCTTGAACACGTTCAATAGTGCCAATGATGTTGTACATGTATCCTCGATCAACAATGACTTAAGCGAAGGGCTACCCACGCAACTCAAAGCATCCCCTAGGTCCGCTAATAGGCTATTATCACTCTCATGGTCATAATTTGTAAGGAACCCCAACCGCAGCCATAAGTCTCTTATAGACTTGCTAGTAATGCATCGCCTAATATAATCAATAGCATAGTGGTGATCCTTGATGGGATACGTTTCCTGATAGGTTCGACTAGATCGACATGGATAAATGCGGAACATTTCCAGGGAAGACAAACCTGCTTGTAATTCATTGTACGTACCAGCTAACCCACAATTTGCTGGATCAAGGAGTTGCATATCTTGGTGCCCTGGGAAGCTGGTTATCTTCAAATGGCGGAGGGGGACTTGAGCACTTGCAAGAGCGACTGGGATATCACAGAGCAGTGTCACCGCTGGCGTGTCGGCGTGCGTGACGACGCTATTTTCTTCTATGCTAACAGCCAAAGGCATAGGAGATGATAACAGATTCAAGATCTGCTCATCGTCAAGCAAGACGTTAGCCCATCGCGTTGCTCAGACATCAAACTCATCCTTTCCAGCATCGGAGACGGCGTCCAAAAATCGAAGTGTTTGGAACGCTGGTAGTCTAGATATGATCAGGCATAATGTCACAGCAGACTTCCCAGTCTTGAGCAAGTCTTGTTCGTCTTTATACCTCAGTTGGAATCGCGCGAACCCTTCCAATAGCAGATCCTTGAGTCCATCTTGGTCTGCAGCGTCGGATTGTTCAGAACCTTCGTCTCGCCATTGCTCGTGCATGCGAAACCATCGCTTGCTAGCAGACGCGTATAAAGCCACTTTTTCGGCGACATTGCGACGCCGCTCTTCCAATTCGGGTCGTTCTTTCGGCAAGCCCCCATTAGCTGCATCCGGTGGACACTTTGATAGTTCATCTTTTAGGTCCCGATGAAGTGCGCGGCCTTCTCGGATGCAGCAGCGTTGCATACCGCTCATCTCATCCACGCGGAACTTTCTAAATAATTCCAAATCCGCAGCTACCTTGTTTGGACAGTAATTAAGAACGACATGTATTTCTCGAATTGCGGCAGCGATCTCGGGGACACTGGACAGGCTGTTTGCATGTCTGCCTCGCCCACAGACCCCCAAAGGATTTCAAAAACATCATACAGGTCGAATCCACCTCTGCATCCTGCGCAACCAGAATATTTTATACATCATGTATTCTATCCATGCGCTACTCACAACTCCAATGACTACACCACGATCCCGATTCACGCAGAACGCGATCTACCTCGGTCGTGGCCTTCGCGTTCACGCACAAATCAGCCTAGCCGTGGGAGGCGTTCTGCCTTGCGCCTGTCAGCACCATAACACTACAGCTATTCTTGGGGCTCTGGTGCTAATTTCAGGGCCGTCTTATTAGCGCCATCGAAACGAGGCGTTGGTGTTGGGCTGACTTTCAGCTCCTCGGTCATTTCATGCGACTTGCCCCTTTTCCAAGGCTGTCCTGCACCGATCTGCGAGCCTATGACAATGCCTCTTTCAGAATTATGGATCGAAATCTCGCTTTCAACGCGTATTCCAGGATTGAAATTTTCACCTTCCGTCCATAATTGCACGCTCATTCGTCTGTGGTTACTGGCTATCGCAGTTCAGCTCAGGCCATCTCTGAGTCGTGTGCTCCCGTTATAGCCGCTTGAGCTTCCAAAGTGTGAGCTCCAGTGAGGAAGCATTGGCAACTAAAAGAAGAACTAGATCTTCATCCCCGTTAATTACAGGCACCAGCGAGGTCCCCCCGGCGCCCCACGAAGCTTGGCATAGTAGAGGTGCCCTCATCAATCATCACTGACGTTTGCTCGCAAACAAACAAGGGCTTGTAGACAACCGCCCAAATTGGGCGTATACATTCTGAGACAGAACTAGCACCACCTGTTTTCACTTCATGCCGAATACCCTCCACAGCCAATAAAAACATAGCAGAAGCAGCTATACCAGCACTTGGGTTTCGGAGCTTGCCAACAACAAGAAAAAAAAATGGTCTTTCAGCCTCACTCCACTGGCGGCGCCTTATGGCAGACACAGGTCACTGCCGAGCGCTAGCAAAATGGGTCTGGTCTCCGCCACGCAACCTGGGGCTTGCTTTCAGCTGGACGTCCTGTGCCAGGGCTTGGGCCAAGAGAGTAATTCAGCTGTTCGCGCTTGGCCGTATGCGGTGCTCGCAAAGACCCAATCGGCAGGACTGCATTTGCTCGCTGGCACTTGTAGCAGCGCCCCAACAAGGGCGAACGAAGGGGGCATGTGAGGCTGACCAGCCATGATGCCACCAAAATGTTGTAAAAGGCAGCAACGGCAAGCGATGGCTCTGCGCCACGACTGAATTAGAAACCCAAAATCTTGCCGATGCAATGTTTGTAGGGCATCAGTACAAACTCATGTTCTTCGAATCAATTACAGTGTCAATCCAGAGACCAAGCACTTACAGCCTTGCACACGCGCAGAGCTTGCCATACTTGGCGATAGCATGCGCACATCCACTGCCCCATGCGAGTTTGATAGCGGGGTGTAAGACGGCTAAACAATTAGACCAGTGTGAATCTTCTACCTCCCTAGTACCTAGGACTAACACCAAACCTGGGCGGGCGCAGGGCTAGGCTGCCTGCCAAAACCATGTCGATGGAAGATGCCGCCGCCACTGGACTTATAAGACCCGTTTGCTTCCCCCCCGAAAGACTTGCCCTTCTGTTGAAAGCTTCCACTATACCTCGTCACTAATTCTCAATCCCTCTTTGTTCTTCTTCTTCTTCTAGAACCTCACTAGGTCTTTAATACTTCAACAACCACAACCATCACAATGCAGGCCAAGCTTCTCCTCGCTGCCCTCGTCGGCACTGCCGCTGCCAACGCCGTCCCTCGCGCCGACATTACCAAGTGCCAGGCCGACCTCGCCGCCTTGACCGGCATCCCTACACCCCCTCCTGCTCTCCTCAGCGCCTTGATGTCCATGACCGACCCTTGCAGCTTCACACCTCCCGCTTCCGCCAGCGCTGCCTTCAAGAGCTACACTGATGCTCAAAAGTCCTGGATTGCCGCTCACAGCAGCGAGATCAAGGCCCTCCAGACCGACTGCCCTCAGGCCACAGGCAGCATTCCCACCAGCTACAGCTGCAAGGCCGGAGGCAGCTCTCCTACCAGCTCGCCTTCCAGCAGCGGCAGCAGCAGTGGCGGCAGCAGTGGAGGTAGCAGCAGCGGTGGCAGCAGCGGCGACGGCAAGTCTGCCGGTTCTCGCTCCGAGATTGCCCTTGGTGCCGTCCTTGGTGCCGGTATGATTGCCGTCCTTGCTCTCTAAATCTCTTGTATCTATATATATATATCCAACATAGTTAATGCCATTCCAATTAAAAAGTCCACTTACCAGTATCTTCCTATTCATGTACACATGCACATATACAAAACGTTGATTTCAAGGTAGTGTTTTTATGTATTCATTGCATTACGTCTCGCATTCAGCACCTCATCCGCCATGCTGCTCCTTGAAATAGTAACAGAAATATGCAACCGTTCCCATGACAAAGGCTCTATCGTTGAGCCATCCACTGCGTTTTGTTTATCCTATTTTTTGTGCTTCATAGTTCTCCATTTATAACGACTTGGTCTACTCCTCGGCCTCCTCAGCCTCCTCTTCAGCCTCGGGCTCGGCGGCGTCCTCCTCGTGAGTTCCGTTGGCATCTGCTGTGATGTCGGTAACTGTGCCTCCCTCGCTTTCAATCTGCAGCCAAGAATCCCACGCGGGGAAGAGGTCCTCGTCTTCGCCGGGAATACCAATCAACTTGGCTACGCGGGACTTCTTGTTTTGCTCCAGGCTTTCTTTCCACTGCTTAGCGGCGGCAGCAGCCAAGCTGGGCTTATAGGTCTGTGCGAACAAAACGGCTTCAGCGTGACGGCCAGTGGCAGAGAGAATCTCCTGGCATTTGGCAACATTGCCCAAAAGCCAGTTGCTTGAGAACGCAACGTTGTTGGCGTTGGCTTCCTCGGCCTGGGTAGCCAGCTTGGCCAACCCGTCGCGGTCACCTGTCGATGAGTAAATCAAAAGTAAAGAGCCAATATCCTTGGCATTTGTGAAGCATTCGGTCGCAAGAGCAACATCCCAGGCAGCAAGGGCGGCATCACCAACAATCTTCCACTTGTGCTCGGTATCGGCGTCTCTAGCCAGATCCAGCGCAATGTTGAGTTGATTCAGAGCCAGCGCAAGCTCAAACTTGTGTTCGGGATCCGTTGCAACCTCCAATGCCATTTCCTTATGACCTTGGCCTTCAAGGAAGCGGGCAATTTTGTTCATTTGGTCCTCAGGAATAGTAGGAAGCAATTCTGCGGCAGCATCCATCTCATCACGCAGGACAAGAGTCTGGTACTCCAAGACCGAGATGGACAGGGCAAACGACGTCAAGTTGACATCCTTATCGGCAATGTAAATGCGAGCATCGCGCTGGATGTAACCCAAAACGTACATGGGCTTGTCGAAGTGGGAAATCGTGTAGGTTTGGTCGCCAACGAGGTAGTTGAGTCGGTTAGTCGTGTTTGTGTAAATGAAGCAGTCGCCCACCCATTCACCAGTGCGGACACTATATTCACACATTAGTTCTGTAAATATTAGGCTCGTAGATATAATCCTTACGTTTCGTTGATATCGGTGATGAGCTCGAAAGCAGATTCAACACCATCCTCATCGGCTTCGCCAGACTGAAGACCATCAAGATAGTTTTCACGGGAGAATCTAAGGACGTAGAAGCTGTCTTCGCTGGTAATAGCAACAAGCTCGCCAGATTCCGACCAGTAGACCTAGCGTGTTCATGATTAGTAATGGATATACAAGCCATAGCATTCACAAGCTTACATTCTTAGGCTCGACTTCAATTCTGCGAACCAGGTTGCCAGTCGCCCAGTCAAAGAAGGAAATACCGCCTTGGCCAGTAACACCAAGCAATACACCACCAGTCAATCCGTCAGCCTGGAAGCCGACATCAAGACCGCCAGCCTTCTCAACAAAGTTCTTGTAAACCTTGACGCTCATGGGAGATTCACGGATGGCGAAGTCGGTGCTGTTCTCTTTCGACGCCCAAACAAAGTCAAGGGCAGAACCGAAAGCCTTGTTGCGCCAGGCTACTGACGTGTAAATAATGTACTCGCCATCGCCACAGACGGACACGAAACGACCGTTGGGGGAGTGGGTGAGGGTCTGGGGGTAGACTTCGCAAGTTCCGAGGTCCTTTGTCGTGACTGTAATGGGGTCATTGTCCTTGATTGTGTCATCTGCATTATTTATCAGTATGTTATTGCATAGAGTAGAGTGCAGCAGAACTTACCAGGCTTGATAATAGCGGAAACAACATCGTTGTGCTTGGACCAGATAAGCTTGCCAGTAGCTTCCATGGATACAGCCGGCTCTTCGCGACCCAGCTTGACAACAACAACACCGTCATCGTAACCAACAGCAATACCCTGCTTGCCCTTCTGGTACGAGGCGCACCAGGCACGCTCCAGGCTATAGTTGAGGGACTGTTCGAATCGGTATGTGTTGGCATGCCACAAGCGTATCGTACCGTCTTCAGAACCAGACACAATGACCGGCAGTTCAGGGTGATAGCACGCAAATGAGACGTTGTTGGAGTGTCCTTCCAGAGTAGCAATCAGCGACTTGGTAGTGTAATCCCAAATCTTGATGGTTCGGTCATCGGACGTCGTCAGGATGTAGGGCTTATCGGAGTGAGGGTAGTAGTCAACGTGGTTGACACCCTTGGTGTCATGGGCCTCGAGAGTAAAGTTGGCATTTGGCGATCCGAAGCTCCAGATCTTGACTGTTCTATCCAAGCAAGCAGACGCAAAGGTATTGGTATCCTTGGGGTTGATTGCCAAGGACATAACGTAGTGGCTGTGGCCTTCATATGTCTGAACGCACTTCCAGTTCTTCTCCCAGTCCCACAGCTTGATTGTCATGTCATCGGAAGCAGTGAGAACAAAGGGAAGAGTAGGATGGACGACGATCGCACGAATGTAGTCGGGGTGGGCTTCGAAAGCAGCAATGCGTTCGGATGTGTTGTAGTTGTAGACTCGGATTTGGAAGTCGTCGGAACCGCAGATGATCCAGTTTTTACGGGCAACAAATCTACCAGCGCGGACGGGAACATTGGCAAGCTCAAAGGTCTTGACGATTTGTTGCGTCTCGTATGACCAGATCTGGACGTTACCTGCAAGGCATTGTTAGACGTTTGGCGTGCTGGCTAACCATTTTCGGATTCGCATACCGTTGTAAAGAGTAGTGAGAACCCATGGCTCTTGAGGATGGAAATCGATACCCTTCACTCGCTCAGTGCGAGCAAAGAGTTGACGCTACAATCGAGTTAGCAGGCGACTCGAGGCAAGGGTTAGGCCGACGACGAGCTATAGGTGAGGGGTAATGGACATCGTGAGTGGCCGTCGTGGCTGTCTCAATGCTTTCTTTTAGCAACACCTACCTTGACATCAAGCTTCATGGTTGCGGTTCGAGCTGAGTGAAGTCGTCGATGTTGCTACAAGCAAGGTGGCAGGCAGCGTGGAGGAGAAGAAGCGGGAGGCGGATCCCCTTGGATGGTGGGGTCGGTATAGTTAGGAGTTGAGGGAGCCAAGCACTACGGTGAGTGCTAATTATTAGCTGAAATTATGAAAAATATATCTTTGCTGATTTGAACTTGATATAAAGTTTTTGAGTATTTTTACTAGATATTTAGAGAGACTTTATTGGTCATAATGCGAGCTTTATGTGCCATACCCTCGGACGCCTTCGTCATTGTGATTATCTGGCCTACACAGCGAATATGTGGCCCGACGCGCAGCGCACAAAACGGGGGGCTTTGCTGCCTTGGTTGTTAGGCATAAAGACTGTGGCAGATGGACCACACCGAAGGACTGTTACGTCTGGCTCGATATCGGTCAATGAAATCTTTTAATTTTTTTAAATATAGGTGTAGAAATATTATTCTTAATAAAATATTTCGGACGAAGCTCCTAGACTACCATCTTTCACTGTTCTGGGTCTTGATTGTATGCATGCCGGCTTGTACATGAAAGGTACAGAACCGATCCCAATATAACATCGGGGATGCAACAAACGAACAATTTGCAACCCCAGCTCATTATATAGTAGATTAACGCGCTTTAAATAGAGTAGATGGCTTTATAATGTCATAAAACTTTTTACAATACCCATAAACATCTGTCTCACCGACCTTTCTCTATGGGAAACCTTCTACCGGGTAGCTCCGTACAAGGCTCTGTTACAGATGTCTTGAATTTTAATTTCGCCATAATTTCTAGCAAACATGATTTTTGGGCATAACTATCTGCAATTCATTCAAACGTCATATACCAAGGGCCAAGTGATCAAATAGCCTATGATGCTTTGACAACAAGCACCAAAGACGTCACTCATGGCTTTGGCGCTCGAGCTACTGCCCGGGCCGCTAAGCTTGGCTGTGAAGTTAACACTGTTAGCGGGGACTCCCACACAGTGTCCATCCAGGGAGCTGGGGCAAGAGTCAGTGATTGACACGGTACATGTTCTGTGGCCTTTGGCGTATTTTCTACAGTGGACGTAACGCTCCGGACAGTGCCGACAGCTTCCCTGTAGCAGCACAGCCTCAGCGCTGGTGGCCCAGTTACTGGGCCCTGGAAGTGTATCAGGGTTTCCTGACGATCCCCTCTCTGCTTTGTCGCCCTGGACAATGCTGCTGGTCTCCTTTCATTCACACAAAATTTCTTCCGCCTTTCATCCATATTTGATAGCTTGTCCTAGTCACCTGCCCTGTGGCCATCAATTTCATCGATTTAGGCTTTTGCATTCTACAACCCACCACTGTTCGCCTCCAAACTCAGCCCAGCATCAGCAGCCTTGGTCCTTTGCGGGGTCGCCGGCCTTTCCACCCACCGCCACCTGAGATTGTCAACAATCCGCGTACACGAGCTTTCCTCCTACCAATCCCTAAAACCTAAACCTCTACCAACCACTCTCGCCAGACGAAGCAAGGATTTGTGCTCTCTGGGCCCCTTTCGCCATAGCAGGGTTGTTTTGACAGCTGCTCGTACGCCATCAAAGAGTTCTGTCTACCCATCCTAAACTCGACATCCCTAAACTCCTCCAACACGTTCTGCGCCGAGAGTAGCAGAGATGTCGTGGAAGCTTACCAAGAGTGAGTTCACTTGACCAAAACTACTGATACATACACTCCGAAATCAGTTGTTGTTGGATATATTCTTTAAATTTCTGGATTCGTCTAACGGTTGCATTCTGCAGAATTAAAAGACACCCATCTCGGAACGCTCAGTCCGTTTTCCCGATCGACTTCGACTTCGACAGTCACAGAAAAAGATGAAAAGCTTTCCCCTATTTTAGGAGCAGCTAACCCTGCTCCTGAAGGCACTATCGGTTTGTCTTGACATGATTTCTCCCAAGACACATTCACTGACTATCTTGTAGCTGCATCAGAGGCTATGACCCAAGCCCCTGTAGTGAAGCCTCCAAAGCCTGGTATTTTAGTAGTCACACTCCATGAAGGCCAAGGATTCTCGCTCCCGGAGCAGCACCGAAGCGCGTTTACTTCTCAACATCATGGCTCTCTTTCCACAAACAATGCGACGTCGCTTGCCGGGTCGATGGCGAATGGCTCGAACCGACCACATTCGTCTGCCGGTGGCTTTGGTGCTATTCCCACAAACCACGGCAGAATATCCGGCAAGTACATGCCGTACGCCCTGCTGGATTTCGACAAGGTCCAAGTGTTTGTAAATTCGGTTGATGGCAAGCCGGAGAACCCGCTCTGGGCTGGCGGCAATACACAGTACAAGTTTGACGTGTCGAGAGTTACAGAACTCGTCATTCACTTGTATATGCGTAACCCCAACGCTCCTCCTGGTGTTGGCAGATCTCAAGATATATTCCTCGGTGTTGCTCGCATCAACCCTTCTTTTGAAGAACGACAAGTTGTACCTGACGAAGCAAAGTCGGGCAAGAAGGTCGAATCTACGTCAAAAGAGGGGCATTCCGGAGTGGAATGGGTCGATGTCCAGTACGGCACTGGAAAGATCAAGATTGGAGTGGAATACGTTGAAATCCGTGCCGGTAAACTCAAGATTGAAGACTTTGAGCTTCTCAAAGTTGTTGGCAAGGGCAGCTTCGGCAAAGTCATGCAAGTACGAAAGAAGGACACGAACCGAATCTACGCTCTCAAGACGATTCGAAAGGCACACATTATTTCACGATCCGAGGTTGCTCACACGCTTGCGGAACGATCCGTTCTTGCACAAATCAACAACCCATTCATCGTGCCTCTCAAGTTCAGTTTCCAATCGCCTGAAAAGCTGTACTTTGTCCTAGCGTTTGTCAATGGCGGCGAGTTATTTTACCATCTCCAGAAAGAACACCGCTTCGACGTCAACCGATCCCGATTTTATACAGCCGAACTGCTTTGTGCTCTCGAGTGTCTGCACGGCTTCAGCGTCATCTACCGAGATCTGAAGCCTGAAAACATTCTGCTTGATTACCAAGGTCACATTGCCTTGTGTGATTTCGGTCTCTGCAAGCTGGATATGAAGGATGAAGACAGAACTAACACGTTTTGTGGCACGCCTGAGTACTTGGCTCCGGAGCTTCTCATGGGCCAGGGCTACAACAAGACTGTGGATTGGTGGACGTTGGGAGTCCTGCTATACGAAATGTTGACGGGTCTCCCTCCATTTTACGACGAGAATACAAACGAAATGTACCGCAAGATTTTGTCAGAGCCACTGCACTTTTCGGACGTGGTGCCACCTGCGGCGAAAGACTTGCTCACCAAGTTGCTGAACCGCGACCCCAAGGAGCGACTGGGTGCAAACGGATCGGCTGAGATTAAAGCGCATCCATTCTTCCACGCTATAGATTGGCGAAAGTTGCTACAGCGCAAATATGAACCGGCTTTCAAGCCCAATGTGGTATGTTATGCTATACGGGAGCTTTGTGCGAGAGGCAGTGGACTAACGGTGACTACGCAGGCTGACGCATTGGATACTGTTAACTTTGATCCCGAATTCACCTCGGAGGCACCTCAAGACTCGTTTGTAGATGGGCCAATGCTCTCACAAACGATGCAGAATCAGTTCCAGGGCTTTAGCTACAACCGTCCCATTGCTGGACTGGGCGACGCTGGTGGCAGTGTAAAGGATCCTTCTTTTGTAGGCAGCATCCCCGAGAACGAGTAAAGACGACATGAAAAGACGATAGAAAGCGAGCATATAACAATAGCATGGTCATTTGCTTTTTTTGGGACGCGAGGCTTGGGTGAAGGAGCAACGGGTCTTTTGTTTTTCTTCCTTTTGGTTGGCGCGTGGAGATGATCTTTGAGGAGTTGCGCGCCATGAGACTTTGCATAACTAGGTATATATGAGTTAGAGCCCGAGCAAATTTCATTTTTCCCTCTTGTACTGTTTGGCTGTTTTCATTGATTATTATTGATTGATTAATTGTAGCTTACAAAGCGGCCAACAAGGAAAAAAAAAGCGTTGGGGGCGTTGATGAGCAACCAGAGTCGCCTCTACTACTAGGCGCTGACGGAAGCTGCGGCAATGCCGGTGTCCCATTCGCCCAATTCCAGCTTCAAACTCAAAACGTGCCCCACCAGAGCTTTTGCGTCCTTGATTGCCCATCGCCTTTGCGTGATTTGATACTTGAACACTTTTCTTCTTTGGCATTGCACATTTTTTTCATCCTGTCGCCGAATTTCCAATTCCATCTCGGAGACAGTTTCTAATTCATCATCTCCTTTCCTTCCGAAAAGGTATGTTTCATGCAAATGACGTCTTTTATCGTTTCTACCCCTCTCTCGCTGCCCCGCCATTGGCAAGGATTTGGGCGAGTGCCGGCTATGGCCTCGATGGCCGTTGCCTCATCGGCGATTATTTTCCAGAGCTGCCCGATAAAATTATATCTGTGCGGAATAACTATTTCGCTTTGCTCTCTGCAATTTGATACCATATTGTCTTTACAATTATTTGTTTCCGCCTGCTGACCGTTGTTGTAGAGAAACTCCGTCGGCCTTTACTTCTACGACATAATAGCGAGCGTTCCGAACGAACAATCCTGATTTCACCATCTACAACAACGTGTACATTCCTGAAATAATCACAATGGCACCTGCAAACACTCTCCCTGCCTGGTCGGAGCTCAACGCCCACCGTGACAACATCAGCAAGAGCTTTGTCCTGCGCGAAGCCTTTGCCTCCGACCCTGAGCGCTTCAACCGCTTTAGCCGCACCTTCACTGCTCCCGGCACCTCTTCCGACATTCTTTTCGACTTCAGCAAGAACTTCCTCACCGATGAGACTTTGGACTTGCTTGTTAAGCTTGCCGAGGAGGCTGGCGTTGAGCGCAAGCGCGATGCCATGTTCCGCGGTGACAAGATCAACTTCACCGAGAACCGTGCTGTATATCACACCGCTCTCCGTAACGTTGGCGGCTGGGAGATGAAGGTCGATGGCGAGGATGTCATGGGCGGAGCTAACGGCGTCAATGCCGTTTTGGACCACATGAAGGAGTTCTCCGAACAGGTCCGCAGCGGCGAGTGGAAGGGTTTCACTGGCAAGAAGCTGACCACCATCATCAACATTGGTATTGGTGGTTCTGACCTGTAAGTAAAAGCTGTTTTTGGTTGTAGTTGCAAAACGGGATATCACTAACACAAAAGCATAGCGGCCCTGTCATGGTCACTGAGGCTCTCAAGTACTACGGTGCCAAGGACATGACCCTCCACTTTGTCTCCAACATTGACGGAACGCACATTGCTGAAGCTCTCGCCAACTCCGACCCCGAGACCACGCTCTTCTTGATCGCTTCCAAGACCTTCACCACGGCCGAGACTACCACCAACGCCAACACCGCCAAGACCTGGTTCCTCGAGAAGACTGACAACAAGGGCGAGATTGCCAAGCACTTTGTTGCCCTTTCCACCAACGAGGAAGAGGTTACCAAGTTCGGCATTGACAAGAAGAACATGTTTGGCTTTGAGAGCTGGGTTGGCGGCCGTTACTCTGTCTGGAGTGCCATTGGCCTCAGCGTTGCCCTGTACATTGGCTTCGACAACTTTCACAAGTTCCTCAGTGGTGCCCACGCCATGGACAAGCACTTCCGCGAGACTCCCCTCCGCGAGAACATTCCCGTCCTTGGTGGCCTGTTGAGCGTCTGGTACTCTGATTTCTTCCAGGCCCAAACCCACTTGGTTGCCCCGTAAGTTGAATTGTTTCGCCATGAAACTATCTTGAACTCGACTAATTTGGCTATACAGCTTTGACCAATACCTGCACCGATTCCCCGCCTACCTCCAGCAACTGTCCATGGAGTCCAACGGCAAGTCTATTGCCTCTGACGGTTCCTCTGTCAAGTACACCACCGGTAAGTCTTTACATACATAGTATTGCACTTCAGTCATGCTAACTTTAGTACAGGCCCCATCCTCTTTGGCGAGCCTTGCACCAACGCCCAGCACTCCTTCTTCCAGCTTGTTCACCAGGGCACCAAGCTGATTCCTACCGACTTCATCTTGGCCGCTCAGTCCCACAACCCTGTTTCTAACAACCTCCACCAGAAGATGTTGGCATCCAACTTCTTCGCCCAGGCTGAGGCTTTGATGGTTGGCAAGACTGACGAGCAGGTCCAGGCCGAGGGAACCACTGGCGACCTTGTCCCCCACAAGCGCTTCCTTGGCAACCGCCCTACCACTTCCATCCTCGTCGGTGGCTCTATTGGCCCTGCTGAACTCGGTGCTCTCATCGTTTACTACGAGCACCTCACCTTCACCGAGGGTGCCATCTGGGACATCAACAGCTTCGACCAGTGGGGTGTTGAGCTCGGCAAGGTCTTGGCCAAGAAGATCTTGAAGGAGCTCGACGAGCCTGGAAGCGGCGAGGGCCACGACAACTCTACTGGCAACCTCATCTCTGCTTTTAAGAAGTTCTCTAAGATCTAAAAAAATGACGGGCTTCTAAGAAATGAGGGTACATGAAACAAGTTCAGAAAGTATACGTATAGTAGTTGATTAATGCAAAGTGTTCTTTATTCATCAAGGCTACGTGAATTTTGCCATGTAAACTATGCCTAACTCCCCCCTCACAACGAGCAACCTCCGGCTCTAATGCTGTTCTTGACCTGCAAGTTCATATGCCGTATGTTGACGAGGAGTTTCCAGTTCCGTCTGGTACTTTGGTTCGCTACCATTTCCAATACCGTTATATTCAGGCACCGGCTTTGGCCGGCGCTTCAAGAGGAACGCAATAGCAACTAGCGAGGCAAGCAGCGCCGCACCAAGAGTACCTCCGACCGCACCACCCACAACGGCTGTATTATCTTTCGGACATTCTGTCGCTGTGTCTGTCGAACTACCAGTCGATAGTGGTGGTTTAGTTTGCGTTCCTTGTGAGCTAGAGCTTGTGGCCGAAGGGTTTGCGCTTGTGCTAGGGGCGTCCGGAAGAATTATCTTTCCAATGTCGCGCTTGATCATGGCGTCGGAGTTTGAGCAGCAGCTCTTTTTATCATCGGAGGCTCTGCAGCAAAATTGGCCTGGATTGCAGGGCAGGATATTGTAAACTCGGGCCTTTTTGCCAACAGCCGAGTTGACGAAGGCTATGAGGCAGTTAGCTAGCCATAAGGCTGATAGTATCAACCTCGTTGTACGTACTGTCTGGGCAGACATTCACACATGATGCCGACTTGCCCGATTTATCTGTGCATCCGTTGGAGTATATGAAGCCGTTGAATGGGCCATCTTGCGCATAGCACAGGCCGCTGGCGAGGCAGATATCGCCACCCGTCTTGTTGGATGCGCAGCAGGCGCTGTTATCGTCGTCTGGTCGGCATGGTACAAATGAGTTATCGGTCGAAGAGCCGTCTAGGTAGTAGCACTTTTTGGTGGCTGCTGTTACAGGGCTGGATAGGGCTGCGAGGGCAACGAGCCCAATCCAATAGGTGTGCATATCTGCTGGTGCGCGTTTGGAAATGCGAAATCTGAGTTGAACAGAATGACCAAACGTCTTTTAGGTAAAATGTATATTGGCACCTCGCTTCTCTCCGGCAGTAATTTCCGCGAATGGGCAAAAATACAGGGGCCTCTGTTTTATAAGGGGGCGGCCGCACATCTTGATACGTGAGGCTGGCGCCAAGAGCAGGGGCTGTGAGCACAGCATGCAATGAAAAGTTTCCGAGAGGCTTCTGGATGCTGGCAGGCAATTTCTCGGGGCAGTTGTTTCCTGGTGGGCGCTGATATGCTGACATTCATTCCCGTTTTAGCGCCATTTTGCTTCGTATTTCTCTGCGTGATCGCCGTGGTGGTGGTAGTGGTGGAAGGATTGTATTGCATTGCATTACTCTGTCGTTGGATAGATATTCAAATACAGTACTGTACCATTTGTTCATTGATTGCCGTCTTAGTTAAGCTTGATTTATAGCTGCTGCTCTTCTTAAAGGTCAGAGTTACCAGGATGCCGGGACGGGCCGTGCAAGCCGCCACTAACCTTATTTTTTTTAAGCATTGGCCGCTTTCTTCTCACGGCATGAATTAAACCAATATTATGCGAGATCGCGAGAGATGAGCTTACAAGGCTATTACCGACTTGGTAATCACTTTTAGGTGAGGATATATCCATCGGGTATATAAATGTAACAAATGCAATAGATAATCTATAAAAAAAATAAAAATAAAAATAAAAAACAAGACTAACATCCTTCTACTCATAATTCTCTTCCTGAGCATCCTCTTGCTGCCATTCTCCCTGATCACCATTATTCTCTTCATATTCCACCTCTTGCGCACCCTGATCATATCCCTCGCCTCCATAATACTGCTGGGGCTCGTCTTCTTGAACGTATTGTTCCTCTTGAACGTTCTCTTCATAGCTCTGCTCTTGTTGTTCCCCTTCTTGAATATTTTCTTCATAGTTCTGCTCTTGTTGTTCCCTTTCTTGAACATGCTCTTCATAACTCTGCTCTTGTTCTTCCACCTGGTTGACATCCTCTTCATAAGTTTGCGCTTCTTGCTCCCCATCCCCATCGTTCTCGTTGTAGTTCTGTTCATTTTGCTCCCCGTCCTCGAGATTCTCTTCGGTATTCTGCTCCTCCTGTACAACCTCCTCTTCAGGATTCTCGGGGACATTTTCATAAGTTGGTTGCGCCTCCTGATCCTCGGTGTTCTCATCATGCCGTTAATCTTCCGCAGTGGATAAGTCTTGCACCTCACTATCACCTTGGTCTTGTTCCTCGTCATCATCTACATTTTCAGTAGTGTTCATGTGGCCATCCTCTGTTCCAACCTCACCCTCCTCCTCGTTGTCATTTTGTTCAGTCTCTTCACCATTAGACATTTCTGGGGCTTCTGATTCCTCCTCATTCTCTCCTTCAGGGTTTGTAGCGTCTTCAATATCCTCATTGTTTGTAGTGGTGTTGGCATTTTCCTGGTCATTGTCTCCATCGTCGGTATCGCCCCTTAAATTTTCGTCATCCTCGTCATTATCCTCTTGATGCTGTTGTTCTTCATCTTCTCCGTTGTTGACGCTGCCCTTCTCTGATCCCTCTTGGACGCTTTTATCATCGCCCTCATCTCCATCCTCTTCCTCATCACCATTTTCTTCGTTTTCGTTGTTATCATTTTCCTCTTCAGTATCATTGTCCTCAGTGTCATTGTGATCGTCTTGGATGCTATTATTGTCTTCATCATACGTGATTTGGCCGTTTTCTGCCCTGTCATTCTCTTCAACTGGACCAGAGATATCCCTGGTACTGTCATCAATCACTTCTGGATCTGGATTGGGAATATCTGACGGGTTAGGGGGGCTATTCGACAAGCTTGGCCCTGAATGGGGAACCGGATGAGTCAATGGGACATTCTTTCCAATGCCCGTCTGATGACCCGCGATGTTGGGAAGTATACGTGGTGGCTCTACAACCGGAAGCCGGGATGATGGTATTCCCACAGTAGCTGCTGCGCTTGGAGCCGCCATGTTGATGTTTTGTTAAGCGTTGACGTTGCTACTGTTGGGGTGCCGTTAGTTTCATGGACCAGAACTTATAATGATGCGCATCTGACACAGGCAATGGCTGAACCATATATAGAGAAGGAGAGACAAACCTGAGGTAAGAATGGGATTAATACGATTTTGATTATAATTTTGTGAGTAGATAGTTGGGAGAAATTTGTCGACCCTACTAAAAGCAAGGAGCGAGAAATATATAGAGATATAAATAGAAATTCTGCCAATAAGTTGCTGGATATATGGGTTCTCTCTTTGACACATTACATTACTAGTATACTATCCAATATCCAACCCAACAAAAGCTGCGTAAAGGAGCCTGTTACGTATTTGGCTCAGCTGACAGGTTTTGGAACCGTCTAGACGAACCCTGATAGTAGGTGCACTCTTCGATACCGCCTCGACTTCGCCTCTTTTCGAAGAATTATTCTACTTCTGGTTAATGCCCTTTTTAGTCTGCAAGGCCCAACCGCCTTTTCCGTTACATCACACGGCGACAGGGTACGTGGGGGGTTCGGCGTTACTTTGTCTCTACATTATCGACCGGGGGCTGTTAGCGCAACTACATCGCGGCTCGAACCGCTAGGCGGCGCCAAGCTCCAGTCCTACGTTAACGCTGTCTGGGAGAAGTATTCTCAGGAGGACCTCACGGTTAACACACAGGCTGAATAGGGCAACGTGACTGGCCGAGTTATTGATGGCCAGCTCATCTTTGACGGTGTTGGTGCATTCCCTCAGCCCTCCACAGCTGACATCTTTGGCTGCAGCTCTGGACCGTTTACCACTGCAGGTGCTCCTGTTCCACTCAATGTTGGAGTACGTCTCGCGGCTGCATTTAACCGTTCTACTCTCCACATGAATAACAATCAGCCCGAGAATGAGAACATCCAAAGCTACTACAACGAGGCCATCACCAACCACTACGCCCGTCTCTGTCACGAGGCCAGTGTCCAGGGACGAGGCTACGCCTTCCATTACGATGATGTTAGCTCTACCAACGGCGTGGACCAATCTGGTTTTGTCAATGATGGCCAGCCAGCTGAGCTGACCATCTGGGTCGGCTCTCCACTTGAAGGTTAAGCGTGGATATTGATTTTCTTTTAAACCTATAGACCGATTTGATAGTTTAGAGTGCTTATAGATATAATGTTTTTGAGTAGCATGAATGCAAATTTTAAGTTGAAGTATATTCTACTGCAGACGCCTACCCTCTCTGTTGAATTGCTTCTCTCCTGCTCTTCGTCGTCTATAAAACAGCGGAGTCTTATATACAAAAACTATAGGATCGCTCTCTGCCTAGAAAACTAAGTGATAGATCTCTTCATCCATTACGTGGAACCAAAATTGTGTAAATACCGCCGGCATTATGTATAGCCAGGGGATAGGCTGGCCACGACAGATCCCCCATCGACTCACGGCCTTGCATTGGAAGTCACAATACTTAAACCTACCACCTATTCTGTCCGGCGTTTCAGGAAGCTTCACAATAACGTCAATAGACTCTGCATCGAGGATGAGAGCAATGCGGTAGCAGGTATTATAACTTCTGGTGCAATTTTGGCTTTCTACCCATTTTTCAAACTCGGCGAGCACCGTTTCCATACTAGCGTCATCAAGAAACTTGTCGATCTTCTATAATGGAATTAACGAGGCGATATCCCTTTTTCTTTTGCGCTCGCTCGGTATAGTCTGTCTGAGGAGCGGAGGAATCCCCTAGAATGCCGAACTTCATGTAGGTTTCAATCCGAGCAACCGCTAAAGGAAATAGAGTATCCGACTCGGGGGTGTAGACGGTGCGGTAGATGTTCACGCCCCATAAGTATATATGGGCGCAGCCGTCTGACCTGTCGTGTAATTGCTTAAGATATGAGGCGGCTATGCAATGATCGGACCTAAGAAAATCTAGGTCCGGGAAAAATTCATTTGGAATAGGTCAGAAATCTATGATATAAAGGGATGTGCTGGGTTTGGCAGAGTATATTTAGGGGAGGAGATCTTGTTGAGATTGATATCAGAGCGGGGAGTTCAGTTTTTCCCTAGTGATATAAAAATAGTTGTCATTTGAAGGCAAGGCAAGAAATGGATCAATGTAATCTAATTTGATTGAATTGTTCGTTTGCCAAGCAAAAGTCGAAGTTACCCAAAAATGTTTGATGGGGGAATTACTGCTCAAGACTTTAAGTTTCCTAACAACAGAATATAATAACAACACGACTTATATATATGTACATATATATAGACTATTCATATGCAGATGGCCATTTGTTTGTTCCGTAGTCTCCCTCTACTCAAGGTACATCTGGGTTAATGGCGGGAAGTCAGGCAAAGCCTCCGCCTTAGTTAACATGATTCGTGCATTCTCCTTGAGCGCCGCGGCATCACTGCTCCAGAAGCATCGTTTGCCCAGCGGTCGTGGCATCGGGTATTCAAGTGTCTAACGTAGTTTATCGAGTTGTTGCGTACCATGGCCGTTTGTAGATCCACGAATTCGCGCCATGCGTTGACAATGGGGTTGAAGTTCTCGATTTTCATTTTACGACTTTTATTTTAACTTTCTTACCGACAGTAGCGCGATAGCGACCGTGTCGTACGAATCTTATCAATGTGACGATGCGCACAATTTTCAGGCGTAGCATTCGGGTGCTATTACCGTCCCCGGAAGCTTGTTTGACCGGAACATCTCCACCGCCGACGTACGCGTCCGAAGAGGCCGACTCCAACATCTCCCCTATGACGTTGCGTTGACCACAACGACAGACGCGCAATTCGGTCAATCCATCGCTGTGAAATATTGTCGACGATTTCGAACGCCGCGACTCGAGACGCAGTCACACACCTCAAGCAGCACAGGAAACCGGGCGCGTCATAGCCTGCCGCCATCATGGTTGCGCTGCCGCTATTCAAGCTTGGATCGCTGCTCTTGCGGCATGTATCCAAGTATGGTGCTGTAAGGTGATTGAATGGAAGTATTTGTAGCTCATTCTAATGCGTTTTCTGGCAGAATCACATAAAGGCGCAAGCTCACGACCACCCGCGATTCCGCGCATTCGCCGCCAGATACGGCCAGGTTATGCATCAGATCAACATGCGCATGTCAGTAGCTCTGTTGCGGGATATCGAAGCCGAAAAGCGCGCAAAAGAAAAGGCCGAAGCACCGACTGTGCTTACCGAGGAGCAGACAAAGGTCGAAGAGAAGAAGGAGAAGCTGGGTACGAAGCCACCGCCTCGGCGAACTTTCCAAAACATATGGTCACGCAAGTTCCGACCGCTGCCTGAGAATAAGGCTGTAGACTTGTTTGCGGATGTCATAGGTGACACGTTCATTCTCAGTGTTGCAATTGCACTCATCTTGTACGAATACTGGCGCGGGAACCAGAAGCCAGACACCAACAAAGAGCGAATCGACGCCCTGAATATTAGAGTTGACGAGCTGCAAAAGCGAGAAGACGAACTTGCGAAAGCGGAAGAGAAATATAGACTGCGCTTCGATTCGTTAGAGCAGGCATTGAGGACTCTACAAGACCCGAAGACCAAGAAGCCGCTTCTTCCCACATTACAGGTCCAGGAGAGTGTAGACGAGCAAGCCACCACACCACAGCCTCCTGTAGAGACGACAGTATCTTGAGAAGCGAAAAGACGGCGCTGGATATTCAACTAGGTGCTTTGATACTGGGCGCCTCAAAGGCTTCCTTGTGGCGACTCAGAACAATGGCTCCCCACTGTTCCTGGAGGATGGCTGTGGCTCAGCTCAGCCCGTGATTACTGGACCTCTGGTTCATTGAAGCATGCAAATGCAGCGGTGAATCTCCCCACTGTACATAAATTCATTCCCCACTCATAGTCGGAAGCGAAGCCAAGTAGACTTGGCCTCAGGTGGCGGCTGGCACTTGGCAGCTGGCAGGCAACTGGCGGGCAACTGGTGCAGTTGTGAGAGATACCCAGGAACAGCTGCACGGACTTTTGACTGGTACATAACTTAGACTTAGCATCACCCAGCTCATTCCATACATGAAAAAGCACTAATCCTTTTATCACATCTTTGATCATAAAGCAAGTGTCTCCTTGTTGGCTCAATTGAGCTTACTGAGAAAGCGACTCAAGGCGGGCAGTAAAGACTACAGTTGTGGCGTTGGAGATGTGATATTCCTTTATATTGCCAGCTACCAAACTTCTCCGCCGTTCGCCAAACCATGCACAGAAGACATGCCATGTGGGTAAATAGTTAGCGGGGTTTGCTCCCGTTCTTGCACGGCAGCTAGCGGTGATGTGACACCGCAGCCAGCGGCATCTGTGGTGGATATGGTGGCGCTGACGCCGCTCTACACAGCCAATCAAGATGCGTCTCCAACCGCCGGGCAACAAAAATAGGATCAATTAATCGATAGACTCGGCAGTCACTAGCTACAGTAGCACCGACGGAACAGTCTCGAAAAACTGCTTTCGATTCTTGCTCGAATCTGACCGCCGATGTGAGTGTCTTGGACGTATGGACGGGTGTTTCTCTTGTACGGGCTGCCAGCGTTGGCCATTGTGCCGAAACGCAACGACTCGCTCACTGTAACCACGATGGTTTGCGACGTATAGCATATGCATACAGAAGCTAATCATGGACGAAACTAGACTCTACAAACCAGGGTTGAGGGCTAATTTCGTTCTAGCTATGTGACGTGACAAAACAATGGACAATGAACCCGTGCCAGTAGAAGCCTGAAAAACGTGGCGAACACAAGTCAATTCGCTTTGCGAACGCATAAAATCCTAACCGCCACGAAGGTTTCTCATGCAAACTAAGAATGCAGATGGTGTGTTACAAGGATGCTACGGCGCGATTCACCTCGTACTGGAGGACTCTACCCACGATGCAGATCCCGTATCAAGAGCCCTTCAAGTCCGTGTTGAATTTCTAACCCTTCCGAAGCTGCTCGGAATGAAACCAGGAAGGGTTCCAACATGGGAGCCTTGTGAGAATAACAAATCATGAACGCTCCATGAACTCTCCACAACTGCTACGAGGATTGTACAGTGGATATTGAACTGAGAAAAACTTGGATAATGCAAGGTGGATATGCGGCGCAACCACCAATGCGGCGGCCGACAGACTAGCGTTGCAGAACTGAAGCTGCAAAACGTCCCTCCCACCGCAGCGCTGAATCATACGTGGACAGGCATGAAGTGTTTTCCGAAGAGAAGCCATCAATTCAACATGCAAAACAAAACCTTTTCTGTTCTGCTACACCTCGGCCTCATCAGGCAGTTTCGTTCTTTACAGCAAAAACCTGTCTTGGAAAAGTGAGACGTCTTCCTCGACAGAAACCAGCCGGGTACATTGGCTGTGGTTGGCATAAAGTGGCTCGAGCTTGTACCGGAGGAGAGGGGGGCAGCCTGAGACGGTCGAGGCATAACAGGGGTTGTCGGCGTCGCCCCTCTTTTGATCATTCGCAGCTAGCGGCAAGGCTCGTTATTGGCTGCCCACCAATCTCTAACCGCCGAGCTCTAGCCAATAGCAACACCAGAATACCAGATGGCGGAGGCTTTAGTGCCTTCAGTGGCACGCTGGGCTTCATTTGGCGGCAGTTGAACACTGCCAATTCTGCGCCGTCGAGCCGTGTGACCAGGATGTTGTGCATTTCTTCACAATGCACTAAACCAGCCCAAAAAAAACGCCGGGCGGGTAGCAAGAGTTGGCGGTTGTGGTGAGCTATCGCTGTGCTAGCACCCCTCCGCACCCTGTTCTACCCTCAGCGGCTAACAGCTGGGAGTCCATCACACTCGCTCCCACTTGCGCCATTAGCCTGTGGGAAAGCTGGCTCCATATTGGCTGGTTGTCATTGCTGTCGTATTCCATTTCTTCGGCGTCTTACTCGTCATTTTGCCTCTTTTAGCCTGACAAAACACTCATATGGCCGCCCCATCCCGCGACCACCCTCTTGACCCTGCTTCCCCATCCCATCGTTCAACGGAAAACCTGCGACGCCAACTTCCTCCAGACACGGAAATACTAAACATTGCTGATTCCTGAGACGAACAAAGGCATTTCGGAGAAAAATAGAAATACTACGACTCCTTGCAGATACTATTGCTGCGCCAGCCTGAGACCCACGCCCAACTTGCGACGCCCCCAACCTGACGTCTGGATCTGCGACAACGGATACCCGTCTGCCTCAACCTCCGACAACCTCGACGACCCCGTCTCATCTCGCGGATCGCAGGTCGATTTGAACCTCAAACCGCAGGCTTTTGCAGTATGCACTGCACATAAACCGGCAGAAACACATGTTTTTCTTTTCTCGTCGTTGCATAAATGTATACGCCTCACCTGCGACTCGGCCCTGCACCCTCACACCAGCCCATCCACGCTTCTGCAACGCCAAACGAGCAGCATTCCCTGCTAGTATCAAGTTTTGATACACTGGAGCACCTGCACATATAATCGATCCCCCTGTGGCCACGGCTTCACGCCGTCGGCTGTATCCTCATCCGGTCTTGTTCGACTTTATTTAATAGTCGTTATTCGTCCCAAACTTTCGGGACTTTGCAGATCGTCACCTCCCAGCACCACCACACTCACTTCTTCAACAGTTTTTACTGCTAGTCAGTATTAACAACCTCGACTCTACTCACAAGGTCTGGCTACCTTTGAGTTTCTTATATATACAACACCCTTTTTGTCTCGTCACCAGGCAAAAGCGACCAATCCTACTACACCCTCCACAACACTCTTCTAGTCTGCATCTGCCCATTCCGTCACCATGGGCCGTCTTATTAAGAACCACTGGGCTCGACTTATTGCCATGACCGCTGCAACTTGTAAGTTGCCATTTTATTTTTCAAGTGACGATATCCACTAACAGTACAAATAGACCAGATTCTTGCCGCCATCGAAGGCTTCTTCTGGCCCAAGATCTTTTGGGATTTCCTGACAAGAAACCTGGACGCCGCCGTCCGCCCGATACCGATCCTACAAATACTGAACCTATTATTCGGAATCTTCATGCTGGCTCTCGAGTGGCCGCTGCCATTCCTTGCTGGCTCGAGCTTGCACCGCTCGCTTGAATTCCGCCTGGTGCTACTCCCGCTCACCATCCTCACATCTGTTCTGATGTACCAGAGCACCAACCCTGCCATTTACTATTTTATCGGCATGTGTGTCTACTTCTGGGCTTACAGTGAAGGCGAGGTACGAATATTCTCTGCTAAACTAACACTACAAACGATGCTAACTGGAGTGTACAGATTATCTGCGCTAAGCCATGGACTCTTCCCCAGCGCATCCAGCGTGGTGCCGCCAACCGTGCTTAATGCCAACATTGTCTACCATTCAACGCATTACAATTAACATAACTCGAATTTTTACATGGGAATGCTCGACCCCATATTCAGCATTGAGCCACGGCGTTCTGGGCGGAGTTCATTTTTTTTCTCTTTGATTTTCAAACATTTTCAAACCTCATCATATGAGGTGGTGTCTTTTTTCTTTGTCTAAGAAGGTGGGAGATCTTTTCTTTGGAGTATAGGAGCAATTGGATGGAGGGCATTAAGATGCCGTGAATGGATTCTTCAGTAATCTATCTAGCCTTGACGACAGCGTCATCAAAAGAAGAATACTTGTACTTCTCTCTCAAACCACGTCTTTCACGTTAGCTGCAGCGATTTGTTCGACCGCTCAATGAATAGGGGAATAGGCACGGGTGTAGGCGCCCACCAGACCTGGCTGGCTGCCTTATCCCTGATGGCTAGAGCCGCCCAGTCATGGTTTGTAGATCGCATGAGTATGCACCAGCACAGACACAAAAGTCTATGCCTACTTTTTTTGCGAACCGCTTGCAGGCCGTGTACCTGACAGCGAAGGTCACTCGCAAGGGTTCGGCGGCTGCCCCCACGCCTAAAAGAGGCTGAACTTTCGAAACGGGCCCTGTAACAGGTCTGTGTTGCAGCTGCAAGCGCCAGACGAAAGACTGCCCCATGCATGAAAATTGAGTCTCATTGGGTCCTTGGCTAATATTTGTAAAATTTGTCGCTCGTTTTGACTTGAATCCCCGACTTGCATAGTCTATAAACTGTGTCATGCGCCGTATATGAGGCTCGCAGCCTTGACGGCGCTTGTGATTATGCTCCTCGATACCTTTCCCACCCTGACAACTGCGTACTTTGTGTTATTTAAACATACACATTTATTTGTTTCGTGGATGACTTCAAATGATTTAATTAATATTTGCAAGATTTAAAAAATACGTTGATGTTTATATTGTCCAAAGCTGTCCTCGAATTATTAGTCAGCTTTTTTTTCCCGGGTTGCGATGTCGCAATCATGGGTTCCGTCGACTGTGGGTAGAGATGGCCGTAATGTGAAAGTGCCGCAATATCCCCAAAAAATAATACACAATCTACCGTGTCTTGGAATTCCCACATCGTAGACGTCTGAGTTGTGACAGTTGGTCATAAAGATCCTTTGCAACCGTACAAACCGCTGCTTGCGAATGTCGCGACTTGCATCCTTAAGGCCATCCATCACATCACCACTAAGCTCCGTACTCCGACCCGTGCAAACCCGCGGATATCACATTACGATGAGCTTGAGCACCAAGTTGAAGCCCGCTGCCCGGGTTTCGAACCAAAAGCAGGATGTCTGGTGAGTATATACAACATCCCGAAGCTATGCGCCGTGTGTCTTACCTGAAGCTAGGTCCATCATCAATGAGGCTGCCGCAGCTTCGCCGAAGCAGCCAATTATCAACATGGGACAGGGCTTCTTCGGATACAACCCGCCCAAGTTCATCCTGGATGCTGCCAAGGAGGCCCTTGATCGCGTAGAATGCAACCAGTACTCTCCCACCAAGGGTCGACCACGCCTGACGAAGGCTATTGCTGATGCGTACTCGCCTCACTGGGGTCGTCAGATTAACCCCAACACTGAGGTTACTATTACCACCGGTGCAAACGAAGGTAAACTCGACCAATTAGCACGACTATGTTCTGAGCTAAAGGGATACGATTAGGAATGCTGAGTGCGTTCATGGCTTTTATTGAGCCTGGAGACGAGGTCATCATTTTCGAGCCTTTCTTTGATCAGTAAGATTTGTTTGGGAACATACCGTGCATTCTATGCTGACAATTCTGCTACAGATATATCAGCAACATCGAGATGCCTGGAGGCAAGATTGTCTACGTGCCGCTGCAGCCCCCCGCAGATGGCGCTGTCAGAACTTCCTCTGCTGCTGAATGGACTCTTGATATTGAGCAGCTCGAGAGAGCCATTACGCCCAAGACAAAGATGATTGTCATCAACACACCTCGTATGTAATACTGATACCGATGAATAAGTAAAGTATGTTTTGCTAACCGCCATATGGCATAGACAACCCCGTCGGCAAGGTCTTCTCCAAGGATGAGCTGCAAAAGATTGCCGATCTTTGCGTCAAGAATGAAATCATTATTCTCTCTGATGAAGTCTACGACAGATTGTACTACGTCCCCTTCACACGCATTGCTACGCTCTCGCCCGAGGTTGAACGCCTGACTATCACGGTCGGTTCCGCCGGCAAGAACTTTTACGCCACCGGATGGCGAGTTGGTATGTTAAATCCCTTTCTTTCCCCTGTCTGTTTGACTTAATCTAACCATGGCTCGCAGGCTGGCTTTTGGGACCGGAACATCTAATCAAGTATGTTTCTGCTGCGCACACCCGAATCTGCTACTCGTCCGTCTCGCCCCTCCAGGAAGCCTGCGCTGTCGGTTTCGAGCAAGCCGAAGCACAGGGATTCTGGGACGAAACTATCAAGGATATGAAGGCCAAGATGGATCGATTCAACACTGTTTGGGACGAACTCGGACTTCCTTACTCTGAGCCTGAGGGTGGCTACTTTGTCCTCGTCAACATGGCCAAGGTCAAGCTTCCCGAGGACTACCCTTTCCCCCCTCACGTTTCCAGCCGTCCCAGAGACTTTAAGCTGGCCTGGTTCCTCATCCAGGAGGTTGGTGTTGCTGCGATCCCCCCAACGGAGTTCTACACGGACGAGAACGCCCATCTCGCAGAAGACTACATTCGATTTGCCGTCTGCAAGGAGGATGCCGTGTTGGAAGGTGCCAAGGAGCGTCTTCGCGGATTGAAGAAATACATGTCCTAATGGGTTTAGATTTGATAGAATTTGGATGGTTAATAGAAAAGCAAATAGCAATTAAAAAAAGACGGAACATGACCCCTGTTTGCCGCGGCTCTCGACGTGGTTTTCGCTACCGACAATGTCAATTATGTAAATCGTCCTCTCTTTTCGGGAATAGACGGGAGGCAATCCCCGCAAACGTCTTGCAATATTGAAATCGTCGCCGATTGCAGCTATCGTCGTCCGGCGCGAATTGTGTGGAGGCTGCCGCGATAACCACCGGTCTCTGGCGGTGTTGAAAGGCACCCGGAGCCGGCCGACGGGCAGCTTAGAATCGCGCGGCCTTTGAGTGGGTGGCGGTCCCAATGCGGGGTTGCTTGCTGAAAATTGGAGGCGACGCGGGGGTGACAGGCGCCGTTGTTGGTGCGTGGGGCTACCGATTACAGCGGGCTGAGCGCCTGTAATGGAGGACCTGATGGCGCTATCCGAGGTCACCATCTGCCGGGAGTGACAGTGCCAAGCGAAACTCTTTTAAACCACCAGCTGGTCGCTGCCATTTCTTTTCGTTTTCATCGTCGTGAACTGCTGCTGCCGCCATTTCCTTATCTCTCTTAGCGACTATTTACCATTAAACGCAGAACTCAGCGCTATCATCACTGCGTTTCAGACGCTGCAGCACATTTGGGGTCTGCAGACCAACTTGTTGCCACCATGGCACCAGCACCAACAATGATCCAGGAAAAGTCGGCGAGTGCTGAGTTGGCAGCGCTGGCTGCATCATTCGACGATACACTACGATTTTACCTGAATGGCACAAAGATTGTGCTGGAGAATATCGATCCCGAAGTCACCGTGCTGGAATATCTACGAGGTATCGGTTTGACCGGCACAAAGCTGTAAGAATGCCCTTTATTGCAAGTTATATATATTTTCAACCATCATATGGCTGACCATGGAAATTGTTTCGTAATACAGAGGATGTGGCGAAGGAGGATGTGGTGCCTGCACCATCGTCGTCAGCCAGTTCAACCCGACAACCAAGGAGATATACCATGCGAGTGTCAACGCCTGCTTGGCTCCGCTAGTCAGTCTCGATGGAAAACACGTCATTACAATTGAGGGTATCGGAAACACCAAAGGTCCTCATCCTACACAAGAGCGAGTTGCAAAGTCTCATGGCAGCCAATGTGGCTTCTGCACGCCCGGAATTGTTATGAGCTTGTACGCCCTGCTCCGAAACAACTCTGAGCCCTCAGAACACGATATGGAGGAGGCATTCGACGGTAATCTGTGCCGCTGTACCGGATATCGACCTATTTTGGATGCAGCACATACCTTTAGCGCAAAACCAGCATGCGGCATGTCCAAGGCTAACGGGGGCGGTGGCTGCTGCATGGATGAGAAGAAGACCAACGGCACTACCAACGGCACTACCAATGGTGTAGGAAATGGTCCAACAAATGGTGTCGGTCATGAGGTTACAAATGGAACAACAAATCGAACGACCAATGGCACTACGAACGGTACTACAAATGGTGGTGGGTGTTGTATGGACAAGGGCAACGGCAAACCCAGTGGCGGATGCTGCATGGATAAGAAAACTGATGATCAACCCATCAAACGATTCACACCACCAGGGTTCATTGAATACAACCCAGATACTGAACTAATCTTCCCGCCACAGCTCAAGAAACAGGAACTTCGACCACTGTCCTTTGGCAACAAGCGCAAAACCTGGCTTCGCCCGGTTACTCTCGACCAACTCCTGCAAATCAAGAGTGTATATCCTGATGCCAAGATCATCGGTGGCAGTACGGAAACGCAAATTGAAATCAAATTCAAGCAAATCAAATACCCCATATCTGTATATGTCGGTGACATTGCAGAGCTTCGCCAGTACAAGTTCTACGACGACCATATCGAAATTGGAGGCAACGTTGTCTTGACTGACGTCGAGGGCATTTGCGAAAAGGCCATGGGACACTATGGACCAGTTCGGGGACAGGTATTCGAGGGCATCTTGAAGCAACTCAAGTATTTTGCTGGCCGACAAATCCGCAACGTGGGTACGCCAGCTGGTAACCTGGTCACGGCCTCTCCCATCTCAGACTTGAATCCTGCTCTTTGGGGCGCCAATGCTGTTCTTATTGCCAAGTCTGCGTCAAAGGAGACAGAGCTTCCAATGAATCAGTTTTTTATTGGCTATCGTAAAACAGCACTCCCTCAGGATGCCATCATCTCTTCGATACGCATCCCCGTCACCGCCGCCAAGGGCGAATGCTACCGCACATACAAGCAAGCCAAGAGAAAGGATGACGATATTGCTATTGTGACCAGCTCGCTACGTGTCAAAGTTGACGAAGAGGGAATAGTGGAGAGCTGCAATCTCATCTACGGCGGCATGGGGCCGTTTACTCTTGCTGCTAAACAAGCGCAGGAATACCTTATTGGTAAGAGGTTTGCGGAACTCGAAACGCTTGAGGGAACCATGTCTGCTCTAGAGCGCGACTTCGATATGAAGTACGACGTGCCAGGAGGCATGCCCTCGTATAGAAAGGCCCTCGCTTTTGGATTCTTCTACCGATTCTACCATGACGCACTGTCGCATATGAGTGAGGCAGACGGCAAGGCCGATCTCCAAGCTGTCGGCGAAATTGAGCGAGCACTCTCAAAGGGAGCCATCGATGAACACTCTGCTGCCAAATATGAGAAAGAAGTAACGGGTAAATCGAACCCGCATGTTGCTGCTCTAAAGCAGACTACTGGCGAGGCGCAATACACAGACGACATTCCCGCGATGAAAAATGAGCTACACGCATCCTGGGTGTTGTCGACAAAGCCCCATGCCAAGATCAAGTCGATTGACTATGGCCCAGCCCTCGATATGCCTGGTGTTGTGGACTATGTCGATCATACTGATATGCCCTCCCCAGAAGCCAACAAATTCGGTACGCCATTCTTCGATGATACCATTTTTGCTGTGGACAAGGTTTACACGGCTGGTCAGCCCATTGCTTTGATTCTAGCCACGTCCGCTTCTAGAGCTCACGAAGCTGCTAGAGCTGTTAAAATCGAATACGAGGTCCTGCCTGCAGTTTTAAGTATCGAGGATGCCATCGAGGCCGACAGCTATCTTGATTTCTCAAAGCAGATTGTCAAGGGCGACACAGAAAAGGCGTTTGCCAACTCCGACTACGTATTCACTGGCACTGTCCGAATGGGTGGTCAGGAGCACTTTTACCTGGAAACAAATGCCTGTCTCGTGGTTCCTAAGCCAGAAGACGGCGAGATGGAGATCTTTGCCAGCACGCAAAACACGACTGAAACACAAACATTTGCTGCTCGCGCCTGCGATGTCGCTTTCAACAAGGTTGTGGTTCGTGTAAAGCGTCTCGGAGGTGGTTTTGGTGGCAAGGAGAGTCGTCCCGCCGTGTTGAGCTCTGCGGTTGCTCTCGCAGCCAAAAAGACGAAAAAGCCCGTGCGATGCATGTTGACACGTGAGGATGACATGCTTACCTCGGGTCAGCGACATCCTTTCCTTGGCAAGTACAAGCTTGGTATCAACAAGGATGGCAAGATCCAGGCTTTGGACTGCGATATCTACAACAATGCCGGATACAGTTATGATCTCAGCTGCGCCGTGTGTGAACGTGCCATGACACACGTCGACGGCTGTTACAGCATCCCTAATGTGAATATCCGCGGTCACCTCTGCAAGACCAATACCATGTCCAACACTGCCTTCAGAGGCTTTGGTGGTCCCCAAGGTATCTTCATCGCCGAGTCTTTCATGGAAGAAGCCGCCGATCGCCTAGGCATGAGCGTCGAGCTCCTCCGCGAAATCAACTTTTATAAGCATCACGAGGAGACGCACTTCAACCAAATGCTGCAAGACTGGCACGTACCTCTAATGTATAAGCAGGTCTATGACGGCTTTGACTATGCCGAGCGTAGAAAGGCAATCACCCAGTTCAACTTGGACAACAAGTGGCGCAAGCGTGGCCTATCCATCATTCCGACCAAGTTTGGTATCTCTTTCACGGCGCTTTTCTTGAACCAAGCTGGTGCGCTGGTACATATTTACCATGATGGATCGGTGCTAGTAGCCCACGGCGGCACAGAAATGGGCCAAGGTCTTCATACCAAGATGACGCAGATTGCCGCGCAGGCGCTCGGTGTCCCATTAGACAATGTCTTTATTTCGGAGACTGCAACAAATACTGTCCCTAACACGTCTCCGACGGCTGCTTCGGCATCATCCGATCTGAATGGTTTTGCCATCTTCAATGCCTGCCAGCAAATCAATGAACGCTTGGCGCCATACCGAGAAAAGCTAGGCAAGGATGCGACAATGAAGCAGCTCGCTCATGCAGCGTACTTTGATCGAGTCAATCTCTCGGCGCAGGGATTCTACAAGACACCCGAGATTGGATACAACTGGGATACCAACAAGGGCAAGATGTTCTTCTACTTTACACAGGGTGTTGCTGCTGCCGAGGTAGAGATCGACACGCTGACAGGCGCATGGACGTGTCTGCGCTCAGACATCAAGATGGATGTTGGCCAGTCTATCAACCCGGCCATTGACTACGGTCAGATCCAAGGTGCCTTTATTCAGGGCATGGGCCTGTTTACAATGGAAGAGTCTCTTTGGCTGTCCAGCGGTCCTGGAGCAGGCAACCTCTTTACTCGTGGCCCGGGAGCTTACAAGATTCCTGGTTTCCGCGATATTCCTCAAGAGTTCAATGTCTCGCTTCTCAAGGATGTCGAATGGAAGGAGCTTCGAACTATTCAGCGTAGTCGCGGTGTGGGAGAGCCGCCACTGTTCCTGGGCAGTGTTGTCTTCTTTGGTATTCGTGACGCTCTCAAGGCAGCTCGTCGCAGCGTGGGTGTTGAGGCGACAATTGGTCAGGATGACAGTCCTGGATTGCTGAGATTGACTAGCCCGGCGACATCAGAGAGAATTCGACTGGCTTGTGAGGATGATATCATGAAGCGAGCGCGAGTTGAGCCTAAGGAGGGCCAGAAGGGCTTCTTTGTATTTATTTAAAGTTTGCAGCTGATTTGGGAAACAGTGTTAAGATTGCCAACTGTTGGGATCATAGCATTTTATTTTGTCTCACGTAATTTGAATAAAGTCTGTATCAAGTAAAGAAAAATCTATTTTTGTTAAAAAAATAAATTCAGTCCAAGTCAACGTCGACAACGGGAAAACGGAAGCGTATCGGGTAGTCGTAAGCGAAACGTATGGCGGGCAATAAAACGGTCGACGGCTGGCTGGGCTGGGCTGGGCTGGCGGAGTGGCTCCGCCCACAGCCACTGTTTTCAGCGACTTTCAGCTGCATTGCCCTCGGCAACAGCGCCTGGTCCCCGCTAATGCAGCCCGGCGCCATGCACCACACAGGCTCTCTCCCACGCTGTAGTGGCCGAGCCGCAACTGCCAAATAGCCCAAGATGCCCCCGCCGGCCGCGGCGCTCGTGACCCGGCTGCATCCAATCGCAGCAGCCCAGTTTTCGTCGACAAAAAAGACAAGCCACTGGCTTCCCGCCATTAAACAACGCTTGCTCACGGATTTCTTGCGCGCGGATTCAATTGCATAGTGACAACTCGTCGTTTTTATTTTCCTTGCCTTGTTCGCTTAACCGGCAACTCCTAGCATCGCATCGTGCTACTTCAGCCGCGGTACGCACGCACGACAAAACCACCACCCCTCCAGGCCAACCGACCATCATTCACCTGGCCACGAGCGCATTGCTCGACATGCCCTCTGCCGCCAAACCACACCCTTAGATAAACGACAGCTTCCCTATCGGCGACGCCATCGACCCTAAATACCTTGCGTCGTACCCTTTCGCCCCTGCACCGGTGTGTAAGCGAACTGACTGTAACGCCTCCAACGCTACCCTCTGCTGCGTAACGTCGATGCCCAATGGGAGCACGCAGTCTTTAGGCCGAAACCACACAATACATTATACACGTTGAAGACATGAATACAAGCGGCAAGTCGGCCGAAAAGGCCAAGGCCAAGGCCCAAGAAGCCTCCAAGGATAAGAAGCGTGACGAAACAACACCAAGCAAGGCGCCCAAGAAGAGGCGCAAGGTGAACCATGGTAAGTACAACTCTCGTCATAGAAGCGCAATCAATTCGATTTTTCTAACAAACGTCTTTCGCTATAGCTTGTGTATATTGTCGAAGATCTGTAAGTCCATGGAAATGAATAGCGCTTGAAATGATGGCCCGTGATCATTCGTGATGCAAGCGGACCGAGCAACGATGTAAAGAACGGCTAACTAACGGGAGCTTGTGATACAACAGCACATGACCTGTGATTTGGTAAGTCTGCCACCACCTATGACGCCATGTGGCTCGCTGTGTCCGCGTAATTAAACTAACTCTGCTGTGTAGGAACGACCATGCACTCGATGCATTAAGAGAAACATTGGCCACTTATGCCATGACCAGCCTCGCGAGTCCGACATCCAGAAAGGAAAAAACGGCAAAGGCCAATCGAATTCAGAAGAGCCCGACGGCATCGCAGAAGCAGCCGCAGCAGCCACCACCATGGGGCCGCCGTCTGGCTTTGCCCCAGCAGGAGTCATGGCACAGGGCAACCCGCTTGCGCTTGTACAACCTGGAGCAGCTGGCATGCAGCCGGGATTGAACAATGGCTCTGGAAATGCAAATCAGTGTATGTACCCTTTTACGCAGCTTCCCAACCATGCCTTGGCGCTGCTCCTTACACACCACCACCCCTACCACTAACACACTCTCTGCAGTTGCTGGTTTCTCCGACGCCTGGCTTACAGCACAAAACTTCCACGACATGAATGCCTACAACCCTAACTACATGATTAGTGGCGATGTGACGCACGAGTTCAATCTACTCAACGACTTTCTGCACAACAATCTACTTGATGACACGGGCGTTCCGTCTGACGACAAGCAACGGAGCATGCTCCCCGACAGCGCCGTTCCAGCAGACTGGAAGAACCCCTTTGGAGGTGCGCAGCTGCAGCCTGCTGCAGGTGGTGCATCTTCAGGCGCCGTCAACAATTCCATGCCGCCCCCGCCTCTGGGGCTCGAAAACAAGCGACTGCGACCACGAACCGCGCAGCAAGAAAAGGACAAGACGCGCGAGTACTATCTGCAGGCCGCTGACCCCTCCGGAAACGACAATGCCGAAGAGCGAATGTCCCGTGTTCTCAAAGCCAAGTATGACGCTGGTCTACTGAAACCGTTCAACTATATCAACGGCTACGCTCGCCTCGGCAAATATCTCGATGGACATATTGCTGCATCATCAAAGCAAAAGATTCTGCGCAGTATCAACAACTACCGCCCCAAGTTCCGCGAGAAGGCGCAGGGTCTTACCGATTTACAGCTGCTCTACGTTGAAATGTGGTTTGAGCGACAGCTGATGGATTACGACCGTGTTTTCGCCTCAATGGCTGTCCCGGCGTGCTGCTGGAGAAGAACGGGCGAGATTTTCCGCGGCAACAAGGAAATGGCAGAGCTCATTAATGTGCCTGTCGACCAATTACGTGATGTATGGACAGACACTACTGATATAGTGAAGTGACGAAGGCTAACATACAGACAGGGCAAAATCGCACTGCATGAGATTCTTACCGAGGAGTCCATGGTTCGATACTGGGAAGAGTTCGGCACAATTGCCTTTGATCCCGCTCACGATACCCTCTTGACGGCGTGCTCGCTTAAGAATCCAAGCGACGATTCCAACCATCCAATCGTCAAGTCGTGTTTCTCATTTACCATCCGTCGTGATGAACATAAACTGTGAGTTTGCGTGTTGTTGCTTGACTGAGGATCATAACTAATCGATATTTCAGGCCGGTCCTTATTGTTGGCAACTTTTTACCACATGATCCCCCACCTCACGAATAAATTTGGGGAGATCTAGTGGTATTGGATATACTTTGTTGTGAGTGTGAATTGTGAACGAAATTACTGTGACGGGTTTCTGGTGTCATGGCGTTAGACTGGTGGTTTTCGTAAAATATATTTGGTTCTTTGTCCTGCGCTTTCAATATTGTGAACCTTGTTGGCAGCTGCGCCAGCTGGCACATGTTCGACACTGTGATTGTCTTCTAGTTCTTCGTGACTGCTGGTACCAATCCTGAACTTGCCATTTAATTGAACCAAAACTCTCTGGGCCCTAGAATCGATAGCGAGATGAGCGAGACATTGACGAATATTCTAGGTAAAATGCGAAAACTATAAACAGCATCTTGTTCTAATTATTTTGATAAAAAGACTTTGCAAGAGATCTAGCTATTGAACTGGACAATCCATTTAATCTTGCAGATACGGAGATTCAAGTACTCGCAAAACGAATTGCTCGCCAACGACAGCGGATTCGAAATCTCGTCAGATCTAATGCCGCTTCTACTACCGATAGCAAAGACGCCGTGAATAAAACAGTTCAGCAAATATGGAACATCTGTGCCAATCTACAATCTGCAACTACAAGCCCAGAGGAGCATCGTCGACTGAGACCAATCATCTCTCCAAGCCGACTGCTCGCATTAGAGCTTTTGGAGGCAACCGAGACAAACGACAATCCCAACATAGAAGTGCTTCTCTACGTTGTACGATTATATTTGAATCTGGCGAAGCTCAGTTTGAATGATACTCATCTAGACTTGGAAACTGCCCGAACCTCACTACAGAGAATTGCTGAATACACACAACTAAATCCCGCTCAGATGGCTAATCCGGAAGTGTGCGCCTTAATCTTCGAGTACAATACGCTACGAATAGTCTTGGTTAGTAAAATAATAAATTATTGTGACAAATAATAACTGGCTATTAGTCTTGGAAAGAGGACAGGCTCGATGTTGCCGACCACTTGTGCCGTAACATTCTACAGCAGCTAGACAATAGCATTGGCACAGATCTCATAGAATCACTGTGCGATATCCTATTCAGATTGGGCGATAAAGAATTAAAGCGCATGAACTATACGGTAGCCATCAAGTGGCTACGACGAGCCAGTGAAACACTAACAAACGTGGAATCGCTGTCTCCATGCGACGTAGATATCCATGAGGCAATCTTGCAGCATCTCATACACGGCTTGATCAGAGTTGGAACTCCTAACACACTCAAAGAGGCTCAAGAGTTACTGTTGGCTGCAGAAAGGCTGCAGTTGAAGCATCCTTTCATCTGGTGTGCGAGACTGGAGATAATCGAGAGAAACACGGAGGGATTGTTCGACATACAAGCTTATGAAGATGCCCTGCGACAGTACATCGACAGTCATGTACCTTCTGCCTATGTCATTGATTCAATCATATATCATATCTATCAACTAGCAGCACACAATTGTCACTTAGCTGTCACGATTATCGACAGCCTCCTATTCTCAAAGCTTATAAAAAATGCACCCACCTCAATACTTGGCAAGGCGATTGTCCACAGACTAATACTCTCAACAAGTAAAATAGAGGATCATACCAGCGCTCTTGAATCAGTCATGGTATTTCTTGACAAATTATATCAAGGCACGAATGTGCCATTGTCCGAAGACTACGCTGGCGCAGTATACACAGTAAGCATGTGGCCAAAGCTATCCACCTCCAGTTTCTGACGTACACTTTAGGTCCTTTGGAAAAAGATACAATCAATAGACCCCAAATTTGCCGCAGAATACGCGAATAACTGGTGTCGGCTAGCGCACCACCCGTTGTTCGGAAACATTGGTGACTCTCAGCGCCTGGTGTTTGTCCGAAAACAGATATCAGTCTCCTTGGACCTGGGAAACTTACAGAGTTGCTATGACCTATATAGCGGTCTTTCGGAAGTATCAAAAAGCGACATATTAATGCAATACCTCGTATTTCGAGCATCATGCATAGACATGAATCACGACCTTTGTCAAGAGATAGTAAAGAAGATCTTGCAGCATCCATGCAGAGATCAAGTGCGCATTGTTCTATACGCCTGTATTAGAGACGCCCAGCTGCATTCAGACGACACGTGCACACTAATCAGCCTACAAGGTGTCATTAACAGTCTTATCGGAGAATGTGAGGACTTTCGCCACTGCGCTTCTCTATTGCGAAGTGCAATACGTTTGGCAGTGTTCATTCAGAAAAAGCACCCCAGTACGGATGACTGGACAATCATACCGTCCAACGAAATTGAGCTATGTGATCTTTTTGAAAAAGGTATGAGAACATCTGATGGAGTCTAATGCCGTACTAATTTACACTAGCTGCTATGCTTGCCTGCCAACGGAACGAGACAAAGGGCGCTACCTTTACAGTCAACGAACTAAATTGGTTCCGAAGGCACGCGTACAACATTGGTGTTCTCAGCTGTGAGAAATGGGCGGCATCCAATCTCATCGGATTATTCAAATCTTGTATAACACTCTCGCAATGCTACGGCGACACCCATCCTCTACCAGTCCCGCAAGAATTGTCGCTCATGACGATGCGATGCCACTTCATGCTGAGTTCCATACATATCAACAACGCGCGGAACTCCCAAGAAGATAACAGTCAGAGTTATCAAGAGTCTAGAGTACATTTCGGCGAGTACTGCAAAATACTAGAAACCTTTACTGTGCGAAACTGCGGAACCAATGACAAGCTATCCAGCAGCCTCGCCGAACATATCCAGAAACACATGTTATTGCAAACATCCATGCTATATGTATTTGAGTTTGAAGCTGCAGTCATGCTAGACGACTGGTCTATTCTTTCTCAAATCGTCCAACGAGCGCATATCTGCAGCGACGAAGGTGTCTACAAAGCCATGGGCGACTGTCTTCTTCAGAGTCAGGCCCCGGTCGAAGGTAAGCCGTTACGCGCGCCCTATGTAATACACCGGTCTAACATTATAGTCTTATCCAACATCACAAAGCTGATTGTGAACCAAATTTACATCTTGGAGACATTTGACGCGTCACGCCTAGCAAAGTACATCCGGTGTCTATTCCAAGCTCTACTTCTTCGTGGCGAAGGACTAGCTATACAACTGCTAGACCAGGCGATTCAATTAGCACGCGAGCTAGACAAGGTCAGTTTGTTTAAGTTCTAGATACGTATCATTCTAACCCAAAATGAGGGCTGTAGGCCCAGAACCCGTTTCCTGCCCTCGAAGCGAGATGGATGGTTGCCACAAGCTTCAACCGCGCCGTTGACCACTACGTCCAAGGTGACCATCAGCGGTGCAAAGAATGGGCATCAAGGGCAATAGACTTGGCAAACTATACAGGCGACGATGGGCTGCTTAAAAAAGCGGTAGAGTCTCGGTATTCCGAACTCAAACTCGAGAACGAGAGTCTTTAAGAACCACCCAAGCCCCAAGACTACATATACTCAAGCTGATGATCAAGCATATAGGTCACGTAAGGAGGACTAAAGAATATTTGCCAAATTGCATGATTGGAGTTGTAAACTAGTTGAACCCAAAAGAAAATGCCTACACAGGGGCATGGTACCAGCAATCGCTAACCAAGCCAGCCAATATGTCCAGAATATCCCTCCCAAAATAATATATATAGACAGGAGAAGCAGAAAATATATACAAAGCAGAAAATTCGCTAGATGCAGTATTTCGTACACCATCTGTCAACTCCAACCTGTCGTGTAATATGCCGCAGCCTCATCCGGATTCCAAGTTCCGACTTGATATCTCATGGACCAAAGGCACAAAGCATAGAACCAAACTCAAATAAAGAAAAAATTGTGTCCCGGACTAGAACAGAGGATATAGTCCAATTTTAAGGAGCCAAAAATCATTTTCGAAGAAGAGAAAAAAAAGGGGAAAAAATCGCTTTTCAAAGCCACCCAAAAGAGGAGGGAATCAGAACAAAAGTCATACAGGCGATTTCGTAAAAACCAGTTGCTGTTTATAGATTGTCATAAATGGGTTAGCTCAGGGCTGGACCACAGCATGATCCATATTGATGCAGATTGCCAGATTATATAATATTGGCAATGCTGATTCGGTCTGAGCCTTTGTGCATGATGCTCTCTGGGGAGCGGCGTGGGGGTTCTGGCATTCTAGGCGCAGAGTTGATGGAGGTAACCCCCGGTTCTTGCTTCAGAGCCATTTTGTTAGACCACAATTGCTCGCTATCCTTGAGAATGGCACGAATGGTGTTCTCAAGCTTCAGCCAACCGCCCCAGTTGTGTGCCTCATCTTCAGTCAACCCTGTGCGGTGGCCCCGACTAAAGGTAGAAGCGCCGCCAGCCGGTGACGACCTGATGGATGGGCTCTGTGGGAGAGCGTTGTCGCTGTCCATGGCCCAAACCCAGGTGCGCGGTGGAGATGCTTGTGCATCGGCGGAAACATAGGCAAGCAGCTCTTCATCACCAGCAAGAGCAGTGAGTAAGCTGGTGGCGGATATGGGGTGCTCGGACAGCTTCGTTCGCTTAGCGTCGAGAATGTTGACAAAGAAGGCTAAGTATCGTCCACAAGGAGTTGCAACATCGCGTCGGCCATCAATGGCAGCCAGTGCCTGAATACAAGCCACGGCAGGTTCGAAGGACGCTGTAATGAGCAACACCAAGGCACACCGGAAGAGATGCATGACAAACAGGGCTGTGGCACCCTCAGCAGGATTATTGCTCCTAGAAACCAGTGAAGCCGTCTCTAGTGCGATGCGCGAGCACTGCTCAAGGGCAGCAAAGCGTGTCTCGGGCTCACAGTTCGGTGCGAGGTTGTGGCGATGTAGAATGAACCTAGCATGGAGCAGATAGGCAAGAGGCGGTAGGAAATGCGGTGCTAAGGCTACCGTGCTCGCTGGGTCGCATGCTGGTGGAAATGTATTGAGGCACTTGCGTAGATGTCCATCGAAGCTGGAAAGATGTCCGGCAGGAATCGAGGGTAACTGTAGAGACTTTAGAACGCCACTGTAGGACCTCACAACATGTATAATAGCCAAGAGCGAGTGTGTCAATGGTTCTGCTCCCTCGGGTACGTGCATGCCATCCGACTGAATATAGTGGTCATCAACGGCAGCAGGGAGGCGCACGTCGCAGTCCGCATCATCAATAAGAAAAGGATGACCAAATTCTGAAGACATGGTTCTATCCAAAACATATATGGCCCACCACGTTCGCCGGCGCATCTCGCCTTCGATAACAGACCATGCGTCGGATTCGGTGTAGAGGGCGAGAGATTGCGCGGCTCTTACGGCTCTGCCGGTCCAGCTCCAAGCCGAGGTCCTGATGTTCATTTCATTCAGACTCAATGCAATCAGAAACAGTGCTCGTACATCGTCGAGATTATATTCATCACACCAGGGGTCGATTGCCTTTCGTGCAGAGTCGAGAAGGTCGCCAGGGCGACTGTATGAGTTTGGCGTGGGGGGTTGTAAGCTAAACAAGCTGCCAGTAGCCAGGACAGCAAAGAACATGGACAGCCACGACGAAGAAACTTGTCTCGGGGCGCTCCGGTACAGCTCATCCACTTCACGTCTAAAGATTGGCAGATGTATGATGGGAAACATGCTGTGTGCTGTGTTGTAGTATGCGTCGAGTAGCTCGTCTACCATGGCTTTGGGAGGCATATCTGGGACGTCAATTTGCCTGGCAGGGATGGTATGCTCAAAAGTGTGCGGTGTAGCCCATATTCCCTTGGACATATTGCGCATGTTCGATCGCACTCTAGGGAGTTCGGGAAGGGGCGCTCCTCGCTTTGGCCTCGGCTCAGGGTCGACAATTGGCAGAGGGAACGGCGAGGCATCACCGCTTTCGACTTCCATGTCCTGAACGGGAACATTGCAATCGTTGAGCATTCGACGGTAGTTTATGTTTTGGCGCTTGACCTTTTCGATCTGCTTCTCCAAGTCTTGCACTTGCTTTATAGAAGACATGCGGCGGTTGGTCTCTTTGGTGAACTGGCACTTGACGTTGCGGCTGGAGCATTCGGAACAGCTTGAGGTTTCTGTAGCATCGCACTTAACCTTTCGTTCCCTGCAAGCGTCGCAGCTAGGGTCCTTTCGTCTTTGTCTGTATGCTCGTTTTTGGTTTTGTGATCCCATGCCACCTTGCATCGAAGTGGGTGGTCCGTGGCCGCTGCCCATACTGTCGCTCATGGAGTCCCGGCTCATCATCCCACTATGAGGGCGTTGGCTGAAAGGTGGAAAGCCATGGCTAACTGAGGGAAGCTGTGCCATGCCAGAGCTGTGGTGGCCAGGGTGGCCTGGTGGTCCTAAAGAGTGTCTATTATAGAGTTAGCCCAAGTCTTGGACGAGCGCGGGGTGGTCCGGAGAGCCAATGATGCTACTGACGCGGTCTCATAGCGCGGTACCATATTCGGTGACCGTTGGTACGGGTGACGACCTGGGTCGGCCATAGCTATTGTGAGAACGGATATTCGGTGTTTTGCAAACGGTAAATATGCAAAGTGGAAGGTAGACGAAGTCGAGGAACTGCTTGCGCAAGCAGTACAAGCCAGTTGCGACACCAGGCGACTAGATGTCCGAATAGACGTAAAGGGACAAAGAGTAATATATTTTGTAGGTCGAGGCTTCTTTTATTGACTCGGAGTCGTCCAAAATCGAAAAAGTGCACCTTATGGCTAGTGAAAACGTTAAGAATTTGCAGAATGGCGGTTGTCGGTCAATTTGGCATGCGACAGGAAGGCAAGCACAGGTGGTGGCAGCTGTCACAGGTGGCAAGGAGTGGTCGACGACAGGTGTCAAGGTGCGCTGCTCAGCGGTAACGGAGCAAATATGGTCGATGATACCGCAGACCGGTGTATAGGGAATGCTTTCAAGAAAACAATAGTGAATGAGGAGAGAAACAAAAAAGAAAGAAGAATGGAAGGGTGAGCAGAGACGGAAAGTGTGCGTGGCAGCCCGGGGGGAAGCAGAAGCAGCAGCAGCAGCAGCACAAGCGCAGGCACCAAGCACGCACCACTAAGTCTCAGCGTACAGCAGGACCGTGGAGATGGCCCGTTAGGCGTGGCGGATGCAGGAGAAAGCCGCCTAGGCTCTTTGAGTTTTGCCCTTGGGGGGAGTGATCGGCTGGGCGAGCCCCGCGGCCTGAGATTCGGGAATATTCTTACTGGGCAGCCTAGTGTGGCTGTTACAGCACGACAGCAGCGCTAGCAGTAGCACTGTATTAGTGGGCAGCTTGGGTGCTGGATAGGATAGTGCGGCTGTTAGTGGGTGTGTTAGTGGTGCGGCGGCGAACCAGCGAGTAACAACAGGTGGAAAAAAGGGAAAAAAGAGGGAATTGCAACCTCCAGGGAAAGGGGGGTGTGGCGTTGGCTTCTTTCGGGGGAGGTAGCCCAGGCGGGTTAGCGCTCTGCTACAGCGGGTTGTTTGTGGAGGGTGGAGGACAGACGAAGCGTGCTACCCGTCCCTCGTTACCCGCAGCTGGTTCGCAGTGTGGCCGGGTTGCTTCCAGTGGGGTTATAGAAGCCGCTGCAGAGCCAAATGGAAGCCTGGCCACCGGCGGGCAGCTTATCTGCACAGCGCTAAGACGAGCGAGCCACAGCGGGCCACCTACGAATACACGCACCCCCTCGAGGCATTTGCCCCCCCCTTGCGCTAGCATTTACTTTACGTACTTGGTATGGATGACCCCCAGTGACACCCGCCACGGCACACGGCAGAAACAACCGACAAGGCGACCCAGTTTGCGGTTCCAAAGCATACCAACGAACCCGCTGCCCAGTGCTATAAGGTTATATTGCGGTAGTAGTAGTAGTAGTGGTGGTGGTGTGGTGTGTCGACGACGCAGTCAGACCAGAGCTGACTTTCTCATCTGTTTCTGGTTGAATTGGCCGCTCATTCATTCACTCAGTGCTTGTTATTTTGCTCTCCGCCCTCATTTCTACCGAAGCAGCGACAAAGTCACTGACACGATTGGTGCCATGGCGCTGGCAATAGACAAAAAGAAGGGCGATCGCCACAAGCCGTTGTCGCTCTCGGAATGAGTCGCCGAGAGCAACAGGCCTTAGCCGAGACTTTTTGTGTTGGTGCGCGCCGCTTGTCATGGCCGACATAGGTTCGGGTGCGGATGCTCTAATTCGACCACATGGCCTAGTAGGCTAAATTAGTTAGCGTGCCCCCGTCACTATCTCATTTCCTCATGGAGCAAATCATCTTTGGAAGCGTCTTTTAGCAGAAGTCGCCGCACAGTAAGCGCAGACACCGCTCCGTCTTACAGCCTGCATCGTGCATCTTTCAAGCTTGCGCTGCACCCAAGCGGTTGCATGTGGTTGTTGCTGGTATACTTGGCAAAATGATCTACGACGAGTAGACCGTCGTCAACGCTGTGTTGTACATATCCCATCAACAAATGCTCAATGAATCCAAGTGCCAGTCGGTGTACGAGTCGTGAAGCTTGTATTTCTGGGGCAGGCCGACCCATTGGAAATAAAGGGAATTGCGACGGGGCGACATCCATCAACGAGCCACAACCACCAACGCTATCGCCCCGTCGTCTGAATCAGTCTGCGCCAGAGAGTAGTCGTAGCACTGTGGTGCGTATTACCAGGCGTCGCAATGACGCCTGTCCCGGCACTGTCATTCTCTTATTATGAAGTCTCGGAACCGCCTGTGCTTGCATAAAACCAACACGGGCTTTCGGCAGTCATGCGCCTAACATGATGTGCTCGCTCAAGGCACGGGTGCCACGTTCACCAGTGCGAACGCGGCAGGGATTTTGGCGTTGAAACTGGTGGTGGTAGCAGTGGTGGGCTTGTTCGGCCCTGTAGCGGATGCGCCTGCACCCGGGGCGTGGCACCCACCCACTAAGTTACCATGTTTCCTTGTGCGGCACTATCCGTAAGTTCAGGCTACGGAACCCGGTTTCGAAATGGTGGAGTTTCGGCTGGACGCCGAGTGTGCCTCCACCACTCGACGCCAACAAAGCAAACCAACGCTCCCTGTTGGTGGGATCTCGATATTGAGTAAACTCTTGGTCACTCTCGCTTGTCTCGCGGATGCTGTCTGACGACAAAAAGGTTAATACGGGGACACTCGTTTCGCCGGGCTGCTGCTGACGACACCGTACCATGTCTAAACACCCCCAATATGGAAAGTAACCGAGAGATTGGCGCTACTCATGCACACCAAGCCTTGCCATATTTCGTTGCGAACCCGTCCCTTACAGGGCAAACTGCTGTGCGTGACATGACGCCTTCGGTAACAGACCAGGTCCTTCGGTCACAGACCCAACCAAACCTGGAGCTTCTAGAAACCTAGTAAGCGAAGGTAGTACTGGTGACACAGTCGGCCCGGGGTTAGTGCATTGAGTTCATTGCCGTTGTCTGATGGACAGTGCGTTTCTTACGATGCCATTGCTGACGTTTTAGCCACCGCGTCCTTCTGTTGCTTGTAGCGGTGGCTGTTGTCGGTGGACAAGTAGAACTCAAGCGCCCCCAAACACAAAGGCTGCCTGCGTCTTGGTTCTTTTGATTTGTGTCATGGCAAAGTTGAATGTTGCAGCAGCCCAGCCCACCCTAGCCCAGTGGCTGGGACCGTTAGTTGACATGGAATAAGAACCCGACCAGCCCATTGGTCGCCGATCTCTGAACCTTGAATTTGGTTCCAGTTGGTGTGGGTGCCATTCGTTACAGCGAACCCATTGCTTTCGTTCGCATTTGCTTCTTACTTTGGAGGCAGCAATTGAGCCATAGGTAGGCAGGCGTGTGTGTATCTGTGTCTGTGTGTCTGCTGCACGTCTGTCGACGGTAATTGCAAGAGGGAGAAAAAAGGACAATGTCCAGCTGTGGGGCTTTGCTTTGATCAATATCCTGGAGCTCCCTTCACCATTACAAGCTGCATATATCCAAGGGCCTTTCGGCAATATATTTCCCCTGTTCTCTGCTGCCCCTTGCCCATTCCGCTGGGAGGGCTTTGCCGCTAACATGGTCTAATTAGTGAACCTATTTGGTACTACACTTGGTGCATGCTGCTGCACGTATTCTGTATCAGGCGGCACCTGGCACCTGCACCCTCCCACCTGGCGTGGTGGCACCAGCGGATCCCCGGACCAAAGTTTCCCTCACCAAAACCACTTGTTACTTCCAAAGCCTTCAGCGACATCACCAACTGTGGCTTCTAGTGGCTTTGGCCAGCGCTTCTGGCTTGAAATCAGGCTTCGGCTCTGCCCTCCATTGCAACCACAACTTTCAACGCCACGGGCTTTCCAAAGGGAGCAGCGGCCGGCCAACGACACAATTTGATTTGGATGCGGTCGTCGGTGACTAGGGGAATCGGGCTTTACATCAATGTCACTGGTATTTTTGGGCAATATAACGGCATAGAAGATAGCTACCTTCTGCAGTGATTTACCGGATAACAACAGGTAGCGGCATCCATCGGCAGTTGGCCAACGGAGACGGTCGATGTCGTGCTTTTGATTTCGGAAACCGACGCAATCAAAACGCTATCTCTTTATCCGCCACGAGTGGAAGGCCCCGGACCAGATCGCCGCCGGCCGATGGCCTTAAGTCGAGCTCAGTAACAACGTAACAATCCGCACCGCATCCTGCCGTGCCTCATGCTTAATTTTGTCAATATGCGCGCCAAAGGCGGCCGTTTGGCTCAAGATATGCCCGCGACACGTCGAGCTGTACAGCATTAACAAAAGCTGCCGAATCAGGCAGATTGCGTTCGGAAACTTCTCCCCACAGGTTCCACGGCGCATGCCCTAGGACACCCAGCAAGCGACGGTCCGTTTCTACGGGGTTGCCGAGGATTCCTCCGTTGTGTATTAACGCTTTCTTTGCATCCACAGCCATCTTTGGCCATCGCTGCACTCCAGGTTCACAAGCGGTGTATGCAGACGAGATCAGCGTGCCCACATTCCGCATGAACTGGTCTACAGTCGGACCTTGATTTCTTGTGCACGTTTTCCACGCCTCGTCATTCTTAGCAGCACACAGGAGCTTGGTCGTTGTCTCTCGCACAGCACGCGACAGTGCCCACTGGTCCTGGGGCCGTTGCCAATCCTCTGCGTTTAATTTAATAATATATATAAACCACTGTCTGTCACTAGCCCAAACGTTTCAAATATCCCAGCCGGCCTGGTCGGATTATTGCTTGATTTGGCGCCATTTCAGCAACGCAAATGGACAAGATGAATGAACTTTTGCAACCAGGCGCCACTTGTTCGGAAATCCAGAAGGAAGGCGGCGATTGGGATTTGCGATGGCCATTTAGCCTTCTCAGCCTCCATTTACCCGGAAGACGCAGGGGGGGAGGGGTGCAGCCTGGTCGAGCGAATTAAGGTGCCAGCGGTAACAGCTGCCGATCTCTCCACGCCAGACACTGGAGAGATGTTCCGTTGCAAGACCTACCTTTTTAGGCGAGGTGGTCCGCGACAGTCGCGGCACCGTGCCTGGCCGTTTGGCTATAGGAGGAAAGGGAAACTATGCAACTGCTACGCTTGGTATTTTCCGTTTTACTGATCGACAGAGTCGCGACTGCTGGCCGCTGCAGCAGGCTGCATGCAAAAAGACGGCCTGTTGCTGTTTAAAGAGCAGGGCCCTGGCCATCCCGCGGCATCATGCCGAATGATGTGCTCCGGTAGGGGGAAAACAGGTCTGATTCGGCAAGGGCCTGCCGAACACATCGAACGGAGGCCTCAGGATTGGCTTCAGAGTGGCGCCCGGACAAGATGGGTGTTCGGCCGGTGTCATCAACAGCAAAGAAGTCATCTTGGCGGGCCACCGTTTCAGCGCCTCTGACGGGCACAGACCAGCCAAGTCCACTGCACAGGGGTGTATCTCATGCCCAGCGCAATGTTGCGGGCAGCGTTGAGACGGGAAGCGCCACGGTAGACGAACAGTTTGGTTGAGCGAGCAAGTGTGTCAGCAAAACTGCTCGGGTTTGTCGCTTCAAAAATATGACAGAAATGTAGGGTCGAAGCGGGCTTGCTTGCTTGCTTGGAAAACGGATCCCGCACAAACGCAGGGTTTGCGGATGAATGAAAGCTCGCAACTAGCTTTGGGCCGAAACTTGCTTTGCGAGCTGCGGAGCCATCCTTCCAAAAACTGCAGGCTACCTCTAAACCAGCTAGACGGTCAAGGGACGGATGAGAGAACAATGGAAATAAAGACCGCTGCGGCCGACAGACTAGGCTATATACAGATACAGCACCTTCTTGTTTAACCACAGCGCGAATAATACGCCGATAAGCATCGGGCCACCGCTAGCCCAAGAAAGCTCCTACGTTGGCTGGCTGCCCTGGCCGAGGCTAATGGACACTAAACACTTTCAGAGGGCTGCACCCCGCTCCAGCTCGCCGGTTTGCCGCCGGCAGGACAGCCTTGCCTCCCCTAGAGAGGCCCCTCTGATGCGCTGTAAATGTAGCGTTCATGCGAGCGTTGCTAATGTTGGACTTGCTTGCAGCGCTAGCTTGGCGTCGGGCTGTTTTCCGGCGGCAGCCGAGCAGCTCGCTTCGGATGGTTGGCCCGAGGCAAAGGGCATTCCATCAGCGCATCGCTTTCTACGCGAACCTCTGGGCATTGTCCGTCGTACGAGAAGCGAGCCAGGCGAACAGAACCGAAACCTGGCGTCTGTTGGCCGTCTTTTGTAACGGCGCTAAAACTACATGGCTTACAGCCAACCAGCCAGGCTTATGTAAAAAGATGCGTTAACCTTTGGTGCGGCGTGGTGCGCCATCCTTCACAAGACTACGGCCGAAAGGCTGGCCACAATTAAACGACGGCAGGTAACCAAATATAAATTTTGATTGCTATGTATGCAGTCTCTATTATCAAACCATCGCCCGCCAAAAAAAAGACACAGTCTGCAATCCATTGTAATGAGTAAAATTGTAACCAGCAAAGAAAAGTAATAAGCAAAACGGCCTGATAAACCATGCTAGCCTTCTGTAGTGTCCATCGCTGTTTCAGTAGCGGCAGCAGCAGCAGCAGCATCCTTCTTGTTTCTCGCCTCTGCTACCTTTTCGTCTCTCCACTTCATGATTTGCTCCTTGAGATCGTCCTGCGGGATAGCATCCTCAATCGTCATCGGTTGACGCGTAAAAGGGTCCTTGGCATCACTCAGAAGATGCTGGACAATAGTAGATCTGTCGACGATATGTTTGCTGGGCAAGAGGACCGGGTCCATCATCAAATCGCCCATGATGGGATCCTCAAACTCTGCTGGGATCTCTCCAAGGTCCAAGTCGGCCTGGTCAAGTGCCTCTTTGCTCTGAGCAAATTTTCGCTTCATAGTTTCCCAGCGTGAGATTTCCGCAGGGTCTTTGAAGTACTTGTGCGACGTTTTTGTCAGAATCTCTGTTACCTTGTTCAGAACGGCAGGCTTGTAGGATCGGCCATCAGCCGCAACTGCATCAATAAAGACAGACGAGCTGCCCAGGTTAAGGTAGATGTCGACAAAGTCAGAAACGAGCTGACCTGGACGGAAGTGATACTTCTCCTTGTTGGAGATCTTGAGCTCTGATGCAGCCTTGGGGCCAGCCAGCGTGTCGAGGTTGTAGTTAAGCATGCTTGCGAGACGCGAGACAATTTCGGGCATAGTAAAGGCTTCACTCAGTGCCTCTGTAAAGAGCTTCATCATTTCCAGCGTCTCGTTGGCGAGCTGCATGTTAGATCCGGCTTGGGAGCCCAACGTCTGCAGCTCTTCCTCCTTGCTCTGGCGATCCTCCGCCGACAGATTGGGGTTATTGAGCTCTTGCTCGAGAATCATCATCTTGGGGAACTTGGTAAAGGCCTCATCGAGCACATAAGTGGTATCGTTGAGAAGCATGTTGACAAACTGCACAAAGAAGCTGCGGTTGACCTTGCTCTCTCGTGTGAGTTGCTGCTTGTAAACGTCATTGACCCAGACGCACTTGATAACCTGGAAGATTTCATATCGGATATTAAACTTGTCATAGAATGCAGAGTTAGCACCCGTCGACTCGCATTCAATGTAAAACTTCATGAGCGAGTGCAGCAAGTACTCATTGGCAAACTTCATCGAGACCATCTGGTCGCCGAGGACACCCTTCTTCATGTGCCCAATCGGATATGTGCCCCAGAAGAGCAGTGATACCAGCGAGGATTTGAGGTAGGGTTTCTTGATATACTCGGACGAGCGAAGGAATGTAATGGCCAGCGCAATAAGCTCTTCACCAACAGCTGATGGCAAGATCTGGAACAGATTGTGATAGACAAACTCGAAGTAATCCGCTACATTTTGTAGAGTGTACTCAGGAAGACAAGCAAATGCGTCTAGCTGTTGTGCGGGGAGGGGTAGAGTAATTGTTTCGCTTTCACGTCCTGGCTTGTAGTTCTTGCCAGTCACCACGCGGAGAAGCCAGACCACGACATAGCGCATGAATCTCAACGAGGTGCCTTGCATGCGCTCATCCAACAGGACGCCCTCAACAGAGTAGCGTAGCGCAATTGTCTTCTCCAGAACAAGCGTTGTACGTTGGACCGTCGCTTCAAAGAGTCTCAGCTGGTCGGGTGAGTGAGCTACCTTGTGTCGTTCTCCTTCAATCTCTTTGAGTTTTTTCTCAATGTACTTGATATCACGATCTAGGCTCTTCAGCTGGCCGTTCAATGCTTCACTACCGTAATGGTGAGCGGCAAGAGTGAGGAAGAAGGCTTCTGAAATGAAGTTGGATTCTCCGTCAACTTTGGTCTCATAAAACTTCTTTGCGGTTGCTTCATCGGCGTTGATTTTCGTTTCGTCAGAGATATCAATGCGTGGGTTGCGTCTGAAATATTGAATATCGATCTTATCAATCTTGGTAAAGTCGTTATCCATAAACGGCTCGCAGAATCGGTCAAGAATCGTTGTGATGTTGAGCATGAACCCATCAGACGCAACTTCTCTTGGATCCACTTGCATCGCTCTGCGCTTATGATTAGTATTAAGGATATAGGCAAACCAGTTTAGCGTTTTGTTTCTCGTGTCCGCGCCAGCTCTAATGAATGCATTCGCAATGGTAAAGAGATCATCTTGGTGGGTTCGAAGAACCATTCGCATGGCATCCTGGGCATTCTTGATTCTACCACGGTCGAGAGTGCGCGGGCCTGGGAAATAGCTCTTGACAACTTCAGGCTGTAGCGGTGACAATCTGAAGAACGGACCCAAGATGGTGTGCTTTTCGATACCAGGTGCAGATTGTGCCATGTTGAAGCAAGGATGTGTGGTAAGGTTCGTCAACAAAGAGGGAAAACGTGCATATGTCATTAAAGCCTGAAAACACGGGTTAGTTTGATATTCGACCACATTTTCATGGTGAAAATTACCTGGACGTGTCCCTTATAACTATCGCCCATGGACATTCGTGACAACTCTGTGCTAACTCTGACCATGGCCTCGGTAAAGAGCGCCGGGATGGCTTCGTCATCGTCAAATCGTTTAATAGCCTCCTGAATAAATTCATAATCCAGGCCATTCTCATCTGTTACGCCTCGAACGAGAAAAGACGCAAGAGTATCGTGCTCGGGGTTCGGCTCGCGGCTGCAGAGGTTTGTCAGTGAGGGATCACTCAATCCCAAGTGAACTATATCCATACCCATAAAGATCTGGCATGGCCAAAGCAAACAAGCAATTGCTCATACAAAGACGCTTAGCCTCCTCGTGAACGCTGGCACGGGTTGGTGAAGCGTTCTTTGGCGGGTGGGCCTTGAGGGCTCGCTTCCAACAGGGCAGGAGATACTGCATCAACGGCTTGTCTGCTGGAAAGTTGGAGCATGATTCTATAATAGCCTGGTCAAGAATAGACACCGAGATACGGAGAGGCTCTCCAGCTTCGTTCAATTCTTGGTTCAAGTTGGGAAGAAACGTCAATCGCTGACCAAGCGTACTCGTCATGTTATGAGGGTCGACTGTGATGCGGAAGACTTGGCCCAGGATCCGGCTTGCATATTCTTCGTCCGACTCAGTTGCTTGTTGGGGCGTTTGCTTTCGAGGAGGAGGTGTTGCTGAGAGGGAGCCGTCAACGTCTGTACTTGGTCGTTTACGATCGAGAGGCAGCTTCGTAGAGCCGGAGCTCGCTGTCGATGGAGGGGAGGATTTGTGTGTACCTATCTGCGCAAAAGGGTTTTCTGCTTTCTTAATAGCTGCTGGGATGGGGGCTGTCTTTGGCTTTGGCTTCTCCTGTCCGGCGCTTGGTGCAGGCGAGGACGGTTTGGAGTCTGGAGTTTTGTTGCCCGAGGCGTCCTGCGGTTTCGGAGTTGCTGGGCCACCCAGCCTTGCAAGTCGACGAGCTCGAATCTGCATCATTCATCAGTCGGGATGTGTTCCTGATGACATTCTCAACGTTACTAACCTGCTCCATTGTCTCCTTGTCGGGCGCTTCTTCGCCGCCGTACTGCTGACTCGGATCCATGATGTCTGAAGTGGTGCTCGTCTGAGGGACAAGCGGTGTCTACTGGAGAGAAAGAAGGAGTAAGAACGGCAATAAGGGCTGTGTAGAATGATCGCTGGTAAATTCAAATCACGCAAATGCTCTTCAGCCCGCTGCGGTCGAGATAATTAGGCAGCGTCGGGCCAGGAAATGGTTGTGGTCTGCCTGTGCGAGGCGTTTGTGGGGGAGAGAAGCAATCGGCGTTGCTGCTGGCTGACAAAGTGGGATGCCCCCAGCGCGCCTAATGCTGCTGGTGACGTGCTGGAGCAACTGGTGGTGGGGGGCGATTCTGCAGTGAAGCGCACCAAAAGGCAGTCAGCCTGGCAACGCTTAGGCTTAGTAACAGCAGCGCGGAAGCCTACAGGCGTAGAAGGCGCTAGAATCAGTGATGGCAAACCTTTTGGACTCTGACACACTGCAGATGATCACGTCTCGAAACTGTATTAGCACTAGCGGCCCCGAGGATATTAAAAAGCAAAGGAGGCGAACTCGGCCTCGGGTCTTATAGCGGGCAAAAATGCTGCTGTGGTAATCCATTCACCAAACTCCGCCCAAAGAAACTCCGCCAAAACCGCCGACTTTGGGCAAATTATGGCCCATAAGCAGCTCAGCTCGGTGAATATATTAACTTTTTGCGGTGGAGTGGTAACTGGGAATAACATGCTCAAGACGTATCAGCTCATAAAATTTACAAGTACATTTATATATAATTATCATAGTCGTTATTATCATGAATACTATTGGTACAGCGGACAAAAGCCCTACATCACGCCGCGAGGCTGTCCCTCTATAATCTGGGGATGTCAATATCAGCACTAGACGACCTGCGGCGCTCGGGCAACATCATAGGTACATCTCCACCGCTATCTCTGCGGATGGCTGCTGCCGCCGGTACAGCCCCAGTTGTATTGGCCGCTCTCATGCGGCCTTCCTCTCTGCTTCTGGACAAAAGCCAGTTCACGTGCATCCGCACCATGTTGATATTGTTTCGTAGCTCTGTCACCTCTTCTCGGATGGGCATAATCTGATTCATTGTCCACATGCTCTGGCGTGCTTCCAAGTGTGTCAAGTTCTTATGCACTTCTTCGAATCCACTATCGAAATCATGAATAGTCCGGCTGTCACCAGATGACGATTCGCCCAGAGTCTGGTTCGTTAAAAGACTGCGGAGCTCTTCGATGCTCTTGTTGTTTTCAATTTGCCGAGTTGCCAGTTCTCTAATCTGTGAGCCCAGGTCATTGTATGATTGGATAAGATCTTTCTGTGTTCGAATGACAATTCCGGAGGGAGTTTCTGGATGAAAGGCGCAGTATAGCGTATGCATCCTGACTTGCCCGCGCAAGACTCGAACAGGGCAACCCAAGTCCTGGTACGGACAACCAATTTCCACGCCGCTGCACTCAACTTCTTGATGAGTTGTTAGTTGTGAACGAACAACTAGTTCCCAACAGCCCTGGCACCTCGTCTTGCTTTGTGGGCAAACAAGCAAGTGTCGTTCACTCTCAGATGCCTCAATCTTGGTGTTGCACTTGGCACATTCAATTTCGTGATGGCGGCAGACTTCGTCTGTAGGCTTAGAGGATAGCTTCTTTGTGCAGTCCTTGTCCGGGCAATAGTATTCTCTGTAGCGACATTCATCAGTGACATGCTTCTCGGCGAGTTCTCGTCTCAGTTCTGCCGTGCATCCTCTCGCATCGAATGGGCATTTGACCATGAGGCTATTAAGCTGTGTTCGGATCAACCTTGCTGCAGTGAAGCAGTCGGTCCATATCAGAGGTTCTCGATCGATCGGGCACGCCGCACCAGAAGGGCTGGAGGACATGCTTCGTCGGATGCATCGATAGCAGAATGTATGGTCGCAGGGCGTGGTGATGGGGTCGACAAGAGGATCGTGACATATAGGGCAGAACAGGTTTGTATCAGGCTCCTTGATATAAGTAAGGGAGTAGAAGTCAAACACAGCCTGGCCACCATATTTGCTCGGTATATCGAGAGAGCAAGGGTGCGGTGGGAGCAGTGGGCCAGACCGTTGCTCGCCACTAGAGTTGCTGGTTTGAAATGTTGAGTTGTCGCGCCGCAATCGTCGGTAGGCTCCCAGTCGCATTCTATCGTGAACTTCGGGTGTAACGTAAAAAGCCTCTGGGGAAGGTGGACGAACTAGGCTGGTGACGAGGTCGGGCGTCGCGGAGGCACGGCGGAGGTTGCGACGGGCGAAGCGGCGGGCCTCTGCCGGTGTCATCTGTACGCCTGCCTCACTAGATTCAGAGGCAGATTCATGATGCTGGATCGGGGCTGTCTCTATAGCAGGGGATGCGATGGGTGTGTCGTTGTCTGCTGGTTCTGCACTTGCGGCTGTTTCGCCACGTGGACCAACTTCAGGACTCGACATTGTGTTTGGCGTTAGGAAACGGCGACCAGATGGTGCAGGGTTATGGGAAGGTTCAGAGCATTGGATTTTAGAGCCGCAATAGCGTTTGCTGTAAGACCAATATCGAAGCAGATGGGGGACGGATTGGTTTGCGCCGTTGTTTCGTGGTGATGTTAGGTGACGAGGCGGGGGCTTGGAGTGGTCAAGAGCCGAGGAAACGCGTGCTGCACTATTGGCTGGCTTTTTTTGCGGGGGATCTTACGGGCGTTGTCGGCCGCTAAAGAAGATGTCTTACAGTGGGGGCAGTCGGTCCCTGTCAACCAGCAGGAGAGCACCTATATGCAACCACGACCGGAACTCACCGAATGGGCTGGTGGCTGGGTCCTTTGGTTTATGGCGCCTACTATAAACGTTCATTGTCAATTATATATTGCATGCCTGCCTAGGCGAGAACCAACTGTCTATAGTGAAGGTCGCATATAACATTGTGTCGCTGGGGCTGGGAATGTGACAGCTGCATGACATCACTGGGTGCTGAATGCCGCCAGCTGGCAAACCCGTCACCAGCTGCCACTACTGAGGAAAAAAGTGCAAAATATACATTCTCGGTGAAAAATACTCTTCTTTATCATCATCATCATTGTCTCTCTAGCATCATAAAGCCAAAACTCTAAATGTTTCTCTCGTCTCTCCACCCCCGGCAGACCGCTGTCCAATTAACTGAACACGGCGCTGGCTCCCCCACGCTTTTCCCCATGCGACGCTTTGACAACCCAGGGCCTTTCACATGTCAGGTCCTACGACATTCCTCCACGTCCACATGCACAAGAACACCAACCCCGTCAGCAAACAATAGGGCTTTTCAAGGCGCTGCCAAATTATTCTCCATTTACGACGTCACGCGGGTCACTGCTTCTTGAGGTTGACCCCTGCCTTCTATTACGCTTCCTTCACAAGCTGCAGCGCATAAGCCGCCCCCAGACATCACACTTAATACCCACGCCATCCCTTCCGTAAATCCGCCCTCGTGTTGCTTCCGTTGCCGCTATCGCCATTTCTCTCAAACGCGTCAAGGCTCTACACCTAAGCTGGGGATTCAGTGTCAAATTGCCACTTGGGACTTCAGCTTTGACTTTTACGGAACTGTCCAAGCTACTGCTTCGAGTCCGACACAGCCTAGCTCAGCCCTCCAATTTCCAGTCTCATATCCTCTTGTCATACCCTTCGAAATATGCTTTAAACTGAGCCCTTGGGACCACCACTTTCAAGCAGTCTACTAACAGCGCGGTCGCAAGCCATTGTTACTTGTACAGAGATAAGCAATGATTGACCATGTGCTAGGGCGGCCGTCGTCCAAGTCGAGGCGGCTGCAAGTCCTCGCCGTTCTCTCGTTCTGGTCGTTTTATCTTTACCGGTAGGACTTAATCTCACGCTCTTGGAAATATTCAAAAGCTAACCAAAACCCTATAGTGGAGGTAAACATGGACCACCTGGCATTGAGAAGCTTTCCAAGTTCTTTGGCAGATATCTCACCTCGTGGCAGGTGTTCGCCATGTCCATCTTGTCCATGTATGCGGCTCGCAACTTTAGTGCCCTTGTTGGCCTCGCAGGTCCGGAGCCAATGGCCAACATGTACGATCCAACGTATTTCCGCGCCACCTGGGTTTTGACCGCCATGGATGCTGGCTTTTGGACTGCCATGCCCATTCGCATGAAGTGGCTCCGCGACATTTGCAGCATTTCCTTCTCCCTGTTCTACCTCGTTGCTGCGGAGCGAGCTGATGAAAAGGTCCGCAAAGTCCGCGGTGCTATTACAGTCGACCATCTACGAGTGGCTTGGAACAAAGGAACCACCCCGTATCTCAAGGTACTCCAGACTTTAATGCGTCCTCGATTTACGAAATGGCCACCTCGACAGGTCAGAATACCCCGCCCATCAAACAGCGATTACAAGGAACCTGTGTCTGCTTGGCTCTACTACGATGGTCCGCTTGCCGACTTGGAACACCATACAAAGTTGATCCTCGATATACCTGGTGGAGGTTTTGTTGCCATGGATCCTCGCTGCAACGATGACAAGCTCTTTGCCTGGGCGTCTAAATCCGGTCTCCCCATTTTGAGTCTTGACTACCGAAAAGCACCAGAGTATCCCTACCCGTATGCCTTGAATGAGTGCTTTGACGTGTATGCTACCTTGATTCGAACCAAGGGCAAATGCATTGGCATGTCTGGAAAAGACACTCCGAGAGTCATCATCACTGGCGACAGCGCGGGTGGTAATCTGGCAGTTGCTGCCACACTCATGATTCTTGAAACATCGAGCACACCTTTTCGACGTGCTCCACGGGGTACCAGTCTACCAGTGCCAGACGGACTGGTCTGCTTCTATCCTGCGTTGGATATGAATATTGGCAACTGGATGACGGACGAGCAAATGTCATTGATCCGGGATAAAACGATGCGCAAAACCAACCGTCTCATTGTTCGCAAGAAGAGTAGACAATACAATGACTTGGTTGGCACACCCCACCACTCTGACGAAGAGGACGACAAACTTGAGCCCGAAAACGGTACTGCCCAAGCGTCGGATCCTTTGGAGCAGCTGCGCGGCACTCGCCCTGAATTCTCCCACAGTCGACCACAAACCCTTGCCACTGATAAGACACCAGACGGCAAAGAAGGCGTGGTATCCCATCGCTCTGAGCCTCTGACGACACGTTTGGCTACCTCTTCCATGATTTCATACGTGAACGACCGAGTGCTCACCCCAGAAATGATGAGAGCCATGATCATCTTGTACATTGGCCCTCATAACAGACCAGACTTTTCGCAAGACTACTTCCTTAGCCCTGTCCTTGCGCCAGAATACCTCCTCGCCAAGTTCCCCAAGACATACTTTATGACTGGAGAGCGCGATCCTCTGGTGGATGACACGGTCATTTTTGCTGGTCGCTTGAGACGTGCCAAGGAGGCAGCTGCTAGACCGACAGCCTCTGGAACGTATCTGGCTGAGGCACGGGCCGCAGCTGAAGAGCTACCTGAAGTGCTTCTTATCCCTGGAACATCACATGGTTTCATGCAATTCCCAGGTATCTACCCGCCTGCATGGAAACACTTTGAACGTAGTGCTGGCTGGTTCAACCAACTCTTCATTGAGGCCGAGCAAGCTCGTCGCCGCAAAGCTCGCAGCTCAATGGCAGCGCGCCGAAGCTCTCGCAATGACGACACCGCTCGCCAGCATAACCTTGCAGAGTCCAGTGGAGACGAGGACCGACCATTGGAGATTGGAATGACCAAAATCAAGAGCCGAGGAAACTCGAGCAGATCCAACTCGCCCGAGGAAAACTGCCACGGGGCGAGAAATAAAGATATAAAGGATGACGAGGTTGATAAACCCAGAACGAAGCTGAGCAAGCATAAGAGTCTGGTCAAGTTGAACAGCACCGATGATCTGCTCAGTCGCAGAATGCAGGGTGTTGCAAGTGGATTGACAGGCCCTGCTGCCGATGACTAAACTAGCAAAATAAAAAACATGCATAGACACACTAGAATAATCCAATCTTTGATTCACAAGTACAAGTTCAATTACTTGGTCGAATGATCCCCTGTCGTCCAATACACCAGCTTGCGGCCCAGGCAAATTCGGTGGCGGTAGGCATCATGGACCGGGGTTTAACATGTAGACAAGGACTGGCCGATCTCTCCGTAGAGGTCTCAGAAGAAGACATCAAGGCGCCCCACCAAGATCGATGAATGCACCAAGCTTGCCAGTGAAAGACACCGTAATGCCGACCGACCCGCTGAAGACAAGGGCCTGGTTGGTGGAAGCCAGAGGCCGCCACGAATCAGAGCGCTAAGGCTGGGGTTGTGGCATGAAGAGACCAAAGCCGAGTGTTCCGGAGGCTTGCAGCAAGAGACCAGTACTGGTGCTGTGGCTAAAACAAATCCTGGCATTGGGCCCGGCGTTTTTGTATCTTCCTTGGTTATCGCATTGGGGACGAAGCAATTCGTTGCTGTCCCGTTTCTCTCTGGATGTGTGTACGTGTGTGTGTGCGTGTGCCGCTTCAATGCAGAGGGTGAGAATGGAGTGCTATTAAGAAATCAGTATATACAGAAGAACACTAGGAAATTAAGTTGACATCTCCTATAGTAAACCACAGCTAGCGCGTCATCCTCGTAAACGTGTTCGAGCTGTAGCTTGCAACTCTGGAAGAAGAGAACCTTGGCAGTGCCCAAGCTTCGATCCCATCGCCTTGGCTACCCCTCACAGCGCTGTGCCCCTCCCTAAGCGACCCCACCTGCACAGCTGCCAGCTGCTGCATCAATAGCTTGGCCATCTCCTGTCCGTATATTTACGCCAAAGCCCGCCCACCGCCTGGTCTCCCGTTGCATTCTTTTTTTGTCCTTCATCTCAGTGTCCCTCTGTGTTTGTAGAGGAACTCTACAAACACTTTCCATACCCAAAACCTTTTCTATCTTCTTCAATTCCTAGTAGCCCACCATGGTCCATCTCTCTGCTGTCCAGAACGGCGATGACGTCGACAAGAAGCTCAGCAACCTCTCCTTGACGGAGTGCGATGACAACTTCACCACCACTATCTACGGCTCCAAGTTTGCCCAGGAGCAGCTTCCCAAGCACAAGATGCCCGAGCACGAGATGCCCCGTGATGTTGCCTACCGCATGATCAAGGACGAGCTCAGTCTCGATGGTAACCCCAAGCTCAAGTATGTGGTGGATAAGCCCCAATCGAGTGTCTTATTTACTGGACATAGCTAACCAATTTTTCTTTTATAGCTTGGCCTCGTTTGTTACCACATACATGGTAAGCCGATTGTTTCTCATGTCGAAACCGACGGCGGCATGCTTGCATACTAACAACCCCGCAGGAAGAGGAAGCCGAGAAGCTCATGACCGAGTCCTTCAGCAAGAACTTCATCGATTACGAAGAATACCCCCAGTCTGCCGATATCCAGGCCCGTTGCGTCAACATGATTGCTGACCTTTTCAACGCCCCCTCTGAGGGCACCGCCGTCGGTACTTCTGCCGTCGGCTCTTCCGAGGCCATCATGCTTGCTGTCCTTGCCATGAAGCGCAAGTGGAAGATGCGCCGCCAGGCCGAGGGTAAGAGCACCGAGTCTCCCAACATCATCATGTCCTCTGCTGTGCAGGTCTGCTGGGAGAAGGCTGCTCGCTACTTCGAGATCGACGAGAAGTACGTCTTCTGCACCAGAGACCGCTTCCTCATTGACCCCAAGGAGGCTGTCGACCTCTGCGACGAAAACACCATTGGTATCGTTTCCATTCTTGGCACGACATACACCGGTGGATACGAGGACACCAAGGCCATCAACGATCTGCTCATTGAGAAGAAGCTCGATGTCCCCATTCACGTTGACGCCGCCAGTGGTGGTTTCGTCGCTCCCTTTGTCAGCCCTGACCTGGAATGGGATTTCCGCCTGGAGAAGGTTGTCTCGATCAACGTTTCTGGACACAAGGTAAGCTATATAACCCCCAACAGACAACAACTGAGCTGCCTTTCTAACAATGCTTAATAGTACGGTCTTGTCTACCCTGGTGTCGGCTGGGTTGTCTGGCGCGCCCAGGAGTACCTCCCCCAGGATCTCGTCTTCAACATCAACTACCTCGGTGCTGAGCAGTCTTCCTTCACCCTCAACTTCTCCAAGGGTGCTTCTCAGGTCATTGGCCAGTACTACCAGCTTATCCGCCTCGGTAAGCACGGTTACCGCACCATCATGAGCAACCTTATCCGAACCGCCGATTACCTCACCGAGAATCTTGAGGAGAGTGGCTTCGTCATCATGTCTGAGAAGTCTGGCAAGGGTCTTCCGCTTGTTGCATTCCGCTTCAAGACCGAGGAGGAGGGCGGTACTGCCGACCGCCACTACGACGAGTTCGCCTTGGCTGCCCACCTTCGAGCCCGTGGCTGGGTCGTGCCCGCCTACACCATGGCCCCCAACACGGACGGATTGAAGATGCTTCGCGTTGTTGTCCGTGAGGATTTCTCTCGCGCTCGTGCCGACTCCCTCATTTGCGACATTAAGCTCTGCATCGGCCTCCTCGAGAAGACTGACCGCGAAACCGTTGCTCGCCAGCAGGAGTACATCAAGACTCACGTTGCCGCTCATGGCAAGGGTAAGGATCCTTCTCACAAGAAGCACGACTTCAAGGGCGAGAAGCACTCCCTTCAGGGCAAGCATGGCAAGACTCACGCCATTTGCTAAATGTGCCGTAGCCTCTTGTACGATTCACATGTCTATAATCTTATTTTCCATATACACAACATAAGCAGCGAAATATCATGATGCCAATACAACTTGTTTACAAACATTCTCATCATCCTTTATTTTTGTGTTCTAGATGCGAATAGTCCCAAACGCCAAAAAGAAATTAACTCTCTAGGTACTTCATGCCTGCTCTAAAATCACCGGGTGGCTGTAATCGCCTTTTCAAGAATATCAAGACCCGTCTGAATCTCCCCCTCGGTAATAGTCAAGCTGGGTACAAAGCGCACCGTGTTAGTTCCAGCCGTAATGATCAACAGGCCACGTTCTCTGGCAGCCTTGATAATCGGCGTAGGATCCTCAGTAAGCTGCAGACCGAGAATAAGACCACGTCCACGAATCTCACTGACAAGCTCGGGGAACTTTTCCTGGAGCTTGCGGAAGCCCGCCTTGAAGACCTCGGACTTGGCGAGAACCTCTTGCTGAAGAGTAGGGTCTGAGAGTCTGCTGACCATGTAATGGGCAATACGGGACGCCACGGGGTTTCCGCCAAATGTGGTTCCGTGATCGCCAACCTTAATCTTGTCAGCAACGTGGGCGTTGACAAGTACAGCGCCGACAGGGAAACCGTTACCCAGGGCCTTCGCTGTAGACAGGATATCCGGGTGTGCTTCCTTAGGCAGATGTCCGTGAGCCCATAGTTGGCCGGTACGGCCCATACCACACTGGATCTCATCATAGATGAGCACGGCTCCAACCTGTCTGGCACGCTTGGCCAGCGCAACAAGGAACTCGTCAGTCGCAGGCTGCACGCCTCCCTCGCCCTGGATCGGCTCAACGATAACAGCACAAGTCTTCTCCGTCACAAGAGCATCAATGCCCTCAATATCGTTGTACGTTCCAAGCTTGCATCCCGGGACCATGGGTGAGAAGGGCTTCTGGTACTTGGGGTTGTGGGTGGCCGAGAGCGCGCCCATCGTGCGGCCGTGGAAGGCATTGTTAAACGACACAATCTCCGTCTTGTTGCCCGAGGGGTCGAGCTCCTTGCCTACTTTACGAGCAAACTTGAGAGCAGCTTCGTTGGCCTCGGATCCAGAGTTGCATACAAACACCTTGGCAGCGTCGTGCATGGCGCCGGACTCGAGTGTCTTCTCAACGAGGAGCTTCGACAACGCTCCTGTCCACGGGTTATAGTACAGGTTGGACGCATGCACAAGCGTCTTGGCCTTTTGTTTCAAATGTCAGTATATCGAGTTATATATAGTCAAGTGCGGCACATCGGCTTACCTGGTCGGCAATGATTCTGGTAAAGCCCTCGTCTGAGTGTCCGAGGGCCGTCACGGCAATGCCAGCTGTAAAGTCGAGGTATTTTCTGTTCTCGATATCGTATAGCCATGATCCTTCACCCTGTACAAAGACAGGCGGCGGGCGGCTATAGGTTGCAACCATGTAGGGAGCATGCTCGGCAACAAGAGCAGCGCTGGGGGAGTCGTCCGCAGGGTCTGGGTTCGGCAGAGCAGCATCGCGCTATTCATAGGTTTTGTCAGTTAGCCTTGGTCAATATCAGATATCAGGCGGTGCTTGAGGCCTCTTAAAGAGAGAAACAAATAAACTCACTGCAATTTCGCTCTTGACGCTGTCGGCCAGACTCGACTTGCCGACGCCGGCGCTGGACGCAAAAGCGCGCGAGCCGCTGGTCCTGGCGACGCAGCGGGCCAAGCTCGCAGAGGATCGAAGGGACAATCGAAATGCCATTGTCAAAGGATGAGTTTAGGTCAATTGCTGCTTTTGGGAACCAAAGCAACGCAAAATAACCCGCTGGCAGAAAATGACGCTGCTGTGTTTTAATTTGTCATGGCTCGAGTCACAGGTGGTTTTGTCTGCCAGTTTCCCGATAAGCAGACGCCACCTCCGATCCGGCCCATGATAAGAAAGTTTGTTAGTCACCGCAACGGCCCGCGGCAAAGCGGCAATAGTATGTGTAAGTAGATTGTAAATTATAAAAGGTATACTTTTACTAGAGAGAAAACGAAAAAAAAAAAATTGGCATCTGTATTAGGCATCTATCCAATCGTGTACAAAAACTGGGCAGGTGGAAAGGAAGCACACGCCCTTGCGTGAGATTAGCCCAGCATCTTGAAATGCGGCTGTCGTTCCAGAAAAATAAAATATACAAGTATAACTATACGAGCCCGTCGCTACAAAAGGTCTAAGTCAACCGCACCAATTCTCTTTTTTATACAGCGCTGTATCCTCCTCTGCTTCCAGCTCCCTGGACCGAGTTGAGCACCCGGCGCAAAAACTCCTTGAGCAGGTATGGAATCTCGCGGATCGTGTCGCCGTGGGGGAGAAGGTCCCAGCCTCGGGAGCCATAGCGGTTGTAGTTGAGCCAAGATCCGAAAATGAGATAGGCGGCAACGCTCAAGAAGACACTGTTTTTTTTTCAATTGGTTAGCGCGCTGTTGCAGGACACAGTTTGCGATATACTTACATGATAATCAGCCATGTAAAGAAGCCCCAGTTTCCGCTTGAAGGCTCTGGCTCTGGCTCTTTCTCATCGCCCTTGTCACCATCCTTACCCTTGCCGTCCTTGTCGCCGTCCTTGCCCTTATCATCCTTGTTCTTGTCATCGTCGTTGCCGTCGCGCTTCTCACAGGCATGCTTGGTGTGCCATTCGAGGCGCAGCACGTCGCTGTCGCCATCTGCTTCGTAGCTCTTCCAGATCAGTGCCGCATCAGCCTTCTTCAGCTGCTCCTCCTTAGCACCCGGGTCTTTGCTCTTGTCGTCCTTGGCATCGCGCTTGGATTTGGCGTCAAAGTACTTTTCGTCAGTCTCCCACTCGCCTTCGGTTCCCTCCTTTTCCTTGTCGCACAGAAGCTCAATGATTGCTTTCTGCGGTCTTCTGTCTTTTGTCGGTCCATCCAGCGGGTGCTTGCCGCCTTGGAGAGTCAATCTGACACCTTCTTTGCCCTTGTCGGACTCAGAATCGCTTTTGCTAAGTCGGACTAGCTTAGCATCCATATCGCTGCCTCCATGGTCTGCTAAGTCGCCTGCGATTGTAATGACGTCGTCGAGCAGTTTCTTGTCGCCGCTGATAATGTTTCGAACACCGCATACTGTTGGAGTAAAGGTTAGTCTGTTACAAAGATGCACATAGTCGGTGGGCCAAAACAAACCTCTGCTGCCCTTTGGGCATCCTTCTTTTTCGGAAATAACTTTGCCCTTCGCCAATGGGTTGCAGATATCTAGCGTGTATGTTGTGTTGTGGTAGTTGCCGGAACCAGACACGAAGCTTGACGTCACTACGGAATGAGGTCCTTTGAGAGCAGACAGGTCAAATGTGTAATCGTCGGCCTTGAGCTTCTGACAATCGAATCCCATCACAAGCTGAGGCGCCGTCGTCGCAGCAAGCAGCGCAGCTGAGGTCATGTAGAGATGCATCGTGATTGTCGCTTTGGGGAAAAGGAGCTCTCGGGGTTAACGGAGACGATACGCACAGCACGTCAAGTGTTTGTTTGTGGTCTCGGAGGCACGGTCGCAATAAATTCTAATGGTATTCAAGGTCGATACGCAAAAGGTAAAACGTAGGCAGATGTGATAGGAGCTGGACAAGTAGCCGTGTCCTTGAATGCCCATGCGCTGCAACTTGAGTTGACGTAACGACACCATCACGTGCTCATGTACCACAGAACCTACAGTATGCCTCTGCAAGCAGCAAAGACAGGCGCTATAATCATCCAATGTCACAAACTTCACGCAGCTTCATATTTAACAAATGCATCGATTTGTATTTTTTTACAAGTCTCACGCTATTGAACTCCAGAATTTCCATATACCAAACGAAGCAAAAGGTGGATGGGAATGGACGACAAAATCGCAACGCAGCCCATCTCATCCAATAACGAAGAAATCAAGATGTAAAAAGTAAAAGGCAATGCACCACCATCAACCATTTCCATAAACGTACATGTACCATCGTGCTCCGGCTTTAAGCAATGGGTATTAAAACAGTGAGAAAACAAATGAAAAAAAGGAAGAAAAAGAAACCAAAGTACTCCCAAAAAGCGGTGCCATATACAAACGTGAACCGTTCAAACTCCAAATCCGTTTTGCCCTCTAGACTCTGTGGCGCGAGACCAAGAGTGAGGAGGGTAAATGTCGCTTTATAAAACCATAATTTTCGCCATCAGTCGATGTTGTCTTGACCAAAGCGCGCGGTAGCTATCGCAGCACTCTACATGCCCTGCTGACCCATCATTCCACCCATGCCCTGCATGGCTTGCTGCTGCTGCTGCATCATCATCTGCTGCTGTTGAGCTCGCCGCTGGTTGATGGTATTCTGCAGAGCTTGTTGGGCCTGACTCATCGAGGTAGCTTTCAACTTATCAATAGTCTCCTGCGGGATGTTTTCAGGGCCGCCGCAGCTAAGAGCAGCACTCTGCAGAAGCCGTTGATAAATAGAGCGTGCATGGTTATTGAGCTGTATTTGCAACTGGTTCGCAGCCATGGTTTGCGGGCGTTGTTGTTGTTGTTGCTGCTGCTGTTGCTGCTGCTGCATCTGCTGCATGGGCTGACCTTGCTGTTGTTGCTGAACAAACTGCTGCTGTCCTTGCTGCTGCTGTTGTTGCTGCTGTTGCTGTTGCATCTGCATCGCCAAATTTTGCATGTTGGCATTAGCACCATTCATCATTTGCGCACCCATAGGCCGTTGCATAACACCGGGTACGCCAGCTCCATTAGGAAGTTGGCCCATACGCGCCATTTGCTGCTGCAACTGCGCTTGCATCTGGGGCGTCATTTGGCGCAGCTGGTTAGCACCCATGTTTTGCAGCTGTTGCGCATATTGAGCCCACTGCTGTTGCTGCTGTTGCTGCTGTGGCGCCATCATACCAGCTTGTTGCTGTTGAGCTTGCTGGGCTTGCTGCTGCTGTTGCATCAGGAACTGTCTCTGCATTGCCTGCAACATCTGCTGCTGCTGCTGCGGGTTCATGTTGCTCATGTTAGGAACACCACCGGCACCTCCATTCTGCATAGCGACCATCTGCTGTTGCTGCGCGAGTTGACGTTGCTGTGCGGCCAATTGAGCAGCAAGGGCTTGTGCATTTTGCGGGCTCATGCCTTGGTTGTGCATCATCATGTTCTGACCCATCTGCGAGTTCTGGGCCATCATATTCGGAGGAGGACTAGCCTGGGACATGCGAGGGGTGGCCGCCATTTGACTTCTGTTGATCGGTGTAGCGTGCGCCATGTTAGGGGTCGCGTTTGGCATACGAGGAGTGCCTGCAGCATGACTCTGTTGGCTGCCTCTAACAGACATACTGTGTGTCATTGGCGCAGACATGGGGTTCTGGGCAGCAGATGGAGGTCGTGGAGGGCTGCCAGCCATGCCAGAATTGGTTTGCTGCATAGGCGCGCTGCCAACCATGGGTGACGACATATTCTGTGGCGTTCCTTGGCGTACAATCGGAGACGATGCCTGTCCAGGCTGCATCTGGGACGGGAAGCGCTGTTGGGCAGCGCCAGCCATGTTGTTTGCCATGGCATTGGGCGTTCCCACAGCTCCAACATTTTGCATAACACCAGCCTGTCCGGGATGAGCGTGGCCTTGAGCCATGTTTGCGACATTATTTTGGCCTGCAGCATTGTTGGCTTGCGCGGCGGCAGCGGCAGCTTGTCTGGCAGCCAGAGCCTGCCTATGTGCCTCCTGCTGCTGTTGCTGCTGCTGTTGTTGGCGTAGTTGCGCTTCGCGGGCAGCAGCTTCGCGTCGAGCCTTTTCCAACTCTTGTTGCTTCTGGGCTTCTTGCTGCTGCTGGCGCTGAAGCTGCAAACGTTTGTCTGCCTCTTGCTGTTTGATCTTCTCCTGTCTCTTCTTTTCTCTATGCTGGTCACGAATATCTTCAATGACCTTGAATCTCTCAAATCTAGGTTCGAACGCAGCCCCGCCTGTTTGCGCATCTCCGTCAGCTCCAGCTGTGCCTTGTGCACTGTTGGTGTTAGAAGACAGTCTCTCATCCAAAGCCAGCATGTAGCGTTCCTGTTCTGCCGCTGCAGCTTCATCGGCGGCGACTTCAGCGACGGTCCTCTTGCGAGAGTTGGGTTTGGGAGGAGGATCAGAGTGGTTGGGGTGTGACAGGGCCTCAAGCAGCACAGCTGTTTCCTCTGCGCTTCTAGTAGGCTCCAATATCAACGGTGCGTTGGTTGCCATCAGAATTTTGCCTTCAGCGGCATACAACACGTTACCATCAAGCTCAACTTTATCCTTCTTTTGTCGCTTCGGCGGCGGCATGTTTCCAGTTGTAGGGGTTGGTGGTACGAGCGACAATGGTGTAGAAGGTGGTACGTTGCCAGGTGATTCAGTCAAGCCTTTGGAGCTGGATATCTTAAGCACCAGATCAAGCTGTAGGCTTTCCGGTGTAGGATGAAGCACAACTGTAAAGATCTTCGCTTTTGGTGCTGTTTTGCTCTTTGTTGCCGTGCCGTTGGTTGCAGATGCGGCATCGCCATCCTTGGCCCCCGACTCATCTTCGCCATCCTCGCTCTCAGGCTCTTGCTTTGCTTCTCCGCCATGTTGCTGATCCTTTGGGAACGGGACGTACGGCGAGGGGGTTAGCCATGGGTTGTAGTTGTGAATGGAGGAGGCGACTGTTTTATTAGGGGATGTTCGTCGCGCTGTGTCTTTTGTCTGAGCGGCGGATTTGTGATCGTGTAGTTGTACAATCAAGCACCCATCATAGAATGGGACATTGGCTTGAGCAAAGTAGTAGAGCAAGTCGTGGGGAATGGTTCGGCTTCGGACGTGTTCCAAGAAGAGTTTCATGGGAGACTTATACGGGAACATGCCGTCTTGCCCGTCGAATCGGAAATGAGACGCATGAAGATGAACTACCAGAGATGGCGGTTGTCCAGCGTGTTTTTTGAGGATGTAAGAATCAGTAACAACTAAAGAGCAGTTAGCACGGCGAGTCCGTTTTGCCTCATTGTAGTGCGAGGCGTACCATATGGCATCTGTCCGGCCATCTTCAACCCGTCCGAATCGAGGTCAGTCGTGCGCAGGCCTGCGCTATTCCTAGAGTTTCGCGCATTGTTCTGGCCGCTTGTATCGCGACGGATTTTGATAGTGGGTCGAGGGGCCGAGGTTGACGCCGATCGATCTCCTGAGGGAGTAGATGTTGGCTGTTTGGCGCTATTTGGCGTTTTCTTATTCGCCAGGGAGGGTGATGGGGATGATGTGGAGGAGATTATGCCGTTTGTCTGGATTCCAGGAGGAGCCGGTCGTTTGATCTTGGTGGCCACGGATGCGGATGCGACCGCAGTAGCGGGTGACATGGTGAGAGGTCGGGCAAGCACAATGGCCGCGACTGGCAGTCAAAGACGACTGTTTGTCCTCTTTACACTAGTCTACCAGTCGAATGCTAGATGAAATACGCCTGTAACGCGCACATTGGCGATGTGAGGCGGGTATCACTGGACTCGTAGGCGCTTCCGTCGCGGTATCAAGGCGTTAAACTGGGTGGTTCCAGGCTGCGGGTTCGAGTCGGTCGCGTGGATAAAAAATCCGTAGGGTTGTTTATTTCGTATTTCTTATCCGTCTCGAATGCCCACCGATGCGCATTTGATGGTTGGCGATGGGTTGCGACCAGCGAGATGACAAGCCGATTTGGAGTGAGGTTGGTGATCCTGGCCTGGAGGCACCACTTTGTCCCAAAGTAGCAAGGCTAGTATGGGGTGGCCTATCACGGCGGCTGATATAGGTCACGTGATGTCCTTCCTTTACATCAGCTTGTGAATATCGTCTCGTATCCTACTTAAAAATAAATGATTTGGTTTAAATTCAAGTGCAATTTCCAAGTAGTACACTTATGGGTTAATATTTCTCTCTAAACTCCTAATAAACGTCCAGGTGATTAGCTATGGTGTTGAAGTAGTTGTCTTATTGCTCACGGTGCTACCTCTGCGAAGAAAAGATGAAGAATAATTGTCATTGCCGATTGGCGTCCAAGACATGCAGAACACTGAAAATCATGGGCGGAAAATAACAAACGAGTTAAAATTAAAGATTTTTAAGCCTCGTATCACCAATTTATACACCCTACTTGATCAATTCTGAACAATGCGGGATAGGTGAATCTTATATAGGGTACCTGTCAGCATTTCGACACAAAGACGGTACATTCATCGTCATCAAACAATTTACAGCTAATTTCTAGACTATTTCCCAAAATACAATATGTAGAACTTCATATGTCATCAGAAGACCCAAGATTTCTATTCTTGTCCTTCAATGCGGCGGACCCAGTCGTCATGCACACGCATGCTGTCTACCACCACGACGCCACGACCTCTGCCAACACGCTCAGGGCGTTGCCACCACTCAATGGCCTTCTTGCTTCTCTCAGCCTCAGATTCACTGTCAGCAAGTCCACCAGAACCCTCCTCAGCACCAACGACCAAGATAATATCATGGCGGAACCATGTTTGGAGGCTGGTTACTAGAGCGCCGTTGTCGCCGCTCAGAGATTGTTGGAGGTAGACGGTATCTGGCTGCAAGGGTCGCAGCATGTAGGTGTGGCCGTTGGGAGTTGTGAATGGCATAATCATCGTTTCCTTCTCGACGAGGGCCAAAGCCTGGGAATAGATTGCGTTGTAGGCGGCGTTGGATGTCGAGGCAGTGAGGCTGAAAAGGTTCTGTTAGTTGATTTGTCTAAAATGAAATGTTCCAATTGACTTACGTTGGGCTTCTGGCCTCCGACCCAGGGGTATGGGCTTGATCATGACCAATGTTAGAAAATGAAGAGCTAAGCGAGGCGGGTGGCAGATTACTCGTGTTGCCGTCAGTGTCAGCGTCCTTCAAGCCAGGGGCGTAGATCAACACAAAGAGCTTGACTTTAGAGAAATCAATGTTGCTGGGGATATGCGACAGGATAGACTGGAATTCGTTAGCAATTAATCGCCGTGGCAGTGGGTGACCAAATGAACTTACAGCGTGCTCATGGGCGCTGCCTTCATCGTGGCCGGTCATTTGCGTATCAGCAGACACAACAAGGACGACAGTGCGTCGCTTGCCGTGGGTTGTCGCAGCGCCTCGGGTCTTTCTAGCATCCGCCTCCTCCGACCAAGGGTTGGCATCAGCAGGGTAACGGTCGTCTTCGCGGATGGACGCAAGCGCCTTGCCCATTACCGCACCAGCAGCCGCAACGCCGGCGGTGATGGTCTTGCCCGTAGAATCGAAGAATTGCTGGGGACTGGGAGTGCGCCTGAGAGCGCCAGACATGCGTGTTCCCCAGCTGGCGGCAGACGTCTCGGCGTGACCAGCTGTCGTACCGTACGATTCGCCATCCGGGTTTCCAGCAGGTCGTTGCTTATTGTTGGTCGCAGCACGAGAGGTTGCGCCATAAGGTGGGTTATCTCCATAGTCTGCATTCTCGTAGTCGAGGCCGGGTTCGTGCTCTTCTTCTTGGTCGTCGTGCTCATGTTGTCTTTGGCTCAACGCCCAAGCTGCTACACCAACAGTCGCGATGGTGAGAGTGACAGCCAGAGGCACCCAGTGACTCCAGACACCTTGTCTGCGGCGGTCATTATGCGGTGCCATTGTCTACTGGCTAGGCTGTTGCATCGCCCGTAGGGGGGTTGATTGATTGATCGCGTTGATGCGCCAAGGACGCTTTGTTTATGGGGGCAGTCGATGCTTCACGTAGGCTTTGAGATACAGCGCGGCGTGCGTGGGACAAATGAACAGAATCAGTAATAGCAATGCTTTACCAATGTTCGCTTTCAGGAATTGGAAGCTGGAGTGTGGGGGGGCTGCTAAATTGTCTGATCTGAAGGAGAAACAATGTGGTGGCTGGGGTTCATCGCCGCATCCAAACAATAGCGACCGAGGAGCCCAGCAACGACCGAGGCTGCGCGACTGACGTATCGGGGCCAGCAACCACTTGAGAACAGTGGGGCGGCTGCGGTAGGTGGTCTGCACGTGAAGCGCTGGGTAGCTGTGGCTGGTGTGGATGCCACTAGCCACAGAGGGAAACATCCCACGTATGGTGGGGTGAATATTTTGGGATCTGTGACTCTTCGCCAACATCCTTTTTGCGTCGGGCTAATTGCTATCTGCTGTGGCGGAATCGCAAGGCTGTGTTTGCCAGTGTTCGCCCTATTGTTTCCATTTTGTTCTGATACAGCTTCAACTGAACTTTCATACTCAAAACAACTCCCACTGAAAGCACGACGAGACCATCACCATGCCTCATGCCACGGCGTCAACGGGCCTCCAGGCTCTGATCCTCTGCGGTCCTGGATCTTCGTTTCCGACATTTACATCGAACCCAGACAAGAACCCTAAGGCGCTTCTTCCCATAGCAAACAGGCCCATGGTCTGGTACCCCATCGACTTCTGCTACAGGACTGGCATCTCCAGTAAGTCAAAGCTCTAGTCCTTGACCTAATGTTAGAGTTGAAAGACTAACGAAAAACCAGAAATCACTCTCATCTGCCCCCCGACTGCGGTAAAGGCTCTGAAAGAGGCTTTTAGCACAAACCCCTTCTTGACCGGACTCCCACTCCCTCGACCCGAAATATTGTCGCCCGCCGATCTCACACAAAACACCGGCACAGCAGAGATTCTGCGCCTACCTGAGGTTATAGACCATGTCAAGAAGGACTTTGTTGTGCTTCCCTGCGATCTTGTCTGCGAGATTGGTGCTGAGAAGCTTCTACAGGCGTGGATGGTCAAGGCCGTCACTCTTGACAGTGTCCTCGGCGCAGCCGCCTCGTCCAACGATGAGCAACTGAAAAACAGCGGCGGTATTGGCGTATTCTATGAAACCAAGACCAATGTTACAGTGAAAGGTGAAGAATCTGACTTTATTGCCACGACGCCGCTTCCCCAGTCAGCCAGCACACCTCCAAAAGACTCCATCTTAGGAAATGTAACGAAACTGGTACAGGTCATGCCTACAGATACATTGAAGGATGTTATTGAAGACAGAAAGGCCCATCCTGTTCGCCACGGACTTTTGAGAGCACACCCCCAAGTTCGCATGTACACAACACACAGAGACGCGCACATCTACGTCTTTCCTCATTGGATCATGGAGTTTATCCAGCGCAATGAGCGTATGGAAAGCATAGGCGAGGATGTTGTAGGCAGCTGGGCAAAGGCTGGATGGCAACAGGGGCTTGCTGATAAGCTCCAGCTGACTGCACTTTGCTCTGCAGCCGAGGCGGAACAAGACGACGATTCCAACCTTGATAGTGTTGCATCACCCGACGGTGACGCGAGCATAGCGCCCGGAACTACAGCTACTGGTGCTACCGACAAATCCCAAGCCAATGCTCCTCACACAACCTCACCCAATGACATCAAAATCCCCCCCATCTTGGCTTATGTTCATTCAGCCAAGACCCAAGACCCCGGAAGCATCCTCAGACGTGTTGATACCGCTCAGCTGCTCCTAGCGATCTCTCTGCAGCTGGCTAAATTGCCACCAATTGAAGAGACTGGCCCCGAAACAGCGTCGCCTTTTGCGCATAATCGCAAAGTCGCATACCCAGAGGGAGTCAAGTCCAGAACAACGATTACAAAGCAAGACAGTCTGATTGGAGACAACGTTACGGTGGAAGAGAAGACTTCGATTAAAGAATGTGTCATTGGAGCCGGCTGCCAAATCCAGGAAGGTGCTAAGCTCTCGCAATGTCTTCTCATGGATGGCGTTGTTGTCGGAAAGGGCTGTAAACTAACAAAGTGCATCTTGGGCAAACGTAGCGTCATTGGCGACGGATCTATCTTGACAGATTGCGAGGTGCAGGAAAATCTTTTGGTCGAAGCACGCAGTAAGTTTTACTTGTTTGATTGCATTCATATCACATACTAACAATGAGACTCCCACTAGCCGAGGACAAGGACAACAGACTCATGAGTTCCGAGGGACTGGAAGCTACTGAGGCTGAGATGGAGGAAGTATTGGATCAGATGGATGAAGTTACGGGAGCAGAGGAGGCAGTGATTGGATAGACAACGATGCTGTTCAAGTTCTCACATAATAAAGGCAAAGGATCATGTTGTTCTGCGGGCGTAGAAAAGTACGTTAGCGCCAAAGACCCTTTTGACGTCTTTTATAATTTATTAAAAATATCAAATTAAAGCATCATAACAGCTGTATAACCCAATAACCAGTGTGCCATTATACATCATTTGTCTATACAGGTTTACAATCTCTCTCTTTCAACCCTAACCCTTCGTTGCCTGTCGACGCCACAGGATGCAACTTGCCTTTCCCACGAACATGGGCTCGGTAGCCTTCCGATTGAGATGGCTGGGTAGCCCTGCGAAGCTGAGCGGCCCAAGAAACTAGGCGGAGTTAAATGAGGTTGACTCACTGACGGCCCCCAAAGAGAATTGACCGCCTCTGAAACTTGCATCATGACGTCGATTGGAAGCAGATGCTCATTTCGGTAAGCAGCTGTCTGTGGGACAGGAGCCTCATCGAGGGACAGCAAAAAGGGCACCCTCTCACAACTCCCTTCTGCACTAACGTTGCTGTCCAAGCACTAGACGACAACATCTGAGTCTTGTGACTATCTACGACTATAGGTCTGTCTCATTAGTAAATTAATTTCTTTGTTTCTTCACATTGAAGGATTGCAGGCCTGAAAACTAAGGCGTGATGGCGCTGAGGGCGGCCACACACTCCCCCACCACCAAAGCTCACCGCCGACTGGGGAAGATGAAGGTCCGGGCCAGACAATGGGTATTCCTTCTCTGTGGCGCGATCTCATGATGTGACTCCTTGGTACTGAGGATCGAACCTCAGCTCATTTCGGAGGCTACCGAGCTAGACAGGGGCGCACAGTTCGCAGCTGCACATTGCTTTTCCCGCAGCGCCTGGCTAGATTATGAAACGCTTTGGACAGGAGTTGCTGCCAGCGGCTTGGTCAACGTAGCGTAGCAACGGCACGACTAGCTCGATACTTTCTTTTGGTATATTTTTGGCAGGAAAAAGGTCGGAGCCCACGGCTGGAGGATGACACTTAGACACTCCTACTCCCAACGCCCTGGGTGCGGGATACAGTACCTGCATTGGTGGGGTTACTAAATAGTCCTTGGAACCGAGAAACAGTAGAAGGATTCAATAGAGAGTGGATATCGAATTTACGAGTTGAACCCGCGCAAGGGAAGACTGCTTTGGCCTTGATAGCGAGATTGTATGTGTGGCTTCATGAGACGATGTAGAGCTTGACATCCAAAAGGCGGCTTGTATCCGTCGGGTCATGGGCGTATTTTGAGTTGCGGTTTCTAAGATCTGTTATCATGGGTTACTGACTAGCCATTCGCTCGATTGGCACAGGCAACCGAGTCTCAAACTGCCACATGTGGGGGCCCTTGTTCATCGTCGTGTACCGCATCTTGGAGATGGGAATGTGACAGCAGACAGCATGATTCAATGCGAAATTGGAGATACAAAAAGCACTTTGCCCTTTTGAATATGCTATTAATCACCACCTTAGATCGGGATGTGGTACCTGGTCAAGCTGTGCTCACACCCCGCGCAGCCGAGCTTGACCGTAGACGTGAACGGCAAAAAGCAAAAAAGGTCCGCATGGCCCACCTTGTGAAGCCATGTTTGATTAGTGCGTGGCTTTTAGAGACGCAAGAGGAACAAAGGGAAGTGATTAATCACTTGCTGCTCCTGTGAATTAGTGAGCTGCTGTTGCTTTTTTGGTAGTCACCGTGCACTTACACACCCAAAAGAAGCATTTTGTACGCGGCATCCACAACGCTACGTCGCCGAGGTTGCACCTGCCACGGGAATAATGCAAGTCAGATAGTCCAGAGTACAATTTTGGCGCTAGTTCTTTGCTTAGGATTACACTAATTTGCAATAGCATAATAGAGGCCCAAGTAGCAAACGGTGTGCGCTTGGCCACGTTGCCAAACGCGCAATGAATGACCATCAAAGTGAGCACCAATGGGCTTGGTTGTCATATGCTCGTTGGTCATAAGAGATGTGCCGTATCCGTAAAGACTGCTGCATGGCTTAAGGCTATTGTTGCCTATCGTGTCTTCAGGCAGCGATTCGATATGACCAGTCCGTCGGTAGATCAGGCAACTCCTCCACTATGATTTGTTGCCCCAAACGAGACACCTCCCCTTCTAAGAATCCCGTAAATCTACTCGGCAACGAGCATAAAATGCAGTGTCGTCTGAAGGTAGTGTGTACTTTGCTGGCACTCGTCCCTGAAACCTCGTGGGGGCGCTACCAAGGGCTAACAATGCGGCAGCGCAGGCGTCCAACGTGACTGTGGTCTCGCAGCATGTTTAATTACAATGCTAAGCTAATCGGTTGGTCGTCGATGGTGGGGACCGATTGGTTCTAAACGTACGACGCGCATTGACATGCGGGCTGTGCCTTGCATCCGGTCAATTGTTCCCTCAATTGGAGCCGACGCACTCGATTGTTAAGCCCGAGTGGAAGCATTGGCTGAGATCTGGCAGGGATTACAGAGTCTCTGACGTTGCTATAAGCAACCCATGTCCGTAGATGTGAAATTTGTATGCAAAGTTTAGAAACTTTAAAGTATCGTGTGTTAAGACGAGTCGTTTCATTGTGGCGCGATATTGGAGCCAAGTCAGGCCACGGCGTCTCAAAACTTCTATCCATATCGACTACAGACTGCGTAGGCGATGCTAATTTCGTAAATCATGAGATCTCATGATTAAAGGGCAGGACCAAGACGGCACTATCGACAACTGTTCCCTGAAGAGGGCGACTTTCTGTATCCCTCTGTAATATGGGTCGGCAATGACGCTTGCCCAGGCGGCTACTGGGGGCGCTGTTGTCGGAGAGCGGGCGCGATGGGGCGATTTAGCCGAACCGGTGTCATGGGCCCTGGGCATCTAGTTCGGGCGATCTCGCGGCGGGTCGTGGCCCGACCCTCGACGGCCTGTCATAGCTGGCCGAACTCACGCCGACGACCTATGCGTAATTCCAGATAATCCAGAAGTGAAAGAAAGCTTTTCACACTGTATCTGCAGCTACTGTAGACATTCTTCGGCAGCTCGTGCAAATGCAATAGCAGACTGCTGCTCGGCCGTACTTTGTCGGCGTGTGCCCTGTGGATTGTAAGACAGCTGCAGGATGGCGCAGCCCATAGACTCTGCTGCCCCGAGAGGATGGGTAGCTCAATCGTGCTTCTACCTACAGACGAGACCGTATTGAACGAAAGCCGCAAAACGGAACGGAGAGTGTAGGAGGCGACAAGAGGCGCACTAGGCCAAAAGCTGTGCCGCTTTGCGCTGTAGTGGCAGCTTCTTTGACGGGGTACTCGGCCAGACGTAACCTGTGTCTCAGCTACGAACGATCCAGTGGTGTTTTTGGCGGAAATTTGCAGTCTCCCCATTCCAGGGCGGGTGTCGTCCATTCCACCTTTTGGGTAACGACGCCAAACTGCATCGGGGCACTACTGAGCGCTTTACCTGGTCTATCGCTCGTCAGGTCTTAGTGCAAAAAGTGATAGAAAAGTGCCGTTTCTTCAGATAGTTAGGTCGCATTGTATGCTCTAGCAGCGACAACTAGGGGATTGTTTCCGCGTCCATGTCTACGACGAAGCCGTTGTATCACACCATCCTTTACTGGTGCTGGTATGCTGAAGCAGGCCCCGAAAAACAGGCGAAACTGACGGAAAAAAAGGAATATGCCGTGATGGGTATTTTCAGTATCATAAGATGGATATTTGCGGATTGCCACTTTACAATCGTGCGACGGCGTGCTTGGCTGGCGGAGCGCCTGTCAAAGATGACGGATTCGGAACCAGATATGAGATGCGACTGGGCAGACTAAACAATTCCAATTAATTAATGAATATTGGCTCTTGTTGCTTACCCATGGTACGTTTCCTGTCGCGGTGTACTTCCTTTTTGGTGTGCAACTTGCTTCTTTCGTTTTGGGTACCAGACGGGTGCGTAGTGGGACTGGACTCTGCCCCAGTGCGTTTTGCCGATGGCAGGCTAGGCTGTTCGCTTCGAGGAGCTGGCCGAGACCTGCCCACTAGAGTTCAGCGCTGTGCTCACTGTAGCCCACCCGCCAGCCGTGCCAGCTGCCATGGCACTTCCAAGGTGCAGCGCTAGATCCACTGCGGGCGAAACTACTGCCCACCTTAGTGGCACGGCCAGGAACCACTTCCCCTCTTTCGTGCTTTGGTGCTCCCTCTTCCATCTCACTCCCTCTTGTTGCTTTTTGCCCTTCGCAGGGTGTTGGCGCCACCATTTAGCACCAAAGCCAGATTGCACTGTTGGCGGCACACGCCATTACCCACTGTTCGGGCAAGCGTTTTCTGGATCTACTTACTTTTTCAGGTGGCAGCCAGGCTTGGGGGGCGCGGTGCCTGGCAGTTCCGTCACTTGCAGCATACCAGATTGCCATGGCGTTCGCCTCTCGAACCGCCTCGCTAGTCTACCTATCACTTTTCTGTTGCAGTCGCCTCTCAGGGTCCAGGACAGATGGCGAGCTTGCGAATTGTATTCCTGCTTCAGAGACAAGTGTGTCGGCAATAGTCTGATTCAATTGACGCCAATAGTCTACTCCAGGGCGATGAGAGACGGAGCTCATATGCAAAACACGCAATCTACGCTGCCAGCACTCACTGTGCCCTTGAGTTGATCCATGGCAATGGGAAGGCTACCATGGATCGCCTTTGCGGACCCATTCCACGGCTGGCAGCTAATGGGAGGGGGCGTATGGTGCCGTACCTGTCTCTCGGCCACACTCTTTCTCACACCCTTGGGTAAAGACACACCATCTGAGAATTCGCGGGGGAGACGATCTGCGCTGTGCTTGTCTCAGGGCCAACAGCATCGTCCTCCACTGCTCATTCCACTTCAATTGCTATATCTTCAGGGGCGTCCGTCCTCCAGAATATAAACCCATTCACTACCGGACTTCCTCGTCCTCAATCAAGCCTCAGCGTCTTGGTCAATTCCCTTGTCTGTGTCTTCTCTAGTTCACGACTGTCGAACTAGATTCTTCATATTGTCAAGTCCACTCTTTTTACTATATACTTTTACCCAACTTTCAACCACTCTTTAATCATAATGGCAACCATTCAGTTTGATTCGGACTTCCGGTTCGAAATGGACGATAACTTCAGCATGTGCAGCCAGGCCATGTCCTGCCCCTCTACGGGAACCAGCTTCTCCTCCGCCTCATCCGCCTACGATCCTTTCACTCCTACCTCTCGCCGCTCAACTCCCAACGAGCTCACATTAGATTTTGAGGCTTCCTTCGCCGCCAGCCAATCTGATATGACCCCTCCCTCAACAGCTGTTCCCAAGTACATGTTCGGTGGTGCTGTCAAGACCGAGCCCGAGCACATGGGCTTCGCCGAGATCTTGCCTTCCACTCCCATTAAGCGAATGGATAGCATCAGCTCTGAATACGACGTGATGCTTAACATGAGCCTTCAGTCACAGAACTCCATTGGTTCTATTACTCCTTCCAACACCTACCCCATGTACACTATCTCTCCACAAACCACCATGGGTCCTGGCTCTTTCATGATGACGCCAACCCATAGCATCTCCGGCTCAGAGATGACGGACAGCAATTCTTCGTGGTCGTGTGCCAATGATAGCCCCATCTCTTTCTTCCCCCAGAAGAGTCTCCCTTCCAACGATTTCGAATCGTTGGAAATCGAGCGTCAGTGCCAGTCCCCTATCGGCCGCTACTATTTGCAAGGACCTCCACCTTCACCAGGCCGTCTCCGAGCCCACCGAAAGATGATCGTCCATGAGATTCAGCGCAAGACATCTGAACTACAGCGGGCTCAGATCCGTGCCTCTCGCAAGCAAAGCGAGAAGAGCGATGGTTCTGTTGACGTTGTCAAGCGTGCCATGTGCAAGTGCGATTATCCTGGCTGCAACAAGGCTTTCCGCCGCAACGAGCACCTAAAGCGACACAAGCAGACGTAAGTGGATCACTGGTTAACATATACGGTCAACTTTTTTAACACAAACACAGATACCACGGTGAAGGCCCTAACCGCTTCTCTTGCGAGTTCTGCGGTAAAGACCAGTTCAACAGACAAGATAACCTGAACAACCACCGCAAGCTACACGCTCGTCCCAACAGCCGCAACCGAGGCGTTGAGTTCATTCCTGCTGCGGTGCCCATCATTGAAGCAGAAGAGCGCAGCCGAAAGCGCCGTGCTCCCCCAAAGTCCAAATCTGGCAAGCGAGATGACGACGACTACTAGGTTGTTCATTTCACTGAGGAGGATGTTGATCAATACGATCCATTTTCTCATTTTACGTTCCAAATTGGGCAATTGCAAGCTTGCCTGTGTCCTGTTTTGAACAGGCGGCGCTGCCATGGCGCCGAGCAGGAAGCAAGACATTGCAGAAAAAAGAAAAAAAAAGAGACACCTCGAGTCCTAGCGCCCGATGAAGCGAAGGTCGGTCGCTTTCTACTACAACCGAACAGGCAGTTGTCTTAGAAGGATTCTATCAGCCAGCTGATTCGAGACAACTCTCCCATCCTGGCAATAGTGACACCAGCTTCGGCAACTGCTCACACTCAGTACATCGACTCTTGTTTATTATGCATTATATTTTATCGGCGAATATTTGCCATCCTTACAAGAGGGTGTACATTCTTTTACTCCTAGCGACACATCATATTTTTTTTTCAATGCGTCGTCCTGGTCCAGTTTATTTTGTCCGACACTTGTCACTGGGATGAACTCACATCGTCGCTCAACAGGGACAGTCACCAAAAGTATTTTTTATCAACCGACTTGTCTATTCCATGTCTTTGTATTTTTTTTCTGTCTTATGGTGGATGAGATCTCGAACTCAATGGGTATTATCCCACGCCACGGAGCCTGGGGCTACCGTTATGGTAAACCACGTTTAACACAATTGGGATGGCAACGGGCTGGAGAACCGTGTGTCAATGGTAATGGCTATGGCTAAGAGCGAGCGGCGCTGGGCTGGTAGGAGGAGGTAAATTTGGGTCCCAATACTATTGTACTTGAGAGTATATAGCGATGTAATGTAGCTGGCAAATGGCAAACCATATTTCGATGGTTACAAATGTTTCCAAACAGAAATTGTGCTGTACTTTCCCCGCAATCCTTGTCCATTTGGCTACAACGGCAATTAGACGATGTACATGTTGGAGAGATTACCGCCGGAAGCCTTGTTTGTGGCAACAAGCCCAAAGCCAGCCATGTTCACTCTGCTTGGCTTGGGGCTGGGAAATGTGGCGGAAACATAGCCGTGATGGGCAACTTGCGAGAAATGACAGAAGCGACCAGTCACTTTGATGTGATCCAGCCAGTGGAACTATATGCCCCAATAGAGTAAGGCTGTGTGAGTCTATGTCTCAGATCGTCTGGCCGACGTGCTGGAAAGGTCCGTCGTTTGGGGGGACACTGCCGCCTGCATTTGAAACGAACCCTCCACGATGAAGTCCCCGAATTCAGCTCGCCATAGTGCAGGATCGTGCATTTTGGCGCTAAGCAGAGTCTCAAGCTCCAATGGCGGAATTCGTCGCCTGTAGTGTAGTGTAGTGTTGTGTTGTGTTGCCATTGTACAGTGGCCGGTATTTGCTCTACGGATATATTTCAAAGTTTTTTTGGGGTGCATCTATCCACTACATAAGCCAGTATACGCAAATGCTACCGTCTGTGTACATTTGTGATGCCACTCTGATTTAGAGGTTTGATTAATATTCCTCCTGGTTCTCATTGGATCTCATTGATTTGTTATTCCTGGAGCTTTCACTCCGCCTGCCTCGCCGTACAGTTGGCGATCTGCGACCTGTGCGTCGACCACGGCGAAAGGCGGCAACGCAAGACAGCAGATAGTTCCTGCAAGTCCTGACTCGACGTTCTGCTGTCTCGTACTTCCCGTGTTTCGAGCTTCTTTTTCAGACATGTCCCGCAGCGCCGCAGCGAAGTGGAACAACCAACCCCAGCCAGCTAGAAGTGGCTGCTGTACCGATGGAGGGGTTGGGTGGTGCATGGGGAAATGAATCGCCTAACCCAAGAATACGGCTGTGGCGAACCCGAGAAAAGTAAAAGAAAAGTTTGGCATAATAATAGCGAACCACACTTAGCTAAGTAGTACAGGAAAATAAACTAAAAAGCAAGATTGCATTTCACGTCCAATGATGGCTCAGGAACATGGTGTCGCTACACAGTTAGCCCGATCCGATGCCGCAGGGGAAGTGGGAAAAGGGCACCCGGCCAGGTGTGTCTACATCAAGTCGGCGTCCTTTTGCCGTGATCGGGTAGGATGCGAGTGTGGGTGGCTACCCTGGAAGAAATGGAAGTATGCGAGTATTTGTATGGAAGCTGGTTTTGGGTGGCTGTTTTGGTCCGTACTGCGCTTGCACGCTTGCTTTTTTGTTAGCAGTTGATGCAGTGTCGTTGCTTTTCGCTGATGCGCAGCAGCGCTACGCGTGGGTTGTTAGTGGACACTACTAGCGCTGCATGCACAATGTGTTGTTGCAGTGTGGGTATAATGGGCTGGTCCTGTCCGGCATGGAAGGACCTGGTCACAAAACTTGGCCTCATTTCCCAGTGTCCTTTGTTTGGGAGAATTCGGTCGTCTGTAATTGCAAGCACATGCTTTTGTGTGAGGAATTTGAGCTGCGGAATGGAAATCCCATAGACCCTTGTTTGTAGCCAGGCTAAGGCCGATTTGCACACTAGACCAAAGAGGAAGCGATGCGAGTGGGGCCTAGCTCAGCGTGTTGCCCGATTTGGCCGTTTGGGTGTGGTCTGTGCTGGGGCTCGCTGCAACGCCGCTAGGAAAACACTAAGCTAGTGAACCCGCCCGACTGCTGCTGGCTTTTCTGCCGGCGCCGCCAGCTACAGCTACAGCGGGCTGTGCAACTTGTGTGTGGGTGACGCCACCTGTCGCCCGGCGCAGCTGGCCAGGTGCTCGGCCGATGACGACACCTGCTTGGCACCTGTCGGGCACCTGATGGCTTGCTTCACGACACAACCACTAACCCAGAGCACGGCTGAGCTTGCACAAAGCATCATATTCCATCATGAATTTTTAACCTATTTATCTTACAAGCATCTAAGCCATTTACTGGAGTTTACTGATACTCGTTACACACAATTTTCATCTTTCCTTTGGTCGCATACACCTGCCGCAAGCCACGACAGTTCCCAAGAAATAGCCCGCCTCCTAATAGCTTTAACGCCTGTTCGCGCTGCTGCACTCTTCGGATACTTTGTCTCTCTCTTACCTACAAAAGGAAACAATTACTACGGTGGAATTTATCTTTCGGCGCTAGTTACGGGCGTATACAGCCTTTTAAAAGCAACACCCGCATTGACCTGACTGGTACATGCCACCTTGCTTTTTCCAGGGAGAATCGCTATTTCGCCTAAGCAAGCCCTGCATACCACAAGAAATTTAGCGCAGTGGGAAATTGGCGACTCGAAAAAAGAAAGATAAATCACACCGTCTTACTATTCCGATGAACAGCTGCATCAGCCATCCATAATGTCCGAGCTGCCTTCGTATGAACAGGTCACAACCAAGCAGGACTGGCTGGAAATAGCCGCCACATACGTACATCCCCGGGATTACACTGCGCTATGCCGAACTAGCCGACGATGCTGGAACATATTTGCTCCGAGGCTCTGGCAGAATATACTGTGTTCTGCACATTTGCGTAACCTAGACCTTGAAGGTGGTAAGCGAGGATGCCCATGGAATGTGACCCTTATAAACGTATTCTAATGTGTATTTATGAGTGTAGATTGCTTGTGGTGGCTCCGCTTGGTCGAAAAAAAGCTACCGCATGTTTGGCCAGATACACGGGCCTTAGCCAAGGTTCTGGATCTTCGATTGTTTTCGAAGCATGCGTACTCGTTTGCAACGGACCAAAACGCACGCCTCGTGCGGAGCGTCCGCGATGCGATCAGGCTTCTACCAAATATCAACGTATTGATATTTGATAATCACGCCGAGATTGACCCTGGTCCACTTGTCCAACTCCCTAATGACCACTCTCGCCCGTTGTTACTGAGTCTTGATGGGTGCAGTGTGCCTTTGCCCAACACGTTTTACTCTTCCCCTTCGCTTTGCATGCTCGCCTATCTTGATATATCCAATACACCGGGCACAATATCACCAATAATATCTCGTGGGGTTTTCTCGGACTTGCGCATTTTGAAATTGCGTGGGAAAGAAGTTGACGATGTAACATTTGCCAGCCTATGCCAGCTGTATAAGCTCAGACTTTGGAGCCTAGACGTCTCAAACAACAAACTCACGGACGCCTCTATCCTTATACTTGCACAATATTGTTTCCCACCAACATCTCCTAGGTCTACTGACAGATTTGCAGTAGAAGGTGCTCTGTCAAATCCAGGTATTGGCTTACCAGAATACGGATTCTTTTACTTTATCGAAGAATCGTATTGGAGCTACGCCTACTGTCACCCTAATCGATATATAATGGATTCTTCCGTTCTCACCACTCAGTTTAGTGAAGCTTCACAAAGCCAGGTTGCTAGGTCAGATATGAGAGATATCTGCAAGTTGGACACCCTTGACGCCGCTGTGCATGTACTGTGCCAACAGTCGTCCAAGTACGATACTTCTGAGAGATACCGCATCGCCCGAGGCCTCACACATATTACACTGTCTCGAAACCAAATTTCTGCTTCAGGGTTGGAACAGCTAGTCCGCATGTCCAATGGCCAGTTAGAACATCTTGCATGCGATCAGATGCCGTTTCTTGGTAGGTCAGTGGCAATTGAGAAGCACTGGCCCAAAACGGCTCGCCTATATGGCTGTGTGGGTGCAGCTTACATATTTCGCCCTGTTTATTCGTGCAACATTCGATCTTTACGTATACACCATTCGTTGATTACCAATATTCCAACGTTGACGATGGATACACTGTCGAGCTTGGCATGTCTCTTTGTGGCAGAAACACAGATCCTCGCCCGTGTAGATCGTGCCTATCCAGAGCCATTCGTACCTGACATGAATCCTCGTCTGGAATCCCTTACTTTGACCTGTGTCCCACGAAGATCCTCAGGCCCCTTGATTACAAAGCTGTTGGAGTTTCTAAGATTGCTGTCAAGACAAGAGCAAACCATACAAGCTAGCCGGGCTGGCTCCCCAACTGGATCATCTGGCATGCTGAAGGGTTTGAGACGTTTACGCCTTGAATTTGAACCAGATGTCCATGAAGAAGGTGTATCAACAGCGGAGGAGCTAGATCCTGCTGAGCTGCTCCGCAGTGGCGAACCTCGATTCAGCTTTTTTGAGACAGAAAGCTCGGGCAGGGTATCACCGCAAGCGAAAGCCAAAGCCACCAAGAAGACTTTTGATGGTAGCAATAGCCTAGCTTCTGAAGCTATACAAAACCCCCAGGCATTGGACCGAGACAATAGAGAGTTTGTGAGTTATGATTGCAACTGGAATGGACAAGTTTATCAGGTTTGGGTTTGGGTGGGGAGCGCAGCGGCCGACGCTAATCCCATCGTCAAAGACTATCGGCAACGTGTCTTTGAAGAAAACGCTCGAGGAGGCGTCGGACCAGTTACTCCCGCGCAGATTTTAGCTGGAGTCCCTCATAAAGCGTTGATTTTCCACTCAGCGTGGCGTCTTGCCATCATGCCACGACGGGTAACTGCCCCGTCGTTGGCTGAACTGACTGGAATGCAAGACGTCCTCGCTGCACTCAAGGCGTATCGTCGCGCTGGACGCGCCAGATTGGCGTTGGCCAGACAGAACAGCACTCTACCAAAATCGGGTTCTGTGGGAGAACCCCATTATTTCTGGTCTGGTCAATTAGAGGTCTCAACGCAAGAGGCGTTGCCTCACGCGCGTTCAGAGCAATACTGGAGATGATAAGCCAAGCCAGGGTCCCCAATGGATTAGACGGTGGCGCTTCCACCCCCAAAAGACTTCTTTTGCACATGTATCAGATGTTTTCTCTCTAATTGATGTTGTTCAAGTGGCGTTGTTGGCAGTTGTCGCCACAACAGCAAGCGATTTTTGCTTGGCCAACCCAACGACGGCAGTTGCTCTCTGAAGCACGCGATTGACTCAAAGGCAACGCAGAAAGAGGAAATAGTGTAGGCGAGCAACGCCGATTCCGTGTCTCCCTGTACGGAAATAGTCACGAATCGACCTGGCCCGTAGACACAGATATGAGGAACAAGGTGCTAACCTTGGGGGTGATGATTGCTCATCACGGCATCTCCCGAGGAAGGCCAAGGTGTGCAGATAGAAAATCGACAATGCATGCTACATCCCGTCTTAATACGTCTACCCTACTCACTCCAGATGACTACAATGGACGGGTAAACCGAGCCTTGGTCTTTGGATAGGAATTCTGCTTAGACCCTTTGGGACTAGATCTTCCTCGCTGGCGATGTCTCAGAAATAGGATTTTCCGGCCCATCAATGGCTAGTGGGATACTACGAGATGGGACTTTGCCACTTTTAGCCATTGGGAACTAAGTCCAGCCGAGCCGCCTTTATGGAATTTCGCCACCGGGGAACCTACGCGGCGGTTGAGCTCGGCTTTTTGCTAAACATCCACGGCACCAGGCGATTGGTTACGCAGAGAGACACTGTAAGACACCAGCGTTGACTCAACATGGGACGTCTTGCGATACCGTATCGGAACGTTGCTCTATTTGGAAACGTTTTCTTCGATAAACTATGGTCGTCAAAAACGTGCTTGAGCTTGTCGTGATATTGCCAGTATCTACATTCACTTGATAGCTGGCCAAGGGAATAACATAAATTCTTGAATATACAACGACAGCATTAGGATATTTGTAACAAATAACTTCTGGTGATTCATGAAAGTAGTGATTAATTAGATGAAACTAAACAAGTTGTACTGAATAGAGAGCTCACTAAACCAGATCCTCTGTACCACGCAAAACCAACTTCCTGACCCATGCCATTTTGTAGCCCTGATTCCTCCATTTCTGATTCCAATTATCCCATACACTGCCTTGAACTGTAATGTGACCATTCCTATCGTTTGTTCTCAAATTGGCGAAGCTCGGTCCCTACCCAGGACACGAGCTGCTACCCGGTCAGAAGCTTCGGTAGCTTGCCTGAATTCGGCGATTGTTGGAGCGTTTAGGCCCTGTTTCTCTCGCTCGCGCCTCTGATCATGCCAGACAAATCACCAACCGGGATATTAAGAGGGAAATCGACAGCGGCGAGGATGAGGGCGAAGAAGATCCACCAACCAGTGAGAGAGCAAATGAAGGCCATTGCGCCAGCAGCCTATCGAGCGAATATTAGTCCTGAGTTTCTACACCAATTCCAATAGCTAGACACTTACCTTGACCAATTTTAGTACTACTGCAGCGTTGCCCGCGTAATCCATTGCCTGGAGGAAGTATGCGCCAGTGAGCAGCGGGAACGCAACCACGAGGCAGGCAAAGACGATGACAAAGGCAATGTTTGTACGCAGAGCTGCAATGAGATAAATGACACAGAGGAGGCCCATGAAGAGCAACCAGAACGCTGTTATATCCGTGTTAGTACGTCAAAATGTCCCCGGTGTGCAGAAATTGGAACGTACCGAAGCTGGCATTGAAGCCTGGGGTTGTGATGCCTACGGCTGCTGCTTCTCCAGGAGGTGCATACAAGGCGTACGCCTCGAAGCTAGAGTTGAGAGTACCGGCAAAGCTGAGCCAAAAGGTGCCAAAGGTAAGAAAGACGACACAGGGGAAAGTGTTGCCAAGGAAGAATTCGAAGAGACCACCGACAATCATGAGGATGCCGCCTTGGAAGAAGTACACCGGACTGATCACTGGTGTCAGCTGAGGGTTGAAAAGGCAACTCATTCCAAAGATAACACTTACATGCTTGCTGCACCGTTGCCGCCAGCACCGCGCCAGCCCATCAGGTCACAAGAGAGCGGTGTCAGGGAAAGGACGAAACCAGCAATAGCACTAAGTCGTGTTAGTCTTGACACAGCGAAGAAAAGAACGGCTCTCTAGAAGGCCGATGTGTTTTAATATTTAAATTTGGTACCTACATAGGTGTGGGATTGGCAAATGTCTTGCGAAGTTCTCCTTTAACGGCGTTCTGGGGGGAGAGATACAGCTTCTCAAACATCTCTGGGCTCATGGAGATGCTCTGGGCAGATCGGAAGCGGTTGAGCGTCTCCATTCTGTCCTCGCTGTTGTAGTCTTTTCCATTGAGGGCCTCATCGGCCATGTTGTTGTTCTCGGCGTGTGCCATTGTGTTGGTAGTGGCGAAGCTGGAGCGCTTCCAGTTGGGGCTTGAAGCTGTAGATAACCTAGATTGCTCTTCTAGTTGTAGACTAATACTGGAGGCTGTGTGTTTTGGAGCAGGTGGCTACAGCTCTTATTGTAAGATGATTTACACAAAATCTCCTAAGACACAACACAAGGGTGAACGGAAGGCATCAAGCTAGTCATATACCTTGAGCTAGGAGGGGACCAGCTGAGCAGCAAGTGCCGCGTCGGGGGTCTTGGAGACCTTGGGGTATGAATCCCCATTCGCCCAATGGTAAGCGCCATCAAACAGTTGTATCTTTTGCTTCTTTGCCCCTTAATGATAGGTAGCAGGTGTGGCACATTGCGCGACCACGAGACTTGGCTGTCCCCTTCACCCGGGTTGCTAGGGCCTGGCAGACGGGATATGATGCGGCTTGTACACAAGGCCCAACAGCGGTGATTGGTATGAAAAGGATGCATCTAGCCTGTATTGGCTGCACTGTGTCGTAGGCATTGGCTATCTTAGTGTACCGGCGCCCGCCTCTTCCAGAGCATATGGATTCACTTATATGCAGATGCCGACCGTCTTTGGGCTTCTTCAGCACCCGTTGACTATTACACCAAATAAGTCGAGTATATGATCCGTTTGATTCGCCTAATAAAATTCGGTGGTACTTGCTCTCGAATTGTAAATAATCACAATACCACCGTAGGAACTGTGGGCAATGCCCGCGACACGTACAGTGCAGATGCAGGTGGCATACAGGCGAAGGCTATAGACACAGGCTTTCAATGAGACTGCTGCTAGATCTGAGTTTAAGGCATGCGAGCGAGCACTGGGATTGGATGTCTCGAAGCCACCACCACAGACTCGCAGCCCAAAGCCCCAGTATTAGTATCCCTCCTCGAGAACGCCGGTTTTTGATGCTGCTCTGCTGAGCATGCTGCTCCGAGGAGATGAAGCAATCTAGATACGCTTTATTCTCTTTTCTTCCCTAGTATATCGTTTTTCATACCTCAACCTGCAATATTGGCCTCGCTTGTCGTCCTCAAACATCGCCTAGACCGCCGCATGTAACGCTGATTTACCCCGGATTCTGGGCTAGCGCCACACACTAGTGGCCTTCCCGCTGCCAATTTCCCTTCGCCCGAAGAGAGTCAGTCGTGACTCGCTGCCACCAACAACTTGAGTAGTGCACACACAGTGTATCGCCCGTCGGATTGTCGGCGCCAAAAATGATAAACACATCCTTGTGCCCAGCGACGCGCGCCAAGTTGGTCGGACAGACAAGTGTCCGCTAAAGTCCGTCCAGTGAATCTGCATTGATGCAACTGTCCGCTCCAATTGCCAACGAAACACTGTGTATTGAACTTGTGTTGGGTTGGAATTGGTGTCTCTGTAAACGCTACCCAAGGAAAATCGGGACAAGTAAGGACTGTTCCTTGTGATATATGTCGCAAGTCTTTGGCTATCAATATTGAAGACAGCCTGCTCGACATCGGGCCAAGTGTATAATGGGTAAATCGCACACTAATGACCGTTAGGTTCCACAGAAGAGTGACCTCCAAACCCCAAACCTACAAATTTTGCTAGATACTTTTCCTAGTATCCGCAGCCGTACAGTGCTGGACGCCATGTTACTGGGTGGCAGCTACAAGGAAGCTTCCACTAACCCTTCACACCTACATTTCGGTTCGCCGGAGCTTGGCTCTTCCGCGTTTTGAATTGCATGCCCATCGCCCCCTCAGATATCCAATGCGCCTCCGCACATTTCTCCAAATCCCTGCCGTCGTGTTCGTCTCCGCACGGTGAAAGTGGCTGGGCTAACGGAGCTCTTCTCCGCAAAACCCGTCAGTCCGTTGGCAGGTCTGCGTTAGTGTGCTTTCGCAAAAGAATTAATCGAAGTGTGCAGAGCTCCTAGTTACTTAGTCACCAAACAGATATCATGACGACGATTCATTACCCCAAGTTTGCAAGCCCCGAATGGACGCTGAGCTCGACCCTTGTATCCTGGCGAGAAAAAGAAAAGTGAATCATTCATTTATCAGACAAAATCAACGCCTCGAGTAGCATATGGTTGAGGGTGTGTTGTCCATCCTGCTCTGAATAAGCCCAATGTAACGGGTTCGGCAGATCCCATTGCCGTTTCTTGTCAGTCTGCTCCAACTTTTCAAGAGTCTTTAGTAGACAGGTCGCAGCAACGACACGAAAGCTCTCCATGAGTGAATCCGATTTTCCTGCAGGCTTTTCACAACCTACAACTACGCACGCCCAGCTAATCTCCAGTGTTGTTTGGGCACCAGTCAATCCGTAGCCACGAACAACAAGCTCATCTGGGTGCTCGTCATCGTCATCTTCTTCTTCCATCAAACCGACAATCCAAGTCAGGAGGCTATCCATGCCTCCTCCGAGCTTCACTGAGGATTCCTTTTGCCTTCTTGTTAAGCTACCGGTCTTATTAAAAATAGAACCGCAAAATGCTTCTGCCTCAGTGATGTGAGTGCGTGGATTAGCAGCATGTTTCCACATGAGATCGGCAAGCCCGTCTTCATATCTAAATCTCTTTAGTTAGTACCTTGACCAAGAAAGTCGCAGCCATACTTACAAGCGTCTGATTTTTCGCGCCTGATCAAAGCGTCGAGTGTAATCGATCCACGAGCTCATGCCGAGCTTCTCAATTGTGTACTGCATATAGTCCAATAGCTGGGTCCAGATAGAAGGGCCACTGTAATCTACCTTCAGCTGCATGTCAGTACTCCAAATCTTTTCCTCATCTATGTCTCGGAATAAGAGTCCAAGAATCTTCTGAGACAAGTGATACTTGTATGAAGGGCGACCTAGTCCATCATCACCTTCCTCATCTTCCTCATATTTGGCTTTTGGCAGGAAGTCAATCTGGCCTAGAGTGTAAAGCTCAGTAGGTGGTGCTGGTGCAACACTAAAATCAGTTAGCTCGTGTTATCCGCCAGTAAAGCCTGGATACTTACAAGTCCGGGCGAGTTTTAGGCGCTCTAGGCATGTCCGCAACAGACACTGGTATTCCTGTTTTGGAATAATCAACTGCAGTAGAATGCAATTCGGCCAACTCTATGCATTCGTGAGAAGCGGTTCCACCCTCCGTAACGTCAGCAAGCACTTGATGCCGGGAGGCAATCAACCCAAGAATATCGTTTTTCATGAAATTGATAAAGAATTCCGTGATATCTTCTCGTGTCACTGCTCGATCGAGTGGTACTGGAGATACTCGTGGATAATCTGCAGGCGCAAACGAGTACAAAGGAATCGCGTCAGGGTCCCAAATTACACTGTACAGGTCACCATCCAGATCACCTCCGCTGAGCTGACTGGGCAAATCTCTGCTACCCTTCTGACTGAAAACAATACAGTTTTTCAAGTTTCGTAATGGATGGCCCGCTGGAGGTATCCTTAGCGCGGCAATCTGAACATCTCCAGGGTGAAGAGCAGGAGAGCGCGTGACGATTAGCGGCCCTTCTGATAACGAACTGGCATCAACCCCATACGTCTTTGCTACCTTTGAATCAAAGTCAACATACACTTCACCCTCTTGTAAGAATGCCGTTTCATCCATTACACCGAAGAGCGTTATTCCCTTCTCAACTGGGATACGCGCCTTGTGTTTCAGCAGCCTCAGTTCGCGAAGCAGCACATGGTCTACCACACCTTTCAGAAAGCTATCACGCCGATAGTCGATACTAATACTATCAAGCCGAGTGATAAACTTGGGGAAATTGATGGCCGATCCAATTGCCTGTTGGCGGAGAAACGTGCTCGTATTGAGGGGGCTCGACGCAACACCTTGAAGAAATCTCAGGGCACGATTCTGTTGGCTAAAAAACCATTCGTGTTTGGTACCCATGTCTTCTAGAATCTTGATAATTTGACGGTTCAGAACAAATTTCAGTGGGCGGGAGGATGTGTCGCAAATTCCCATAGAGACGAACTCAGTGCTCGGAAACTTCATCATTGATTCCTTGCGAATGCAAATAAGGCTGCCTTTCAGGCGAGTATCCAAAGAGAGCATGCCCTTGATACCACCTAGTCTGATTTGAATGCATGTAGCCTTCTTATGAGACTCGGGCAACACTTTTCTCACCCTCTTAAGCGCTTCGCTTGAAATGGTTCCTACACCGTCGCTAAAGACGCGGTCGCCGTCACTGTTTTTGACCTCTGGGATGTATCTGACACGAATATCCTGGGTCATGTCCACTGTGTAAGGTGTCTCCGAAAATGCTTGCCCGATTCTGGCCGCACACTTAGCCGCGACTCGAATGTCTTTGAAATCGCCAATTCCTCGTAAAATTGATTCATAAGTTTGAGCACGCATATTGCTGTCTGTGAATGGAGCCGAAAACCATGTTGAGTGAGACCGAAGGGATGAATGAGAGAAGGCGAGAAATGCAAACTTTCTTCCCGCAATGTTTATTCCCTGTTTCAAAATGGAATGAAATCGATCGAATATTCCGCCGTTGTTAACTCGTGGATTCAGAGTCAGGTTGGAACCGTCTTCGTCACAAAAGGTGACACGAAGGAAGTAGTCTTGATGTTTAGCGAACTTGTGGAGGACGCTATTGCAAGTCTCCGTGTCAGGACCATTAAGGACGATCCTTGTTGGAGTAACCATTGCTTTAAAGACCCATACATGATTTGGTGCTAGGGCTCCTCCATATACCGGGTCTCGATTGACGCTCATCTTGCTCAGCTCAGCTTCTTTCTGGCGGACCTTCTCCATGAGTTCAAAAACATCCAAGTCCCCTTGGTCCATTTGAGGTGATGGGTACGGTGTATCCGAGAAAAGAACTTTCATAGATTCCGTTGTGAAGGGGATTGGCTCGTCGTTCATTTGAGCGGCGCGTGCCAATGTTTCCAGGATAGTCAACATGTGGTCAGCATCCTTTGGATGCAAATAATTATTCCATACGAGAGCCTGAACTTGAAAGAGAACACCAAAGTGGATTAAACGCCCTGAGTTGCCCATCTGTGAAAGCCTGCTGGTGAACGACTTTAGGCATGTCGAGTAGTCGTGTAGTCGAGGTTCAGGACGTTCATCAACAGGAACACGCTCCTTTGATATGTCAAAATCACGAGACTTGAGGCTGCGTACGAGGTCGCTAAATCTCTCTCCTGTATACCAAACTCGGTATACCAGACAGTGTGCTACATATTTATCGTGATTGGGCACTGTATAAATATGTTGCATGCGTGTAAGCCGAGACCCCCCATATTCTGAAGGAGTGGGGAGATAAAAACGAGGTGGATCTTCCAAGACAAATGTAAAGGACTTATCCGTGAAATCTGCTATGCACTCCTGAATTTTCCCATACGCAATGTATACGGACTCGTCAAGAGTGTCGAGGATGGCAAACTTTCGGCCGAACTTGAGCATGCCTACATTTTGAGCCGAAGCTTGGCAAGCAAATGTCACTGTACCGTTCTTAAGAACAAGCTTTCCGCATGCTATCCTATTGGTAGTACAGCTGATGCTCGAATGGTCACGCACTCTTTTTGGACGTGCTGCAGCGCTTTGTTGGTGCTTCATATATTTGAGGGTTTGGATGGTGTCAGCATCAACGTGTCGAGTGCTAGGTTCGACGAAAACTGCATTGTTTAAGATGAAGAGCTTAGGTATAGCTCTTTGCTTCAAGTTTAGGCCGGATTTGGTGAAACCTAACCTGACGTTCTTCGTCGGTTCCTTTCCATGTTTAGCTAGGAATTTCTTCCCATCTTGTTCGTCAAGGAAAGTAACCCATGCAAACGTCTTGTGCCGAGGCTTGTCGCAGACAAAGGTTCGGATCCCAAGTGGTGCTGCGTGAGCTTCAAGCTCCTGTCTCAGGCTGACCTCTGTGAGATAATTGGGAACGTTGGAAAAGAAGAGTTCCATTATTTGTCGCTCGAAGGGCTGCTACCTGCAAGGCTTTGTTGATTAAATATTACCGTAAGTTACAAATGTGTAGAATCGATTGAAACTGCGATAGTATAATAAGCAGAAGCGTGAACCGACTCTGTCTGAAGTAGGGGGCTTCTGAGGTTTTTATGTGTAGCCAATGTAATGGAGCAAAGGCTTCGACTTGTATCCTTTCTATGAATCATGCATAAAGGATATCTGCAGTGAACGCCACTGCAAACAGCACTCCCTCAATAGCAAAATGCCGTGCAAACAATGGAAATGCAAGATGATACCGGCGGTGAGCAATCTAATCTGTCAGGGGCCACAACCCCAGTTGCGACAGGGGTGGAACACCCTTTGATGAGCGCTTGCTACTGTAGCTGTCTACGATACGCGAGTTCGATGCTATCTGAATATGGCAACTTGTTATAGAATTTTGACAATGACGATAAAACATGATGAAAAGTTTTCATTCCAAACAAAGTGGTAACTTGGAGGGTTGTCAGCTGGCAGGTCCTGTGCGACACTAATGCGGGAGGCCGCAACTGGCAGCCATCTGGTAGCCGGTCAACTTTGGCTGAGTCCGTATCACTGCCCATCCGCCTTGATTCTTTTCATGCTTTGTGAACAGTTTGTGACGCATCAGTGCATCAGTGGTTCACTTTGCTCTGACCGCGCTGGATTTAGGCGATGTTAGTCTTGTATCGTACAGTCCAGCCTACAGGCGGAGTGAGTGGGGGTGGGGGCTCAACACTTGCCGGTCTAAAATACCGAAAGCCTGGAGCGATGACAACAATGACAGATGAAGACGCAAGATAAATCTTTTCCAATTCAACCAACATTTCTTCTTCATCAACATTAAAGTCTGTGTCTATCCCAATTCACCTTCGAAGTCCTTGCCGCCTAGCTCTTTTCACTCACTTCACCACCCGTTCACCCTGCGTCAAGACTGCCCACCATGGCTAACGCTGGTATACTCTACGTCACTATGCAACCCAAACCCTCCTTATCACTTGACCAATTTCATGAGTGGTACAATAATGAACACGGCCCGACCAGATTAAGAATCCCGTCTATCTTTAGCAATGGCCTTCGGTACAGCGCAGCCGCTGGCACCGACGCCAGCCAGCCACAGTACATGGCGGTTTACGACGTGGTTTCGATGCAATCCCTAGAGACGGATACCTACACTTGCCTACGCGCCAACCGGTCCGCTCGGGAAGCTGAGACTATATCGCAAGTGGATGTAAAACGCTACTTCTACGACTTGATGCATACCAAGCAATCACCTCTGTTCGCGCCGATTGAGCAGCTCTCAGATGACGAGGCGGTGGGCATTACAACTGTGGCGGTAGAAATGTCACTAAAGGATGTCCCAGGAGGATTTGAAGAATATCAAAGTTGGTATAAAGAAGAACACGTTGAAATGCTAGCCAAGGTTCCCGGCTGGCTGCGCAGTCGCCTTTTCCAGACATCATCTGTTGAGCACCCTGGCCAGACTGTGCTATTCATGTTACATGACTACACAAAGGAGAACGGCCTAGGTGGTCCTGAGCACAAGGCCTCTATGGATACCCCACGTAGGGAAAAGGTTTTCAGCACGTACGTGGGCAAGAAAGGAAGATCGACCTGGGAATTGTTTTACACCTTTGGTGCCGCACCGCGAGAACTGGCTGCACTTGGGAGGTTACCAAACAGTGCTGCTTTTGAGTCTGCCGATAAAAAGACATCAACGACACCCGGACAAGATGCAGCCATTACATCGTACATTGAGACAGCTGACAACCTGGTCATCCCATTCCGATTAGAAGGCAATGCCTCCCCCAATGCGCCCACCATTGCGTTTTGCAATTCTTTGTTGACCTCATACTCGATGTGGGATCCTCTAGTTGCTATTATCAAATCGCAACGCCCAGACGTTCGAATCCTTCGCTACGACACGCGCGGTCGAAACAGCATTCCGCAGCCTCACAAAGCCGCAACACTAGTCACCGTGACTTCGGATTTGGTGCAAGTTCTCGACACGCTACGCATACAGAAACTAGATATTCTTATCGGAGTTTCTATGGGAGGAGCCACGACTCTGAACTTTGCCCTTTCCCACCCCGATCGTCTTTCGAAATTTATCGCGGCAGACTTCAACTGCACGTCAAGTCCTGCGAATACACAAGCTTGGAAGGACCGCATCGAAGTTGCCCGAAATGATAACGGGGCTGGAATTCAGGTGCTGGCTGAGCAGACAGTCACTAGATGGTTTTATCCCCAGACGGTACAAGAAAAACCCGAAGTCGCACAATGGATGACGCACATGGTTGCGACCAATGACGTTGAAGGCTTTGCACACAGCTGTACTGCCTTGTGGGACTACGACTTAAAACCATTGTTACAGTCTTGCAAGATTCCGGGCTTGTTGGTAGTTGGAGATCAAGATGCTGGAGGCGCCCTTGTGAAAGCCATGCAAGGCTTTCGCTCAAGTATCGGCCCCTCTGGCGCGGATATAAAAATTGTTGAAAACACTGGTCATCTGCCCATGTGCGAGGACCCAGGAGCCTTTTGGGCTGCCATTGCTAGCTTTTTATAGATAACTAGATTTCAAATTTGTACTTCAAATGTTATAATACATCGGAACAGTGAAGGAAAGACTCATCAACATCTGCGATGGAAAGTGTGATAGTGTAGTTTAGCGTAAAATGATATGGTGATTTGATTTCATAAATGTAGAGTGGCAAAAGCACCCCATAATGTATTAATGATTTCATGAACAGTCATAAAACATGAATGCGTAAATAATCAGAAACGAGATGTTAACTAATTGGGTTCAGGCAGACTTGAACTGTTCCGAAAGACGATCAGCGTTTCCTCCACTCGTCAAGAACTGTTGGATTCTGAATCGCACCACCGTTTGCGCCACTGAGCCAAGCTCTGCAAGCCTCTAGTCGAGCATAGGAAGCATTCTCATCTCGTTGAACAAGATCTATCTTTGCATCAATCACTTCCAGAATGCTCCGGCCAGCCGAGTCCCGAGCATGCACATTAGCCCCATTCAAAACTAGGGTTCTGACAGCGAGCTTCCTCCCACAACGAGCAGCTACATGTAGAGCTGTTTCTCCTCTGCGATTACGGCTGTGGATATTAGCACCACCCCTCAGCAGTGTCTCAATGATTGCTGGTCCGATCTTGTAGTCGCCGTCTTCAGGTAAAGCAGCCGCAAAGGTGATGAGAGGTGTATTGCCGTCATTGTCATAATGATTGGCGTTAACACCATATGAAAGAAGCTTAGAAACGAGGGAGTGTCTGATTTCCATCCTTTCACTTGAAGAGTCGCTCACGATATCAGATAGCTTTCGTTTCCGGCTAGGTCTTACATCTGGGGCATCAGCCTCTGGTGGCTGCCAAAGGCTAAGATTGGCAAGCGCCAGACAGTGTAGAGCATTTCGGCCTTTCTCATCTTCAACGGCTGGGTAATGCATAGCCCAATTAACGGTGTTAAGCAGTCCCTTTGCCTTCTCTATATCGGGATTTGTTCGTTGAGCGGCCTGTGGGTTGCTGGTTGGTGTCTGCTGCGCTGTTGACGAAGATGACTCTAGGAGGTCGCTTGGTGATCTATTAGGGAAATTCTCTCGCATCTGATTCTCGGGGTACTGGGAGTTCCAGTACTCTGGGTTCTCTGCACTCCAGTAAGGCAATATGCTCTTCAGGAGCGGCCGTGGCCTTTGCGCCAGTGCGATCAAGGGCACATGGCCAAATGCATCACGGTTGCTTGGTAGACTTGAGCCGCAAGCATCCACGAGTTTCTGTAAAATTGATGCAGTAGCACCATCTCGCTGCAGTATGTGAAAGATATTGCGACCGTAATAGTCGCAGGCCTCGATATCAAAACCGATGGAGCTCAGGTGTTTAACCAGTTCTGTGAACTGGTCGACCCGTCGGGTCACCGAGCGCTGTACCAGATGAAGGAATGTTTGCCCGGAGCTATTCACTTCATTCAATATACTGTGTGAATGTGGTGAATGAATTATGCTGGCCAATTGTTCCACGCTACCTCGAGCAGCAACAAAGTGAAGTGCCGTGTTGTTGAAGTCGTCGTGTAAGAGGAGATGTTCGGCATCCCAATCCCCAGATAGAAGTTGCTCTGCATGAGGGGACAGTCCTAGAGATGAAGCAAAGGGTGAAGTCCATATTTCTCTAGTTGGCGCACACATGCACCGGCGTTGTGCATGCTCCGTGGGATGGTCACGGCACCGATTGGGCTGTTGTAGGTCCAGACTCAAAAGGTCACCCGACAGTGGAAAGGGGAAAGTCGTGATTTCAGGAGCAGCGCCTTCATCTCCTAGAGATCGCAAAATATTCACTGGTCCATCTGGGTGAGGTGTCAGTCGTGCGCTGCGACGGTATGCAGCTAGCTTCCTCATCAGGCGTTTGACTGCTTTGACGTAGGGTTGCGTGTATCCTTTCAAAATTTTGTGTACAGAGCCGTTGCTTCCATCAGTAGATACAGAAGTAACTGTTGAAGCTCTCAAAAATGGCATCAAATCTCTGGTGTCGCTACCAACGTCCGGGTGACTCATGGCTTCCTCAATGTAAACGGCAGCCTTGCTGTCTGGATTTGTCCACATTTGGAAGCCTGCACTACCAGACTCGAGCTTGCCAATAGGCGTAAATGTCCCGAGTGGATCTTCTGGAAAGGGTAACATGTCATTAGAATCCAATTCTTGTTTTACTTCAACTCGTATGCCACCAGGGCCCGGGTCCGAAGCCGAATAGGCGTGCACTGTTGGCGTTGTGGAGTCCGGGGTTGACATTGTCGACGACTGCGATAGTTGATGCAACCGTTGGCCCATATCGTAAACTGAGCGCGGGTGCAGCCATCTTGGTTCTTTATCCAACAAATGATTTAATTTCTTGTTAGCCGAATCATGTCCAGGGGATGCGGAAGTCGCCGAACGGTTAATCAATTCAATAATCTTATTCAGTGGCAATGTTGTGTAAAGATACAAGCCAGTCATTTGTCGCTGAGACGAATTTGTCCACATAGGAGGACGGCCGGTTTGGGGGGTTTGGCTGGCATTGGAAGGAGTAGCAGACGAATCTCGAGCAATGCCTATACTCGCCAGCGAGTGTTGGGACATTTGCTCTGGCAGGTGTTGGTGTTCTTTTATAATGAGTGTCGTGTGGAGGGGGGCGACTCCAGAGGAAGTTCATGACAAGGCAATCAGCCACAGAGAGCAGGAGTGACAAATCTCATGGTTCGATATAAGATCTCGACAAGGGATACGTCGAGTTTAAAAGTTTGACGAGATAATGGCACCTAGTACCTCGAACGAGGTACTTTCCGCCATACTGAGCTTGGTGACCTGCAGCCAACAACGTCCTCCACCTGGCGCGGAGTATCAGCCGAGAAAGTACCTCCTGCGCCGGCGAAAACAAGCCAGGATGTGGTATGCAGGGATTTTGCTAGTACGAAGGCGCATTTTGCAGGCAAAAGGTGAGAATTGATAGTAAGAAGGCGTATTGCTGGCTCAAGGTTTGCTGGAATTTTGGTGGTGACTGTGTTGACTGCGCCCAGCAACGTACCAATAAGAGGGCCTCCGCTACTGCAAAAGGCGGCCAGTTATGGCGGCCGGGCATGCTGAGCGGCCAACTTTGGCGGCCATCTACTAGCCTGCGGCGGCCCATTCTTGCGGCCACCTGCACCATAATGGCGAAGAGGAAGGGATATGACGGTCACTGAGCGAAAATTTTCAGCAGCCACGTACTATTAGGAAATGAGGAGCGGGGAAGGTAATCTGCTCTGGTTCAGAAGCAATGATGAAGGGGGGAAAGAAATTGGCGAGCTCCGACAAAAGCTGATGGTGCTGTTTGCCAGGTGGCCGCGTGTAAGTGACAGCTGCCCGCCAGCTACCCGCTAAAACTTCCCCGCCAGCACCAACCATCGACTGCGGCAAGATTTAAAACGCAGCAGAGCCTCCAACGGCAAACCCATCAGCTTGTCTGCTACCAGTACCAGATTGACTTTCTCTGTCCATCAAACGGGGCACAGCACCGCTAGCACGAATACCTACGGTGTCGCAACCTTGATTCACCAGTCCCTGCCACGATGATCAAGCCTCTCGCACGGCGCATGCACGTGCTCTGAGCCTCGTTTGCTTAGCGCATCTTGGACTTTTTCCACTTTGATATTTCCTTAGCAATCTCCCAAATGGAGTAGATGTGTGGCAGCCATGCATGCTTCTAAGACCGATGTACTTCGCCCCATCGGCCTTACTGGGCCGCATTTCCAGCCTGACGGCCATCCATCCCGGATTCCGGGGAGGGCTGAGTCCGCCCGATAAACCCCCCTCGTCCAGCCTCGTGGTACGCCTGGCCCGGCAAGCTGGGAATCATCTCTCGCGTATCATTGCCCCCACCCACCAGACTACTTGTTGTCTATTCTTTGTTACGCCCCGTCTTTGTCAGAATGCGCCGTTGGAATTGGTTCGCGGCCCATCAGAGGCAGCCAGGCTTGCCGGGCTTGCCGCGCTATACTTCGTTGTCAACCTTAACCGAAGGCTCACTTGTAGCTGTGGGTACATCGTAAGGTCAATAGTTTGATGATGCATGGAAATCATAACTGTACGTACACATTGGCGGCCTCGTTCGCTTCATTCCGGACCCAGAGATGCTCAGTACAGTTCATGGCGGGAAGTTCACCTTCGGCCACCTCCGGTCATATTCGACTATCCTCTCACCACAGCGAGATAGGACAGACATGTAGATTTGATATCTACTCTCGGATCTTACGGAAAATTCATCTCTGCTGATACTGTCTGGAAGGACGTAACTCCTGAGGCATCTATAATCCTCAGTGGCCCTCAGTCTGGTATCATGAGAGCAATGGCAACAATCACAGAGCCGGTTCGAAAACTGCGATATCATCTGTTTTTAGACAAGTTTTATAATTACATTGTAGCACTAATATCGTCTCGATAGGAAGAATTATTGCCAGACACATTTGGAGGCACTCTCCTCGTTTGGCGCACGCTGCCGCGGGTGTCTCACTGGTAACCCCATAAAGACCTTTTACAGGCTTTTAGGGATGAGCAACGCAGCAACAGTATCTATGACATATCAAATCAATTGGCACAACATATGGTCATACACACCGCCCGGCTACTACCCGAGGACATGTTCTGTCAGACTCGACAGACGTTGTGAGATGTCGGGGCGGAGAGGAGCAGCGCCCAGACAATTTAAACAGCGCTGCTGAATTTACTACCCGATTGGGAAGCAGTTTTCTACTTAGCCACAGTCAACAGAAAGTTAAAAATTGGCAGCGGAATATATTGTGGCGCTGGTGGCTATAGAGTTTGGGCGAGCCGCCTGGCAACGCTGCAGGCGCCAACCAGCTGGAGGCATATTAACCATTCAGTTGGTAACAAACAGGCTATTCTCCGCTTTTCCATCGCCAGGCACCAAAGTCAAATCAGCAGCGACTTGGCAGACAACGGACGATAAACGACACCGCCTGGGGCGTGACCGTTTTGTAGGTGCTTGCTTTTGGTTCAGGAGACAATTGATGCTCACCAAAAGGAACCTAGTGGACTCATTGATGCAGGTACAAGTCAGTCTGTGGCCGTGGGCTGCATTAGCTGAGACGAGCCCCTACAGCGCCCCATCATAGGGGGCCCAAACAGGCAGCTGAGAACGCTGACAGAGCACCCAACTCCCCCTGAGCGTTAGGAGATGGCGGCCCCCTGGACAGTCCAGGGCCTGGATCTGCACTGAACTATTGGCTGTCAACGCTGCGGGATTCCTTCGGGAGAGGGTCTGCATGGGGCAGATCGTAGTCCTTTCTTTGAAGGTGCTGTTTCCTGTCCATGGCTGTGGATGAATTCAATGGCTTCTGGCAAGTCCGTGTCCGTACCCACTGATGAAAATGGCTCAACAAAGTCAATGCAGCTGACGAAGAGTTTTTAGAGGGTGCTCGCGGCGCTCGCGCGACGCCCCAAAGTCAGCTAGACGAAGTAGCCTCGGGTGGATGCCTTTTTGGACACTAGAAAGAGACAATTGCAAATAAAAACTCATTAACCAAGCCGGAACTAGACAAGCGTACCAAAGCGCAGACACCGACGAAAAGCGGACGACGCGTGATGTCGACGTCTGTGGGCGGCGAAAAATCGTCGACTGCCACGCGATGCCGAAACATGCTGCCTAGTTAGGACTAGCGCTATCGCCCTCCGCAAAACCACTCTTAAAATGAACCATGGTCAGAATGCCAAACGAGATTGTTGTGTGGTAATATGGTAAAATTAAAAACTATCTTTTAAAGGTTGACAGAGCTGACCAGTGCTAATAGCGCTCTCTAAGAGAGGGTATCAACAGGCAATAAGCTGTCTAGGCAAGTAAGAGATGGCTAAAAAAAACAAAGGCCCATGTATGGCTAGAAAGGCATGTGCTTGTAGCAACATCCTTTCACGTCTAAAAGAAATTGAACCCAAAACGTCTGCGAAATATCTGCAAATAAAAACCCCGGGATAAGTCTGAGGAACCCGTATGTAACAATCATGAATCGTAGGTGATAACCAAAACAATAGACAATGTCGTTCGTTCGTTCTCAGCAGGAAAGGAACGTCAAGAAAATGAACAAGGGGATGGATTGTTTGAAGAGAAGTAGCAAGAGCAGCAGCAGCAGCAGTAGACGATCAAGACAGGCGTTTTGTGACTATCAGTGCCGCGCCGCAACCTTCTCTTCTTCCTTTACTCAACCATTTAGAGGAGAGCAGCGGCAACACCGGCAGCGGCGGCGAGGTACTCGACGGCGAAGCGGCCAGCAGCACCAGTGACAACGGGAGGCTGGGTGCCCTGAACGGGAGGAGTGTAGGTGGCGGTGCCGTTGTTGTGAGGAGCGGGAGTGGTGGTGACGGGGCAGACGGTGGTGGTGATGGGGATGGTCTCAACGCTGGTGGTGGTGTGCTTGACAGGGCAGTTGGGGACGGTGCTGGGGCACTCAGTAACGGTGTGAGTGACGTAGCTGCAGATGGTAGAGGTGGTCCACTGGGTGACGGGCTTGCTGGTCTCGGTAGAGACGGTGGTAGGGCAAGAGGTGGTGGAAGGAACAGCAGAAGAGGAGCTGACGGGACCCTTGGTGCTGGAGCTCACGGGAGGGATGGAAGAGCTGGGGACGACAGAGCTGCTGGGAGTGGCAGAGCTGCTAGGAGGAACAGAGCTGCTGGGAGTGCCGCTGGTGTGAGTGGCAGTGTAGGTGACGCAGGAGCAGGCAGAGGAGAACTCCTGGACGCTGGGGCAGTTGTTGAACTGAGTAGGGATGGCAGAGGCGGCGGTGGTGGTGCCGGCGAGCCACTGCTTGCAGATAGCGGGAGCCTGGTCCTTGAAGCGGTCATCGACCAAGTTGCGGTGGCAGTTGTCGGGCTCACAGTCGGGGTACTTGTTGGCGGCGACAGTGGCGGCGAGGAGGGCAACGGCAGCGAAGGACTTCATTGTGAATGTAGTGTTGGTGTGTTGTTGTTGTGTTAAGCGAATGTCGAGACGAACTAAAAAGTCGACTGAAGTGTGGAAGAACGAAGGTCTTTTAGAGGTGTGAAGCGAAAGTGGTTAGAGAGGAGAGAAGGGAATAAGCTAACGGAGTAGGGCCGGGAGGAGACGGTGCTTTATACGTTTAAGACGAGGATTGTCGATGCGAGGCGGGTGGCCCAGAGCCAAGCAGTGCAACCCGGTTTACCGGACAAAGGAGACAAGCCCACCAGCCCCATCAGGCACCACACACTAACTAACACGAGCTGGCGCTAACGCAGCCCGTATTTCTTTTATTGTCCGGTCGGCCCTGTCGTTTGACTGGAGTGGAGGGGTGGGCGGCGTAGAGCGATGGGCGGCACATGCAGCCAAACAAGCCGCCAAGCTAGAGTCACTGGCCTGCGCCCGGCACCTAGAGAGCAGCAGTACGGAGGTGGTGTGGGGGCCCTGGTCAAGTCAGGCGGCTGTTGATTGGCTGTCAGTGGACGCTTTGGCCAAAAAGGGGCGAACCAGCAGCGCTAAAAATAAAATACAAAAGAATAAAATAAAAAGAATAAAATAAAATGGGGGCCGACGGACACGACAGAAGGAAAAACAGGACTCCTCCGCGCACTGAGTAAGTGCGCTGGCGCCGCTGCAGGTGCCTTCTGAAAGAAAGAAAAAAAATAGAATACGGCGCTAACTTTTAGTGGTGTGGATGCTAGGTCGCGCCCTTGTACCTTTTTTTTTACTGCAGCGATTGGGCGCTGACTGAACAGACACTCAGAGACAGGTTCCAGCTGTTACAGACAGCACAGCCCACAACAGCACCAGTACCAGTACCAGCACCAGCCACTCGCTGCAAGCTAATGCGTTTTAGTGTGCTGCAGGTGTGCCTTTTACTTTTCTTTTCTTTTTCTTTTCTTTTCTTTTTTTTTTTGGTTTCGACTTTTCTGTTCGTACGAGAGAAATTTTCGTCATCTTGTCTCCGGGCGTGTCCATCCGTCAGGGTGGCTCTGCCCACCGTTTCCCTGACATTGGCTCATCGCGCTCATCTCAGCGCTATCGGTGGACAGTCAGTCCTGACGTTACAATATAGAAGTGGGCGGAAAGAAGCCGGAAGAAGCGCTTTTCCCATCCGCTGGAACCTTTCCGCTGGGAACCACTGGGATTGTACCCAGTTTCTTTGTCCGCCAAGCTGTCCGCAACCCACCTCACACGTCACCACAGGCAAGGAGAAGGAGAAGACCTTTTCTTTTCGTAACTCCTTCTTTTTTTTATTGTTTTTTAGGAGGGGCGGGCCTCGTCGGAATCCATGCCGATGGAGTAACGATACGCAGGTACGTTATTTCCTTTTTGCTTGCATGAGCCATGCACCTCCGTGAAAAGTTGTGTTCACCAGCGGATAGTCCCTTTTACACGCAGGTCCAGCCAGTTCATGTCAGGGGCATTTCCTACGGACAAGACCAAAAAGCAAATTGGAAAGTGGCCAGGGCTCTTATTCTGCACAACATGAAACCTGTGTTGATGGGGTCTGGGCTACCTACCTCATTGGGGAGGCGAAAATGTGGTGGGTGGTGGTGGTGTGGACGACAGGCGGGTGCAACAAGCAGCACAACATGACGTCTGCATGGCTTCTCGCGGGACACAGGACGGAAAAAGCCTGTAATTTCCACTGACCGGGAAACGAAAGGAACGTGTGGAAACCGACGGAGCGAGCCTTGGAATCCGGCAAGCTCGGAGTGTCGCTCCGTAGGGGTAAACCGTTATCGTCATGGCGAGCAATCTCGATATCTACCACGTTGGCGTGCATTGACCTAGGCTGCTTCGTCTGGTCTCCAGGACTGGGTCCTGACCGATACGGGAAGTAACGTGCGCCGAGAGTGAAATTTTAGAAGAGTAAATGAATGCGAGGGCATTGAGCAGGCACAGGAGGAGGTCACTCAGTTTGTTGCCTTGATGTGGCAATACGAGAAAATTTAGAACACCCACCACCCTCAGGCCCAAGCCACAGGTTCTGGCAGCCAACCGTTGTCTCGCTGATAGTTTGTGTGGTTATCGTGCAGGCCAGGCCAATCGTTGAGACGGAGCTGCAGGCCGCAGGCACTAACACGGACAGAACGCACACACACCACCATCACGGACACACACGCTTAGGCACGGAGTGGCTAGTGTGGCGCTAGACACTACGGCACAGCAACAAAAAATGGTGGTCACTAATAGTGGTTTGTTGGTCAAGCGAAGTGAAAAGCAGTTTTTCTGCTGGGAGGGCAGTGCTGTTTTCTACGCCATCCGTTCGCATCGGATCTGTTTGTGTGAAGAACCCTCAGCTGCTGATGATGGTAATTACACGCCTTCACATGTGCAGAGTCTTCTCTTTTTCCACTCGCTCAATAATAGAGTCAAGTTAAGCAAGTATCTTTTTTCCATACTTCTTTTCCACTTTTTTTTTCCTTCTTTTTATTTTAGAAACACCGCCCAACCAGTCACAGTGCACGAAAAAGATGGGAATTGCCATGCGGACCTCTTCGTATTCCAGCACCACAACTAATGCCCCAGCAGGGCTCCACTGCAACGTGTGGAGAGCTCTCACTGGACAAAGGCCGTCAGAGGCAGCACAATGACATCACGAGCATGACGGCCCGATATTTTTAGCTGCTGCTCACCTGGTATACTAAACGGTAGTTTCTTTGCGCCGTGTCTTGGCGAGTTTTAACCCGCTTTTTTTATTCTGAAAGAAAGAAACAAAATAATAAATAATAAAATATTGTTAAAAGCAAATTAGCGCATGGCCCTCTTAGCCCATGTCTTTGCTGCTCATGATGCGCTGTTGTACCCGAGATCTTGGGGCACCCGGGCACAGCCTTGCAGCCCAAACACAGCGGTTCGGTTCCTCCCAGCCTAAACAAAAGTGCGGTGACCTTTTACAAGGACCTACAGTAGTACTGTACTACATACAAAGCTGGTGGTTGCTCTAGCGTTGCGGTTGGCGATGGCACCGTGGGATGTCGATACTTGCCGCTCTTGACGCAGCTGCAGAGCGCATCGCTTAGGTTGCTAGGGCACCACAAGTCAGCCAGCATGAACTAATCATGGTTCATCAGCATTTGACGAAGATCTAAGCTCGGCGAGTAAAAGAAAAAAAGAAAAATTACTCAACAAGTACCTTGCGAGGCGAGAGAGACATCGTACTTGTGTTTCTCTCTTTTGCATGTCAGGCGAGACACACCAGGCTTCATTAACCATCCATGTATCTCTTTTTGCTTGCTTGCTCTGCGCCCGCATCAGCTGTCTCAGCTACTACTTAGCCTCTCAAGACGCACACCAAGACAAGTTCGTGAGGTCATTGCAGCCTTCGTCAAGCTGTTTGTTTCAAGACTTTTTCGTAAACTCGGCCCTGCGAGCCGTCTCCTCGTGTTTCTCTCGCCTGCGCTCCAAGACATGGCACAAGCTTACAAATGAGGCAAAGTCACAGGCTCGTTAACGTCCAAGGCTCTCTCGGCCGGCTGTCCTGTTCGTTGCTTGCTTGCTTGCTTGCTTGCTTGTTCACTCGCCAACCTAACCTTTGCCTGAATCAATTTTTTTGTTCTAGAATTTAATGCGCAGGCTACTCATGCATGCAGGGCGCTGAAATACGAGATGTTTGGTCCACGTTGTCTGCGTTATGCACCACGCCTCTACTAAGCGACGAAGTAGCAAGCCCCATGAAGACGAAAAAATAAGAAATTAAAAAAATGCTCTGATAGTTCGATAAGCCGACAGCAAGCGCCACACTTTGAGCTCAGAGGCAACGTTGTTGTGAGGCTGAGATGACGCAGCTCTGCATCACGCCGACGACTTCGTCACTCGGTCAAACTTCTCGGCGCCATCTCCTGCGGACTGCTGGTGTAATTCATCCCATCTTTTATCACTGTCAGCTTATACAGACTCTCATTCTGGACGTGCGCATACAGGCTGCCAGAGCTATCCCAGTGTCTAATTTAGGTTTGCCACTCTCACTTAGCGCAGCGAGGAATCTCGTACAGATAAACGCCACTGGGTCATTCCGCCAACGTATCCCTACTGAGCTATAATTAAAACCACGCACGAGATATGTCCGGTGTGATGTTGTCATTCTCAGAGAGAGGTATGTACAAGTCACAATATTCAGAAACAAGCATCATGGTCAGTCAGGCTGTAAGTTCTATTTTCTTCATTCATCTTTGACTCATCTACATCGTATCCAAGACGCCATCCCAGGTCGTCTTCTCATCATCATAACTACTACTAAACTTTCTGAACGATGCCATCCTGGCTCAGCCCGTAGGGGTTACTGAAATCCCGCTCGTACAACCCACTACGGCATGTCGGCACATGGTCGTCACGGTGCTCTTCACAGCCGGTGCTGCGAGGGGCTGTTGACTTTGCGCAGAGGCTCGCCGTTCCTTTTGTTTCTTGTTACTCGCAAGTTCTCTCCTCGTGTTCTATTTTTTTCTATCGGTCGGGAAAGGGGTAGCGCTTACTCCTTGTTTGTCAAGACGTAACGGAAGCGAGGCAGGCCCTTCTCAAGGTCAACAATAGCCTTGTTGGCATCCTCCATAGGACGGAGCTCGACCCATGGGTGAATGTCCTTGTCGACGCAGAGCTGGAACATCTCAGCAATCTCCTTGGGGCTGCCAATGGCAGAGCCGGCAAGTCTGCGACGTCCCAAGATGAGAGGGAAGGGGCTGATAGGGATGGGCTCCTCGGGAGCGCCAACCTGGACGAGGGTGCCGTCGAATGCGAGTGTCGAGAGGTACTGCTGCATGGGCATCTATCACTTTCTGTTAGCGTTTGTGGCTCTTTGACTTTTTTCTTCTAACACTTACATCTGCAGAGGAGACGGTAGAGATGATGAGGTCGAAGCGGTTGGCGTTCTTCTTTGCCCAGCCCTTTTCATCAGCGGTGGCAATGTAGTCAGTGCAGCCAAGCTTGATAGCTTCATCGCGCTTAGCCTCGCGACGGGAGATACCAACAACCTCGTCGGCACCGAGGGCCTTGGCAAAGAGGACGGCAAAATGGCCAAGACCACCGACACCAACGATGCCAACCTTCTTGCCGGGACCGCAGCCCCAGGCACGGAGGGGAGAGTAGACGGTGATGCCACCGCAAAGGAGAGGAGCAGCGTACTCGGGCTTCAGGCCCTTGGGGACAGGGACAACAAAGTGCGACTTGGCGCGGTGGTGAGTAGCGTAGCCACCGTACGACTTATCGCCGTTCTTGTGGAAGCCACCGTAGGTGTTGACCATGCCGTTGATGCAGTAAGACTCGTGGTTGGTCTTGCAGGCATTGCATTCCTGCTGCTCAGGCTTGCGGTTCATGCAAGAATCGGCCTGGGCACCAACACCGACGAGGTCGCCAACCTTGATGTTGCCCTCGGCCTTGTCACCAACACGAACGGCAACACCGACAATCTCGTGGCCGACAACGCAAGGGTAGGGAGTAGGACCCTAGGGTGAGTGTTAGCTTTGTCGTCCAATACTCGAAACCAACAATCCATCAAGGCAAACTGCTTACCCAGCCAGAGCGAAGAGTGTGAAGGTCAGAGCCGCAGATACCAGAGTGGGTGATCTGGATATCAACGTCATCGTCCTCCCACTTCTTGGGCTCGAACTCGCCCCAGACCATGTTGCCCTCGGCAGACTCCTTGTCGTTGCCGAGCCATCCCTCAAACTTGTAGTCGGACATTTTGAATAGAGAAGAAATGTGTAGGAATAAAAAAGAAATGCTTTGTACATACAAAGAATAAAACCAGGTCTGCCAGCTGTCACAGTTGCAATGGGCCCTTCCCGGATTTATACTTTTTCGCCATGCCCCTCCTTGCCCCCCTCACTTTCTGCACTACTACCAAGGAATAAAAATTCCCTGATGAAAGCAGCCAACACTACCGCTCCTATGACGCTAAACTCCGCACGCCGCCCTGTTGCTTGGTCGCAAAAAAAACCACTAGTCGGCTAACTAGTGCATGCTGCGTTAAGATGATCGAACAGCCCAAACGCCGAGTGGAGGCAGCCAGGCAGCCCTCCAATTGGTGCGCAGCCCAGACCACACGTTCTTATCGCCGAAAAACAGACGGACTTGACTGCTATTTACCCCGCTGAAAAAGGCGGACGTTCTGGAAGCCGCGAACGGAGATTTGCCATTGATTGATTCATTGTTTCTATTAGAAATCGATTCCGGCGTTTAGGGAGTTAAGAATCGACAATGAAGAAGAGCGACTTCGGCTGCGGTTCAACGCCCTCGACGCTGCATGAATCACCAAGAGCAAACTCGCAATTGACAGGAAACGAGTACAGGGCTGGAAAGCTTAAACCCCCAAGCTGCGAGAGGTGGGTTCAGCGCGCTGTAAACCGTCTAACTCGGGTTCCTGACGCCCGCAGCCGCAGCCTTGTCGGATACTAGGCTGAAGTCATGCGTAGCGTGTGTTGCTGAAGACGGCTTAAATCCCATTTTGGGATTCGGAGAACGGCGCTGAACTGGTTATAATATTTTTATTGGCAGCGCGCGTGGTGGGCTGGTGCATCAGCTACAGTATACTTTGCACTATCAACACGGCATTCGCAGCCATTTCAGCTGCCGTCGTGCTCCAAATTGGTCAGATTTCCGGTGGAATGGCTATTTTGCTTCTATTTTCGTACGACAGTTGTTGAAAACGCCTTGCGCCGCAGATTGCAATACGCAGCGGCGGCTGATCACCTCAGGCACGGCGCTAGCTTCACGTTAAACCATCAGCCTCTGCACGACGAGCCGGAACAGAGCTCTACGCGAATAACATCCTTTTTTTGGAGCCGCAGCTTTTTAGTAAGTGTCGATCGTACAGTAACACATGCCCCTGTCCCGCAGGGCTGGCGGCACTAGGCGAGGCTCGCAGCTTGGCTGATCGCATAATTGCCTAATACGGTAGAGACACGGATCCTTCTCGCGATTCGGGACCAACTACCCCAACTAGCACATAAACAGCACACTTTTGGAGAATCTGCGAGTGGCGCTCTTGAAAAATGTGGTGGTCAAAAGAGGCCTCATGAGCGGTGTATAAGTACTTATCCAGATGAGGCTCTCTACATTTTTGATCTTTACTCCTCCTACTTTTCTCTCCCCATCTCATTCAACTGCTCTTACGTTGATTACTCTCCTCAACAAAGAAAAATGGACTCTCTCGGACCTATTGGCGGTAAGCTCAAAGGCTTTCTCAACTCGAAAAAGAACAAGCTTGACAACCCTCAGCGTCAGGTCGCACCTCTGTCCAAGACCATCTACCATTATGAGGAGCACGTTGCCAAAGACCAAAAGGCCCTAGTTATTAGTGAAAAGGCATTTGCTCTGTTGGCCAACAATGCCGATGGCTACGATATCAAGGACGTCTTTGGCATGCCCATGTACAAGATCAAGGGAAAGAGCATGACTGCCACTGAGCGTAAGAGCGTCCTGGACAACAAGGGCGAGATGCTCCTCGAGATGTACAAGGATGGCAACGATTACATTGCCGAGGACTTTATGGGCGACAAATTCATGACTATCAAGGTTACTTCCAAGCGTGAGTTTTTCTCTAACTACTCGAAATCACAAGACTAACAGATCCGCAGTGATGGGAAACAAGGCCACTGGCACCTTTACCACTGAAGATGAAAAAGAGCACTCCTTTTCCATGACCCAGGGCAGCAAATTCTCCATCTCTACCAACATTGTTCTCGATGACGATGGCACTGCCATTGCCGTTATTGATCGCAAGATCCCCGACGCGCAGAAGATGCTCAAGGGCGAGCAGACTTACACCGTCACCATTGCCAAGGGCTTTGATGTTCTTCTCATTGTTGCGCTCTGCATGGCCATGGACGACAAGAAGGTTGACAAATAAGCGCAAATCATTACAAAAAGTGGGAAGGGATCATAGCTCATCATTAGCGATATCACATAATTCATTTGTACACTTCATATCGTACTGCAAGTTGCAATGTTTAACTGATTTTATATGGATTGGTTTTTTAACTATTTCTTATACAATTACATGGGATGTGTCTGGTTCACATCCTACTTGGACTTCTTGGCGTCATTAACATCCTTCTCAACCTCGCCAGCGAGCTTCTTTGCACTCTCAGCCCTCTTCTCAATAACCTGCTTCAGCTCCTCAAACGTCTCCTTGAGCAGCTTCTCGCCCTCGCCCTTGCGCTTCTCAGCCAATTCCGAAAGCTCCTTAAGCTTGGGCAGGATCTCGCTCATATGCGGGATCTGCTGGAGGAAGCCAACGTTCCAGTCCGAGGCAGCCTTGCTAGCCTTGGCAGCAGCTCCCTCAACATACTTTTGAAGGTCGTCAAGGTTCTTAGAGTCGACAGCCTTCTTAGCCTTCTCAAAGAGCTCCCTGGCATTTCCGTTCTTCAGCACATCGGCGTTCTTCTCAATAAGCTCCTTGACCTTGGGGTTCTTCTCAAGGTATGGCTCGGCCTCCTTGAGGGCCTTCTTCCACGTCTCGTCACCAAGCTTCTGCAGCTCAGCAAGCTTGTCTTCCGCGAGCTTCTTAGCCTTGGCAATGTTCTCTGCGGAAAAGCCTCCAGCAAAGATATCCTTGACCTTGCCCCAGACCTCCGTGACCTGCTTCTCAACATCCGCACCGTGCTCCTTGCTCAGCGACTGAAGCTGGTCCACAACGCCACCAAGGTGCTTCTTCACCTCAGGGACCTGCTCAAGAATATCTCCAGCAGCGTGGGTCGAAAGAGTGGCAATGCCCTCGCCGAACTCGCTAAGGGCGTCAGCAGCCTTGGAGGCGCTCTCCACAGTCAATCCGCCCTTTGAGATGTCCTGCATCTTCTTATAGAGGTTTTTGACGAGGTCGTTGACTTCGCCTTTGTGCTTGTTCTGCACGGCCTTGAGGTCCTCAAAGATCTTGTCGACGTAGGCCTTGCCACCGGGGATCCAGCTAGCGTATGACATGACAAACTCCTTGACAGCATCAACAGCCTTGTCGGCATCAGGGACAGCGCCCTGCTGAAGCTGCTTCGCTGCCGTCTCGAAGGTCTGGTTGGCATTGGTAATGGTCTTGGAGACGGCACCGGCAGCCTTGCCGACCGAGGAGTATGAGTAGAAGCCGTAGAGAGCGGCGGCCGTCACAGCACCACCAGCAAGACCAGAGATGGCATGCGACATGGAGCTGCCACTGGAGCCAGTCGAAGTCGATTGGAATCGAACATTGTGAGTGCGGCGGTAGGCAGGGCGAGCGAAGGTGGTAGCTCGCTGCGAGGCGAGTCTGCCGAGCTGTCTAGAGGCGGACATGATGAAATGAGAGGAGTTGATGATGATGAAGAAGATGGAGAGGAGTAATGGATGTGGCTTGATTCAATTGTGGCTAATGGGCTACCTATATATAACTTCTTACCTGTCTGGCAGTTCCTTGCTTTCACCCAAAGAAAGCTGTAGCCAAGGTTGTGGCTCCGCCTGGTGCCTGTGACGTCACCATTTTTAAGCTCTGTGACGGCTTAACACCTGCGTTGCACCGGCTTGTGATAACGGTTGCACACTGATCTGTTTCCAAAAAAAAAATGGTAATAGAAAGACGCGGTCTTAATTCCTAACTTGTACTCGATGTAGATCTGATCGGCAGTAGGGGTCTCAATGGGCTCTGGTTAAGCATGAGCAAGCTCACAGAAGTCCACTTCCAATCAATTTTCGTTTGCACATTTAATAACATTTAGCGTTGAGTAGAAATAACAACTCGTTTATTCTATGTCCTATCCAACTTGAAAAAGGAATGTTGTACAACCCTTAGCAGGGACGCAATCGAGCGCGGTACTCATTGCTCTAAACTGTAAGCAATAGGCCATTACATCCGATACTCCTAAAGATTCTAGTGCGCGCAGCAGGCAACCGGTTTTGAAGGTAAGATTTCCCACCACAAAAGAAAATAAAATACAAACTTGTGGAACATCTCATTACGTGCCTACCAGGCTTCTCTTTTTCATCTCTCCTTTTGTTTGTGTATCATTGGTCGCATCCGGTTCGTCCAGCTCTTGGTTTGCGAATCCGGTGCTCAACTCCCTCCTTCAATCCGACAACTGTTCTCGTGGGAGAAAGATGTTTATTTGGAAATCTCAACACCACCAACGGCGCCGAGGGCCTTCTTCAGGTCACCGTAGATGGCGAACTGACCGGCAGTGAGGGTACCGACCATGAAGAGACGGGCACCGATACCACCGTAAGAGCCACGGATACCGAGCTCCTTGGCAATCTTGATCAGGCGGGAAGTAGTGCCCTCACCGGGGAGACCCTTGGTCTTGTTGATCTTGGAAAGCATGGTATCAGCGGGCTGGGAGACAATGGCGGCGGCGAAACCGGCAACGAGACCAGAGCCAAGGTTGGCAACAGTCTGCATGCCGTCGGAGAGGTCCTTCTTGGGGAACTGGCGGAAGACAGCCTCAGAGACCTTCTCGAAGACGACGAACTTGGCCATGGTGTAGGGGATCCTAGTAGCAGCGCGTGTTAGTCCATTGTATTTTTGTAACCGGTCAAGAGGATTAGCGAAACTTACTGCTTGAACAGAATGGGACCGAAACCAGCGTAGAAAGCGCCGATACCCTCGTTCTTCAGCATCTTGGTGAAGCCACCAATGAGACCGTTGGCGTAGGTGGGCTCGGAAACGAGACGGATACGGGTAGCCTCAAGGGGGCAAAGGGCAATATCGGCGAAGAACTCGGCAGCAGCGGAAGAGGCGAGGTAGACAGCAGTGCGGTTGTTGGAGGCAGTCTCAAGGCCAAGAACGTTGATGGACTGCTTCTTGAAGAACTCGTAACCACCGAACTTGAAGGCGCCCTGGAGGAAGTAACCGGCACAGGTAGGACCGAAACCAGTAAGGAGAGCACCAGCACCCTCGTTCTGGATGACCTGGCGGAAACCACCAATCATACCACGGTTGTAGGTGGCAGGGTCGAGCTGGATACGGGTCTTGACGCTACAGGCAGGAGATTGTTAGCAGATGTTTTTGTTTTGATGCGTGCTTTGCCGTCGAGCAATCGGGTCGGTCGGGCGCGGCGTATAGCGCGACAATGCGCGCGAGAGAGATCTATACGTACACATCGACGGGAGTAAGAGCACCGTGGGTGACGGAGCAGCAGACAGCACCAGCAAGGGCGAAGCGGGAGTAGAGGGCAACGCCAGAGAGAGGAGCAGGCTCAACGGCAGCCTTGACGTTCTGGACGACGGCATCGAGCTTGGGCGAGCCGGTGGAGGTAGTGCTGGAAGCCATTGCAATAAAGGTTTATGGAGTGGAGAGGAAGAAATCAACAAGGAGTCGAAAGAAACAGAAGATTTCTGTTGGACGAGGTTGGATAGAGAGTTGGATGAAGAGGGAAGAAGGGGAGAAAAAAATGGCCAGGTGGTGAGACTTTTTGCCGAAGAACCAAGGCACAAGCGCGCCTTTCTTACGGGCGCGGGTGGGGCCGTAGCAGCCAGCCAGGGCCCCTGGGCGACGGCAAAAAAAACGAAAAATTGCAAAATCTGATGGACGTCGGGAACAATCGGGAGCCAGCCATTGGCCAATCAGCATGTGGCCTGACCCGGCGTCACCGATAAACGTGGAGGAGGATGGACTCGGGGGTTCTTTTTGGGGGAGGGGGGAGCAATTGTGATGATCGGGAATCTGGGGTGATGTATTGAAATAATTGGTTTTAATTTTGTGTAGATTTGCATTTATTTACGCTCTGTGGCTGTATGCGCAGAGAAGAGTCGGGAGCTGCTGTTGCTTGTTTCCCCTGGCCAGGTACAGTACATCCAGGTACACAACAGACATACGGAGGCTAGGCTTATGATACAGGTACTGTACAGGGCATATGTAGCTGTACTTGGTACCGTTGTCAGGGACTGGCTGTTCCTGTTATTAGCCAGAACTAAATACGCTGGCAAATAAATAAATAAATACGATATAAATTTGGTCAATATATTAGGAATATCTATTAAATTTAGATTTAGGCCATGGATTCATTAAATAAGTATGGAAAGCCCAGCGTTACTCAGAGACAGACTGATTATAGGAGCACAGCACAATACCCTACATTCATTTAGAACCACATAATTTGCTGTTATACTGCTCTGTAATCGAATTAAATATACTTCTAATACATGCAAAATCGTATTAGATCTATTGGCATTGAATTTTATATTGAATTTTGTCCTGTTTCCGCCGTCCCATACCACTCTCCTGCTTCAACTGAAGCTAGCAATGACAGCTACCTCTTATGCTTGCAAATGAAGAGCACTCGCAACAGAACAGTCAGCGTATTTTTAATACATTTAAAATTTAATAAGAGCCCCTGTATTGGCCTTAATTCGCATACAAAGATTTATTTAAAATTTATACAAACCTGTATAATCCCAATAGTGCTCATTCAAATCATCCAAAAAGACCCTTTGGGGTCGCCCGTTTCTTATCTTATCGCAAAGCACCACCGCCTCCAAAATTTCTCCAGAACTTTTTTTCTGCCCGCCATCGACTTTTGCAGCAGCCTGTTCGTTTCAAGCATCACATTTTACCGACATCTTTCAGTGGCCCAACATGGTCAAAAGAAAGGTCGCAGCGCTCGAGAAGATCGACGCAGACTTGTAAGAAGCCTTGAATTGAAAGAATATATTTAGCAAAATTTTCTAACCCTTCCTAGCGCGAGTTTGCAGTACAAGATCCGCCGGGACCCCAAGTACGCTCTCTCAACTTTGTCGAAGCCCATTCCACCAGATAATATATACTAATAATTCCCACAGGTCCTACAAGGATGAATTCCTCAAGCAATGGGAACAGTACGAGGCGCAGAGAGAAATCTTTCTCTCCTCCCCCAACAATGCCAACGCCGATTCGATCGAGTCCTTCCACAACATGGTTGATTTGATTGCCCATATTGCCGACTGCTACCCCGAAGAGACACAGTCTTTCCCCGAAGATCTGCAAAACATCCTGACCCAGCATCATACTATTCTGCACCCCGAGCTGCGCGACAAGATTGTTGGAAGTCTACTGCTGCTTCGCCGCAAGGATGTCATCGACTCTACCGCCGTCCTGACTACGCTTTTCCCCATCCTCGTCTCCTCTCCCAGCAAATCTCTGCGCGCCCTCCTCTTTGGCAAGATTCTCAGCGATTTGCGCAACTCCAACTCCAAGGCTGCCAACCATCCTCTCAACCGAACCGTCCAGACCGTCCTCTACAACTTGGTTACGGCTGACCGCGCATCTTCGCGAGCCATCTGGGCCATCAAAATCACTCGCGAGCTTTGGAAGCGACAGATTTGGACCGACGCTAAGCCTGTAGATGTTATGAAGGAGACTTGCTTGTCTGACAACGAAAAGGTCGTCATTGGTGGTGTGCGCTTCTTCCTGGGTGGTGACAAGGAGCGCGAGGAGCTTGAAGACGAGAGCAGTGACGAAGAAGTCGACTTGAGCAAGATCAAGCACCAGGCCAGCATCAACAAGAAGAGCAAGAAGCAAAAGAACACCTACGCCAAGGCCCTCGACAAGGTCAAGCGACAACAGGCCAAGAAGAACAAGCCCCATCCTCTCAACTTTTCGGCGCTGCACCTGCTCCACGACCCCCAAGGCTTTGCCGAACAGTTGTACTCTAAGCATCTGGCAAACACAAAGGCCAAGCTCGCGCTTGAATCCAAGCTGCTGGTCTTGCAACTGGTTACCCGTCTGATTGGTCTCCACAAGTTGACTGTTGTCCAGCTCTACTCTTGGTTCATCAAGTACCTTACTCCCCGCCAGCAATCCGTGACGTCTTTCCTCGCTTCTCTTGCTCAGGGTACCCACAACTTGGTTCCCCCCGATGTTCTTGAGCCGCTGATCCAGAAGATCGCAAACGAGTTCATTTCAGAAGCATCTGCCGCCGAGGTAGCCGCCGCCGGTTTGAACGCCATACGAGAAATTTGCGCCCGACAGCCGCTTGCCATGACGGACTCCCTGCTCCAAGATTTGGTCCAGTACAGAAAGAGTAAAGACAAGGGTGTCATGATGGCAGCCAAGGGTCTTCTCTCGCTCTACCGTGAGGTTGGAGCTGAAATGCTCAAGAAGCGTGACCGTGGTAAGCAGGCCACCATCGGCCTCAACACCGGCATCATGAAGCAGCGCAAATACGGTGAGGAGGAGGTCGGCGAGATTGAAGGTCTTGACCTCTTGGCCAAGTGGAAGGATGAGCAGCGCAGACGCAAGCGCGCCGAGCTTGGACTCCCCGAAGACGGATCGAGCGACGAAGATGATGAAAACAACGAAGCCGATTCTGACGAGTGGGAAGTTGCTTCGGATGACAGCAGTGACTCTGGCGGTTGGATTGATGTCAGCGAGGATGAGGGCGAAGCTCCCACTCTGAAGAAGCAGAAGACAGACGATGATGATGAGAAGGAAGTGGATAGTGAAGCCGCCGCTGCTAAGAAAGCTGAAGCTGAGGCTGAGCTTGAGCGCATCTCCAAGCTCGCCACCACTACTATTCTTACGCCTGCAGATCTCGCCAAGCTTCAGGAGTTGCGCACTGCTGCGGCTGTCGACAAAGTCATGGGTGGCAACCGCAAGAAGTCCAAGCATGCTGAAGAGGATCGCCACATCGATGACGGACTCACGGCCGAAAACATTGAAGCTCCTGCTCGTCTTCGTAAGCTGACCAAGGAGGAGAGAGTTGAGCTTGCTCGCGAGGGCAAGCCTAACCGCGAGGAACATAAGAGTACGCAGGCCATCCGCAAAGCCCAGAAGGAGGCTTCTGGCAAGAGTACCAGCAACAGAGAAAAGGCCCGCAAGAAGAACATCTTCATGACCATGGGCAAGGCAAAGAGCAAGCACAAGAGAAGTTTGGTGGAGACGCAAAAGGTTCTGCGTCGACACGTCGACAGAGCCTCGCGCGGTGGCAGAAGAAGCAACGGCACATAAAAAAAAGTTGGCATGTTTTTTTCATGGCGTTTCTTGGGTGTGCATTTCTGTCTTTTTTGTTCTATTTTTAAGTACAGTTATAAAATGTGACTGGGCATGACGAACGATATAGCACGTATGTAAACACTATAGCTATTTATTTGACGAAACAACATGTGATCAATTACTACAAAAAAACGAAGCATTAGCAGCATCAAGCATTGAATGCAGGTATAAACGGTTGTAACGCAGACAGAAACTCCAGGTATATACTATAAAATCAACATCCCTCAAACTCACGCAAGGCTTTACGCCGTAGTGCTAACACCAGCCTCTCCGCTCTTCTTCTCCGTGTTACCCTCCTCGCCACCTCTCTTGAGCCCAATAGTAGTATCGGCAGAACCGTCAACAACGTTCTTATAAGCAGGGACAAAGTTGACACAGACAGCGTAGGAAAATGCAACAACGAAGAACATGAGAGGAACAACCATGGCAAGGCCAAAGTCATTGTTGTCCTTGCCAACAGCAAGAGTGAGGGCGGGGACAGCGGCACCGCCAGAGACACCAGCAATGATGAGGCCACTGCCGCGCTTGGTGTGACGACCAAGACCGCGCATGCCGAGGGCAACAATGGTAGGGAAGCAAATGGACTCGAAGAAGAGCACAACAAAGAGCATGGACACGCCAATGTTGCCGCCGTGGGTGATAGCCGGGCCGGTAAAGATGATGGCGCAGGTGATGAAGACGAGGAAGATGATTCTCGGGCGCACGTATTTCATGAGACCAGAGCCGACGAAACGGCCAATGGCAAAGGCGGCCTGAGCACCAGCAAAGAACTTGGCGGCGAGAGCGTCGTCGGTGTTTTCGCGGGTGGCGTGGGCGTAGTTGATGAAGGAGCTAGCAATGGCAATCTGGGCGCCCGTGTAGCAGAATTGCGCGGCAAAGGCGTGAATGAGGTTGAAGAAGCGCTTGAACCAGGGCTTGTTGGCATCGATGTCGGCGCTGGATTCTTGGACCTGGAACTCCATATCCTCGTCTGTGATTTCGGGGATGTCGGCAAAGTAGAAGACGGTGGCGAGGAGGAGCACGAAGATGGCAATGGCGAGGTAGACCCATTGGACATTGTCGATGGCGCGCTCGTCGCTAAAGGTGAAGAAGACGTAGGAGCCGAGGACGGGCGCAATGACGGTGCCAATGCCGTTGAAGGCCTGAGACAGGTTGATGCGGAGCTCGGCGTACTTTGGAGGGCCACAGACTACAGGCACAAAAGTGTTAGCCACGAGTTGTGTTGTTTTGCGCCAGCTGTAAAACTTACCAGTAATGTACGGGTTGGCGGCGGTTTCGAGGGATCCTAGACCGTTACCAATGATGAAGATGCAAGCGCAGAAGCCGCCAAAGGACTTGGTCTTGATGGCGGCAATGGCAAGCAGGGCGCCGATGCCGTAGAGCGAGAGACCCCAGATGAAGACGGCGCGGTAGCCGTAGTGGCGTAGGATCCAGGCAGCGTGTCCGAGGGAGGCAATTGGGTAGGCACTGTAAAGAAAGAAGCGGCTCTGGTTAGTTTACTTTGCCAAAACAATGGAATAGAGAGATGGGGACAGAAAACGCACCCAAAGTAGGCAGCCTGTAGACCAGCGGATCTCGCAGGGTCAATGCCGAGAATTGTTTGGAAATGACGGTTGAGGGTATCGAGAAGGCCGTAGGAGAAGCCCCAGAGGAAGAAGAGCGAGGTGACGAGGCAGATGGGGAGAATCGATTGGCGCAAAGTGAGCTCAGCGGCTTTTGTGGCGCGAGCATTGTCGACCTTGAGGCTTCGCCTCTGGAAGAAGGACGCGACGCCCATGATGATTGATTGCTGGTATTTGGGGGAAGACGACGCGGAGTGGTGAGAGATGGAGGAGAACCAGCAGAAATCAATGCGGAGAAAGAGACGATGAAACTGGAGGGGGGGGTGGGCAGCGGCCCTTAAAGGGGAGACAAGAAGAAGATGAGCAGCGGCGGGTGGCACAAGGTAACGCTGGTGGTGCAGAGATCTCTCTGAGTATGTGAAGCCGCCGGTGGATCAATGCACGAGTTGAGGAGGGCCTGTGGGGATGGCGAGATTTGCAGTGCTGACGCGGGTGGCTCGACTGGTGTGTTGGGTTGAGGAGGAGCCCGCTGTATTTAAAAAAGAGGCCGATGAGGAGAAGCAAAAAGGGCAGTGATGATGGCGATGACGGGGGAGGCTCAGCGAGACGAAGACGCCACCAGTTTTTTTTTTCTAGTTGCTTTCGTTTCGTGGTAATTTGCCGCGGGTTGATTTCCCCCGGATTTCGCATGTACGGTGGCGTTTGCCCGGTATTGCAGTATAGCGGGCGGGCTGGCTCCACGTTACGGGGGAGCGAAAGTGCTAAATTACCCCAAAGGAAACTTTAAAAGGCCCCCAACCTAAGCAAAGCACCACCACCACCACCCGAAAATACACCAGCGCTAAGCTACTGTAGTATTAGCTGCAGTAGCGCTATTATGTCCTGCAAACAATACCCTTTCGAGAATACAGAGCAGCACAACGCTATGTATTTGGTCTGTGTGTTTCCTTCGCTGCGTTGACAGATCGGCCCTATTGACCTTGGCCGCCACCACCACAAACACGCACCACAGTGGCGCCTCTTTCTCCAAAGAATAGAACATGCAAGGCCCGTCGGGTGGAAAAAAAGGAGGACATGCAGTGCAGACTGCCCCCGCTGTCCAGGCAGCCTCTCTGTCACCCTGTCACGCACATGAACCACCGCCGGCAATTGAGCAACAGTCTGGCTTGACCTGTCAGTCCATCTTTTGTTCGTTTTTCTTCTTTTGGTTTTTGTTTTACCCGATCCCGGTACGCCAGGTGCTGTCTGGTCGCGTGTCTCTCTTCTTGGACGCAAGGCGCTCCAACTGCGTTTGCGCTAGTGATGCACCACCACCACAACTGGAAAACACGGCTACGCTGATGGGCTTAGCTGCCATCGACATATGCACCTTGGCCCTCCAACTTCCTCCGCACCAGCCGCTGCAGCAGTGTCATTGGCCACTGCATGTCCGATATAGTAGCGACCTGTCACGGCAGATGCGCTCCATCATTTGAGCCGCCCTGCCTCGTCCCCAGATACCGCGAAACAGCGACGCCTTTCAACTGCGAACAGCAAAACACGGTCGGTGCTTTTTTTATTATGTTATTCCCTGGCTGGCTACGTGTTACATTCGTACGAGACGTTGGTCAGGCTCCGGCTCAGCATGGGGTGAGTTAGTCGTGCGTAGTGCGGGGAAGCAGTATCATCATCCGACATCAGCAGCCGCCCACGGGGTAGCGGTGTCATACCAATTGCGGTTTTCTTTTTTGCGGGTTGAGATGCAATACCAGATTCTGGGGAATTCTCCATACTTCGTATACAACGTTACCGTCGTCTTTTTGCCTGTCCGCCCTGATATTACGCCTAGTCTTTAGCCGTCGGGCCCTTCTAGAGACGCCACGGACGTAATTTGGCGCGCTGGTCCCCACAAACCTCGTCCCCTGGCGGAGCTGCTGGCAGGGGATGGAAATCACCCGTCGGGAGTTTCGGCTGTCGTCCTTGAGAGTCTCTGGGGAAAACCCCGAATATTTGGGGTAAGGAGCGAGTAAGGGGGGAATTGTATTGGTCTGGACAATGGCCATGTTGACATCTCGCGCCGTCCCGCTTCCAAGCCTGTGAACTACGCAGCTTTGCTCCAGCTGACGCCCTAGAATGACGCATGTCCACGCGTAGAGAGCATCCTTAAAATCCAACATGCATTGTTTTGAGGCTCGCCAATGATTAAGGTATAAAAGACTACTTCCTTATGACTTCTAGAGCGTGGCTACCGTGAGCAGCTACAGTTGATACATCTGTCATCAACATACGCTACAATCTGGGCACTCACGAAAGACTTTGTTAACAACGGGGTCTGATCAAAAACTCGAATAAAGACAAATCCGACGAATTACGATTCGGTTTATACGTGTAGAGCATGCAGACTTATTTGAAATTCGTCGTTAAACAACGTACTATATCGAAGAAGATGTTGCAGCTCGAAACTCTATCTCCGAAACGCTCGCCGACAGCAATTCCCTAAGCAAAGCACCGCATACAAGCAGCGCCTATGAATAGAGTAAGCGACAATGTCGAGATTGTCACCGAGGAAAGAGATCTCTGCGAAGGGAACATTCAAGTGAAATACCTTTGGCAGCTCTATCAAACCCCACACAGATGTGTCCGTCTCAAATTATGACGGAAAGGGCCACAGCCCATCGACAAATTTAACATGAGGACAAAATCAACATTTTCTGAATTGTAAATATTCGAGAGACACTGCGAAGTGATGAAGTCTACAATAAACAGCCCAATGTTGCGTATTACAGCGTCCGCCATCAATCACAGCCGAATTGGCACTCGGCAAAGGTACACTGCAGCGCCTAGTTTTCCAACCGGGTTCCATGGACAGCTTTTCGAACCGATTAGACTCAATATTCCAGAGTTTCGGTTGCACATGTGGAGACGGGAAACTTTCTCAAAGTGCTTATATTTCTCATCTGTTCAAAACAGCCACGAATAGTTTATACGAGGGTATAATCGCCTGACCAAGTTGCATATCCTTATACTAAATGGGCGCTGCTGAGAGTGCGTTTGAGCATAATCGCAAAATTCTTCTTCGAATCAGTGGCTGTCTTTCAATGCCTTTTCTGTGACATGCTGGGAGATTGGCCGCCATTGTAAAGTTGCGCAGGGTCCAATTAGAGTTGGATCTTAGTGGTATCTATTTTCCAACGTCAGCACGTGTTCAATGGGACGATGGAAGTGTTCTAGAAATCTAACCACGCATAAAGTCTAGAGAGCCACACGCCCACCCAAGGAAACCCAATGCTTGGCCGTCCCAAGAAAACACTATCAGTTATTTAGCCTCACCGAGAACCATCAAGGGATGCATAGACGAAGATACGATCGCTACGACAGCAATGTGCAATCAGACGACTATGGGTTGGAAACAGATGACATGTTTTACGGAAGAAGCAAGTCCTGGATCCGTGAAGAGCGGTTGCGATTAGGTGTCAGAGCATCCGCATGATCAAGCCCAGTATGAATACATCCTATCGCCAGCGTCAACGGGTATCTTGCCTATACACAAGCGCAACAAAAACAAGCCATAGCATCGCAACCTTAGCTGAAGAGCCGCTAAAGTGAGTGAGGCGAGAGACGCGAGCGTAGGCTAAACGAAGGCAGAGCAAGCCATGGTCCACTCAATAGCCACCGCAAAGTGCACCGGAGCTAGGGGCCAGGCTTCTTGGCTCAAAAACACCAAAATATCAAAACACCACGGAAAGCTCGCCCGACACGCGCCCATGGCCCGTTAGAGCTGCTACAGCCGGGGCGAGCGACGAAAACGTGGGAGCGCTCGCTACTGTGGGTGGTCAACGGACGAAAAGCACCTGGCTAGAGAAGAAAACGAACGAGCAATAGGAGCAAGAGTCAAGTGAGATGAATGAGAGTCTTGGCGGGAGCAAAACGCAAAATGTGCTTCTTGGCGAAAGCGGGCCAACCACGCAGGCGAAGCAAGCTTGGTGTGGACGAGCTAGAAAAAAGGCGTGCTGAAAATCATTCGAGACAAAGTTGTCGTGGGTGTGTGTGTGCCATCTTTCTTTGCTTCTCTGGTGCTTGTTTGTTAGCCGCTAGGGTAATATCACTCCGTCTCGGCTTGCAAGATCGATTTGCTCATACTTCTGCGGCTGTGCAGGTATTCCCAGACTATTACCTTTTCGCCCGGTACGGGATTAACGTCTCGCGTCTGGATAAGCTCGTTTCTGGTCTACAGTGCCGGGGACCCCGCTGAAAAAAGATATTCCAGCGCACGCCTAGGGACCCTTGGCGCCATAAGGATGTGGCGGAGGGGAGGTTGAGGACGAGCCAAAGATTGCTGCACGTGTAGATGGCGCCGTCTGTGATTGGCCGGTTGTTGAAGAATAGCCAAAACGGGACAATCCAGATCTGGAGGAAAAGTGGGGTGCGAACGGTTTTGCGACGTGACAAGGTAGGAGCGACACCTGCCAGGTGCCAGACAGCTGGCAACGGAAAATTGGTGTAGAAACAAAAGGAAAAAGGTACTGAGATGCATCGTTTTGAAGATTGACATCTCCCATACCTCCATATACTTCAATGGGCACAGCAACAAGCAAACGTACCTGAAACGCACGCATTGGTTATTGATACGAGCAGGCTTCCTCAAGATTGACCGGCCCTGGTTTTCTATCGCTTGCCAAGCCTATAAAGTTCCCCTTTCACAGACCAAAAAAGTCGCACGGCGCAAGCACAATCAAATCATTCTCCGACCAGCCGCATATAGTGCCCATCGTTTTAGTCCAATGATGTGCCCTCTACTTCATATCATGCAGACAAGTCGCCTCCAGCCTGACGGGTGGAGGGGGCGTGTGCCGGCAGGGCTGTCTCGATGAAAAACAACCTTGTTTTTAAAGTGGCTAAGCTAGCGATTTACTGCACAACCACCCTTATCGCTATTGCCGGTGTGCACCACGTGCTGCAATGCCCATCCCGTAGCTGTCAATTTGGCTACCGTTTCTCGCCACGGCCGCTTTTCAAGTCGTGTGTCCTGCCATTTCAGGGTCCGTCCGTCGTCGTTTTACGCACCAAATGGAGTACCAATATTCTTTTGGAGGCTCCGTTTTTACCTCTCGGAACGGCTCCTTTTCCCAATTAGTGTATTGGGGAGGAACGGGTAGCCGTTGCGACAGCTGCAAGTGTCGTGTTTGAGAGCAGCTGCATCCCACCGCACCATTTGAAGTCTGAACGCTCGCTATTGATCGCTGCTACAGCAATTCAGACCAAGTAGCCGAATAAAGATGAAGCTAATACATTGAAGTTCAACTTCCAGTAGAGGCATCAATTCTACCAAGCGAATGACAATAGGCTCTGTGCTGTTGTCTGTATTTGGGACACACCCCTCGTGGTCCGCTCGCCCCAACCTGGGCCCCAGAGTCGCCTCTTTTGCTCCATCCTACCCCCACACCACACCAGTCTTCTCTTCTTTATGCTTAATGGGTAGCTGTTTTTGGTGTGTATCCCGTCACTTTACTCTAAAATGCCATGGCTTCTGCGCTTATGGACTCGCTTCGTCTTGGCAGCGGATGCTTTCTTGCGCCACCCTTTCTCTAGTGCTTCCATTACTTTGGCCACGCCTTCGTTCCTCTCATTTTTTTTAACCTTTTACAGCTAGGCTGTATCAATTATACTGTATCCCATTATTCGACCCCCCTGTGGCCTTCGGTCTACCTCACAAGTATATAGTCAACCTCCTCCCCAAGAGCCCACCTTCTCTTCTTCCCTTTCCTCTTCAAGTCAATCTTCACACAACCATCTCTACCAGTCTTCTTGAGGCCTTTCTTTTACATTACTCTCTTTGATTTGTAAAAGGCTGCCACAAAGGTTGCCTCTTCTTCGTCACAATGGTCCTCCACCAGTATGACTACCTCTTCGCCGTCGGCACCATCTTTGCTTTCCTTGACGCCTGGAACATTGGCGCCAACGATGTTGCCAACTCTTGGGCCTCATCCGTCTCTTCTCGCTCCTTAACCTACGTCCAGGCCATGCTTGGTGCCACCGTCATGGAGTTCACTGGTGCTCTCGGTGTTGGTGGCCGCGTCGCTGATACTATCCGCACCAAGGTTGTCGCCGTCAACTCCTTCCAGTCCGAACCCGCCCTTCTCATGCTCGGTATGGTTTGTGCCGTCATGGCCTCTTCCATCTACCTCACATTCGCTACCCGCTTCGGTTTCCCCGTCTCGACAACTCACTCTATTCTCGGTGGTGTCCTTGGTATGGGTATTGGTGCCCTTGGCAGCAGTGGTGTTACCTGGGTTGGCTACAAGAAGGATGGTAGTGTCGACATCAAGCAGGGTGTTGTCCAGGTCTTCCTCGCCTGGATCATCGCCCCCGTTCTGTCTGGTATTTTCGCTTCCGTCGTCTTCCTCTTCACCAAGTACGCCGTTCTGCTCCGCTCCAACCCTGCCATGAAGGGTCTTGTCCTCGTCCCCTTCTACTTCTGGCTCACTGGCTCCTTGATTACCATGTTGCTCATCTGGAAGGGTGGTGACTACACTGTCAACCTGCACGATGCTCAGATTCCCGGTGTCATCGTCGCTGCCGGCGCTGCTTGGGGTCTTCTCATCGCTCTCTTCCTCGTTCCCTGGATGTACCGTGTCGTCATCAAGGAGGACTGGCAGCTCACCGGCTGGCACATCTTCCAGGGTCCTCTCCTTCTCCGCCGCGGAGAGGTTCCTCCCCCTCCTGCCAACTTCAAGGGTATCGTCCGTAACTTCTACGAGGGTCACCTTACCAAGGAGGAGCTTGACGCCCGCCGCGCTCGCCAGGCCGCCGCTGTCACTGGCGATGTTGAGGGTCAGCACTCTACCGATGAGAAGAAGGTTGCTGGCTCTGAGTCTTCCATTCATGACGACCTTGATGCCGCTGCTCCTCGCAAATCCTTGATCGGCCCTAAGCCCGATGGTCCCTGGTATTCCGGTTCAGTTTTGTTCTGGTACGTCAAGTGGGCGTTCCTCCGCGGTGTCGATCAGGACGTTGTTAGCTCCCAGAGCGAGAAGTCTGTTGTCGCTGGTGATGTCGAGGAGATGCACACTCACTCCGTTCACTACGACAACCGCGCTGAATTCCTCTACACCTTCCTCCAAGTCATGACTGCCGCTGCCGCTTCCTTCACCCACGGTGCCAACGATGTCGCCAACGCCATCGGCCCTTATGCTTCCATCTACCAGATCTGGCAGACCAACGCCATCCCTAGCAAGGCCAAGGTCCCCACCTGGATTCTCGCCTTTGGTGGTGTCGGTATTGTCGTCGGTCTCTGGACTTACGGTTACCACATCATGCGCAACCTTGGTAACCGCGTCACCCTCATGTCTCCCTCCCGTGGTTTCTCCATGGAGCTTGGCTCCGTCATCACTGTCATCATGGCCACCCGTCTTGAGCTCCCCGTTTCCACCACTCAGTGCATCACTGGTGCCATTGTTGGTGTTGGTCTCTGCAACGGTGACTGGCGTGCTATCAACTGGCGCATGGTTGCCTGGATCTACCTTGGTTGGTTCATCACCGTGCCCTGCGCTGGTCTCATCTCTGGTATCCTCATGGGCTTCATCACCTACTCTCCTCACTGGCCCTCTGTCGCCAGGGCTGTCACTAAGGCTTAAGCAGCCTATGGTTCTACCCTATTTTTTACATTCGCTACTGTTTTAAGTACTCCATTGTAGGGCGTTTGTTTCATGTACACAGACTGAGTCTGATTTTCTGTTAAAATTATACAAGTTGAAAAGAAGCACACAGGCTTCACGTGGTGGATATGCTGCGCGCATCTGGAAATATATATATATACCCAGCTTATAATACAATGTCCTTTTTACAAAAAGACGTTTCTTAAAATCTCTATATTCTCAATAAAATTGAAGTTTAAAATATTACATTTATTTTATTGTAGTGCCCTAATACCAGCTCGTCCTCTGCCGAAATCACTTACACAGTCGGCGTCCTCATTCGGAAGTGGGGCCTCTAACATCGCCGGCCATCATTTTTTTTCCGTGCCAACAGCTGCTGGACGAACTTTTATTTTCCACAGCAAGCAGCACGCATTGCAGATTCAGCACAACATGTCGCGGAACGTGGTTCAGCCCAATGCTTGGGTAGTCATTCGCCTGCCTAACGACAACATTCGTCTGCTAGAAATTGTCCCGAATACGTACGCTACACCACGCCCTACGCACGACGTGCGTCAATCTTGATCTTGGCTAACAGTCATGCAGGACGATATCTTTGGGCAAATACGGCTCGTTCCCTACCAATTTAGTTATCCACAGACCTTATCACCTTACCTACGAAGTTCAAGAACAAGAAGAAGGCGAAAACTACGCGAAGTTGCGAATTGTCCCCGCCGCAGAGCTCAACGCCGATGCGCTCGTCGACACAACGGCCGAAGACGAAGCTGCTCAAATTGACGACGTAATGGAAGCCAAGGACGGACAGGAGCTGGCCCTGGCAGACGATGAAGCAGATATCATGGCAAGAGTGGACCGAGCCATCACCGATGAGAACGCACGTCAGACGCTAACACCCGACGAGATTGAAGAGCTGAAGCGAAAGGGCACTGCTGCTGGCAAAGAGCTTATCGAAAAGCTGCTGTTGTCACACACTGCGATTGACCAGAAGACGATGTACTCATTGGCAAAATATAAGCTTGCCAAGGAGCGTAAGCATATGCGCCGCTTCACCATCCTGCCATTGGACGTCACCGCGCTGGCGCAGTGGATGCTGGAGGACAAGGATGCTGGCAAGATCCTCGAGATGCGTCAGGAAGCCATGGCCCTTATCGGATGTTGGGCCGACGTACATTTTGGCGGTGAACCCATCGAAGGCTTGAACAGCCCCCATGGCGGCAGATGGCTCGTTGTGGATGATACGTCTGGCTTGCTGGTCGCCGCCCTTGCTGAGCGCATGGGCCTGCTCCACCAGGAGAAAGAGGAAGACGCCGTAGCCACTACTGAAGCGGAAGCCCAAGCCGAAGATGTCGAGCCTGCCAATGAGGACGGCGAGCCTGCAGCCAAGAAGGCCAAGTTGGCGCCAACGAACCCCAAGCGTCCTCCTCGCGACGACCTGGAAGATCACTACGCCCAAACAAACACAATCACCCTTATTCACTCCAACCCCCAGCCCAACATCTCTCTCTTGCGCTACTTTGGCTTCGATGCCAGCGAAATCAACCCGCCCCTCCCCTACCACCCTCTCTTCACACACATCCTACCCATCTCGTGGCTACAGCTCCTCGAGCCCGAGAAGGATCACACGTATGCCGCGCGCCCCGAGGATGTGCCTGCAGACGTCGTTGCCGGCTGGAAAACAAATCGTCGTGGAAACTACCACCGCAAGAGAAGAAGATGGGCGCGCGCCAAGCAGATTGTCGACTCGACCCGCGCGGGAGGCTTCACTGGCCTCGCCATCGCGAGCACCATGGACAATGTCTCGATACTGAAGCACACTCTGCCCCTCTTGGCCGGCGGTAGCCCTGTGGCAATCTACTCGCCGACAATAGAGCCCCTTGCTCAACTAGCAGATTGCTTTAGCATCCCTCGTCGCGCAGCCTGGTCGTCCACCCCGCCGCCTGGCACCGAGGGTAAGTCCCTGAAGGAGCTTGAGACTTGGGCTGGATCAGACGAGTTCCCTGTTAATCCTACGCTGTTGGTTGGCGCTTCTATACAGACGAGTCGCGCTCGCCCGTGGCAGGTCTTGCCGGGCAGAACGCATCCTTTCATGATGGGTCGTGGCGGAGCGGATGGTTACATCTTTACAGGGTGGAGGGCGATTCCAGCCGAGGGAAGAATTACGGCTAGAGGAAAGTATCAGAAGAAGAGAACAGAGGGTAACTAGACTACCTACATCTGCTGTATATAGTAAAGTAAAATAAAGCTGTGGCTGTTATCCATTCAAATCGAATTTGGTACATCTTATTCATTGCGAGGCACTTGATTGTAGACGAGACGAGGGACTTGCAGATTATTATTTCATGATTTGGTCCATAGTAAAGGCTTCTATGTCATCTTTTTCCTATACCCCAGAGGCGGTTGCTGCCGGCTACTCAAAGTCCAAAGATAATAAATACGCTATTTGTATGTTGTGTCCTGACCTGTTTTACAGCGACTTACCCATGAACTTGCGCTTTGTGAAACTCAACCACCACTTGCTAGGAACGTCAGGGTTCTCTTCGTATACGCGAGCGAGTATGCGTGCAGCAAGCTCCTGGCGGACCTGTGACATATATTGGCGAAGCTGCTCAGCATCCTGTCTGTCGCGGGGGGGCTCGTACATCTAGCAGAGAGCACACACCATTAGTATAATGCCGCACGGAGCAATTCGTTTCGATATCTTCTTACCTGGTTAAGAGGCCACGCCGGGTCGCCAGGGAGGGCAAAGTTAAGATCCAGCGCGAGATTCAGCACATCCTTCTGAGCCTCCTTGATGTTGGCCGTGGGCTTGATCTTGGTCAAGCAGTCGCTAACGAACCAGATTCCATAGATGAGCAATCTGTCGGCAGGGCCCTGGATCTCAAAGTTTCGGAAGAATGTGTTTGCGCGGAAGACGGAGAGAACCTCGTCGAGGATGTCGTAGCTCTCGCTCTCGACGTCGGGAGCCTCGTGGGCAGGAAGAGGCGGCGAGGGGATCGGCAGCGTGTAGGCGGGGCCGCGGGTTTTTGTGCGAAGAGGGAGAAGAGGGAAGTTTCCAATCATGCGAGGAGGGTTGGGGTCGCTGTTGAAGACGGAGTTGTAGGCCTGTGGTTGTCGTCAGCGGCCTGTGTAGCGGCGCGGGGGACGAGCCAGCAGCGCACATGGGCGTGCGACAACGAGTGACAACGAGCGAACTTACGGGCATCTTGGCAGAAGGATGACTGCGAATCACGGATTCGCAATGTTCGCTGGAGATGTCGGGGGGGTGAGAGGGATGCAAGGTGTCGTAATGACGGGCGAGGTGGTTTTGGCGGGGCTGTGATGCTTGGAGGGAGCTGTCGTCGTCAATGCCTCCAAAAGGTGGGGCTGGGCTGTGGCGAACGTTTGGCGCGGGACAGGCGGAACAAAGGTTATTGCGTGGGCAGTTCAGTGCCAAGGCTGCTGCTGCTGGGTGGCATCAAAAAATTGTAGAAAATAGAAAAAGAATTTTGATATTGCAGAAAAAGTATTCGTGTAGCAACATGGATATGGATATGGTAACTACTAAAAAACAGAAACTGGGCTGGGGGAATCAATTGTGTACGTGCCTTCAACTATAACATTCAACCATCATGAACAACCAAAAAAAGAGCAAACCAGATGCAGAGAACGGGAGGGGATTACATGGGAATGACAAGAATAGAACAAGGTACGTGATATAAAGACGATGAAGAAAAAAACAAGAACCCCTTTTTGCAGCCAAATAAAACGCCCAGTATTTTTGCTTCCTACTCTTCCTCTGCCCATGTCAAATCTGCGGTCTCTAAAAGAACCGCCTCTCTCTAGCCCTATTTCCGTCTCCTAAGAAATAAAATTCCGCTGGCCAGGGAGCTTCCTGTCCCCGGCTGTGTGTCATTGTACTGTCCGTTGCATTTACTGTAGAGTTCGTCGTGTAGTGTGTAAAGGTGGGAAAGGAAAAAAAGAAGGAAATTGATGTGTGTGTAGTGGGATATCAAAAACGTCAAGGGGGTATTTCGCACAAAAGCCACGTGGTGTGCAATGCCAGCCATAGATCTATGGCGAGGCACTTCACAGGTGGTTGTCAAATGTAGCGCTGCAGACGCTGCGGGGAAACGGCCGTTGAGAGATATGGAAAACTTAGTCCACCTTCCAGTGATCTTGCTCGTCGGTGCCGAGATAGAGTTCAACGCCGTAGAGGATCATGGTAAGACCAATGTTGATCCATCGCCATGTGCTGCCGCCAGCAGCGCCGGCTCGCAGCGTCCAGCCGTCCATACCTCCGCTGACGGAGAAGTGCTGGAGGAGCAGACTCGTGTATACAGCCACGAGGAGGGACGGCGAGAACCAGCTCAGAACACTGAGGAAAACGTTGGAGGCCTCCGTCTCCTCATAATCGGGATCGCGTTCCATCGCTCGGGCACCCATATCGCGCACCGATGGGATGATACGAGTGGCGCTGTAAAAGACAAAGAGTCGGTAGGTGAGGGAGATGATGACAGACGGCGTGATGGTCTGGAAGGCGGCATAAAGAAATGTGAGCGATGAGTGAAGCGCCGTCGGCAAAGAGCTGATGACGTGGATCAGCGTGGAGTATGATGCCATAATGATGGGTGGCAGCGGCGGTAGATCCGGCTGTAAGTTTGCATACTCTTCGCTGGGGATCGAGCCATCCGAAGGCATGTAGTCGGTGAAGATCTGGTAGACGCAGAGGACAACGTAGGCGAAGAGCAAAGATGCTTCCACGGGACTACCTCGCCCGCTTCCAATGCCGTATGCGCAGAGGAACACTGCTGTGGTCATGGTTATACCGATGAGCGTTGCGTCAAGATTGCTGATCTGGGGGAACTGCGCTACCCGCCAAAGGAAGTAGACGGCGCTGGCGATGATGGAGCCGGAGAAGACGAGAAGGATAATCTATTTCCAAAAGTATTAGTATGGCCTTTCATTGGACGGATAACGGTATTGGACTTACCACCCAGGTATCGCTTCGGCCGCGGTTCACCAGCCATCGAGTAATCTGTCCCGCGGCTTGAATGACGAGGAGTGTGCAAAAGCCTTCGAGGAGCTGGAAGACTGGGCCAGAGTATCTCAAAACGTTATCCCATGATCCAAGAGTAACGGTTTCAATAACACCGCCTCTGCCAAAGACCCAGTCGGACCAGCTTGTCGATTTGGACTGGAAGACACCGCCGAGTGTTCGTTCAACCCAGTTTGTGCTGTCCGCATCGACAGCGAATTGACCAAGTGCCCAGATAAGCAGCGATGGGATCACAATCCACTGGGACAGGCGCAGCAGGGCGCCAATGGACCAACCAATGCGCGTCTTATCAGGTATCAAGAGGCGGATGCCAGAATAGAGAAAGTAGAATAGGAACAGGCTCAGGCTGTAAGCCAGGCCAGAATCGCGACCGCCGACATCAAAGGCGACGGGGATAGAAAGAATAATGCTGCAAAGAAAGACAGAGCTGAAGAAGATGTTGAATGTCCACCACATTTGGAACGACTGGCGGAGGGCTGCAGCAGCAAGCTAAGCCCCGACTCTTAGCGAGTTGGGCCTGGCGTGCAGCGCAGCGTTGTAGTTTGAAATGGTTCTGTGCGAATGTGAGGCAAGCGTAACCTCTGTCGGGCAGGTTTCGTTTCGGCGTTGCGAAAGGAAAAAAAAAAGTCGGGGATGCGGCGATGGATGTCGTGGGCTAGAAGCCAGATCGATAGGTGAGGCGGCAGAACGGCGCGGCGACTGGAATTCAGCAGCGGTTGGAGCAGTTGCCGTGGTGGCGCGGGAGTCGAGATGCGGCCACTGTAGCTGGAGATGGGAGTTTGGGACTGGTGGGATGCGCCTGGGAGACGTCTAGAGTTTTGTTTCGTTTCCTCTTGTTCACCGTTTGGCCACAATCACAGGCTTGTGAAGTTTTCGTGCAGCGCTGGCACGGGCCAGGTGCCGGTTCCAGGGGGGGTGGTTTAAGGGTATGGTGTCGCGCTCACGTGCGAGCGCGCAGCGTGTAATTTAAGCCGTGGATGGCGCAGAGGAAGATGGTGGTTTTTATGAAAATTACGCGTGCATTTAATTTTTATGTAATTAGATTTTATATATGTTTTACTATCTGTTGTTTTCCAATTGTTCTGGCTGTTGAGATTCCCCTCTCTCACAGCGCATATTCCGCTGGTTGGGCGCGTTCTTCACCGTCTGTTGTGGTGCCTGGCCAGGCAGGCGAGACGCGATTTTTCCCATTTATCGGTGAGTGGGCTAGAGGCCAGGGGTCCCTGTGGCTAGCGCTGTCCAGTACGCCAGTGCTACACGATTGCTTGCACGGTGTTGCACGGCTAGCGCTGGTAGACTGCTAGTATAGGTACGTATTGGCATTAGGTCATGACTTTTTTGCTGAAGATTTTTTTTTTTTTTCCTTCGGTGTTAGTATTATTTTGGGCGTCTTTATGGATGGTTGTTTGCTAGTTTGGTAATAGAGTAGAGTGACGCCACATTCAATAACGTATAGGCTTAAAGTGGACAGATAGTGAAGTGAGTGGCCTGCAGCTGTATCTGATAGCTTCAGTTTACATTGCGCGAGCTGTTTGCCAAAACCTCCCCAATAATAGGTTCAACCAAACAAGTGTGATAGACATTAAAAATATAAAAATATACACAGGATTCAAAATTAAACGTATTTTCCCTCAATGGACAACGGATATTCAGCATGCGGATTTAGTATAGGGTACGTTGGAGCTCGACGCTGGGTCAAAAGGCATACAAGGCTACAAGCTTACCAATAGATCAGAAAACACTGGTAAAATACCACAAAGTAGATTTAAACAGCGAAAGTAATATCTGAAATTCTAAATATATAATTAACCTTTATTTTCATGCCTGCAGTACATCCCATTAACATGCACTGCAATCTCACAATCTGACCCTTCCAGCCGGGTCGGTCCCGGCTCCACTTTCTCCTTTCCCCTTTCCCTATCGCCGCCTCCTGCAGTCACATTTACGTAGCTTTTCGCGATTGAACAAATCTTTCCCCAGTCACGCCTTGGCTCCCTTTTTTTCCCTAATCGTGCCATCAATTGCTTGATCGCCTGCATTCAGAATTGCAAATATTGCACGCTATTCGATCATCGCCAGGCCCCCAATTGCTGTCTTATACAATCCACAGCCTAAACAGTCCAACTCTGTACGTCTCCAAAGCCACGTAGCTTGTCGCAACGCAACGGTGGCAACTTGGTTGCACCGGTGTTCCGCCATCGCCTAGCCTGCTACCTCCCTCAGCTAACATCAACGTCGTCGACTAGGACTTTTCCTCATGCATTCATAATTTTCCTTTTTCTCTACATAATACCCTTTTACATTAATTATGGCCAGCGAGCCTGTGCCGAATGGCTCGTGGCATCCTGCCCTGCGGCCCAACACTGCATCGCACGGACATGCCGCAGCATCGTTAGCCGAGGATGCTGCTCCTGAATCGACCACCACCCTCAAGCCTAGCGACGATGTATCTGCAGCACACGATCTCGACCACGAAGACGGTGGTGCCTGGTTTGATGATGACGAGGACGCAGCCGATGCCTGGCTAGCCGGCGACGAACCAGTGGCTCCTGTCGCGAAGTCAGCCGAGCCCTCATCGACACAACCCGAACCGACCGCAGTATCAACAGAAGCACAAGCTGTATCTGAGGAACCGATAGAAACCGAAGAGGATGGTGCCGCTGCTTGGGAGGAGTCCGAAGCTGTTCCCCAGGAATCTACTGTTGCCGACGAAGAACAGCTGGCCGCCTGGGACTTGTCTGCCGCTGACGAACCGGCCGCGGATGAACCCATCCCAGCAGAATCATTGCTTGCTTCGGAGCAACCTACGACTTCTCATACGACACCCGAGCAACATGCCGCCCAAGACGCTCCTCAAGAAGATCTAGCCGTCGATGCCCAAGAACCCGCCGTTTCGATATCGACGATGGCCGCAGCGCACTCGAAAGACCCATTCGCGGAATGGGAAAACTCACCAGCGGATGATGAGGACCCTACATCCGCCTGGGGACTTGATGAGGCTGCGCAGCCAGAACCCGAAGCGGTTGTGGGAGAGGCGAAGCCGGAAGAACCCACGCCTGAAACCTTTGATGATTTCAAACCCCAACAACCAGCTACTGCACAGCACTCGAGCTCCATGTCATTTGCCCGAACAGTCTCACATGAAATTAGCTTCACCGAAGACGATGATGACGGCGATTGGTCACTAAACCGAACTGACACCGACCCCTTTAAGTTCATGCCCCCCTCCGACCGCACAAACTCCTTCCCTGTTGTCCCTCTAGCTGAATCAGACCAGAAGCTTGACGCTCCTCTGGCATCCAATCAGGCCTTCAATGTTCTCGACGAATCTGTGAATGAAGTACAACAAGAGCATGATGCTTACGCAGACGAAGCGAATCAAGAATATGACGCACAACAAGCAGAACCTGAAGAACCGTTAGAACCTGAACTATCCCGGCCTATTGGTGGGCAGCTGGAAGATACTTTTGGTGAACAACAGGCCACACGATACGAAGAGGGTCTGCCTTTGATCCCCAAACAGGTCCAAGCAACTGAGGAAGCGGCCATGACACCAGCACCCAACGGTGGCGTTACTGATGCCTTTGCCGACCAAGATGACGGCGGCGACGACTTCTTCTCACAATCCCAAGATAAGGAACCGGAATTCCCAACACATTTCGAACGAAAGTCTACAATGCAGGTCATGGCAGCAGCTGAGGACGATGCTGATGACTTCTTTGCCTCACAAGCTGCCAAACTCGACGATGATGCCGTAGTTGAGGATCCGGAAGAACCAGCAACTGATAAGGCGGAACCAGAAGACTTGGCCACGAAGTGGGAAGCTGCCTTTGGTGGCAGTGATGATGATGACGACTTTCTTCTCGAGGATCAAGACAACGATGGAGGTGCTGAGGTAGACCCGTCTGGCTTCCTTGGCAGCGATGACGAAGGCTTTCTGGATGACGACGACGACGACATTGACGCCGGTACACCAGTACGCCCAGTCTCGCAGCACAGCCAGGCAGCTCCTACGAATCGATATGCGCCCCAGCTTCAATCGACTGGTTTGATCAGCGCATCCGCGTCTGCACCGTCCGTTGTCTCAGCCTTTTCTAATGGTACACCATCGCCATTCTACGGTGGTGCTATTCCCCAACCAGCAGCCCCAGCTGTCCCTGACCCTAAAAACAGCACAGAAAGCTTTGCTGGCAAGTCAAAGGCTGGCTATACCTCACCATATGATCTTCCTACGGATCTCATCAGCTCCAACATTAAGCCCAGGAAGAGACCCAGTCTACCGGCCATGGATACAACTGAGCAGACTACCGCACCTCCTCGAAGCGTTGGTGGCCCTATGCAGAACCAAAATATGCCGTCAATGCCACCACCAGGTGGGAACTTCCAACCACCACCTGCGGCGCCACCCAAGACCTTGAACAGCGTTCGCAGTGACCAGTCCTTCTTTGAAGATCTCCCCATGGCAAGCAAACCACGATCGGCTTCAAGACAGAGCTTGAGAGCACAATCACCAGCGCTCCAGGCACCACCTCAAGGAGTTCCTCCTGCCGCTCCAATGCAAAACCAGCAATTTCAGCAACCCCCGGCCTCAAATGGCCCCGAGATCCCCAACTTGGTTGCCCCCGCTAGAGTCAACCCTTATGCTGCCTTGCCCTCTTCATCAACCTCTGCTCCTGCGCCCGCGTCGGCTGGCAATAGATACTCGCCTGCCCCAGCGCATGCGCCAGCCAAAACCTCGAGCGCACCTCCGCCAGCGCCATCAAGCCGATACTCTCCTGCGCCTAATGTACCAAGACAGAGCAACCCCCAGAGCCCGCCGAGTGCCTCTAGCCAATTCTTGCCTCATCTGCCTCGTACTTCCAGCCCATTGGCGCAATTCGAGATTAGCAACGAAAAGGGCGCCAGCAATCCTGAGCCCCGACTGCATCGCATGTCATCTCTACCACCTACTCGTGAAGTTGATGAAGAGGATGACCAGCTTGGTGTTTCACAGTTTGCTCAACATGCTCGAAACTCTGTCAGCGGAACAACGCCCGCATCACCCCCTAAGCGCGTCAACTCCTACTATGCACCCCAAGGCCCTGGTGTTCCCCAGCTCGCTACATTGCCACCAAGGTCGCAGACACAGTCACCCGGCGCATCACGAGGGGCTCGCCTTACCGCTCCTGCTCATGACAGCGTGCGACCCGCTACATCGCACGGCACTGGCCCCTCTGTCACAAAGGCTACCTCTCAGTCTGCCTACGTTTCTGTTGGACGCCCACGTGGCCCGTCACTTTCGATGAATGCGGCGCCACCTGCAAATGGCACTGAACATGATCCTTTGCAGCGATGGCAGGGTATCCCCATCATGAGCTGGGGTGTCGGTGGTACTTTAGTCACCTCCTTCCCCAAGACCGTTCCTAGATATGCGATGAACCAAACTGGACCATCTGCGTATACAACATCCTCCGATGTGCAAATCAAGAATGTTAAGGAGTTGATCCCATTGGCAGAGAGACTCTCCAAGTTCCCCGGTCCTCTCAAGGGCAAGTCAAAGAAAAAGGAGGTTCTCGCCTGGCTTAATGCTGGCATTGACCTTCTCGAGAAGGAGCTGCCAGAGGTATCTATGCACCATCAATTGTCTCTTGAGGCTAAGAGAAGCATTGAGCGTCTTTTACTTTGGAAGATCTTGCATGCTTTCATTGAACATGATGGCCATTTAGAAGGAACTCCCGCCATTGAGAAGTCGATTAGAGATTTGCTCAACCCGTCGGCGTCGGCTGATCAGGATGCGCCTTACAAGAGTGATTACTCCAACACTTTTAGCAACGAAGCTGCTGCCAAGGCTGACAGTGTTGACCCGGCCTCTATGTCTCAAATTCGGGATGCTCTTCTGAAGGGAGATCGTGAAGCTGCCGTTTGGGCAGCAGCAGACAAGCGTCTTTGGGGCCATGCCTTGCTTATCGCGAACACGGTCTCGCCTGATTTGTATAAGCGCGTCACTCAAGAATTCGTTCACAAGGAAGTCAATGCTGGACAGAGCAACGAATCGCTTGGTGCTCTGTACCAGATCATGTCTGGAAATCACGAGGATTGCGTTGACGAGCTTGTCCCCTCCCATGCCCGCGCAGGTCTCCAGCTCATGTCAACTGCCAGCTCCTCGGTGGCTTCAAGAGATGTAATGGAGGGCTTGGACAAGTGGAAGGAGACGCTCACATTGGTGCTCAGCAATCGTAGCCAGGACGACGTTCGTGGACTGCGTTCTTTGGGCCAGCTCCTCGCCACCTATGGAAGAGCAGAGGCAGCCCATATTTGCTTCATCTTTGGACGAGCCGTATCTGTCTTTGGCGGTCTGGACGAACCCAATGTGGACTTTGTCTTGATTGGATCCGACCACAAGATACAATCCGACCATTTCGGCAAAGAAACCGAAGCCCTTCAGCTTAGCGAAATTTACGAGTATGGCCTCTCTCTTGCAGGCCCGTCTACCGGGGCACCGCACCTTGCGGCGTACAAGCTGCAACATGCCGTCACGCTCGCTGAATACGGTCTTCGCGATAAGGCTATGCAGTATTGCGAGGGTATTTTGACCTCAATGACTGCACAGACACGACGCTCTCCTTACCACCACCCGGTTCTCGAGACAATGGTCGACGATTTCATGCAGAGACTTAAGCAGGCACCAAAGGAAGAAGGATCTTCATGGATTTCCAAGCCCAGCATGAACAAGGTTTCGGACAGCGTTTGGAACCGCTTCAACAAGTTTGTCGCTGGTGATGAGGCCGACGGTGGCGCAAATGGCGGCTCTGGAGACGAGCACGGCCCCTTTGCGCGCATCGCCAGCACTCCTAACCTGAGCCGTTCTCCTTCGGTGAACAACTTTGAGATGTATGGCGGCGGTGGCTCTCCCAACTACTCTAGCATGCCGCCAGCAGCACAGGCATTCCCGGCTGCCCCGTCTGCAGCATCATCTCGCTACGCTCCTATGGCTGGCGGTGGCGCTCCTCTTCATGGCAACCCATACGAGTTTGCTTCTCAGCAACCTCCACCAGCTGCGCAGCAACCACAAGCTCCCGCTGCTGGCAACAACCCCTACGCGCCGTCATCGTATCAGCCATCTTCCTATGAGCCTGCTCCTCAAGAGAACACCAGTGCCGGATACACCCCAGTATCTACCGAAAACAACTATGGCTACCAGCCCGAGGAACGCAGCGTTACCATTCATCAGGAGCCTTCAAGGACCTCTCCCTACCAACCGGCCTCAGGAACCGGCTACCAGCCAACACCAAACACGGGCTACCAGGAACCTTCAAGCACGTCTCCCTACCAGCCAGCTCCTGCAGGTGGCTACCAGCCCTATGGACTGCAGGAGTCGCCTCAGCTTACTAGCGCTGCTGAAAACCAGAACCATGGTTATCAGCCATCGTCCTACGAGCCTCCTCAGTTGAACACCGAACCTCAAGTTTCAGAGCCAGCTGGAGAGTCTGAAGGCCAGAACTCGGCCAATGGTGGATACGAGGCTCCATCATACCAGCCCTATAGCTATGAGCCACCAACGTATCAGCCTGACCCCCCCTCTGATGATGAGGCACCCAAGCCCAAGAAGAAGAGCTTTATGGATGACGATGACGATGATATCCCTGGACTGCGTTCCCAAGCACAAGAAAAGACCAAGGCAGAGATTGATAAGGAGAACGCTGAGATGGTCCGCAAGATTGCAGAGGAAGAAGAGAAGCGCGCAGCTGAAATCGCCGCAGCAAAGAAGGCTGGCGGCTGGGGCTTTGGCGGCTGGTTTGGAGGCAAGAAGGCCGAGAGCCCGGAGCCTGGAAAGAAGGCCATCAAGGCGAAGCTTGGTGAAGCCAACAGCTTTGTGTATGATCCCGAACTCAAGCGATGGATCAACAAGGCACCTGGCGCCGAGAATGTCGAGGCACCAAAGGCAACTCCACCACCTCCCAGGGCAGCACCTCGTTCGACAGCAGGCACACCACCTCCCGGTATCCCTGCCTCGGCTTCTTTGCAAAGCACACGCTCTGTATCCAACCCATTGGACGCCCCCCCTCTCGCACCACCTGGTGGAGGCTTGCCGATGGCACGATCTGCATCGAATATGAGCGCGCCCGGACCACCTATGGCGCCACCTAGCCGCCCTGGAACGAGCATGAGCAACGCAAGCAGCATTGATGATCTTCTCGGCGCTCCTGGCCCACGCAAGGCTGGAGCTAAGAAGGGCCGCAAGGCTGGCCGCTATGTTGACGTAATGGCGAAGTAGATGATGGACTGCATCACTGGCGTTTCTGGTTTGGGCTTACTGTTTTGTTTTTCTAATTTCAAGTTTCATCCAGTAAAAAAGTGTACGAGTATAATGTACCATAGAACTAATGCATTCAAGTCTTTCAGACACTCTCCATGTCCTCTATTAATAACGTGCTTTACTGGTATTATGTTTCTCTCCGTATTAAATACGCATCAAGTTTTTAGCTTCTCCATGCAGTGCCTATTTATAAACGCCGCCATGTACCCAAATAGCAAAATTGTCATCATGTTTCGTGAAAGTTATCCTTCAGCGTAGACCGTTAGACACTATATGATTGAACATAGTACTACGCGATTGTTAGCAATGCTGGTCCAGCGAATAACGTTAGATATAAAACATACCGTCACAACAGAGTCGTCAGCCGAAGCATCATCATACTGAGGCACGTACACATAGAGGATCAATGCGTGGCCGTCTGCAAAACATGCTATGACTCTGCCGTCTAATCTGCCCACACTCAAGACGCGGCTCCAATCCTTACCGTCCACAAGGACTGTTGCCCACCTATCCGGCCCAGCCTCGCGAAACTTTGTGCTAGGATGATCGGCAATTGGCATGTCAAGCTGTGCGGCGTCCAGCTCCGGATTCTCCAGGTCTGACCAAACGCTACAAATATCAGTGGCTTCCGTGGCAATCCGGAGGCGGAGACCGCCGTGCATATTTGCGCTAAGCTCCAATTTAGGCGCCTTTGCAGCAGTCGATGAGTCGAGAGCAAGCTTGGTAAAACGGTCAGAGATGGCTTTTAACTGCAGGAGAGGCGGCAGCTGGATATGGACATCTGGCTCGCGGACCTTGGGCTGCATTATGGTTTCGACAGTCTCTGGGTGAAGCACGCGTACGGGGATATCTTGCGTGATGACCTTTTCGTGCTCTCTCCGCAACGAAGTCTCAAGTTGCTCTGTGGGAAAGTCCTCGTCGTCGGCAAACGGGTCGTCGTTTGGTAGCTTTGGCTGTGGCGCGGGGCCGCTGTGGCCTGAAGATGTGGTGGTTGTGGTGATGGTCATGGAGAGGACAGGCAGGCCTTCCTTCTTTGTGAGCCGCAGTGATGCAGACATGCTGTTTAAAGCGGATTTGAGGGCTCTTTGCAGCGGCTGCAGCGGTAGTTCGAGGTTAATCGTGTTGCCGTCCTCGGCGGACTGGATGGTGTAGTTTTCGAAGATGAGGTCCATGCCTAGGGATCTGTGTGCAAAGAGCACAAGTCAGCGTCGTGCTATTGAGATAATAGAAGATAATAAGGAGACCTACGCCCATACTTGCGAGCCCGTGTCAGGGATTACTGTAAACCGCGCCGTCTCATTGTCGAGGCGCACCCAGGCGATCTTCTCGAGGGACGAGAGGGCGGCCGTCAGTTCTGTTTTGTTAGCAGGGGCTCCAATTGGATTAGTGCTGTTTTGGAATCACTATGGGGGCTTACTTGAGAAGGTGCGGATATTTTTCAAGTCTGTCCGAAAACGCATTGTTGGGATTTGTATGCAGATGCACGAGGGAAGGTTAGCTTAGCTGTTGGTAGGCAGACGACATCGTGCGGCTGTCACCACCCCACTACCAAACTGGCGTGGCGGCACTACCAACAAAAAAAAGTGACGTGCCCAGCTTTCCTTCTTCCATTCACAACCACACAGCTTCATCATAACCACCACACACAAAATAATGAGCGACTACAGAGGCCGCCGGCAAGACAGCCGCCCACAAAGAGACGATTACGATCGTCAAGACCACCGAGACAGCCGTGACCGCCGCCAATACCGCTCAAGGTCTCGCGAAGACCACCACAACCGCGACAACTACGACCGGTCCCGATCTCCCGATCCCAGACACTCCCGCGATACCGGCCGGCGTGGCGGAGGCCGTGGTGGCCAGCGCGGTCGCGACCGAGACTACAACAACAACTCACACTCACGGCGCTACGACGACCGAGACCGTCGACGAGACACGCGCTCACAGCGCTCAGCGTCCCCCCGAGACAGCGGCAACAGCAGCAGTAGATACCCATCTGACCATGGCTCTCTGCCCAGCCGGCCGCGCGAGGATGATACGCCGCCCGCCAAGCCTAGCAACAAGAACTCGCGGCGCGATAATAAGAAGGATGAGCCGGAGAGCATGGACGAGGACGGCGAGGTGGACGATGAGGAGGCTGCCATGCAGGCCATGATGGGCTTTAGTGGGTTTAACTCGACAAAGGGCAAGAAGGTGGCGGGCAATAATGCGGGTGCTGTGCGTAAGGAGAAGAAGACGGAGTATAGACAGTATATGAACCGCCAGGGTGGTTTCAACAGGCCGCTGTCGCCGTCTCGATAGAGTATATCATAGTGGAGGCTTTCTCTTTGGCCAGCGAGGGAGTGTGGTACACGTACATTATGTAGAAAGGCGTTGGTATAGCGTTTTTGATAACCTGGACTTATTTGTATATCATGGTACACTTGTTTTTGTGCAATATCTACGCATATATAGTGTTGAAGAAAGAGGCCAATTGACACTCCACGCCATTATGAGACTTGAATACAAACTCAAACTTTTCAAAGCATAAAGGGGTGGCATTGTATAAACATTACGTACAGATATAGAGTATATGCGGAGAATAAACAAAGACCGCTCGCTCATCTACAAACTAATGCATCCCTTTCTATCCCTTCTAATCCCCTCCCCATTTTCAATGTTCTTCACCCTCTTCACCATGTTCAGATCTCACCTCTTCAGCTAGGGCCTCGCCATCCGCTGTTGCTGGGCGTGAGTCGCCTTCTGCGCTCTCGCCACCCTGGCTGCCGGTTACTCGGTCACGACGGCGTCGTCTCATGCGTCGTTCCTCGTCCGTGGTTTGTCTTCGAGCCTTTCTCATGCTCTCGCGCTTCTCGGCGTCGTTTTCTGCGCCTTCGCCGCCACGCATGCCCTGGAGTAGAGCTGCAGCACGGTCCGCAACATCATCCTCGCCATCCTTGGCAGCAGTCTGGCCTTCGGCTTCTTCGTCAATGTCAGCATCCACAGTCTGCAGACCGGCTTCGACCTCGGGAATCTCGTTCAAATCGGGAATCTTTTGACCAGAAGCCACACGAACTTGGTGACGATCCTTGAGACGTGCTCGTCGGCGGCGATCTCTCTGGTCTCGGGCCTGCGGAGCCGCGGCTCGAAGCTTCTCCAAGAGTGAGTCCATGGCGCCAGTGCTGGCAGCAGAGGGTGCTATGCCCGACTCTGCCGCCTCGCGGGCCTTTTGTTGAGCATGTCTTCGCTTCATGGAAGCCTCGTTGCGTTTGCGGACCTCTTCCAAGTTCAAGTTCTTCTCCTTGGACTTCTTCCACTCACCCAAGAAGTTGGCAAGCTTGGAGAAGAAGTCGCGTCTGGCATTCTCATCTGTAGGATCTTCGCCGTAGAAGACCATAATGTCCTTGTAGGTGCGCATCATTTCATCCAGGTACAAGTCCATCTGGTCTGCCTTGCGTCGTGCTTCCTTCATGCATCGCTGTACAACCTGTCCAACACGGTCCTGAGGGTGGAACTTCTTGGGATCGCTTAGGTTACCCGAATCCAGGGACATTTGTGTTTTGCGGATATTGTCAATGTACTTCTGAGCATCGGTTCTGAGCTGCTCCACATTCACCTTTTGCATGGTAATCACACCACCAATCTCGTCGGCAAAGTTCTCCCATTCGGGGTATTGGTTGCGGACGATGCGCTCCACCAAATCAGCCAACGAGGACTCATTCTTGTCATCCTTGACCATGCCAAGGCGGGCAAGGGAGCTGAGCTTGAAACCACGAGCTTGCTTGTTGACATCGTTCATGTAGTTACCAATGTCGAGAATGAGACCAAGGACGTTCATCAACGAAACAGAGTCACGTAGACTCTCTGAAACGGTGACAACCTGCGTCATCTTGTCATGCAGCTCATCGTACTCGGGTTCGTAGCTTCTTGTCAGAGCCAAGGCTCTCATACGGCTCTTCCAGTAGTGGTGGAGTTCGAAAGCCGTGTACAGATACAGCTGATCCTGTGGCGTCAGATCCGCAGGGTCCTGTTCGCGAACTTGCTTGGTCGAATCTGGTCCCGTCAGATCGAGACTAAAAGGTGCCATTTGCTTAGAAGTGTTGTCAGAGATGTTGCACAAGTCATCCTTTTGCAAGAAATCCATGACAACAACATTGTCCAAGATGAGATCATCGCAGTGAATAATCATCTGAACAATCTTCTCCAAAGGATACTGTGAGAATTTGGCAAACGCAATTTCAAAGGCTTTGCGCAGATCAGGTGCAATAATCTGCTTCTTATCTCCCTTCTTGCTGGTTGCAACTCCAATCTTCTTGATTTCCTTTGCCATGAACAGCTTTTCAACTTCATCCAAAATACCCTTGCGGCTAAGCTCAATGTACTTTTCTTCACGCGCTTCGGCTGAAGGCGTATGGGCAGCCCAGTGACTGGTTTCCGGTGCATCGACCTTCTCCCAATGAAGAGCCTTGAGCTTCTTCTTAGGTCTAACGATGGGCAATGTAGCCGCAGGAATTGGTGTGAATGTTGGCTGAGGAGGAAGGAAATGGCCACTAGCCGAAGTAGGCATTGGAGGAGGAGGAGGTGGCATAGCAGCTGCATCAGCCGCGGCCGTCGATGTTGATAAGAAGGACTGGGCTGAGCTTGACGGCGGCAGTGACCCAATGGATGGCGAGCTTGCCCCATCGGTGGTCATGCCAGGAGACATGGAGCCAAGAGATGGCAAAGGTGGAGGAGGTGGAGGAGGAGGGGGGCCTCCAGGAAGTTGGCCTGGCAAGGGTGGAGGCGGAGGCGGCCCAGCGGCTTTCTGACCAGGAAGAGGAGGAGCAGGAGGAGGAGCACCAGGAAGCTGTCCGGGCAGAGGAGGAGGGGGAGGAGGCGGCGGTGGTGGCGGCGCTCCAGCAAGCTGTCCAGGCAAAGGTGGTGGTGGTGGTGGCGGAGGAGGAGGAGGAGGAGGACCAGTAGTTTTGGCAGCTGAGGCAGGTGTAGGGACGGTAGCCTTTGGTGTTTCGACCTCAGCTGGGGTCTGGGGTGAGGACGAGTCAATGCTTGGGTGGGATGTGCCGTTGGTAACGCCGTCACCCTCCTCAGAATCACTGGCATCGGTTTTCTTGACTTTGATGCCCAGCTCATTAACAAGAGACTGCTGCTGCTTAGTATCAATGACGGGGCGCTTGAGCTCAACAAGACGGGGCTTCTCATATACAACACCGTCTTCCTCAGTCTCATCAGTCTCGTCTGCTTCGGGAATGGACACGTCTTCCAAATCTCCTGATGAGTTGACGGGCTTGCGTGGGATCTTGGTTTGGCGGTTACTGCTGCCCAGGACGCTGTTGGTGAGATCGCGAGGCGCTTTGACTGCTCCCTCGTTCTCACCTTCCATTTCCTCACGGAGAGCGCGAAGGCGATCTGACGGTCCTCCAGCCTCGCCATACATGCGGCCCTCGAGCTTATACTGCGTCTTTTGGCGTTCAAGTTGCATCTGGAGTCGCTCCATCAACTTTTGACGGTCCATGATGCCTTGCATTTGCACAGGATCAGAAGCTTCCTTGGTCACATTCTTAGCGTTACTCTTGGCCGCGTTGGAAGCAGCTATATCCTGTGCATCACGCAACATGAGATACAGCTCTCTGGTCTCCAACTCGTTTCGCTGTGCCTCCTTGGCGCGAATTGTTTGGATACCATCCAACTCAACCTTGAGGCCTTCGGCTTGGCGCCGCTGCGCTTCAATGAATCTGCTTTGTTCGTCGAGCTGCTTCTGGAGCTTTGCGACTAGGCCGTCAGCGCCGAGCTCCAATTGAGACTTCATTTCGTCTCGTTCCGACATCGCTGCCTCTGCAATTTGCCTCGACTCGAGGGCTTCATCCTGGGCTAGACGAGCTTCAGCATCGGTGTGCAGCTTGTCAAGAAGATTCTGTACTGTGAAGTTAAGACTCTGCTTCAGATCCATGTTGGGCATGCGCCTATCCATTGCGACATAGCTCAGCATGGAGTCGACGAGCTGGAAGAGACGGAGTCGCTCTTCTCCATCGGTGGACCGCATAAGCAAAAGGTGCTGCAGTGCAGACACAAAGTAATCATTGGTACGGCTGCCCTGGAGTCGCTGTTGGATGGCGTCTGCGATTTGAACAGGATCGCTCAAGTCCTTGACGTCTGCTTCGACGCCATCCTGCATGCTGCTGTTTTCTCGCTCCAGCATATCCTCGTAATCAATGGCCTCATTGCTTCGGAAACGGTCGATTTGCTTGTTGAGGGGATCGTATCCAAACTCCTCCATCTTTACTAGGATATGCTTGATACCACAGCCAGTAAACTGAGCACGAATGTGGACGCGCATCTGGAGATCCTTGTCGGGGGCATCAATCATCATGTTGATGAGCATGACTGTCGCAACCGCATATTCCATAAGCATGTTCTCAATACCTGTTCCGCCTGCTCGGAGCTCATCACTCGCGCCTACCAAGCTTCCAAGTTTACCACGGCCGTCGACAGTGGCGCCGACCAAATTAATCCAGCTATCAAAGCGTCCAGCTTCGCCACTGGTTACCTTGACTTCATCAAGGGCCTGGATGACCTTCTTGTGACCTTCATTGTTCTGACCCCAGGCTGTAAGGAAAGTCAAGATTTCACTGGCCAACTTTCTGGTGAGAAGTCGAGGTGAGGTCAATGATGTGACCAGAGCAACCAAAACCTTTTGTTGGATGAGGGCATCATCAGCACCAAAGTCGTTGTTCATCAAAACCTTTAAGCACTTGAGAATATCGTACTCGCGGTCCAGATACTTTTCAATCTTTGGGTCTCCGGGAGGGGGTGGCGGACCATTTGTTGGCTGCGTCTTTCGGGCAATCTTTAAGAGCAGAGTGACGAGGGCAACCTGACCTTGACATTCGACAAATCGTCTGACCCAACCAATTTGCTGTGTTCGCAAGTTGACCTCCAAACTGCCCATGCCCTTGGCGTCGAGCTTGTCCTCCATGACCCTTCGAACGTACCATTCGGGAGTTCCTTCTTCGTCCGAGTAGGTTGTAATATCGGGTACCGAGTACTGTGTCGATCGAACAGTCATTCTGCGGCGTTGTTCGCCTTGCCATTCAGTGAGACGATCTTGATGTAAGAGAGTCCACTTCTTTGTCGGTGCGTAGGCAAGCATTTGGCGTCGAGCCTGGTCCGGGAGGTTATGCCATCCACGCTTCTGCATGAGCTGCAGAAACATTTGATCAATGACGTTGTCATCATCCGGCTTGGGAAAGTTGAATCCCTCGGAGCCAGCGGGAAGCTTGGTTAGGCGATGCGAGTCGCGTTGATTATAAGCTGCCTGGGCAGATAGTGTAGGATACTGCGCAGTTGTATACATGCTATAGGCGTCCGAGGTTCTTGAATTAGGTGAGAGGTAGGATTCGTATCGCGAAGGGTGAGAGCTCAGGGTACTGGCAACACTGCCCCTGGTTGGGCCCCATTGCTGGTACTGCGTCTGCTTGCCAGTAGATGCCATGGTCATGTTGGAACCAGGCAGGCCACGCGAGGCCACGGAGCTGTGAGAGCCAGGCGGCATTGTAGAGGGATCAAATGTTGGATACTGATGGAAATCCGCACCAACTTTGTTGAGCTGGTGTGGAGGGATATGGTCCATAGGGATGGGAGACCGGGAGCCGGGAGCGGTTGTATCGTAGGGAATGGAAGCGATGACACCGGCATTCATGCTCATTGAAGGGTCGAGAGCTGTAGGGGAGTCGATCGATATAGCTGAAGAGTCGCGATGGTGCCGCGATGACCGCGAGCCACCGTAGTTGTAGGCATCGTGTTCGATTTCGGTTTGGCGTTTATCCTTGTCCTTGTTCTTGTTCCTCGAGAAGAGGGAGCGTCCTCCTGAGGACTGCCTTGACTTGTCGGCCATGGCGTGCCACTAGAAGGGAAAAGCAGCTGTGGTGTGTTGTGTAGGATGCTGATTTGCGTTGACTACGCCCAGGCCGCTTGCATATTGTAAGAGGCGTGCGTGGCAGCCAGGGCAGGAGGAGAGGGGGGCCAGTAGGTAGAAGCGGGATCGGCGTTTCGAGAAGCCCGAAGCCAATAGGAGGAGGAATCCGACGATCTGCGAGTGTTGAAGCTGCCTTTGGTGTGTCTGCGGCGATGCGTGTGAATGGTTCAAGACTGGCGCGTCAACAGATCGTGTGCGAGTCCTCGGGGTAGGAGGAGGACGATAAAAATAGGGGATAGAATAGTGGCGCCGTCCGAGCTGGGGGGGTCGCCTTTGGGGTAGGGGGATCTGAGAGCGGGCGACGAAAGTACGAGGAGGAGGAAGACACGATGAGAGAGCTACTGAAAAATACTGTTTAAAAAAAGGCTGCAAAACGGATTCAAAGTAACAAAATATTCCGGCAGCTGGAGGAAATACTTGCACTGTATTTTCCCCAAGCCTGGCATTTTTGTTCCAGGGGATATTCCAGAAGGCCAGCAAGTCACAGGGTTCAGGTTCACGGGCAAGGAGGCCAGTTTGGGTGCGCATGGGGCACCGGGCACGGGCGACGGCCACTGTGGAGAGGCGCCAATTTCCCAGGCAAGGAAGGCTTCGATGTTGCATCCGCACCCGAGGGACGTGTGTCTGGCTGTTAAACTGCAACACTACACGATATACTCTAGAGCATTACTATTGCTTGGCCGCGCAAAGGAGAGAGATACAGTTGTCTATCTGTCATGGAAAAAGGCAACAAAAAAAGAAAAAGAAACCGAGACAGGCGCCTCCCAGGGAGAGAGAATACTAAGACATATCGCCCCCAAGCAAGGAGAATTTACGCGGGAGAGTCTTCTTTTTTTATCTATGCCAGGAATGCTCGGAGAGGGGCTAGCTGTCAAGTTTTACAAAAGTGAACAGCAGAAGAATACAATATAATTAAGCAAAAAGAATCATAGAAACTGTGACGCGATGGCAGAGGCAATCGGACATAGGCCGGCCCGGTGTGATATTAATTGCCCTCTATATATGCGTATACTTGGACAGTCCAAGACCGAGTTTAGCACCAAAAAGCCCCTGGAAACGCCCCTCCGCAACACCGCCCGGCGCCCCGTGGCTCTTGGAATATCTGTTAGAAAGCTTGTTCCACGCTGGAGCTTCCCAGCTTAGCGCCCAGCCGTTGCCTGCGCCGCGCCTCCAAACGCCCGCTATTTTCGCCCGCTAACAGCACGCATCTGGCTGGACAACGGGGGTTGTCGCCTGTCAAAGCCACCATGGCCCTGCGTAAACGCACTAGCCACAGCAGCGTACGTTTCAAGATTGTCTACCTAGAAGTGGCGCACATCGCTGTCGTCAGCGCAAGGACCTTGTCCATCCTTCGTTCGTTTTTGTCCGTCAGAGTCCGCTCCTTTGCTTTGTTATCTAGGCGATTCGCATTTACAAGATAATTTGTCGCGACACAGAGTATTCGAAACTTTGAACCGGCAAGGTTATACTCGCCCTTGGCTTCTAGAACGCGCGGCGAGATCGCTTCGCAGGCGACCACAATGGGCTCCTCGCCATTCAAGGTACATCGGCATGACATCGACGGTGCACATTGTATGAATACTAACACATGTGTTATAGACAGTAATAATACCTGCGATTATATCTCTCATCCTATTTTCCGTCGTCACATTCGTCATCGTCCCTGTGTGGCGCCGATACCGCAATCGATATGCCCAATATCTGCCCCTCGATGCCATCTCGAATCAGACAGCGTCATTACGAAGTCGCATAACTTCCCGGCTCGCCTCATTAGTACTACCCTCCACCTGGCGGCGGGATCAAGAAGTTATTGCGGCGACGGGCGACGACGACGAGCTAGACGATGGAGAAGAGTTGAGCGCCGTTCAAGCGGACAGGCTGCGAGATCTAGAGAGACGAATGGGCGAATCACGCTTGCCAGACCATACCCGGCGCCTTAGTAGAGAGTGAGTTTTGTAACCGCAATACTGCATACCGCTCAGGACGATATACTGACCGAAAGTCATAGCTTAGAAGAAGGCTTCATGGACGACAGCGATGACGACGATGATGGAGATATGCGCGGGCGTCGATGAAACCGCATGTTCCCTTGTATAATTACATTTATTTGTTTTTGTATTCTATTGGCATATATTAGCGTCTTTTCAACAATTCATCAAGCACTGAGCTTGCATTTTGCATGATCAAGACTCTTCCTTCGTTGAGGAATCTAGTTTTCGTCGGTCTAATTGACTCTGTAGATTTTGTGTTATGACCATTTAATCTGCCATAATAAGTTAAACGGCATGATATATAGTCATCAATACAGGAATTAATAGAAAAGACGTCTTTGTTTTCTAAATTATTCCACTAAATTTAGGCCTTTGCAACTCTTGTACCGCTGCACGTCCGTCGTCGCCCCCTGTTGGTAGCGCTACAGGAGCGGCTAGCCGCAAGGCCGCCCCACGGAGCTTCCCCAGATGTCCCGCTGCAGCTTCAACGTGTTCAACTCCAGCGGCTACAGCGACCAGTTTCTAACCGCCTTGAGGCGCATCAATTGGAAATTGCAGATAATAAATAGAGCCGAAACGAATAATTCAACCAGAAAAAAGATCGATTGAAACAACATTACCGGCCGGGATGACAAAGTTGGCGCAGTTGGTTGCGTTGGCTGGCTTGGCCATGGCCTCCGTCACCGCAGACGGAGAGTCCATCCTCACCAGCGAGATTGGCCGATTGAACAACCAGAGTCTCTTCTGGGGCCCTTATAAGCCAAATCTCTATTTTGGTGTCCGCCCTCGTGCTGCCGAAGGGCTCTGGACCGGCTTGATGTGGTCCAAGATCAACCGATATGGCGACATCCAGAAAGGTGAGTTTTGTTGCGGCGGGAGCTGGTCTTGTTGCAAAACTAACGACATGGTGCAGCATTCCGATACACGTGCGAACAAGGCGACGACATTCACGGCTACGGCTGGGACGAATACGACGCTCGACAAGGTGGCGTGCAGACAATCCACGACGAGGGTAACAGCATCGACATCACTACAACGTTTGTCAAGGTGCCTGGCGGCAATAATGGTGGTAGCTGGGCTGCCAGAATCAATGGAAAGCTGCGAGATGACGCGCCAAAGGATACCAAGAGCGTTGTCTTTTATTATATTGCACAAGAAGGAGACGGCGAGCTTGAGCCCAGCGGCGAGGGCTCAGAGTTTGGTATCGACGGCGACGTCACCTTCAAGGGCAGGTCAAAGACGCTTGGTGACTACCAGCTTGTAGTTACCAAGGGAAAAGGTGACCGTCCCTCGTCTACACATGACTTGTCCGCCACCCGCAAGGGTGATACAACGCTTGTTCGCAGCATTGACTTGATGTCCGACGTCCAGTGGCAGGGAAACAGCGCCGTCTATGGCTTCCTGCAGGAGGCAACTGCCTATATTCAAGAGAACTTCAACATTACTGAGAACCCTCCCCCTCCTTGGCAGGTGTATCAGGTTGGCCACGCACCCTCCAAGGCTAACTCCCATGTCGTCCAAAAGACCTTTGAGGGCGACTTTGAGTTTGACGTGATTTTCTCCTCTGCCGCTGCTGGCAAGCCGTTGACCTCTGAAGATGTCACTCGCGAAGCTAAGGTGAGCTCTGGTCTGTTTGGTGAGCGTTTCGGAAAGGTGTTTAACCTACAAGCACCATTCACTGCCGATAAGTACTACAGGTTTGGTAAGAGCATGTTCTCTAACCTCTTGGGCGGCGTCGGCTACTTCCACGGAAACCAGCTGATTGATCGCTCGTACGCGTCTGAATATGACGAAGAGGACGAAGGATTCTGGACCGAGGCCGCCGCTGCCCGGGCCCGTGGTGCCCAGAGGCTCGAAGGTCCCTATGAGCTGTACACCAGCATCCCCTCGCGCCCCTTCTTCCCCCGTGGTTTCTTGTGGGATGAGGGTTTCCATCTTCTTCCTATCTCTGACTGGGACATAGACCTCACTCTGGACATTGTCAAGAGCTGGTATAACACCATGGATGAAGATGGCTGGATCCCCCGCGAACAGATTCTCGGCAACGAAGCTCGCAGCAAGGTGCCAGAGGAGTTCCAGGTTCAGTACCCTCACTACGCCAACCCACCAACCCTTTTCCTGATTATCGAGGGCTTCATGGAGAGATTGAAAAAGGCCAACGGCAGTGCTCCTGCTCAAAAGGAAACACTGTCTCAGGGCGAGAACTTGTACACTGCCCACCTTGACAATGTGGAACTTGGCGAGGACTTCCTGCGTAAGATCTACCCGCTGTTGATGCGCCAGTACCAGTGGTTCCGCAGCTCGCAAAAGGGCGATATCAAGACATACGATCGTGAAGCTTTCTCCAGCCGCGAGGCGTACAGATGGAGAGGCCGCACTGAAACGCACTGCCTGACCAGTGGTCTTGATGACTTCCCTCGCCCTAGCCCGCCACACCCCGGAGAGCTCCACGTCGATCTGATGGCCTGGGTTGGACTTATGGCTAAGTCGCTCATGAACATTGCAGAGTCTCTGGATATGGCCGAGGATGCGGCCAACCTGAAGAAGAATCTGATTGCCATTGAAAACAACCTCAACGATCTGCACTGGTCCGAGAAGGACGGCTGCTTCTGCGATGCCACTATTGACGAATTCGAAGAGCACAAGCTAGTGTGCCACAAGGGATACATTTCCTTGTTCCCCTTCCTTCTTGGCCTGATGAAGGTCGATGACCCCAAGCTGGACAAGATTCTGGATCTGCTGGGCGATGAGGAAGAGCTCTTCAGCCCCCACGGCATCCGAAGTCTGAGCTTGAAGGATGAGTTCTACGGCACCGCTGAGAACTACTGGCGCAGCCCTGTGTGGATGCCCATGAACTATATGGCTGTGAACCAGCTTCTCGTAAGTTTTCTTTACCTACTCCTATTTATGTATTCCACTAACTCCCGTTAGCATGTTGCCAAGCAGACTGGTCCTCACCGCAACAAGGCCCGCGACCTGTACACTCGCCTGCGCAAGAACCTCGTTGACACTGTCTACAAGAGCTGGGAGGAAACCGGCTTTGCATGGGAGCAGTACAACCCCGAGACTGGCGCCGGACAGCGCACACAGCACTTTACTGGATGGACCAGTCTGGTGGTGAAGCTGATGGCTATGGAGGATCTCGCTGGCTCTGGAAGCGGCCATGACGAGCTGTAGACGGCGATTATCATGTTGTTTAAAACTGATGACTATAAAGATGCAGCTGATAGACTGTAATATAAACTCTGAGAATATAATGGAATTATTTGCACGTCTAGTTTTGCGTCCTCAGGTTTTTGTCATCATCCCCGTATTAGCGTTTTGCTTAGCTAAAGCAACGCTGCTGGAAAATTCCACAGCGTCCATTTTGGGCCTGGCGCATGCCAAATCATTTGGAAGCTCACGAGTATAAAGATTTGACGACGCCCTCCCATCTTAAAAAAATATTTCTATTTAATACAAACAAGACATACCCAGCTAAGCCACTCGCACTGTAATTTAATTCATATTTTCACATATATACCCTGAGATTCGCCTCTCCACAGCTCACACATCCCGACCTCTCACGACTCAGCAATTTCAAGCACGCCATCAGCAGCATAAACTCGAGCCGAAGCAGCAAAACAGCATCGCAAACACCTGCTCAACGCTCTAAAACACCTCTATCACCACACACCACACTCACATAATGGCTCTCCACCACATCAAGTCTGGCGCTGAGCTCCAGACGCTCCTCGAGAACACAACCTACGTCGCCGTCGACTTCTACGCCGACTGGTGCGGCCCTTGCAAGGTCATCGCTCCCGTCTACGAGAAGCTCGCTGCCAAATTCTCTGTTCCCGGAATCCTCGCCTTTGCCAAGGTCAACGTCGACACTGTGCAGGACGCCGCCAGCAAGTACCGTGTGTCTGCTATGCCCACGTTTCTCTTCTTCAAGGAGAAGGAGCAGGTTGCTGTCAATGGCCAGGCTGCTATCATGGGAGCCAACCCGCAGGCTTTGAATGCTGCTGCTGAGAAGCTCGGCGGACTGGCGCAGAAGCGTCTGGCTGAGAGAGAGGCCGCCAACGCCAACTAGGGACGGGGAATTCAAAGACAAATTAAAATGTATAGAACTTTCATGTACGCTACGCTACGCAATGCCGGGAGTAAATAGATGACACAAAGCCATGCCTTAATTCAATCAGCATGTTTGTCTTTAATGGAGGAAACATGTCACTTTCCAACGCAAAATCTACGGCCCAAAATGTTAGAATAAATGTGATTGTGTAGCAGCAACGTGACAAAACTTACTTTTCAAAAACCACGCCCAGGACGTCTTCCACATCGCCGGCTTCACCGTTTCCAGTGATGCGGGCAAGACAATCTGCCGCATAGCGAAGATACTCGGCTGCGAGTACACTGTCTGCATCAACGCCGTCTTCTTCAGGCTGCGCTTCGAGCATAAACTCCTCCAGATGATGGCGGCACTTGATCAAGAGCTGACGCTGGCGCTCCGTGACACCAATAAGATCCTGCATGTCAACAGGCATACTTGTCATATTGGAGAAAGTCACATCTAGAGCATCGATGACTGCGCCGACGCCGCCAGGATCCTTGGCCTTGAGATATGGCTTCTGTGCTTCCTTGCAAGAAATGGTGATGGGGACGGCAGCACCAAGACGCGGGCTGGCCTTGCTTAGCACCCCTTGGAAGTCGTCCATAAGACGCTGGAATGTCTCAGGATTAACAGAATCTTTCTTGTTAACGATAACGAGGAAAGATTCCGCATCGGTCGCCAGGTTAAGGGTTTCTTGGTCGTAGTGAATGACTGGACCAGCCGGACCCGTTTCCACAGATGCCACAGCGACAATTATATCTGAATTTCTGGCTTTTTCCTTGGCCCGGCGGATTCCTTCTTCTTCAATAGCGCCCACTGGAGCAAAGTCACCTTGTAGGTTTGTCGTGGACGACAGGGAGCGGAAGCCAGCGGTGTCAGCAAACGAGCACAGAAAGCCTCTGATATCCAGGCTAGCTTCTACAATGTCTCTAGTTGTTCCAGCTTCGCCAGATACAATAGACGCCTCGCGGCCAACAATCAGGTTCATAAGTGAGCTTTTGCCAGCATTTGGTGGACCAACAAGCGCAATGCGGATACCATTGCGCAGCAGCTCGCTCTTCTGGCTAGCAAGCTCATGAAGATGGATACTATCCACAATGGCATCAATTTGTGAGACGACGTTTTCAAGAAGTTCTGCTTGCGATTCATCAAAGTGCTGGTCCTCGGAAAAGTCAATTAGTGCCTCAATCTCGCCTCTTGCAAGCAGCAACTGCTGACGCCAGCCTTCGTACGTCTTGCCCAGCGCGCCAGAGTTGCCTCGCACAGCCGCACGACGCTGCTGCTCCGTCTCAGCAGCCAAAGCATCGCTTAGGGCCTCAATCTGCGCAAGGTCCAACCGGTTGTTAACAAAAGCACGCTTAGTGAACTCGCCTGCCTCGGCATAGCGGATACGATGCCGCGACGGGCACCGAGCCACAGCAGCCAGGACGGCCTTCACAGTGGCTGTTCCACCGTGAACATGAAGCTCGAGCACATCCTCACCAGTCACGGTGTTGGGTGAGGGGAAGTGAAGAACGACTGCCTCCGTGTCTAGTACAATAGCACGGTCCGTTGGTGCCCGGGGAGCATACAGCGTGCGCACAGCAGCATATCTGGGCTGTGGAACGGGCTTTCTCGGACACAGGGCTTTGTATATCTTGATGGGAGCATCATGTCAGTCGGAGAAAAGGACGCATTATCTGGGGTGGGTTAGGGTTTCTCACGTCAAGGCAGGATGGGCCTGAGATTCTTAAAACAGCAATACCTGCTTTGCCAGGGGCAGTAGACAGAGCGTATATCGTGTCATTTGCTGGCGGCAGACTCGAGTTGCCCTGTCTTGATGAGTCTGTAGAGCTGTAGGCGGCGAATTGGTGCCGGCTTCCCCTCTCCGGACCGGATGCCGGCCGGATGGAGGAGGGCTTGCTGGTGAGAGCTGGCGTCGGGGGCCTTGGGCGAGTTGTAGATGCAAACCGAGCCCGCAGCGGCAGACTCGATGGAAGCCTCAATGAAGGAGAATTAATCACACTTTTGCGCATTTTTTTTATTCAGCAAACAAATCTCTGTAATGCAGCGTGTAAACGCTAAGTTGCGAGACTCGGCGCATGTGATGGGTGGCATGCATGAGGCCGAAAATGAGACGCCCCCAAACTGCTTTAAACGGCTAGCATGTGGTTTTTAGCGCCTTCAGCTGCTAGCGCCAAGAGGTTACAGGTCCAGAGCTACGACACAACACACTTATAACAACAGATCGACGCTATTGGGTTAAGCTTATGGTAAATATAGCTTTAAATATGGCGTTAAATATTTTTTTTAAATAGAAGGAATATAGGATCAGTGTATTAAATATTGCAATAAGCTGAATTGTTGAAATGGTAATGTGGCTACCCTAAGAATATACCGGAATTGTTGCTCGTAATGTTAAATAAAATCCAGATAAAATAGACAAAAAGAAATTTTGTGTTTCTGCGCCGTCCCCTACTTTTGATGGTGATGTTTTTGCTTGTTTTCAAAGTCTGTAGTCGTTGTAGTTGTTGAAGTCTGCAGACAACTAGGCCTTGGCGTATTCAGCCAAAAACGTAGCCAGCTTTTGGGCTCCTTCGACTGTGAGTGTATTAAAGTTTCCTGCCCTCATTCCGCCCACAGAACGATGCCCCTTAAGACCAATAAGACCGTTGGCAATGGCCTTGGCAAGGAAGTCCTTCTCGGCAGCATCAATGTCTCCTCCCTTGACGACACGGAAGCAAATGTTCATCCGTGAGCGGTATTCCTTGGACGGGACGACCTTGTACACATCGGGATAGGCATCAAGAGCACCGTAGATCAGCTTGGCCTTTTCGGCAGCGACCTGCTCTTGGCCCTCCACACCGTTAGGGTACGTAGCAACAAGCTTCTTCAAGACTTGACCGGCGACGTAGACACTACGTTGATGATTAGCGATTGCGTGAGGTGTGAGGCGCGCTATGTAGGATATCACTTACTCAAAGATGCTTAGTGTGTTGTACAAACTGTTGTTCTTGGCAATGGTCTCGTAGCTGAACATGATGGGAGGAATGGCAAGCCCCAGCTTGCGCATAAGAGAGGCAGAAGGCTGAGGAAGCAGGCTCTTCTTCACAATAGCAACAGTAATACCAGTGGTACCAAGGTTCTTCTGGGCGCCGAAGAAGATGACGGAGTAGTTGCGGACAGGGATGCGGCGAGTCAAGATGTTGGAAGACATGTCACCAACAACAATGGGGCCCTTGCCATCAGGTCCAGGCTCAAGGGATTTGGGGAAAGCAGGAAATTCTATTCCGTGGACGGTTTCGTTCTCGCAGAGGTATACAATAGCAGAGCTTTTGGAAAGCTTCCACGTGCTCTCGTCGGGAATAGCAGTGTACTTGCCACCAACTTCGTTGCGACCATCAGCAACAATGTTGACATGCTCCGGGCCATAGAGACGCTCTCCTTCTTCGGCTGCCTTTTGAGACCAACCGCCAGTGATGAAGTAGTCAAGCTTGAGGTCCTTGTCAACGACATCACGGAGCTTCTGCACACTGGCAGCATCCAAGTCATCATCCTTGACAGCATCACCAAAAAGCTCAAGCTTCTTCTGGAGGACCCAGGCACCTACAAGGTTGTAAGCTGTAGCAGAGAACTGGCCAGTGCCTCCGCCCTGCATGAACACAATCTCGTAGTCATCGGGGATGTCTAGGTAAGCAACCAAGTCCGCCTTAGCCTCATTGATGATCTTGTCGGCAATTGCAGAGCGATGAGAGTGTTCGGCGAGACCCAGGCCAGTCTCGTTATAGTTGAGAAGGGCTTGCGAGGCACTCTCCAGCACGTCCGTTGGCAGCCATGCGGGACCAGAGGCGAAGTAGGTGATGTCTTCTCTGGTGGGCATTTTGGTAAACTAGGACGAATATCCGTGTCGTTTCTGGTAGATTTTGTTAATTTGATAGTATGTGGTGAGTCACAGCCAAAAGGGCGCAATTGAAGACTGCTCAGGTAAAGTAAAAAAAGAAGCGCTGTAATCAAGATTGACAACGTGAGTGTATTAATATCTCTTTTTTTCCTTTGTCCAGAGACAAGAAGCGAAATAGCAATGGGGGATAAAGGTTTACAAAAGCCGTCTTTCAAAGACGAGGGGAAACGGATGGGGGCAGGTCTCTGCTTTTGTAGAAAAAGGAAAAGTAAATGCGAAACCGCTGCTTGTGACGAACATTTTGCCAGAAACCGCAACCCCACCTGCGCTGATAAGTGGGATGACGGCATTGGGTGTTGAGTTGAGGACCGCTATGGGCAGAACAGCGCAAACCACGGAAAAATTTAAAACAGCCTAAAATTTTACTTGTAGTGTAAGCAGGTGTTTTTGAATTAGTCGAATTATTGAATTTGACAGTAAATAGTATAATTGGACGACATAGATATCTCTCTAGAGTGGTTTATCTATCTAATCGAATCCATGGCCGACAACGGCTTTTGCCCTTCAGCTCTATCAAAGTAGACTCTGCACCATCCCGCCACGATTCATTAAAATAAAATAAAATATTTCCACCACCCTCAAGGTCTCTCTAGATGTCACTAAACTTGAAAACTGTTCCTTCCATTTCCAAGAACCTGCACAGGCCCCGATTAAGCTTAAATCCCCCTCCAGGGACCATTTTTCCAATGGCCGCCCACTTTGGGTCTTTCTGGCGGCCCCTCCGTCCCCCTCCCCGATACGGCAGGCGGTGTACCCGCACAACCACGGGCCAATCAGCGACCAGACAGCTCCCCAGCACCTGGGCTACGAAGCTTGGGCTGCCTGGGCTCCAGGCGACGAAGCGACGACGATGACCGCGCCAGCCATCGACACGCAACCACCACTCCTCGCCGTCTCCTTCAACGACACCTCGCCACGCCTGAGATTCTGTCGTCGCGAATATCCTAGCCTCCAGAATTCGCATTCCTCCAGCATCCCAAAATGTTTAGAAACAACTACGACAACGACTCCGTCACATTGTATGCCTGCCAACGTTCCCGCCATTCTGTGCCTCTAGCTCTAGTCCTTTTTGCTAACTTGCATTGCCAACTCCCAGCTCGCCTCAGGGCCGTATCTTCCAAATCGAATATGCCGCCGAGGCCGTAAAGCTGGGCTCTGTCGTTGTCGGCATTGCCAGCAAAACACATGTTGTCCTCTGCGCCCTCAAGGTAAAGGCGAACCGACCACCTGGCCCCAGACGCTTTTGCTAATGTTTCCAACACCACAGCGCAATGTCGAAGAATTGTCATCATACCAGAAGAAGCTCTTCACAATCGACGAGCACGTCGGCATTGCCATTGCCGGTCTCACCTCCGATGCCCGAGTCTTGTCCAACTTTATGAAGCAACAGTGCCTCGGCCACCGATTAACCTACGGCCGCGCCATGCCCATCCGCTCTATTGTCGATATGATTGCCGAAAAGGCCCAGATTAACACGCAAGTCTACGGCAAGCGTCCCTACGGTGTTGGACTGCTGATTTGCGGTGTCGACGAGACCGGCCCCCATCTGTTCGACTTCCAGCCCTCGGGCATGACGGAAGAGATGGTTGCCTTTGCTATTGGCGCCCGAAGCCAAATGGCCAGAACATACCTCGAACGTAATATCGATGAGTTTGCCGACTGCTCAAGAGAAGAGCTCGTCAAGCACGGCCTCAAGGCGCTGCGTGAAAGCTTGCCGCAGGATAAGGAGCTTACAGTAGAGAACGTCTCGATTGGTCTGGCCGGCGCTAAGACTGAAGGCAAGAAGGGCATCGAGCAGTTCAAGCTGTATGAAGAATACGAGGCAAAGGAGTGGATCGACCTGATTGGCGAGCAGGGTGAGGGCGAGGCTGGTAACGACATGGAGGTTGACAACTAAGCTACGGGCACTGGCAAAAATGAAGCGGTTAGTGCCAGCTTTGCAAATGAAAGAAAGAGAAATGACTAGATCATGTACAATTATTTGCCGCATAAAATAAAAGTGGCGATATGCAAACAAAGGTTACAGTACAACGCCTTTGAATAAAAAACAATGAAAACCACTACATTCACTCTACATCACTGCCACGGGACAGAAGTTTGAATTTTAAAGAGCATTTCCAATTTTTTTTCTCATCTATACAAAATTCTATAATTATTTCTAATTTTTTTGTAGTTTGTTTCGTTTATTCCTTTTGCGTTTAGTAAATCATGGTGTATAGCGTCTACCTACTGCTTCTTCCAGTCGAGCTTGTAGGTTCCCTCGGAAACCTTGTAGTCCTGGAGAGCAGCAATAGCACCCTCAGCATCGCTGGCTGTGACAATAATGTCCTTGTTCGCAGATCGAACGAAGCCCTCCTTGCCAGAAGTCTCGATCCACGAAAGGATACCGTCCCAGTAGCCCTCAATATTGAGAAGGCAGACGCCGCGGTCGTGAATGCCAAGCTGGTTCCAGGTAACGACTTCAAAGAGCTCCTCCATGGTGCCGTAACCGCCAGGGAGGACGATGAAGCCACTGCCAGGGCCGCCGTTCAGGACTTCCTCGGCCATGAGGCGCTTTCGGGTGTGCATGTCATCGACGACTGTGGTGTGGCCGTACTTGGACGTCTCGGGGATGAAGAGGTTGTTGGCGTTGACGTCCTGGTATGTGTCATCGCGCTCAAACTTGGCGAGAGCGGCAGGGATAATGCCGTGGACAGACTTGGGTCCGTTGATGGCGCAGACAGTCTTGGCAACTTCGCCCATGAGGCCGACCGTGCCACCTCCGTACACTGTATAGCAAGAAAGCAGTTGTTAGCGAGCCGTGTCTTCCTAACTGTGATTTTGTAGAGAAAAAATGGTTACCTAGGTCAATGTTCTTCTCGGCCAGGGCCTTGCCGAGTGTGCGCGCAGCCTCGAGGTACGCGGGGTTGTTGCCGCCCGCAGAACCGCAGAAGACGCAGATCTTGGTGCGAGGGGCATCCTCGGTGCCGTTCTGAGCAGTCATTATGAAGTCGGTGAAGGGGATGGGAATCGAGTAAAATGCTGGTATTTGGGGGGAAAGACAAAGCAAACCGCGTCGAGCGAGAGCGGCGGCGGCGGCGGCGTCGGTGGGAAACTGGCCTCGTGACGATAATGCTTCGTGTAACAGAAACGAGGGAGTGTCGGTGATTTCGAGGTAAGACGGTCTAGTGCGATGGTAGATATCCGGTCCAGACAGAAGAAGCCCGCGAAGACAGAAAAGAGAGATCAAATCGTCAGAATCGGAGCGGCGGGCTGCGGCGAGGGCGGACGTCTCTCGGGTTTTAAAAGGCCCTGCGTTTTGGGGGCAGGCCGAGTGACTCGCCTTTCTGACAAGGCGGGCGGCGGAGGGTCCGAGTCGGAGGGCCGCGGGGGTCACCGTGCAGGAACGGGCACGTTTTACAGGGCAGTTTTGGGGCCTTGCCGCAGGTCCCGGGTGGGTGGCGGGGCGCAGCGCCAATGTGTCATTGAGCTACCGTGGGTGGGTAAGCAACAGTTACAGGGTAGACTCGTTTTTAGCTCATCTTCTAAGTATTCCTTTTTTTTTAAAAAAAAAAAAAGAAAAAAACTAGAGTCTTTACCAATCTTTGTAGAATATTAGATATAGTATAAACACGTTGTATTTATCGAGTTTTTAGATGAATATTACTTATTCTATTCTTTACTTTGTTCTTCCACTGCTATTTAGTCAACTCTAAACTAAGTAAAACCAAATCCCAAATTATAACTTAGCTTTCTTTTATATCGTCTCTCCCCTCTACAATGTTCTGCCACGAAAGCCAGGGCTTTGTCGATGACAATCGATCGTTGAAATTCCAGGCCAATCTCGGGTATGTCAACTAGGGTGTTTGTTAGTACCATTTTGACGTATTGTATGTTGATTCGTCGGAAGTGGTAAAGATAGACTTGTTCGTAGAAGATGATTCTTTTTACCTCTTTAGCACAGCTAGATGCTATTTGACTTATATAGTTCACCTCTTGGTGGCGATGACTCTATAGCGTGGGTCTGGTCTGCTCACCTACAGCCGAAGCGTGCCGGATACTTAGCCATGCAATACGATTGCGTCAACATTATATCCGTAGGAAAAGGTTTGAGTTTCCTTTATATTTAATTCACAAGAGAATGAAAGTGACATTAATAGACAGATTATTGAATTTGCATTTTTATACCCTGATTTTGCGGCAAAATACTGCCCAACTCAAAGTTTCCACTTACGGCCCCTGGTATATCTTATTGGTGTAGTAGATTCGGTAGTGTAGAGTATTACTATACTCTGCATCCCACTTAAACCGAAATGGTTAGAAATATTGATCCATTGTTTACACTTCACCTGACAGCTTAAATTCACCTTAACACTGGAATCATTGGTGGCAAAGGTATAATTTGGCGTTAGCGACGAGCCTAATATGGTGTTACGAACGTGACATAGCGGCCGGTCCAATAGGCCTGGCGCCTAGAGTATGCCTGGTTATGTCACCACAGGACCCCGCGATCACGTGACCACGTGGATCGCCTAGGTCGCCAGCGATCATAGCGACCCAGGGAAAAGGATAGCTTGGATCGCTAGCGATCCTAGCGATCACGAAGAGATGAACAATTATATAAGTAGATAGTTAGTTAGCCTTTAGGATAGTTCATATCTTCAGTGATCAATCTAAGCAATTACTTGTTAATTGAGGATAACTCCTTAACGACCGCTTAACTCTATCTTTGTTACTACTGCTCTTGGACGTAGTCCACTTACACCGCAACTGTTCTACTACATAGGACAGACCCCTACGTAGTGCAAGCCACTTCGTTACATATGGACCCTTGTATTTTATATCCCCGTCACATCGGATATATCCCAACCTATTGAATTGAACTATACAATGATTCCAAACTGTTACCTTTCGATTTCGTAGACATATTACTAACGATAGTCATCCTGCTAACATGCGCTTAATGCCATACCTTGAATGACATAATCTGGAGGCCTGATGCGTTGATCAATTGGATCGAGTGTAAGACACGCCTGGATCTAACTAATATTGGGTATCCTAATATCATATGGTTTGTGCAACTATATGTTTGGAATATGTCTGTTGGAATATCGACTACTCATAACTTTTGCTTACCCACTGTAAGCAGATGTAACTAACGGGCAAATCTAGTCTTCTAGCTCCTGCTTATTCCACTCCTCCATAAACATTTCATAGAGCTTGTTAAACGCTAAAAGATTCGACACTTCCTTCGATCCCTCAATATCGATGCATAGTGCCATATTGTGAAGGTCAAAGGAGATGGCCAGCAAATACCCCAATTCCGCCTCCGCCAGCACCTGCTCAGCTGTATCGTTGTCACCCATGATCTCATTCCAGCGCTTCGCATACTCCGCGCAAAAGTGCTGTTTCTCGTCTCTTGTGTACGACCTGCAGTCGGCAATCTGCGTCTCGGCGTACCACTGGAAGTTCTTCTGCATGAAGTGGCCGCCAATGTCGAAACCGCGGTAGTTGCGCGCAGCAAACTCATAGTCGATTAGGTAGATGTGATTGTCTCCTGGTTGCGGATGATTTTTGACCAAAACGTTCATAAACTGGACATCGTGGATGCAGTGCGTTCTTTTAGCCCCCATCGAATCTAGCTTAGCTTCGAGCTGGCGTATTTTGGTGGGAAAGTCGCACTTGATGAGATTCGTCATGTGTACTCCGGCTTCTATAGAGGCGGCTTCGAGTCGTCTCCAGCTAGAATCATTGTTAAATCCGTAGCGTGCCATGATTCCACAAAAGGTCTCGTCGCTATTTTTCCAACCGGCCACCTCTATCGTGTGCAAAGCAGCAAAGCTCGCGGCGATATCGGCGCGAATGTGAGCATGTTCCACATCAACGGGAAGCAAACAACGCGCATCCAACACTTCATCCACGCGAACCGTCCGACTGTTGGTCTTCGACGTTAATAGTCCGTAGGGTCTAGCGCAAAGACGATGTAGCTCGGCAGCCGACTCGCACAGCCGCGCCTCGTCAAGCTTACTCGGCACATGCTTCTCAAAGACGGCGAGGTTGCCCAGACCGCTGCCGTGCAGCTTAACAAAGACAGACACAGGCTCCACGCAGCGTTTGCCTTCATCTACCGGGCGCTTGACAATGTAATTTGTATTCGCGTACCCGGCTGTGCGTGTGATGGTGAGCGATGCAGGGTCAGCCGAAGCCCATTCATAAGGGAAGATTGCCCCGACAAGATCTCTGATAGTCGAGGGAGACAAACTCTCTTCTGATCCCACGTCAAATTCTATATTCTCGATAACTTTCATTGTTTCACGATTTGCTAAAACCCCACAAGATGCGGATTAGAGATGGAAAGTATCATTTAGCAAAGTCCTGCTCTGCAGTCTGGTGAGTCATACCGGCTACCGATCAACGTAGTGGAAGCTACTTTGTTACAACGAGTAATAGATATCTTCTATAAAAGCAAGAAAAGCTTAGTTATTTATATCTATAATAATCTATACCTTTATTACTCAGGGGAGATAATTTCCACTTTTAAATTCAATTCAAATTATTCATGGTAATATATTGCGAGTTTCGTAACCCGAACTGGAGTTGTATTTTCATAAACAAGGCGCTATTAATTTGTATACAAAGTGTCTAAGAAAACGCTTTTATCATATAGAATCAAGCATTCAGAGCGAGAACTTCTGTTAACCAATCCCATACAACCTGGTTCAATCTGGCGCCCGCACCAATTGAGCAATGTGTGCTTGCACCTTCGTCCCTGGACAGTACAGCCAGTTTCTTTTCACACGTCAACTTCTCAAACACCTGCATTGGCTGATTCTTGAAAAAGTGGTCGTCCTCAGGGTCAAGCACCAGGGTTGGCGTGGTAATCTTATGCGCAATACCCTCGAGGGTGTACTTGCGTGCCGCGCGATACACCTCGGCGTCCGACTTCAAGCCAAATGCCCATCGACCGTTGCACATGGCCCATTTCACTCCTGTTTCCGCCCACTTCTTCCATCCAATAACAAAGTTAACAACAGAATCCCAGTTGTTGTTAACGAAGTACAATCCCATTGGAGGCGTTTTGTTAAGGAATGCGTTGGCGAAACTGTAGAGCCCGTCGTTGAGGACGACTGCTGCGAATCGATGCTCGAATGCTACTCCGCGTGCTACCAAATATCCGCCAAAGCTGACGCCGTGAATTACGACTTTCTTCGCATCCACGAATGGCTGTGCAACGAGGTAATCCATAACTGGGGTCACCACTGCTTCCCAGTCAGGACGAAAGGCAAGACCCTTGTATCGCAGAGTTTCTCCTTGGCCCGGGCCATCAAATGCAAGAACGTTAAACCCACGTTCCAGGGCAGAAGCTCCAAGTGCATAGACGACTTCTTCCTTGGTGGAATCGTAGCCACCGTTGATGAGTAGTGTAGGCCTGGGCTTGTTGCTGTTGTCAGGGCGCAACAATATTCCGGGCAGTTTTGTCTTCTCATATGGGATCTCGACTTTGGTGGTGACAAAGTTCATAAAGGTCATTGCTTCGTAGAATGCACTGCCGCTGAGCTCATCCAGTTTCTTGGAGAGCGCGTCGTTGGAGGGATCATCGCGGCGGTAAAAGTCTGCCGTGCGGTAGTAGTTGGATGCGCGTAGGAGAGAAAGTTTGCCATCTAGCTTGTTGCCTTTTGACAAACTGGTTCGCGCATTTGTGATGGCTCTATCACCAGCTTTCTGCCATTCCTCCAGCCACTTATCCTCGTTGCCGGAGGGGATGCGGGAGCAGATGGTGATGACTTCGCCAAGATCTGCAGCGCCTAGACTGGCATAACCTGCTGCTCGGAGTGCTTCGAAGTTGAAGGATTCGTTGTGAGGGAAGAATGTATTTAATAAGTGCGCCATGGTGGATGGGATGTGTGGGTGTAAGTACTGGATTAATTGAGACTGTAAGAGAGTGCAACAAAACAAGGAGACATGAAACAGAAATGTGTGGCTCTTATATGCGACAATACAATCAACCAGTTAAATACGTCATCGCTTATTTTGGCAATGAAGTGCTTTGCATTGTGGTGAGATTCACCCATGTGTACGTATGCACAGCGTCGCACCGTACGGGAAATACGGGAAATGCGGGATTGAGACGCGGGGAACCGGAAAACAGCGTACGGCAAATACGGAAAACAAACACACGCACGACCTTTGCTGGCGTTTCGTCCTCCGAACAAGCCGGCATTCTCGTTATTGCCAATCTATTTTTTTATCTTCACATGCCTAGCTTTTAAATGACCTCTATTCCTCCAAAAACCCGGTCGAAGCGGGCTGAAGGGGCTGTCTTAAGTGGTCGACCGCGAACAGCCTGTGACGCATGCCGGTCTCTCAAAGTGCGTATAGTTGGAGATGATAGGTTCTAACTTGTACGCCAATTGTACTCAGTAAGCTAACTGTCGTAACTATCTATTTTCAATAGATACGATGTAGTAACGATGGATCATCGTGCAAGAGGTGCATACGACTCCAACGACAGTGCACCTGGCGACGCAGTCCAAACAATAAAGAAGGCGATAATGGTCCAGTATCTACATCAAATACTGTGCTTTCTCATCTTGGAGCGCCTCTAGAGCGACGACACAGCCAATCAAAGACTGATTCTGAAATACCACCACCGCTGCTATCGAATCTCGTCGACGAATACCTTGCTCACGGCTTCTATGCCAACTTGCTTTTCCACCCACAACTGTTAAGAGATGATCTTGCACAGGATAAAGTCGACCAGCATGTTATTCTCGGCATGTGTGCATTGGCATCCATCTCTTATGCAGATGCCAGCGGTCGAAATTACCTTGTAGATGATGGTTTTTCCTATAAATGGGCCGACCAAGCCAGCGTACTCGTACTGAGTGAGCTAATGTCGCCTACTGAGAATACTCTCGTTTCGCTGATCAATTTGACACTCTTCTGGTACTGCCAGGGGCACTGGAAGCGATCTTTTGTGCTTGGATTAAATTGCATTGGCGTCATCCGCGTCCTTGGTCTTGAAGATTTAGTCTCAAATAACGAGGCTTCGCTTACGGCAGAAATCTCTAGACGAAGACTTTGGGGAGCCTTGATTCTTAGTATAACTTCCGGAAGAGACGACGTTCTAACAATGACGGGGCCGGTAATGCAGGCTCTGCCGCTACCATGCGATGACGACGCCTTTGCCAGGGGAGAAGTGTCGCTGCCGCTGCTTACAATGACGGACAATGGTCGCAGCCCAAGCTTTTTTGCCGAGTTCATTCGAATATTTAACCTTTGGTAGGTGGCACTTGTGCTATGTCTATATCCGTTATATTAGCCCATGCCCTAATACTTACCAGGCAAGCGGTGCACATGTTTGTACAAGATACCAAGCTGCACGGGGATGATAAGAGCACCAAAATGCAAAGCCTTGACGCAAGGCTGCACGAGTGGAATCGTAATCTACCCAGCCGATTCTTATTGACACCTTCAAATATTGGCAGCGCATCATCGGTCATTGTGGCGCAGATAGTGCTCTTGCATATACACTTCCACCAGTGTCTCTGCGTTCTGCATTCTTCTGTTGTGCCACTGTTTACGTTTGGGGCAGCAAGTGATGTTCAGCCTCATTTCCAATCTGTATCAGCCCAGTTATGTTTCGATCATGCCAACCAAATCTCCAGCACATTTGAACTAGCACTCGATTGGTGCACATCGCACGCATATGGCTTCGTTGGCTATGCAGCATACTGCGCCACAGCGATCCAGCTGCCTTTTCTACAATGTAGTGACGAAACAATCAGTCTACGAGCACTAGCAAATATAGCAGTCAATAATCGCGTCATACACGGAGTTGCTAAACGATGGAGATTCGTCGCTGGTCTGGTGTGTATTTCCAAAGGGACTTGCCACTCTCCAAAGGCAGTTCCATTAACAGTAACCTCGACGACAGACTAACAGTTTTTGGACAGGAAAAACACATCAAAGTTTTACGACAATACCACGAAAGCTATGGATCTACACTCGCTGATCGTCCCGTCGGGCTGCCCTCATCACAGCTAAACGAGAGCAACGGTAGTTTCACACGAACAAGAGCGTCCATTCTTACCCATAACGATCTTATATTTTCAACAAAATCTCTTCCTGACGACGATAATGACTCACAGCATCTTAACGTCGATAAGGAGCTAGAAGAGTGGCTACAAAACCAAGGTACGTCAACCATCTAACCACAACGGTCAAATCACTATATTAATCTATAGCGCAGCAATGTTCACGCAGCATTTTGGCGACAGCGACTACATGCAGTGCGGCCTTTTATTAGAGCCATTTTATCTATTAGATGATCTAAACGTCTTTCCAAGTTAATATCTCGAGGAATACCTTAGCGGAAAGTGTCTGATTTTCGGGACCCCCCAAATACGGCCAAAACACTCTCATACAAACGTATTTATTTATCAAGATACGTTATATGCTACATTAGAAACGTAAAAACTTGTAGAGTACGTGTGATTATCTCTAAAATTCTAAAATATAATAATGTTTTTGTTTATACAAACAAACAAACGTTCTTTTTATCTTTGGACGTCCGAAAAATCAGCGTTTCTCTGCTAGCGTACTCTATTAAGCCATTGATACTCTTTTACAAACTAAGTCACGACCATCAACATAGACTATAATTATAGAGATCTATAAGATTATATTTCCATTTATGTCTCTAATTATTTAATGTCGAATGAATGGTCTCCCTTTTACGTGTGGCCGTGACTATACTAGAGTAGAGACAGCCTGGACCTGCTCCCGGTACTCTAGCGTAGCAGAACCTCACTGTAGCAAATCTTGCTTTAATCCTCGTTGCAGACCTATTATAAAAATTAGCCGAATTCGACTTGACTAAATAAATAACAAGTGGTACACTTACAGTGCCCTCAGCGGAGGCAGTGAAACAGTAGGCGAGCTCCTGGGTGGTCTGCATCATATAGTGTTAGTAACGTTGGCAACCGTGAAAGTAACTATTACAAGAAAACGTACGCAGTCACCACAGTGGCCGAGGGAGACAAAGAAGCCACCAGAGCCGTTGTTGATGCGGCAAAGGCAGGCAGTCTTGCGAAGGGCCTGCTCAGCCTCAGGCTGGGCAATGGGAGTGGCAACAACGAGGCCAGTGAGAAGGGTGACGAGAGTGTAGACGGACTTCATTTTGATTTGATTGGGAAGGAGGGAAGTTGGTGAGAATTAGAAGTTTAGTAGTGTGTGTTTGACTTATACTGATGATTCTAGAGACATCGACCAAAGGGACAGCAACAGCCATCCGTTTTATAGTCGTTGTGATGCCTGGGAACGATATAAAACCGCTATTCCCCAACACAAATTCCAGGTACATCGTCAAATTTCTCTGAGTAAAGGTAAGCTTGAGCTTGCCAATTAGGGATAGTCGTACTCTTAATGAGGTAAGAGATCGCCGCTTCCTATGATTCAAATCTCGTCATAGCCAGGCCTCTTGGTCCTTCAGTGTCCGCAATATTCCCGTTACGTCCAGATATACGGGCAATATAGGTTAAATGCTGAAGAGTTTAATATCCCGAAGATCCACTATGGAGATCGGGTGGACGAAAATCAACGCCGACTGTCCGAGCTTATTGCTCTATTGGGTATGCGAGCTCACTGCATGTTACATTTACCGGAGCAGCGCCATACAAACTACACGCAAACCCGGAACCAAAAAGTAACATCTCTCAGCATTAACGAGGACTTATATTCCTCATTGAGACTTTTTCAGAGAACCACTTTGTCAGTATTATGCGAGGACCGAGCTAGTAGCCAGGGTACTCGAAGGTTTAAGCCCGAGGTCCATTCCATAAAGGCCATTGGTCGGGATATCAAGCGTCTACACCGTCTGACGATGTACAATGCTAGTACATTATCATCAAAAGGATACCAGTGAAATCGTCTGGCATGATTTCGAAGGTCAAGTGGTTAGATCCAAACCCAGCGTTGCTCTGTTTCCTCCGTTTACTCCAACACAACATGCCATCTCGCGATGTCTGATGTTGTGACAAGTTTCTGCCAGAAGATCGCCCATCAACCTTGAACCTCGCCTCAAGTAGATCGAATTGCTATTTTTACATCGTCAGCCGTAACGCTTTAGACTTTACCAACCCACCATCATGTGGGCGACCTTGGCCCGGGAATCCTACACCCGGGAATCCTTCGACCCGCCAGAATTTAGCCCAATGTTGCATAGCCAGGGAATTTTTGCGACTAGTGGGCTAGGATTCAGAGACTTGCAGCTAAGACCAGACGGACAAGCTAACGGCCATCTTCTCAGCTTCATCATCATCGAAAAGAAGAACGTATCTATCTTTCTTTCAAAGTCCAAAATGCACGCCCAAGCCACCATTGTTGCCTCGCTATTGGCCCTGGCCCCAGCCATCCTCGCCGCCGATTTTGGCTGCATCAAGCCTGTAAATCCCATCCCAGCCGGCCCTCCAGGTGCCTGCTGCGAGGAATTGAACCAGAGCCATTTGCTCAAGTTCCTCTACACTGGCAAGAACTGTATGTTTTGACCATCAATTGAACTGGAGTTGGCTACCTAAAACTAACTGTCCTCTCTACCCGTATAGGCGTCCGCGCTACAAAGGTCTCCGAGGCCGAGGATGGCTCAACCACTTACAGTGCGTGCTCTGGTTCCGCCAAAGCTGCCTGCTGTGATCCTGTAAGTTTGCAATTTATTTCTAAAGACGCCAAGCTACCTATGCTGACTCGCCAATTAGCTGCTGACGGCTCTGGACCACGCCACTAACCCTGCCTGTGTTCTTCCCTCCAACTAATGGCTGCCGTACACAATATGTACATATTTAGCAAATATACCATAATTATGTATTAAAAATAGTACAAGTTGAGCACAATTTTCCACAATATTCTTCTTTTTTCTTATTCCAATTCCCAATAGAACTGCTCTATCTGCCCGCTGTCACGCCGCCCGTTCCGCTGTCGCCATTGGTCAGCCACGCATTAACGAGTCGTGGTCCAATTGCGGTAACGCCACGGCAGCTAGTAGCTAATCGGAGGACCCTTTTTCCTTCCAGAAGCCCTGGCGCAAGCGGTTTCTGTCCTTTTTTCCCAGACAACACAACTCTTGGTGCAAAAAAAGAACGCGGTTGTACGCGCAATCTTCAGAGCTCATCGATTGATTCGGAGCTGATTCATCAGCAATCATCTCGATTCCCTCGCTTGCTGTGCAGCTCACAACGATGCCCGCTCCAGCTCGCGCTCAGGGCCAGCAGGGCGCCCAGGCCCAGGAAGGCGGAAGTGTACGTTATGAAAATCTTATGATGCTAGAAGTACCAATTTACTGATATCTTGTGCAGGGCTTTAGCATGAACCGTCTCATCCTCGGTGGTGTCTTCTACTTCGGTGTCAACTTCCTCATCTCTTGGTACAACCAAAAGTCGCAGACCGGCGTGCCCATGACCGACCCCTCGACCGGAAAACAAGTCATCGTTCCAGGCCATACCGGCGATATTCCTCCCTTCTTGTTGCGTCCTGACAAGCTCGATGACGGCGCTACCTTTGCCGCCGTGCCGGACAAGATCGCTCCCATCTGGCCTCAGGACAGCCACCTCGATATTACAATCACGCTCTCCCCCTCGCCCCAACCCCGCCCGATCTCGCAGACGCCCAAGGAATACATTGTTCTCCAGGAGAAACGCTTCCACATGAACAACTACTCTGATACTCGCTCCATTGATACTTCTTTCACGGTGCCCAAGGAGGTGCAGCACAACGGCACTCTCTGGGGCCACTTCTACGTTGGTCTTCCTGGCAGCAACCTGGATCCTCAGCAGCCCAACTTCGACACTAGCAAAGCCTACCATTTCGCATACCCGCTCACTCAGTATCTCCCCAAGAAGAAGGTTGCCAAGACCCGTAACCTCCTGGACAGCAAGCAGGAGGAAGAAGAGGAAGTCGAGGAACCTGAGGGCACCGTCATGGCCAACTACTACCACCCCAACGCCAGCTTCTCGCTCATTCCGGATGTTGGTGTTAAGCAGCTGAGTACTCTCCCTCCTGCCATGTCTCGTTTCATCAGCCTCGAAGCCACTCGTGCCCGTGACGGCACTGGTCAGAATGGCTGGTACTGTAAGTTCACTTTACCCTGTCTTTGGCAAACGTCAGTCTAACCACTCGCTTCTGCAGACCCTTTGGTCTTTGTCAACACCTTCTGGCAGCTTACGAGCCACATGACACTTCTCAACGACACTGTTACTGAGCTGCCCCTCCACATCGACCTTAGCAACATGGCGGCCTGGAAGTTCACCCTCATGTCCAACATTGAAACCAACTCCAAGGAGAACGCACGACAGGCTGCCTTTGGAAACCCCGTCCCTGGAACCGGTGACGGCTCGGAGATTGAAATGGTCAAGGAAATCTTCATTGACACCAACCCTATCTTGCTCGGTATCACCGCCATCGTGTCTGTAGCTCACGTTATTCTGGAGACGCTTGCGTTTGGCTCCGACATTGCTCACTACCGCAAGAAGAAGGACAATGTCGGTATCTCTGTCCGCTCCATTTTGGCCAACATCTTCATGCAGGCTGTCATTTTGCTCTACCTTGTCGATAACTCGCAAAACACCAGCTGGATGATTTTGGGTGGCCAACTTGTCGGTATTGTCATCGAATTCTGGAAGATCACCACGGTTGTCGATGTCGCGTTCAAGCCCACTCCTCCAGGTTCCATTTTCCCCTACTGGATTTTCTTCGAGGACAAGAAGAAGCTGACCGAGACCGAAGAAAAGACCAAGGAGTACGACGAGATTGCCTTCAAGTACATGTACATGCTTGCTGTTCCTCTGCTCATTGCCTACGGTATCTACTCGCTCATCTACGATAGCCACAAGTCTTGGTACTCGTTCATTATCACCACGCTAGTCGGCTCTGTCTACACATACGGCTTCCTGATGATGATTCCTTCGCTCTACATCAACTACCGCCTCAAGAGTGTTGCTCATATGCCCGCCAAGGCCATGATGTACAAGTTCCTCAACACCTTCATTGACGATCTCTTCGCCTTTACCATCAAGATGCCCATTCTGCACCGTCTCGCTACCTTCCGCGATGACGTTGTCTTCTTTGTTTACTTGTACCAGCACTTCAACTACAAGACGGACTACACCCGTGTCAACGAGTTTGGCCAGGGTGGTGACGATGAGGACGAGGCCGAGGCCGTCGACAAAGCTACAGCAGAGGCCAAGGCAGCCACGGTTGAGGATGTCAAGAAGGTCGAAGCGAAGGCCACTGGCGCCGACACTGGATCAGCCACCAAGCGCAAGTAGAGAGCGACGACGTATCCGTTTAGACTAGTATTTTAATTGCAAACTGTTCTTTTTTTAATCCTATTGTAATTTTGCACTTTATCACCGCTGTTTATCAATCGACCGTCGCATCGGAGGACATGCGGCTTTCCAATATTGGTGAGCTGGAGGCCTATGGCCTGCAGTTCAGCCGCTAGCGTGCGGCAATAGTGGAGGTCAGTCCCCTAAATCAACCACAGCCCCAGCGGGTCTCGCCGGCGCTAAACCGCAAAGGCGGGAGGGAGAAGTGGCCGAAACTCCCCACTGCTGTTGTTGCGTGTGCAGCGGCGCATGGGGCGCAATCCGCATACGAAGCTAACGCCTCCCACGGACATTCTTCTTCCGCCAGCTTGTCTTCTGTTATCGAACCTGCATCGATTTTCCCGCTCAGCTTTCTATCAGTCCGTATCTCTGGCCGCCCAGCTCATCCACCATCGCTTGACACACCTGCACCGCCCAAACTTCCACAAACACGACGGCACCATCAACATAGCCTCAGTCGGTTGAGGTGCTTTCTGGGCGAGGCTGGCAGTCGAGCCAAGCATCGGCTCCCTCGAGGCGCTGGTAGCCTCCTTAACCGAGCTCTTGATCGATGCGACCCTCCGCGATTGCCCTCTACATGGCTCGTCAATCTTGAGCATCTACGCTTTTCCTCGGTCGACATTAAGCGTCGCTGCAGCGTGTGTGTCCTTGCTGCGTGAGGCTCAACGCCTGCGTTGTGAATGATGGAATCGGTCGGGTCGCTCCTTGCAGACATTGCAAATTACATTGCAGATGGGCAGCGTATCCTAGGGCTGGCTGACAAACACCACTGGAGCCAAGACGAATACGACTTGCTCCGCGCGTTTGAGAGGACGCTGGACGAAGCCAAGAAGGACTTCCAAGAGTTGACGCCGTTTATCAAGGGCCAGTCGAATTACGAGCGAGACCGCAGTTGTACGTTTGTCCTCATTCTGTCTTGAAGGCTAATCCCTCGCTTTCGCATGTCACGCCAGAGCTAACGCTTTATTTCACAGTTGATTCTATCGAAGAGCTGCGCGCTCTACGAATCAAGTTCGAGGCCAACACACAGAACGTAAAGGACTGGAGCCGCAGCGGAGGCCCAGTCAACCCGATATGGATACGGGATACATCTGCCCTTCAGAAGGACCTTCATAGAGCCCAATGCCGAGCAGCCAGGCGTGTCTTTACCATGACACAGGAAACAACACACAGATGTCTGGGGGCATTTTTAGTAAACCGCAAGATACACGCCATGAAGGCACCGCAAGCACCAGAGGGCGAATACCACCAACAACAACAGCTGGAAGACACAATGGTCTGCAACGCTATTGGTGTCTTTGAGCGGTTCGGAGACCAGGATGTAGCGTTTGTTTGCGACTTTTGCGACGGCTACATTGTATGGGAAGACCTGGAGCGGGTTCCAACGACACGGTCAATATGGAACGGCTACCAACTACCAGAGGGCGACCCGTTGAATGTAATACGAGAATGGAAAGCGGCCGGCATGGCCCAATCCAACCAGGAGGCGAAGGAAGTCGTCTTTGCGCCTATAGCTGTGGCGAACCACATCCCACCGACCCGCGGAGACTGGCAGGCTATGCTGCTCTGCCCCTTGTGTGAAGTGGAAGGCAAAACTGCACGAGACCTCGACGATGAAGAAGATCCAGACGTCACCAGCAATCGTTTCGACGATCTGGACGCGCTGCAGGAGCACATGGAGTGGCAGCATAGCACTACCACGTATCTGCCAGTGGTAGCAAGCTCGAATAGCTGCATAATGATGTGAGCAGCAGCAATTCTGCTGGGAGACGGATACCACTATATTTTATGACTTGATGATACTTTGAATACCAAGCGTACCGCACAACTGCATGACGGGCATTTGAGCTCGTAATAAATGTACATAGACTACCAAGAACACATTACTTTCTAATTTTTATCGTCCTCGCCGCATTCACTCGCTTCCGTTCCCACCTTCTACTACACCAACTCAGATTCACCCCACATTACATCACTCAAAAGAATCGCCAGTAGATAAACACCAGGATAATAAACCCAAGAGCTGCAAACGGACCGTATTGCTTCAGCAGGAGCTCCCAGTTGATTCGCACAGCAGCACGGCGGTACTTTTTGCTGTCGTCACGGAGTCTGCTGCTAATCTCGCCCATGCGCTCCAGGCTGTCGCCACGGTAGAGCAAGTCTTCAATGTTCTTGGTCATGACCTTTGTGACGTCGCGGAGCTCGTCGTTGAGCTTGTCGAGGTTCTGCGCGGCGCGGGCATCGGCATATGTAGCCTTTGTCTTGGTGATGAAGTTGTCAAACTCCATAAAGGCGTATGGGCGCAGACTGGGGTTGTGAATCTGCTGGGCAGTGTGTGTGGTTGTGAACTCGCCCGACAGGTCGGCCAGGTATGTAAATGCCAGTTTGCGCGGGAACGAGCGCTCACAGATGCACAGGAAGACAATGTCGGACTCGATCATGTAGTGTATCGTGTAGTTTGTGCTTTCGATGGAGGCTTGGGCCTCGGCGTTGCGCGTCAGCTTGCGGAGGACTTGGCGGACTTGCTGCTTGACTTCGCCGAGAGAGGACTATAGCTTGGTGTTAGCTCTACCTAGTTTGCTTTTAGATAAAATCGAGGGGGGGACGAACCGTCTCGTCGTCGGCGGAGGCACAGAGCATGAGGCCTGCAGAGGTAAAGGTTAGTGGTATGTTCTGGATGGAGTATGGTATTGGGGCGCGGTTACCATCAAGGCGTGATATTTGTGTCGACTTAATCATGGTTGTGGTTGTGCACGCGAGCTGCGTTGGGTGCTGGTTGTCGTGGCCACGTTGTTCGTGGCAAAGGCGTTGGGATTAGGGGCAGTCGTTATTTAACGTGCGCTGAGAATCCAATTCGTGGTATTTGAGTGATAGTGTATTAGGTGAGTGCGTCTAAAGGGCGATGCTGGCGCGTTTGGGGGGGTTTTGTAGCAGGAGAATCGTGGGGTGGATGTTGAAGTGTGGACTGTCGAAGTTGACCACGGTTGCGACAGGGGGTGGTGATGCCGACACGGCCTGCTTGAGTTGCTCCGTGCGGCGGCGCCGGTCCGGTAGCCTAACAGGTACTCTCAAAAACACGCAAGGTGGCAAAAGGACAAATGTTATGTTATGCTGGGTACAAATATATGACTCTTTTATGGTCATTTATTTTTTATGTATATTTATTTATTTATTTTTGTTGGGCATCTATTGGTTCTAGATTTCATCTTCTTCATCGTCAAAGTCGTCCTCGCGACCCATCTCATACAAGATACGGCCACCCTCGCCTGCACCAATGTCTGTTTGAGCATCAAAGTATGGCAGGATGATTCCTTCTCGGTCTTTACGCTGCTTGTCTGTAAGCCCGAGGTTGAATGTGCTCTCAGGCTCCTCCTCTCCTTCTGCGCCGCCATCGTCTTCCGCAGGTGACTGGAACATCGGGTGATCGTTGACAAGCAATGTCTTGCCTGCCGCCGGCCCCTGTCCATTTGTTGCCGGAATAAGTATGAATTTGTCTGTGACTGTGCGTCCACTTCTTCTTCGTAGCTCCATGGAGATCATAATACCCTCATCGTCGCGTGTGCTGGAGCGTGTTTCAAGGCCAATCAAAACACCTTCTCTATCTTCCTTTAGACCCCATTCTGGTTCAATAAGACTTCGGTTTCGTGCTTTTTGGCGTTCGATTTCCTGTCTCAGGCTTGAGATCCTCAGGATAGCTGTGGCGAGGTGTAAGAGGATAGTGGACGGATGAGGCTCATACTCGTTGACAGTTTTGGGCAGCACTAGTGGAACATCCGTATGATAGGCTGCCACTATTGAGACAACCGGAGTAAGAATTCCAGATAGAAATGTTGCTAGAGACTGGGGTATCGATGAGCTAAGGCTGTTGACTGAGTCGATGATGACGACGGCGCCTATAGCCAACGTTAGTAACATACCAGCTGTACAATCAGACGCAGAAACTTACGCTGGAATGACTTGTCACGAAGACTGTTACTATCAAATTTGGTATACTGGGCTGAAAGTTCTCTTTGGACCAGCCTTGGGTCTTTGCCCGCGGCCTTGATCATAACGTCGACATGCGCCGGTTTGCGTAGTGTAGTGAAGGATAAATATATAGTTTTGGCGCCGGATATCTGATTCAAGTTAGTCGTTTATAACTATTCAAATGCATATCGCACCAATTCTAACCTTTGAACGCAATAAAAATTCGGATATAAGAGGCTTTGCAGGCTGCTCAAGAGTGTCCAGGATCAGAGTCAAGGGACTTGCGCCATCGCGTAGGTTAAGTAGCTTCTGTAACAACAGTAGACTATGCGATCTGCTATGTGCACTATTAGGCGGCATTTTTGAGAGATTTTGTTCACAGCTGTCTAAGCGTGGGGGCGTGAATAGTTGGCAAAGGTTCGTGGATTGCTGGTCACAGCTGTTGAAAATGTTGCAGCGATAGCTGGTGGATCCACCCATGATCACATCACGCTGGTTACAGCACGGTAGCAAATGAAGCTCTCTCATACGACGACATCCAGTTTTTGTAATGTTTCTTTTAAAAGAGTACTTTTATCATATATAGTAGATCGGCTTTGAAACTTTTGTTTAATAGTACACGCTAAAAAAGACTATGTTGTGTCGTTGAAGACTTGCTCCCGGGTATGCACCACTCATACGGCCGCCAGTCATGTTTCCACTGGGTTGTCTGTGAGAGGCGGTATGCTATCAGTGTTATTGTCGAGTTTGAGTATAATGGGCGATGCTTTTGTGACTGGCAATGTCGTGTCCCAGTCTGTTTCAAATTTCTTGCTTAAATACTCGTCAAAGTCACCAGCCCGGCGGCGTTCGTTTGCCTCCCAAGCAGACGCTAACCACGCCGTATCGTGTCGCCCATCAGCTAAATCATTCACGTATGACTGGCAGCTATCATGGAAGCCATCATCGTTCATAAGAGACTGATAGTCTAGGCGTGGCGAATTTGGGTCGCCTATAATATGGCCTTGGTCTGGGAACAGCGCGGCGATCTCCCGCTGCTGCTCCGGATCTAGCGCGTCCCAGGCTTGAGGATTTGCAATAAGCTTCTACATATTATTAGTATTTGCATTATGCATCTCATCCACGTGCTTATCTCACTCGTAAATTGATGGTCGCAAGTGGAGACTTTGGATCTACAAGGACGGTGTCTCGGTCCCATTTCGACTTTCGTATGCCTTTTCTCTTTGCTGGCTGTATTGCTTTGGTGGGCGATTTCTGAGCATCTACCTCTGTATCTTTGGGTACTGAGGATAGTACATCTGTGGGTTCGGTATCATTCCGGGTTTCTAGGGAATCTGATGTTGTTGCTTGATCTTGTAGGCGTGCTGCGTCCTCTTTCGCGTTATTGTTTTGACGCCGCGTTTTCATGGTGTTCCAAAATGATGTAAGACCGGGATTGATAGCCACAACCAGGGTACTCTGTATTGCCGTATAGGATATGCGATAAGAGCGAATTACACTACTTGAGAGGTCGAGGTGACGTTGCAGCTCGTTGGTGCAGGGGAGCTACCAGCTTGTGTGGAGAGCTGGTGGCGGCGAAAGGCTCGGAGCTTCTGCAGGTGTGGTGTATAGCGGAACCACACTTGCGCAGACTTTGCCAAAGTACATTAGCTATTATTTAAAATATTCTTCGTCATTAGTAGATAGAAGGATTACGAAAACAAGAATTTCCGGCTTCGACACGATAAACCTGTTATTTGCAGTTGCCAGCTGGCCAGCTGTGCCAGGTGCTACAACTCATCCTCTTTCTCTCTTTCGTTCGGCATAACTCTGCTCCCTACAACGCCATGTCATGCAGCTAGGGGCGTCGACCCTCAACGGCTACTTAATCAACCCAAGTCAAACGCCTAATGCTGCCCTTGTCCGACTTGTTAACCGCCTGTGGCGCCGTTGGCTGAAAGCGCATGCTTCCGTCGGCAACGCTCTCTCCAACAACCGAGCGACTGATGAATCGAACAGACATGTTTGGAGGATTCTGATTTTTCCATGAATTTTCCCGCGAATAGTATTTTCTCTTTTCGACAGACCCGCTGCCATGCAGACTGTTGGCGTGCTATATCCGATCAATGCTACCAAGCTGCCAAGGTTGGGATGGTTCTCCAAATCTTGCAGCGTGACGCTGTCGAACTGTTGGAGGCACGCCTACACTTTGCACAGGGACCATAATACCAATAGACTCGGCTCTGTCTGTCATCATGTCAAACGAAAGCGAGCAAAGTAGCTTAAAATGAAGCTAATCACGAGGCATTCGCCGTGAGTCTCGTACCACCATTACAACGAACGTCTGGCTAAATCGCCCCTCGCGGCGCCAACGCCTTGGAGCCATCACCCAGTGTGAGGCAATGCGCTGCTCTCATTCGTGGACCCAGTTCTTCCGCATCTCCAGCGGTTTCAAACTTCCCCGGATTCGCCTATTACAAAGAATCGGGCGTGAACGGTGGCCTTGATTTGATCCACAGCAATCCTCACGTACTTGTGCGGGTTTCTACGACTCTTTTATCTAGGAAGAAGGTCTGTGGTGATGAGAAGTTGACTGCAGCAGAGGTGGAGGTGAGCCGTCACTGTTTGCCTCCTCTAACAGTGTTTGCACCCGCGGAATATCGCTACTAAAATCAGCCAGCACACTCGGCCTAAAAGTCAGCACTATTCTGGGGAAAAACAGCCACTGGCAAACGCCACAAATGCACCTATAGCGCGGGTTGGGCAAATGCTGGAGCCGCACAGTGCTAGTGCTGCAGCGAAATTGGGGTAACGTGGGGTGATGATGGGGGCTTGCCAATGTGAGGAGATGGGGCACACCACTACGTTGACTCCGCTAGTGAACATCCTGGTTGCCAGCACCCGCCCTTTGTTCCGGCTATTTGATGTGACACCCTCGCTCTCCCCCGGAGCCTTTTGCAAGTCGTTCATTTCGTCTCTGGAGGTGAGATATTGGTTCTTTGCTCTGTCGACCATATATCAATCCGTATCTTTCCATACCAAGAGAGTGTCCCACTGCCCTCTCACAAGTCACTCACTCAAACCCGTTATCCGAACCGACACAAACCATCGTGGACGCACGCTTCGCCCAACAGCTAGCGACTCACCATGGCGATTCTACCCAAGGTGCTTCACGCAATCGTGCGCAATGACTCAATGCGCTCAGATCCCGAGGAGATCTATGGCTTGCGCGTCTTCATGCTCGTCTTTGCTGCTTGCTTCGGCGGCATGCTCTTCGGCTGGGACACTGGCGCGATCGGTGGCGTTCTATCGATGCCAGAAACTCTGGCGCGCTTTGGATACGGCCCCAAAGAGGATACAACAGACCTGACACAGAACATTGTCTCGACTTTACAAGCGGGCTGCTTTGTTGCCTGCTTCATCACGGGCTGGGCTGCAGACAAGTATGGCCGCCGACCGTGTCTCATCGTCGCCGGTGTCTTCACTGTCGTTGGTGTCGTTTTCCAAGCCGCATCTGCTGCTAAAGGCACTCTGGCTGTCATGTACATTGGCCGCTTTGTTGCTGGTCTTGCTTGCGGCGCAGCATCTACTCTCACCCCCCTCTACGTTTCCGAATGCGCGCCACGCGCCATCCGAGGCGGCTTGACTGCCTTCTACCAGCTCTTCATTGTATTTGGTATCATGATCTCATTCTGGATCAATTACGGATGCACGTTGCACTTCTCAGCGCCGGCTGTTTACGTTGTACCCCTCGCTCTCCAAGCCACACCTGCGCTCCTGCTCATTATTGGCATGCTCTTCGCTTCAGAAAGCCCTCGTTGGCTTGCAAAGGTTGACAACTGGGAGGAAGCAACACGCGTCCTGTCTAAGCTGCGAAACCTTCCAGCCGAGTCAGAGTATGTCCAGAATGAAGTCAAGGACATGTCTGAGCAACTCGCCATTGAGCGTCGCCTGATGGGCGACGCCACAGCCAAGACGCTGTTCAAGGAGATGCTTCTGGTTCCTGGTAACCGCAACCGCGCCATCATTACTGTTGTTCTCATGATCTGCCAGCAGATGACTGGCGTTAACGCCATCAACTACTACGCTCCCCAGATCTTCCGCAACCTGGGTTTGGGCGCGAGTGACTCCTCTCTGTTTGCTACCGGCATCTACGGAGTCGTCAAATTTGTTGCTTGCTTTATATTCCTAGTTTTTGTTGCAGACTCTCTCGGACGCCGCGGTAGTCTGTTGATAACGGCCGCTGTCCAAGGCGTCGTGCTCTTCGTCGTTGGAATCTACGGCCGAGTCCAGCCTCCAGTTAATGGAGAGCCAGTAAGTCTACTTTTCCTACGCATACCTGCATTTACTGACATGTGGAAGGTTTCTCCTTTTGGCTACGTCGCCATCGTATGCATTTATCTTTGGGCAGGGTAAGATAGAAACAACATCTATACTTCGTCAGTGATACTAATGTCGATGTTTAGCGCATTTCAATTTGGCTGGGGTCCTGCTTGCTGGATCATCGTCAGTGAGATTCCAACCGCACGCCTACGTGCGACCAATGTCGCCTTGGGTGCTGCCACACAATGGCTGTTCAACTTTGTCAGCGCGCGAAGTAAGTTGAGGGTCAAAGGGTTGCCTCTAAATACAGTTACTGACAGAAATCAAAGCCGTTTTGACAATGCAAAAGACCATGGGTCGCGCAGGCTACGTAAGTGATGGGCATATACAAGCCTTCCTCGCAATAACTAACATAGACTCTCAGGGTATGTTCTTCATGTTTGGTAGCTTCTGCTTCCTCATGGGAATCTTTGTCTTCTTCTTTGTGCCCGAAACAAAGGGTCTCAGTCTGGAGAAAATGGATGAGCTCTTTGGCGTGACAGACACGCTGGAGAACAAGTTGGCCGTCGATACAGAGGCCGCCACTCCTCAAACATCGAGGGATCACCATAATGCAAGGGTCAAGGAATGAATGATGATGACGTATTGATCCTTTTTTTGACCAGTTGATTTTATTTCACCGTCGTTCTGCTCTGATTTTAATTTGAGACAGCGCGGCTTCTTCCTTTGCAGAGCGAACATCTCTGAGCATTATATCCATTCGTATCTTCGCATGTTTCTTATTCTTCTCGTATTTTAAGTTTAATTGACACCAGTCTGGAATTGATAATCGGCCGTAAAGTTGCAGTTCGAGTGTGAATCGAAGGCTGAAATGAACGCCGGCTGTTTATTTCAAAGCCTAGACTGTCGTTTGCGACTTTTGGGAACCGACATTGCTAAATCATGAATCTGTTGCATAATGTTAATGGGATAGTTCCGCAAGAGCTATTAGGTTTGCTGATTAGTTGTCAACTTCGGGGTAGGCAGTCGAGTTAGACGTCCATTCAAGATCAATTGTGGCTCGCAGAGCGACGCTACGAATCCGAAAGTGGGCAATGTCGGTGCCGATCTACGGTAGTGGTAAATGATGCTGCGCTAATTCATACCACATTGGTCTTTTCAGTTCCCAAGAAGCACAATCCACTGCTTAGTCTAGCTCCACCTCACCGAAAACTGCGACACTCTAGTACAGGGAGCTAAAGACCTCTTTGTCTCTATTTCGGCTTCGGACAGTTAGCGACGCGCCCAGAGACTTATGAGCTTCGAGTTACGGGCGGTGGCTGGCGCCAGTGGCCGTGATGCCAGTTCTACCGGCTCACCCTCGTATTGTCTCATGGAAGCCGACCAGGCGACTAATTGTTGCTTATGCGCTGTCTTCACAGTCACGATTTTGCTCGTACTGATAAAAAAAGCTAGAGCTTTCACTTGCATCAGAACGAGACCGGGTGGCGCGGGCACTAAGCGCGAAAGTGTGCTAGGTCATCAGCCCCTTTGCGTCGTAGCCCGAAGAGTTGACTACATGTTGCACGTATGCCCAAGATGGAAATCGACGTTATCTCTGGGAGCAAGGCCGCTCTGGTGGGAAGATCACCAGCAAAGCACCACGGACCAACATCCAACTGCCGCTGTCAGGTCCCATGCATGCTGTCATCACCGTCCCATTGGGATGCAGAGGGGCTAGCCAGTAAGGTAGGCTTTTCGACTGCCGAACCAATTGTGCGGGTCACCCAGTTTTGACGCAGTGGGTTATAGTGGTACGAGACAAGGATGAATTGGGGGGACGAACCCAGTTGGAGTGATGAATCTGCTCCTGGCGGGGGCCGCTAATTAAGTTTCCAGCAGCCTGCAGGGGCAAAAGAGGCCGACCTCGCTAGCTTGTAATACCTGGCTGAGTGCTGTACAATGGAGCCGACTGATTGAGGTTTCCATGAGTGATTTTGACTCACATTCCTTAAGTTCCTTTCCATTCGAGTGGAACACTTCTTCAGCCATCGCGGCGGTAGAAAGACCGAAAACTTGCTCGATACTGGATACTAGGGCTGATATAGATCGTCTCTAGCGCCGTGTCTGACTCGGCATAGCTGTAGTAGTTGTGTTGACGTCCACCGGAAAAAGCCACTGTCTCTATATAGCATCCGCGTATAGCGGGTGTCTCACGCGGCTTATTTTGTAGGAAAAGGCATTGGCCAAGACGGGTCATTGGCCTTTGGACAAGGTCTGAACAGGGAAATACAGAGCATTGGACTGCTAATGGTATTGCCCAGCTGGGTAGGTTGTTACACTGCTGAGCCGCAGCCCTACGCGGGCTCAAGGGTTCAGAACTTTTCGGGCACCTTGGACGTGGACTAGGCCATCAGCGGCACAGCGAGGCTACTTGTCAAGGGATGGACTCCCATGTCGCACGACACGACCGACTTCTACATGCTGTGCTCTTCATTAGTGACACGCTCTGCCGAGACTTGCTAATTGGAAGAAAGCGGTATTGCAAAAAAGGCAGCTTTCATAGCAACACAATGCTGTCCCCCTCTTCCCAATAGGGTTAGAGCACAAGCCAAGGGGTAAGACGTAATGGAAGAGGTTATGGTTTAGAACGAGGCTTGAAGTTTGCTTCTAGAAGCCCACTTATCCCACCTGCCACGCGTTTACTATTGAAAGTTTGGGCCAAGTACGGGATTCCCATTAGGGCCCTGGGAGTCCACCGAGCATCCCCTGCCAACAGAGGTTTCGCATGATTGGATGAAAGGGGCTCTCGGGGACCTGGACGGCGATGTTGGTGTTCCTAGCGCCGATGTCAGTCGAGACGCAAGGGTGGTCCGGCTGGCTATGAAGTTACCTAAACAAGACATCGACTGATATCGCCGCCAGTGGTGCAAGCGGCACAAGAAGAGGTAACAAGACCAAAGGATGATGCGATTGGAAGGCAAGGACGGCAGCGGACAGGCTGGTCGCGCTGATGTGCGGGAGGGCAAAGGGGTGGTGCGGCGGGACATAGCCCCCGACGCTGCGTGTGATGTGCGGAACAGCCACCCGCGCCTCCCTTGCCCATTATCTCGGTACAGAAGAGTCAATAGAAGCCAGAGAAGAAAATCAGGGCTCCTGTCCCCCCACCTGGGCTTGCACCGCGCTGGTGGTGAGAAGGCGGGATGTAACCATTTCGATTTCACCAGCGGAGTCGCCTCAGCTCGGCTGTTCCTCACGGCCCCTTCTTTTAGTCCTTTGTTTTCGTTTTTATTAATCCCTGTCCCCTTCTGGCAAATCCGCTCCAATCTTGCCCTTTTAGCTCCGGCTTTTACGTCGCCTGAAGAAAAGTCGCACGTCCCGCAACCGTTGACCGGCTCTCGTCAAGCAAGCACGCGGCTTGTATTTGAGGACGCTGTCTGCCCGCCCCTGCGTCGTCGTCGCCCTACCTTTTTCGTTTCGAAGTTTGCGCGCATTGGTTTTGATTCAACCTTATCCTGTCGTTCTCACTATGTTTTCTTGAGATTTATTCCCTCCTTGGCTGGTCTTCTCGATAACACACGGGCGCCAGTGGCCATGAGCTCCAGCAACAAGCCGACTCCGTCGTCTGCAACTACTTCCAAGCAGGATCCTCCCCGTCCACCGACATCCTTTCGTAAGTCAAGGTCTCTATAATCCCTCGAAATGGGAGGTCGACTCAACCTCACATCCTCCCGACTTGATTCGGCGCTTCTTGCGTTGGTGGCTTGCCAGCCTGCTAGCAGAATCTCGGCAGTTCACCTTGGCTGTGTATGCCTCTGCTTTCAAAGCTTAAGGCTGCCTCCTCTTTCCTTCTTGCTTCACAATGACTGCTCAATATTTCATTTGATTTTTTTCATATTGGTTGCCTCTCACGCTTCTCGTCGCCTCTCGTCACCCGACTTTGCGCCCGGCTAGCCACTTTTTGTCATTCAACTATTAGCCACCCTTCGCTTTACTTTTTTGGGCGCCGTTGCTCCCCCGCACGGGTCTTTGTCTCGCCCCGAAATACCGAAATAGGCCCCCCTGGCTAAAGGTCGTGTCCCACAGCTCTCAAAGGACGCAAAGAGCAAATGCACTGGGCGCGCATGCGGCACGAGTTGAGCGAGGAGAAGCACCCAATCACTGCGCAATTGACTCATAAAAGATAGCATGGCTGACTCTTCCAACTCTCATTCAGCCACACACAACTCCCCTCGAGCATGGCTCCTGACGGCAGCCCTTTCGCCCTTAGCAGTGCGCCTCATGCGCCAACTGCTCGCCCACGGCGATTACGTTGTCGCGTGCCTTCCGCCACATGAATTCGAACATGAAGAGCGAAGCGCCGAGTTCCGCGAGCTTATTGCCGAATGTAAGAGCGGACGAAAGGATCGAGAAGGCTGGAAGGATCGCATCCGTGGCATACGCTGTGATGGCCGCACTATGAGCGGCTGCGGGGCTGCCGTCGCAGAAGCGGTTCAAGTTTTTGGCCGGATCGATATTCTCCTCTGCTGTAAATCAGAAGGTAAGCTGTTCAGACTGTCTGCGGTGAAGAGACTCGCGTGCTAACACGTCGATTTCCTTTCGACAGCCGTAATCGGTTCTGTTGAAGAGCTAGCCACCAACCCCAAAACAAGAAACCTGGTCCGCGACCAATTCGAATCGATCTTCTTTTCACAGGTCAACTTCATCAAAGCCACACTTCCACAGCTCCGGTCACAACGCACAGGGCACATTATTGTTCTTAGCAGCATTGGCGGACACATTGGCACACCAAACATGTCCATGTACACTGCCGCGACTTGGGCTCTCGAGGGCTTCTGTGATTCGCTTGCCTACGAAATTGCGCCGTTCAATGTGAAACTCACTATTGTTCAGCCCAACAAGGAGATCCAATCCCTGACAAACCGTTTAATCTTTGCGCCACAAATACCCGCCTACGCACACACAATGAACCCGGCCCCCAGTATCCGCGAAATGTTGTCCAATGTTCTCAACACGGATCCCGAGACGGCCATGCCACCGGCACTTGACTTTGACGACTTCCCGGCATCCCCCACTGGCGCCTCAATCGAGCCCGAGCAGGGCATTGGCGAAATACTGACCCGATATCCGAAGCTCTCGCCAACTGCCGTTGACAAGCTAGTCGGCGAGACAGTTCACGCACTGGCTGCCATTGGTGGCCATGAGAACCCACCATCACGCCATATTGTTGGCAGCGAGGGCGCCACTGCAGTCAAGGAGAAGCTCAAGACTGTCACTGAAGAAATGGAAGATTTTGTAGAATCGAGTCTTGCCGTGGATATTTTTGATAGCGAGCTGAAGAAGGAAGCCCGTGAAGGCCGCACCAGCGAGCAGTCACCCAATCCGGGCCCTTCGACAGAGTAAAGCTGGTGATGTGCTTTGACTTGGGCGGAGTGGCTGAGGCTTGCACAAGCGTTGTGATATTTCTTTCTTCTCTTTTTTTTCTTTGGACAAAAGTAAAAGCAGTGTAAACAACCAGATGGTTGACTGGCTGGGACTGCCTTTGGATAGGTTGGCGTTGGTTGTTTGGCGCTGCGTAATACCCTGGGTTTGCTATTATTTTTTATTCATTTATTAGACTGGAAGGCTGCCAGAACCTGTTTTTGGATTATTCAGCTAACAGCATGAAAATTTTAATACATTATCTAATTTATCCTCGAAATGCAATCTGTTCTTGCATGCTGTAGGTCTGAGCAGGCTACCGTACAGGAGGCTCTGGCGCAGGGACGCTTCAGTCGACCCACAGCAGCTTGGTGCTTCCACCGACACTTTGCCAGCTGCCATAGAGGGGCAACAAGGCCAGCGTGACGCAACTTGTTCTACCAACTCCAACCAACGCAAGGCAGCGCCGCCGAAACAAACTCAAAGAATTAGCGACAGAAGAGCTCTATAATAAGTGGCATCATCAAATACGATAGCGCTACAAGCTTCCTACGCCTCTCATCCACCGCTGTTCGCCAACCCACAATGTTGCTTGCTTCTCAGCCGTAACCATGAGCCACGATCCCCTTCCTCCCATCGCCCCCGCGAGGGTCAAAGCCTTGCTTCTGCCAGCTGGCAAAATAAAGTCGGATAGATTTGCTTCCTTTGTGAAGAGGCTGCAATCGGAGCATGTCGTCCAGTTACCCGACGTGACTCCCGATGGGCGCCCTAATAGGAGTAAGTGGTGGCTTTGCCTTCCTCGCACGGCTTGTTTCCCCTGCGCTTTGCGACACGCAATATGGCTTCTTGTGCTATCGAAAGAATATATTCCACAGCTAACAATGTGTACAACCAGACATGTTTTCACCCCTCGCTTTTCGTGATGGCGCCATACTCTACGAACTCATTACCCATGCGCCACCACCTTCCCACCTGGCTCTCTCTCCTTTCGATCTATACCGCGAACCGCTCGTGATTGTTGCCATAGCCGACGGCCAAGAGCTGAACGATGCCACATTTAGCAAACGATCCTCGTCTAATGGCGCAGGCCCCACGATTGCCGAACGAAACATCCGAGCCTTATATCAGGAGCTGGAGGACCTGCGCGACACATTCCCCAAGGCTCTTGTATACCAGACTCTTATCTTTGATTATGAAAACCCAGACAGTATATCAATACCGGAGGGGATTGTTACTGTTCCTTCAGAGGCAAAGAGCAAACGAACGACTATGAAGACAGTCATGTGCAGCATCTCGTCTTTGCTTCTCGCGGAACTGACGACGCTGGCCAAGTCCTTTGAGGCCATGTCGTCGATTGATTCGCCAGGTCATTATACGGCCGTGAGACACCTTAATGGTGGTTTGGATGGATCAGGGACAGGAAATCCCAGACGAAATTCCCAGTTTGCGCTGCCACAGCAGCTAATGCGGTCCAGCTCCGTTTCTGGGGCCTCTGACAAAGCTCACGCCCGCATGTCCATGCCACCGGTCCCGACTAGATCAACATCCAATGGAGGGATAGCGGCAGATTCAACGCCTGGTACCCCGACAGTGGCGAGCCACACGTCTGGGACAGCTGGCTCAGATGCTTTCAGCTCAGCAAGCAGTACGAGACCGTCCTCTCCAGAAAGCAAGCTTCCCCGCTCAGAGTCTGCGCATGTTATGCGTGATACGAGTCGCGACCGAGTGTCTATGCAAGGATTCGGCCCTGGAGGTGCCAACGATAAATGGCGTCTGCGCGGCAAAGGACGTGTATCTATAGTCATTGGCTCTATGTATCTGCAGGCTGGTCGCTGGAACGACGCCATTAGAGAGCTAAGCGAAGGAGCTACTGCAGCCAGATCTCTTAATGATCATATATGGCATGGAAAGGCCCTGGAGCTTATTCTGATGAGTATGTTTCTTCTATCATGGGCCAAAGTCGACTTTACGATCCCACAAGTCTGCATGCCATCACAAGAGCGCCCTGGCTCTGCCAGCGGTACAAAACCAGAAGTGGAAAAGAAGGATGCTTCCCAACAAAGCCTCCAAAGCTTACAGACAATTCTCCCAGAGCTCTTGGAGCGCATTATCAACCTCTATTCACGGATATCAAGCGAGAGCTTGCCACCACTCGCATTTTCCGAAACAATCATAAGATTCTGCAAGATTCTATTGGCACTGCACATCTGCGATGGCGAGCTAAACGAAAAGTTCTTGGATTTAATAGTCGACGGAAATATGATTACATCTACGCTCACAACATCTCCCCGCCTAAACATCACGCCATCTCGACAACAGATTGTCAACCTGCTCTTCAAAGCTTTCCCATCAGCCTCGCCCGAAGTTTTGAGCAATGCGGATCGTATTTCGATCCTTAGTGGTGTCGTAGCCGTCCTGGGCCCTCTTGGATTCCAGAGAAAGAAGGCTTTGGTACTTAGAGAGCTAGTATCGGTCCTTATTGGTGGGCTCGTTGAAGCTCGTACCAAAGGTGCTGCAGAAGCTGGTGTTCATCCCGCAGCCGGTCTGGTTAACCTTGCGTCTGCTAAAGATGTCGGAGGGGCTATGGCTCTAGATTTGCGAGAAGGCGATATTGAGCACGGTATAGAAGCCTTCCTCCGTCTACTTTGTCGGGCATACGGCGTTGTTGGCTTTAAGTCTGCTATAAAAACCGAAGACGAAGAGCAGGATAATCTCAAAGACTCCGACGAAGCTGTAATACAGCGAATTAAATCGCAATCCGCACTACGATGCTTCGGATTTTCGGACATCAAGGTCGATATTCTCCGGTCATGCGTCAACTTTGCCGAAGCATTGCCGGATTTCAGAGGAGTTCTGACATTTTCAAGTGACTTGCTGAGGACAGCTGGGTCTGGCGTGGCTCCTGGTTCGCGCCGTGAAGATGCTACTCCTCTGATCAGTCGAGAAGAACAAGCACGTCTGGTAACCAGCATATCGAGGACATGGGGCCTGGCGCAAAAGCTAGGTTCTCCCGACGTGGCGGCCGAATTCTGGGACGAATTCTTGCTTCGTGGTATCGATCTCGAACCGCTCCCCATTACAAGAACGCCTATTCCGCATGCGAAGAGCGCCTTACCAGGTGCAGCTGCCAGTCGAGCATCTCAAGATGTGAACCCGTTCATCTACAATCCATTTCTCAAGGAAGCATCGGAAGTTTCCACTGAGAATCTTGTCGCTGGCGAACTTGCAAACTTCCGTGTTACATTACAAAATACATACGAAGTAGAGCTTGAGATTGAGAGCATTGAGATTGAGGCTACCGGCGTCGCGTTTGAGGCTATTGCTGCAAGTACCGTTATTGGGCCGTATAGAACGCAAGTACTCATCCTCAAGGGGCGTCCTCTGGAGGCTGGCGATGTCAAGATCACTGGTGCCATTATCAAAGTCAGAGGGTGCCGTGAGCGCCGCTTCCCGATATTCTCCAAAGCATGGACCTTATCCAGGGCAGACAAAGTCAAATACAAGGGTGTAGCCTCGGTTGATGATATTATTACCAACCAAAAAACCCTTGGTCGGCAGTTAGAAACAAACACCTTGTCGCTCAAGGTGGTAAGCCCGCAGCCGATACTTGTGGTAAAGTCGACATCTCTGCGACAGTCTACCGTTATGGTACTCGAAGGTGAACGCCAGATCTTCACCGTAACCTTACAGAATTCATCGACAACACCGGTTGATTTCATGCTGTTTTCGTTTAAGGACTCGACACAGAAAGCGATTCAGACGGCACTAAGCAACTACGACACGACACCAGCGGAGCTCTACGAATATGAATTAATTTTAATGAAGAAACAGGCACTTCGTCTACCGCGAAGTGACCAAAACAGAAATATTGGCGCGGGCGAGGAGGCCACGTTTGAATTCGAAATTTTGGGCAAAGCCGGTCTGACAAACGCCGCCATCCAAGTCGACTACACTTACTTGGGAGTTCGTCCTGAGGAACTCAACGACAAGTTCTACACCAGACAAGTGTCATTAGATATTGCTGTAACTGTCAACGCCAGCATTGATATGACACGTATCGACCTATTGCCACTGCATGGAGACTTGCCAAAGAGTCTCTGGGACCGTGTTGGCGGGCAGGGGCAGGCTAAAGCTGACGAGTACTGTCTTTTGTCTTTGGACCTGCGCAACTCATGGCCGACGCAAATATTTGTCAAGCTTGAAGGTGATGATGGCATGTCCGTTGGTGAGAGCATTCTTCCTGGCAAGACATCGCGTGTCATGTTACCGCTTAAGCGCATCTATCTGGCCGACCCGCACGCGGCTATCCCGAGCCTAAACCCATCACGAAACCGGCAGTTTGTGGTTAGCACCAGCAAGATTTCACCTTCTATGGAGCGATCCAACCGTGAAGCATTTTGGTACCGCGAGCGAATCCTGGATGCTCTAAAGGCAACGTGGTCCATGACAGCTAGTCCTAAGAAGACTGGTGTGCTGGATTTGCGCAATATCCGACTGTCGCCGCGCATGATTGATGTTGTCAAGATCAACGATGTGGATATAGACATATCCATTGTGTCCGACAGTACGGAGGACAAGGCTGCTAATCATGATGTTGCCTATGTCGACGAATTCATCAAGGTCAAAGTCGAAGTTTACAACAGAACAGCGCAGCCGATTGTGCCGCTGGTGCGCCTAATGCCTGCTCTGTGCCACCGCCCGCTTACTGTCGCTTTGGAGTATACTCGGAAGTTTGCGTGGAATGGCACGATGCAGCAGCTGCTGCCGGCTATAGCACCTCAGAATTCGGGAGAATTCGTTCTTGGTGTGACAGTATTGTGCCGCGGCCAGTTTGAACTGACAGCGTCTGTGGAAGAAGTTGTGCTGGCTGATGAGGACAGGGCTGCAAAGGAGAAGCAGGCACGACACCGCTCCGGCTCGCAAATGGGCGAGGTCTTGGTGGGAATGAAAGAGAGGCGAACGTGGCATTCAAGAGAGCCGTTTTTGCTGACGGTACAGGATCGAGAGTAGTAACAATGACTGGGGTTTTGTTGTTGTAACTGTTGAGGTCGGTTGGCTGTAAGCCTGCACAGCTTGTCTAATGTAAATACGTGACCATATGAAGAAAGATTTTATTCTGATCTGATCTTGTGCCATATCTTGAACTTCTTTTTTTACCTATCAAATACTTTTCTCTGTATTTTAGTTGCAATTTCAGCAATTGTTCATCTCGCGCAAGGCTGAGGGCACGGCTGTCGGCTCTCGCTCAGGTTCTCGGCGTAAAATTGGTGGCGTGGCTCTCAACGGCTTTTTCGTTCTGCCGAGAATCGCCGCTTTTGGTTTGACTTTGTTCATTCAACCCGGCGCCCTTTTGGTCATCTTCACCACCCGGGCTTTTCTGCCGGACGAAAATAATTCAAATAGAAACACGATACGCAAAATGAGAAATTGAGCGGTCATGAATTGCTAAGCACAGGCGAAAAACCCAAACCCCAACTTCACGTTTTCTGCGCCGCTACATCACGATGCCGCTTCTTCCCGCCAAGCTCCCGCTGGTGCACAGCTTCAGCGATGGTGCGCTTCACCAGCCGCAGCGACGCATTCTGCTGATTGACGCCTACGATTCCTTTACAAATAACATTGTCTCGCTGCTCAAGGATGCGCTGGGGACCGCGGTGCACATCCATGTCCTGCACATGGACCTGAAGACGCTGCATGCCGACCCCACGCCCGACTGGACGCCTGCTCAGTTCCTACAGCGCCTGGCGAGCTTCGACGCCGTAGTTTGCGGCCCTGGTCCTGGGTCTCCTCTGCGTGAAGAGGACGTTGGAGCGTTTCGATTGCTCTGGGACTTGTGCGGCGAAAAGGCGGTTCCTGTGATGGGCGTGTGCCTCGGCTTTCAGAGTCTGGTTGCCCATTTTGGCGGTGGCATCCGGAAACTCCGGAGAGGTTTGCACGGTATGGTTCGATTAATTGACCATAAGGGACGACACAATGATACTGCTGATGTGTTTACCGGCGTGGTAGACTTCAAGGCCACGCTGTATCACAGCTTGTGCGCGGATATTGGCCAGGACGATGTTCCTGATGACGATTGGGACACAAAGCGCTGGGAGTCTCCTAGCTGCGGTCCAGACTTGGTTCCTCTGGCGTGGGTGACGGAGCCGGAGCAGGGTAATGAGCGCATTCTGATGGCAGTGCGCCATGCTACTCTTCCCTTTTGGGGCGTGCAGTATCATCCCGAGTCGGTCTGCACCGAGGAGGGCGCAAAGGACGTCTTGAAGAACTGGTTCCAACAAGCTGTCAAGTGGAATGAGACGAATCGAGAGCAGATCCAGCCCTGGCTGTTTCCCTCGGCCCAGTCGGATAGCCTTGACTCGCCTCAGATTGGCAACACGCCTCGCGAGGCCGCCAGAGAGGGTGTTCCTGCTGTGTTGTATGATAAGCTCAAGTCTGGCCTCGCTGCGAAGAATGCGACATCGAAATACGTCTGTCAAACAATCAAGCTTCCCGCACATGTTGACACCGCCGATGTTGCTGAATTGCTCAACCACGACGCCGTTGAAACCATCATGCTCGACTCGTCCAGTGCGCCAAATGGAGATCCTCTAGCGAGGAATTCGGTAATTGCAGTTGGAATCGACAATGCCTTGCGATTTGAATATCATGCAGGCGATAATTACGCAGCGTTCCGACAACCAGCGACCAACTCGACAGAGGAAGAGACCCAACAGGTGAAGCTGAGTGAGACGGGCGCAGATCCCATGGCGGCCTGGCAGCTTATGTCTGCGTACTGGCAGAAGCGCAAAATCTTTGACGAGGATGGCGCCGAGCCTTCATTCAAGGGCGGCTTTATGGGCTTTATCACATACGAGATGGGTCTAAGCACTCTGAGCGAAGGCATTTTGGCTACTGAGCGAGGCCATAGACGGCCGGATATTTGCATGGCCTGGGTTACAAAGAGCGTAGTCTTGGATCACAAGGCGGGTGTTGTTTATGTTCAAGAGCTGGCCAAGCCTGATGGGACATCTTCATGGGTTCAAGATACCGTGGCGATACTGGAGCAGTCGACAATCTGGGCTGGTACATTCTCCGGACCGCCTTTGACGAATGTGAAGGCGCAGTTTACTCACGAGGAGCTGCTCCAGGATGTGGAGGCCACGAAACATGCTGTCCTTGACTTTTCAATCCCCAACTCGGAAAAGTATGAAGCAGATGTTAAGCGTTGCCAGGATGCCATCGCTGAAGGAGAGTCCTATGAGCTCTGTCTCACTGCGCAAACGCTCATGTCGAGACCTGGAGCGAAGGCGGCCCATGGTAAACCAGCTCTTTCGAAGAGCTATGGAACAGACGCGGCACTTACACCATGGGACATCTACCGTACTCAGAGAGCCAGACAACCAGCGCCATTTGGCTCGTTTATTCGACTTGGCGGCGCTACTATCATGAGCAGCTCACCAGAAAGATTCCTTTCCAACACCCCACATGGACTGTGCGCTATGAGACCGATGAAGGGCACGGTTCGCAAGTCTGCTACCGTCTCTACTCTGGAAGAAGCAGAGAAGATCCTACATATTCCCAAGGAGGAAGCTGAGAATCTAATGATTGTGGATTTAGTTCGCCATGATCTTCACGGTGTCTGTGGACCGGGCCGTGTCACAGTCCCAGAGCTCCTTAAGGTTGAAGAATATGCTACAGTGTTCCAGATGGTCACCGCAGTGAATGGACAACTTCCGGGAGGCGCTGATCTTCGATCCAGGACGCAGCTGAGCGGCTTGGATGTCCTTGCTGCCGCCCTACCACCAGGAAGCATGACTGGCGCACCAAAGAAACGAAGCTGCGAAATCCTCAAGGTGATTGAGCCCACCGAGCGCAGCATCTACTCCGGAGTTGTAGGTTTCTTTGACGTCAAGGGTCAGGGCGACTGGAGTGTCACGATTCGAACCATGTTCCACTGGGATGACGAGACGGAACACGATGGCCAGACAGGCCGAGAAGTATGGCGCATTGGTGCAGGTGGTGCCGTCACCATCCTCAGCACTCCTGAGGGAGAGCGTGAGGAAATGTTTACAAAGCTTTGCGGACCGTTGGGGGTGTTTAGAGATGTGGCATAACGTTTAACATATAACTGGGCAATGGCGTTTCGTTGGACGCGGGGCATAGATTTTACATTTTTCAACATGATGACGAACAGCAGACTCAACTCATACAGAATAGAACCACTCAATGCTTAAAACATACTTTGTGTAATAAAGAAATAATACTGCAAAATGACCGCTAATGAGAAATACAAAGCATCATTCTCGTCTCGTCTTGAATGTGGTATACATGAAAAGTCAAAGCTTGCCTTTGCTGCAAGCTATTCCCCCAAACGCAGATTCCGAAAACCGCTACCTTGATAAAGGATGTGATTTCGGTGTACCAAATAAAAAGATGATTATTCATTCATACCGTGGCCGGCTAGTCAAAACTCTTGCTCCTCCTGGAAGAACATGCCGAAGCTGATGATGGTTCCGTAGATAAGAAGGCCGCCGACGATGGACATGATCATGGCTTCGACGCGGATGATTTCGGAGTGAGCGAGAACAACAGGGAGGGCTACACGAAATGTCACAGTTAGTATACCATGTCGATATTATCTAGAAGCGGCAGGAAAGGACTCACCCATGCCCATGAGGACAAAGAAGCCTGTAAAGAAGCGGCCGAGATCAAGTACCGCAGCGCCGGAGCTCTCCACAAAGTCGTCTGGGTTGGCACATCGGCTGCAGATCCAGTTGGGTATGGGGGCAATAATGTATGTTGCTACAACCAGCAGAGGGTGGTAGTCCTGGAAGAGCGCGCACGAGAGGATGACGAGGAGGAAGCCGACGGCGAGGACGAAGGAGAGGGCGATGATGGTTTTAAGGCCGGCCATCGACATGTTGGGCAGTAGATATGGTATGTAATGTATTTATGTGTGTCGTAGATGTCGCAGCTGGCAGCGCAGAGTGCTAATGTTGGGGGTTAGATGGTATTCGTGGTGTTGACGACTGAAGCAGACGCTGCGAGATCGGCGGCGGTTGCGTCAACAGGAACGAGGCTGGCTGATGCAAAGAATGTCGCTGTGTGTTCTTTAGTAGCGAATAGACTCGATCGGATTTGCGTAATGTGTGCTCGTCGTGGCTTTTCGTTTTGTTATTGAGCAGCATGTGGCAAAAGACAGCTTGGGTTTCCAGCCTCCTCCTTCGGCGGCAGTGTCGCAGCTGCACGCCCGTTTGTCGTCGTCACCTGGCGGACGCCCCGTTATTCCGCTGCCGCCGACCTGGCCCAAACAGGAAGGCGGTGTGGGCCAGCTTTAGCGGTGTCGTCCCGCCGAGCGCTAGCCAGGCCTGCCGCCCACCAGCACAGCAAGCAGCCCGCCCAAGCAGCCCGCCTATCAGACGCTGGCAAAAAAAAGTTTTGGGACTTTTTGGGCCTTCAACTTTTTTTTTACCTGCAAAACCACCACCCGCATACTGACGATTGTTTGATTTTGGCTGCACAATCTTCTACGTTGGCAGTATATCGTTGACGAGGATTGAAGAGTAGCATTGGGAATACTCTTTGTTTTATTGTATTTTGCATATTCCTCTCTAGAACTACACACGTCCGTTCACTTCCTGTTGCCGCAAAATTTTCCTGCAAGATGGCGTCCGACGAGATTGTCTGGCAAATTATTAACCAGCAGTTCTGTGCTTTCAAGCTCAAGTATGATAACTTTTCTTCTTATCAATTTCTGCTTTGTATGCTAATTCGTTTGCTCGTTAGGACCGAAAAGAACCAAAACTTCTGCAGAAACGAGCACAATGTCACAGGTCTTTGCAACCGCCAGTCATGCCCGCTGGCCAACTCGCGATATGCCACAATCCGCCAACACCCGACAAAACAGACCATCTACCTCTACATGAAGACTGTCGAACGAGCGCATCTGCCGTCCAAGATGTGGGAGCGCATCAAGCTGTCCAACAACTACACCAAGGCCCTCGAGCAGATTGACGACCGCCTCATCTACTGGCCCAAGTTCCTCATCCACAAGTGCAAGCAGCGTCTCACCCGCCTTACACAAGTCCAGATCCGCATGCGACGCATTGCCGCTGAGGAAGAGCGTCTGGGCGAGAAGCTGGTGCCCAAGCTGGCGCCCAAGGTCAAGGCCCGCGAGCGTGCTCGTGAGCGCAAGGCCGAGGCGGCTGCTAAGCTCGAGCGCACTATTGAGAGAGAGCTGGTGGAGCGCCTACGCCAAGGAGCCTATGGCGATCAGCCCCTCAACGTCAGTGAAGAGATTTGGCGCAAGGTGCTCAACGCCATGGAGCGCGATGGCCAGGGTCTCCGCGACGAGGACATGGACCAGGGCATTGAGGACGACGAAGAGGAGGACGAGGATGCCGAGTCTGAGGATGACCTTGAGAAGGGCGTCGAGTATGTCTCTGACCTCGACGAGAGTGAGGAGGAGCTTGCGGATCTCGAGGACTGGCTTGGTAGCGAGGACGAAGACGAGGAGGAGGAAGAGGATGACGAAGAAGACGATTCGGAAACCGAAAAGGCCGGCGCCAAGAGAAAGAGAGGCCGTGTCACCAAGGTTGCGGCCAAGAAGGCCCGCCAGGGCGAGAAGGAGAAGCTCACCATCACCAACGAGCTTGCCTGGTAAGCTGCAGTGGTGGTGGTGGTGGCAGCAGCAGCAGCAGCAGCACCAATGATAATGTGTTGTGCTGTGTATCTACATATTACCCTTCTTTTGCGCATGTGCATATAAAGTTGTTTGCATGTCTTTGCTTTGGACATTACATAGCGGCGTTCTGGGAAACGGTTGGCAGAAAAAAAAAGTTTCTTCTTTTCATTTTTATTCCCGTCTTTGTTGATACGGTGTATGTAAAGGGTATTGTGCTGTCCTGTAGTAGCAACTGCACCTACTATATCTGCGGCAGCCTTGGTTTATGTAGCCAGCCAGCATCACAACTAGAAGACAAAAGAATATTATTGAAATTCGGCCAAATGAAATTCTACCCACAATAATTGACAATCCTCCTTCTACTCTCCATTTACTGTTTCCTCTTGTCTCTGCTGGCATTTAATCGCCGTCATCCTCATTCGTGGCCACCCCACATCCACTGCTGCTGCACCCGCCGCCGCCCTGACCTCCTCCTCCTCCCAAAACTCCACCTTTTCGATCTTGCATCCTCCAACATACCACATCACCTCTCCTGCAGCCTTGTTCAGCATCGTCCTTGTCACGGACCAACGCTCTGAGGCAGCTGCACGGAGCGCATATTTCCCTCGTTTCTCTTCTCTACTACACCATCCGCCATTGTCTCCCCTCTCCAACACGTTTCCCAACCTCGGCATCGGTCTGAATCCACTACGTCACTCGTCCGCAGCCTCACCACACACGTCTTCGTCTCCGCGCCGAGCTGCGTGCCCATTCCACGCTCGACTGTTGCAAAACACACATACATAGAAACGACTGCCGGCCGAACACATACACAACGTCTGCTTCGCACAATCGCCACGCCCTCCGCCCATCATGTCGGCGTGGTACTCCAACATCGTCACCAAGACGACCTCGCAAATCTCGTCTCTGCGATCAACGCTTCTCTCCGGCGAGGCCGACGGCGATACGGAAGATGACACCCACGTCTGCCGCGTCCTGCGAAACTACTACACCGACAAAGGTCGCCCCCGGCCCAACTGGCTGCCCCCCGACCCCAAGGCCGCCAACCAGGCCCCTCAACCCCTCTACGCCCAGGCCCAGCCCGGCTCGCGATACGGCGGCTTCAACCAACAATCTTCTGGTAGTTCCGCTGGTGGTGGAGGTCTCAGCAGTCTCTGGGATAACGGGCCCGCGCAACAGCAACAAGCACCGCCGCAACCACAGAGTCTAAGAGCCGGCCGCGGGCCTCCTGCTGGCAGCCAAGCGACGCCTGATAGTCTGCGGCCCGGTGCCGCCCAGCGATCAGGCAGCTACACTAGTGTGCATAGCGCCTCAGGAGGTGGTTCTTCAGCGCAGGATCGCTTGAAGCAGCGACTGTATGGTGGACGATCGGCCAGTCCGGCGCAAAACAGTGCCCCGCCTCCTACGAATGGAGGCCAGTATAGCAGTGGCGGAGGTGGTGGTAGCCAATCGCAATGGGGGAACGGGTCTGATCCATATGGCGGAACTGGTGCTAGAAACACCGGTGCTAGAGGAGGACAGCCTGGAGGCGGTGGCTACTCGAACGGCCAGCAAAGACAAGGTCTGCCCAGCGGCCCTCGAGGTTACAGATAGATACATCGCTGTCTGGTAGCAGACATTCGGGCGAATGCTCGTGCACTATTACAATGCAAGAGAAACAAACGTTATATAGCCTTAAGTATATCCTAGTCACACGGCAGATCTTATCAGCCTGACAAATTGCATGATTACAAAATAGAAAAACAATTGAAAATACTCATCGCTTCTAATTCATAGTGAATATGTTCTAATACGGTAACAGAAAAGGTTTTCAAGTAAGAGCTGTGCTAACAGAATACGTTTGCAAAATAGAATGCTTGCCAAAAACGCCAGGATATAAATGCTTAAAGATGAAAAGAAAAAGAACAGTCTGTCGGTCTTGTCGCCGATTAGCCCACCAACTACTACTTGGTGGGCATTCCGTCGCCATTCTCAGCCACCTTTTTCCGCGGCAAAACTACCACTTTACGGCTCAACAGCTTACGAAGCTCCGGTGTAATGGTCTTGATTGCTTCCCCCTCCTTCGCCTTACCCTTGCCTGGTGTTGTCTTGCCTGCAGGTGCTGGCTTGGGTGGCTGGGCGGTTGTCTTTGGTCCAGGGAAGTTTTCCTTCTTGTCAATGGCTTCGACCACGCGCTGGAATTTGCGGAATAGGGATTCGGCACGAATCAAGGTCGACTCCAGATCCATCGTGTTGGACAGCTCATTGACGTACTTGAGAACCTCGTCAAACTGCTTCAGGTGCTCCATGATGACCTCGCGGTGCTTTTCGAGAATAGCTAGGGCAATGAAGAGCGGGAATTCCGCGCTCAGGTAGTCGGTCCATAGCGCTTCCCAGAGGCGGTGGACATCGAGCCATTCAAACTCGCGCTTGTACCACACAAGAATCATGCGGAAGAAGAAGAAGAAGTTGGTGCTGTCGGCGCTTTGAAGGTGGTTCCAGAGCTTCGGGTCCATAAAGTTGACAAGCTGATCAAGAGCCAGAAGCTGGCCTCTCATACCCGACTGGTCGCGTAGGAAGTTGCGTTCCATGCGCTCCATAAACTGCTTAAAGGCCCAGAAAGCAATAGCATCGTCTTGGATGACGGCATACAACGGAGCCAGCAAATCCGACATGCCCTGGACGTATCCGAGATCCTTATTGTACTCGTTGTAGGTCAGAAGCATCTCCTTCATCTGCTCCAGATGGACGTTGGTGCCAACCTCGGCAAAGGGTGAGCTTGGGTCGGGGTGCGGCGTGTCTTCACCTTCAAAGAGACTAATGTGTCGGTCTGTTCGGTGAACGTCCTTTTCAATCCTGCCCTTTTGCTCTCTCCACCATTCGCCAGTCTCGCCATCTCCTCCCTCTCCCTCAAGTCGCTCCCACCACGAGTGCTTCAGCTTGTAGTACGCATCTCGCAACGAAGCAATCTGGGCTTTTCTCTCGTCAGCCGTGCTATTCCAGTCGTATACTCCGAGCAAGAAGAGCCAGGCTTCCTTTCGAACGCCATCCTCGGGATCGAGGCCGCCATGAAAGATTCGTTCCTTTACCTCGTCTACTGTAAGCGAGAGCTTACCACTCTCAGGGTCAAAGAACGTTATCCACTCCTCCATAGTAACGGCTTTTCTTCTTTCTTCCATAGATAAGCCGTTAGCGCCGTCGATTAACTCAAATTCACCAACGTCAGTATCTTCCATCTCCATAACATCACGGACGGTGTAAATCTTTTGCCGTCTGTCTCTCTCGCTTTGTTCCGCAATACCCATAGCCCACCGTGCCAAGTAGATGCGAGCGCTGTCAAATTCATCCTGAAGTGTCTGAACTTCTGGATTCTTAAGTAGGCGTTTAACTTGAGGTGGCATGTTGGAGCTCTCGGCAAAGTCCTGTGCAGCACGTCTGGTGAATGTGGTGACCTGGCTGAACTTTTCCATAATATTCCATCCAGTCTCTTTGAAGAACTTCACTACAGGATCCATTTGGGCGTCCTTGTTAGCGGTGCCCGCTGCAGCCGCCTTGCCCTTGTTACCAGACCCAGAGGCAAATGACAAGAGGTCTTCTTTGCTTGGTTCCACCAGGTACACATTAGGCTCGGCTGTTGATCGCTCAATCTTGACATATCTCTTAAGCCAGCGCAAAACTTCATCGGCGCCCCAAAACATCTGACCTGCGTCGCTAAAGGGATCAAATGTATCTTTAGTGAGCTTCTTCTTCTGTAGGATAGTGCTCTGGCATTCATTGTCGTGGAAGAAGAGTGCTGGAAAGCTGTCACCGGCCTTTGTGTTTATAATGATGGAGCCATACCACCAGCCTAGGCTAGGTGGACGGATTTGCAGAGAAAAGATGGCGCTGACGGGGACAGCAAAAGAGTAGCCCCCAACGGAGCCGCTGTGTGACGTGACTGTGGGAGGAGGAGGGACGAGGTAGGACTGTCGGGGAGGTGCATCGCCATCAGAGAGGTCGACTTTGACATATATGTTGGCAGAATCCCCAAGTGCATTTTCGGGGACCCAAGCAAGCAACAAATCGGAGGCTGCCGGCGAGGAGGAAGACTGTGCTGAGGATGCGGTAGATGGGCGGGCAGCGTCTTTTACTTTTTGTTGAAGTAGGGCAATGTAGCCAGGGATGTTGTCTCTAGCCGAAGGTGTAGGATGAACATAGACCTAGATGGATCAAGTCAGCCCAGATTCCATAACGTTTATAATTAGTATCAGAAACCAGCGGCCATACCTTGCTTTTTGAGAAGAGTAGCTTCACGCCCTTGCCGGTGTGGGAATGCGTGATGGTATCGTATTCGCTCTCGCCATCGTCGCTTAGAGCATAGAAACTGTTGGACGGCGACTCAGGCCTGCCAGCGCTGCGCGACATGATGGGCGATGGTGACGGCGGGCGACGTTTGATGCCTGCGCGGGTGGCGTTGAACTGCTATATGATGCTGGTAGCTGTGTTGTGCTGTGTTGTATTTTATAGTTGTGTTGAGAGATGATCGTGGAATCACGAAATCGGCAACAAATGCACAGTCACCACAGAAGATGGTGGACGATGAAATAAAAAAAGGTGATAAAAAAAGCCAACGTTTGTCGTCGGACCAGAGCATGTGAGCAGCGTAAAAGCGTGATGACGACGAAAGCTTGCCCCGCCACGCACGCATCGCGCCAGCCGCAACGGAGGGGCAAATCAGGGAAACGTCGCCTAACGGGGCTGCGCCGCTGGTCTGCTTGAAGGGTACCGCGCCCTTTGGTGGGGTTTCCCAGTGTAGCCAAGGTACTCTGTTAGCAGGCCTCCAGTGCTCTGTGCTTAAGATTTAGTGGACCGGGCCACTAGGCCTCGTCACTGCTTTCGCCGCTCATGAGGCTCAGTCACCAGGGCATTGGATACCTGGCTTTGGAACTGGGAAGAATAAAAAAAAGACAATTTACATACCTAAAGAACTAAATAGAGACTAATACTTGATATCTAAGAAAGAAAACTTTAAAATTAATAACGAAGTTTATATCTTCTCCTTTATGGCACCGCAGGGTAGCACTTGGAGCAGTATATCACATACTTCTACAATAGAGTAGCGGCTGAAAAGAATAGCCTGAAAAGTTTCTATTAATGTATTTTATACGTTTATTATGGTATCTATATTCTCTGGATACTTGTGGGACGATGGGAAACGGTAGATGTAGTCGAGTTAAGGACTGAGTATGTAAACAGTATCGCGACATGGTTGGTTTGTGCTAATCTACGGATTAAGCATAAATACGCAACCCCAGAATGCTCCGCCAAAATATAGCACAATCTAGTGTTTGTACGAATGTTTCGATAAAATCACTGGATTTAGTGTAACATTTACTCTTGGGGCTTTCCATCTACTCATTCGTCGTCACCTCGGCGCCTCAGGTGTCTACTCAATCCAGTCGCACCGCACAATGCCAGGCCTGTTCATCAGTGGTGTCCTTCATAGGCTTTCTGTATTTCATAATGCTATCACACTCAGCCATATATCCACGAATCTATGCGTAATGTCTAAGCTTTAAGCCCAGTGCTGAACTTCCACGATTCTTCCATAGCGCCAAGGCCACTTTTACGAAGCGGGACACTACTGGACAGTTGACAAATAGGCAGATTGATATATTTATAGGCGATTCAGGACAATCTTATATTCAGCATACTAATTATAGCCTCTACAGAATCAGGTCCATTTCCAAGAATCATGATAGGGCAGGTTATGCCTTGTCATGTTGGCTCTGACCATAGTCTGGCAACACTGTGGCTTTGGGGAGCAACACGCTCAATCACTCTCAATGGCAGCACCAACGGTGAGTGTACCTGCTCTCAACCATACACTCACCGAAATTTCTGGCGCTAACTCATACCATAAGCATTTGAACTGGCGTCTAGGGAAAGCTACCATCGTCTAGGAGGGCCGCGGAACTTCTAGCTAAAGCATAAACCCCTTGACCTCATCTTTTGGCAGACTAGTAGAAGTAGAAACAAGGAACTATGATTCTTCACCAGTGGAATAACACCTAAGTCAGGATAGCTTGAAAATAGGCTCCGAATCGGGGCAGTTTGCGCCGTGTTCCACACCTTGTCCCGCTATGCTGACTCTTATACCAGGCCGCCAGCCAACTGAACTCGGCCGGAGGCCTTTGTTGAATGGGACCCGGGGAAACTCGCAATGGAGATAAGAGGTGCTGCTACATCTGGTACTTGTATTCAAGGTGTACTTCCACTCGGGGCACAGCGCTTGGGCTAAGCGCGCCACAATCTGCATGATTCGTAATAAGGCCAAGTAGAAGCGAACCTAGCTGTATCAGGTCTAGGGCTTATTTTGGTGCGTGACGACTTTGGCGGAATAGAGCCCTGCGATTCGCGAGCGTTAGCTGCAAAAGATCCCTCTATACCGGCGGGGCAAGGAGTTTCCCGGCCTTGTGATGTACTTGTCGCAGATGGTGGCTCAACTGAGCTAGTCGTGGCACGGACATTTGTTGAGAATCGAACTAACTCGTTAGCTACTCACTCGTCGGACTAGGAGGAAGGGGGTAGGATTGGCGTCATGCAAATACAGGATCCATGGGATGAGTAAAGACAACTGGGCTGATGCATTCATTGCGGCGTCAAGTCTGTCAGCACGGCTGGTGGTGGTAGTGATGGTGCATCCCACAAAACGGGCCTGCAGCCAGCCAGCCTCGTTCAAGGTCAGAGAGCACCATACTCGGTCGATTGCCGACGGCGTTGCTCTGCGGTGCTGGGTCTGTGGGCAGATTAGCAGTGGGCGGGATAATGTAAGCTGGAGGTGGAACGAGATGACGCTGTCGTCCTATCTCGTCTGTTGGGAAGATGAGGATCTTCCGGTGTGCTGAACGCGTAGTCTGTCAGTACACCACACCCAGTGGAGAGAGCGCGGCACAGAGCACATTACTTTACAGGGGACGGTCGAGCCATCATGTATTGTGACGGGTGTACTGTAATGTGTTGGTGTCTATCCGCTGCAGCAGCGATCAATTCCCTATCATGCATGTATTTTACCGTAGGCTAAATGATGGGATGCAGCTTTCCAATGTCTCGCTTCGCAACAAACAGCACCAACAGCAGCAACCGCTTCACAGGGGACCAAGTTTGCAGGGGACTCCGGAGTGGAGGGGGCGAAAGCACGGCACCCGCTAACTGAGACCACCACGACAGAGGAAACCCGTTAAAGACCCCTGCAATCAAGGCCCCATGGCGCTAACCCGCTCCTGCGGGAACCGCCCCTACAAAAAAAGTGGCATAGGGCTCCCATGGGGGTGGCTGCTGTGCTGAAAGTGCGCCCCTCCCACCCCCGGCGATGTAACTGGCGGGCGCTGGACCGTCACAGTCGTCGGCAGGCTTTGGGGGCGCAAGTGGGAAAAAACAAAGTTTCGTTGCGGTGGCGTTGATTTGGGAGCCATGACTTGTGTAGTGGTTTTGGTGGTTCCCTCTCCATTCTCTCGTTTTCGTGTTATTTTATTTTCTTCCTTCTTCAAACCATTTTCTTCAACTTTTGTTGTTCACTTGCTTCACTTTCTTCAATTCTTGCTGCTCCCACACAAATCAGCCCCTCACTTCTCCGATAGCCGCCCATCGCTCGCTAATCGCAATGCCAGCTCCTACTGCCCCGCCTACCTGGTGGCCCAAGTCGGTCTCTTACAGCCAGGTGTCCAGCACCGAGGATGTTAGCAAAATGACAGAGCATGACCAGTATCGCCAGGAACCAAAAAGGCGAGAGCTGCCAGCGCCTAACAGCGCCATTATGTTTGGTCTTGCATCTGTAGGCGCCATGTCTTTGCTTATACTCGCCTTCTTCGGCGTCATGACTTTCTACGAGGCCACAATCGGCAGCAGCAGCATGCGCGATATCAACCCACGACCTTGCGGCAACTCGTCCACTGAGGCCAGAGCCAATGGCTGCGTTTTCAACCAATTGACATGGTCTTGGGTCCCGAAATCATGCCCGAGCTACGCGGACCAAGAATTCAAAGAATACCGCGACTGGAAGTACTACGCAGACCTCAAGGGCGAGGTTGAAGCCAACAGCGACATCTGGGAAAAGGTCTACAATAACGAGATGCCACTGTACACTGTCAAGGGCGAGCATATGACGCATTGCGTGCATTTACTGCTCAGCATGGCCCAGGTCGTTCGCGATGACAGCCCAACCATCCCCAAGCTGCGCGAGTACGAGCACATCAAGCACTGCGCAGACCACCTACTCATGAAGCTGAGCATGCTACCCGACTTTGACAAGATTGGAACAAAAACACCACTTGTTTCCTACGAGCAGAATTGTCAAGCAAAAAAGTAAACAAAAAAGAAAGAGAGTGCCAGTAGCCGGATCAGCTGCCTATACCCTTGTATGCTAGAATATCTTATCATGTCTTTTCTTTTTTTGTTTTGTTATATATAGACTCTACCAAAGCGAGGCGAATTGACTTTGGACCCCAAATCTGCGAATACAATGGACTTGGAAAAAAGCAACTCTCGTTTGTGTTCTGACATTCAGACATGTCTCACTAAAATATACAACTATTGCCGTTGGCCCCCTCGGCAGTACATCTGCAGAGCATGACATGATACGGTTGGTAGGCAGCAAAAAGCAAGTAATACATGACAGTGTGACTTGCAGCGCAGTATCGACTAGAGCCATGGCACCACCACCGTAGAATGGGGTAACAAACAAAAGGAAAAAAAAGGAAACAAACGGAGAAACTGACAGACGATGGATCTAGAGCATTGTACTAGTCGCCCATACTAGCAAAAAAGGAAATAAACAAGGTTCCCAGAACAAGAACCGGAGGGCGTGTGGGAGCCGAGACACCGACAAATGTCGCAATCCAGGCTGCAGTGCAGCTACGGGAGAGGAAACAAACCAGAGAACGAGAACGTTGGGTATCTACTGTGGCTGCTTATTCACTTTCATGCCATACCTAATCCATGTTAGCCACACACAGGAGCTGATAAGTAGGACAAGGCCAAAAGTGCAGTATATACATCACTAAGCGCCGAGCTGGGTCCAAAAGCCAGAGCAAGAGGGGCAATTCTGACCAAACAGCGTTCGCAGCCCGCGGGGCTAACACTAGCGCAACCTTGTGCAAAGTAGTTGATGCATGTAACTTACCTGCTAATTAGACGAAAAACGAAAAGAGGGGGGAGTGGTAAACAGAGTTCAGGTCAGCTTTCTCCTTCAACTCCGCCCCAGCTATGGCTGGCCCTGGTTAGCCCGCCCCCCGTGGGGATCCTCCTCTTGCCTATTTAGGCTTGGCAGGGTGGCGTTGCGCTAGATGGAGATGCGATACCAGACTTAGAAGCAGATTTGGTGGCGCCCGTGCGCCTGGTGGTGGTGGTGCTGCTGGCTGAAAACCAACCCTCGAGCGGCCGACAGCAGGACAGCGTTGGTTTCTGGCCCACACACCGTCGGGCTCGCTTGCAATCTAAGTCATGGAGACGACGGAACTTTTGTGGTCCATGCTTTCTTTTCCCGTAGGCGAAAAGAGCGGGCGGCGGTTCCTTGTACACCGGGGCCCTTCCAATTGGTCGCCGCCCATCCCAGAAGGCACACCCGGTGACATGACATGACTTGCCAGCCTGGGTTGGGTCAGTGAGCCCTTTCGTAATGCTGGTAACTCTTACGCCCGTCGGCCGCCATCTGATGAAGCTCTCTGTTGTAGTATGGCCGGAGGGGCTGCCATCCCAAGGGTGCATTTATAGCCCACTCTCGCCTACCCTCCCCAGTCGACATTGCCGATGCAACGCTCAACAAGGTCCCAATAACACCTTACCCTCAATACAAATTACAACTAGACGCTTAGCTGTCTTTTTATCTTGCTTTTTGATTGTTGTTTACTTTGATCCAAAACATTCAAAAAGTAAACGGGTTCGTTCCTGCATCCAGCACAAACCTCTTACACCACCACCAACAACAACCACCAAACTCCAAACTTCCCTCTCAACACCTACTTCAAACCAACAAGATGAAGTTCGCCGCCATTATTGTGTGCAGTGCTGCTGCCGTCATGGCCGCCCCTCAGAGTGCTAACTGGCGCGCTGATGTGGCTGCCCGTGGAGCCGACATGTGGAGGGCCGATGTTGTTGCCCGCGAGGCTGACGCCTACAGAGCTGATGTCGAGGCTCGCGAAACCTACAGAGCCGACGTTGAGGCCCGTGACTCTTACCGATCTGATGTTGAGTCCCGCGCCGAATCCTGGAGAGCCGATGTTGCTGCCCGTGGTGCCGACATGTGGAGAGCCGATGTCGTTGCTCGCAACTCTGATGAAGTCAAGCCCTTCCGAGCCAACGTCGAGGCCCGCGCTGAGTCTTGGAGAGCCGACGTTGAGGCTCGCGATACCTACCGCTCTGACGTCGAGTCTCGCGCTGAGTCTTGGAGAGCTGATATTGCCAACTAAGCACTACACCCTGCTTCATAAATGGATGCTCCACCAAAAAAGAGAAGTCTGCCGTTTCAAGTCGACAGCGAGAAAGACTCACCCTTTCAAGTGGACAACAGTGCAGACCAGATTTGTTCTGTTTTCATGTACATAATAATATATACTGTCGCTTCTGAATGTCAACATTTTATTTTTATGAAACTCCCCTTTTTAGGCTTTTCGAAACGAGCTCTTCGTTTATTGATGTTTTATGTGTTTCGATATATTGAGACCCGTGTTCTGCATTCGCCGTCGTCAATGACTCTTGAAGCACCTACCATCAGCGATTCCTGTACTACGAAATGCCCCCCAACACTCACCTTGGTTCTCTGTGTTTATACGTGTAATTCACACCGTCAGCCTGTCAAGCCGGCATACCGTTAAGCCGTCTTGGCTTGGGATCAACGCAGCGCCGCCGTTTCGCAGCCGCTTCAGGGCCATACGTGTCGTCACAATCGTGACTGGCGCCCGTCAGCAAGTGAGTCGCCTTGCAGGATGTGATGGGCAACGCCATGTTGCACTAATGATGCGCTACTGCGAGGGTCGGCTTGATGGTACGTCGCGTGCATAAAGTTGTTGTCGATGGCGCTGTCATGATCATGCCATCGATGATCTGTTTCGTATAAAAGTCATTTTAACAAGTCTCTATTTTTTGCGTGTGTTTCTGTTTCAGCCAGTGTTAAATGCAGCCTGCATATTGTTGCACCAGTTAGACGATGGAGGGGTACTACTGGTAAGAAAAGCCACCTATAGCCCCGATCTCGGGTCTGTGGCGTATTGTTTCTGTGGCGCGGGAATGAAAAAAATATTTTTGTGTCCGTGGCGGCAGGCAACGCAGACGACTACACGACCTGAACAAAGGCTTGTACGCCAAAACGCACCAATAAATTCATGGCGCCATCTTGAATAATAATTCAATGAAACTAGTAGCCGACTGGATTCTACCATGAGTTTCAACATGACACATCCAATCGAGATGGACGGTGGCCACCGAGCCTCTGACGGAAACAGTAGGGCCCGTTCTCCATCTTGCCACTGAATCGCCTTAGTGCATTAAGCAATGCAAATTCCACTGTGCCCCATATGTGTCAAGGGTCTTGTTTTTCGCAGTGGAGATGCGCTAGTGTGAAGGTTGAAGAATATTTTCACAAAGCCACCGGCTCTGTGTCCGCCATCACACGATAATTCTCGAGAATCGGAAAGCGTCCGGACGCCAGGACACGTTGACAGCCTTGACTTGGCAGCAATTGAATTCCAGAACATAAGGGGAACGCCCAGACTTTTTAATTACCCCGATATACTGTCAAGCGCTGTTGCTGTCAACCCCACACGCTGTCAAACAGGGTCTCCACGGCGAGTGGTCGACATCACGAAACGCCGGCATCCGCCGAAGCCCGCAGGCGTCACCCACCGCGCACCTCTAAGATCTGCGGCTGCAGTATCTAGGGCAATCAACCACTCGCGTAAGTCGTGCTTCTTAATCTATCAGTGAATTAGATCGCTGTGGACCTTGTCACCCCGCAATCTACCGTCAAAGGATAGCTTTATGCGGGGGCTGCCGCGCGCCGTTGGATCCCCATAGCCGAAATATGGTGATATATTGTCGAAGAAATCCCCGCTAATGCATTGAGATTCTAGAAAAGTCAACCTAGTAGCTAGTCATTGCCATTATATCACGCCATGGCTCCTTATTTTGGTCTCAAAGGCTCCGCCTTGACTCAGGCTATCTTATGGCTTGTTGTCTGCCCGTCCTTTGTCATATACGGTTACAATTTGACTGTTGCTGGCGGCCTCTTGACGCTGCTCTCCTTTGTTGATGTGTTCCCGCAAATGAATACTCTTACAACTACTGGTGAGACGCAACGATATAACTCGACTATCCAAGGTAAGATGCCTTATGGTCAGCAGAACGTGCCCTGGCGATCTTGCTTACATGCTCCTCTTCAGGTACTGTTCTCGCTCTGTACAATGTGGGTGGTATTTTTGGAGCGCTGTCCTGCATCTATCTCGGTGATCTTCTTGGCCGCAAGAAAGTCATCTTCCTCACATCCATCATCAGCATTGTTGGCGCTGCGCTGATGGCTTCGTCGTTTGGCTTACCCCAGTTCATCATAGCGCGTCTTGTGGTAGGATTCGGTAATGCCGGATTACTAGCAACAGTACCCGTCTGGCAGGCTGAAATTGCAAAGGCAATCAACAGAGGATCCAGCGTCGTCACTACTGGTATCTTCATGGGCGTTGGTGTCTGTGTTGGCCTCTGGATCGACTTTGGCTTGTACTTTGTCAAGGACAGTTCGGTGTCTTGGAGATTCCCCCTTGCTTTCCAGCTCCTCTTTCTCATTCCATCCACGTCCGCCATCATGTTTTTGCCCGAGTCTCCACGTTGGTTAATCAAGAGTGGCCACGAAAAGGAAGCAACCAACATCCTCGCCATTCTGCACGAGGAAGAAATCCATTCCGAAGTTATTTGCAACGACGTTCGCGATATCCAGCAGTCTCTATCCCTGTGCCAAAACCAGTCATGGACGGCCATGTTCACCATGGGTGAGCAGCGCTTCTTCCATCGCACTGTGCTTGGCTTCCTGGCTGGTATGTTCCAGCAGCTCAACGGTATCAATGTCAGCTCCATCTATGCGACAACCATTTTCGAACAGTATTTGCACATGGATGCTACAAAGTCACGCATTCTCGCTGCTTGCATGTGTATGATGCAGATCTTTGGTGGCTATGTCACCTACTACACTATTGACCGCTTGGGACGCCGACGCCTCATGCTCAGCGGTTCGGTAGGCATGGCAATTTGCATGGCACTTTTGGCGGGCACTACGTCCGTGACGGATAACACAGGAGCCCTGGTAGTTGCTGTAATTGCTCTCTACGGATTCCAGTTCATCTTTACAGTCGGCTGGGCCGGTATTGTCTTCTTGTATGCTGCCGAGGTGGCGCCTCTGCAGCTCAGAGCCGCTATCAGTGCGCTCGCGACAACGGCCATCTGGACTATGGCCTTTTTGCTGGCTGAGATTACGCCCATTGGCTTCAACACGATTGGCTACAACTACTGGACCATCTTTGCGCTAATCAATGCAGTCGTAATCTTCCCTGTGGTTTACTTTTTCTTTCCCGAAACAAGTGGCCGAAGCCTGGAGGAAATTGACGAAATCTTCCTTCAGTCCAAGAGCATCTGGGATCCCGTCAGGCTTGCCAAGATTCTCCCCAAGATGCAGACGACAGAAGGCACAAGCTCACCGCCTACCGAAGAAGAAAAGAATATCTCTAGTTAGAGTCTGGGTGCTTTTCATCCGCAGTTTCTCCCCGTTTTGGCCAGCATCTCACGATTCCAGACTATCGTTATGTCAGTGTATACGACTCATGCATTTTTTAAACTTCAAGTTGCATTTTATTTCAGCGAAACGAATAAAGCATCTTCATTCAAGGCTCTCAAACCGTATATAGAAACATTCTACCAAATCACACATCTCGATTGCAAGACTTGTCTACACAGGGAAGCTCGTAGGCTGAATATAGCCGTGATCCACCATCCCCGCATCTAGATGCCGGGGAAGCCGAGTCATTAGCTTTTACTACCAACATTCCAGAAACGAAGCTCTGATGCCCAAACTCTAATTCACCAGCTTCCACCGCAACAGTTACAAAAGCCTAAACTCTAAAACGCACGCGATACTCAATTCTTTGTCCCCACGCCCGGCACTGTCTACCGCATTCCGGAGCGTTCAATTGCCGCGTGCAAGCCACCCACCATGGATTACAATCCGACGATGAGCATTTTTGACGATTTCGTCAGGTTCAGTGAAACGTAATTAACGCTTTTGGCTAGAACTGAGGCACTATACTTTGAGCTAACGGAGTGTAGATATGTGCGCCGTGGTGAACACCAGATTCTCGCCCACGTTCTTGTCCCCAAGGCTGCCCACGAGGGCAAGCGCCCCCTCATCATTAACTGGCATGGCGGTTACCTGGTAACTGCTTCCGGCCTGTATCCTCGATTCTTCCCGCTGTTCATCTTGGCCTTGGCAAAGAAGCACGGCGCTGTGATTGTGTCCCCGGACTACACGCTTCTACCTCACGCAGGTGGACTGAGGGCTGTACAAGATGACATCAAGTCGTTTGATTCATGGCTTAGAGATTCGTTTTTTGAAGTCTTGTCGAATAATACTCCAGGCTGCCAAGTCGACCTGTCCAAGACTTTGCTGAATGGTGGCTCTGCAGGCGGATATGTTGCGCTCTCGCATGCGCTACTCAACCCAGATGCCTTCCGCGCGGTAGCTCTGGCATACCCGATGATTGACTTCGATACTGAGTGGTGGCAAAAGGGTTGCAAAGCAACTGGAAAGCCCAATCCATACAATTTTCCAGATGCAATGTTCCCTCCCGCCGCAGAATTGAAGAAGACAGTAGAAGCCTTCAAGACTGGACCTGTTGTGTCCGTGGCTGATGATAACCGAACAGGTTTTGGTGCAGCCTTAGCTATAAATGGCTTATTTCCTGATGTGTTCAGCCCTGGCGGCGAACTGGACGACGATACTAGTGTGTGGTTGAACAAAAGAGTGGCGGCTGGTGAGAAGCTACCTGCACGAATCTGGCTCTTTCACGGGACAGCAGATACCGCAGTGCCGTATGAAACCTCTGTCACTTTTGCCAAGGTAATGGAACAACAGGGTCGAAGCATCAGACTGGACCTGTTTGAGGGCAGCGAGCACGGATGTGACATAATGGCGAGTGGCGCTTCCAGCGGCCAAGATGATCCTGTTATATTGAATGGAGCAGCATGGCTCACTGAAAGCTGGCTAAATAATGCAGTTCAAGAGCGATTGTAATCAATATTCTGGGCGGCAGCGTTTCAGAGACTTATCATAATTTCATTGCTAGAAAAAACCTTTCTCGCCTTTTCGGACATAAGTATCGAACTAGTAATACATGGGTATATGATACATGATTCCAGATGGATGCAAATGGATTAACGCAAGAAGTATTGCGGTAGTGCTTTTCCCTCCTCCACAAGACTTGCCGAGTTTGTGGAACTCGTTGGAGCGAGTCTCTCGGAACTCTCTGTGCCGCTCGTCACATCCATTTCATGCTCATCCTTATCATGACCAGCATACGCCGTTACTTTTGTGCCCAGAGCCCAGCTCTTTCTTGCGTCGAAGTGCGTCGCGTTTTGTGATACTTCGGAGTGAATATAAACGTGATCACCGGGGTGTGGGCTGCGAATTCCATTGAATCCTCTTGCACTGGGGTTGTAGTTTTGAGATGGTGACGTATTCTGCGATGTCAGACCCAGCTTCCAGCCGATGATTTTGGCGAGAGGACGAAGCGTAGAAAGACTGGCGGCGGAGATGGCCAGTCCCATTTCGAGCGTTGTCCATATAGCGATATCTGTAGTAGCCCCTAGTTTGGATAATGTTAGACCAAGACTGCGTTGTAGTGGAGGTCACCGTTACTTACATAAGAAGTCTTCATCTTTGAAGTTTTTGATGTAGGCAAATCGAACCACGACAGCAGAGCTGGCCCTAGTAGTTTGTTAGGAGGCGGTGTCTTGGGTGTGGATTATGGCATCGTGACTTACATGCAGCCCATAGCAATGAGAATAATCAGGATAAATCTTGCTCGTCTCTGTAAGTTTAGGTGCCAGATGACGAATCCTGGGAGCACGGCAAACGTAAAGTCTGTAATGACACTAAAGACGCTGTAAAGGTAGCCGAGGGCGACGATAATGTCCATGCTGATGCAGCTTCCTTGCCCAGACTTGTTCCAGTAGTGAGAAATCGGATGGCATTGGAGAAGGGTGACGAAGAAGAAGGCAACACCTCCCACCACGGTCAGCATGGCGGCTATGTATATGGTCCAGGCATGGATGCGCTTTGTGACGATTCGAAGGAGGAACCACGCAAAGGAGAGCTTGGATGTGACCATGCACAGGCTGAAGAAGAGATAGCAGAACCACCAATACTGAGCCTGTTAGTTAATGCAAATGCACTATGATGATTCGGTAACACAGAGCAAACTTACCTTCATGGCGGTCTCAAAGTTCTCTGTGCTCAAATCTGCCTTGTGCTGGCCGGTGCCATATCCGATTCCAGAATTGGAACATACAATGTAGCCTAAGAAGAATAGCTATCAATCGTTCTCTGGTTAGTCACGATGATTTAATATAATTAATTTTTTTTTGTTGTCGCTTACCGAGGCGAGGACCATCAGCCAGTCATCGACACCAAAGGCTCTTACAAGCCATATTCTGGTGAAGCAGCGCAATATGACGATACAGCCTGCAATGACACAAAATACAATGTTGACGGCCAGAAGATCTGGGCCGCGGTTCTCTGCCACCATGGTAAGGTTGTAATAAAATAGATTTATGAGTGCGAGTGTAGATTCCCGGGTCTGTAGGAATCACCACGATGTAATTGATGCAAACGCCCTTTCCAATTCCAATCTCTCTTTCACAAAAAGGGAGAAGCAGCTGCACCACTCCATATTAATAGAATAGACGAAATGCATATGCAGCCGCAATGGCTTGCCATTTCTCCAAAAAGACCAGACCAACAGGCCAATGCTTCTCTCGGTCTTGTGATGGCACGCGCCACGGAAGCCCCCCCCCCCCCCCCCCCCCCCCCCCACCCCCCCCCCCCCCCCCCCCCCCCCCCCCCCCCCCCCCCCCCCCCCCCCCCCCCCCCCCCCCCCCCCCCCCCCCCCCCATGCCCCAAGCTTTTTTACAGGCTCTAGAAGCAGCTTGCATGCACAGCAGTCGTTGATTCGACGCCGCCTGTTGGCTTGCATCGGCGCCGTTTGGTGGGAGTTTCCAGTTTGGGAAGCCAGCGCCGTGATGGCGACCTGGTCCATGCTTTGGCGCCTGGCGCAAGCTTTTGCCAATCATTGTTTCATAGGCGGAGAAGAAGACGAACGTCAAAGCGCAACGCCGCACGCACCAAAAAAATTGGATGGAATTGGTGTCGCGTGGCAAGCTTGGGGCATGGCTGATCTGGTGCGGATTGTGGTAGCCGCACCGTTTGCGACCGGAGTTTTCCTAGAGAAGATAGAATGATCGATGGCGGTGTTATAGGGTTATAGGCCAAGAGGAGATTAACTATCGCCAGGGGAAAATCTGCATTTACTTTCGCAGATGAGCGAGCCCTGCAAAATCACGCTATAATAGCAATTAATACTACGGCTACCGCTGCCGTCGCCACAATTCTGCACCACAGCGAAATTGTTTATCTCGGCCGGAGCAGCTGGAGAGGGGGAATACACGTGCAACAGTGGCTTTTTGGGAATAGATATTCTCCGTAGGCGATTTTGTGGGAGAAAACCACTGAGGCGGAGGGCGCTGAAACGTGGGCGATGCACGGACACTGCGCCCACTGCAAGTTGTGCATCTGGAGTTCGTGAGGAGTTCGTGAGGAGTTCGGCTAAAGAGGCTTAGCGATTGTTCTTGTCCCTGGTGAACCCGCCCCCAGCTTTTTCGGCAGATGATGCAGACTGGGCAAAGCAAGGTGATGCAGAACGATGCGTGAGCGCTGATCAATTGGCAGGCCAACCCAAGATATTGGGAATTGAGAGAGAACCTTATCTTCGTTGTTATGCTGCTGCTGCAGTATTAACAGATGTTGCGATATCATGACAGCGTAGCTACTGAGAGCAAGCTTACGCTAGCCATACTGTAGTGTTGGGGATGTTTGTATCAAGTAGAACCAGTGGCTTACTGTCATAGTTAATTGCAACACCACCACCACCAGCAACAACGCCTTTTTTGGCTGGTCGATACGCCTTCTCGTAAATAACATCAAAACTGGCAAGATGCCGCTCTTCAGTGGCGAATCCCGTAAATACCGGAGCTGGAACGCCGCCTTTTTCCAATGGCGCTCAGCCATGCAGATGGGCAGACGCACAAGCGTAGCATTGCTGCGTCGAGTGACCAAGGAAAACACTGGGGACCTTGCAGCAGCACGGATCTGTCTGTGTCTCTATCTGATGCAGCTAACCAATGGTGTTTACACTAATGGAGAATTAGCTGCGCGGCTAAATGTTGTTTGCTGTTGCTGCCTTGTTTCACGCACGAAGTGTGCATTCAAGTTCTAGAGCACAGGGACGGATCATTTTGGTAGAGTTTGAAAGTACAAAACTTGAAACGAACGACAGGATTAGGTTAGTGTATTTAGAGACGAATTCTTTACCTGTAGAGCGTAATTATACAACAAACTCAGGACCCCATTGACAATATACTTGGATCCGTCATATCAATCACCGCATACAGCGACGTCAAATCGTTCTCTGCGTCTAGCCAAGTCGGCTGCGGTGTATCGGGGAAATTCAGGTCCAAATCAGTGCCCCCAAACAATCTCATCAAAATATCTTGCCGACTCTGTCCATCTCCTTGACTAGTAGCTGCTACATCATATACTCCTGCATCAACAGTCGGGCCATCTTGGTATCCAAGAGTAGAAAATGTACCAGGTTTGTCTGACGCTGAGTTGCAAGTGTCCATTTCAGTACTCGTACCGCTAGCGCTCGATAGGTCGTGGATTTGGCCAAATAAATGACTGATGGCCTCGCTCTCTACCGTCATGCTTGCGGCCTGCCGTCTCTCATAGTAAGCCTCACAGGCATGCCTCAAGTATCGGATAATAGCTGCATTTCGCACAGCGACCGAGTCATTGGGAAATCTCAACAATATCTCGAGTGCTGTTTTCAGGCTGCGGTCGAGAGGAAACACCTGATACAGATCCCCAAAGTAAGAAAAGCCAAGAATCAAGGCAGAGTGGAAAGCAGCGTTGATCAACAGAGGCAGATGCCGCGGAACCTCCAACATGGTCAAAATCGGCTCTAGAAGGCTTACTGTCTTGATGGCAGAATCGACACAAGCATGTACCAGAGTCTTGGAAGGGTCGACCAGAGCACAAGGCTGAACTTGTTCGCTGAGGGACGATTTGATCTTTTGGGCATGGGCAGAGACTCTGTCCACTAGAAATGGCCGTGTAAGAAGCGTTATCGTCCAGTAATATGTTTGTTTAATGTGCATGCTTCCAAGATCCGGATCCTCCGCATCACTCATGAAAGACTTCGACACGCCGCCAATTTGACCAAATTTCGCTGACCATTCACGCTGTCGAGAGCCGATCTTAGCCAGCATGTCTGTAGTAATCTTGCGATTGCCGTATACGTCACTTAGAATGGTCTCGAGAATGCCATACAAGTCATTTGGCACAGAGCACCGATCTGTTCCATTCGCAGGCCTGGTTTCCACAGTCGACGGAGGACGACCGAGAGAGGCGCTAGTAAATAAATCAACAGCTCGAATGCTCGTCCAGAGCCTCTCGCGAGTAGTCTTTTCCTGTGATGGGAATAAGTCGGATACCGATTTCCGGTGTACACCAAGAGAGTATGCTGATCTTGTGGCATGACCAAGGCATATGAACGCAGCATTGCGACGGCAAGCGTATAAGAGATACACTGTGATTAGCAGATAGAGTTGCGTTGTCTGGATGCTGGCGTCCTCCATCAGGTATTGCGCGGTGAGGTAGCGTCCGGATCCGAAGAAAGCATCTGCAGTTGGGCCATGATCTGCTTCAGTACATTGTGCGCCGATAGCAATAACCAAGTACACAATAGCTCTGGTCAAGAACGATACCGAGGTAGGCTCTCTCAATACAAGAGGTAGATGGGTCAGTAGCTCACACTCATCAAAGAGATCCAACAGTCCATCCGTGACAACGTAAAACTGCCTAATAAACCTCTCGGCCTCTGCCTCACATAATACTGGCGGTTGACCATCATTTTTCATATCAAATCTCTTCGCATTGTCGTCTGGCGTAGCTTCTACCATGCAAGATCGGAACGGATCATCGACAAACGGACTTGGGCCCTGACTGTCGCTAATAACACAACGAATGTTATGCAAGAAGGACAAGTTTGCCGAATCACCAATAAACATGAACCGACCTCGCCCGTCTCTAATCAATCGGGAATGATCCACACTGATACTGTTGGGCGACTCTGTTTGCTGCTCCTCTGGCGAAGCAACAGACCGCCTGTCTGACGCAGCAGCATTAACCATTGCTTGCTTCGCAGTTGGTGACATTGTAGATTCCACGCTTGCCACCGACGAAGTGCCCAGGCGAGTCTTTCTTCGCCGCGGTCCTCCATGCTCAGTATCGAAGCGGCACGTTGCGCTTACACCACGCTCACAGCATCTCGCGCAAGGTTGTGAGCCATCACATCTCTCTTTGCGTCGCTTGCATCTATTTCGCAGCCATATTAGCATATATTCAACACATTTCAAAGTAACATTCATATCAAATTGTTATTACTGTAGGAAAAACTTACACATCACATGCTCTGGGACACCGCTTCCGGGCATCGGAATCAGATCGGCGGGCGCCCATTACAGCAAATCATGCGTTAAATATAGTTAAAATTTTATAGGGATGAGTATGATACAGTTATGAATTAACTTGGATAATTTATTATCGCCCTTCTCCAGAAATCGATCGCCAAAGATCAACGTTTGCGGGGAGCGAAAGAGTTTCGGAAGTTAGGAAATGCAACATCCGATGAGTGCGGGGAGGTGGCGTGTAGTAGCGTAACAGGAGTAATGTACTTTGTATCCCAATCACAAAACATGAATTACTTCGCAATATGTATGTGTCGTTTTATTTGAAGAATTGGTATACTATATAGTAGAACCTAGGAGTAAATCGTACTTTAAGAAATATTCCTAAATTGTCAGAACATACTGAACACACAGAAAAAAAGCAAGCGCCGTCAAATACGCACATAAACTAGCCTTCCTTTGCCCTTCTACATCTTGCCATTCACCTGTGCCTTAGACTTCCTCATAAAGCCGCTAAAGAATTTCGTGACGGCTGCTGGGTCATCCAGTGATCCAATGTAGGAAACGTACTGATCCGGACGGGCTATAACAATACACCCTGTGGGTGCGATGCCAAATTCTTCGTAAATGTTGCCATGGCCCTCGTGATAAGACACATCGTCGACAAAGATCTTGTTGTAATCCCAGCCATCAGTCTCATCGTATTCCCTAAACACTTCAGGAAAGTCAAAGATGGTGACGCTGTGTCGGGGAGCCTTGTGCACAGCCAGAACCTCAAAGACATCATCATAACGACCTCCTTCAGGTGTATACTGGCGCAAGAACGATGACTCGCCATGTAATGCTTCTCCGACGGCCTTGAGTTTAGCGGCTTGGGTAGCATCAGTGATGTCTCCAGGGAACACAATCACCCTCCAACGGCCGTTGCTAGGAAGACGCTCCTGAAGATGCCACGGTCTCGCGTCTGACTGATTCAGAATTTTGACGCTGGGGATTCGTTTTCCAACCGCAATAGACTTGGACAGATTTTGGTCGGATACAACGCGATTTTTAGCATCTGCGACAGAAACATCTGTTCCGTCACCTTGGTCAGCCGACTCTCCAGCTTTGGCAACGATAGTGCTAGCACCATAATCAACAGCTGTTGTTCTGTGTTAGCCGTATTCGATATAAAGATGCAATCAATACATACCAATACCGCTAGCAAACATGTTACCCTTTTCAAAAGCATTCTTAAATTCGTCCATACTGATACCTTCAGCATCCATAACATCCTTGGCGGGGCGACCTGAGAACAAGCGCGAGAACTTGCGGTCAAAGTCGATGAGATCTTGGGCGATACGTCGTCTCTCAGACTGATAAGTCTTGAGAATGGATCTGTCAGCCTGTCCTTTGACAACGCTAGCAACCTTCCATCCAAGATTGAACGCTTCATACTCAATATTAGCAAAGCCATTAAACGCTTATGAAAGATTGCACTTACCATCTTGCATACTAACATTCATACCCTGACCAGCTTTGGGGCTGTGAGTGTGAACAGCATCACCCGCCAGAAAGACGCGTTCATGGACAGAAAACTTTGTACCAACGCGCTGACCAATCTGATATGCGGTCCACCAGTCCAACTTGCGATAGTCAATCTTATAAGGCGCCATGATGCGCTGTGCAGACTCGAGAATGACCTGTGGATTGATCTTGGACCGGTCTGCCTTGGTAGCCTCCTCGCCAATTTTCTCTGTGGTTGTAAGCTGAATATACAAACGCACCAGCTTATTCTCACGCGGAATGACCATGACACTACCCGAATCGGCGGAGTGAATGGCACAGCGCATGCGAATATCAGGAAAGTCCGTGATGGGTACAATATCCAACACACCCCAGATGTAGTCGGTAGAGTCGCCCTCTAGCGTCAAGCCAATCTGACGACGGGTCCACGAGTGCGCGCCATCTGCTCCAAGAACGTACTTTGCATGCACAATCTCCTCCGTATTTGCTTTGTCGTTTAGCTTTGCGGCTGCAATCAGCTCGTCGGTATCGTCCTTGGTCAGATTGCTGCGGAAAATGCCATCTTGGACTGCCTGACCGTTGGCAGAGGTGGCATTCTGCTTAGGAGTCGCTTCTTCCTCCGACAAATGACGCAGTTTAACGGTGATGGGGTATGCATCATAGTCTTCCACAGCGGATTCATCAACAGACAAGTCTGTAGGCATGACACCACGTTCAACCTGAAGACCGTGACATTCTTCCATGGTATCGAGGAAGAATCTCTCGATGCGGCCCTGGTGCAGAACAACTTGCTGGAAGCGACTGATACCAGGGATAGTATCTGGGATACGGTCGCTGCGCCGTATCACACCGTTCTCGTCTGGATTCCAAAGACAAATCTCAAGCATATGATTTGATTCGATCCAGGCTCGGTGTCCAAAGCCTAGCGAGTCAAAGATCTCAAGAGTGCGACACTGTAATCCATCTGCCTGACCGTTGAAGATTTTGGTGCCACGCTTGTCGACAATGCGGGCATTTATGCCACACTTGGCCATCCAAGTTGCCATCATTAGACCGGCAGGGCCAGCGCCGATGATGAGGACATCGACATTACTGTCTTTTGCCGCCATTTTGGTATTCAGAGGCGTTGAGTGAATTTGGTGTGTGTATGAAGTAGATAGACTCTGCTAGAATTCAAAAGAAACATCAGTTGGGCTAATCTGGTGTAAATAAGGAAGATGAGGTTACACAAGAAAGCTCCGCTCATGAAAGCATGCAGGCTAAGAGGCTCACTTTATGTGGCGTCGGAAGCCTGTCCAGCAGAGCAGTTCACCGGAAAGATGATGTCGGAGACACCATAAACCACTACTTACATCCGGTAAATCAGCGTGAAGCTATATTTCTCCCACTGGTCCGTAGCATCCCTGCTGCGAAGCCAAGGAATCGTAGGTGCCATCACCCCGCAAAATATACCCCGCGTTAGGCCACTTACACGGCGGCTGATCGGATGCGTGCGTCGGGATCTGCAAGAGATGGGTCCCGGGATTAGCAAAACAACGGTAATCCGAATTTCCTGTTTTATTATTCGGAATGTAAAATAAAATAGAATTAAGATTGCCGGAGTGTTCCGATATGGCTTTCCAACTCCGTTTGTAGCTCCATTGTATGCCGATCCGGAGCTGGCGCCAGTTATTTGAAATCGATGGCAAAGCGGCGTATATGTAGCGATGCTATAAATGTTAAAATATGGACGTTGCGTCTAGACGAGGACTAAAATACATTTTGAATTCATTTCGTAAATCTCCTTCATTATGGCTCCCACCGCAAAGGTCGAATATGACGCCAAGTTTACAGACGCTGTCATTGCCTCCATTGGTGATGGAACAGACCCGCGTCTCAAAGAAATTATAACATCGCTTATTCGTCACTCCCATGACTTCTTCAGGGATATCAACCTCAACACTGATGAATTTATGACGGGTCTCAAGTACATCAACTGGGCTGGTCAGATGAGCAACGAGCGCCGTAATGAAGGCCTGCTGTTGACAGACATCCTGGGGCTAGAAAGGTGACTATAGTTTTACAGCCGATAATGACAGATGCTGACAGAGTTCTTAGTCTTTCTGATGAAATCACATACAAAAATGCGGCAGCAAACAGTGATGTCACATCGAGTGCCATTTTAGGACCCTTCTGGCGCGAAGACACACCCCATCGTGACTTTGGCACAACCATTTCGTTCGACACACCAGCGGATGCCGAGGTTGCGTACATGTTTGGAGTTGTACGTGACGCAAAGACAGGAAAGCCTATTCCGAATGCGACTGTCGACATCTGGGAGGCATCGACCAATGGTATGTTTGCCGAGTCTCTGTGTTTGACGCACATATTGCTGACGTCGCTTGCAGGCCTCTATGAGCAACAAGATCAAAACCAGCGAGAACATAATCTCCGAGGCATCTTTACCACAAATGCTCAAGGCGAATATGCGTTATACTGTATTCGTCCAACGCCATATCCTGTAAGCTCGATGGCTCGAGGTTTCGGTCGCTTGTCCTAACACATGTAGGTTCCCAACGATGGGCCAGCTGGTAAGCTGCTAGAGCTTCTTCAAAGGCATCCCTACCGGCCTGCTCATATCCATTTGATGGTTTGTATTTAGAGCCGATCTAAAACACCGCGCATGAAGCTAATAGTTCAACAGGTCAAGGCCAATGGCTACTTGTCCATCACTACCCAAATCTTTGACAAGCGGACGAAATATCTGGAGGATGATAGCGTCTTTGCGGCCAAGGGAGATTTGCTAGTTGATTTTGTGCCACGTGAGGGAGATCCAGAGGCGAAGCTGCAATGCGAATACAACATTGCTCTGGCACCTCAGTAGTTAGGATGTTGCTGTGAAGAAGGCTGATCGTTTCTGGCCCTCGATTCTATGTTATGCGTGATTATTGAAAATATTCTTCTTTATAATTGGCCGTCCTTACGTCGAAGTTATTAAATATACGAAACCTTTTGTTTACGCAGTTGACGTTATTCACGTCGGGTGGTGATGCGTTTTTGACGTGTACCTAGGTTAAATGTCTATGCCTGACATCATTCTCATCAGTAATCGGCATAGAATTCATCGCATACGTTTTTTATATTTGCCGCCTTGAAATACTAGACAGCCTCGCCTAGCATGTATGGTACGGCATTAGCCTTCGGATCGGAGTCATGGCCATCGGAAACGCTGTTCGGCAGCCGCCACCGCCACTGAGGAACCAAGGTTCTACAGCACAGACGTTGGTATGGTGACGTCGGATGCAAAATAAATATCGGAAGAGTTTTTGGAATAATCTCCAAAAGAAGCCGATAGCGGAAGGTGATTATTTGGATAAAAATATTTGTTCACGTAGAGGATGGAAGACGCAGGTTACAGAGAATGCAATAGTGGTTACACGACTGCTGATTAATTTTCTGAACGGCGCCGCATGGCCACTTTATAGCCGCCAACTGCATCACAATATATCTCCAAACAACGCGCCATTTCTGCCTCTGGATCGAAGGAAGCTGCCTTGAATCAAATTTCAAGAGATCAATTACCTCTCTATCGACTAGAAATTACCGCGCGGGATATAATGGACTTTATTGTCGGCACGTTCAACACGTCGAACCTCTATACCCTACAGTTTGATCCACGGCAAGAGTCCATCAGCGTACGCTCAATTTCGCAAGCATTGGTCGGACACTCATGGCTGGCCCTATCTCGGGATAAGAAGACGCTTTATTGCACTTCTTGGGGGACGCCGAAGTCCTGTATTGCCGCGTTCAAGATACCGCAAGATGGCGGTCGACTTGAGTTTATCAACAGTCTCCCAGTAGACGGAAGACCAGGCTATGTTTGCTGCTCTGCATCACATGTATACTCAGTTGGGGGTGCTACAGGCAACGTTTTTACTATCAGAGAAGATGGCGGTCTTGAAAACGAAGTGCAGACACTCGACTTTGTACAGCAAATCACGGAGAATATGAGCGAGAAGCGAGGCGCCGTAGCCCACGGCGACTTTGGCGGCCTGCGTCACGGGGCACACAGCTGCGACTTGAGTCCTGACGGCAAAACATTATACGTCGCGGATATTGGCCGGAATTGCGTATGGGCATACGGCGTAGCGCCAGCTGAAAGTAAACATGACGCAAGGAACGGCTCCTATACGAATGGTACCTATATCGACAAGCGGTTAAACCACTTGACCCTGGACATCAAGGCCATTGCGCCGCGCGCCTACGACGGGCCGCGGCATACTTGGCCACACCCGAATGGAAAAGTGCTCTATAGTCTACAAGAGCATAGCAGCATGGTGGACGCGTTCCTTATTGTACGGGATGACCAAGGGATAATCACAGAACTGCGGCTTTGCGGCTCTGGCAATATTCTTCCTGAGATGGAGACGAGGACCGACTTCTGGGCCGACGAGGTTCGTCTGTCCTCCGGACCTGACGCATCGCGCCCGAGATATTTGTACGCGTCTACGCGAGGGTTAAACAAGGCGACAAAGGGTTACGTATCGGTATTCGAAATCGACGGTGAAGGCCTGTTTGTATCGGAACAGGCGGTAGACATCTGGCAGACACCAACTAGCGGTGGCATTGCCAACGCAATTGAACCTGCACCATGGTGCCAAGCGCCAGGAGCTGAGCATCTGCAATACCTCGCGTTGACCGACAGTCAGGAGGGAACAGTCAGCATTCTAAGCTTCGATGGCAAGTCGCTTAGACAAGCGTGTATCACAACGTTACAGGAGGAGCTGTCGATGCCCGACGAACCTCGTGGTGGCGAGACGCGACTAATAATCGAAGCTGCAACTGCCGTCTGGCTGTGAAGCCGATGTTGACTGTGCATATAACCAGGCCAATAGCATTCGAGATTGACGGGGGCCGAGAAAAGGCTGCAGGTGTTATGGGGTTCAAGGTGCGCAGTGCCCAGTGCCCGTGATATGACGTGATAGTGCTGCATGTTTACAGTAGCGCACCCTCAGCGATCTAAATGAACAAGTTGGCTCTCTCATCTTCGCTGTCTCCCGAAGCCAGGCGACAGCTGCCGCCTATGCCAGCACGTCCTGCCTGCTGAGGTGGCTGCGTCACGCATACTTGCATCACTCAAGTGAATGTAATTTAATATCAGATTAATTCACTCAATTTCTAGGATGTGATGTTAATAGAGAATATTTGCAAATCGGTCGATACCAATCTGATTGTTGCTGGTCGCTTTGTTTTGTATTTGTGTAGATGGAAAATAAGACAACAGATGAAGACATACAGATGAAGAAATTTCAAGAATATACGAAGTAAAAAGCAAAACTTATAAGACAAGGAAATAAAGGGCGTGTGGTATCCAAAATGAAAAAAAAAACAGTCAAAGGAGTTCAAAACATGAACCTTCTAAACACATCAGACACCAATGCTTGCCATGACCATATTTGCTCAATTAGCAAGTGCCGAGAAAGGCCGATTGATTTGGGCTAACCATGGTGCTGTTGAAAGTGAAGCAGGACGGTTAGTAGTGGTGATAACACTGCATTCTCCAACCTGGAACATCTCATCCATCATAGACATCATTCGCTCCAAGCTCTCGCCGCTGACGTTGTCGGTTACGCCATCTATCAAAGCCATCTTCGTCGGCTTGAAGAAAAACTGTAGCAATCCTTGAGCTAGGAAAAATCTCTGCCGTTGCTCGTAGGAGAGGTTGAGTGTCGAAAATTTTGAAAGTATACCTCCATTTCTTTCAACAATGGCAGAGAGTCCCACACCAGTAAGCACACGCTCAAGGACAAGCTCCCATCCATCCTGATCTTGCAACTCTAGGATTTCGTCTGGCAGCAAGTTCTTCCTAATAGTCGCATTGTGAAACAAAACGGGTTCTTGGGGCACAACTGTGAAAACAGAATTGAACTGGGCTCGAGGGATGTCTCGTGCCTCAACACCGTCAATCTTGATCGAGCCAGTGTATGGAAGCCATGCAATCATCGAGAGCAAAAATGTAGTTTTGCCGCTAATAACTCTGTTAATTACAGCATGTGATGGGTTGGGTTATAAAATATACCTGTTAAATGCACCACAAAGGGCAGCTTCTCTTCCAATAATCCGGAAATTTATACCTGATATTAGTGGTGCGCTTGTTGGGAGGCTGTAGAGGCAGTGCTTGTTAGTATACGGAAAATCCATTTGCTTTCGAGGGGAACTTACTTATATCCAATAGAAACATTGTCAAACTCAATCAAGCAGCGTGATGGCCAGCCTCCTTTAATTTCTGCCAAAGCTCGCTCTGGCTCTTGCGGTATGCCTCGCATAAACTGGCGCATCTGTTGTATAGCGATCAGAGACTTATCCAATACTGTCAGGTCGTTGACAAGAAGGATTAATATTCTGCGAGATATGGGCAAAGAGACAGACCAATACCAGCAATAAAAGGGTTAGTACTGTCCGTAGAGACAAGGATAATATATAGTCCAGTAAAAACAGCCCCGTAAGAGTTCAAGGCCATCATTAGCCATCTCTTCAATGCTAATTGATGGCACTGAACTTGTTGCGAATCTTCCAGAAGAGTATCGACGTAGAATGATCGATATTGGACCCAAGCAAAACTCTCAAGATGCGGAAGCCCTAATACCACCTCATCAAACTCGAAGTATGGCTTTTCAGACGAATTTAGATCCATGTGATGTAGATGAAGTGAGGCTGTTCGATAAAGAGATCGAACTGTAGAGAAGCCGATTGCTATGTATGGCGCAAGCATGATGGACCAGACACTAGCAGACATCATACCAAAAACATTGCATAAGTGGAAATGTTAGACAATTCATTGATTGTGGTGCAACAGATGAAGCGATTCATACAAGATACTCCCCAAGAACCAAAGAAGGAGCTGGCGCGCATCGAGGGAAACTGGCCGTCACGATGTTTAATTGAATTCAAAAATGTCTCCATCGGCTACAAGTAAGTTTAGCTATAGAATAACCATACCATTTTCTAACCTAATTGAATTAGCCTCCCATCGAATGCGCCGCTGCTATCAAATATCAATCTTCGGATTACAGGACGAGAATCGGCACTACATGGAACTTTCCACAGGTGGGTTTTTAGTAAATATGTGAGATTGAATCATATGTACTAACACTCTTAAGTGGCAAAACAACATTTCTTCTCTCGCTTATAGCCTGGCTTCCCTATACAGGCTCAATCAAAATAGACGGGGTGGAGGCATGCAAAATTCCGCGTGCTCAATTAAATGCCGCCTTTACAGTCGTGCCACAAGACCCGGTTCTCTTTCGGAACGCAACGGTCAGAAAGAATCTAATGTCAGATAAGATTATGCAACTGACAGACCAAAACGGAAACGAGCAAATTTTAGAACACGTCTTATCTGGCGTTGGTTTGCTGAACGTCGTAAAGAATAGCGGGGGACTATACGCCAAATTTTCGACCCTCAACCTCTCTTATGAACAGCTTCAGCGCTTTTCACTTGCCCAGGGCCTTTTAAAGTACTATTTTAAGCGCACCAAGATGGCACTAGTGGATAGTGTTACTGACAACGCGAGTGGCGAAGGATTAGCTCACATGAGGATGATTATGAAAGAGATCTTCGAACTTGGGCAATGCAGTGTCATCAGTACTGTTAACCATCGTTCAGCAGTTCCGGATGTACCTTGGTTGGCCCGAATAGTTCGCCGGGCACCTAATGGCATGACTCAAGCAAACTGAGTTGTCATGCCCTCAGAGGCCTTCATGTAGATTAGACAGGCCCTTTTCATTAACCATTTCGAGATGGCATGTTTTCAGCACAGTTATTTCTTACAAATATTAGCTACTTTGATTAACTATTTTGCATCTCCTCCTAGAACTTTAATTCATTTCCCAGATTAGGCGATGATGAACGCTGGACAAAGCCCTGCAAGCATCGCGTTTATGCAGTGTCCACCAGAAATCTCTTCTCACCTTCGCTTTCTTCATATATTTTCAGTCGGGCATTTGTTCTTCCACTACGCCCATTTAAGTACCGCTTTGAGGGCACGTCCTTCTTTGGTATCTTTGATGGCCTTGTCAAAGTCCTTTACATCGTACGTCGTCACAAGTTCTTCGATCGGGTAGTTGCCCTTGGCGTGTTGGTCTATGAGGAAGGCAATCAACTGTTTGCGTTAAAATAATGCGCACAACGGCATATTTCCGCTAAACTTACGTCCTTTGGTACGGCATCTCCTTCGCAACAGCCGACATATTCTTTGCCACTGACAAGGTGGGAAAATACGTCGATACCGGAACGTTGCCCAGGCTACATATCGTTAGAAAGTGTACAGCCGTGAGTATCTGTCAGTCTTACAGTTGGAGCACCAACGGAGGCGGCTTTGCCGCGGGTACCAAGGCAGTCTACCATGGTTTCTACAACCTTGGGAACGCCGGAGCAGTCCACGGCGTAGTTGACACCATTGGGTGGTGAAACCTTCTGGATTTTGGCGATAATGTCAGGGTCGTTTCCAAGAATGGTCTGAGTAGCACCAAGCTTTGCAGCCAAGTCCAATCTGGATTGCTGGATATCGACCGCAATAATCTCCTTTGCTCCTCGAATCTTGGCAGCCATGATTGCACTCATGCCGACGGAACCAGCGCCGAATACAGCCACAGTCTTACCTGGCTGAACATTGAGAGTGTTGAGAACGGCACCAGCACCAGTCTGGAGACCGCAGCCCAGTGGCGCAAGTAATTCAAGGTTGGTGTCTGGGGCCACTTTGACAATGCTGCTCTTGTGGACGGCAGTCAAGCGCGCAAAAGAACTCTGCCCAAAGAAGCCGCTGTACATGGGAGTTGTCGCATCCTTGCTGGAGATGCAAGCCGATCCGTCAGCGCGCCTACCACCAAAATTAAGCGGCACAAATGAGTAGCAGTAGGCGGGATGGCCGTCGTCGCATTGCTCGCAGCAGCCACAGGAGGCGAATGAAAGAAGAACATTGTCGCCAGGGCTGAGGTCAGTGACGTTTGAGCCGACCTGTTTGACAACACCAGCGCCTATTGTGAGGAATAAAAACGGTTACTACACATCACTAATAAATTGTTACAATACTTGCGACTTGCCTTCATGGCCAAAGACGGCGGGGAAAGCAGCGGGTAAGACACCCTCTGCGCAGGAGAGGTCAGTGTGGCAGATGCCGGTCGCGTGAATCTCGACAAGAGCCTCGTCGGCTTGTATCGCGCTAACAGAGACCTCTTTTAGAGAAAATGGGCCCTTAACCTCATCAATGACAAGGGCGGTGGTAGTGGTGGCCATGTTTGTTGGTGTAAGTGGACTGTGAGTGTGGGGAAGTATGTTCGATAGATCTCGATTGTATCACTGGGATGCGCAGGTGTGTAAAGATACATACATCAAGGTGCACATGAATTGGAATATAAATACAGGCGAGACTCCTCAAAAAGGGCAAGGTCCTACATATAGCTTTGTCCTTACCCCTCGCTCGTTAGCTCGACCTGCAGCACATCGACGTCAGTCCTCCTTTGCCGCCTTCAGAAACCGGAGCCAGCGCCGCCACATGGTGGTCTGTATGCGGGGAAGTACTGCTTTTGCGTTTGATTGTAGTGGCACTAATGCGACAGCATGTGGCAGATGAGACGGCTGTTTAGTTCGGCACGCTAGTTTGAGGAGCGAAACTTGGTTCGGGTCGTGGAGACGGCAGAACAACATGCGGGGGAAGACCGGAGATGGTGGGTGGGCAGCATCGAAAGCTTGGAGTAAGGTGTGTAGGCTATACAGAGCTACGGCTATCTGGGTTGGAGCGATGACGACTGATGCCCATTTAGAGTTATACCATGGACGATGAGCTGTGGATGTATGCTTAAGTGGCTGGCATAATATGATAAAAGTATTGTAAGGTAAATATATACCACAAATTGGAGCATATTAATATATTTATAATGCCTTTGTATGTAGGTTGGCGCATCTGGTATTACGTCTTATAGGTTGTGTGATACAGAGAGTATGGGGGATCGACGCGGCTGAGAACGCGGGGTAACACTTTTAGTACAAAGTGCAATTAAGAAACCAATATGCATACAGTCTCTTGAATGAGTATAGCATTTTTGAATTTATGTGAAGTTTAAAATACGTCTTAACAAGTTTCCCTTTACCATAATTCATTCTAATCTGCGGGAACTCTACAGGTTGCCTCATAATATGTGATGTTGCTCTATACGGTAATAGAGGGGAGCATAGACTGTTGTATCCCGTCACACCTCCTACGTATTGTTCAACAAAGGTGCACATAATAAAAAAAAAGTCCTTCCATTCCGACTATTATAGTATTGTGTTTAATTTTATATGCACTATAAATGCAGGAGGTATAGAACAAGAGACTGCTTTGTAGAACCGTCGCTTGACTTGAAACACGTGTCTTAGTGACTGAGCACCTCTGGCATGTAAGTTAAATGGATATTCTGTAAGTAGTTACGTACACATGCTGAATATCAACCTTCTACCCGCCGCATCTATTAACAACATGATGAACATTACAAACTAGAGCACAGCCTGGTAATTATATGAATTAATCCATATTTATATTCTTTGCGTCAAACTCCAAAACAAAAACTCGCCGAGTAAGGCGCGCCGATCCTTCAATATAAACGGCGGGGGCTGGCGCATCAGCCTCGCTCTTCCACCTTTCAACATCAACACCAACATCTTCAACCATGGCATCCACCACTGTACCACTCTTCATCAACGGCAAAGACATCGTGACTGATGTCACATTTGACGTGATTGGTCCAACTACAGGCCAAGTGCAGCACCAAAGCAGCGATGCCACCGCCACACACGCCATTGCAGCTGTAGAGGCCGCTCAGAATGCTTTTCCCGCATGGAGCCAGACTACACCAGGAGCTCGCCGCGAAATATTCCTCAAGGCCGCCAATGTCCTCGATGCGCGAACAAAGGAGCTCAGCGATTATTTAATGACTGAGACGGGAGGCACCACAGACTGGGCGGCCTTTAACGTCATGTTAGGTCGGGAATGCCTACTAGGTTGTGCAGGAAGCACATTCGCCATCGAGGGCAAGATCCCTTCACTCCAGGACCCCAAATACGGCGGCCTCATTGTCAAAGAGCCCTATGGTGTCATTTTTGCCGTGGCTCCCTGGTGAGTGCAACAACCACAATCTCATGTTCATCAGAATGCAGTATGCTAACTCTTCAAACTTAGGAACGGACCATACCCTCTTGGCTTCCGCGCCGTCGCCTGGGCCATTGCCGCCGGTAATACCGTAGTTCTCAAGGGTTCAGAGCTCAGCCCTCGAACACTCTGGGCCATCAGTTCTGTCTTTAAAGAGGCTGGCCTCCCAGATGGCGTTCTCAACTTCATCACTTCGTCACCGGCCAATGCCGCTGAAGTGACCAAGACCATTATTGAGCACCCGTTTGTCAAGAAGATCAACTTTACAGGCAGCACCAACGTAGGACGCATTATTGCCAAGCTAGCTGGCGAGAACCTCAAGCCTGTACTACTCGAACTTGGCGGCAAAGCCCCCGCAATTGTCTGCGACGACGCCGACCTAGATGTCGCAGCAAAGGAGTGCGCTATTGGCGCCTTTGCCAACGCCGGCCAAGTGTGCATGTGCACCGAGCGCATTATCGTACATGAGAAGATTGCTACTGAGTTCGAAGCTGCCATCAAGACATGGGTAGACAGACTCTTTGCTGCTGACCAAAGTGCCCCTGTTCTTGTGCAAGCTGCCGCCGTCACACGCAACAAGGCCCTTATGAAGGATGCTGCGGGCAAGGGAGCTCGCGTCGTGCACGGCGATGTTGATGCTTCCGAGGCAGTGAATACGCATATGCGCCCGATTGTCATCAGCGGTGTGACGTCTGACATGGACATTTACAAACAAGAGTCTTTTGGCCCTACCGTGTCGATCATCACCTACTCGAGCGACGAAGAAGCCGTCCGCGTAGCCAACGATACCGAGTACGGGCTATCGTCTGCCGTCTTTTCCAAGGATCTGCGCCGCGCTATGCGCATTGCTAGACAGATTGAGACGGGTGCCGTCCACATTAACCGCATGACGGTGCAGGATGAGGCTGCCCTGCCGCACGGCGGAGCGAAGGCCAGTGGTTTTGGACGATTCAACGGTGTGATTGATGAATGGGTGCGCACCAAAAATATTACCTTTGATCTTTAAGCTTTTATATATTTCAAGATAAATTTGGATATACATATCAATGAGTGTTCAACCTAAAAGTGCAGACTCTCCAATGCTATAATGTGCGACGCTTCACCTACAAGTATTGACACAAACGCTCGTTATTCGTGCAATGTTCCTACCCGCAATGTATTCAGCTGTTGATCTTAGGGGATTACAATTACCCACAAGAAACCCTTTTAGTTCATTTTTTTCTTGTTTTTCCACGCGCAGCAATTGCATAGCCACCGTTTGTCAACCACTTCACCCGCTTGTCGCCGACGGCACCGATGCTGGCTTACACGGATTTTGCCTATTTGGGAAACACACCAACAATAGCCGAGCGATCCCCAACGATGTGGCAACGGCCCAGATAAGGCCGGCTATTATTGAAACAATTCCTATTTAAATTTCCTTCCTTAGAAGCAACGCTTCAGTTTGTAAAATAAGTCCTAGCATATTCCCTCCAAACAACCTCTTACACACACTCTCTGTACCATCTTATCACAATGACTACACCCTACGAAGCAGACTCTGAAACAGAAGAACATCCAGGCAGCATACCACCTGAAGCTGTCCGCCAGACATACGGAGTCTTCAACACCGGCTCAAGAATCAACTTCCGCGTACACAACGGCGGGTCCCAAGGCCCCGTTGTATTCTACATCAACAACTCAGTCTTCACACCCGGCACCCCAGATGTACAGGTAATCCGAGGCGCCGACAAAGACGGGCCCATTGTCGCCTTTGGCAAGTTTCACAACCTATCTGGCCATGTCACCATGGGACTGGGCAGCCCAGAATCCGACGCCGTCGTCTTTGAGGAGCTGCACAAGGCGTCGCGGCTGACGCACTCCGAATACGTCTTCGAGAGCGACCAAGCGACGCCGCATAAACGCCGCGTCAAGTACATCTGGCGAAGGACAATTGGGAAAGGTTTATTCGCCAACTACGCATGCGTAGATGCAGGTAGTGGTCGGCTCATGGCGTACTTTGCAAAGACGGGGGCCAAGAGCGCAAAGAAGGTGGGTAGGTTGTGTGTCACCGCGGATACTACAGAGGAGTTTCATCTCTTGCTGCTGTTGAGCTGGATGGCGATTAGGGAAAAGGAGAACAGAAATGCGTGGTATGTAGGCGGCTGGATCTCTGGTACGAGCTGAGTTGCTTGTTCTACGCCAAGTACGGTGAGGGTTCGCTGGTTGATGATCTCTGGTGTGGTATCATATGTACGTCGTATTAGCCTATCTCTTTTATACAAAATTGTATCCTAAACGCCAATATCGTAAAATCCCTACCCAAAAAGTTTTACATGTCTTCAAACGCCTCCCATATTCCTAACTTTACAGGGCCTTTTCTTCATCAGGCTCAACTAGCCGTCCAAGAATCAAGCTTTGTATGACAAGTTCATCATGGAGCAGCCGTAGACCAGAGTCTGCCTCCTTTTGTTTCTTCTTCTTGCTTCCAGTCCTGGCCGATGGCAGAAGAGAGCCCACTTTCTCTGTGCTATGCTCGACACATATCCAACCAAACGGTTGTCCTGTCTGTTCTGCTCTTCTCAAGGCATCTTTCGCCTGCCTTACAGTGGCGACCTTTGTAACCACGGCACCGAGGCCTTGCGATAAAAATGCTGGCGACGAGACTGTCTCCGGCGAGGTACTCTTGCCGGCATCTGCAACCATGAGCACCGTCTGGCCCTCCATGATGCGCACCCGCTGCTTCAAAGTTTCCACTAGGCTAGCGTCCACGGCAGAGTATGAAGGCAGCCAGCGAGAGAGCGCCGTATTGCCTAACACCGTTGATGTCCCCGAGCAAAGCAAGTACGGTCGCCAGTCGACAATTTGGCTGTGGTTGATGCATGCTGTGAGCCATTGCTGCGGTAAGCAGGGGATCCCAAATGCCAGAGCCTGCATGTATTTGAAGCTGCGCGAGTGTCCATTGGTAATGACTGCTGCAAAAGTGTAGTCAGTAGCACCCGGTTGAAACTGAAGAGCTTCCACGTCTTTGTGTGCCGTAGATTGCGCGGGGAGTGCGGTTTGCAAAAGCTCGTGAAAGCCCTTTTGTAAGACGCGGCCACCAGCTTGCTCGACCTTGCGCTCCAACTTGTCACGCATAAGCTTCACATCCTTGTGTGTTTCCTTTTCCTCTTTGATAACAAGCGAAATGGCAAAGACCATGCCTTCAAACAGTCGACCTTTGCGCCTTGGGACGGCCGCCGTCGCGATTGCTCTGGGAATGCTGTGTAGTGACCTTGATTTCGATAAATCACTCGTTATAGATGTGGACGTTGACTCGGCTTCGCTCACTGGCTCTGACCTCAATCGGTCGACAGCGGACGTGAGTCGAGTTGCTCGTCGTGGAGAGACGGGGTTAGACGTGCCTTCAAGAAGGCGTCTGCGCAAACTCCTTTCTATGGAAGGAGAATTCGTTGCAGAGTGTGCTGGGCTTGATTCTCTTGCAGAATTCTTGGTCGCTGGGGTCGATTCGGGGTCTGGGGTGGCTGATAATGAACTCAAAGCCGAGGACTCGGATGTACCATCTTCAGCATTCTCGGTCCGGGCAGCTGCACCGCGGCCTTCTGGAACTGCAGTCGCGTCAGAGGCAGTGCCAACATCTGCTGAAGGATCTTGAAACTGCTGTGGTGGTTCTATATCCACTGCTGGTGTTGGCTCAGCGGCTGAAATTGAAGAGCTCGGGATCCATCTCCGTTGTTTGGCACCTCTTGATCTACGCACAGCTCTGGACGGGGCAAGCGCAGAAGAAGTCTCCATTTCAGCATCACCAGCTTCAACGGCATCATTTGGTAAGGGAGGTAGATCCTGGTCAGCACCAGAAACATCATCCTGTGTGATGATGGCAGGTGATGCCTGCACAGGGCTTGTAGCGGGAATTATATCGTCATATACGTTCTCAGCAGTTCCCTGCGTGCCTTGGACCGTCGCGCCTACGTCGTCCTTGGGTGTTGCCTTGGTGGATTCTAATGATGGGGGCTCTAGCGACTGTGGGATTGGCTTTTGTGATTGCCCGATCGAATTCGATCGAGACTTTGTCGTAGCATCATCAGACGCTGATACTGTAATGGCGGTCGTCGCAGTCTTCTCGGCCGTCGCTTCGTTGAATCGTCGGCGTTTTACTTCGGGTTGTTCAGATGAGGTTCGTCGAACCGGTCGTTCAACAGAAACACGGCTCAATTTTTCGGCACCAAATGCCCGTTTTCTATCAGCAAGACGTTTTCTCTTCATCTGTATCGTGTCATCGTCCGAGTCGGTGTCCTCTAGAATGGATACTGGTGGTGCTTTTCGTTGCTGGGACTTGTTCACAGATTCATAGTGCGCGCTTGGCTGGAAGACACCATTGCCACGAACCAGAGGCGACTCTGGAATAATTGCGTCTTGTACAGCAAACCGAGCCAGGGGAGTTTCTTCGGCCAGCGAGGGCAATCGATTCGTTCGTACGACTGTGGCGGGAACGTCTGTGTGATGATTCGGGCTGGATGTTCGTAGGGTCGGCGGAGAGGAGACATTCGTTCGGTTTTTCAAGGGCGAGGTTTCTAGAAAGTTGGAAGATATGGAGTTGTGAAGGACATTTGGCGAGGGCCGAGATGAGGTTGGGCTGTGCTTAACAGCGGATGTCAGCAGCTGGGTTGCCCCAAAGAGCTGTGTACCACCTAGAGGAGCGGCCGCATCGACTTGTCCAGCAAAGGGATTCCTCGGCAGAGCAGGTGTCTCTGGAAATCCTGCATTCGACTTGAAGGGCGTTTGGCCAGGAAACTCTTGTAATTCTCCGTTTTGCAAGCGCCATCCGCTTCGGGTGTTATCGAAACCCTCATCAACCGACACTGGCGATGATGGCTGATTCAGCTCGCTCAGATGACCAAAGTTGACGGCTCCCGTTTCGTCGTCGTCGAATGTGCGGGCTTCAAAGCCTGACTGTTGTGTATCGAGATTGGCGAATGGCTGCGACTTATTGTCCAGGTTGCTGCGATTCGAGTTTCTCTGCGTGAGGGAGAGCTCCGAGTCTTCTTCTGGGATCACCAAGAGCGTTGGTTCCTCTTCATAATGTGGTATCACGTCCTGCACAAGCGTCGGCGGCATACTATCTTCGTCCGGGGCGTCCATGATGACGTTTGTTCGTAAGGTCGGGAGCTGAGGCGGCAGCTGTCGTGGAGAGGGATGTGGTTGTTTGGCTAGGCCATTTATCTGGGGAAGCCGTGACAGCTGAATGTTTGCTTGCTGGCGCTATAGAAGGACAAGGCCAAGGCCATTTTGTTAGCAGGTGAATCAGACAGGAGAAATCACCGGGAGAGGTGGGATGTGTTGGAGTGAAGTAGGGCGGCGGTGGTGGTGGTGGTGGTGGCTCTCACGTTTTCTGTTAGCACGCGACCCGCGCCAGAGGCATCTGCAGCGTGGCCGTGGCTGTGTCGTCGGAAAGCATCCAGTCGATGGCCCAAACTGGAAAGACTGGTGAAGCTGTACGCGCCGTTGCTGGCTGTGTGGTCGCCTGTGCTGTTTTGAGGCAAGGCAGAAGCGCTGGAGGACTGCTTTTGGCGCGAAAAGAACCCTGGACGTTAGCACGCGTCATGTTCCAGGCGTTTTGGCGTGGGTGTGGTTGGTGGGATGGGCTGCATGCAAGCGCCGCACGTACCAGCGTCAGCTGCAAGTCTGCCTTGACGGCGTCAAAGATGGCCTGGCTGTCTTGGGATTCCTGGGCGGCTACCTCCATTGTGTGGCAGCACCTAATGGTAGTGAAGTATTTCCATAATCTCTTTTTTCTGGCTAGCGATGTCTGTAGAGTTCTGCTTGGACAAAGAGAGAAAAAAGAGGAAAGGCTAAAACAGAGCGTGAACAATGGGCAGCCAACAGCCATACGGCGCGCGCCTGCTACACTATTGTTCCACCAAGAACCCACTGTAGCCCGCTGAAAGATCCGCTATGAGATTCCCACTGCGACATTATGTGTTGGATTGGACTTGGTATGTGTGTACAGCTTCAGCAGCACATGTGAGTGTGAAGGTTTCTGCTTTTTCTTTTTCTTCTGCCAAAATATTTAGAGAGGAGAAATTGCGTGTAATTATGCCAGCAAATAAAAGGCAGTAGTCTACAGATATATCGAGGTCAATCCTCCAGGAAGTCATAGCGCTACGCCGCCTCTAGCTACTGTAGCCAAAATGAAACTTACCTTATAGATTCTATATGACCATCTTTCTGCGTTCATTCCGTCTTACTTGACTTCTGTTTCTCAACAATCACAGTGACAGACTTTATTTTCCCAGCTGAAATCACTCTTGGGTCGCACACCTGCGCCACCAAAATACGACCGCCCTGGTGCACGCTGCTGCCTTGTCACCACCAAGTGTGGGCCATGGACCTTGCACTTTACAACTCGGCTGAGGATATAATTCACGACAGCCGCCGTCTCCTATTTCCTCTCATTCCTACTACTTATCAACATTCGTCTCTAATACAACTAATAGCATCTTCAGTCGCCATTCCAAACAGCATTTCGCACAAGACACCCGCAATGGCTGACTCTGGAGTACCACCTGCTGATCATCACGTCGCTAATGCGGCCTCACCCCTACTCAACCTTCCGCTGGAAATCCTACTGCGAATAACATACTTCTTAAACACAGAAGATCTCGGCAAAATTCGATTATGCTGCAAACTCTCCGAAGAATTGCTGCTTGTCAGCTTCACAAGAGAGTACTTTTCTCGCCGCCAATTCGCCCTCTTAGAACCTAGTGTCAAGGCATTCGTCGACATATCAAAAAGCAGATTCCGCCAGCATCTCAGCGCCGTCCATGTGGCTATAGACACACTCTCCGGAATAGTTCAAAAGTCGCATTGGAACGATTCACAAGAAGGGCCTCGTGCGCGTGACTTTTCTGCTATGGATACGTTGCTTTGGAGCTCCGGTCAATTGACAGAGTTGCTCGCGGAAGGGTTCAGAAACCTCCCAAACTTAAAGGCCGTTGTTGTCCGAGCGCAAGATTCAAACAAGCGCGAAAGAGACTTTCCAAACACCCGATGGAGAAGTTGGGGCGTCAAGACACTCACTGGCAGCTTTGAGCACCATCACTTGCACCTTGCCCGTGATGGTAACAGTGCAACAAAAGTATTTCAAGTCGTGCTCATGGCTCTTGCAAAGGCGAATATAAGTCTCGATTACCTAGAGGTCATGGCCCCCATGATCCATGAAGAGGCATACATCGTGAGCCCATACATGGCTCCGCAGATCAGAAACGTATTGCAAAATGTTAGCCGCCTACATCTCTGGATAGGAACCGAGCAGCATCCATTACGAGTTTTTAGTCCAGACCAAAGGACAGTGATTCCCTCTGCATATTTGTGCGACTTTCTCTCATATGCACCCAACGTCACTGACTTGCGCCTCAATGCAGGTCGCGGCGTGACAAAGGCAATCATGCTTGGGATTATGGAGCGAATTGTAGCAGAAATACCAGCTGCTGCCTCATTGAATTCCAAAGTCGAGGGTGACAACACCAAGTCACATTGGGTTATTCTCCCCAAGTTGCAAATATTAAGCCTCGGCCACATGACCATCTCAATGCGATCTCTTCTCAGCTTCCTGCAGCGCTGTGCAAAATCGCTGAAAGACATCAGTCTATGGACGATGGAATTGGAGTTGGATGATGAAGATGGGAACGTACAAAATGCGGATGGCAAGGAGGGTAAGCCCCTTTGGTGCTATTTCCTACAACAGTTACGCGCTACCGACATGAACCTTGAGCGCCTAAGTATTGGGAGGCTTAGAGAGAGAAAGCCAGCAGCTCCGCAAAAGAATGTCCATTTCAAGGATGAGGACGAAAAAGTTACATATATAGGACCTCTCTGGAAGTCGTTTATTGGCGACATCCTGCCTCACATCCATCTCGTCGATACCCACCCCGTGCAACTCTATCCTGGTAAGCCACTTATAATTACAATGCGCTAAAACTTCGTTTGAAGTTTCACAAGTTAACTTATTTGTTTCGTTTAGATCCAGTTTCGCAGAGCGATTCTGAAGGAGAAGATGATGAAGACAATGAAGACGACGACGAAGACAACGAAGACAACGACGAGGACGATGACCAAGACGAGCACCAAGATGATGGTGACGGCGATGCAGAGCAGCAATAGAGCACATTCAGTCGCTATGTTATCAGGGTTATTAAGGTTAAATTAATGGTCAAATGCAAATACATATTGGGTTAAAGCTTGGTCCTATTGGATTTTCTAGCCCTAAGAAGCATAGGGTGATTATAGTTAACGTTTAAATCTCAACAATGCTATTCTGTGGTGAATCACCTTATGCAATACGTGTATATAATCTACCTTCGCACATCACTTTCTTCATCTCTCACAATCAACACAATTCTCCAGAAGAACAAACTTACACAGACAAAAATGAGAGTCACATCAGTTCTGACCGGCGTAGTTCTTCCCCTAGCCGTATATGGCGGGCTTGCTAAAAGCAAGGCACCTGCTGAGAAGCGCTATCTTCCTCGATCCAATGAAACAGACTCTCATGGTAGCATGGAAACTGCCGTTGTGACCGAACTGCAACTCGCAGAGTCTTCTTCGTCGTTGGAGTCGTCCACATCTACCGCGACCACCGAAACCGTGACGCAGCTCGTGGTTATGGCTCCTACACGATCTGCCCACGCCACGGCCAACGTTGAGACCGTCACCCAATTGCTAATGACTGAGGTAAAGACAGATTCGCCCTCGGCCACCATAACCTCAATGACGGCCACCGAGTCGAAAGCCCCAGACCACATGTGGCACGGTACGATGCCGTCCAACGTGGAGCACGGCTTCCAAGAAGACAGCATCGATTTTAAATGGTGCAAAGCCCACAATGACACCGCTTCATGTGGAGCGAAAAAGCTCCTTTCCGGCGTTTGTTGTACGTTTCTAGACCATTGATAACTGAGTGACGTTTCTAACGCGTTTAATAGATGATCTGGAGGTTTTTGCGGAAGGCCTGTCCAACAACATTGAGCTAGTCAGTGTCAGAGGCGGCCAATGTGTTCTGTGGGAGTAAGTATCATAAAACCATCCCACCATCTGTCCCTTGCGGTTCCATTAACATTTGTTATAGGAAATATGATTGCCGTGGGAAACACAGCAGAACCTTCCGAGGCCGCGAAGTGGTCGCACACGACCTCTGTTTAAGGCAAAACTGGAATACTAAGGCTACATCCATCAAATGCTGCTTTGGCCCACCTGGTTCGAGGTTCTGCGACGTCAAGAAACCCCCCAAATGCAAGGACTGAGCCTAAAGAGCATTTTTTACTCGGTGATTTGAGTTTGGGGCCTGTAGTCTAGAGGCATAGAGTGCCTTGGTAATGTGAGGAAAGGCATCGAGTGCCTTGGTAATGTGAAGAAAGGCATCGAGTGCCATAGTAATGTGAAGAAAGTGTTTTCCTTATAACTTAATAGTTTTCAGAACCCAAAATAATAATTGCCTTTTGTTTCACTTCACATCAACCTTTTCTCGTACCATGAGTCTGTCCCATGCTCTCTACCATGCACGACCACACGTGATATCGTGAAAGGTTCGTGAATCTCGAGCGCGCTGCTGCCTGAAGTTTGCTAGTTGGCACGACGGGCAAACGCGCCATGGGCAGGCAACCAGGCTGGGCTATCATCACCAAGCCGAGGGTGATTTGAATTGGCGTCTTCTATTGGTCAATTGCTCGTCAACGTTTTTGGTCTGCGGGGATGTGCTAGGCAGCAGAGCCCCCTTGGCATCCACTGTAAAGCTCAGCTCCGCCACTGGGTGGCTCATAAGCGTCGTTCAGCCTCGTACCGAACAAGAGAGAAATAATAATACTTGACCCACTGAGTGGTTTGATTCAACAGGGTTCATTGCCAGGCGGCAATGCGCCAAAAAGAGAAGAGTTGGGGCAGCCTCGTTTTGAGATAAATAGGATGTTGGCACCCGACCAGCTGGCAGAAGGCAAGCTTACACCTGGCAAGCACCAGTTCGCATCCCCCTAAACACCAATCACACTCTTCCTTTCCGCCTCTAATTCTCGTCACTATACATCAAGAGGCGTACTCTAACTGTGCTTCTACATCCTCCTTCATCCTACCCCTTACATCATACATCACACACAATCATGGCACCACGAAGGAGAGCAGCTGCCCAAGCGGCGGCACCATCGCCTCCACCTCCACCAGCACAGCCCTTGGATGGTTGTGTTATTGCCATTAGTGGAAAGGCTGAGATGGCAGATGATATTAAAGCCTCGCTGGACAAGAAGATTCTTGAATTGGGTGGCGTCATAGTTATGAGCGTCACCAAAAACTGCACCCATGTCATCGCTCACAGAAGCCACTACGAAAAGACAAAATCGCTTTGCAGAGCGGCCAAGTCAAAGGGTGTCCCCATGGTTTCCGTGGACTGGATCGAGGAAGCTGAGACAAATCCAGTTTCGGTGAAGGTCGATGATTTCTTCTGGGAGAATATTATGCAAGCAGAAGACGACGCTCTTCTTGCACAGCAAATGGGTCAAGCTCCCGCCACTAAGAAGCGACCAATTGCAGTGGCCAACCCCAATGGTTCAGCCAACGGCAACGATGACACTGAAAAGAAGCCAAAGGCGAAAAAGGCCAAGACCACGTCGAAAAAGGCTAAAGTTGAAGAGGAAGAAGATGAGAAAAAGCCAGACGTTGACGAAGCTGGTGAATCTGAGCAAGTCGCTGATGGCCAATTTTTGAAGAAAAAGGACGCTGTGATTCCCTTGGACGCATACTGCACCCTCTACGGATATCAAGTATACATTGATGGCGATGGACTTATTTTCGATGCTTCATTGAACCAGACAAATGCTAGCCACAACAATAATAAGTTCTATATTGTTCAGGTAGGGAGTTCGAGATCTCCAAAACGATTACGACTAACCCATCCATAGTTGCTCATGCACCCTGGCCTAAAGCAGTACAAAACGTGGACTCGCTGGGGAAGAGTTGGCGAGCCCGGTGCCAACGCGGTGCTTGGAGATGGCGACCTGGCCAGCGCCATGAAACAGTTCGAGAAGAAATTCAAGGATAAGTCTGGCTTATCCTGGCAGAACCGCAACGAGCCAGCAAAACCTGGGAAATACTCCTTTGTAGAAAAGAGTTATGACCAAGACTCTGATGATGAAGACGAGGAGGCAAATGGCGACACCAAAGATGTCAAAAAAGAGGAGGAAGATGAGTACAAGCCGCCCATTTGCACATTGGCGCCACCGGTGCAAGGTCTGATGGAGATGATTTTCAATCAGCAATTCTTCCAGGCCACCATGGCCAATTTGAATTATGACGCGAAGAAGCTTCCGCTGGGAAAACTCAGCAAATCAACCATTCTCAAGGCCTTTGAGAAGCTTAAAGATCTCGCGGCGCTGTTGAACGACCCCAGCCTTGCGGCTTCGAGATGGAACGAAACAACACCTGTTGCCATCGAACACCTTTCCAACTCTTACTACTCACTGATTCCCCACGACTTTGGTCGTCATCGCCCCCTCATCATCAACGATGATAACCTCCTAAAAAAGGAACTCGAGCTTCTCGAGAGTTTGTCGGACATGAAGGTAGCCACCGAGCTTATGAAGGTTGAGAAGAAGGTTCATGATCCCATCCATCCTCTCGACCAGCGCTTCCAAGGCCTTGGTCTTGACGAAATGACCGCCCTTGACCACAAGAGTGCCGAGTTCGAGCTACTCGAAAGCTACCTCAACAACACCCGCGGATCTACCCATAACCGCTCCTACAAAGTCATTGAGATCTTCCGCATCGAAAGAGGCGGCGAACGCAGCCGATTCGGCAACTCGCAATACTCCAAAATCCCATCTGATCGACGTCTACTCTGGCACGGCTCGCGCTGCACCAACTTTGGTGGTATCCTCAGCCAGGGCCTGCGTATTGCGCCCCCAGAGGCTCCTGTATCAGGCTACATGTTCGGCAAGGGTATCTACCTGGCGGATATGTCGTCCAAGTCGGCCAACTACTGCGCGTCGTACCTGTCCAATAACGAGGGCCTGTTGCTTCTGTGCGAGGCCGAGCTTGGAAACCCCATGCAGGAGCTGTATAACAGCGATTACGACGCTGGCGATAACGCCAAGAAGAAGGGCATGCATACTACTAAGGGCTTGGGCCGTGCCGCGCCGCAAGTGTGGATGGATGCTGGCGCGGTCAACAGCGATCTCAAGGGAGTCCAGATGGTGAGTTCTAACTACCAACTCGTGCTTGACATTTTATACTAACATATTTTCAATAGCCCGATCCTGCTCATAAACCAACAGCTGATGATTACAAGCCGGGAGACAAGTACTGTTTGCAGTACAACGAATACATCTGTTATGATGTGGACCAAGTACAGCTCAAGTACCTGTTCCGCGTCAAAATGTAGTGACCCAATACTCTTGAATACGTCTTGCTTATTAGTAGCCACTGTAATCTATATCGCTATAACAACTTCGGAAGTGACGATAGCTATGAATAATGAATTTTCCTCGTTTCCATTTTCCCTGCTGATGTTGTGTTGTTCGCACGGTGTCTCTATGGCGTTGCTGTGTCGGGTAGCAAATTACTTTGGGCATGCACCCTCTACAGGCAAAACGCCGTCAAACCAAGCTACACACACTCAATTTATCTTTAGAATGGATAAGAGGAAGAATTTCAATTGCTCGTTTATATGGCTACCAGAGAATACAAACTCGCCAAAACTCCAAGTTACACTACTGAATCGATATGTACTTTATATCGCTATGCTAAGTATATTTTTCTCCATCCCAGCTATTAACCAGGGCATTACATCGTGAATTCGTATAAAGTGCCCTTTGTACAGGTCATCAGACCGCCTCCAAAATATAAAATCACCCAAAATACAACTGACCCATATATCCTGTTATTGGTTGCTGTGTTTTACTCCATAGCGGTAGCCTTCTCCGCTGCCTTGGTCTCTGCAAGTGGCTCATAGTAGCCATTTTGATGAAGAAAGCTGATTGCCAGGCCGTCTCCGCCAGATTGTGCTGCTTCCATCCAGTGGATAGCGACGCACATCAAGGCAGGGTCATTACGAGCATCATCGGTGTTGCCGTTGCCGTTCGCGGCTCCCGCGGGCGCGTTTAGATCAGCGCTGTTGGAAGCGGACAGTGTGCCGGATTGCGATGACGGCATGCTTCGTGTCTTGTCGCTGCGTGCGAATTTTGCCATGACGGCAGGCTTAAAGATTTCCTTGGGACGTGCCAATGGTAGTGTACTTCGGTTGACAAATTCTGGGTTGGACAGGTAAAACAGTGCAAGCTCACGCTGCGCAGCAGGATATCCCTCCTTGGCTGTAATAGTCCACATTCTACCAACATCGTAAAGGTTGTATTTACTGCTGGGTGGTGGTGGCGTGCCAGTCGCTGAAGGTGCAGGAGAGCCAACTGCTCCATCCTCGTACGTTGTGCTTCTTGTTTGTGTATGCGCAGCAAAGACTTCGTCCGCCATTTCGATCATTGTTCGGCATACTTCCGTCTTAAGCTGCAGTGCTGCAACGCCAGCGTTCCAGAAAGCTTGCCCCTGCTCTTGCTTGTCCAGGATGGACGGGGGAACAAATGCAGAGATGAACTGTAGGTCGCGGAACAGGTGTTTGGGGCGAATGGATGCGTCTCGGAAGAGCTTCAACAGTTCGGCAGTTATCTCTGCAGACGAGGGCACGTCTTTTGACGTCCCATTGGTAGATCGTTCAGCCTTAGATCTCGCTGGTCGCGAACGCTTCTTCTTAGCTTGGATGGATGCAGTGACCAGTTGCTCAAGCTCTCTGAGGGCGGAGAGCTTGACATATGGGTTGGGGTGGACGCAAAACATGGTTAACAGACGCTTGTAAGCCTTGCTAAAGGGGAACTCTGGCGCTTGCTTGACGGGCGTAGCTAGTCTTTGGGATGACGACATGTCACCAAAGAAGCCAGCGTCAGAACTAGTGTCGACTTCTTCGCGCTCAGTAATGTTTTCACCAGCACCTCTTAAATCCCCGAAACTTTTCTTCTTCTCTAGAGCACGGGGCTTGTTCGATGTCTTGATGGAGGCGTCCTTCAAGGCTGCCTTCCGAGAAGCATGATCATCCAGTGCTTGTTTTCGTTCAATGCACTCTTGGCCCAGTTTTCTAAACCATTGATCTGTCTCTGATCCACGAGGCAATACGAGGTTTCCGAGATCAGAAATTAAGAGACCAGTAAGAGTCTGCTTAATTTGCGCGAGGAATGAGGCTTTATCTCCGTCAACCGTATTGTGGTAAATTGTCTCGTTGAACGACGCAATGGTTTCTGGTCGACCAAGTGAAACGCTCCCTGGTGAGATCACGGGTACATTGTTCGACAGCATCGAGTATTTGGCGGACAGATTTGTCATACTTGTTGTCGGAGAATATGCGCGCACTGAAGAGGTTGTAGGCTGAAAGGGCGACCAGAATGTTGGCGGCAAGTGGTTTGCATGAACGGGCGAAGTACGATCAAGGTAGTCCTGACCATCCAGCACATCATTGAAGGGAACTGCAGATCTAAGTTGGCCGTGCCTCGGGCTATCAAACGGCGATTGGAATCGTCCGTTGCTGCTGAGCCTTCTATTATGGTTGGAAGTTTTGAAAGTGGCCGAATAAGGTTGTGACGCATCGCTGAGGAAGCTGGATGCATCGTCTGCTGAGGGCCGTCTATCCAGTCCTTGCCGCTTTGTTTGATCATATAGATGCTTATCACGTCGATACAGCTCGCTGGACCACAGGACAGGTGCTTCGCGAATGTTTTCGCCGACCAATTGCGAGATGTATTTGTCCAGCTCACAGCAAAATCGGTGGATTCGTTCTTCACCACGACACAAGTTTTCAACTCCCTTGTTTTTCAACCATGTAGCTGTAATCTCAGCTTGATCGTCCGTCAACTTGTTGGGTCCTCCGTGTGACTTGGATGCGGCAAGCAATTCAATTACTTGAGATTCGGTCCAATACAGGTATGCTGGGCCAGAGCCACGATTGGCTGTAGTCCAAGATCCCTGCGAAGAGCTCCAGCGTTGGGGCATTCCCATGAACTTTAGCCCTTGACAGGTGTCGCGGGCGTAGGCATATTCTGTTGAGTTCCGGACATCTGCTACATACCACATCTTATCGCGAATGGCTCGAACACGCCTCATCATCCGGTTGATAAGCCTTTCGAGTCTCTCTTGGCTTTGCTTCAGCCACACAAGCCAAGCATCGTATTCCTCTATGGCATATGTAGATTCTTGTATACTGTCGCGTGGTTCTCGAGAGAATGAGTGGACTAGGTCTGAGTATCCAGCCTTGTAAGCTGCCGTGGGATACAAGGTCTGCAAATGGTTGAGCGCATCCCAATACATATGCGAGGAAATAAAGTCGGACTGTGATTTTGCCTGTGAGTAGGCGGCTTGGAGCATTGTGATGAGAACGGACTCTTGTTCAGTCGAAACTCTTGTTGGGGCTGTTGCACTCCGGAACTGGGGAACCTGACGGGCTCCGCCTGCTAGATGAGCCAGCTCGGGCATGATAGGCCTTGTTTCTGATCTGTTTTTCCCATCTGGAGAAGTTCGATACGTCAAATGAGAGTGGTCGTCATCATCGTCGGCGCTGCGTGGGATTTCATATTCTTCAACAAGTTTCAAGATGGATTCGCGAACCTGTTCCCGATCACGCTCGGTCTCACAGGTATCCTCGGTTGCGGTGCTGGATCCAGTTTCTTCTGCGGCAGCTCGCAAATCCACATCATATGTCATTCGTGTAGTCAACTTCTTCCCATCGGAGGAAGTGAAAATAATGGCCCAGGTATCCGCACAAGGATGGCATGTACCACGGACGACATCGTTACCGAGGGTACGGCCCATCTCGTGGAGCGCCAGGCGCAATTGGAATCCGTCATCCTCGTATCGATTTGATTTGCGCTGTTGCTCAGTTTCATTGGCTGGTGAGAATCGTTCGGGGATGGTTTTGCTGCCCGCAGCATTGGCGTCATTCGTGGCGCTGTTGTCGCTAAAGATCGATGAGACACTCGTTCCTATTACTGAACCTGTCTCTATGCTGCTCTTTGGGTTGACCATTGATACTGGTTGAGATGCATTGGAAAGAGCTGACAGGGCTGAAAGTGACGGTACGTTGGATCGTAGCCCGCTAGAAGCTGATGACAGTGGGCGGCGTTCTGGGAAGAGTGCGTTTATCAGAGTTGAGATGTCAGCTGGACAGACTAAAATAAATGGATGGACTTCGGCCGTTTCTCTTAACGATGTGACTGATTTGGCGGGCTGCAATTTTGTCGCGTTAGATTGACCACCTTGGAATCTATCGAGGATATTCTCAATATGAGTCTTGATGTGGCCGGGGATCTCGACTGTTGCAGCAGGAGTGTTGGCCTTTGCACTCCACATGTTGGACACGTACTCGTGTGCTTTGATGGCCACTTTTTTGAGAATCTTTTCTCTCGCATAAGGCGTGATATAATATTGCGAGAGCATTCCGTGCGACTCTGGGTGGACAATAACGCCGAGAAAGAAGACGAAGAAGAGACATCTCCAAACAAGCCATTTCGATGTGTTGTCGACGTATTTTCCGTCCAACTTCTTTAGAACTGCCGTTCCAAGCTCCAAAAGTCCATCGGGTATCCCGGTTCCGTCTTCATTGGCGACAAGTTCAAACAATTCTGTGACGGCTCGGCTATAGAACTTATCTGCGGCTGCTTCGTCGGAGCGATTCCAATTGGCGAGATTGAAGCGAGTACCATGTTGATCCTCAGCACGGTCAAGCAGAAACGCACCATCGCTCAAAATTTTCATCAAGTACCATTCCATGTTGGATTTACCGGCCCAATCACGCATCATTGTCCATGTGTTAAGGATGCGTATCAGAAAATGCTCGCTTGACGATTTAGGTTCAGAGATGAGGCGTGCCAGAGCTGTGGCCCAGACGTCTGTTCGACGTAAATCTTCGTTGCTTCCCGGGCCAGCCGAATTAGCAAAGCAAGTATGAATTAGGATTGATAGTGGATCGTGTCGTTGAAAAGAGAGGAGCTTTTCTACATCGGACATGCCGTTGCGTGTCGAGTTGTTGGCTTGTGTACGGGATGATGAGCGAGAGGATGAGAGTACGGACTCCATTGTATCGAAGCCTTTATGAGCCTGTAGCATTGCGCCAAGTTCAGAGCTTGAAAGCGCAGCAAGGCGAGCAGCCAAGTAGTCGGGATTGGTTCGAATTTGTGATAGGAATTTGAGGAATTGTTCCTTGGATGTTGGCGCAATTGTATCCAAGAACGAGGTAACAGGTTGATCGACATTAACTTGAGATGATGGGCCAGTCACGTCGTCGAGACATTCTGAAGAGCCCAGAACCGGTGATGACTGGGCTTCGAGATCGGGTTCTAGTAGGGCGTAGCGACGTAGCTCATCACAGCTTTTGCGAACATCCTGAATGGCGCTGTAGAGGGCTGCGAATCCATCCTTGTCATCTCGTCGAAAGTTTTCGACGAGGCTGCGATGTCCTAACTCGCCGCAGCGAATAAGTCGTGCATTTAGGGCTGTTGATATCAATGTTCTTTCTAGCCGGATGCGCACAGTTGCCCGCTTGCGTTCCTGGTATCTAGACAAGCGGACATAGTGGGCAAGCTCCTGTAAGCTGGTCGCTTCTGACATGGGTGTAGAGTACCGGTCTGTACTGGGAGATGGGTCATATGCAGCAGCCGTCTTCTCAGCCAAGAGGGACTGAGTAATACCGGATGGGCTAGCGGCGAAGGAGGTAAGGTCGATGCGTGGTTGGTCAATGTAGGCAGGGACTGACACCGCGCTGTTGGGCTCGATCTGCCGTCCACGCTGTACAGAATCGTCGCCTTTGCGACGCAGCGGGATTGATTCTCTCCATTGTGATACGCGAGGCGCAGGGCTGCGAGATTGGTGTCTGGTGGTTTGTAGAGGCGGGCTGAGCAGTTGGGTGCTTGGTGTCGCCTCTTGGGAAGTTGGGGGTGCTAAAGAGAGGGAAAGCGATATTTGTTAGCAAAAGGTTATGTACTATTAGCTATTATAGGAACCAGCAAGTTCACTAACCGGAAGGAGATTGTGGTTGTGATTGTATGCGAACAGGCGTCGAGAGAGACCGCTTCAGAGACATGATGCTTGGCCCATGGATCCTACGATCGCAGCTCGATCGGCAGCTTCCAAGAAGCTACCAACGGGCTATTGGGGTTGATTCTGGATGTAACAGGCCGTTCGTAAGTTGCTTCCACTGCGAATCGAGAGGTGAAGCAACTCAGACGAGCAGAATTGCAGCAGCGGTTGGCGCGAGAAAATGTTCGTTGGGCAGCGGTTCGTTCCAAAGCTCACGGGTCGTGTGGTGGTGTGGGGGGTGGGCTTTTGCGGGGAGGCGTCGAGCAGGTGAGAGAAGAGCCGGTGTGAGAAGCAGAAAAGGATGCAGAGCAAGCTAGAAACGGAAGCAGCACGGGCAAACAAAAGCACCAAAAATCCCTGCAAGAGTCGAAAGCATAAAGAAGACGTAGACGAGAGAAAAAAAAGGGAGGTGGCAACTTGGAGAAGAGAAAAAAAGAAGAAGGGAAAAAAAAAAAAGGGTCAAGAGACAGGCAGCTGGCCTGGTACGACAAAGAGACAACGCTTTCGCACCTCCTGCAGCTGGCAGACGCCACCACGACGGAGCGGGTGGTGCCAGCACTGCACTTCAGGGCGGCATCTACACGTACAGTACTGTACAGCGGTCGGTGCACAGGTGGCCTGGCCCCCTGGTGCGCTGTAGCGGCCAACGTATCCGCTGTACTGTACAATGACGGGCGGACATGGTCCACATGGGCGGCCGCTGCAACGTCATGTATATGGAATAGCGTTTTATTTTATTTTTTTGCTATTTTATGTAAATGCTCTGTCACCTTTTCTTTGTTTTTATGTAGCCTGCCACCTATATTATGCCTGTACTGGACATACAGTACATGCGTACAGGCTGGTGAATCATTCCACAACAGCGCACTGGCAGAGTACAGCAGCCTATATATAGTTGGCAGACGTAGCATTGTAAGTACAGCAGCTTCGGTACTCAGCGCCTCCACGCCCGTTGTACTGTACTTTGCCGCATCCTCCGTACTGCACCCACCGTACTTAATTGTGATGGCGTGAAATGAGCAGAAAAAAAAAGTACGCTTTCAGGGCGCTACCTACCACCTGCTGGGAACGAACTGCCCCCCCAAAAAGACGCAGCGCAGCGCTTGTGGAGCCAGCCACCGGACAGCGCAGCAAAAAAGGCTGGCTTTGCCTGCGCTTCACAGGTGGCGTCTGCTTGAGCTGCCAGGGCACGCTGCAAGCCTTGTCGCCCGCTTACAACCCGGGAAGCGAGCAGTCTGTGGAAGACAGTAGGCAAATTGGATGGGGAAAATAGAAAAAAATTACAATTTAAGCAAATTGATAAAACAGATAGCCTTTTGTTACTGCTACAGATTTTTAAAAAGAAGAAACAAATTTCCAAAAAAAGCTGATGGAAGCCAATGTGGAATAAAACCAGCGACACGATGCCAACGCACGGCATTCGCCAGCAGGGCTGCCAGCGCATCAAACGTTGCAAGCATACACGCCCCTCCCCAGCCATTCCCTTACAGGAAGAACGGTACAACTTAGTTAAAGTGGCCGAGTCTATTGTATAGTACAGTATACATGTTAATACTCGGCGTAGAACGTCAACAAAGACAAGAAAAAAAGAAACTAGAAAAAGAAAAAGAAACATACCGCCTTCCTGGAGACCCTCTTAGCGGCACCACCACTACAGACGCACCGCACGCATGCTGGGCTTACCAAAACCTCACCACCAGACCATATTCCCCCATCACAAGACCACCAAAAAACAGACCACATGCCAACGTCTCCCCCAAGCCAGGGCAAAGCACGCGTCCCAATGCCGAAACCAGTGGTAGCCAGTAATTTTGCAGAATTCGCCAATTTACAAATTGTCAATACTACTAAAGAGGTTAAAAACCAGGGGGGACAGCGAGCGCCGCAAAAAAAAAGTATGAACGATCATCTTCCCGCAACGAGATCTCTCTTCACCCCTCTCTCCCTTACACGCCCCCCATGAAGGGAGCTGTAACTGTAGCCACAGTATTAGTAGACATTGTTGTTGCTGGTTTTACGGTTGCCCACCACCCAGGCTAATAGTTAGTCGCCGTGCATGCAGCCCGTGGCTTTTTGGCTGTCGTGACTCTGGTTTCCAATTTGGATGCTTTGCATCACCGTCATCGGCAGTGGTTAGATGCGTTGGCAGTGCATCGTGCATGTACCATCTGCGGGCTGGTGGTCTCTGACGCATGGCTTTTTCGCGGGTGACGTCGCACGAAAATAAAAATTAAAAATTAAAAATCCAATTTGAGTTCTATTTTTTTTCTATCATGAGATTCCGTAATAGCAATGCAGGAAGGCTGCTCTCTGCCCATTGTCTCTTCCATTGTATTATACAGCATTGAATGAATGATACAATGCACACACATGAATACAAAGCGTGGCGTTGCAATTGATGTATTCAAAACTTTAATGCACATGTACACCACCACTGCATCTTCGCTTGTACTACTACATAATTTTTTTTTACCCCTTACTGCTGAATCCGTTGGTGCTGATGCGCTGGCTGGTCTTCCCGCCAGTCGCTGTGGTGGTTCTCGAGTCGTGCACCAAAACGGTTCAGCCAGTCAAATCTCAGACATGCGCCGTCTTGGCGGCGAGGCTTGCCGGCATCCACAGGCTATAGTTTTCACCTGAATCAATAGAGTTGCAGCGTCTGGGTCTCGCTAATTCATCCGAGTTCTATGTCAATCATTGCGTGATTACTCGTAGTGATTTTGAGGGGGTTCAAGAGAATAAAATCTTGCAATTGAGTCTTATTCAAAGCGAGTCCAAATAACAGCTTGTGTTGTAAAAAGAATAAAAAAACAGATGACTGTCTGTTTGAATTGAGTTTATATACAGATTTCCATACAATCATAAATTCCATGCCGTTCCTTTTAATAATCCCATATAATACATTAAATCATGTGGCAATTTAGCCCTCGCACTTTAACATTCGCGGCCAAATCGGATATCAAACTCCTTCAAGACGCTCATAATGCTTGCAGCTTCAACCTCGATTGCCATGCGTCCCTGCTTAGCGGCTCGGCTAGGTCCGCGCTGGGCGGCCTTGAGCTTGGGGAGCCATGAACCGATGTCATCGGCAGCTTTGTCAAAGTTGCGATGGCTAGACAGCGTCTGGTAGGCTTCGGCGCAGGTCAATCCCAGGCTGGGAAGGCTGGGCAGTGTAATCTTCTCTTCAACAGGGACAGGCTTCTTGCTCTTGCAGCAACCGCCTCCAGCACCACCCTTGCCACCACAGCAGCCTCCACCGGCACCGCCTTCGCCAGAGAATTTGGCAGACATGAGACGACAGAACAGACCCGATTTAGGGTCTGCCTGGCACTGAGCACAGGTACCGGGGCCATTGGCACCACAGCCGCCGGGTTTGGCAGCGTCGACGGCGACACTTACACGGGCAGTCTTCTTGCGAGGGGGAAGCTTGACTGCGCCGTCGGCCGTCATTTCCATAATGAATGGCGATAGCATAACATCGGATTCAGAAGGTGGAGGAGTTTCCACCTGGCGAGGAACAGCCACAAGAGTCTCTGGTGGTGTCATGGCTGGCGTGGCCATGGCCGCATCAGCGCAGGCGCAGTAGGTTCCGTCCTTACAAAACCCACAGCTCTCCTTAAATGCTGCGGCATCCAGAGCGGAAAGATCAGACAACACGGCTGATGGAGGCATTGAGCTAGCCTGGCTGCTTGTTTCAGCAGCAGCAGTCGGCTTGCGAGAAAACATGGCTGTAAAGTCCACTTCCGTCTCAGTTTCTCTTCTTCTCTTCTCCAATGATCGGGAACTAGAGGGAGATGATGGCCTCTTCAATGCAATGCTCTGAAATGTACTGCGGGCCATATCGTCCAAGCATTCACAGGCCACGCCAAAACCACACTTGGCGCAATCACCAGTAGTCGACAACACCTGCTCCGCACAGGCACATCGAGATGAAGGTGAGCAACCACCACAAGTAATGTGCTCATCTGTCGATTCCTGGCCAGCAATTGGCATTTGTGACTCAATTGGTGCCACAATATTTGAAATAGACAACTCTTTGCTCGGGCGAGGCTGTGGCAGGCGGTTGCTAGAGAAGCTGTCTCGCGGCTGGCTCATTCCATGTTGGCTGGATATGCTTTGGTGACGAAACTGAAGATCCTTCAAGCGTTGTCTCAACGTCTCTGCTTCGGTTTCTGTACGGATGCGCTCTTGCCGTTCTCTATCCAGCATGTTTTCCAGCAGCATGCATCGTGATCGGAACGACTGGAGATCGAGCTCCAGACTGCGAATCTTTTCCTTAAAGTCGATTTCCTTGACATCAAAATCTTCCTTTTGCAGGTCCAGCTGTTCTTCGAGCTCTCCAACACGGGCCGCACGACGCTCGCGGAAAGCTCGCTGGGCGGCGCGGTTCTGGGCCTTCCGCTTAGTAGGCGGGGTATCCGTGGCGGGCTTTCTGCCGGGCTTTGGGCGAGGTGGGATGATCCATTCCTTGGATGTCATGGAGATCTTGGGCATCTCCCCCGGAGTAGCAGGGCTGATGGCGACGTTCATGTTGGCGGCGCCAGCCGGGGGCATGGAAAGCTGAGGAAGACTTCGTTGAGCGAGAGTGGCGACGGCGGCGGCCTTGACCGGAGGGGCAGCAGCTGTGGGAAGCGGCACTCTCTGTTGAGTAGCGGCAGTAGTAGAGGCAGCCGACGATGATGCCTTGGATCGCGAGGCTAGTTGCTGGCGTTGAGGGCGACCAGTCGATGGTTTGGCAGGCGAAGAGCCGTTGTTGTTAGGCGCAGGATGCAAGGTGGACATGGTTGTGGCCGGTTCTGGGGGGGGTGGGCCAGTTTTTTTTCCTCAAGGTGGGCACCTGACTTGGTACTGTAGCGGTGGTACGGCGCTGTCGGAGGTCCGAGGTGCCTGTAAGGGTGCCGTCCGCAGTGCCGAAACGCCTGTGGGTGGTGCGCAGCGGCGAAAAATCCCCAACGCAAGATGAGGAAAATCAAAAAGAAGATGGAAATTGGGGGGGGAATTGACAAGATTGGGAACTGAGTCCGCAGTCTTGTTTCTCTTGCCTTTTGTGTGTGTATTGTTCGAGTTGCAGCGGGTATGCAGCAAACCGCACTGGCAATCTGGGGGATGGGCACAGTGAATGGTGCCGAGTATGAGGCGGCTGAATTGACCAATCTGCAGTGCAGCTGGAGAGATGGGAAAGTCCGGCAGGCAATTCAGCGGCAGGATTGTTGTTGTTCGGCGAGGAATCAAATCTTTCGACTCAATCTCAACTGTGCAGAGCGTTGGGATCTTAGATCGTGTGGTTGGTTGTGAAGGACGCGTGTGGATGGACGAGAAAAGATTTCGTGGAAAAGGAGGGGGTGCGCATGTGAGGGTTTCCGAGAGCGGCGGCTCAAGCCCTTATTAGAATCCAAGAAGCCGAGCTGGGCAAAACGGGTGAGGGAAGAGAGTGCAAAATAGGCGAGGCCATTGGTGGGTGGGCCAGCACCCTGCGCTGATTGATAAGATTTGATTGATAAATGTCGCAACCAAAAAAATCAAGAACCCACCTTCCGCCCACTTGTTGCACCACAACCACACCTTGCGTCGCCCTCAACATGGGCGAAAAAAAGATGGTCGCGCGCCAGTCTCCACCGGCTTCGACCAGTCATAATTGGTAACGCGAGTCGGTGAGGGTTGCACCCAAGCACGGCGAACGGAGAGCAGGCCGACGAACCTATGCCAGGGTTTCTGCCTTGTGCAGAAGCACGTAGAAAGAGAGAGTAGAGTCGATTATGTGCGGACACCGTTTTGATAATTGGCACGCTTGCGATAGGCCGAGTTTGACTTTGTTACAGTGAAGTCGCCCTTACGTTATCGTCTGTACTCGTGCTAATTCATAGAAATGCCCGGCGGTTACATTCTTCAAAGTTGAAACCACACGCGTCCCTGCTGCTCGGTTTCCCCGCCCCAACTTTCCCAGCCCACCAAGTTTAAGTTAATGCCCTTCGGACAGAATCGGCTCCAGGCTCATCTTAACGGCGGGCCAGCGACTTCCGAATGCCCTGACTCTCGCAGCGGGTGTATGTCCTGCTAATCAATCAATCTTTTGCTGGGCACATGCTCCGCACCCTGGCCGCTCTCCACTGCTACGTTCCAGGCTGAGGCGACGCCGCCCAACAATGAAAAAAGTTTTTTTGTATCGACAGCCGAAGAGAAAACGAATGGAATAATTACATTTATCCAATCAATAGGATTTGATTTTCTCGTCGTTATTCTAAATTGTAACAAGACGTAGGCGGTATTGTAAGCTCCAACAGTTGTATGTAGGTACCGAAGGTATGCGCCAATCCGTACACTAGTACAACTTTACAGTACAGCGTGGCCCACACAGCGACGTCGGTGCCCCTCGCGGCGGCGGACTTGGATCCAACTTCGGCTTGTCCCCGCGAGAGCTTCCGAACGTTCGTTCCGTGAAGTTCATAGTTGTGCATCATGTCTACCTCACATGTTAGGCGGCCTTCGAAAAGGCAGACATCTGCCGTATTCGACCTGCCCTCCTCGGATTCATCAGACTCTGGCGACGACGACACCCCTCTTCCTTTCCCTAGCGCTCTACCGCGATCCGACTTCCTCGCACCAGACTTCAACCCAGCCGAGTACCTTTCAGCACTACCGAATAGACATCAGACATTAGAAGACCTGAGATCAGACTTGCGCGACCGCAGCGCAGCCATCAGCGCCGAGCTGCTCGAGCTTGTCAATTCCAACTACACCGTATTCCTATCTCTTGGCTCGGAGCTCCACGGCGGCGACGAAAAGGTCGAAGATGTCAAGGTGGCACTTCTAGGATTCCGCAGGGCGGTAGAAGAAGTCAAAGCCAAGGTCACAGCACGACGATTACAAACAGAAACGCTGACAACCGAACTGCAACAAGTACGGACCGACATTGAGAAGGGCCGCAAGCTTCTCGAGGCTACAGAAAGAATATCAAGCTTAGAGAAGCGCCTGGCCATAGACAGCTTACCAACAGCACAAGTTGACGGTATCACTCTGGATACGGATGATGAGGATGAAGATGCAGACGAAGACGGGCCCATTGGGTTGCTGGGCAGCTCTCCAACGAAATTACTGGTGTCTGTGCAGCAATATTCTAGAGCCAAGGTCGTCCTGGAGGCACTTGAGGCCGAGCACCCGCTCGTAATAAGACTGGCTGCAAGATTGGTCAAATGCCGAAATACGCTCTTGTTAGATTTGAGCAATGCCTTACGAGAAGCAAGAAAATCAGGGCCCAAGGGTCGGAACAGAACACTCCGCTATCTAGCTCTCTACCGAATGCTAGACGCTGGCGCTGAATGCCTCAAGGCCATCCGCCAAACATGACATAATGTATAGTAATGAATAGACTAGAGAAATTAAAAATAACGATTCAAGACAAATCAATGCGCAGATCAGTGATATAGGTATAGATGATATTTTAGATGCTATTGTACAAACTATCCTCACAAGACGCTATATAATATTACATGATACCAGACAAAGCCGCTACCGGTACATCGGTGTTGGCGTCATGGAACTTGCCGCTCAAGCTCAAGGCTGGGCCGTTGGTAGTGCTCAGAATAACCTCGTGGACTTCCTTGGGAGAGTCTTCGGAGATTTCAGCGCACTCGCTCTTAATCTTCTTCAGCACGGCCTGGATATTGGCCTTGAGCTGCTCGGGGTTGTGTGCCAGCTGTCCAACAGCAAGGCGAATGACACCTTGGCGCTCACGGTACTCGGAGGCACCAGCAGATTCGCGAATAGACTTGGTCACGTCGCTGACAATGGTGTTCATTCTTGCGCTGGGCATGAGGCCTTTGGGACCGAGAATTCTGCCGAGGCCCGCCTTGATCAGGGCCTTTTCACTGCTTTCGTGGCAGATGAGTCGGTCAAAGTCAATCTTCTCCTGGCGAATGGCTTCGAAGATGGACTCTTCGCCAGCAAGAACAGCACCAGCAGCGGTGGCTTCAGCGGCGATTTCGCTGCCTTCGGGGCAGATAACGGCAACCTTGTTTTCTCTCGCAATGGGATTGGGTAGTCGTACAAGGCTCTTGACAACAGGGCCGCTTCGGAGGGTCTTGAGGTTGATGTGAATCTCGTATTTAACAGAGCCAGGAGGCTGGCCAACTTCGTAGGCGCGCAGGATTCTGATCACGGTTAGGACTCATTCGCAGAATGAATTGGGAGCAGTAAGACAAACCTCATGGCTTCGCATAATGTGAATTGGGGAAACTCTTGTCTTTGCAAGTTGTGACGTTTGAAATCCTTGGGTAAATTGGCCTTCTTCTTGGTCTTCTTTGAAGCCACGACGGAGGCCTGTCGGCTCTGGACAAACGCAGGCGCCAAATATTGCGGGATGGAATATGTTGTTGGACGCGCAGAGCTAAATATGCCCTGCCTGACCGCAGCGGTCAAGTATTTATCGATTGTAGGCATGGTTGCTGGCGATTGGATGCTGGACAATAAAAAAGTCAGGTTTGGTCGCGAGACCTCGAAATAGCTGTATTCTCCTTTGTCGGCTAGTGCCTGGGAAGTTAGGCGGCAAAAAATCGGCGCTCAGCTATCGATAAGAATTTTTGTGACTGCAAGGGTGTCCCGCTTTAGCACCACCACCCAAACTTGCCCCTCCCCCACCACCACCAGCAAAAACCTGTGAGTCAAGCTTGGAAGACGCAACACATTGATTTTATTATAGCTAACGTTGGTATTTTTCATACAGCGGTAGCATCTAGTTCAAAATGCAGCAAGACGAGATTCAGAACCTTCCTGCCAAGCTGGCAGGCGATTTCCGCTCCATCGAGCCCCATCTGCGTGACCTTGACAAGCACCTTACCCTGCGATCCTACGTCCAGGGCTTTACTCTGAGCGAGGACGACAAGAAGGTATGGCAGACTCTGCGTGCCAACAAGGTTGCCATGGGCTTCATTCGCAAGAATGCTCTTCCCAACATCACCAGATGGTTCACCTTTGTCGAGCAATCGCACCCCGAGCTCCAGGAGGACAACAAGCCCGCCGATGCTGGCAAGGCCAAGTCCCAGGGCGCCAACTACAACCTTGCTCTTCAGGATACTGACAAGGGCGTTGTTACTCGTTTCCTTCCCGAGCCTTCGTAAGTATATGATCTATCACAATTATTGTCTATATCTTCTAATATCTTTATAGTGGCTACCTTCACATCGGACACGCCAAGGCTGCTCTTCTCAGCGATTACTTCGGTCACGTCGCCTACAAGGGCCAGATGCGTCTTCGTCTCGACGACACCAACCCCTCCAAGGAGAAGGCCGAGTACCAGGATGCCATTGTTGAGGATCTTGCCCTGATGGGTATCAAGCCCGACGCCATGACCTACACTTCCGACTACTTCGACTACCTGTACGACATGTGCAAGAAGCTCATTGGTATGGGTATGGCTTATGCCGACGACACCGACCAGGAAACTATGCGTGACGAGCGTATGCACGGCCGTCCCTCCAAGCGCCGCGAGCGCACTGTCGAGGAGAACCTCCGCATCTTTGAGGAGATGAAGAAGGGTTCCGAGGAGGGTATCGCCAACTGCATCCGTGCCAAGATGTCTGTCGACAACCCCAACAAGGCCATGCGCGACCCCGTCATCTACCGCTGCAACCCCAACGACGCTCACCACCGCACCGGCACTACCTGGAAGATGTACCCCATGTACGACTTTGCTTGCCCCGTTGTCGACAGCCACGAGGGCATCACTCACGCTCTCCGCTCTACCGAGTACACCGATCGCAACCCCCAGTACCAGTGGTTCCTCGACACCCTTGGCCTCCGCCAGGTTCACATGTGGGATTTCTCCCGTCTCAACTTCATCAAGACGTTCCTGTCTAAGCGCAAGCTCGCCAAGCTTGTCGACAACGGCAACGTCTGGGGCTGGGATGATCCCCGCATGCCCACCGTCCGTGGTGTTCGTCGCCGTGGTATGACTGTTTCTGCTCTCCGCGACTTCATCATTCGCCAGGGCCCTAGCCGCAACATTGTCTCCATGGATTGGACCACCTTCTGGAACGCCAACAAGAAGGAGATTGACCCCGTTGCTCCCCGTCACACTGCCCTGCTCCAGGACGGTCTTGTCAAGTGCACCTTGACTGGCGCTGATGTGCCTACTGGCGTCACTAGCGAGAAGCGCCCCAAGCACGCCAAGAACCCCGAGGTTGGCATGAAGGATGTCTTCTTCGCCCCCGAGGTCTACCTTGACCAGGCGGATGCCAAGTCTTTCAAGGCCGATGAGGAGATTACTCTGATGGGCTGGGGCAACGCCTTTGTCCGTGAGATCTCCTCAAGCGACCCCATCCCCAGCCTGAAGCTGGAGCTCAACCTCAAGGGCGACTTCAAGGCTACCGAGAAGAAGGTTACATGGTTGGCTGCCGACGGCTTCAAGCTTGTCCCCGCCGAGCTGTGGGATTTTGACTACCTCATCACCAAGGACAAGCTTGAGGAGGATGACAATGTGGAGGATTTCCTCAACCCCAACACCGCCAGCATGGTCACCGCCTGGTGCGATGCCGGCGTCGGCGAGCTCAAGGCTGACGACATCATTCAGCTCGAGCGCCGCGGCTTCTACAGAGTCGACAAGGGTCTTAACGACTGGAAGGAGGGCGAGGCCGGCGAGAAGGGCCCCCGCGTCGTACTCTTCAACATTCCCACCGGCAAGGGTGGTAAATAAATGTAGTTGATCACGAAAATCTACGTAGCATAGCATGAATAGGTAAAGACGAAAATATAACGGCAAAAAAGCCTCTCCTTAGTTTCATTTTCTCCGATTATATGCAACTAGTCTAACGTGTTTTATGTTCATCATGAGCTCATACATATACAGGTGACATTTGACATTTGTCAACCAAAGGGGACAATTTACTTTGGCAAGCAGGACAAGATGCTCTTGAGCTTGTCAAGTACCTCCTGCTGGCGACCATCGTTGATGGTGGTCTTGTCAGTGGCATCGCCAATGCTGACAGGCACATAGCAGCCCTTGGTCTTGTATACAGAGTCCTCGGTAGGAAGACGGTCCGTGCCGCACCAGTTGACGTCCTTGGGGGAGAAGATGCCCGGGTTGATGCGACTCAGGACAAACTTGTACTTGGAGGCATCGCTGCACTCGTCGCTAACCTTGGGGAAGTTAACGTTGAGGAAGACGTCCTTGGGGAGATAGGGCTTGCCCGAGGCAATGACCACGGAGGTCAAGTTGGTAGCAAGCTGAGCGTAGACGGAGCTGCTCTTGCGCGGGGCCTCGTTCCAAGCGTGACGGCCGTCGTCGGCGCCCGAGAAGGCAATGGCGGGGATTCCAGCATCGTGCGAAGCGTAGCAGGCCGCGCCGACGGTGCCAGAGAAGGGAACCGACAGGAACAGGTTGGTGCCGACATTGGGGCCAGTCACAGCTAGCTCGGGCGCAGCGCCGTTCCAGAGCTTCGGGGCAAACATGTTGATACCGTAGCGGATCGAGGTGACCGGGTACGAGTTGACCCAGTTGAGGTCCTCGCGGGTGCTGTTGTGGCCGTAAGGAGGGGAGTTGGCAGGGCAGCTGTTGTACTCGCATGGCTTGTCGCGGTTCTCAGGCTGCTCGTCTCTAGAAGCTAAATTTGGGGAATTGTTTAGTATACCGAGTATGGCACGGGGATGGTGGACGCCACATACAGCTACCGGACTTGTCTTCCGCAGGACCGGACAGGAGGACCTGGTGGCCGCCGGCGATAAGGGCATCGTTGAGAGCGCGGATGTTTAGCTCGGCCCAGCCGTCATCGTTGGACTGGACGATGCGGACGGCCTGGACGGCGAGGGCGTTGACGAGGACGGTGGAGGCGGCGATCTTCATGGTTGCTGTTGATATTGCTTAACAAAAGACGGATGTCTGAATGGAAGAGACAGGTGGTAGCGGCAGCGGTGGCCTCTTTTTAAATGCCAAAAATTATTAGAGTGCCGAGATAAAATGACAAACAGAGTAAGCACTTAGTCGAATTTAGCTCGGCGGGCATTGAGATGGGATCGCCGCACGCATGAAGGAAGAGGAAATAGGCCCGAGTTGGATAAAGTCGCGAGTCTTAGGTGAGACGCTGGCCAATGGGTGCGGGCATGTGCTTTTGGGTGCGGCAATGGTTAGAGCTTGGCGGGGGGTGGTCCACTGCACTGTGGGCGTCTGTTACAGGGGACCTGGAAGGTGGGATACAGCACCAGCGGCAGTTTTTACAGTGGGTGGCACGGCCCCCAAAAAGAGTGATGGTGCTTTGTGGCGGCCAGCGGCACATGTTTCTACTATACCAGCCTACAACAACCAATTCTTTGGGATTTTCATAGCAGAAAAATATAGTTTAAATATTGTATCTCTGCCCTTTTCAAGTCAGTGAACCAAAGTAATAACTGCATAGCCCTCAGACCGCATGCTCACCAGCCCATCGTGCTTAAGCTAGCGAAAAGCACTGGCCAAAGAAAGGCGTGCACTTTGCCCAGTTTCAGAGAGTATGTGCAGAGAAAGCGACTCTTTATTCTATTGTATTCTCTACAGATTCTCAAGCTTTATAATGCACAATTCTTGCGTGACTCAGCATAATTCCACCCGTCCAATGCGATACACTTCTCATGATTTAAGTTGTAGATCGGGTGCGGCATTTCCCAAAGTGGCAGTCTCGTCACTCCACGTCGCTGATTGGCTGCAAAAAACTCTGCCTCCCAACAGCTGGCGGCACCTTGCCCGCCCTTCCCTCCGCCCAATCGTCGTCTTTATAAGTCACAAGTAACACTTTGTTCTCCTCTTCACCTTTGCCATCACACTTTCCATCTTCCATTCCAACAATATATCCATTGCATACACTTTTCTACTTTCATTCACTCATAATTACAACATCCAATTGCCCACCATGGATGCACACCCTACCCATCCCACCCCAGATGCAGAGAAGCAGACTCTCCCAACACCCTGCGATGACATGGACAAGAAGATATCGGCATTCAAGTCTCTTGGATTGCTTGATCGCTTCCTGGCCGTATGGATCTTTCTCTCCATGGTTATCGGCATCCTGCTCGGCAACTTTGTCCCCAACATTACAGAGGCCTTTCAAAAGGGCGAGTTTGTCGGCGTCTCGGTGCCCATTGGTAGGCCACTCAACATTCTTATGCAAAGTTAACTGCTAACCACGGTCTATCTAGCCATTGGTCTGCTCGTCATGATGTATCCTATTCTCTGCCAAGTAAAATATGAGACGCTGCACAACCTGGTCCGCGACAAGAATCTCTGGAAGCAAATCGGCTTCAGCGTCGTTGTCAACTGGCTTGTAGCGCCCTTCTTCATGGTACACTCCTACCCCTATCCTTCTCAATTTTTTAATCTTCATCATATTTACCATCATTTCTCTTACAGCTGGCTTTGTCGTGGGTCTTTCTTCCTGATCAGCCTGACCTCCGCACTGGCCTTATTCTCGTTGGTCTCGGCCGTTGCATCGCCATGGTGCTCATCTGGAACGGCCTCGCAGGCGGCGACGCAGAATACTGCGCCATCCTGGTTGCCATCAACTCCATCCTGCAAATGGTACTCTTTGCTCCTATGGCCATCTTCTTCATCAGTGTCATTAGCCACAACGGCAGCACACTCATTAACAAGCTATCTTATGGCGTTGTTGCCCAGAGCGTCGGTGTCTTCCTTGGCCTTCCCCTTGGAGCTGCCATTGTGACTCGCTTCGGCATCCGCAAGCTATTCGGACATGAATGGTATGAGGGCACCTTTATCCGCTTCCTAGCTCCCTGGTCGCTCATTGGCCTGCTCTACACCATCATTGTCCTCTTCGCCTCGCAGGGCAAGCATGTTGTGCGCCAGATCGTTTCGGTCATCCGTGTGGCCGCACCCATGATTGTCTACTTCATCGTCATCTTCTTCGTTACTTTATGGATTACGCGCAGGCTGGGCTTTGGCTACAAACATGGCTGCACGCAAAGCTTCACCGCAGCCAGCAACAACTTTGAGCTCGCCATTGCTGTGGCCGTCGCCACCTTTGGCCCGGACAGTGATGAAGCCCTTGCCGCTACGGTTGGGCCATTGATTGAAGTTCCCGTGCTAATTGCATTGGTATATTTAATCAAGTATCTCGGCAAGCGTTGGCAGTGGAAAGAATAGTGAGTGTGGCAAAATCAATAAAGTATTGTCTGCCACCAACGAATATATATCCGTTGTGGGAATAATAGTAGTAATAGAGGTAATAATAATATACAATAAACATAAAAAAAGAAATAGGATCATCCTGTATGACTTTTTGTTTCCACTTGCGCCCCCCTCCTTCTTCTCCGAAGAAAAATGATGAAACAAAAAACAATCCTGTTCGCTTTTTTGGGACCTTGGAACCATTCGTCAGGTCGTCATCATCGTCTGCTCGCTCCTCACAAATATGCTTCGTTACATGTGTCGTCAAAACTTGAGCAAAATGATGCGCTAAATCACAAATACAGCGGTAGACGTCATCATCTTCCTCCTTCTACTTCGCGTATCCAAACAAATGCTGATGCAATGCGTGCTCTCCGTACACCTTTTTTTGATAAGGCCTGCTCTCTGTGGAGCGGCGCGGCAGCCTGCGTGCGTGCGTGCTTGCTGTACATGTTTGACCTTTATGTCAGCGGCGGACAAAACCTGCCCCCGAATGAAAGGGCCCAGTTTTGGTTTGAAAATTGGAGAGTGGCTTTGCACTCTCACTATTCATGGCCTCGTTACTCATGCTGGGCCATGGCCGTCCATAATCTGGAACAAGAGAGTGTTTTTGACCAGACACTCACATTCCTGTTTGCACCCCATCTTGGCCTTGTACTGATCCGTGGTTCCAGTGCCCTGCATTTGGGCAATAATCTGGGCAGCAGTATTACAAGACATGAGCAGGGGCGAGCTAGGCGGCTGATGGCGCATGTGAGGGTCGTCATGGTGGTGCTGGGATGGGGTGGTGGGCATAGTGACAGTCCGAGAGCTATGGGGGCTGGCAATGTTGGAGTCGACAGATCCAGACGATCTTTGCCCGCTCGCAGAGCTTTCACTGACACTGGCATCCGCAAGAACGGCCAGCTTATCGACTAGATCGCGGTGGTGTCTGCTAGACGGCGCTCCCAGCCACTGACCCTGAACATCGGGCTTGTGCTCGTCGTCAGATCGCGAGAGATCGTCTGCATATTGGTCCTCGTGCTGGAACGACTCGAGAAAGTTGCTAATCTCCATTGGGCTTACACCTTGGCGCTGCAGCAGCATCTTGAGACGGGAGTTTTCCATAGCAACAGTGCGTGCTGCCTGCTGCATCTCCAGTGTTGCTTCGACACCACGGCGCTCCAATTCGGCCAGACGCTTCTCCATGCCCTCGACATATTCCTTGCGACGTGCACGGGAGCGACGCTGGTTTTCTCTGATTCGGGCAGCCGCCGGGTTTGTCGAGGCAGACGATTCCTTGGTCGGAGCGGGCATAGTTTTTTTGCTTTTTTGTTTGTATAACGGTATAGGTGGTGTTTTGACAGGAAAAAGAGTTGTAGCAATTGGCCGTGATTAATTTTTTAAGAATATCGATATTCGCCTACGAATCCATTCAGAGTCTTCTCACGCGATTTTATCAATCAGGCGGGTGTAAATTGGGTGTTTGTCGGCGGTGGCAGGCAGTGTTGCAACCGCACAAAATGGGCAGCGAGAAAAGTCTGAAGACATCTCCGTGGTGGGGTCGCAGTGCCATCCATGTCCCGGGAGTTGGTGCTGCTTTCTTGGTGCGCTGAAAAAAAAAAGGCGACCCTGAGAAACGGCTAGGCGCTGAGAGGAGCGCTGGCGGGCCCCCACCAATCACCAATCACAGCGCTGACGGGAAAAAAGGTCATCATCGTGGGATGGCGTGTGTTTGGGTGTGTGGGTGGCTGGATGGGAGATTGCGGTGAATCGCTAAGCAGCCATGCGATACGGAAGACGGGATGGAATTATAGATTAAAATAAATATATTTTTATATTTTAGTATACTCTGGCATTCATATTCATTGACGTCTCTCCCAATTGACTTCCCTCACTTTTTGACTTTGCCTTTGTCCTCATCTCACCCACACTGTGATCGTGTGCTTGCTTCCTCACTACACTACCCGCTGGCTGCATTCCCTGCCTGCCTGCTCGCCCCCCCCCCCCGGCAGTGACAACACCGTGGGTCAGTCCCCCGCTCTACGGCTTCTGCAGGATTCCACGGCTGAGAAAAAATACGTGCAGCGAGCATGACACAGGAGCTAGCGCCACAAAATGCAGCGCCCACATCGAGCGGCGGGCCAGCAGAGCAAGGGCATCGAGGCACGATTACGTGTTACGTGATTTTGTCTACCTAACAAAGCAAGGGATGTACGTACACATAGATGTATACACGGATAGAGAAAATTAGACAATGAGAATACATGAAAAGGTACGTAAGAAATTGTAATTACTCTTCTTCCTATTAGCACCGTAGTATACAAGTAAAGTAAAGTAAAAAGCCCAACTGTAGGCTCTGCAAAAGTTGTCATGAATTCCCATCGCTCCTGTTTGATGCAAACGCCATAAAAGCAAATATGTTCCCGTCCTCCAGCTCAAACGGCGATCGTAGCCGGCAGTATTCACCTGCTTCTGTCCTATTTAAACATTCTCTTCCTGGTTTTCGTCGAGAAGCGCTCTACGCCCGTGTGCTGCTGCGTTTGCCAGAGTTGCTGCATCCCCACGCCTCGTGCCTCTGTCGTAAGCTTGTAACGACGCCAGGCTTCTCGTAGGTGATCTGGTCGCAGAGGGCCGCTTCGTGTCTTCTTGCCCTCTTCCTTGTCTCGCTCGGCCAGTGCCCAGGCTCGCTCGTCCCGAACGTAGTCCTCTAAGCCCTTGTCGTCATCCGCAGGCCGCGGTCCTTCTGGTTGCTTTACCTGCTCCTCGCCCGCATATATCCACTCATCCTGGATCTCTCGCGCTTGCTCGATGAGTTCGCCCGCAAAAATCTTGGCTACCGCCTTTACAGCGGTGCTAACCATTTGCGGGACGGACTGGGATACTGTCGCATTCACCACCTGCAAAGCCAGTCAGTTAGTCTTTGTAGTCCGCCGTATGCCATAGTTTGTCCATTCACTTACTCTTTTGACAACGGCATCAGACAGCTTGGCTGCTCGCCACAACTCGTAGCGGTTATATTGTTCGGGGTCGAATGCCTCCACAAGCATAGCCCTCAGTCGGATCTCCTCCTGCTTCTGTTCCTGCGTTCTGGCAACGACATCCTCCACCGCCATCTCAGCCTTGTCATCGTCTTCTTCGTCCTCGGCATCCTTGTCTCCTGCTTGTCCTACGATGCTGGTGCCAGATTTGCCACCAACGGCGCTCGGCGTTGCTTCTTTCGATCCGTCGCCCTTCTTCTTTGATTTCGACTTGGTCTTCTTTTTTCCCTTTGTAACACCGCTGGCCGCTTCGCTTACGGCGCTGCCACTAACATGCGACATCGTATCGACAGACGGCGAGCGTGCAAAGGGGGATCGCGCTTCAGGAGGGAACGAGGTTTGTCGGAGCGGATGCGCCAGCCCCGAGGACTGCGAGGCTATCGACGCCTTTCTGCGTTTGATTTGCTGGCCATGGCCGTCGAAATTCGAGGTTCGCTTTTTGTTCGGCAACTGTGCGGGGGATGGATACGGCGGGGAGATGGCCGTTGGCGACCCAACCACGGGAGGTGAGGCCATGATGTAGGTAGTCGCGTCGTCGAAAGGGTGATGAGGATGGGACGACGCGATTGTCGCTTATATGGCACGAAAAAGAGGTGTCCGTCGCTTAGTTGCTCATTTGTTGGTACCTATATGATTCTGCATACACAAGAAAGAACTCCGGAAATCCTCAGTTCGATGGTAAAGGGTGCGGTGGAATGCTGTGTCGTGAAATTCAAATGCGCCCGATCAATGTCCGCCCCAGTGTCCGGTCGGAGCTTGTCCAACTAGGCTCGAGGTGGTCACCTGACCGGCGTCCGCTGCTGCCCGCCCGGTGGTGCCGCTTTGAGAAGCAGCCTGCAGGGACCGATAAGATAAAGCCACCGAAAGCCGAAAGCTACAGTGGAAAGCAGCCCGCCGAAAGCGCTGAGGGGTCCCCTAAGAGAAAAAAAGTTGGAGAAGAAAATGAGTCGGGTGATCGCCATGCACAACTCAGTGCCTATGACACATTTTTCGGCGAAGGCTGTTTTCAATCAAATAGAAACTCCGACACCGCCAACCCAGGGTTCCCCTCCTTGAAGCCTTCTTTCATCTTTTCACACATTAAAACCGCTCCGTTCATCCCATCCCGCTCCCGTCCGCCGCTCCCTCTCTTCTCAATTCCTACAATGGCCGCATCAGGCAACGGCGACTTGGAGGCTCTGCAGCTCGGCGCTCCTTCGACCTACGACAGAGCCTCAGACGACTCTTCTTCCAGCGACGAATCCACAAGCAGAAAGAAGCGCAGTGCCGACTCCAAGAAAATGGCCGCCAAACGCGGTGCCTCGGAAATCACCACAAACGGAACCACTGTAGCCGTCACCCAGCGCAGAAACAGCGTCAGCCAAGCTGCACGAGACCCTCGCGATGAGCCCTCCATTAAACGCCGTGCTGTTGGTTCCAGCGCTCTTGCTGGACCGCCATCTCCCATTATCGAAGCCGATGGCTTGAGCCGTGCTTGTAAGCCTTTTCTGATAATCGTCGCCTTTATGGCGCAACTTTTTGCGTCCAATCGCCCGCTAACCCCACCATGACAGCCAAAGGTACCCGTGCCCGATTGGAAGAGACCCCCGAAGAAGCCGAAGCCCGTCTAGACAAGATGCGCGGCGCTGTAAGAACTCTTCTTGAATGTGTTGGCGAGGATCCAGACCGTGAGGGTCTGCTTGACACTCCTTCTCGATATGCAAAGGCCCTGCTCTTCTTGACCAAGGGCTACCAGGTGAATGTCGACGACATTGTTAACAAGGCCCTCTTCCATGAGGGTCACAACGAAATGGTTGTCGTCAAGGATATTGAGATTCACAGCTTGTGCGAGCACCACCTGGTGCCCTTCAATGGCAAGGTACGTCTGCACAGTGTACCCTGAACGGGCTGCGGGCCCCTCCGAAGCGGTGAATGCTAACATGTTTTATTCGTTACTTACAGATGCATATTGGCTACATTCCCCGCGATACCGTAATTGGTCTTTCGAAGCTGCCCCGCATTGCCGAAATGTTTGCGAGACGCCTGCAGATCCAAGAACGCCTTACAAAGGACGTCGCCCACGCCATCATGGAGATCCTGAAGCCCCAGGGTGTTGCCGTGGTCATGGAATCTAGCCATCTGTGCATGGTCATGAGAGGCGTTCAGCAAACAAGCAGCACTACCATTACCAGCTGCGTGTTGGGCTGCTTTGAGCGCAAGTCCAAGACCCGAAACGAATTCCTGAGCCTTGTTGGTGTTAACAGACACTAATGGGCGAACAAATATTCGAAGCCGGCTTGAAATTGGCCAGCCAGTATTTCAACACACTGCACAAGTTAATATGAAGCACATATCGAAGCATGAGCCCTCTTTTTGGATGAGGACTGAATCAGCTTATCATTTCTTTTTTTGCGACTTTTGGCACCTTTTCACACACACATTTTCACACGGCGTTTGCGATAACAGGCAGGGAACAGGTTGGACGGAATTTTGGGACCATGTATTCAACAATGGTCAATACAGACATGACATCATTCAGCACACGTTTGCGTGGATGGGGAAAACTGGTAGAATTTATCAGAGGCTCAACGCCTTGACAGCGGCTCATTTTGGACACTGCGCGGCAGCGCGTAGCGACAAAAGGCTATGACGGTGTGTATTAACAAGCACATATATTTGTCGTAGTTACCTCTTCCCTTGATCAATATACAAAAAATGTATTTTATTCAACAAAAAGCAAGTCTCACGCAACAGAACCTGTAGTAGCCAGGTAACGGGTAGCTAACAACCTAGGAACCCGTTGTTACCAGAGGACGACAAAGCAGAGTCCTAAATCAACACATAATCTCTTATTACTAGTGATAATTTTACTCTGCCGTGACTTATTTGCCTATTTTCACCTTTTTCTGTTTTTTTCACACCCCCTTCTCATAAAACAGGCAAACGGTAGCTATAACTTTGTACAAGCAAAGTCCCAGCATCTGCCCACTGCCTGTACAGCTACAACTTTCCCAAGCCTCCCCCCCCCCCCCCCCCCCCCCCCCCCCCC